GGGGGGAACAATGAACTCACCGAACTCCTGCAAATGTGCGAGCAGGGTCATGGCAAGTCATTAATGGTAAGATTTGTGTCAGCAAGATGTCCTCTACTGGACGCGTGGGGTTGCGCCATCCTCCGAGTCTATTCCAGCAGATCACGCCGACGGTACCATCTCATGTTGCTCAAGCCTTTTCTCCCTGTCCCTCAACCCCTCTCGGGTGTCCCGCGAAGTGATCAAAGGACCTATACTAACCGAGGCAATCTGGCTGACGCTGGCGGTCATGGTGGGGTAGAAGTTGAGGACGCTCTCGGCGAGCTCGGTAGCGACAGCACCGACCTCCTCGCCCTGGTTGGGAGAGTAGCCACCAATGAGGTAGGACTGTTGTGCAGAAGGCAAGATGCGTGTCAGACGGGCCGATCGGTGCTAAAGCAACCCTGGGACTGATGTGCACGGCACGAAACGCGCGCGCGCTCCTCGCGTCCGCCCAACGATCATGCCGAGAGATGGGTGGACTCACCTGGATGCTGGAAGCGTCGTAAGGAGGAGTGCTAGTGCTCGAGTAGGTGCAGTCGAAAGCACGAACGGTAGGGTCACCGACGAGCACGGAGCAGACACCGGAGCTCTCAGCGCCACCAGCCGGAGCAGAGGTGGGGGAGGAGCTAGGAGCAGAAGAGCTGGACGAGCTGGAAGGAGTAGGAGCAGGGCTAGTGCCAGAAGCAGCGCTAGTGCTTGCGCTCGAGGAGGAGCTCTCGGTGCTTTGTGCTTGTGCTTGACCGCAGACGGCGAGGGCCAGACCCAGAGCGATAGGCAGAGCGAACTTCATCTTGAATGATGTTTGGAAAGCGGAGACGAAAGCGCAAGTGGGGAAGAATGGATGTGCGCGAATGAACGAGAGTGAAGGAGACGAGGTTTTATGGTGGAAGAGAGAGAAGTCAGGTCATTGGCAAGGAAGATCAAGCACCCTTGCGGCATTCACGATTGCCCCATGCCATCCCATTGGTCGCTGCTGATTTGGACTTCGGCGGCTGCTGCCGATGGAGAGGAAGGCAAGCCCCTGCTTGGTATTGAGCAGGCATGCCGTCAGTCAGCGAACGGATGCCCCATGCAGAGGTGACGGTGACCGCATGCCAGAGGCTGCTCGCAGCGTGCTTGGCTGCAGGGCTCCACGCATCAAGCCATCGGCCGGCATGATAAGCGAGATGGCCACGGTTGGCTGAACCCGCACGGAGCAGCAGCAGCAGCTCTCCTGCTGCGCAAGGATGTCAAAGAGCCGTTGGCTAGGGACGCCCGGTCATCCAAAATCAAATGTTGAGAGGTGAGACTGACAGCGTGCCGGCAAGCACGTCTCTTGCTCTTTCACCTCCTGCAAGATTTGCAGCTCTAGCGCTCATCGTGCAGCTGGGATGCTCCATGTGTCGAGCAGGCTGACGGCGGCCGAGCCCTCTGAAGATTCACATTGTTGTGCCAGCGAATTTGAGCGTTTGTGCAAGCCGCCCCTCGGCAGACAGTCGTGACAGTACATCAGTACTAGTCAGCAGGGATCCGAAAGGAGGGCGCGCGCGCCCACAGCTATCACCGCACAGTCGTGAGTAAATAAGAAGAGCAAGCTGGTGCCACTACCACTAAGGGAAATGGTAGGAATGCACTCAGACTGCACCAGTCGGCCGTTGACAGCGGTCGTTACAAAAAAGGGACGGCGCGAAGCAAAGCGTACTCGGAATCGAGTGAACGTTGTGCGACGTCTCGCAAACAACAGCGCTGGTCGTCAACGATCACGAATCACGAATGCTTGAGGCTCTTCTGGCTGATTCAGACCAACCTTGCAATACCAAACACAAGACTTTTGGCTGCAAGCTGGGGGCGGGCGATTACTGTAGCGCTCTGCTGCGCGCACATCCCAGGACATTCCGTCAAGGAGCTTGCTTGACCAGTCACGAGTCACTAGCTCCTCTTGGCTCATCTGTTGTACAGGGCCGTACCAATGGTACCTGACTTGGGCTCACAGCGCATCTCTCCGCTGTTGTACTCTTGACTGTATCCGCCGCGCTGGACGCTTTGGATGGGCAAGAAATTGTGCCCTCTGCAAGCTGCGCTGCACGACTAGTCGTTAGCTGCGCTTGGCAGGAGCTTTCGTCCACAGCGAGGGGCCGAATTTGGACGAACCCCTTCTAGCTCGCGCGCAAGCAGATGTGTTGAATGCAGCGGCTGTGTGAGTACTGTCATGAGTGTGCGTCCAGTACTACTAACACTGCTATTTAGAAGTCGTGCGTATTCCGACTCCTTTCTCCATTATCGGCACCCTTGCGACTGACTAATTGTATTTGTTCTCTGCGGATTCTCCGAACCAAACACAAAGCGCACTAGAAGCAGGTCTTCGGCTCCCATTTCAGGGCTGCTAAGCTCAAAGTGCGGTCAGCCAGCGAGGCTGGCCAACGCGAGAGAGAGCCTAGGGACCAGCTAGCTGAGTCGTCAATATGATGCTACAAAGCGTCAACGAAAGCATCACTCTAGATCTCATTTCGTCGATCAAATCGTGAAAAGCGCTTTGGAGCTCGAGCGATCGTCAAGGTGCAGCAACGCCTTCATCGCCCTGAATCAGATCCAGGCCACGGGCGCCGTCTACTACAAAGCGGGTCATTTTTCTAGCAAAGATGTGCCAGAATCTGGTATACGGATGCAGACCTGAACAACGTCCAGGAGGAGGAGGAAAGTTGAGGCCATCATCTCAGCGCTTCCTCTCTGCATGATTGCGGTACATCACGCTCTCAACTCACCGTCGTACCAAAAGTAACCGTCACAGCTGGGCAAGGCACTGCAAGGCGTCGTAGTGTCCTTGAAGCCATACTCTACACCCGACTTGTGCACTCTATCAAATAGCTCGTAAGCAGGGAAAACGTCAATGGTGGTCCTCACTTCTCCTCTGCGCAAGTTGGAGTTGAACTTTTCTAGCAATGCCTGCACGACGACAGCTTGTTGCGCATTGTTCTTTTCAGAGTATTCTTGGGCTTTGGCTGTGGCATTGGGACCGTAGGCCACCACTTCGGGCGCATATTGCACCGGTGTATTGGATACCAGCACGATGCGCCGGAAGCCTTGCTTGTGGAGTGCATATAGACGACTACGAATGCAGCGCGTCTCATTCTCCACGGTCGCGCCGGGAAACAGCAATCCTGGCTTTACGAGCGGTAAAAGCATCGTTATCACCTGGACAGCAAAAGGGTTTGTGGCCAATAACATTGGTCAGCTCTCCTGAGTGGATGGGGCCGAATGAGCCTGATGGTACGCACGTCATTCCCGCCAATGAAGATGACACCGACGGTCGTTGCGGGATCGGAGCCCAAAGTAGGGTGGCTAGGCCAATTTTGGAGGCCATTGCGAAAGGTGCTGATTTGTTTGCCGACACTACCACCGATCGCAGCGCAACCTCAGCTACCGAGCTTCGGATAACGTAACGTCCAAGTCACACAACACGGACTCACTCGGGCACCGGTCTTGGAAAGTTGACATTGTCGCAAGTCGCGCCGGAGTAGGCAAAATTGACCACCTGCCACGGCATGCCGGATACCCTAATTTGCGCCTGGCCCTCCGTCGCTGCTTGGTCCGACACGAGATACTCTGGCCATTCCGGACCTCCTACCGCTCTTCCAATCGGTGGAGGGTTGCAAGCTGGGAAAGGTGGATGCGAGACGTTTGGATACAGTAATCGGTAGGAATTGCACGAATCTGTGTAGCTATTTATTTCGAACAAGAGATGAACTTTTAGCCGGGTTCGAGATTGACCTTGTACCGCGTGGCAGTCATTGGCTGACTCGTTGTCTGGCTCACCTGTCGCCGAATGTGTAAAAATGAGTCACATTTCGAGATGCCTGAGCTGGGCGAGCGGGCGCCGAGAAAGCGCCTGTCCAGAGCGATCCGAGGCATAGAGCCAACTTCAGTACCGCCGAGGCTCGCATCGTGGGGAAAGGGGAGCGCCACACAAAATTGTGTACAATTAGGCGAGTGGGGGAGGGCAGACGATGAGTTCAAATTGAGACATTTGGCCTCCTGTTTATAGGAGAATTTCCGGGCGTCAGGTTCAAAAGCTCATCGTCTCGTTTGGCCGCAATGGTGTGGCGACGGGTCTATGGAAAGGCATGAATGAAGCGGGGCCAAATCGACGCGGGCTAGGTGAGAATTCACATCGCACAATCTTCCGGTCGTTTGTGCAAGGGCATAGCGGCATAGACCGCAGGCAAGGAGCAGGAAAATTGTTTTCAGCTTGGCGTGCCATTCGTAAGCTGAGCTTCATTGGCGGAGGGCACATCCGAGTTCCACTTGCGCAGCGCCAACTACAGTCAAAGTAGACGTGCGATTGGTTTGTGCATTGCAAAGTCGAGCAAAGAGGACCCGGCGTCAAGCTTCTCATGAGGTGGACATGCCTACCTCCATGAATGGAAATCGGCAAACAAGTACCTTTCCCGCTGCACAAGGACCTGCTCCAGTGAAGCTTTGCGAAAGGGCAGAGTCGAAAGTCTGGAGTTCGAATCAGAATTCGTGTCAGCCTAAAGTCTGATCCAAACGTCTGCCATACTAGCTGATTGAGTGTCAGAGGCTTTGAGACGAGCTGAGCGAAGCTTCGAATCGTACCCTGTGCAGACGGATGGCAAGACCAGGCACGGCGAGCAACACCTACGGCAAGCGAAGGTCTGGTAGAGAGGCACTGCGGAGTTCAAGGCAAACTTCCATGGCTTCTTTTATGCGGAGCTCACTTTACCCGACGTGGGCGTTCAATCCAGGAAAGCATGGGCTGTGTGGCTCCTCGCCTCAGCCCGCCGCGACCGAGCTGTACGCTGCTTTCCAAAGCGAACCCATACGAGGCGATCATCCGGCTAGCTCGTACTGTATTCTTCCATTCGCGCCTTTGTGCCGTGTGTGGTGTGTGAGCGTGCAAGGGTCGACCATGCAGCAGCGTCCCGATGTGGGCCAACTGAACGGATGTTTTTTGCCGTGCGACGGACGGCTTTCCTGCAGCGCCTGCAAGGGTCCGTGCATACATCGATTCATCATGCTCTTGGCTGACAATGGCAGAGGGGGAGAAAGTAAGAGCATGACCTTGGCGAAGGTGCAAAACGTGGGACACGATTCTTGTGTGGATTTCTAGTCACAGTGCTCAAGCACAGACTCTGCTGAGCTCCGTGGCTAGGCTAGCGCGTGGCTCGGCCGATGTGGTGGTGATCGGTCGATGATGCAAGTCACTGTGACTGCCGTTGCAACGTTGCAAAATTCCAAAATCAAGTATCAGAATCACAATGCAGGATGCACTCTCCTGTAGACTCACTCAAGACTCAAGACTGTCTGTCTGACGGATCTGACCGCCTCTCGGGCCCACTTGCTTGTCACGAGCCTCTGTGGGCAAGAAGCCAATCGCATTCAGCTTCCTTTTCAGCGTGGAATTGTGAGCTCGCTGTGGGTTAGGGCAAGCCAAGCCCCACAACACGGTACAAGATAGAGCTCGTCTTGAGATGCAAGGAGAGTTGGAGGCTGTACTGTACGTGGGAGGGTGATCAGAAGACAGGAACGCTGGACACGCTGAGCCTCTTTAGCTTGCCTTTCCGCAATTTAGCGCCAATCACGGATTGTTCTTGCCGCTGCTGTGTGGGGTGGAGAGTGTGTGTGATGACGAAGGCGACGGGCAAGGCGTGCGAAAACAAAAGAGTGCACAGTAGTAGTAGTAGGAGTAGTAGTCAGTACCCTTTTGTATGAAGTGGAGGAGCGATCAGCAGGTTATGGGTGAGCTTTGAAGTGGAGGAGCGCGCGCGAATTCACGGGATTGCTGGCGAGCGTTGCGGTTGCCGCTCCTCGTGTCATCCAAACAGTTCAGTCACGGCTCATGACTATTCGTGATCAGCAGTCACGAGCCAAGACGATGCTCGAGGAAGATCTGCATCCAGTCTTGAGTCGAGGGGCCAAGCTAAGCTTTGAGCTGAGTCGTGAGTCGTGAGTCGTGAGTCTGAGTTGAGCTAGCGAGTGGATGGAAAGGTGATCGCGCGCTGTGCCCAACGGTCTTGTATGCGCGTCGCAAGTCGCGCGCGCCTGTGTGCTCAAGCCTCACGACTCACGACTTCACTTTGACTGTGTCTGCATGCACCAAGCGAATGCTGATTGTTCGATTGTGGATCGTTGCGCTCTACAAACTTCGTTCTTGGCCCCAGCTACTACGCATGCCATATCCATGCGTCAAGCGATCCTTCGCGCCATGGAGAAGCTCCAGCGATTGGGAGATGCGATCTGGGTTTGAAACACGCTCGGTGTGGTCTTCATGCCTCGCTCCCGCCTACCACCACCACTACCGGTCGACATCGAGCGATCCCCGACAAGAGACGGAAAAGAAGGCCAAGCGGGCACCCTACCCATCATGAGCAATGGTCAGAGCGGACTTCGCAGTCGCAGCCACGCTCACGGCACGCAGAACGGTGCTGAACGCTCCAGCGCGCCGGTCGTCGTGTCCAATGGGAATCGCACCCACCTTCCGTCTCCTCGACACTCCAAGGACAATCACGAATCCCATCTTACTACTCAGAACGCAAATACGGTCCTCGCGGCAAAGTACGCCGAGACGTTGCGCCTAGCAGAAGCGGACCGGTCTCCTCCTCTCCTCTCTCGCTTGGCCCTGCTTTGCTTTGTCGCGCTGCTCAGCTTTTACGCGCTCAGGGGCAGAGCGCAAGTGTCTGGCTGGAAGATGATCAATGAGCGGAATCTCGCACTTGGTACTGCCACACATCCGGACCCGAATGGATGGGTAGGATGGATGGACCTTTTAGGACCTTTTCGAAATCTAGCTCACATCAGACTGGCAAGCTCGACGGATTTTGCCGGTCAGGACGACGAGGAAGCCTTGCGAGGCTTGGATTGGGCCGCAGGAACGCAAGACTTTTGGTCCGAAGACGATTGAAGCGTCGAGCTGGATTCCACGTCGACTGTCGTGCCCGGGGCCAGACTTGCCCGCAAACGCCGTCACCTTTCCTGTCTAGTGAAGGGCAGCCAAATGGGACCGAGACGAACAAGGCGGGCAAGGGAACTTGCTTGCGCTGAGCCGCTCTTCGCATCGCGACTCGCAACACAGTCACGCGTGCTGTGCGACTCAAAAAACACATGCGAGACCACTTCACTTTCGAGGACGCTTTGATCAGGTGCTCACCATTCCTACCGTGTGCACGACAAGCACGAACCTCACCACGCGCACCAGCGTTAATACTAGGGCTCAAATCAAGGCGCCTTCAGCCTCCTTCTGGGATGTCCCATCGAGCCGCAATACATGCTCTACCCAACGACGGTATCTAGCCCGCAATACTTTATAGCGCGTCGTGACATCCTCAGCATTTTGCATCAAAACACCAATCGCACCACACAACCTAATTGATCGCATTTGCACCTGGAGGTCGCGTTGTGAGAAAGCCATTTCGCACGCTTTCGGACCTCGAAGTCAAAGGGGCGGAAGACACACACATCTAGAGATGTCTACTTGAGACCGGCGAAAGACTTGAGAGGCTCCCATCCAAGCGACAGCTGTTTGCGCGTGGAAATGAAGACAGGCAGTCAGCTTTTCACAGCCGCATGTCCACCGCCTCGCAGATGTACCGGCCCACAAACACTCTTCCCTCATCTTCCATGCTGCCACTGCCAAGACTCTCTACTCACGTTGTAAAGACCCGCACTGACGGTCAGCAGAGCAGTGGCCGTGAAACCGATCGGACGTCCAAGGCCGACTGCATTTGGCGCCTTGATTCCTACATCGTGGGCCACGCGGGCCAAGAACAGGGTGCTGTAAGCAGCGTGGACCACAGCAGTTGGGGCACCGTTGAGTTCGGAGAGGAAGATGAGGAAAAAGGCGAAGGGGGTGTGCTCGGCAAAGTTTCCAGCAGATCGAACGGCGCGCTTCAGGTTCTCCTCGTCTTGGGCGTCAGAGGCGGACGCCTTGTGTGCAGGGTCGCGGACCTGTGAAGAGTCGAGGAATGGTGAGCGGAGTTATTCCCGCGCAGCCAGATGAAGCCTCTCAACGTGTTGCCCCTTGTCAAGAATACGCCTCCATTCTCGCCTAGAGCGAAGCGCTTCGTGACACCTCGATGTTGATCTAGGTTCCACTCTGGAGCAACACTCACAGATCCAGCCTCGCCTTGACCAATGAAGACACCAGTCTTGAGTCGCAGCTGCAGTCATGCGAGGGAGGAGCGAAATCAGCACATTGAGAAGATTGAGCTGCCTGACTCCTTCTCCGATGACTCACAGCGACCACGTTGGTTGTAAGGTAGCTGTGTGAGAGGGCAGTGTGATCGTGTCAGCCAAAGGGAACTCGAAGCATTGAAGGGAGCATCCTCTGCCCGCACTGTGCGCTTGGGGTGGCGATCTGCATTGTTTGAGATCGATTCAGCACCTCACCTGTAGTAGCCAGCGAAGAGGGCCGAGTGGGCCAAAGAGGCGGGAGAAAGGACGAAGAGAGGCATCTTGGCAAAATATGCGGTGTGCGCTTTGTGAGGGGGTCAAAGGCTCAGCAAAATGTTGCTCTCGCAGCGAAAGACGATGCATGTGATGCAGAGCATAGGCAGACTCGACTCACCTGGTGCGATTTCTTAAAGTCTGTCAAGTTGGAGGATGGTGGATTGCAACATCAACGACCGAGCTTCTCAGCCGCAGGAATAAGAAGGTCAAAGGCAGCCCGCGTTGTGATTTGCCTTGCCTCGAAGCGGGTGGGGTCGCACAGCAGAAGCGCATTCTGATTGATCACGCCCCACAAACCCTGCAGTCGTTGTTGCTGATGATGGGCGTGCGTTGTGCGCCTGCTGCCTGGCTGATCCGTGCCCTTCTCGCAGCATGGACACGACCAGCAGCAGCGCCGCGCTCGCCAGCCGGCCATGGTCAGCGTGCATGCTGCAGCATATATGGCTTGGATTTGATGCCAGACTGATCGCGGAGGCGTACGAGCAGTCACTTATAATTGCATGCCCACTCGTGACTCCAGAAGAATTTGTGGAGGAGCATCCACAGTTTGAGTTGAGTACAGTCAGAGTACCAGCCTGCCCGCTTGCTGCGTGCGTCATGTCTGCTTTCGTGATCGACAAAGACCCTCAGCGCACGTGCCACACCAGTTCTGCGTCCCTTTGCTGCATGCGCACCACTGACTCCGAAGAATCACGCTTCTCGAAGCCATGCAGACGCAATCCCTGGATATCACACAAACATCTCAGCCTGCGCACAAGTAAACACGGCAATTTTGCTGTACGAGCGCTTGGAAAATGTCTAGCTTGAGTCTGGTTTGTCGTTCTCGCTTTGCGCAGAGAAGCTTCACCTCTCCAGCAAGCACGGTTTTGGCTAGCTCACCTGCGCGTTGGAAGCGTGACTATACCTGTAGCGTCGAAAATTTGGATCATCCAGCTCCATGGATTGATCTTGACTGATCAATCTTGAATTTAAAACCGCTTCTCGCTTCGTGACTTATCACGTGACCGATTTCATCTTCACTACCTTCCGGAACCGCGACTCATCATTTGCTAACCAGTCCATGCTCCCCCATGAACGGTGCTCGTGGAGACATCACACACTTGATCGGTCGCATTCGTGCGCTTATTTTCCCGCTCAAACTCGACCAGAGTGTAGGTCAATCACTCATCCAGTCGCCCTCGAGTGGTTGTCAATTTTGGGTCATCAGGTGTATTCAAATTGCAGGGCAACAAGGGATCTTAAGTAGCACCTCCCCGTCCAGCATGAAGCAGGAGGGGCAAGATGCCCATGCATGTCGAGCTCTGGAGCTGCCTTTCCCCAGATGCACTGGTGTCGCGCTGATCATCGAAAGAATGAGTGGTGAACTTCGCCGCATGAACCCCTGGTCCTTCGTCTACCTCAAATTTGAGCTGTTCAGTCTTCCCTGCGCAATCAGTATCTGAGCTCGAAGCTCATCCCTTTGCGCATCCGTGATAGGTGGTCCAGCTCGCAAATCCTCAAGCCCCTTCTGATTAGACACTTGCAAAGCTTTCAAAGAGCCCAAAGGACCGATAGGCATCGCCGCAGGAGAAGGCGTATTGTTGTCTCCGCCTCCGAACAGACTCGTGCTGCCGGAGGAGCCGGTTGTATTCGATGCTAGGGAAGAAGATGAGGCGGATGAAGTGTCGTCGGGCTTCACCTGCGCATGCGGCAAAAGAGGGGACCCGTCAGTTTCGTCAGTCTGTATCTCTGAAGGACGAGTGAGGGCTGAGGCCATCGTGTGTGCGGACTTACCTGCCTGATGGAGTAGTAATAAGCTCTGCGGATGCGATTCAAGGCCGATTTAGCAGAATGATCAGCAAGCCTTGAAGCGCATTTACGAGCTGTAGTGGCCTAAGCAAGTAGCTGCAACCACGCGCTTGACATACCAGCTCCAACCAAGCTTCGGCAGCCGATGGTTTCCCGCATCGCGGAGTGTCTGCCTTGCAATGTCGACGTCCCACCAACTCACCCGACAGCAAAAGCCATGATAGCAGATCCCGTGATCGCATTTTTGACAGCGTAAGGTCTTCTAGCCCTCCTTAGTCCCTCCGAAACACCGTAGCCTCCCGGATGATAAGTCTCGTGCGTCGATCTAGGTGCCGAATACCCGCTCGTTATCCTTCCTCCTCTTTCAAAGGCCTCGCCACTCTGAGACATGGCTGCTTTGCGTGCGCTTGAGAGATCCCTCGTGGTTAGAAAAGGATGCTGTCGAGGTTTGGGTGCGTTGCGACTTGACAGCAATTGGGAATATGCACGTGTTCCACTGCACAGTTTAGGGCACGCCTGGGGTATTTGCCGTGACCGAGTCCAGTGAAGGAGACGAATGCTGCTGATCAGCGTCGTGTCTATCGCACCTATTCGACAGCGGGTCAATGAGATGTCTGATTCACTATGGCTATGGATGATGATGATGATGATGATGATGATGATAATCAAGAGGCTAGTTGTCGCGCGATCTGCGCAAGGTGGAGGGTAAGGACGCGCGCGAGACACGACCAACTTACGGGTGCTCTCTGTTGCGGCGCATAAGCTGCAACAGAATGTTCGCGACCTTGAGCGGGGCGCTTCTTAGGGCACTCACAACTCAGAACTACCTGTGACGCGCGAGGAGTGTCGTGGCATCGCAGCATATAGAGTCACCATTTGCTGCTGGATCACTCGGACTGTGCACCTTCGACACCACAACAGTCGCAAGGCTAAGCTTGCGAGATCAAGCATTCACGGATCATAATACTCTCGCTGGGCTACAGCTCACCTTTTGCCCATTCCCAACACCTCGGATCAAGCGCGCTTTGGAGCTTTGATCTTCCTCTGTCTTTTTACCGATTGACTCACCCTCGACGACTAGGCTAGCTCGTGAGTCGAACATCGAATGCTGTGAACAGTGGGGATCGTTGTAGACGACCTCGGTGACGGAACTTCCGTGCTCTTGAACGAAGATGAAATGCAACGCGACGTGGCTCACCCTGTCGTTCTGATGAGGGCGCCAAAGCCCCATACAAGCGGACAGCGCAGGCCACAATCAGCGCATGCTGATACTCACCATCTTGCGCTTCTTCCTTCAACAGCTCCTTCTCGATCAGCCCAATCATCATCAAGCGCCCATCCTTTCTGTCGCTCGTACGATCACAATGGCTGGACCCTCGCACTCCGCGCCTTCCACCAACAGGTGGTACGCGCCCAAGCACAACTTCGCACCGCACAGACCAGCGTTTCATCATCGGTGGGGAGCAAAGTTGTTGGGTGGATTCACCGCATTCTTCATCCTGTATAGGATCAAGCAGGATGGTGCTTCTTTAATCGTGAGTTGGATCACATTTCATTTTCACTTGATGGGTGAAGAGGAGGAAGACAAGAGAGGTTGAACAAGGGCGGATAGAGAAGCAAACCGCGTCGGTGCTATCCATGACATTTGGAAATCTTTGAGGGATCTACCTTGAGACTGACGTAGCTCGAGAAAGAGGACGCTCCGCCAGGCGCATGCGTTCGTCGCTGTGATGGCTCTCTTTTAGGTCTTCACCTTGGCGTTGTGCAACTACGAGGCGGCCTCCCTAGCTAGAAGCGCCCACTTCCAATGCCGCGCAATGCACCATTTCACGACTGACCTTCCTATTCCCTTCTCTCTACATCTACAAATTTGCAGGGCCACCACTCTTTCCATGATCATCACGGGGATGACCACGGCCACGGCCACGATGAGCACCACTAGGCCCGGGCAGTCAACTTCAATAGACCTGTTGCAGAACGCAATGAGATGCGTATCAAGCCATCGGACCTCAATATCAGGGGCCATCAGCCTCGGAGCGGGGGGCTGACAGTTTGCAGCCACGAAGGGACAGTCTGTTCAACGTGAAGGGGCAGTCTGTTGAATGCGAAGGGACAATCTGTTCAACGTGATGGGACAGTCTGTAAAACGTGTTCCTCCGCCAGTTCGGACTAGCAGGGGTGATGAACGATCCCGCAGAATACGGCATTGCAAACGTGGACAATGTGTGCGCAAAGGAACGACAACGCTTTCGCTCTTGCGAGGTCAAAGTAATGGCGGCGTCTGGTTTGGATATTTGTTGCGAAAACGTATAAAGCATGGTTTGCCTTAGCTCCAATAAAGATCGACGAACATGGTCGCGATGCCGAGTATGATCTCGAGCACGATGAGGATGATGACCACGATTTCCAGCCATTCGGAATGAGAGCTGGTGACCTGATCTTTGAGTAGCTGCAGCATATCTTGGAGGACCTCCACGCGAGCATTGAGAAGATCTATGCGCTGTGGAATCTCCAAGTAACTTCGAGCGGCAGAATACAGAGGTTCTGGGCAAGCGAGCGTTGGCGGTGAAAGGACTGGGGGTCAGGTACCCGAATTATCGACGTGGCCTTTTTGTCACAATTCCGACTTACCCAGATCAGGCTGAGCCCAGAAGATTTCAGGAGAGTCGACGATAGATCCGACCAAGTGAATGTTCATGCGCAAGATGAAGAGCTGCAAAGTAGGCCGAGCGCAAGGTCAGTCAAGTATGATGCCCCTCGACACCGACGCTTCGCACTCACGTGACCGATCTGCTTCATGATCTCCCCAGGTGGCATGCCGATCTTGCCGCTGTCTGCGATGCTTTGCGGGATGTCCTGATGAAGGTAAGGAGAACATACACATCTTTGGGGTCAGCAAGGCGATCGTGGACGTCAAAGGGTCCAGATTCCGGCGTGCTGGCTCACCTTTGTGGTGTCGATGGTGTTCTCGATGACACCTTCGAAGAAGCTAATCTTGGTGCTCTGTGCGAGAGCATGCGACAAGGAAAGCTTGGTCATGTAGCTCGATCCGCGACGAAGCGTAATCACATCGTTGTAGATCCTTTGGAGGCGCGGAGGGTGTGTGAGCTACACCAAGCTGGTCTGGCATCAAGGTATTGTGAAACTGACTCACCGACTGTAGTCCGCAAGGTACCAATTGAGATCTTCAGACTCTACATCTTCTGTCGCCAATCGTTCCACCTCGAAGCGACGAATCTCGCGCAGCAGACGCTTCTCTTGCGCGTGCGTCATGCCCCAGATGACGACAGCTGCGAAGATGAAAGCCGCAATGAGCATTTCACAAGGCGGGCTGTCGTCTGCTACGAGTGCAGAGATGCGAAACTCACTTCCGTACTCCATGAAGAAGACCTCCGGTAGCATCCCCTTGACCGTAAATCTCTCCTGGCGTCTGCGTCGCCTTTCGAAACGTTTTCTCTCCCGCTCCTCTTCTTGAACTTCATCGTCCTTGTCCGCTCCCTGGGAGTCTATCAACGTGCCAGAGGTCTGATTGCTCTGCGTTCCATCTCCGTACGGTGTAGTATTCCTCTCTCCCTGTTGATTGTCTTCGGTTTCATCAGCCAATTCAGGTATGCCGAGCAGATCGCCCGTCCTGCCGAACGCTTTCGCAGGAGACTTGGGTGCCGCGTGTGCCCCACTATTTGTCGTCGTGCTCCCATATCCATCTCGCACGCCGTGAGGATGCGACGAGATACCGCGTGAGTTGTCGAGATCGTCGTAGGTGTAGGTTGTATAAACACACTCGTCGAAAGTCATTGGGTTTGTTCGATGAGAAGTCTGGCGAGCTGCTAGCCAGCGGGACAAATCTCGCATGCGATACGATCTGTCACGCAAAGGGACGATGAAAATGTGTTGAGAGACTGCCTTGAAATCTTCAAGGTGGGGAATTGGCTACTCACGTAGCAGTGCTGTAAGCGGTGACGCGCGGCAAGCTAGCGCGGGCTCTCCTCGTCAACCTTCTAGCATCTCGCCTCATGCTGCCCTCTGGGATCTGCGCCAGGGATTTGTGTACCCTCTCATCCGCCTCTTCTTCATCCTCCTCGCCCTCCTCTTCAGATGAAGAATCTCCATTCTGTCCACCTGCCGCGCCATTGCTTTGACGGGATCGAGGTCGAGCGGTCTCTTGAGCTGCTGGTTCGCTCGGCAGAATCTTCAGCTTGCCCGTCGCTTTGGTCGAACTGCAGCATGGGTGATAAGCTCGCGCGTCAGCTGTGCGGTCAGTCGGAGCTAGAGGTTGCCGTCACTCACCGATTGGGCCCGAGACGAGGCTTGCTCTGCGCCTGGCTAGCCTGCTGTGACTGCGAGGAGTAAGAAGGCAGACCTGCGTTGCTCGAGCTGAATTGCTTGCTTCCGGTCGAGAAGCCGGAGCGATTGGATCGCGAAGACATGATTGATGCGTCTGCGATGCGTATGATAGGTTGTTGGATGTCGCGCTCTAATGCGTTGAGCGATCGAAGTCTTCACACGCTCCAGGAACCAATAACGGCGCGCAAGGAAGGTAGAACGGTCACCGCGGTGGACGAAGACTTGTGAAGGACTGCCGGCTGCGGCGCAACGATGGAAGGGAGAGCACAAGAAAGGGAGCAGGCTGGAGCAAAGTCCGTTTGTCAGCATCAAGTCGTTCCAGCTTGAGCCCTTTCGGTTGAATGTGATTTAAGGGGACAAGATGTAATAATGTGGTCGACATCATTCACCATTGGTAATTCGTAATTCCAAGAAGTTTGACCTGTGCTGCCTCGCATCGCCGTCGCCGTTCTCAGGGCGACAAACGTGCTCACGGCGACTCCGCGTCTTCACGGCAGCGCGTGCATGCTGCAGAGAGAGTCTGCCCCTGCGTGAGCGCAGGCCACTGACCCTCCACCCAGCATGACACTCATCGAGAACATTCTCCGTTTTTGCAGCCCAGTCGACCGCATCTCGGTGCTCCGCTTTCCAACGGGATCTTGATGTTTTCGCAAATCTGCTTCTGATGCTTCTGCACCACGACTACGACTGCTGCACCCCTGCTGATCATTCTTCGTGAAGCTCGGAGCGAAGCCACAAGGGCTTTGGTATCTACGTCACTGAGGAAGTGCCGGATTCTTTCCCATCTCCGGGTGCAGAGCTTCTGCGCGAGTCAGACCACGCACGTGAAGGCAGCCATGACGTCGACCCAAGAAGATTCACAAGAGGCGTCAGGGGACTTCACTTTTCAAAAGGTCAGACGAGGTCGCAAAGGCAAGAGGGGACAAGATGCAGCAAGATCGACGGCTCCATCATTTGCACCTCATCCGCATCCCGAGGACTCGGTGCAAACCATGACTCCGGAGCAAGCTGCTGCGCTTTTGAGCCGACGAAGAGAGATTGTCCTCGGCAAGCGCAGATTGCTGGATGGTCACGACGCAGACGAAAGGACAATGGTCGCTGTAGCAGGTGAGTCCCTGAGCAGCTTTTTCAGAGCTGCTCCTCATCCTTCCCTGTACTCTCTGACCGAGTCGCGCGACGCACTGCATCTTGTCACTCACAGAATGCGTGCGCAAAGCCTTGAGAGACCAAACTGTGGCAGAAGATGAGCGGGGGGCTACCAGTTCACAGAGCGCAGCGCGGTCTACAGATTCATTACGCCCGGCTCATATCCTTCATCTAGGACTGGGCAGCGTCATAAATAATCGGATTGCTCAGTTCCAGCTTGGATTCCTGCTGCTTCTCAGGGATCAGCTCGGTGGAGAAGCCTGCAGCGTTCAAGGTTTTGACCCGATTTGGACGAAGGAGGACACAGACTTGCTAGAGTCCTTTGATCTTACATGTCTCTCCAAGAACGAGCAGGGCTCCTACGTTCTGGAGCAGCCAACGCTCGTGTACATGCCCCACTGCGGTCGATCGCTCTACGAATCGATTCTCCGGGCAAATTGGAGCATCAAAGGTCTTCATAATCTGCTGCTCTGTTCGAACGGGTTCGACAAGTATGCACAATTGTCCAACGACCTAAAGAGAGAAGCGCCTTGCATGCACAGGATACTACCCCACCTTCACGTCATACCTCTTCCATCCGTACCCGCTCCTAATCATGATTCGCTCAACGACCTCGTTTTTCAGCGTTTTGCTCCGACACTTCAAGCGGCAGAAAGGCAGTCGCGAGAGGGCAGCGCGAACGCGTCGTCCGTCGACGGCCTTGTCGCGCATATGAGACACACACTATCCCTCGACCCTCCTGTCACGCCATGGAGACCAGGCTTCTGGGAGCTGCCGCCTCTAGACCCACGGCAACTCGTTAAAGATCCTGAATTACAGTGACCCTGTCCTGCTATGCTTTGACAGACCGACACGGGTTTGAGGCCATAGTTCCGACGAGCAAGTGAACATACTCAAAAGGAGCATAGTACAAGACGCACTCCAAATCAGTGTCGATGAGCCGGGGACAGAGCAAAGTGTTAAAAAAAACAGCTATGCTGCATAGTAAAGCAGCCGCAGGGTGCGTGTGAGTGTGAAGGTGTGGTATCAAGTTGCAAAAGTGGTGCTCGAGAAATTTGAGAGCACGTCTCAGACCGAGAGTTGAGACGGGCCAAGTAGGTCGTGAAAGCTGCTGAACACAAGCGTGCATCTCTCCAGGAGATCATGTGTTCAACGAAGCGAGTTGAAGATCTCGGGATTTTCAATCATGTCTGGGATAGTAGGCGAGAGGCACGGTCAGCCTGTGACTTGCCATTTCGCAGTGGCTGCGGCACGCCACTCACACTCGATAGTCATGGCCTTCCCTCCCATGTGTGCGAATTCCTTAGACGGATCTCCAGAGCGCATCAGAGTTGCTATGAAAGAAGGAGTCCAAGGTCAGCGCAGTGTCGAGCGATGCTCGAGCATATCATTTTTTGGGGCATATCTCACGTCCGAAAACCACGCCTAGATTCCTAGCGGTCATGCGATTCTCTTCGCTGGACAGCCGCACCCGGTGAAGGTGCTTGATGAGAGCTCGGAGAGTGTTGAAATGCTGACGAGGGAGTTGCTGTACTAAATCTCGTATTTCCGCCTCGCGCGCGCCTGGATCGCCCTTGAGCTCCGCAGCACGAATGAAGTCTTCATGTAGGTCAAAGGTCAACAAAGGTTCCGGAAGCTCGCGGAAGTAATTCTTCAAGACCGAAGTGACTGCAGACACGTCGTTGAAGCGGTCCACATCTTCCAAGTTAAATGGCTGACCGCGCTCGAAGAGCTGGGTAATGACACGCAGCTGTGAAGTGCCACCTGACTTCCTGTAGATGCCCTCGTAGTCCATGCCTAGATTCGAAAGCAGAACGAAACGGTGAGTAGGCCTGGTCAGATCCTGCCTCTGAATAATCGAGAACCCGACTCACCCATGGCCTCGACAGCAGAGATGCATTTTTCGACGACAATAGGAACATCTCGACCTTCTGCAGCTGCCTGGTCGACGAGTAGTCTGCCAAACATTGAGGGCCCCGTTGGCTCGTGAATGTCCTCTCCTCGAGTAAAGGGTTGATTGCACGAGGTGGGCAGACTCTGAAGACACCGCTGATGACAGGCTTGGCCGCAGAGAGCGCATCGTACTTCCGATTGGCCCCACATACTCTTCTGACACGCAAAGCATCGCAAGGGTCGCAGCGCTGAGAATGGCTGGAATAAGTGCTCTCGCACCACGATCTCGTTCGATGCGTTGCGAGCATTGTCGCGTCCTTGTTGATGCGCCAAAGAATTTTGGACTGCGGAGGCAGAGCCTTGATACTTTTCGGAGCCAGCGCCGCTAGAACCGTTCATCGACTTCGGGGGCACAGGAGGAGACTGACCAAGCGGCATAGATGCAGCAGCGACTGCTACCCTTGCTGCATCCTGCAATTTCGGCTTCATCCATTTGAACTTCTTCGGTGGCGCTGCCTCTATCTTTGATATTGGCATGACGCGCTGTAGAGACGTTCCCGTTTGAATGGTCGTGTCGGAAGCGCTAGCCGAAGCCGATGTCAGGGTGTCCGCGTTAAGAGACGACACGGAAGGAGATCCTGTGCCTAGTTTACCGCCTGGGGATCTTCCACCAGCTCCAGACATGGCGCGTTCTCGCAGATCTCGTGGCACTGGCGGGAGGTTTTCTCTGAATTGCTGTTGGAATGCCTGCTGATCGGCGCGGACCTGTGCCGCCTCGACGTTGCGTGTCAGCTGAGTCAGAATGCCATTGAGCTCTTCGTTTCGATGATTGAGGGTTTGCGACTCTTCTAAGAAGACGTCGCGCGATTGCTTGAGCTCTTCGATCTCAATCATTAGCGCGTCACGCTCGAAAGTGAGCTCATCGATCTCTTTGCGATACTTCTCCTTGACGCCCTCCAGTCTGACGCTCAGGTTCCGCTGAAGATCAGATGCAGATCCGGTTTCCTGCACCTTCAAAGACTCGCCTCCGCTCGACTGCCTCTCTGAGCGCATTGCGACCAGCTCTGCGACTTCAGCCACGTGTAGATCGCGCTCGGCTGAGAGCTTTGCGATGTCCCGTTCCATACCCTGCAGCGTCGACTTCACCTGGTGAGAACGGCGCTGCAGATGTTCAGCTTTCTTCTTCTCGGTGGATATCTCAGCAAGCTTTGAAGACTGCTCGACAAGCTTTTTCTTCAGAAGGAGCATTTCGGACTCGGCTTCGAATCTCGCCTGCACCTCCGCCTCGTACTCGTCCCGTGCCGATGAGAAGCCACGTGCGGCTGTCTGACTCGCGCGCTGTGAAGCCCACGTTGCCTACAGTCAGCCTTGTAGTGCAGGGGACATCGCCAAGCAAAACATACCTTCATCTTATCGTAACGATGTTGCAAAGTCTTCATGCGTTCCTTGGTGTCGTCCAGGTCATTGAGAATCGCTTCGACAAAGGCGGTATCGACGTCCATGCGACCATCCCGAGCCTCCCGCATGGACTCTCGCACCTTAGCTCGTGCATTGTCCGCCCCTTTGGGGCTTTGCAAAGCACTGGCATCTTCCTCCTCTTCGTCCTTAGATCCCTCTAAGTCGATGTCTGCATTACTATCGGTGCTGCTGCTCCCCTCCTCGCCGACTCCGCGAAGAGCTGACACGGCGGGCTCGGCAGATCGGGTCGACGGGACATCGCGGCTATGCTGTCTGGGTGAACGCGTGGCGAGAGGCAATACTTTCTTGCTCGCAGGCGACTTCCGCAGCGCCTCCAAGGTGCTCTCGTCTGCGTCCCCAAATTTGCCAAAAGAGTCCATGAGGCTGACAAAATCTGGGTCGTAGAAGCTGAAGGCTTTGGAGAGACGTTCCGAATTGCCTTTCGGAGAGCCGTACGCCACTGTAAGACTATCGGTGGGTGGTGATAAGGTCTGACTGGCCTTAGAGCCTGAACGACTACGAGGTGCAAAGCTTGTGGCTTGTTCGGTGGACGTCCTCGTTCGATTGGCCGACTCTGCTTCACGCGCTCCATACGTATTCGTAGATGGGGGTGCGCTGGAAGGTGCGGCGTTTCGATCTTGTATACCTAGTCCAACGCTAGAATTTTTAGAAGGCAAGCGTGCTGTTTGCGAACCATCGTTATTGCTGGGGCTGACGTCCAGCAATGTCTCATTACGTATGCTGCTCGAGCCGCTTACGGTCCGCGTATGAGATGAAGCGGCTTTAGCTAATTCCGAAATAATGCCATCACCGCTCCCATTAATGTTGTGCTTTGTCCATGTTGCTCCGTCCGCCTGCCCCACCTTGCTCGCACCTGGCGAAACGCCTGAACTCGAACCCTGCAGCCCGTTCATGTTCCCAGCTGCCGCCGCCGCCCGAAGCTCACGCAGAGTCGGCGCTGCAGGAGGTGCAGTTGGTCTTTTAGAAGGTCCAGCCGAGGCTTTGCCCTGTGAAGATCCTTGCCACGGGCTGCCTGTCTGCAACTCTCGATGAGTTTCAGAGTCCTGCGTACTCTCGTTAGAATGGGCACGCAGATCGTCTTGAGAACTACCTTTGACCCCTTGAGATAAGCCGTCTAGATTGCTTGGCGATGGTGATGCGTGTCCCTGAGCTGACGGAGATCGCAAGTCGTTTGTCGGTGGAGCGGAGCCCTGCCTATCGCGAGACGACGAAGCCTTGGAGGATTGTTGCTGTTGCTGCTGGTCAGAGTGAAGTCCGGACAATCAGCAGTGCACCACGCGCGCGGTCGTTGAGAGCAGCAATGCGGACACACCTTGGCCTTGCTGCGCTTGTTGGCGGCGTTTCTCCGGCTTCTTGCCACGCGTTCATTGTGACAGGACATGCAATAGATGCCCTGACTCGTCTTGGCAAATACAAGCTCTTCAATCGGCGTATGGCAGGACCGGCAAGTGAAGCAAGATGCGTGATACGACTCGTCACCAGTCATGATGGCCTGGAGTGGAGGGCCGCTCTAACAGTTAGATGACTGGCCTCGGGCGGAACTTTGGCGGACTCACCTCCTCCATGATGGGCAAGCCGCAAATCTGACAGGAGTAATTGCATTGACCACAAATCGGGTGTCCGTCCGATAGCAGTAGAATGTCATCACGATCCGTTGAGACGGGGTTCTGGCATTTGGCGCATCTGAAGCAGTCGACATGCCATAATTGTGCTCTGAAATGTATGAACGGCATCATTGATGCTGTGATCTCAGTGCCTGCAGCATACATGCACGTGCGCTCTCGTAGAACCTGGAGCATTTGCTTCTCCGATGTCACTCACGCAAATTGAATCACTCCCTGCTCTGCTGATTCCTCATCGATCATTTTCTTGCAACCTCCGCAAACAGGTTCCACAAACTCGGAGTCCTCCAAAATGTCTTCAGGGACATCCTCGGGTGCAGCAGGACTCGAAGGCTTGGACGTCATATTCGCTGCTGGACTAGCTGCGCTAGCATTGCGGTCGCTCGGCTGGCCTCGCTCTTGGCGAAAGCTGGATGCAACGCCGCTCAGAAGGGGTGACGCTACCGCAGCCATACTGAGCGAATGACCGGGCTAGCGTAACGGCCTGCAATGGTAAGAGACCTCGCGCAGCGGGCTGGCGAGAGGTTGGAAGTAACGCGGGTGCACCTAGGTGGGTAACCGAGCAGCAACACCCCGCTAGCAAGTCTCCCGTGCCTCTCGAAAGTGTGGCTTGCTGAGGGTGCGGTGACTTCAGCCCGCGTCTGATGGGTACCGAATGGTGATGGTCGGAGGGGCACCGCCAGGTCAGCACGTCGACCGGGCGAACGTTGGCCGCGGAACAGGATGCACCGCAGAGAGTGCGCCAAGGTGACAAATTGAGAAACGTATCAGGGGCACCGATACGAGCGGGCTTACGGTTGAGGCTGAGGCTGAGGTCGTGAACGTGGCTATAGCTATGGCTGTGCTTGACCAGCACTTTCAGGAGGGCCAAAAAGCCTGGGTAGCGAGAGTGATGTGATCAGGATGTGCTCGACGGTAATTCGTGCCAATGAAGCTCTGCTTGTACGGGCTGTCAGATGGCCGTGATCAATGTCCATGAGACTCTCTGTTTGAATGACAATCGTGAACGACAACGCTGAATGGTGGATGGATTGGTAGTGAGGAGCAAGACCAGCATGCACTATACTACACAAACTGTTGTGTGATGTCTGTTATTGCTTGTTGTCGTCTGCGCCCTTCCCTCGATTGCTGATGCTTATGCACCAGCTGTTATGATGCATCACGGAAGTATACATGCAGCGAGGCATCAGGCAGCGCCGCGGGAACACGCACGCTTGGACAAGGCCGCACGCGGCGGGCGCCAAGCCAGCAGGAATGAGGCGTGCAAACCGACTGGTTGCCTGCATATAGCTGTTCAGGCATGGCTGCAGGCATGCAAGCCTGGTGCAGCAGCAGCCCAAGCATGCATGCTTTCTATGCAGCTGATTGCGGCAAGATGCGGCAAAGCAGCTGATGGGCAAGGAAGCATGCTGCAGCAGCGATCACGGTATCAAGTTGAATCACCATTAACATTCGTCACCCAGAAAAAATTGGTGAACAGAGAAGCTAGCGCGAATCGCGAAGTGTGGATTTGGGCGTGCGCAGCAGTCACTATATAGCAACCGTGAACTCACGATCTCAACAAGTAACTGTATAAGGCTCTTGCATCAAAAGATTATTGAAGCAGGGCGCCTGGGGCCGGTCGCGCTGCGCGGGACGAGTGTGTCCCGGCGCCATACGCACGGAGCAGGAGCAGCCTGAAGACCGCACCCCGCTATACATCCTCATCACCCACAGCGGCTGAAGGCGGCGCGGCGCCATCGTCAAACGTCCTGCAACGATGGGCATCACAGAGGGTGGCGCTGCTTGCGTGCTGTGGATCGGTGCCATCCCTAATCCAAAGCCGACCGAAACACCGATCGAAAAGTGCGGCGGTTCAAACCTACCCAAGTCGTTGTTTGTGGCTGCTAGCCACGAAGAGCAAGTCGTGAAGATTGTCGCATGTTGTTGTTGTGTCGCGTCGCTTGCCCGTGACTCTAGACTAAGTCACCGTAGCAGCGACACACTATCACAGCTTATTTATCGTCGAGGTGTCAGCATTCGATCACACATACGAACGCCTCAGCACGACCTCACGAAAACTTTCAATATTGCGTCCCAGTTGAGGCGCAGCGTTTTGTGAAAGCATAGAGTGCGAGGTTTGAAATGAAAGCGGAGGCTTGAATACTGGGGACATTCCTGGTTCATGATTCGAAATGCTTTACATTCGTTACTTCGCACCTGGCGCGCAGTCGGAAATCGCGATAACAAAAGAGGGACAGCCTCAGGCAGTCGAAGGTCTACCGCTGCAAAGCTGACGTTACTGCTTGCGACCAAGACCTCCACGTCCAAGCATGTCGAGTGCAGTGGGCCTCCCTCAAGGACCTTGGGGCCAGTCCTTGGCCCCACCTCGAACCTAAAGCTGCATCAAGCGGTACCTATATAGGTTCTCATCTGCCAATCAAGAATGAAAGCATTTGTCCTGCGACGGGGGATATGTTTTGGAATCTCACGTGTGGCGCCCTGCAAATACCTCATTTCAGCCCGCCAATCAAGAATCAGGCTCGCGCGTCATCAGCATCTCAAGGCCCGCCTCGACCGGCTCGCTGCTTCCTTGACGCAGACACTCACGCGCGTACGGCACGCCGAGGCGAATCTAAGACCACGACATGCGGATGATAAGGTTCTCAATGCTCACTGCCTTGCCCTATAGAATGGTGGGCCATGGAAGGCTTTCACTCACGAGTAGCAGCTTTCTCTTGGCGCGCATCGTCTTGGGAATCCTTCGACCAATACAGGCAGATTCACGATTGATGATCACGTCTCCGCACGAGATACACGAATGATGAGCATCAAATAAGCCGGTCCGGGGTCCGTGCGCGGAGGACTTAATTGCCGTCGACGAAGCGTTCGGCAAAGGTTTCAAAGTTCGATGGGCAACCGATCTGGGTTGCGAAGCTCGACGCGCGGTATGGCGAAGAATCCGTCGAAGCACGTACGTACGGCACCATGCAGTCGTGAGTGCACACTCGCCCACCTATAGCTGCGACGTCGGGCGCCCTTCGACGCTCACCTTGGCATCGCATCTCGGGCCGGTAAGGGCGCAAATGAAGTGACGTGAGCACGAGGCTCATCTGCAGCTGCGCCTTGGTGGCCACTTGCTGGTGACTGTATCACCTCATATGGGCCATGTGCACAGCATGTGTCACCGCCGTTGCGGCCATCAAGGGCATATCAATTTGAATATGAGGGTGAGATGCCCACCTATGTGGATAGGCTTACCTTCGCCAAGCTCAACATTCGAGCACGAGTCACAGTATGCTCAAACCCTCTCGACTCCTGCTGAGGTCAATCTTGCATCATACCGGCGAAAATACCCAGCATAGCGAAGACGTTAAGCTTGGCTAGTCCATCGTTCATTCAAAGATTGTTCTCCTGTAAAATGTCCTGAGACGCCCTGCTCCTTGGTTGATGACATCGGGCGAACCCGACTTGCAGGTGTCGCCGAAGGCAAAGCTACTATGATGTGGTTGCATGCGCTTGGACGACGAATGAAGCCCTCTGACAGGGAGTGCCGAATCGAAGCCAAAGGAGACAGTGCCCAATGAATCACGAATGCCTTCTTTGCTGCCCTTCATGAGCGATGGCTCGATCTAGATCAGTCTGAGTGAACGAGAGCGAAGCGAGGGCTCATCGAAAAGCGTGATTTCGCCGGAAAGCTGGGCAGAGGCATTACTGACTGGAGCTGGAGCAGCCGACTGATCACAACAGTGAAGATTGCCAATGGTATCAATGATACCTTTCGTATTTTCGAGCGATGATCACTCCGAGACTACAGCAGAAGAGTCACGAATCAATAAGGAGTGTTGCCTGGGTCGGGTTCTTTCTCAAGAAGGAACAGGAGGGCGACCGTATGCGTATTGCTCTTGTAATCTTCCAAAGTATGCGAAGGGGGCCTGGCGTTAAAGGTTCGAACGAGAAGAAGGGCGCTTCAGTGTCAATTTTGCAGCGCAATTCTCGTGAAGCGCTGCTCGCCTGAGGGAAGAATTGGGCGGCCTGAAGTCACAAGCGTTAAGAGGTGTAATCATGGCCAGGCTGATGATGGCCCTCTTTCTTATCTGCCCCTCTATCCATCCTCGGCCGGCACAGCACGCTGCAGAGCACACGGAAGAGGGTGCTTCACAGCGTCATCGCGCTGCTAGCGCTGCCGCGCTTCGGCACCGGCGCGCGCGGACCCGCGCTTCTTGCGTACCGCACAGCAGCAGTATAGGCAGCCAAAGTCATATGCGAATAAAGGCGCAGAAGTTAGCCACGTGACGCGGCGGTGTGTGCATGCTGCATGAGTTAAGTGAAGCGGCGCGGGCGATGATGGGTAGCCCCCTTCTTTTTTACCCGGCGTCTATAGAGGCGGTGGTGGGTGGTATATAGGCAGGCAGCCAGCAGCCGCCATTCATCTTGTGTACGTATACGTATAATGCATCAGGCTGCCCAGACGAGCGCAATCTCCATCGACCGACTCTTCGTCCACCAAGGCCGTTCACACTCACTTCTCCCCCTTGGCGGTGGGGCTTGTCCCTTCTTCTTTTTCCCTTCCTTCATCCTGTCCTTGCTTGACCTGCATCCTGCATCGCAACATGGACGTCTACTCCATCACATTCACATTGCCGCGCAATGCCGCGTCCGGGCCCTTTGGCATGGCGAACAGCCCCGCGACACACCTTCAGTCCAGCTCACAAAGCCTCCTCTCCCCCGGCTCGACCTCAGAAGCCAGTCTCAATCTTCCCTCCCCAATTGGGCCTGCAGCACCGCGTCAGTCGGCACCGGGACCCAGCACTGGTAGATTACAATCCATGCGCTCAAGATTCCCACCTAGCGTCAAAGCTTTCATGCCCAGCGCCTTTGGCGGCAGCAAGAGGGCCAGTGAGCGGATAGCGGAAGCTGTAGGTCCTGGCTCAGAGAAGTCCGAAGGGGAAGGGGAGGATCAAGAACCGTCGGCTCCTGGCGCCATTGGTGAGGGTCTCAAAATGGAGAAGTCTGAATCCAAGGACTCCGTCAAACCTTCACAGTCTGTGGATCCAAGGCCAACGGCAGGGAGCCCTTCGCAATGTTATCAGCCTGGAGTCAAGGAGAACACCCAGCTTGTAGAGCACGCAGCTGCCGAAGCGATTCACTCTGCGGATGACAGCAAAGTGCCCAAGCCTGCGGCTGCTGATCTGGCTCAATCGGGAAAGCTGCGAGACTCAAGGTCGACTGTCGACACGCATTCATCCCTCGACTTTGGATCCAGGGGCTCTGTGTCAGCAGAAAGTGTCAGTGGAAGCGCGGTAGCCGGTGCTGGCGCCTTTGGCACACCGGGTGGTACGAGCACACGAGCGACGTCAGAATTCATTCCCAGCGCTACACACAGTGCCCAGCCAAGTCTCTCTACGTCAGGCATTGGGCCTCAGCCGACGGGCGCTGAGCTAAGCGATGCCATAGCGCGGCTCGCAACTGATGCGATGAATGTCCATCAATGTTTGATTGCTGTCTCGCCTGTCGAGCTGGATGATGGAGCGGGCGGAGCGTCTTCGAGAAACTTGCGCCAGAGCCAATCCAGCTTTTCTAACCCTGGAAGCTCACCATTCCCCTCTCAACCGCTACCCGCTCCGGCATCTTCACCGTTCCCAAGCACGTACCCGTATCAGCAGTATGCTCAAGGCTTTGGACACGACATGGCAAGTGCTTTTCCTTCTCGAATGGGTATGGGCGTAGGTCCAGCTGGCGGCATGCTCGGCGTAGCTTCGCCATACTCGAGCATTCCGATGGGCAGCTCAGCCTCGCTCGCTTCGCAGCACAGCCTTCAAGCAGCACCCCCCACCATGCAAATACCGCCCTCGCAACCTCCACGCCCTACCATTCAGCACCACAGCTTTCATCTCAGCGGCGGCTACGCTCAGGTAATGAGCGCGCGCGGTGCCATTCTTCGGGACGCCCCATTTCGAGCTCGCAGCGTGCTTAAGGTACCCCGTGGAGACATAGTACATAATGCCGCTGACCAGCATGCAGGAGGCACTCCAACGTTGAGTCAGCAGTCCTCGGTTGGCCAGGCCACCGAAACTCTCAAGCCCCATGCTAGAAGCCGCTTGGACACGATCTCTGCGCAGACCAGGACGCACGTGTCGTGGACGAGCACCGAGCCGCGCGGACGCGATCTTGGCTATGGCCTCGAGACCGAAAGATCTGTAGAGCTGGCCATCACTGGTAACTTCGAGGGCGTCGAACAGGCAAGAGTGCGGATCATGGTGATGTTGGACGAGTTGGTGAGTTGTTGAAAAGTCATCATGGCGCCAGACGACCCTTACTCATCCCGCTGCGTTCTGCGCGCCGCTCTCAGAATGGCTTGCACACAGAGATGTGTGAGATTGACTACAAGCTGCACAATATCATCGGCGGTCGCAAACGCTGCGTCATCCAGAAGATTCAGGAAGAAACAGCGACCAATATCTACCTTCCCACCTCCTTTTCTAACATTCTGTCAACCGTCACCGATTCGGACCCTGATTTCCTGGCGAGGCAAAACACCATCTACGTGACTGGGGACTTCTTCGGAGCTCAGCGAGCGCGCGATATGCTGTATCAGGTCTCCGTCCACAAGAGCAAAGGCATCATCTCACGCGACACCGCAATCTTGCCCCGCAAAGTCGACTGGATGCTCATGGAGCGCTTGGAAGAGTTGAAGTCGGCAATGCTCGACAATGGCACCTTTATCAACTTCCCGATGCTTGGCGGTCAAGCAACCGTCATCTCTGTCTTTGGAGACAATCGCGTCAGCATTGAACGGACCATTCGATCGGTCATGAGCCTGACTAGTCAGTTTTACACAGCATCGCTGTGGCTGCTGCCATTGGCCTACGACGCCTTTTCTCAGACTGCAATGCTCGACAGTGCGCAGCTATCCTCTGCGTTGAAGGACATCAGCAGCACATCAGGAGCTGAGCTCGTCTTCAAAGGCAATTGTTTCGAGATGCATGGATTGGAGAACGAAGTCCGTGCTGCTGTGAGCTCTCTCTTGGACTTGAAGGCAGTGCGACCGTACAATTTCGAAGTCCGCTTCCAGATCGAGCTTGCCAACGACCAGAGGGAATTCATCAGTGGTAAGAAGAACGGAAAGGTCAACAAAATCATGAAACAGTGCGGCGTGCGAATCAAGTTCGACGCATTCAACGACTACAACTTCCTCATTGAAGTTTCTTCGAACGATCGAACAGGCGCTTTGCAGGGTCTTGCATTCCTGCAGGAGGAGCTTCCAGCAGAAATCTCTTTCCACGTCCCCGAGGCCTATCACAAGCGCATCATTGGTGTTGGCGGAAAGAGCATACAGCGCATCATGAAAAAGTACGGTGTCTACGTCAAATTTTCAAATGCTGAAGAATTTGCTGCTCTTGGCGGCTACGTAGACAATGAAGACAACGTTGTAGCTCGCACTCCAGCAAAGAACGCCATCAACTTGGAGAATCTTAAGCAAGCTGTCATGGAGCTTGTCAATCCCAAAGATAAGGACTACACAAGTGAGACTGTTGCGATCGCGCGCCGCTACCATCGCACTCTGCTGGGTGAGAAAGGTACCTTCATTCATGACATTGAGAGCAAGACCAGCTCCACGGTGCGCTTCCCGCCCAAGGAGACTGCCTCCGACCTGGTCTCCATCTTCGGTCCAGAGTCTCAGATTCACATCGCAGCACAAATGCTCCTCGATCATGTTCCCTTCGAGGCAGAATTTCGCACGCCCCACTCTGCCGAGCTAGAGCAGCTTGTCTCCGCCCATGAATTTGTCGCGCTCACTGAGCGAGTCAAACGTGATCTCAACATCACAATCGTACCTGTCGTGGGAACTTCAAAGATGGACGGAGCAGCGAGCAGCTCAGCAATCGCGCCGCCGAGCTTCGCTGGCACCGAGACACTTTTTAAGCTCAGGCTGAACCGTAGCAACGCAGATTTCTTGCCTGCCGCAAAGGACGCACTCGAAGATTTCCTAGTTTCGCGCAACATCAATGTCTACGACTCACCCAAGAGAACGCGCTCGGACTCTTTCGCGTCGTCTTTCCCGCATTTTGCCACGAAGCTCATCAGTACCGCCACAGAATCGACGGACTCTTTCCAGACCGATATTCTGCGCTACCAATACAACAATGATCGGTCTAGATTGCGAACCGCTGCAAGCACTCCCGACATCAAAGCTCTTTTCGACACGCCGTCGCATTACTCAGCTCCTGGCTCAGCCTCTGTCGTCTCGCACGGGCATCACTACACAACCTCGGCGCTGCCAGGAAGTGGCTCAAGCATGCCAGCAATGATGGGCTTTACGCCCCGTAATCAGCCGTCGAACTCTCCGATGTTACCTTCGTCGATGTATCCATCGCCATACGCTGAGTCTCCCATCGCCTCAGCTCCAGCACCGTTCAGCAGCGATGTATGGGCTCCGCCCCAGATATCACCCGCTCACGCTTCTGGAGCTGGTATTGCATTTCCGCACCACACGACTCGGATGTCGGACGACGTGGGACTGATTCACAAGAACAACGATCCGCTCAGCGAAGAAGCACGACGATCAGCATTGAGGAAGCCTCGCTCTTTTGCCCATCGAGCTCAGCCGAATCATCGTACTCAATCACTGGATATCGGCGCGCTGGCGTCTCAGCAGGCAGCTCAAGCTATCGCATCCGGCTCTGTGCCTCGTCCCTATGGCGCCATTGGATCCAACGCTGGCTTCATGCCGCCTGCAGGGGCCCAGATGCCCCCCGGGGGTGGTGGATTTGCGCCTAGTCACGCCTCCACGTCAAGCATCTCCCGAGTGGCGCCATCGGCAACCAGAGGGCCTGTGCCCGAGCCTGCCACGATGGATGAAGTCTCTCGCGTGCTTTCGCAGCTAGCTTTTGACCGACACTAACACGCTGAGCAGGATCGATCATGAGTCGCTCTCTCTCGACCTTTCTGAGGCCCCGCAAAAGATACCTCCGGGAAACTCTACTGTGCCTTCTAATCGCTTCATCCGGCTCCCGCTGCGGCTTTCAATTTCTACTCTACGCTCTGGCTCTTCCCTCCACTTCAATTTCCTTCGGCGCCAACCATATGGTCGATGCCTTTCTCGCTAATTGCTCCATTTCCCTTGTTCGGCCAATTTCTCGGTGGTGATTTGCGCAGCTCAATCTGCCAGCGCTCTGTGCATCGTGGGCAGGTCTCCGAGGCTAGGGCGCATCAAAATTCCCAAAATACCACATCGTTTCCGTTCCGGTTTCCCACCCATACCAAATCAAGATCTGAGCCTCTCCTCACAATCTCGTCCGCTACCTAGTCCACGATATCTCCGTATCCCACAAAGTGCCGCGACTCTCGATTTCCTCTGCTCCTCGCAGATCCAGTCTCCCACATACTAGTCAAACCGCGTTCGTCGCAAGCACTCTCTCTCGAACACAACTCTCACACACCGCACTACACAACATTCCTCCTTCATCCTACAAAACACCGAGCATTGCATCCTTCTCGTCCGAAATGCATACCTGTGGCCCTTTCCAGGCGACGTGCAGAAGCGTACATGGAGCTCACAGCCTTGCGAGTGAAGATCGAGGTGCACATTTGCGATCAGATCCGCATCTCGAGAAGCAGTGTCTTCCCCTTGAGCCCCGTTGATTGATCGCGGAAACTGATGACGAGCAGCGGGTGAGGTGGCTAATCTTCTAGCCAAGAGGCAGGAGACCAAGTCCCCTGACGGCAGCGAGGCGGACGCTTTCAACCGGACGGCTGCTGAGTGCCCCGGAACATCCCTCTCATCCCTGCAATGCGTATATTTTCGTGCTCCAAGGGCGCTCACTTCAGCTGCTTCCACTTCCTGCGCCAAGTAAGGCGGCTCTTCTCTTGGGGCTCGAAAGGAGCGCGATGAAGACGCAAGAGGCCGTAAAGGTCACGAATCTAAAGAATGCTTGTCGAGAGACTGCTCTTTCCTGGGCTGGACTGCGCGCTGCGCTGCAAAGCAGAGGCGATGATGACAACGCATTCGTGGCCAAGAGTCAAAAGGAAACGGAAGCAGAAGAAGTCTGCGGGTCAGTCATCTTGTGACTCTGCATCTTGATGCGAATCTGAGCCTAAAGGAATGCCACGCCCTTACTTGTTGGGGCGAGAACGTTGCTCATCGATGCTCACCTAAAGATCCTTCGTAGATTTGGCAGTGCCATTCTGCTGTTGGTAAGCGACAACCAGAATCTATCCGGCGCCTTCGACTGGACCTTGAAGCTGCCTGCGGCGCCAGTGCAAGCTCCGGATCGAATCCCTTGTTGAACACCGCCGACTAGCCCTCCAGTCAAAGCCTCAAGCCAGGATGGCCCTTTGGAATGCTCGTCGAAACTCCTTCGATAAGCGTCGAGGACTCGCTTCGAAGCCTGACGCCTTGCCAAACTTTGTGTTGCCCCCTCTTGCGACCTCTAACGTGTATGCGGGACTTTCAAAGCAAACTCGCGCTCCTGCTTGACTGCGACTCAAGCCGCACAGCAGGTGGATGACGGGAGTCTGAGTCGAATTGCCGCCTAAAGCACGCCTCGATCGTGGATGCGCTCTTGTCTTCGCTGCGCGCAGGCGAACTTTGCACGAGACACGGGCGTGCCATGCAGCGACCATCAGCACGCTAGCTAGGCCAGAGGCTCGAACGCGACCCTGCTCTTTAAGCGTCCCGCGAGTCACCAACCGATCAGGTTCACTCGCGCTGGATTGGCCCCAAGCGCCTTCCAGCTAGATACGGAAGAGGGAACCATCGCCCCTAGTGCAACATTTGGGACTTCGAAAAGTGAATCTATGATCATTACTGCTAATCGTAGCCCGTTGAACGTGATCGAGACATTACAAAGCACCCTGGTAAGGGGGTTCAAAGGGGGGTTGAGAACCGAGGACATTCTCAGCTGCTGCTTTGGCCAGAGCGGGTATGCCGCCCACCGCACCCCGCGCCGACGCAGCTACACCGGCCGGACTAGCAGTATCGGCAAATTGGTTGGGATCGATGGCAGATCCGATGGAAGCTAGCGCATCGCCTGCTTGACCGAACGGATCGTATCCTACCCTCCAACCAGCCCACAGAATTCCAACGCCCATCACAAAAATGACGACGGCCAAGTCGTTGATGAAGGCGTTCAGGAGCGTCAAGTATTGAGAGCCTGTGAGGAGGATGGAGGAGAGCGCTGGAGGTAGCAAAGGGGAGAAACGTTGAAGGAGAGAAGGCGGAGGTGGTCGGTGCTGCAATAGGGAGAGAAAGACCGCAGCGCACAAGGTTTGGTCAGAGGTGGCTCCTATGCACCACAGTGCCTTCGCCTTGTGACTCACCCTCATCAGCATGATTCTTGCCGATTGCAACCCGATTTCGAGAGTCAAGAAGAGGTAGAAGACGGGCTACATCGGCAATCGCGAAGGAAAAGTAATCTCAGCTAAGTGACCTACCCGTCGACGCACGAAGCAGTCCATCAGGCTGCAGACTTTTTTGTCCAACGCTGAAGCCACGCCAAGCCGTGCGCCACCTAGGACCTCATCACTCACAATGCCGCCGAGTCCGAGCTCTTCAAGACCAAAAGTGCCTGCATCCCACGGGCTTGGCCTCTCGTACCCCAATCTTGCCCAGTGCAACAATGCTCCTCCGTTGACGTGATGAGCCTCTCCCTCTCCGGCCAGCACAGCTCTATGGGCGTGCAGTAGTGGAGCTACCAAATATGCACCAAAAGCTGCAAATATCAAGACCCTCGTCAAGCCAAAGATCCTCTCCACCGTTCGTGAACCTGATGGAGCGACGGGTGGGGTTGAAGTTTGAGCGCCTGCTTCACCACTTGAGCCGGGTGGACCTCCTCCACCGGCCATGGCGGCTTGAAACTGAGCAAACATATCCGCCATGCCGGGAGGCAGCTCCATGCCAGCTGGAAGCTGCGGGAAACCTGGCGGAAGTCCCTGTTGCCCTTGTCCGGGAGACTGCGCATCATTGAGGTGTGTTTGTCCAGCCCTCGGGCTAGCAAAAGGATTGACGCTCATCGCGCCTCCCTCGCCAGCTTGTAATCTAGCCAACTGAGCCAGATCAATCTCCTCTGGATCTGGATGTTCATCTGCCTCTGCAGAGAGGTTTGGAGCAATTCCTCGGGATGAAGAGGAAGAGGGGGAAGTGGGAGGGTACAATGTACTGGCTTCGTCGCCTCTTCCCGTCTTGGTGATGCGAGCTAGCCGGTCGGTACCCGATCCCAAAATGCGAGCTTTTCGAGCAGCTCGACGTGCGGCCGCATCGTCCCCTGGCGAAGTGGGCGGAGAAGTTGGAAGGTCGTTGGTCGTTGCTTCAGTCATGACGGCGATCACTCCAAATCTTTGGGTCCAAGCTCGAGACGAAGAGGCAGCGCAACGTGGCTGTATGCGGGAGAGGTGCTGTTCAAGAGGGGAGTCTCGACACGTGAACATGTGCTTCCCAAGAGGACTCGTGGGAACAGGATAACGAATCACCGAATGGTGGTTGCGTGGGTCAGCGAGTTGTCGTCCAGTGCGGGTGTGTGCACTGTGTGTATGCATGCACTAACGAGTCGTGATCGAGTCTCTCGAGTTGTACAGCAGACGCCGCGAATTGCTGCCACGCGAGAACGCGCGCGACGCCGCATGCAAGGGTGGAGCGGAGCGGGTTGCGCTGAACGGGCGAGCTGCACCGTGCGCGCCCCGATCGCGACTTCTTCTGAACTTGTTGCAACGCTCTTTCTTGTCCACAACAGGCATTCACAATCGTGGACTCCTCCACTTGCACATGCCTAATGCTTTGATCGGCCCTCAGTACATTACGCACAAGCATCATTCTGGCTTACCCTTCTTTGATGATGCTCTGATCGGCTACTTTCTGGATCCCATTGCGCGTCTCGCCCACTTGCCCGATCGCTCGCAGCCAGTGCCATGGGACAGACAGACGGTGCGCACAACACGATGCGGGGCATCGCCATCAAGGCAGGCACTGCAGCAAGCATGCATTTGCTATGTGAAGCGAGAGGTTACGAAATGTGATGTGTTCGCACGTGGATCAAAGACGGGCAGTAGCAGCTGTCTCAGCGCCATCTTTGACGGCAGGTTCCAATCCCGGCCATCCGAAAGTGAAGTCGTGCAAGCCAGGCATGCCTCTTCTGATGACGCCACAGACAGACAGGTTGCCTGCTCTCGGACTGACGATGACCCTGTTCAAAGGCGGTGGGGGCGCTTCTCGGCCTTGACGTCGGCCGGGCGCTCGAGCAGGTAGACCAGCTGCTAGTCTCTGCGGTGCAGAGCTTGCCACATCTCCAGGCAAGACCAGCGGAAACGCGTACTGCTGCCCTTGCTCTTCAGCTGCACCTGCTTTGCTCGGCACAGGTGCTCCGCTCTCTACCACAGCTCGAGGCTCGACCGCCGTGAGCTGTCCCATGGGTGACATGGATGCTTTGCGGCTCTCCGTTATGACGCTCGATACTGTTGCAGAGGAAGCAGGGCCGCCGTGTGCTGAGCTACTCTGATCGGCGTCTCTGCTCTTTGGATCACTGAAGATCAATGGGCGGATAGTGGACAGGGGTTCTTCCACAGGCTGAGCGAGCGCAGATGCCAAATCCGCAAGTATCTATCGCGCGCACGAGTTACAATATTGAAGTGTTTGAGTTGACGTCTGTGATCGAGTGAGCAGAGGCATCTCTTGAGGGCATTCGAGACACTCACGTAGAACTGTGGAGGGAACATGATGAGCTTTTGAGCCAAAGCTTCTTCAACAAGCTCAGCTGGCGTGTCTGTCCTCAGCATCTGAACCTCTTGCTGGTCTGCGCTTAGTCCCGAGACGTCCCCGCTCGCCATGCGCTCTACCCCCGAAGGACCAGGCCCGGCAGGTGACAGAACATCTTCCGCATCGAGCACGGTTCTGCAGAGCGCATGAATGATCAAGGTCAGATCGTCCAAATAGAGATGCGACTGCTGGTGGCCACTCACAGCATGAAGTGTGCATCGAAGCGCTTGGCCGGACGAACGACTGTCTTGGGCCTGTTGGGAATGTGAAGGCGATCAAGCTCACGAAGCGCTTGTACTGGACTGGCATCCTACTCACGTAATCCAGCGACTGTATGCTGCCATGTTCGCCACAGGAATTGATTCCTTCGGAAACCCCGAGCCAATCGAACGCTCGTAGACCTTTTGCAGGAACGGTAAGAATGTCTTGGCGCTTGTATGCACCTGGGCCGGGAGCGCGCGAGCATCGGCATGATAGTGGAAGCGATGCCTACGAAGTGTCTCTGTCTCACCTTGTCACGCATCGCAGTCCACTCCTCCACGCTCATGCCAGCTTCTCCAGCCCCGACGGCTCTACAGCGAGGTATGCTTCCTCTCGCCTCCGCGCGAGATGGCACGAGTAGCAGTCCCGTCTCTTCAAAAGTCTCCCTTACAGCTGCAATCCGAATCGCCAGCTCCTTGACCTCTGCCTTTCTTTCCTTCTCGTCATTGTACGTCTTGGCCTCACAAGCGATTTCGGCGGTCTCGAAGTCCGCGTCGTCTACTACTCCGCCCGGGAAGACGACTGCGGATCTGAAGGAGCTGCCCTTTCTGGACGATCGTTGGACCATGAGTGTGCGCATCCAGGGAGCTTCCCAGCTGCGCGTGCTGCCGCTGCTTCGACTTGGCGCTAGGATGACTAGAGTTGAGCTGAGCCTGGGCGTCATGGGCAGACCGATCTCGCCATCATCCTTGCTCGACCCAGTGTGCGCGTCACCACTCATCGTGTGTGATCGCAGAAACCCTCTGCTGGTGAATGACCGCGAGGACAGACAGCGCTGCAGCGTTTGGCCGATCCTTGAACGCCGGATGGGGGAAAGTAGAGGTATGCTGAGCTGCGAACAGTGTCGCGTCGAGCTGTATTGAATGTGTTGGCAGCAGAGTGTGCAAGAAAAGCTGGCGGGAAAGAGATGTCTGCAAGCGGCGCGCATCGAACCGCGTCCTGGGAAACTTTCAGAGCAGGCCTTCTCGCTTGCGCTGCTCTCCGAATGGAGTCAAGAGCCAATCGATTGCTTCAAAGGTAGGGCTGTACAGTTCTAGTCAAGAGCTTACTCACCGTTGAGGCGAACTCTCCAAGTGCTAGCTGCGAGCGCTCTGCTCCGGAAGCAGAACGATTTGGTGTGGTGTAGTCACGGCGCGGGCTTCACGAATGTGGGGAACGAACCGGCTAAGATGAGCCCCGAAGTCCCGACAGACGCGCACTCACGACTCCCAGCAGCAGCAGACTTGTGACTCAAGACTGACACTTGACTCACTCACACCCCGTGACTGTCCTGCAGCTGCTGCGCTGTGTTCCGCCTCTCATCTCGCTTGATTAGCTCCTCATCACTCACGACTCACGAGTCACGACTCACGACTCGACTATAGCGTCACTTCTCGCACGGCTGCGCACGGCGGCTGACGCGCACGCTCCATGCTCGCCCCCCAAAGTGTCGTGAGTCGCGGGCCAGAGCAGCTGCATGGCTTGTCATTCTTGATTACTCACTTCCATGATGATCATCTTCTCTCCAATCAATTTCACAATTTGAGCGATTCTGGGTTGTGGATCATCAGCTCCCTCCCAGGAAATTCGAGAAGGCCGACGCTGCTGTCGATGGAAGGTGACGCCTCCCTGTAAGAGTGGATTCCACGGAAGGAACTCCGAGTAGCTGCGATGGTGTGAATGCGACACTATATGCGCTGAACAGGCTGCGCTGGTGGCGCAAACGAAGTGCGTAACGCTTCGTGCGAGAAATCGGCTTGGAGTCACACATGGCGTTTCTTGAGGAGAAGCTCACTTGGCGGCAGAAGGCTCCCGCGATCCTTGCCGCAACCGTCGTCAACGTGGATGGCTTTGCTCTCGACCGAGTGGCGAAGGCTCGTTCTGGTATGGGTGCGTGTATGATTGGGTACAACTCTTCGTATCCCCGCGCGCGCCGCCGCGCTTCCCATTCAACGCAACCACTCACACATTCGCCACGCGTATGTATATACAGCACGATCGACTCGTGATGCGCCACAATTGTGAATACGGATGGCGTTGCGGTAGGCGTCGTTGGGTGGCGAGTACGCGGCCCAGGTGGCGCTGGTCGATTGCCATGACGACCAACGAGCTTGGCTGACATGGTGTGCAAGTCTTCGAATCCTCTACAAATGTAGCCAACGCTTTCTCCTCCTATTCGTTTCGTCACCCTCCATGAAGATTGATTCTTTTCGATTTTGCATTTTGTCTCTTCAGCCGAGCCGCTGGTCGGCATTCTTCAACAGGTCCGCGCTGAGCTGATCTCTCACAAAGGCGCAGGTACTCTCACACAACGGAGGTGCAGTCAGTCGTTGGCAAATCAGTGGAAGGGTGATCACAGAGCTGTGCATTCTTCAGGGCGACATGCTAGCTCAACGGTTACCAGCCACGCAACCAGACCTTTGGGGACGATCTGCTGAAGGAAAGATGACGCAAACAGGTGGTGCAAAGGCAAGCAGCTGGGAAGACACAGGCACTCGCTGCAACTTGCCGACCAAGGCGCGCCCCGCTCTGCTGGTGGCATCCCTTTTTTGCGCCCTCTTCCTCTTCTACCTTCACTCCCTGGAAGGAAAGCTGCTACCTACTTCGAGGCCTAAGGATAGGCTTGTCTGTACCCCTACCGGCTGCTGGAGTCGCATACCCTCTTCACTGCCCCTCAACGACTCCGAGGTGAAAGATGAGGGATTTTGTCGGACAGTACTTGGCCAGACTCAGGCTTTCCACCACCTTCCCGGTTCCGCACCTCTACCTGGTGCTCTTCCATTGCTCGGTGTGCACGCGCAGCGGGTCGGTAAGGCAAAAGCTTCGAGAATTTCACCGGCACCGCTGATCACCCGCGCACTAGGCGAGGCCTCAAGTAGTGGAATCGAGAAGGCGGTTGAAGCTTTGAATGGCGAGACCTCCACACGTGCCATTCCCAAGACTGCGGAGAGTCTGAACGGTCAAGCAGCTGAAGGCGAGAAGGCTGCAAAGCCTCCCATCAGCTACACACGCTCAGGCCACAAGAGTGTAGCTAAGGTGTGGCTGCACGAAGGGCCGTACGGATGGAAGCGCAAGACACCGACCGGGTCCAAGGCCACCATTCGTCGCGATCAAGTCTACAAGGCAAAGTACGCCGACATTCCACGTCCTACCCGTTTCGGTCCTCGTTTGCCAGACGGCCAAGTTTTAGGAAAGATGCGTGATACTCCAGAGGGCTCTAGATCCACACGTTTTCGTGATAAACGAAGAGCCACCTTGATCTCGTTGAATCTCGATCCGAACCACCGAAGTCCGAGTAAGGCGATCATGGACAAGTTGAAAAGCATGAACAAGTCTCCAAAGCGCGGCGACCTCTCCCACCCAGTCAGACCGGTATCTCCGGTTCCGCCTTTCGGCAGTCCAGGCCGACCACGAAAGACGCCGGAAGGGTCTTACAGGACCAGACTGCGTGACAAACAGAGGGATGCGGCAGCAGCCGGTCTCGAATGGACGCCAGAACGCAAGGGCGCCAAGCGAAAGACCCCGGGCGGTTCAAGAGTAACGCGATGGAGAGAAAGGCATGAAGCGCTGTTTGGTGCTCCGCCGGCACGCAAGAAGCAACAGATGCGAAAGCCACCCCAAGATGGGCCATCCGAAGCAGGGCCAGCCGAGATGATGGATGATGGGTCAAGCACGCGCGCTGACACAATGGTCGCTGTTCCGCAGCGACCGCGCAGTGCTCGTCTGGCCGCACAGCGAGCTCGGGCAACGCATCTATCTGGGCAGGCCGACCAGCCCTCCAACCTGCAATCGATCGCATCTACCGGACAGGTAGAACAGGGCACCAGACGCGTGCATCACGCTACCTCAAGCTCTAGTGATGCCTATGGCTCGCCATCCGCAACTAAGTCTCGCGCACTTGGCGATGTCTACAAAGAGGCCCATCCGACCGAGCTTAGATCGTCGCCTAGTGACAGAATTCGGGAAAGCAGCTCAGATGAAGCCAAGACATCTCTGTCGCCCGAAAGGAGTGAAAAGCCAGCGACACCGCCACGCCGAGTCCTTCCTGATCTCAATCTCCCTCCGCCTCCAGAGGAGCTCTTGAGGCGAGACGCCTCGATGACGGACGACCCGGGCTGGTCCAAAGTCCACACGACGAGAGGAAAGCCCAGCGCTAGATTTTTACTCCGTCGGCTTCTTCCTGAAGTCGGCACTGCCCGAAAAGCTGAGCAGGAGGTCCAAGAGGTCGTCGATCTGACCAAAGCGCGGCCAACAACTGGCGCAATCCGCCTAACCGCCTCCGACTTGGCAAGGAAGATACCCGGCGACCTTCACTCGTCCATACATGGCTTCAGGAAGGGTGAAATGCCAACGGAACTTCAGGCGTTGCTGGACAAGAACACGCGTGAATGGAACGAGCTCGTTCGAAGTAGACGCGCAGCTCAAGCAGCTCAACAGCTTGGGCGGACTGCCGCCAAATCGCCTTTGATCAGTCCAGATTCCAGGCACTGGTCTCCAGCATCGGAAGAGCACTCGCGCAACTCAGCGCCAAGCGCTTCCCCGGATAGCTCTGCAGAAGGCCTTCGAGCTTATAGCCTATCCACGAGCTCTCAATCGACCACGCCGACGACTTCGAGCTTTTCTGATCTAGGACCTCGACAGAGATACAAGAAGCAACGTAGCCTGAGAGAGATAGACGCGGGCGAGGTTTCCAGCCCGCGCTTCCTGGCTCGTTCTGCCGATCTTGCTGCCAAGCTTGAGCAGACAGACCAAGGCATTCGACACACTGCCGCCTTGACGAGACCTCGTGAAAGGCCAAAGAAGCGTTTTGTATCGCAGACAGAGGATCAAACGGCGCCACACAAGGTCGGGCCAAGGGTAAACCAGGACGTCTCACGGAGAAGGGGTACAGATAGTGCAAGGCCTCGCGGAAGGCCGAGGAAGCATGTAGCGCAAGGCCAAACATTGTCTCTCAAGGGCGAGCGAAGAGACTTGCACGCAAACGAACTCTCGACTTCGCAGACCATCCTGAAGCGCGCAGGCGGTGAACTGCCCTTTGAGGTCTTGAAAGCTGGCAAGCACATCTATTCGCCTCAAGAGACGGCAGAGCTGCGCGAGTCTGCGCGTCTGTACGCTGTGAGAGAGGGCATCGATCTTAGTAACCACAAGATCCAAGTGAGTGTCTAGCTCTTGCTTTTGTGAGCAACACATCTAGGGCTCGGTGCTGATCGGCTACTTTTCTCTGCCTCCGTGACAATGTCTTCAGATGCGTGAGCCTGTGCGCACAACGCAACGCGACATGTGGCCCCATTACTGGGCCAGCGTCACTGGCCCAGATGGTAAGACAGTACCAAGCAAGGCTGAGCGACACGCACAGTTCGGTCAAACATTGCACAAGATTCATCACTCTCCCGAGATGAATCAAGATCCCAATTTTGCATTTCAGAGAGCTGCCGCGATAGCCGCTAGGAAGGCAGCTAACGCTAAAGAAAATGTCAAGACCGCAGTGCGGAGGGCACGAGAGTATGCGGGGCTTGGCTATGCTCAGCATCTGAGGCTGAAGATTTCCACGCCAGAAGCCGCCCACATGCTCGACGCTTTCCGTCGACACAAGGAACAGGTTCGAGTAGCATCTGGACAGCGCATCAATTCCTTCGAGGTGCGTTCATGAGGACACACTGCCTATTCAACACATGACTAATGGAAGATGTTTGGGCATTGCGCAGGCTTCAACGCCTGTTCACCGAACGCCGACGGAGCCCCGTTGGCACTTTCGCGGTAGGGCTTGGGACGAAAAGGGGCAGGCTTTGCCAAGCGAAGACGGAAGCGTGAGTACTTGACACCACTCTTTTCGCAACGAAAAGCCCAGCTGATTTTGGTCGTTGTGATGGTCCTGCAGCATGAGCACAAGGTCGTGTTGCCTGAGACTACTACGTTCGGATTGAAGGATCGGCACCGCCAGAACCCAATCGAAGAAGATGTTGACTTCCACGTCCACCAGACCGGACTCAGCAAAGATCAGTGAGCATCGCTCACACGCGTTGCATCCGTCGCCTTCCTGCTTCACTAAATTTTTCCTGTGCCCACGCCTATCTGCAGAGCCAAGAGTGCACTCAAGGCCATCGCTCGCGCTCAGGGTCCACATGATGCTGTTACAGCTTATAGACAGGTGAACCAGGGAGCCGCAGCGCGCTCCCCCTTCGGAGCGAAGCAGGCGGGAGCGAATATCCTTGAATCGTCTCGGGGTGGCGCTTTGCCTAGTCGGTCTGCTAAACAGCTCGGGCCTCAACAGGGCCCCGCGCCAAGCTCCCGCAAACAAGCGCCCCCTCCAGACCTCTTGAGTGCGACCGACAATGATCCGGCATTGACCGCACATGTCGGAAATGCAGCGCCGCTTCATGACAGGACGATGCTCTCCCGGCAGACTTCTAATGTCGCTTCGAGCGCCTCTTCATTGACACCGAGACCCATAGCTAGCGCCCATGATGACGGCCTCCAACTTAGTCTTGGACCGTCCAGCTCCGGATCCTCCGTCAAGAGGCCCGCTCCAGCTGCCGTCGAGGGACGTCCTGCAAAGAAACACGAAGTAGACACGGAGCTTCGCCTTGGACCCCCGGGTTCGTGAACGGCCGCAAATCTGTAGCCAAAGCAGCAATTACATTCGCGCATCGAGGGGGAAGGCGAGGGCAGTCAAGAATACTTTCTGCAGCGACGGCAAAGTCTAGATTATGAACTTTGTTCTTGTCCATCCTGCAATGAAAGGTACACACCGGTGGGTGCTACACCACCGAAGGCTGAAGCCCAATTCATCGGCAAAATTCGTGTACGATTGACCAAGAGTGCAGCCGACGATTTGTAGGCAATGTAATCATGAATATCGTTACAATGGTCAATACAGTTTACAAGGCTATACGGTCTTGTTTGGGCCAGCCGTTCAAGTGCTCTTGATGCAGGCTCAGGGGACGTTTCAGTGTGCCTGCGGAAATGTGGAGACTCATGATCCCTGGCTTAATCATGTAGCATCCACGCTCGTTTGCGCATACGCAAGTATGGAACGCCGTCGTCATCTCCGACGCCCCGCTCGTCCTGGTCCCACGGGAGGAGGGCTGCCATCATCAAACGAGGTCTGATGGTTCGCAGATCCCATCCCTCCTTCGTGCTCTTCGCCCTTCGACGCTAGATTGTCATTTGATCCTCCCGCACCGATGACACCCTGCATCGCCTGAACATCTTCACTTGCAATGTCGCAATTAGAGACTTTGTTCGTCTTGTCTAGCGCAGTATTGATTGCCGGTCGAGCGCTGAAAGCGTAGTACGCTGCGCTATTCTTGTCTACCTGCCAGCTGCATCGGATACAACGAGGTAGAGGAACATCAGGACGTACTCTTGCTTACTAATCAAGACCTTGTCATCCTTTAGGTGCAGCAATGACTTGCATTTACGGAGCCGTTCAAGGCATCTACTGCCGTTGGCTTCACTACCAGGGAGACGATGGCGCGCCTCTGACGACTCTGATCTTGCCCGCCAAGTAGCATCGCAGCACCCTTCCTCCCTCTCACACTTCTACACCCAAGGCGCAACTCACAATCCGGTGCTCTCATCCCACTGAGGTCCACGCTGTCTCCTAGCCCAGCACAATAAAGAGTTCCATTCCGCAGCACTAGCGACTTTAGGATCATGAGGGGGTCTATGAATAGCTCTCACACCTTTCGGCGGCAAAGGTTGAGCAAAGGGTTTCTTTTCAGTCGAAGGAGCTGCTTCTGCCCCGTCCATGAGCGATGAGCTGCTGTCTTCGACTGTGCTGATGCTTGAACCTATCCCAAGCGGACCGACACTTGCTCCCACCACGTTCGAGCCCTCGCCAGCTTTAGCTACAGCGGCCGGAGGCAGCGGCTTTGGCGCTCTGACTGCCACGCTCCTTCTGGGCTGCGCATGCTTCGGCATTGTAGATTGCCAGCGGGCAGGATTTCCGGATTGCAAAGCGCCCTTTGTCGAGTGCTCTCGCAAATCACGAATGGCGTTGGGTGGCAGCACTGGCCAAGCTGAGGATCACGGGCACTGCGCAGCAGGTAGATCAAAAGGTCTTGCAGGCTTCCAGGGACGAGAAAATCCAGGAGAAAGAAGCTTGATGCGCTCGGACTCGTGACTGAGCTGCGTTCGCTGTTGGTGGTGCAATCAAGCAAGCTCGCCATGCATGCGCCGTGTGGATGTGGAAGTTACGAGTGCGGATCAGGAAGTCGTGACGTTCACGAGTCACGCGCGGCGAGTTCGCAGGCAGCTCGCTGCTGATGCGCAGACCGCATAGCAGATGGCGCGCGCGCGTATGCGCGTCAACGTCTGCACCAAATTGTGCCCTCTTCTGCAAGCGACCCCCCTCTCCACCCCACCTTCGCGCTCGTCGCGCAGATGTGGCAGCACTGTCCCACCTCTTGTAGGGATTCATCAATTTTCAAATCCATGACCGCTCGAACGTGTCAGCGTCACGGACCTAGATGGCCTGCAGGAGTCATCGTGCAAGTCTGCGGGAGCTCTTCGGGTAACATTGCCACGCGCAAGGAGTCATAGTGATCAAGCCCAAGGTTGCAAAAAGAAAAAAATCGAAAGGGAAGATGGAGGAACATGGAATGGCAGGCAGACATCTGATTCTGATCTACACTTCCCAAGCTTTTGGCAAACCGTCCGATCGAGGAATACCTCTCCTATCCGTCTCGTTAGCAAGTAATCCATGGGGAACGTCGCCATTGAGCAGACTACCGCTTCTAGTCCTATCTCCATTCTTGGCAGCTTCGAGGACCTCTTGCAACTTGCGTCTAGCCTCAGCTTCATCGATCGCTTCCAAGCTCTGCTTCTCTTCCCTCCTCCCTTCCAGTCCGTAGCCCTCGTGCGCCACGGCCTCCGCCTTTCCAGCAACTTCCGCGACCCTTTGAGCTCTGCCTTCTCTCCGTCTCCTCTCGTCCGCTGCTTCTGCCAGCTTGCGGTGCCTCTCCACCTCTTCCAAGATCGCCCTAGCTCCTCTGGATTGGGCAAGCTCTTGAGCGACAGCTCTTCCCAATGCTTGCGCATCCGCAACATCCATGCAATGCCGCGTAAGTGTGTAGTCGCATGACCTCTTGCCGTCCAGAGATACTACAATGGCGTGAAGTGTGAGCTCGGCTCCTTCTGCGGGAGCTGCGGCGCGATCTTCAGGGTAGTACTCTTCGGCAGCTTTGATGGCCGGTGTCGGTGCAGGGGTAGCAGAAGTGCTGGCAGCTTGAGCAGCAGCAACGTCTAACTTGTCCGTGTTGAGCCTCTCAAGCGCAGCAGGTCTTGTTGGCGCACCAGAGCTGGACGTGATCTCGTCCGGAGGAATCGTATGCCCTTCTTCCTCTCGCGTATCCCCTACGTCGACGCCACGAGAAGCGGCCACCAACCTGAGAGCTTCTCCTTCATTCCTTTGTCCTTCCACCTCTGCATGGTCGGCGAATCGGGTCTCCACACCAACAGGAATGGAGCATCCTCCTTCCAGCTCCCTCAGCAAAGCTCTCTCGGCTTCAGCCCGCCATGTAGCTCGCCAGTCGCTGATGGATCGGATCATTTCAAGAATCCGAGCCTCTCTGTTCGTTCGAGGATCAGCTCCAGGCGGTGGTGTTCTGACCTCGATGGCGAGCGCACCTTGGCCGACAGAGTACATCAGCACAGGTGCAGAAAGGAAGGCAGTGATGCGAGCTGTGAGATTCAATCGTATCAGTCCAGCTGCGGCAAGTACTAGCGCAGTGTAAGGCCCATTCGGCGCGTCAAGCTTTGAGAGACGAGTGTTGAGATTTCCGCGCTGTTGATGAAGCGCGGTGGACTGGCGTTAGAGGAATGCACTTCTGCAATCGCCGCCGCTTCACTCACGACATCTGAAAAGACTAGCTCTGGATATCTCCTGCGCAGCTGCGCCACCCTTCGAACGGACGATGTTCCAATCACAGAACCAGGAGGGAGCTCGTCCAGCGTCTGTAGGTGTGTGATGATGCACGTGAGCCATCGCTCTACACAGCTGCCCACGAATCGTTCCAAATACTCACCTTGTAAGGCAAGCCCTTCTTGACGACAAGAGCGTCTCTCGGGTCTTCTCGCTCCATAATCGCGCCAAGCATGAGCCCGTCTGGCAGCGCAGTGGGCACATCCTTGAGACAGTGCACGATAGCGTCGACAGCTCCACCAGAGAGAGCGACTTCCAACTCCTTTGTCCAAATCGCTTTGCCGTCTCCGCCAATGACGTAAAGAGGCGAGCGCTGATTGTGATCTCCGGCAGTGGACATCGACGTGATTGGGAAGCTGCAAGGGCCTGGAATGCCCAGCGCTGCGATCCTACTTTGTGCGGTGGAGATTGTCTCGGCATCGAAGGTGGGCAAGGAAGGAAGAGAAGGTGGCGTGGAGGGAGGAGTGATTGTGCTGTCTGCTTTGGCTGAAGAGGACTGCCCTGCTAAAGCCGCTTGTTCTCGAGTGAAGCTGACAAAAGCGGGCGAGCGGTGAGAGTAGTGAGACGAGAGCATGGCTGACACATGACTGCTCTGCACCAGCGCCAGCTGCGAGTTACGAGACGCGAGCACAAGACTGGTGTCGGGGTCCAGTGATTGACCAGCTCCGGGAGCGAGCGGATTGATATTGGCTGCTGCTTTGAGATCGTCCAGCTTTGCGCTCGCCACTCTTGACAGTGGAGGTGTGACGATGAGATCATCGGTGGTCCTGAAGAAGATGCAGCCGGGCGCGGTGGGTGGCTTCAGACTGCTGGCGGGGTGACTGGAGGTCGGGGGATGACCGGGTGGAAGCGGCTGCGCTGGATCGTGCGCCACAGGACATTGCGCCGTCCCTTCGTCTGGGTGCCGCTCGACATAGACGGTGCTGGATGCCATCTTGGCCTGTTTAAACTTGGTGGGGTCCAGCTGCGAAATTGGCAAGTAGCAGTCAAAGCGGCTTGAACGAGGGACAAGGGTGAGCTGTGCTTGTTCTCCTGATCTTGGCGCTTGCTGTCTGCTTGATGATGGTGGTAATGGTAGAGGACTAGTCAGTGTGAGTGGGGAAGTGACTGTCAGCAGGCTGATTGTGGGCAGAAGAACAACAAAAAGTAGCAGGAAGTTTGCGCCGACGAGGTGAATGTGAGTCAAAATCAGAAAGTCGCCTGCTCCTCGCGCGGTTTGAGTCACGCGATAGTTGCCGTGCTGCTGCTGCTGCTGCTGCGTGGCTGAGGCGCGCTGCCACCTGATTCGCTCGCTCGCTCGGCCTTCCGGCCTATGATGTCGCGGCCGGCAGTTTTGAGTCGCAGTAGCGTGGATTTTGGATTCAAGTCCAGGATTGGTGCAACGGCAGTAGTCGGTGGGAGCGTGTATGCACGCTGCTGCATGCACCCACCCACGCATTTCACCCAAGCAGGGCCATCCGCGGATGGGTAGGGGATCCACAACGGGCAACGTCAGAGCAGAGAGCGCACACACAGCAGCCAGGCACCGGCGGAGCATCTCGCAACAGCAGATGCTGTGTGGCCCGGCAGCGCATCTGCCTGCATGCTCCACCACGCCCGCACTACAGCTCCGGCCAATCCACGCTGGTCCATTTGATTTGATTTGACTTGGCGGGCACAAATTCGAAGGTGGCGACCCTTGGCAAGCCGCGCGTGTGCGCTTGTGTGTATAGTGCTCCTGCTTGCTCCAACGCGGTTGGAGCTGCTGTGTCAATCTCAATCACGAATTAAGATCAAGAATCAATTCCAAGATTCGTGATTGACCAATCACAATCGTGAATCAGCGAATCTAATTGCACATGCGGTGTACCGTACATACCTGAACCAGTCTTTGAGTCGTGAGTCTAACGCGTGTCGGTTTTCAAAGTCCCCCGCGCCAATCGTGAAGCAGGCATTTCTCAACCTCCACGTGATGTGTGACACCAGGAAGCCTGATTGTGGGCCATCAAGCTTTTTTTTTTCCCTCCTCCTAGCGGGAATCGATTTGATCACGCTTGCAACATGCGGCATGCACACAGCACCGATTCCGACACAATAATAGTTTGAAGTCACTCATCACTCGTGACCGCTCCGCTTGAAGACGGCATTCCCTATCCAAAGCTTCGTCTTCGCTTTGAGCCTGGCAGAAGCGATCCTCCCTCGAACCGCCAGCCGAAGTTTGGCCTAGATTGACGAAGCTAATGCGAGCAATCCGGCTGCTAAGAGCCTCGCTACCGGTGCACAGCTCCCAGGCCACCCTCGGCCTCAGCCGCCGAGCCTCTCCTCCCTTGTCTGCACGGAGCTCGCGCAGAATGTCTTCAATCACACCGGTCAGACTTGATGTCAAGCCAATGACGAGCATCAGTGGAGAGCACTCCGAATCTGTAGGGGGTTCATCCGTAGCACAGCCAAGCATTTCGAACATCGACGCCTCTAGTGATTGCGGCCCCCTGGAACGCAAGCGAAAGTCCTCACGTTCGCCCTCTCCTTTCGCAGCGAGAGACGCAATCAAGCTGAGCGAGGAGGCTGAAGCAGGCCCTTCTCGACCACTGCCCTCCAAACAAGCTCGTCCAGACGGCCAGCAATCAGCGCAAGAGAGAAACAAAGCTAAGAAGCGTCAAAAAGCGTTGAGGAAACAATGGGCTGAGCAGGTCGCCAAGACTGGAGAAAAGCCGATTCATCATGATATCGTGGAGATGCTTGGAGCGGACCTTGTCGAGCGGCTTATCAAAGAAGGCAAAGAATTTGAGGAGAGAATGGACAGGAAGGAGTATACACTGACAATCGATAGGCTCAGCTCTTATGGTCAGTACGTCGCTCGAGCCTGTCGTCATAATCACTTCGACAGCAAAATTGTCCTCCTGACGTCCAGAGCAGCTGAACAATATATCCGTTTCGACTGCTGTGCGATTCAGGCGAGGGGCTAGCAATATCACCGGATGGGGACTGGGTGATCGCGATTCCACATGCGTTGCCTGGGGAGCTTGTTCGAGCTTACGTCTTTGGTAACGAGCGTGAGTCGCTCACAGCCCAGTCTGCATGTGCTTTGATCCGAGGCTCATACCGAGCAAGCCATGTGCGCGTTGGACAGGGCTGTATGCCAAGGCACGCCTTGTCGAAGTGGTCGAACGCGCACCTCTCCGGCAAGAAGCAGCTTGCCAGTACTTCAAGTCGTGCGCGGGTTGTCAATATCAGGTGCGTTTGGCTAAGTGCAGACTGTGATTCATTACGGCAATCGTCATCTCACACGAGGGTCTCTGATGTCATGTAGCATCTTGGCTACGACGAGCAGCTTCGCATCAAGCGAGATGTCATCATCAAGGCTTACAAGCATTTCTCCAGTGAGTGAGCGGTGAAGACGTCCCTAGGAAGCTTCTCCACGCACTGAAGCTCCTGCATCACCAACAGATCTACCGCCGGATCTCATCCCCGACATAGCACCTACTCTACCCTCACCAGAACAATTTGGCTACCGAACAAAACTCACGCCGCACTTTGAGCTGCCTTTTCAAATTCGAGCGTTTCATCGGAGCAAGGGCAAGAAATCATTGCCTGCCGTCCAGCCAGAGCTGCAGATCGGCTTTGACCGCATTGACGGGCCAGGTGTTCTGGACATCGAAGAGTGTCCGCTGGCGACTCGCGTCATCAACGAAGCTCTGCCTGACGCTCGTCAAGGTGTCAAATCGTGAGTGCTTTGGCTGCATCGCCGATGCGTCCCCAATGCTCAGCATGCGACTGTCACAGGAACATTTCGAGCTTCAAGAATGGAGCGACTCTTCTGCTTCGGGACTCCTTGCGCTCCCATGACCCTGAAGATGTGGCCTGCGAAGTCGTCAGAGATCACAACGCAAGTGTGCGCGAGCGTGTAGATAGCATGAAGTTCGAGAATCCTGCAGGTGCGTGCCTCGTGCAGGTGCTATGAACGCAACTGAGAAGCCGCTGATGCAACTTCTTGCCGCCCCCTTGCGTCACAGGCGCATTCTGGCAGAATAATCGCTCCATCCTTCCGTCGGTCATCGCGTACGTTAGACAAGCGATTGTGGACCATCCTCCAGCGCCTTGGTCGGACGACTCGAAAAGATACCTTGTCGACACGTACTGCGGGTCCGGCTTCTTTGCGCTGTGTTTGGCGGATCTTTTCGAAAAGGTATCGGGTGTGGAGCTTTCGAAGGATAGCATCAAGTATGCAAAAACGAACGTGAAGCTGAATGGAATCAAGAATGCCGACTTTCTGGCCGGCAGCGCTGAAAACATCTTCTCTGTGAGTCTTGCACATCATTACACATGGGCGAGGCAGACTTTTGCTGAAGCCGACGCGTCTTTGCTGCTTATTCTCGCAGCAAATCAGCTTTCCATCCCATATGACGACCGTGGTGATAGATCCGCCCAGGCGAGGCTGCGATGTGCCCTTCCTGGAGCAGCTGCGCAAGCTCAGCCCTCACCTCATCGTCTACGTATCTTGCAACGTCCACACTCAAGCTAGAGACATCGGATGGCTGCTCGAGGCGGATCCTGACTACAAGATCGTCTCGATACGAGGGGCCGACTTCTTCCCACAAAGTCATCACGTTGAGAGCATTGCGGTGCTTCACAAGCCAAACAAGCCGGCAGGCCCGCCGTCGTAGGGCCCCAGGTGAGGCCATCGAATCGGCATGCGCGCTCGATGTTCATCTTTTCCAAGAAAAAGGCAGATCGCTCAATCAGGTGGGAGCCACGGGCACGCGCTGCTCGGTCTTGTAAACGGGCAATTTCAATTGCATACAGTGATTGCAGGCGCTCATTCCAGGCACGGCCGCATCGTACAGACACTGGCTCTCATCAGCAACATTGAAAGCCGCGCAAAGTCTGGAACGGCGAAGTACCCCGAGCGGCTTAGAGGACTGGGTAGTGCTTCTCAATGTCTTCTAACAGTCCAATCTGAGTGGGCTTCCAGCCATAAGTAACGCCGGAGTATTGCGACGAGATTGGGTTGTCCTTGGCGACAAAGTACTGGAACATGCTGTAGTGCGCTGCGAAAGCATCGCCTTCGAGCGAGACCACTGGGAGACTGTTCTTCTTGCCGATAGCGCCAGCAATGTCCTTGAAAGCAACGCTCTGCTCTCCGACGGCATGGGCGCGCTTGGCAGGATGAGGCGCAAAGGTCGTTTGTCCAGATTCCACCTTGGCGCACTCCACCTCTACGATGCGCCTGTAAAGAGCTGCGGCGTCTTTGACGTGCACGGCGTTCCAGCGGTTCTGGCCCTCGCCGGCATAAGCTGCCTGGCCTTTCTCCTTGCACATCTTCGTGATGATGTGGATGAAACCTTGCTTATCTTCTTGCCCGCTGTGCACGCTGGGCGAAAGACGGACAATGATGGTGTTCACACCGTGTCGCTCAGCCAGAGCGTCGGAGAGCTCCTCTGAATGCTTCCTGGGCGTGGGGGAATTAGCTTCGAAAGCATCGCTCTCTTTGCCCGGCTGGAGTTTGCCATCGCTACCGGATGTGGGCGTGATGAGCATCGTTCCAGAGGTGACGACGAAAGGTTTGCTAGATTTGAGCTCTGCAAGTCGATGACCGATCGCTTCGATGACTTTTCTGTCCATCTCGCAACTAGCCACAAAGTTGCTCCAGTTGTGATCAAATGCCGTATGGATGATGGCATCGATGGAAGGATCGGCTGCTGCGGTCTTGAGCGCTTCTAGATTCGTCAAGTCTCCTGGATGAATGGAACAGCCGGAGGCTTTCAATTTGGCGTGAGATGTCTCGTTGCGGGAAAGAGCTAGCACGCTGTGCCCGGCCGCGAGTAGCTCTGGGACTATGTGACGACCTACAAGGCCGGTGCCTCCAGTCAGAAAGACGCGCATGGTTGGAATTGGAATGGTTGAAGAGTAGGAACGTTTGGGCTGTGCAGCGATGCGAGGTGAGATGCGGAATAGTGCAGTGTAGCGCAGTGTGATGGGTGGTAAGGGAATTGTCGAATCTGGAAGCTCAGACTGGTGTCTTTATAGCCTTCAACGGAGCGCTGAGCATGACTTGCCGCTCAATGTGCTGTGCTTCTCGAGACTCGCAAGCCTTGCTAGCAAGCAGGGCATACCTCTTCACCATTGCACAACGCAGATGCTGACCGGCGGCTCACCTTCACCAATGCTATTCTGCGAATGGAAGGGTGAGCTCACCTCGATGGAAGGCGGTACGACAAAAGACGCGAATCAGCAGGCCAAAAGTCCCACCGAAACGCCGCCCGGTCCTACCTGTAAGCTGCCATGCTGTACCACCTGGGGATCACACAGGTGTAACCATCACAACAATCACATCAGAAATCTGCGATTCCTGCGCTCGTATCTGTCTCGCGAGCCGAGCGATCCTGCTTTCACAGTATCAATGCGCGTCGCTCGATAGGCGTCGAACGTGAACCTGATGAAGGTGTTGGCTGCTATGCACAAGAGGCCTTGCGGGACGCGCGTGGCTCAGCTGATGTGAGCTTACAGGCCGAGTGGTGAGTTGGATGACTCAGGCTGCTAGTTGGATGACTCAGGCTGCTGGATACGCAGCTGCCGCTGGGAAAAGCGAGTCTGGCGCCGCCGGCCCTTTCGAGGCGCGCATCAACTAGTCTAGTAGTGAATACTATATTAAAACTTGATTAACGCGCTTGTGTACAGCTGCTGTCGGAGCATCAGAAGGTGTGGGTAAGCACGTGATCCCACTTTCGATCACCCTCACGCAGCCAGCACGAGAGATCACATGATCCAGACACCCGCGCGTGTCCCTGCAGGATTGGGATTCGGATTCAAATTCTTGATTATGATTCGGATTCTTGATTGAAGCAACACACCTTTGTGGTGACCAAGATGATTCTTGATTCAAGATTGTAATTGGAGCTTTCTGACACCCATATATAGCAGGAGTATATAGCAGGAGTCACGAGTACCAGTCGCAATTCGAGGGCACAGATCCGACATTCGGACTCACTCAGTCGGGTTCTGGAGCACCTGATGGAAAGCCACGTTGGTTGTCCATGTTATTCGTGATCAAGGCGCAGTCGGAGAATCTCTTCACGGTCACACGCAGGGAAATTCGGAAATTGAAGCTGTGCACCCGTCGTCGGACTACAACTTGCTCAACGCAGAGCGTTACCCAGGCAGAGGGACTGAAGCTTACGAGCAACAGCGCCGAGCGAAAGGTCGTAGGGTTGATCTAGCGGACATCAGCCACGCTGTGCAATCCCAACTGAACTTTGTAGCGCATACACACTACCTACGATCACGCTTCGTGTCATCCCAGCCAATCGAACCAACATGGCGGCACACTTGCAGCTCCGTTTCCTGGGGACTTCCAGCGCTGCCAGCCCTTCTCGTAACGTCTCCAGGTGAGCGACGAATGCGCACGCACGAGGGCGGCTAGACGTCGACAGGGGCGCACAACATAGCTCAATCGTCTTTCTCATCGATGATTTGCGCTCAGCATGCTTGTTCGCATCGGTCAGCAGACGGTGATGATGTGAGCAATTCTTAGTGTGCCTCAATGCGCGCACGCCACAATCAGCTCATGACGTTACGGCGATGAACGCCGATGGCTTTTTCAGAGACTGTGGAGACGGAACGCATCGACAATTGCTGGATCGTAGGTTGGGCAATCAAGACATCAAGCTCTCTTCTCTCCGACACATTCTAATCACCCACCTGCACGCGGATCGTGAGTCTCGCACTCTGGTTGAGCTGACTCAAGAGACGGAGTCTGACGTTTGCGACTTGCAGACGTGCTCGGACTCGTTCCACTCATCATGGCTATCATGGGTCCGCCTGCGCCTGACCAAGGCGGTGGCGGCGTCACCGCTACCACGTCCGCAGAACCAGCTTCCAGAAACGTGAGTCCGAGGCGATTTAGCAATCAAGAAACACGTGATGAGGTCGCTAACCTCTTCAGGACCTCTTCAAAGCCTCGCCTCGAAATATACGGCCCGTGCGGCTTGAGATCATTGATTCGCACCACGCTCATGATGACTTACGCCAATCTTTCGCTGCCCTATGTCGTGCACGAGCTGCTTTGGCCCCATGAGTACGCCACAGATCATGCGCAGTCTGCAGACGCGCCATTGCCAAGCTTCAATGTCGAGCACAATGCGTCGGGACAGTCATCGGAACAGTTCATTGGAGCTGTTCAAGGACCTGCTCGATGTGTTCCTGTGGTCCCGCCAGGAGAGATGGAGTTGCCTGGTATGGACTTTCGACTTGACGAAGCAAGCGCGTGAGTCGCTTTGCAAGCATCTCTTCCCCCGTCCGGATGCTGATCCATGATGCCTTTGCAGGACTTGGCCCGACTTTCTTCAAGTTGGAGGGCAAATGGTCAGCGCCGCACCCCTTTTGCATCGCTGCCCTTGCATAGGCTACGTCTTTAGAGAACTACCAGTGGCTACGCCATTGGACCCCTCGATTCCAGAGCTCATCAATTCGCAGGCTGATGCTCTGTACAAGGAAAGGGGCATCCGTCATCCTCTGTCCCTTTTGGGTAGATTAGTCAAGGCTCGCGAGTCGGTAGAGCTCCCTGACGGCACTTTACTCCAGCCGCCTGAGCTTTACGATACCGGTAGGAAGATGGTTATTCTGGGCGACACGTTTGATGCGACGGGGGGACTTGCGGACCGAACTGTAGAGGGCCCAGATGTGGATGACGATGGGACCCGGTCTAAATGGCTAAGGGGTATGGTCGGGCTCGCGATGGACGCGTCGGTCTTGGTGCACGAATCCACCAATATCGCTTTGCCCGCATCCTTGACTAGCAGCAAATCCATCGACTCACGCGAAGCGGTCCGAGCCAAGGCCATCTTGAGGGGCCATTCCACTCCTCAAGTAGCCGGAAGCTTTGCAGGCAAGATCCGCGCTAGACATCTCCTCATGAATCATTTCAGTGTTAGATACCCCGCTCCAACGGACGCTAGACTCTTGGAAGGAGCGGACGACAGCGGGAGAAGCCATGTGAATGTGGAAAGAACGGCAGTGATGCAAGAATTTGAGGATCAAGCGGTGAGTTTTGTCCTTTCGCTCAGAGAGTTGCTGCATCTCATGTTGGCTGGCTCTGCTGCCTGCTCACCCCTCTCGTCAGACCGAAGCTTGGCTTAACGCTTTAGGCGAGCACGCACACGAGGTCCAGCCGAGCAGAGCAATAGCAACATATGACGGCTGCGTATTTGACGTTCCACCACCATTGCAGGAGCAAATAGAGCAAGCAGGCCGCTCTAGCCCTCTGCCCTCCTCGAGTCGTAATTCGAGCGCATTGAACAGACACGGACGTGCACCTCGGGGTCCGCCTCGTCGACAGGGATCTTCAGCCACGCTGGCGAGTCAGCATCAAGATGTGCACGAGCAGCAGGACGGAAGGAGTAGCTCAATGAGCGTTGGTCATCCTTATGCGTCGGCTAGAAGGTCGACGAGAGGGCGCGGAAGGGGTCAAAACCATGACTCTAGAAGACACACGAGGGATGTCTTCGAGGGTCACGTGCGTGATCCTCACAACTAACAATGGACGAATTGATGCGAAACTGTGCAACACTCGATCACCTTGGTTGCAATATCCAGCACCCATGTATCGCGAGCTTCGACGGAGGCCTCGACACCTTGCAGACGTTCTTGACGAGGAACCTTCGCCTCAGACAGACTGCAGTCCTGTGGTGGAGCTGCTTGTGGTGCGTCACTGGCGTTAGTGATCTTGTCATCTTGGCGTCAGACACTCGACGATTTGTGTGGCGTACGACTTGAACCTCGTCCCACCAACAATGCGGAGGAACAGTTGGTGTGTAGAGAGCAGGCAAGCAAGTGCCGACCTTCAATTCCGACTCGGTCAGATCGCAGGCTCGGTGATACGGTAAATGCGACGCCCCGCTTTGATAGGTCGGGGCTCATGAGAAGAGCACTTCGGAGTCCGCGGCAAGCTTGCTGCTCATACCAACGACCCGCTCCAGCCTCGAAGAGGCACGTTGTGACCCTTCAGGAACAAATGGCTTTGGTGCTGCAATTGGTTTGCCCGCCACGCAATTTGTGTGGCTTTTATGTGTCAATGCGCGATCATTGCTTGGTCTGTATTGACGATCGGCTGAAACTTGAGTTGCGAATCGACTACGGTCTCTCCTTTGCCCTTTCAACCAGCCCTTGTGGAGGACGGGTGACCCCCTGCGTCGACTCAAATAATCCCTTCGTTCGAGGTACAGATCTTTGAAGCCTTCCGGCCAAAGCTCGGCCAGCTTTGGCTGGGTTTGAAGTGACTAATCGGTTCGTCGGAGTGCGGCGGCTTTTTTGGTTGTTGCCGTGCTCGATGCGCATGCTGGAGCTCTCGAGCTGACTTATTGAAGGTGTGCATGTGCTCCCTGTAGCGAGATGCCAAGCTGGTGGAACTGCTTCGTCTCCTTCACTCCGTGACTCCGCTTCATAGCAAATCTTGTTCAATCGGATGCGGACTGCAAAAGAAAAGGTACGACGTCCGATGAAACACATGTTTCCCCGTGAACGGAGACATGGGCAACTCATTGATTGCCTGCTCGACGTGAAGGTTTGCCCGCTTCTTCTCGCACCGAGCTGCTGCAAAGCACAAAGCCACCTACGTTCTCCGCAACAACTCCGCTCGCTCTCGCAGCAGCACACTTTTCGATCCGGCTACTTTGCCGTACCACTCTCGTGACGTTGCGAGATCGCGGTCACTCTTGTGCAAGACACGTATCATGAACGGCAATCGATATGCACAGTGCCCGGATCTCCATACACAGCAAACAAGAATTAACAAGGTTTTTTTTTTTTCTTTTTCTTTTTTCTTTTTTTTTGAAGACTGCCTTCAAAGCATCAGTCTGATCGCCGTTGGTCGCCGACATCATTTGGCGGGCCAACTATTCACCGATCATTGCTACCTTGCCGCTTCTTTCGGGCACGATGATGTTTCGTTGGAGGCTCAGAGAAGCGGACAAATGCTCAAGTCCTCGCCCTCAGCACGCCTGGCATGACGCAGAAAAGGCGACGACTAGTTGGTGCGCTGGTTGCTATGAGTGGCTTGCAGCGGCTACTCGTCAGTCAGAAAATGCTAGTGGAGGCCAGGAGATTTGCGTCTGTGTAATTGAGGATATGCCTTCTTGGTTAAAAGTTGAGTGAGACGAGTATGCTGATGATGATCGTGAGTATCGGGTGAGGAGAGGATGTGTTGTTGACTTCGATGCAGACAGCGCTGCAGGTCCCATGTGAAACACGTGTCAGAGTTGAAGAAGCGCGGCTTGCCGCGGCCTCGGGCCAGCAACTCAATCGTGAATTAAGTCCGTCGGAAGAGGAAATGTCACGATTGCGCAAAGGCTCATCCCTGCGAACGCCGGCCGCGAGACGCTGTCAGCACAGCATCCCATCATGCAAGGTAAGCAGCACCGCGTCATGCTGACACTCTGACCGACTGCACTACTCACCAGCACATCCGCACCGCCGCGACATGAAGCTTTGAGGTGCGTTCCTGCCGCCTGCTGTTCACGCTAAGCAGAGCTGCTCAGCTCTGCTGCGCGCATCCGTGGACAGTCAAAAGTCGAGCTAGCGCGCCAAGCGCGCGGGCCTTGCACAGCAGTCGTGAGTCATGAGTCACGAGTCCCTCTCTTCGATGGGTACAGCACATGCCCATCCTTACCAGACTCGGTCGAGCGCATTGCAAATATACATCTTGGGGACAGGTGCTGCGTAAGTGGCGGAGCAATTTCAGCAGGGTTGCGACATGCTTTGCAAGAATGGGTGCGCGATCGTGAGGTCTTTCTGCTTCTTCTCGAGTGACTCAAGACTGCCCGCGCTGCTGACGCTCATCATGTTATGTAGCAGCAGCGCGCAATATCTCGCCCGAACCTCTGCTGACATACTTCATCCGAGCTTGACCATGCCGCGCGATATGGCTCGAGCGGCGAGCAGGGCAGGGCCGAGAGAGTCTTGAGTGTTAGAGACGAGAATCCCTATGGCCACTGTTACCTTTGGCCACGTGCCTGCTGTGGATTGTGTGAGCGAGAGCTCACCTTTTGTTGGGAATTCTTGGTCCTGGAATGCTGCGCCTTATTGATCAGACTCCATCGGCTTCGACCATGGTGTATCGGGCGGATCGGACCATGCACCGCCTAACAACGGCTCGGAGATTAGGCTAGTGGACCCACCAGAACTTGAACGCGCGCACTTGTATCGCTCGGATGTGCCTGATGCATGCATATCGGCCGGCGACCTGGGCTGGCTGAGTCTCATTCTCTTGCCCAAGGATTCGGCTGAAAACTGGAACACTGACTGCTGCATGCTGCTCAAGTCGGCTGAAGCCTTGGAAGCGAACCGACTCATCTCACATGCACGACGACTGATACTCGCGTGGCGACTGCTCTCTCACGGACTGTTGAGCATGCTGACTGCTCGGACCGTTCCATGGCGATGTTTTGTGGCTGATGTGGAGCAGACTGGTATACGTGTACAGCATCGAAAGAGCCGCGACTCGCGAGTCATTCATGCCGCGGGGTGAGCCAGTCATCGTGCTCGGGCACACCACGCAAGGCGTGGAGTAAGACAGCTGAGCTTGCAGCATTCAAGCATGAACGAGTCATATCATGCGGCGTACACAGCCAGCAGCAGGCGTCCGACTGACTGCTGCTGCTACTGCTGCCTTTACGCATCCCAACTCGCTCGCGTGTATAGTGACTGCGATGCATGCAGTTCTCTGCAGGGCACGGCACGAGCACCACCAGCATCAGGGCAACAGCTATCACTGCATGCATGCCCATGTCACTCGCGATTGCACATTCTCCGCGGGAAGCCATGTCATCACCACCGCGCGCGCGGCTCACCGGCTCCTTGCTATTCACCCGATGGAGTATGTGTGCCCAAGGCCGAACTCAGCGGTTAGGACCGAAAAAACGCGATTCAGCCTCAATTTTGAATGACACACTTTGCTTTTGCTCAGGCATCAGCATGACACCTCTTCGGGCGAGCATGTGCTGCTGCTGCTATATGCCGCGACTGAGACGCTTTGCTGCTAAGCGCAGACATCAGACATTTGGACTGTGTGATTACTTCGTTCGGCATGAAGAAAGTACCTGCGGTCACTAGAGCACCCCGCTCGCGACGTCTTACCGTCAAAGCGCGGCTGCGGGCAGCCGTACCGGAAAGGATACTTAAACCGAAGGTCGTGCTCTCTCGGCAAAGCCATGCGCTGTAACGCCTCTACAAGAATCCACCCTCGACTTAATAATCTTGTTGCACCTCACAACACTCTCTGTCTTCGATCTTGGCACCATCCGCTACGCCAACCTCATCGGTCACAAGCATCCATCCGCGGTCATACTCCCCCCGGCACTGTCAGTCCCTGCGACGGTCGCGATCCGGCAGCTGTTGGCCGGAACATTGACAGCAGCAACACGCTGACAAAATAAAAGCTTCTTCACTCGTGACTCTCAGCCCGCTTCATCATATTGCCGGCCAATCCTGCCTCCCGAACAACGTCACCGCGGCACCTCATTTGCATGGGGCCAAGCTTCTGCTGGGTCAATCTGCGACACAATATATATGTGACGCCAACGTCCGCGGAGCACGTCACAACCCGCCACAGCTAGGAACATCTGCTGCTGCTGCCTATACACTCGGTTTTAAGACTTCACGTATACGAGCGAGGCTGTCGACCGCAATCGTCGAGCCTTGTTCGCCTCTGCATACACGCGTGCACCCAAGTCTCCATCTGGAACACTCTTCTTCGTGATTTCACTCGTCTGTCGCGCCGAACAGGGGCTTGATTGAATCAGCCCGCGGTTACAGCGGCATATCACGGTCTGACATTACGAGTGGTAGCTGTGTCGACAAGGAATACACGGAAAGCCACGTACCCTGACCTTGCTCTTGGTACCTTATATACTCTGCCAAGGATCTCCGCCGGATCAGCAAACTTGTTCTGCCTGCTCCTGGCTACGCTTTGCCCACAAGTGACGCAAGAGCGACGAGTATCGCAAATTCAATTCTCGGCCCTTCCGATCACCTGAACACGCGCGCGGCTCTTCAGGCAAGATTGCTAGCTCATCAGCCGAGCTTTGGGTGTAAGTGGATCGAACCTTCGTCTTTTTTCTGAGCCCGGAAGGTACTTATACAGCAAAGCTCACACCACAAACCCGTTGGCCTTGCTCATCCGCTAGTTCATTGTTCCTCAGCTATGGCGCAACGTTCAGAAGACCAATCAGGCTTTCTAGCATCCACTTTCACCATGAATGAACACACCGCCGACATCTACGTCCACGTCCATGTGCCACGCGCGGCGTCGGACAGTCAGCTTTTGAGCTTCAAGTCTGGAGAGGACTCGACTTCCATGCAGCGTAGCTTTTCCGCATCTTCACACCTGTGAGTATGGATGCCATTCAATGACCCTCGCTCGACCACAGTTGGGAACACACAGTCTTCCTCGTATGTCCCTCTTACGCCCGGTTGGGCACACAGCGCTCTTGGTCCAATGGTCCAAGCGTGAATGTGCGTTTCTCGATCGATCGCGCTGCATGCAGCAGCACACAGTCCCCGTGATGCCTTTGGCCGCGCGGCGCGTGCGGCGGGGATATTTCCCCGCGGAAATGTCGCGCCGGAACGCGTTACGCGCGCAGCCGAGTTCAGCAGTGCAGTCACACTGCCGAGTGCACGTAGCCTGCCTGCACCATCACGAGGTGCCAAGAACTCATTGATGGCGGAGCACCAAGCCACTGCGTGCGCAAAGGGTCTTGGCTTCCGGACATCGGATGCATCGTGGCCTGATCATGACAGGGTTCGAGGATTCCTTGTGCCTCTCTATCTTCATGCTCGTCCACTAATTCACTCGCTGACACAAGCAACAACAACCCCCCTCTCTCATTGCATCATTGACCACCATCATCACCATTGTTTGACAGGTCGTCGAGCTCGCCAGCCTACAAACGCGCGGGATCATTGCATTTGCATCACAGCCACCCTTCGTCATCATCGCCATCTTCACCCAGGGGATCCCACATACACATTCATCCCGCTGACGACAGACCGACTGCGAGCAGGTCATCAGGTCCGACCAGTCCCAGTGGTAGCAGCTTCAGCGTGCTCAGCACTGACACACACGACCTTGCATCTGAGCCATCGACACCCGCGTCAAGTGTTGCGTACGAGCCCATCGAAGTTGAGACGGAGGTCAAGGACGTCAAGCTTGTCAGCCAGGAGAGGGCGTCAGAGCGCACTCTATCCCCCTCTCGTACTTTGAACGGTTCGTTAACAGATTCGACCGTCGCCGGCGCTCTTGACTGCGCCACGTCGCCCACGTTCGGTGCTAAATCAACTGCCTCGTCATCGCCGCTCGCCGCTCTGCAGGACCCGTCGACTGAATCACATCCAATCGTTCGCGCCATCCAAGCCGGACAGATTTCACTAGACGCCCTCTTGGCCTTTCCAGTCAACTGGAACAATCTCGCTCAGTCGTTCGTGACGGCAGTACCGTCATCTCCGACAGTACCCGCGCCCCTCAAAGAGCCTGCGGCAAACTCACCAGCTACAATGTCGACGCACACCAGCAAAATTGGCCGCACTGCGTTGCAGACGTCGTCGCGTACAATCAAGCCCTCGGCTCGAGCAGCACGCTGGACTGCTATGTTCGGCGACGGTGCAAGCGCTCCTGCTCTTCCTAGTATTCCCGAGGTCGACTTGAGCTCTACTTCATCTCCGTCGAATTCGACCATCTCCCTGGTCGACGACGAGCGCCCCCTTCGTCGCAGAAGGACCACATGGGCATCGCAGCCTGACGCCGCACACGTCACCGACATGTCCAACTCGTCACCCACGAACTGGCAGTCCCGTGCGCTGGCATCGTCTGCGATTGTGACCTCACCCGTGATATCGTCCTTGAGCTTCTCTTCCACAACGTCCACGTCGTCTGCGTGCTCATCGTCATCGATGGACTTGGTGGAGCTATCGTCTTGCGAAGTGCGAGAACCAAGACTCGGTCCCGTCGACTTGCCACCTCTAGAAGATTTTGGATGGTACTCTGGCTGCGCTTCCAATCCAAACTTCTCCATCCCTCGTACACCGCTGGACATGGATCAAGCTTGCATGTGGGGCAAGAATAACGCTATGGGTCTGTCGGGACTGAACATCGAGAATGAACGCCTCAAAGAGGGTCTCAACGCTACGTTGGCCCAATGGCCTTTCCCTGCACCATCAGCAGAGCACGAAGCTGGCTTGGCGAAGGGTCTAGCACGAGGGCAGAGCGGCGGCTTGGGCCTAAGCTTGGTAGCGTGAAATACTAGTCCAGCTGAAGGAAGTACAGCCTTCTGCTCCCCGTGTCTCCGCCGCCAACTCGAACTGTACACCTTATGTATCTGTATTAGTAATAGCGCCCGTATTGAGCCCTTCTCGATCACACGACCACCTCTTTTGCGATCTAATGTGACATCTTTGCAAATATCGTGGTCATTCGTGACTCTCCATTGTGCGGCGAAGCTTGTTCGCCAAAGGCGATCTCGGTAACAATGAAGATTGCTGGTGCTGGACTCGTCACGAGGATGCTTGATAGCATTTTCGAGCGGATGAACAGATCGCCTGTCATTACGCTGGCACGCGAGTTCGTGCGAGGTCAAAAGGAAGGCTGCGACGAGGTGCTCTGCGAGGCTCTAGACGTTTCGGAGCCCAAGTGCGGAGCGTTCGGGCCTTCAGAGCGACGTTTCTTGATAACGTTCTCAATCTGCAAGTAGAAGAACGGAGGAGAAAGTGGTCAGCTTTTGCTGTGATCCGGCTCATGCGGGATTCGCACTGCAAGCAGGCTAGCAAGAAGGCTCACAAAGTACTCTCCGGCCCTGTAGCTGCTTCTGACCAGAGGACCGCTGGCCACGTACAAGAAGCCCAGCTCTTTGGCCCTCTCTTCCCAATGCTTGAATTTTGCGGGGTCAACGTAGGCCGACACTTTCATGTGCCTCTTCGTGGGTCTCATGTACTGTCCCAACGTCACCACGTCTACGCCATGAGCGCGAAGGTCTGTCAGACGCGCGACACCGCACCGCAGAGCGAGTGGTCAGCTTGATCGAGGAACAACGCTTTAGCAGTTTTGGACCCACCTTGAAGAGTCTGCTCCACTTCTCCGTCTTCCTCCCCACACCCAAGCATGATGCTGGTTTTGGTGATGAGGCTAGGCGTGACCTCCTTTGCAAATCTCAAGACTTCCAAAGTCTGCCTATATCCAGCCCTCCTGTCCCTCACACTAGGTGTGGTGCTCTCCACCGTCTCGATGTTGTGCGCAAACACGTCCAGTCCGCTCTTTGCCACTCTTTCGATGTCGTGCTTCTTGCCTTGAAAGTCTGGCACGAGAGCTTCAACGAGCGTAGAGGGCGCCTTGGATTTGATTCGACTGATTGTGGACGCGATGTGCTGCGAGCCCCCGTCGGGCATGTCGTCCCTGTCCACCGAGGTGAGCACGATGTAGCCCAACCCCCAGCGCGAGATGGCCTCGGAGACGTTTTCGGGTTCGTGTGGGTCCACAGGTGTGGGAGCTCTGGACGTCTTGACGCTGCAGAATCGACAAGCTCGAGTGCATGTATCGCCCATGAGCTGCGCAAGGGGGTGCCGACGACGTTAGCGACATCTGTATCTCTCCACTTGAAGCCACACGCGTGCTTCGCTGCATACGACATACCATGATCGTTGCTGTGCTCGTGCCCTTCTCGCCACCCCAACATTCCCCAATGTTCGGACACCTAGCCTCTTCGCATACCGTAGCTAAGCCCAAACTCCTCACGTCCTTTTTGATCTTTGTGAAATTCGAGCCTGTAGGAATCTTGGTACGCAAATGAGCAGGTAGCCTGGCGTCTGACGTCCTGCCCATCGAGATGCGCGACGAAGGAGAGATCAGGTCCAAAGAGGTTGGTGAGTCGGACGCTAGACGAGCTCGAAGAGCTTCCAAGCGGGACAAAGGCACCGCCGAGTGCGCGGGCAGAGGCTTTGAGGACGAGGATGAGCTGCTGGAAGATGAAGAAGCACCCTCGTCTTTGGAAGGAACCTCTGTGGCGAGCCTCCGAAGCTGAATGGAAGGAGGAGCCAAACGAGAGGCGCTGCCGGTGGCGACAGCCACTGCTCGCGAGGTGCTGCTTCGAGCGAGCATGTCGTGCTCGTGGATGGCAGTTGCGGTATCAGAGGATCGTTTGGAGTTCGGAGGTGCAGGCTGTACACTGAATGGTATGGCTGAGGTGAATGATGATGAGGTGGCGGTCAACAATGAGGTGGGGAGACAGTCGTGACTCAAGACTGTCGTGCATGGGGCAAGCCACGCCGAGATTTGGGGGAAATCACGTGATCGTCGGTCTTCAAAATTTGAGTCACGAAGAGAGTCATGAGTCAAAGTCAAGTCAAAAGAGAGAATCAAGATCATGCATTCACGATTCACGATTCCCGATTGGAGGAGCTCCACCTGCGTGCCGAGCAATCAGAACCGACCGGCGCATGAGCCTTTGTCAGCTCGCAGGTGATGACTTCCGCAGCCAGCATCTCTTCATCCATCCCCAAGCCCACCTGCGATACCGTCATCCCCACCAATTTGAAGCATTGAAACTCTACATTCTGTGCTCTCGATCATGGCAACGCTGAGCTCGGCCACGCGTTCCACGTTGCGCAAGCAGCTACGAGACTTTCTCAGCAGATGCGAGTCCTCGTCGTCTTCTTCGCAGGGTCACCTTCCCTTGATCCTTTATCCCTCACCCGATGCTTTCCCTCCCAGAGTTTCGGGTGCGCTGCACATCAGCGTTCTCGATTCCTCCTTCAACCCGCCTTCCAACGCCCACCTAGCCCTCAGCACCCTCGTCCCACCTGCAAGCACCTCGGAACATCCCAATGCTCACCTGTTGCTCTTCTCTGCTACCAACGCCGACAAGGGCACCGGCAGAAGTGGAGATTTGAAGCCGGAGAACAGGCTGGACTTGATGCTACTCTTAGCCAAGGATGTGGAAGCGGCATTGAAGGGGGCAGGGCAAGAAGCTAATGTATTCGTGGGATTGGTTGACAAACCTTTGATGGGCGATAAGAGCTCCCTCATACATGCTCTCCTTCGCCAGCACGGACACACGCCTGCTGTCCATAGCGAGGGTGCTCATGCTTCAGACGGTGCTTCGCCCGCAAGATTGCACTACATCGTGGGCACCGACACGCTCGTGCGCTTCTTCGAGCCAAAGTATTACGGCGGACAAGAAGGCTTCGAGAGGGTATGCAGGCAATTCTTCGAAGTTGAACGCACAAGGTTTCTGTGCGTCAAAAGACCCGCATCGAGAAACTCTGCGGATGCGGAGCAAGTCAAGAAGGAGGAAGAGGAAGTGTTGAGTAGGGCAAACATTCGAAGGCGTGTCGAGTGCGGGGACGTGGTTGTGGTGGACGTGCCCGAGGCTGAGGGGATAAGCAGCACTCGTGTGCGCAAGTTGCTTCAGGGATCTCAACCAGCAGAGCAAAAGAGGACCGAGCTCAAGCAGCTTGTCACGCCTAGCATCGCCGAGTATTTGCTCAATGAGCAGAGCATTTGGATGGAATGACGAATCACTCGGTATCATCATAATCATTGAGTTGCGGGAAGAGGAGAAGCAGCACGACTTCGGGACCAGGCTCAGCGCACCACTTCATCACAGCTTTCGACTCCACGTATCATCTAGTCTGGTCTCGTAGCGCTTTTCTCCTGTCTTGAGACGGATGTATGCGTTGACGCTCTGCTCTACCGTCCTCAAGTCGAAGTCGAAGATGCGCGTTCCTGCACACAATGGGACACGCTCAGCAGTTGCGATTATCCACTCTCGACCAGTGCCGCGCCTCGCACGCCAGACTCACCATGGTTCCAATTGTCATACTGGAAGTGCAGAGCGAAAGGGCAAAAAGGGCCCATCAGCGCTCCAGCCTTTGAGCGCACACACCATCTCGCTCTGGTGGCCAGCCGCATCCACTCACGTCGTATCCGCCATCTCCCGTCTTCTTCGCGAAGCAGATTGGGACAATCTCACCTTTGATGGTCGTCAAGCCTGAAGGTGCGCACCAATCATTGCCGTGGTCGTGGCCGCTAACAAGGGCGTGGATGCGCGATGTACCGGTGCTACCGCGAGAGAGAGCTGTCAAGTACGGCTGATCTTGGCCGGCTGTGATTCGGGCGCAAGGGGAACAAATGAACGATGCCATCACTTCTTTGAACATTAGCGAAGACTCAGATCCCCGAATCGCAACTGCTTACCGTCGCCTTGGTTAGCCAATGGCTTATCCTCGTTCAACCCGGAAAACGTCTTGGGTGAACTATCGTTGCCGGGAAAGTTGCCTGGCCTTTCGTCGGTAATGCCACCAATCTTGTCTTGGTACGGGTCGGCATTCTGCGTGCTGGAAAAGTAATGATTGGGAATATGTGTGAAGATCAAAGAGGGAGGAAGAGTGCCCCACGCTCTTTGCAGGTCCGAAGAGGTGCGATTGAGCCAGATTGCGACAGACGGATCCACAAAGCTGTCGATTTGGGTGTTTCTGAAATGCAATTGGAGCGCCCCGCAGACGTGGGTGTTCAATGGCAAATGTATCCATCAGCCGAGCTGCATGAGCACCATGAAGGACGTGTATAGACTGACCCCTGCTCTTTGAGCGTCTTGCCGCTTCGAGAATCCAAGCTCCAAATCAAGAGCGCAGGTCTTGATCCGCGCTTGGCATTGGAGCGAGAATAGATGGGAACCCAATAATTATCGCTGCCTACATCTCCACCTCCCACACCGGCTGGCGCTCTGCGAGTATAAGAAAGGTTCGGAGCGATGCGCCTTTCTATATCGCCCAGACTTGCATGGGTGCAATAGTTGTCCTGCAAGGCGTAAACAGTCGGACAGAAGCATCAGTGCGCTAGCGTCATGGAGGAGTCCATACGCAGCGCAGCGCAGCAACACAAACACGACTCACATTGTCGTGGTTGCCGTGCGTCGTGCTGAATGGGATCTTGGCCTTTATGAGCGGCGTAAAGAGTTGCTTGACGGCCGCCTCGACGACTGAAGTTCCGTTCGCCGCTTCTCCAGAGACTACGTCTCCGTTGTGAAAGACGTAGTTAGGTGACTCTGCACGCAGATAAGAAGCGACCTCTGCTGCTGTCGCTGCATTGACGTTGCTGACATTTGCTGCAAAGAGCACGAGCGCCTTGCAACCGTCAGCTGAAGAGGTGTGTAGCCCGTCTGGCGTGTACACGTACCTGGGTTCGTCTGTCCATCCAGCATGTGCGTATCGGAGAAGACGGCCAATTTGAACTTGCCCTTCTCGTCGAATGACAAGAGAGGCAGCCGAGGGTAAGGATCGGCGACCAGATTCGATGACCCCGCTGCTGTCTCCCATCCTGACACATCCCGTGGAAGAGGTGCTTGGAAGGGACGACCATCCGTCGGTCGACACAGGAGCGCCACGAGCGACAGAAGAGAGGTGCAGATCAACCTTGCGTACATTTTGTTCTGAATGTTCGTTCGTTCGTTCGTTCGTGTCCGATTCAGGCTGCCTCGACGCCGTGATTTTTGCAGTCTGAGATGACGAGGTGATGGCGTCCGAGACTTCTCATTCTGCTGGTCGCACCCTGTGACCATACCGCTGCATTATTGCTCCTCAATCCGGAAGCTCATTGGCGACATGGATGCCACCAAGAAGAGTCACGAGTGGGTCAGCGCACCCCGGAGAATCCGAGCGTGCAGGCAACGTTCCCATCCTTAGCGCGTTTCTGCGTCGTACCCGCGCTGTGCGGGGGACCGAGAGCGCGTGATCTTGATAGCGAGTCACGAGTGCTGCTTGATGAAGACTCTTCACTCATGACTCCAGACTTTGAGCCAAGGCTCTTCAGAGCCTTCCGCGCGAGATCCGTCCACGAAAGTCTCTTGCCCGTGGTCGGCACGATAGTCATCTAAGCACGAGTTACTGAGCTAACAACGCCAGGAAATAACAATGTGTTGGCCACACTTGAGCTCGGAGATGGGTTGCGCTCCTGAGCGCCGGCAACTGAGCTAGCGCCTCCGTGCTGATTGTCGTCAGCACCATGGACCCCTCACAGCGGAGTGCTGCGGACTAGCAATGCGGATTAAGATTCACATTGCTGTCGCTGGTTGCTGGATGACCGTCGCTTGGCACGAGGCTCGGTATCGTGCGTTCTGCTAGCAGTCTCAAGACTGTTAGTATCTGCGGTACAAGAAGAACTCTCGGGCATCCAAGCCCAATCCAATCACGAGACTGGCGATTCCGATCGGCTGGCTTGCAATTACAATCACGAATACCGGATCTGGTTAACTGGCGCACATCACAACGAGACCTACCCGTTGAAATTTGCGATCAACTTCCACGCTAATTGCTGACGTCAATGCGGGATTGTATACAGGGAGCTCGCTGATCTGCGCAGCAGCGACATGCCCGGGAATCTACAGCATCCTCTTCACGTCGTGGCTGCTCGCTGTGTGTATGTTTCGTGCGTGTGCTACGTGTGATCGAAAAGTCACGACTCAAAGTTGCTCCTGCATGTGGCGACGAGACGAGCTGCTGTTATGTGTGTCGAGAATACTTTTGAGCACGAGACTCCAACCTCGGGCTTCAGGGACCCTTCTTGCTGGGGTTCTGCCTGCCTGCCAATCTCGACAGGTCGACGGATGATCGACGGGGATCCCGATGTTTGCCTCGTGTCTTTGACGCGCCAAGCCAGAAACAAGTGGCGTCTGCGGATCGTGACGACAAGTTGCGTCGCGTTGCTGCCCGAGCGCGCATCCATCCAGTCACGAGTTGCGATTTCTGCTGCCTAAGGTATACATATGTATCGATGTTCTCACCTGTCTAATCACGCACATCAGCGCTCTCTCCCATTCATATTCAAGATTGCCAAAGCCACACTTGGCCGTGACGCGTGGGTCAGTAATCGAGATTTACAATCTGATGAATGCGTGTGACAAGGTCTGCCCTGGTGATCAGGGCATAAAACACGTGCCGGTACAAGGAACGGTCTTGACTCGGCTTTCTCACACTCTTGATGACTCTTGACTCAAGACTGCGTTCAGCGTTGGGCTGGGACACGCTCTCGCACGGCACGATCGAGACATCGGAAGCACCGGCTGGAGCCTCACGAAGATATGGCCGAATTTATAGTCAGAAATCAGAGTGAATGGGCTCCATCTGCGAGGTTCGCTGTCACTCCATGCAAAGTGTGTCTAGGCTCTCAGGTCGCATCCTATGCAGGCCACTTGCAGCACCTTCGGCCGTTGTGCATGGCAATAATGCAGTCAGAGTTAGCGGAAAGCTGAATGCTCGTCCCTCACTCAATCCGTGAGTCCGTGCGTCAAACTCCACTGTGACTCCACTCACGACTGTTGTAGGTACCGTACTTCCCCCCGCTGGTCGCGGGCGTATCACCAGCATGCAGTGCCTGCTTCGTGCACTCGAAGCAGTCACGCTGTGAGGCTTACTGTGCATGCTTCGGCCCTCAGCAGCAGGCACGCCGAACCGGTCGACTGGTGCGCCTTAGCTCTGTTGAAGGGTGCATGCTGTTGTGTGTGTATTCAATAATTGTGAGCAGGCGGGCATCGAGCTTGGCATGTTTGCTACATCTTCAATAACAGCAGCTTCGCCGAGATCCGGAATTACCCTTCGAAAGGCTCGTGCGAGGTGGACACGCTGACCAGCGGGAGGACGCGTGAGGAAGCGAGACGCAGAAGGAGATCTCGTGGCTCACTCCCAGGGCGCGACTCGGCCCGGGTGCAGTCTCTTTCACGTCCGAAGCCTCTTCAAAACGAAGTTTCGTAAGAGTTGCTATGGTAGCGCTGCAACACGCACAGCTCAGCTGCAGTCGGTGATAATCGAGTGTGTGACTGCTTCATGGTGACTGTGTATGCTGCAGAGGAGAATCTCTTCTGTCTGCAGCTTTGCAGTCAGCTGCTTGTGCATGCTGCTGCTTGCTGCCTGCGATACACCCACGATTTCCCGTGGCCGAGCTCTCGCCTCCCTTCGTCCGCAGCACATCCCCTTCCACACTCTTATCTAGACTCTGATCACGCTGTACAAACTCATGAGTATACTTGTTACACACATGAACGCTGAATCGGAGCTGCAAACTCACGTTTCGAACTGGCTTGCAAGGGCGCGACACCGTCCCGTACGTCGAACTCAGATTTGCACCAACGGGAATCACGTACAGGACTCCGAGGAAATGCTGGTGGGAGTCGTGAGCGTTGGTGAGGTTGATCTCTGTGTTTATAGCGGCACGGGAACAAGCTGGTGTCGGCTTTGGAGTGACCAGCACATCTAGCTGCGCCATCAGGCCTGACTGCGACATCAGCGATTGAGTCAGGCAGAAGACAAGTCGCACGACTGGGAGCTCTGGATCAAGATCAATATATGCGGGTCCACAGGCGCCGAATCTGTCTTGGATGCACGAACGCAGACGTATATGCGCTGCAGGCGCACGGCCTGAGGATCGCTCCGCATGCGCTATAGACAGATGCCTTTGCAGCACAGCTGTCCTGCCCGAATCACGAATGCTGCCTATCGTGTGCAACGCGCACACGCGCATAGCGCAATCTCACGAGACACTCAAAAGACACGCTCGGTCAATAATTGCGTAGAAAGCGAGGGCGAGGGCACAGCATCCGAGCTTCACATCAAGGCGCACACTCACTCACTGCCCAACCAGCCCTCGCTACCGCACACGCGGCGTCCAATCCAATCCGAATCGAGCAATAACCCATCATCAGCGCGCGGGCACCAGCCGTCAGCCGTCAGGCATCAGGCGTCAGCAGAAGCAGCAGCAGCATCATCAGAAGCAGGCCATGGCATGCATCAGCAGCAGCTTCGAATGCAAGACCCGAAGGACCCAGACGCAGCGGCCAGGTACGTTGCAGTACTCACGCAGTCACACTCGAGGGCGAGTACACGAGCCAAGGTCAGATCGAACCCGACGATGGACCGAATCAGCGACTTGCATAGCTGCTGTGCGCTACGGTACCACTTGTGACTTGACTGCTGACTGCAATGCACCGTGCAGCGACGTCACTCGCAAGTCACACTTACACTTCGAAACACCTCTTCACTCATCATCTTTACGACAAATTCTCCTATCCCACTCCCCATCTTGCACGTCATTCACACAGCAGCATTACAGGCATCTCGAGACACGATTTTCTGCAGTCGAGACTCGTAGTATACGCTGAGGTAAAATTGTGTGCCGTACAAGCAGTCAGGATCCGAATTCACGCGACGCGCTATCAACGGCAGCAGTGGCAGCTAGCCCCTCCACAGCGTGCGCGCGCCCAGCACTGCGCCGATCGAGCGACCCATATAAAACTCACATACACCGCGGCACACGACCTTACCGCGCGCTCGATACTCCACACATCATTTCAAAACACCACCCGAATCATTGTCGGCTCCCTTCGATCACTGATCAGTCTCTCTGAGCATCGACGTTTCAGTCCCCCGCATATCCACCCTCCACGCAAGTAGCCAGCCATCAAGCCACGCAGAGCGGAGCCGTACGAGAGGCTTGGCGCCATCATATCGAAGGTGAGTTGAGACCTCGTCGTCCATCGTGGGAGGGGGCGCCATTGTAGCCTGGCACGATCTGCGGTGGCTCGGAGAACTACGTGGAATTGGTTTATCGTTGCGGTTGGTGCGGCGCACAGGACTTCGACTTCTCTCGAGACGCCCATGCAAAGGATTTACCAAGTCGAGCCTGGTCATGCTGCATAGCTGCCGTCCTCCACTCTCGATGGCTCGCGCGCCGGCGTCGTTCCAATCACGAGACCTAGATTGCCAATGTGCGTGTAGCAAGAGGAGCGCAGAGATGCGGGTGAGGGAGGGGGACGTCGATCCGTCTTTTCTGCGAACGGCACGCGCCACCTGCTCGGCCATGCTCTCGGGGAGTCCAGAGAGTCCCGTCGTCGAATGGAGCTTCTGTTTTGCCACCTGTGTCAATCACAGACTGGCCGCCTAAGTCAAGTTGGTGGCACTTCAGTATTGCAACGATGGCCAGATCCCGTCGCACCTGACAGGACGACGACCTTGGCAGTGTGCGTGTGCTTTCGGGTCACAGCAAGGCCAAAGGTCGCACCTCGGCGTGGTCCGTGTGCGCTTGCGCATGTCGGCTCTACTCCCGTCCACAGCAGCCCCGCGTGTGTCAGCGTTCGGTTTCGGAGCTCACGCGGCGGCGCCCAACATTGTGTCTACGCTTGACGAGTGGTCACTGACATGCCATCACCCTGCCCTTCCTTCACCATTCACAACATCCGCCGATCTCATCTCTTCGCCAACACCTCCGACTGACAAATCGCGCGCGTCCCGCTCTCGAATTCTGCGGACATTCGTCCTGCCCGCTTGCTGCGTGTACGACATGCTCAGCTCTGTGCAATTGCTGCCTATGACGGCACAGCAGGCCCATACGAGCACCACCTTCACCTACTCCAACGTAGAGGTTTCAACCACTACGCCCGGTCAGTCTCCCACATCTGCCTCGGGCAACATGTCAGGACTGGCAGTTCCTGGACCTTCCGGGTCTAGCAAGGCACCTGCCAATGCGGTGCAATCAGAAGCTGGCGCATCGCCGTCTACCACCCAGACAGACGCAATGAGCACTTCTGCTGGTCAGGATAGTAACGCAGACTCTGGTAGCGTCATGACAGAGGACGAGGAGGACTTGGAGGACTATTGCAAGGGAGGCTACCACCCTGTCCACGTTGGCGACACTTTTAGCGAGGATAGGTATCTCATCGTGCGCAAGCTCGGGTGGGGACATTTTTCGACAGTCTGGCTCGCCAGAGATAGCAAGTGAGTGCTTCAAGATCCAGCTGCCGAGTCCGCCACACTTGTCAGGTGCTCATTCAAAGAATTCATCCCACAGAGCCAATCGGCACGTCGCTTTGAAGGTAGTCAAATCCGCGCCGCACTACACCGAAACTGCTTTGGACGAAATCAAATTGTTGCAGCGCTTGGTCGCAGCCAACAAGACTCATGCAGGTCGCAGACACTGCGTCTCTCTTTTAGACCACTTCAAGCACAAAGGTCCAAATGGTTCTCACGTGTGCATGGTGTTTGAAGTCCTTGGTGAAAATTTGCTCGGACTTATCAAGCGCTATCAGCATCGCGGTGTGCCACCTCACATTGTCAAGCAAATCGCCAAGCAGGTCTTGCTGGGACTGGATTATATGCATCGGGAATGCGGCATCATTCACACCGATCTCAAGCCGGAGAACGTACTGATTTGCATCGACGATGTGGAGTCGGTGGTGCAAGCCGAGTTGCGCACAAATCCCGCCGCAGTCCCCACAAAGCTGGTCGGCGTGCCTCCAAGTCAAGGCAGAGGAGGTATGCAGACGCCCCGAAGAGACGGCATCTTTATCACAGGCAGTCAACCGCTTCCCAGCCCTAGCTCGAGCCTCGGCTCAAGCCCAATGTTTGATAAGTGGGCTTTCGGCATGTCGCGGATAGAAAAGGCAAGTGGCAGCGAGTTCGGAGCCAAGAGCCAGGATAGCTTGGGCCCGCGATCTGCAGACAGCACTTCGACAGCTCCGCAAGAGCAAGCACAAAGCGCAGACTCGATTGCGAGAAGCATGAGCCAGATGAGCACCTCGGGGCCTCAATCACCGAGCGGCGTGAATGCACCTACATTTCCGCACCGCAGCGTTGCACACCCACATAGCCACGGGCCTTCCCTTTTGTCCCAGCAAGCGCCCGGTCTCGGCAAGGCGAGCGGGGAAAAGTCAACAGTCGGCGGCTCTGCGACCGAAAGCGCGACTGTCCCGCAATCATCGTCCAGCTCTTCGTCATCCACATCGGCAATGTCGACCGATGCGCCAGCTCCCGAAGCCAAGGATCCTGATTCAACCCCTGCGACTTCGGCCGATACGAGGAGAGGCGAGGAGGACGGCTATCACCCACCCGCTGTCGCCGCTGGAGATCCCAACACTTTGCCCCCTCCTCCACCTTATGACCCCACCACGCTCGAGCGGATCACTGTGAAGATCGCTGATTTGGGCAATGCTTGCTGGACGGATCATCATTTTACAAACGATATCCAGACGCGCCAATACCGGTGTCCGGAAGTCATCATTGGGGCCAAGTGGGGTCCAAGTGCAGACATGTGGAGTGCTGGCTGTATGGTGCGTACCGGTTCTAGGCATGATCCGAGATCAGAGGCTGACCACGACCCGATTACACTCTCTCATCAGTTCTTTGAGCTGCTCACTGGAGATTATCTCTTTGACCCGGCGGCTGGTTCAAAGTACAACAAGGACGACGATCACATTGCTCAGGTAATTGAATTGCTCGGCGACTTTCCGAAGTCACTAGCCTTCTCGGGCAAATACAGTGCAGACCTGTTCAACAGGAGGGGCGAATTGCGGCACATTCACAAGCTGCGATTCTGGCCGCTGATTTCGGTACTGCAGGAGAAGTACTTGATGCCTTTCGAGGACGCCAACAAGTTGTCATCGTTCTTGCTGCCTATGCTCAAGCTTCATCCGGACAAGCGAGCTTCAGGAAAGGATTTGCTCGACCACGAATGGCTCGAAGGAATTCTGGTAGAAGGCGAATTCGAATTGGCGAGGAGGCAAGCAATGTTTGGACCGGATGCTGATGTGCCAATGACTGGAGACGTCAACGCGCCCCTCTCGCTTGGTGACGACGACCAAGATGCGTTGGACGCTCTCAAGCCTATATCGACTTCTTTGACTTCGAGCTACGCCTCCTCACCTCAAGCTGGCGTTCATCTGGATCCGAAAGCCCTGCAGGAAGCGCAGAGGCGGGCTACTGAGCACGCAGCGCAAGCTGCGCAAGCTCTTCAAGACAATTCTGCGAGCCATGCGTCTCCTACAAGTCAGCCTCCGACGGCCACCAGCAGCGCGCCTTACCCGCAGCCTGCAGAGCCGCGCTCTCAGGCGCAGACTTCGAGCAGCTCAAATGCACCTTCCACGCAGCCTTCGAGGACGAACAGCGCGACTAGGACTGCGGACCCCTCGGCAGGACCTCAGAGCATCGCTAGACCGGTCGCAACCACGGGTGCTTGAGGCTGCCTTGCCAGACGTAGTGGACGATCGATAGGCCATTCTGTCCGCTCATATTTTCGACTTCAAATTTTTCCCATATACCACTGTGGTCACAATTTCTGCCAGACGTTCCACACGGTCTGCTGCTAGTGTCCTAACTTCACGCCCTACACGTGCGACAGATATCCAGCTTCTCTTCCCGTCTCGCGTTGCCCGCCCCGAGCTCGACGAGCTCGGTGCCGATTCTTGCTTCACGCTCTGTTCCTCCCTCGACCCAACGCGCCTACTCTTGTGAAAGCAGCTTGGATAATCTTCAGAGCAGTCTCTCTGCGCGTCTTGATTGGTGAGCGTGTCCTTGTCACGTTGTACGGCTCGGGTACATGGCCCCGCCCCCCCTTTCCCCAAGCTCTTCCCCATTCTTGTGTGACTCGCTCAACAGTATATTTCCCATCCTAGACGACTCCTTCTGCGAAAGCGATTTGTGAAACTTTGCATCGCGTGAATTGATTGATGCCGAGTGAGCGCTCTGTACTACCTGTCCTTGCGTCAGATGGGGGTTTGCGCGCAGGAACGTAAGAGGTAAGGAGGCAGACTTGCATCTCTACACGCACTCTCGGTCTTTCCATTGCGCTACATTCGTGATTCAATCGCCGACCGTGAAATGCGTCGTCTCGGCCAAGATGACGGCCACGCCAGCTACGGTAGCTGGCACGATGACGACGGCGCACCAAAGAGCAAATTGTTTCTGCGTGACGTGAACACCACCTTGTTGCAGACCTTGTCTCCATAGCAGACCGGCCAGACTAGCTGCAAAGGTGCCTCCCAGCGCTCCCACATTGCTACCGAAAGCAATCGAATAGATGCCGGTCTTGAGGATGAGGGCAGAGTCCTGCAATGGTAATTTGGAACGAAAAGAATCGGTTTGGAGCGCTTTGGTCAGAAGAATCGTCCCACCGATATTTGTGCCTCCAAACTGCCAGATCATCGGCCCAAAAAACAAACAAAAGCAAGGGAAACAGAAAGACGTAGAGTACAAGTTGTGTAAGCACGGATTCAAAAAGCGCAGCTATTGGACCCGAAGAGTCTTTCCTCGTATGGACTCGTGGGCAAGGCGACTCACGTTGCAAAGAATGACACCAAGGAAAGAGATGAAGAAGGCGGTGGCTGTGCTACCATGCGCACACACCTTTCCGAGCCCGGCGGCCATGATGTTAATGAAGCCCACATGAGCAAGTGCCTGAACCAGGATGAACATTCCAAAGGCGAATGGCAAGAGAGAACAAGGCAGACGACGGAGCACGGTCGTCACGGTCGGATAAGCCTCTGCTACTGCTTCGAGATGAAGTAGTAGACGTCCCAAGGGCGGAATTTTTTGTTTTGTGCCTCGTGATGGCGTAGCCTGGCCAGGACTGTCCAAGCGTGTCGGCTGTACAGACATCGTCCCATCTTGAAGAGCGATGGAATCGGCTGTCCTTGCAGGCTCAGGTCTCGACACTGCCGTCATCTCTATGCCGTTTTCACTGCTGGCTGCATTGGCACGAGTCGCCTCTTTCGCTTTGCGAAACTTTCTCGAGGTCAAAAAGTCGTATGCCAAATCTCTCAAAAAGCAGACGACTGCACCAGGAACAGCTACCATGTACACGTGCACCCCTCCTGCGACGCTCGTACCCACCAGCGTACCGAGCGTGGCAGTCATGATAATCGTGTTGAATATGGCGCCGTTCCTGTCCACCAAGGCGGCACGCGCATCAACATCTGGAGCAATGATGGTAGGTGGAATGTAAAAGATGGGAGGAGACCTTTCCGACGACTGCGTTTCTTCTTGCATTCCGTTCTCTGCGCTCCGGTCAGAAGGCGCCAGATCAGCCTTGAAGCTGCTCTTGTTCCTTCTCCTCGTGAGAGATTTTGCCCAGCCAACGACGGCAGAGACTCCCCCGCGAGACAGAGCCGAGCTGTCTGCTGGTGATGCACGCTCTGTCTTCGCTACCGCCTTTCCGGGCTTGTTGCGAAAGAAGAGTAGCATGGCTCCGAGAGCGGCAAGAGCCGAAGCTAGCGCCGGCAGCACCATATAAGCCGTATACGTGGGAAAGTCGATTCCGAACCCTGTTGCGATGACCAAGTTGGTCGGATTTGAGGAGACCAGCACGGCAGAGGAAATATTTGCAGCTACGAATTGCGACCAGATCCAAGCTGAAGGAGGAGCAATTCCGGCTACGCGAGTAAAGTAGACTAGGAAAGCAGTACCGCTCAAGATGACCGGATCGTTGCCGACCAGCACGCCGGCTGTCCAAAAGAAAAAGTACAGCAAGAGGTACAATCTGAATCCTTTGGAACCGGCTTTGGTGCAGACTAGAAAGGCCAAGTAGCGCAAGAGGCCGGTAGCGTCTAGACTGATGGCGATGTATGCTAGAGAGATGAACAGCGCCAACACGTCGTACGGCTCTACGCCTTCTTCCCCGACTATTCCAGCTCGTACCTGCTCCCCACCTATCGTCGTTGTGGCCAGCAAGAGCAGTATGCCGAGAGCTGGCGTCCAGACATGATTGAGGGTCAGGTAGGAGCGTTTGGGAGCTGCAGCCGAAGCTTGTGCTGGCGTTGCGGGAGGCGTATACCGAGCATCGGGCTCTCGTGTCTCTTTCTGGCTACTTGGGTCAGATGGCGCCTCGCCCGACTGCCGCGCAGCAGCAATCTGATCCGAGAATGAAGGAGCTGGTCTGAGCCCGTGCAGTCGCTCTTCTTTACCCTGACCGCCGAATAGCTTGCTGTGCATGGACCTCGCCAAGCGAGGGAAAAGATGAGGCAGCGGAAGGCGCAGAGGCTGAATGCAGATCAGCGAGACTGCTGCGAATACGATGATGGCGAAGATGCCGTGACCATCTAGAGAGGATGGCATCGCAGCTGAATGGTCGGATGTCGAGCGTTCAGCCGGACTGGTCGCCTGTGAGAGCAGAGGCCGGCTGGGCCACCGAAGCATGATGACCGCCTGTCGCTTGGCGGCGTGAGCGCTAGCCAAAGCCAGGTTGGTGAGCTACTGCTGTGCAGCTGAGTTGGGCTCGATAAAGGAGATGATTGCGAGCTCCAGGCGAGCCTTGATTCTGACTTCTAAGACATGGTGGTGAAAAGGCACAAAATCGTTCGGAGCAGCGCGCAGAGCCATTCGGATGGCCGCGAAGCCGAGTGACCATGTGCTCCTTTCTGAAGCGCACCTCGAGGCAGTGTGGATCAAGCATCTGATGCCTCGATGCTGCTTGAATATCACTCACGAATCACAATGTGAATGCGGCTTCCCACGCTCAACACGTCTGCTCGATCGTCCTGCTGACGCGGACCATGGGATCAGGAACATGCAGCATTCTCGGTAGCGCACGTGACGTGTGGCTTGCTCACCTCAAATCTGGTCCTCATCACGTCCTGGCGAGTCGTGAGTGTCTTGGCAAGCGTTATGCATGGCAGTCGTGAGAGGGGAGCGAGGGATTGAGGGATGCATGCAGCCAAGAGCTTCGGGGCCAAGCCGAGTCAGGCAGGCCAAATCATTAAGCTTCGTGATCATTCCTGTTGTCCAGCATCCGGCATACATACACCTTGTTTCTTCCTCGACGCAATTCCGAGGCTTTTCGGAATTGTCAAAATCGCACGCGCAGCCTTGGACAAGTAGCACGTTTTAATGTCGAGATTCAAATCAGACTGCTGTGACTGTCGAGGCAACGACGATGTGATTTTTGGAATGGAATATCGAGTCACATGATGATCGAGTGCGCAGTATAGTCAATCAAAATCTGACTCAAAACTGTTGTGACTCTGATGACTGTTGTATAAAAGGTAGTCAAAGTCGTGAGTGTGAGTCACAACAGCTAGAACAGCGAACGCGCCAAACCCAGGCCAGTGTGTGTCACGTGTGCAGATCGTTGGCCATGCTGATGTGTAACGCACGCCTCAAACTCGCAACCTGAAACCTCGCGTCACGCTGCACAGCAGGGCTGCGATGCCCGCTCAATCAGCGGCGCTGCACTCGTCTGCCTGTTATTGTGCAGCTGCGCGTCTGTGCACCGGCAGGGTGTGGAGCATGCACGCGCATCCAACAGCAGCAGCATGCATGCACGCGTGTACCGTACTCACGACTCGTGACTGTATATGCTGTTGTGTGTGCGCAACAGCACCGGCTTCGGGTTCGTAGCATGTTCCACTCAGACTCACAACAACAGTCAAAAGTCAAAAGTCACACACTCGTCAGATTCGCGAGCGGCAATCGTGTTGCTGGCTTCGCGTTTCGGACGTCGAGCGTTCTGTCGAGTTTGCTATCATCATCTGTGCATCATCATCAAGGCCGTCACGCCGCTCTCCTGCCATGACCGGACAAGGAGCTTCGCAGTGAGTTGCCTCCCAAGCTGTGCGGTACTTTGATGTCAATGGGCGCGCGCCAGCCTTTCTGCCATGAGCTTGTCGGCTGCTCTATCAATGCTCACTCTTCAAATCGTGATTACGCACCTTTGCACCTCAGTCAGCGAGAGCTACTAAACTCAGCTTCTCCGGACATCATAGCTGCTAGGGTGGATGCTCATCACTCGCAGCTTCGAGACGTGGTACAATTGGGATCCGATGATGACACTGTAATCTACCGTGAGTGGTTGAAGCTCAGTGGAGCTCAAGGTCAGCTGCTCTCGATGCAGTATAGCCGGTCTGATCCCTCATATTTTATCCTTTGCGGAGCAGTCAGCGCCGAGAATGTGTGCATCGCCGACTTTTCGACATTGAAGCCGCCGACCACTCTTGCAGCGCTGGACTTTCCTGCTGTATGCCTGCGGACCGGGTCGGGCATCATGGCTGCTGGCGGACAACACTCCGAGCTCGCCTTGCGACCACTGCCATTGTCGACCCGAGCGGCCAACACGCAATGTTTGCAAGGAGAAACGCCTAGCTCCACCCTCAGCGTCTCTCCAGCAGCAGCAGAGTCATCTAGGTCTTCGCCTTCGTCTGCCCTGCTCGGCTCGACTCAATCTCAGCATAGTCGTGTCTTGCCTGGTTCCAGCTCTGGAACACCACTTTGGCGGCTATGCACGCCTACTGGTCGCAGCATCAACAATAGCATCTTCATTGCACCTCCCACTGTCCTCTCACGTGGTTCCTCGAGCTCAGAAATCACGTCTGGCAGAGCAGAAGCCATCGGGCAAAGCGGCCACAATCCCCTTCATCCCTCCCAAAGACAAGAGCAGCGCAGAGCGCCCAGCAGTCTGTTCTCACGGCACGCGTTAGACACCGAGCTCGCGCGAGACGAAGATGCGGCGGCAGCCTATGGGTTCACGATGCACGAATTGTCGAGGCGGCGCGAATCGCGGGCTGGCGGAAGTCGTGCGGGGGAGGAAGGGATTGCACCTCTTTCTAGCGCTCGTCGCATCCTTTCGGACGAGAGTGTGAGCGCAGAAGACGATGATCAAGTCGATGAAGACGACGAGGAAGATGATCTCGAGGATGAGATCGAAAATGAGACTGAAGTCAGCGCGAGGGTGGAGGGGCATGAGATGCAACCCACGCCAAACAGCGGGGGCGCAGTGCTCTTCGTGTCGAACAATGATCAGACCCTGCGCTGTTTCCGACTGCGTCCTGGCGCGGGCTCCAGCAGTCGGATAGACACTGGACTGCCAGGACTGACCAGGTAAGCCTTTTTCCTCATCTCGACCCATCTGTACGGCGCCTCGCCTGGTGTTCCTTGCGCTTACTTCTCCATCATTGTGGCAGAGTTCGAACGGTCTCGTTTCCTACAGCCATCAATCACTCTTCGCTGAGTCCAGACGGGCGCACGCTTGTCGCTGTCGGAGACACCGCAGAGGTGTTCCTCTATCACATGTCAACTTCGGGCACTTTCGATCACATCAAAACTTTGATGGGTGAGTCGAATTTAGCCCGGTCCCGAGAGTCAATGGCCTGATCGAGAGTCGCATGCCTCTGCATGGTGGCAGCGAGCACAGACGCGTCATTTTCCACCACCTGGAGTCCCGACGGAATGAAGTTGTGAGTGCTAGCAAAGAAGATGCTACGTCGCACGAGTGCTGACCTGTATGACCCGATGGCTCAACAGCGCGGTCGCTAGTCAAGACGGTGTCATCAGCATCTGGGACGTGCGGTCCAATCGCTGCGAAGCACAGCTGTACACTTCTCAAGATGCTCAGATTGGCCCGGGCGCGGCAAGGGTGGTGAAGTGGAGCCCGCGGGGTGATCTGCTGGCTTACACTGAACACGAAAACTACTTTCATGTCGTCGAGACCACAACGTTCAAGGGCACCCAACGAATTTCTGTCGCTACGCCTTCGGCCCGTCCAGAATCAGAGCGGTCACCTCGGCGCAGCGCAGCAGCCGCATCTTCTCAGTCGAGCAACCCGCGCGGTGATATGGTGATAGGTGCAGAAAGCACCACTTCTGCTCCGCTTTGGTCTCGGGGCTCTAGGACTTCTGCGAGTGCAGCATCCAATCTTGTGCGCTCCTCTAGAGCCGGGGGTCGTACCGAGCTCTTAGGAGGCGGCGTCGCCTTGCAGACCACAAGTCTCAGAGACGCTTGGGAGGAAGCATTGCCCATTGTGAGAGCATATAGCGGTTTTGGGCCGGGCTCGAGCGTGATCTGGCCCACTGCAGAGTCGCGTAGACAAAGGGTGAGGGATTAGCCAAGTGATGCCTGCGCTTGGCCTCAGCTAAACGTGCGCTTTGATCCTCCGGCCACAGGACCGAAACAAGACCATCGCTGGGCTTACCTGGGACTCCAAAGGTGAGTGGCTGCTAGGGAGAGCTGAGCCTCGGAGCGACCGCTGAGCGGACCATTCTTCCTTTGGCGGGGCAGGAGAAAGCCTCTACGTGGCTAGCGATACTCACATTATGAGATATCGCGTCGTGGAGCTCCGCAGATCATTTGCCGCCCCGGATCAGATGCGGTAGCGCATAAAGTGTCAATCTGTCTTTTCGGGAGGCAAGCTGTCAGTTTGAACTCGATCGTGTCACCCATCATAACCTGTCTCGGCGCCTGTGTACCACTACTTTCTCTCTCTATCTCTCCATGTGTACTTCTTTTGCCACGAATGATCCGGGCATCTCACGTTTTGTGTTCCAATGAACCTCCTTTCAAGCTCTTTCATTGGGACACCGCCATGTCTACCTCGTGTGCGGAGAAGTATGCAGAGGCTTGCTGGGCTTTACTTAAGGGACAAGACTGCCCACCATGTCTGAAGTCGTCCCGAGACACGGCGGCCGAAGTGCGAGTATACATCCACGCGGGCCGTCCACGCTGATAGCGCTGAGCACTCGTACAGGAGAGCTTTCCGATACAGCTTTACCTTGTTGTGCGCGGTCTTCATTTGGATTCCACCATTCACATAGTGAGCTCATTAATTCTGCTGCGCAGGTTATTTTGTGAGCGCCCCTATTATTACTGCACGGTGTATTCATACTCTGACTCTTCTGCCTATATATAGCTTGCGGCTTGGACCCTTCCAGGCGCAGCTCCTGCTGCTCCGGGCGGGGTCTGTTGGTCCCAATTAAGGATGCGGGGTGCATCGTGCATGCTGCTGCTGCTAATCAAGAATTGCATCCCGCTCGCTCACGTTGTGAATGGCGCAACGAGCTGCTGCTCACGAGCATGCAGAGGCAGGCGGACGAGCTGAGACTCAACGCCTGCATGGCGACTCGCGACTTGCTCAGCTATGGGAAGAGAGGCCCCTCTCGCAAATGAGGTCCTCCTCACGCCACCATCACGAACAGCTATAGGCACACCTCTTCTCGCCGTCCAGAGATCCTGGGTGCGGATGCAGAATCACGAACGTCTCGACGACAAAGCTACGTACGTTCTACCGCCGGTTGCACGTACAGCAGAATAAATAGATGCATGGCTGCCTCGATCACTCTCACCTGCTGCGCTTAGATCGTGCACAAAAGTCACAGTGCGGGCGAGATCTTGCATGGATTCGGCCTCGGTCCGCGCCGCGGCTGCGCGTATCGAACGAGCGGTCGCGGAAGGTTGATGGTGTACCGACAATCAATCACAAATATCGCGAATTGTGAATGGACAAAGCGCCGACTGAAGGCTTTGTGTGCGGTTGAGCAAGTGCGGGTTCTGACACGCAGTCACACAGTGTATATGAGGGAACTGCAATGTGTAAATGCTTCGGCACCCCGTCGATGTTTCCTTCGAGCTTGGGTCGTCAACGGCGGGCGGCCCTACACCGTACAATTAGCTCGAATTACTCATGTGCATACGTGTAGAGCGAGCGGCCCGTGCGACCCCGTGATTTTTCAAGTCAAGAGTCACAGTGGATCCACCCCTGCATGGCTTCGCCATTCCCCTTTAAATAATCTTGAATGTGAATATATATATACTCTTGACTCTTCTGACTGGGCGGGTATTGTGATTGCTCACATCGTGGACGCGGACCGAGTCTTGAGTCGCACCTCATCAAGCCATTTGTCAGGAGTCAGACTCACATAGTGCTCTTGATGACGAGCTTGGCAAGCTGGGAGGACGCAAGTCATGCCAAGGGATATGAAGATTCTCTCCTGCACCCGCTTCATGATCAAGATCTAGTCGACCACGTCTTGCTCTCATCTAACGACCTCTCACGCTTTACGAAACGCCAGCCCGACAGCCTGCCTCTCCTCCAAATCCAGCCCTGAAAGCATACATCTTGCGCAATGGTCAAGCCTCATCGTCTCAGCGTGATCTCACCGGCCACAAAGCTGCCATTTCCAGGCGAGCCTGATTCTCCTTCGACGCAGGCGGACGCTGCAGCCACCAAGCCGAAGCCGCAGCAGAAGCCATCCTCCAAGACGTTCCTGGACCACATTCGTTTGAGGACGCTTAGTAACAGCAAGAAGGATGGCAAGTCCAGCTCTGCGCCATCCACACCTGTGAGTCATTTGGAAATGTGCCACGCTTTGGCACCCGAGCGACATCCTGTCTGACCATGACGTCCTCACTTGTCAGCGCCCCGGGGACGAAGCCAATGGTGCGCAGTCCCTCGATCTGGCCGTGGCTAAGTTGAGCCTCAGCTCGGAGATCACGCCAGATGGCCTCTCAAAGAAAGAAGCCGGCAAGCAAGGCGAGGTGAAGCGCCAGATGACGCCAGCTGCCGAAATCAAGCAGGCCGACGCACAGATCCCGACAGAGTTCGGCAGCCGTGTCGTGAGTAGCTGTTGTCGACGCCTTCTCCGTCGCCTACGCCTCCTCACCAGCTGCGCTCTGGCCACCGTCCTTGCAGTACATCTTCTCTCCCGATCAGTCGATGTCCGACATTCAAGCCCAGGTGGATGAGGTGTTCAGCGCCCAGGAGACCAATCAATTTGGCTCAGACCGCTTCGTTCTTCTCTTCATGCCCGGCAAATATCAGCTGTACGTCCTCAGATCGCTTGCGCGCGCTCGTCACACGGCCCGAATGCTGATGTCCCTCGCCGCACTTACGCACAGTGATGTGAAGATCGGCTACTACACCACTGTACACGGTCTGGGTCGCTTCCCTGAAGATACCATCATCGAAGGCGCTGTCCGGGTCAAAGCCGACTGGATGGAGAACAGCAATGCCACCTTGAACTTTTGGAGAGGCGCCGAGAATCTCACAGTCATTCCGACCATCGAAGAGGATCAAAAGATCCTAGTGTGGGCTGTGTCGCAAGGTGCGCCGCCCAAAGCGCTATTTGCGTGCTGCCCCCCTGTCTGTTCTGACGTGGTCATCTGCCTGTCCATCTTTCGCAGCCACGTTCTTCCGTCGCATTAGCGTCCAGGGCAATGTGGTCCTGTCTGACCATGGTGGTTGGTCCAGCGGAGGCTTCATCGCCGATTGCAAAGTCTCGGGTAACATCGACAATGGCACACAACAGCAGTTCATCACTCGTAACACCAGCATGGGAAGCTGGACAGGCGGGTCTTACGCTCAAGTCTTTGTTGGAGATGAAGGCGCTCCACCGGAAGACTGGCCCGCCAAGCCCTTCTCCACGATCAAGCGCACTCCTGTGCTGCGCGAGAAGCCGTATCCCATCGTCAACGAAAAGGGGACCCTGCAGATCGTCGTGCCACAACTAAAGCTCAGCAGCGTTGGACCTAGCTGGGTCGAGTCGCAGGACGCCGGATGCGATTCCCCTCCTGCTGATGTGGTGCTCGACCTCTCTAGCTTCTACATCGCCTCCCCGCTCAAGGACACTGCCTCGACCATCAACGCTGCTCTGGACTCTGGCAAGTCGATCGTCTTTAGTCCTGGCGTATACCCGCTCGACCAAGCGCTTGCTGTCACGCAGCCAAACACCATTCTGCTTGGCATCGGACTCGCCACCCTCAGACCCGAAAATGGCACGGCCGCTGTGACTATATCTGATGTCGATGGCGTGACAGTGTCTGGATTGCTGCTGGACGCTGGCTTCCGCAACTCTGCCAACCTCATCACGGTAGGGGACGCCAAATCCGCCCTTTGCCACTCGCACAACCCAATCGTTCTTCACGACATTTTCTGCCGCGTCGGCGGTGCTGGCTTGGGCCGCGCAACAACCTGCATGACCATCAATGCTCGCGACACAATTGTCGACAACACCTGGATTTGGCGAGCCGATCACGGTGAAGGTGTCGGTTGGTACGATAATCAGGCTGCCGTTGGTCTGCTCGTCGAAGCAGATGATGTCACCATCTACGGGCTCTTTGTTGAACACTTTCAGCAGTATCAAACGGTTTGGAACGGTGAACGTGGACAGGTGTTCTTCTACCAGGTGAGCGGCCTTTCCGCTGCAAGAGCATGCATTTGTGATCACTAAGCCAGAATTTGCTTCTTACTGTGCTCAGAGCGAATTTCCATACGACCCGCCCAACAACGCTGTCTGGTCCCATTCGCGCGTTCCGGGCTATGCATCCTACAAAGTTGCTCCCAGCGTCAAATCCCACTTCGCTACTGGGCTGGGTATCTACGCCGTCTTCGTCAACGGCGGCGAGGGTGTGGTCAGCTATACCGCAGTCGAGCAGCCGGTCTCTGATGAGGCTTATGCCATCAAGGTGGTCCTTGTGCGACACGTCTCCATCGTGCGCTTTGCTGGAAAGGCCGGAACGGGGGTCAATCACGTCATCAACGGCCTTGGCAAGGGCATCGGCGACAATACCCGTCTATCTATGCTCAAGGATGCCTACTCTGGCGATGATCAGACCTCGCCTGACCTGCAAAAAGCTGCTAGCAAAGTAGCTGCAAAGCGCAAATAGTCGTCCAGGGCTACCGAGCAACGCAGAATCCGCATCTAGGTTCCTACAAGCTACCCTTCGTATCGCAGCCCAGCTTCCAATGCATACCGCGGGATTCTCCTTTTCTTAACGTCGCTTTACGACCCTTGATCAGACCTGCTACGACAAATTTTCATGAGCGCTTATTGAGCTTCATCGATCGAGTTCAGACCTTGCGAATGGCATCGTCGTGGCTGTGAGTGCGAGTGTTGAGGATTGTCCAGTAATTGCGTGCAGTAGTGTCCAACAGAAAGCTCTCCCTCAGGGATCATTTCTGGAATGTTGCATGATGACTCAACACATCGCTAGCCGCTCGAGCCAACGCCATGTCCAGATCTCAAGAATACCGCGTGTAGATGTGATTCCTTGAACGAAAGACTCTTGATTTAGCGTTCGGAGTGTCCCACTCTCGGACTTGGGTCTTAGGTGTCCAATCTGGCGAATCTGTTGAGGTCAGTCGTGAGTGATTCCGAATCAACCTTCGTGATTGCCCACCTGCGCATGCGTGAAGCTTGGGCCGTGATTTGGATGTCGGAGTCATTGAACATTCACGTGATTGTAAATTCTCCGTCCTCAGGAAGCGGAGCCGAAGGTCTGAGTCAAGCCATCAACAAAAAAGGACTCCAATCAGAGGATATGATCCTAGGGTACACTTCACATCTTTGAGACTTGACTATCTAATCCCTCGCTTAGTGAAGCTAATTCAAAATTAAATCATCCTCAGCCTGCTGCTCTACGCGTTCAAGCAGAACTCGATTTGAAAATGTTCAATTAAGGGGCTTGCATGACGCTGTTATTCAAATTATAGGCTGTTGCGACACAGAGCGATCGAGGCGAGTCCGCGCGGAAATCAGGCTACCGCAAGGGGTCGTACCTGCCTGCCGGCGCTTGATTCACGACCGTTACAGGCGGCACGGCGTTCGTTGCTCACCTGAACTTCACGTCTAGACATACCTCGATCATCCAGCACCATTCATTGTGGCCGGGCTGGCCGAGCTGCAAATTCACCTCCGCTCGGCACTCATACACTCATCCTTCAGCTGGCGAGCTGTGACGCGAAGCGGGTTCCGAAAATGTGCCATGAGATTCAGAATCGCCGCGCAGCCTCCGCCACTGTACAGATGACAATCTCGGAATGCAACAGCTAAGACGATCTCAGGGGGGGTGGGAGGCTAAGAGTTGGTGCGCTAACATGCCAATGGATCGCCATGATGTCTCCGCATTCCATGAGACTCCCTTCCGACCAAGGCTCATGTCGAAGCGCCGCTCGCCTCTCCGAATGTCCAAACGGAGTCGCAAAATGGCAGATACCGTTGCAGTGCTGCTGACTCTATGCGCTGAGATGAGACATGAAAGCGCCAAGCCTTGCGGATAGTGTTGACCGACAGGCTCAGCTCGCCCGCCGCGACCTTTCCGCACTCCAACCTTGTAGACACACTACCTTGGACCCCGGGCTGAGCGGGAGACTGCACCAAATAGATTCAACAATGTGCGCATATATTCGGATTCGCTCACTGTAGGGTTGCCACCCTACAACCGTATCACGCAGTATACCCAAATTGATGAAGGAGACAGCATGCTCGCAACCGCTCTTTGTTCTGCGCAGGTCACCTCATCCAGCAACAGCGTCGTACCTCGGTGTCTATTCCCGCCTCAGCATGCAACCTCAGCTTCCGGCCACGCCACCAATCCTTTCCTCCTCGCAACAATTTCGATAACAGCGCATCAGACATAAAAGCCGGAGCTTCGGTGTAATTCCTTTTGCTCTGAGCCCCATCAATTCTGGCAAGGTGCTGCCGCCGCTCAGCATCGAACCATCGTCTGGCCAAACAGCACTATTTGAACTGTCTCGTTTTCCTCACATTTCCTCGGTTCTGGCCTCACACACAAGGATGCTGCGTCACAATGTCCTCGTAGCCCTGCTGCTTTCGCTCTCACTCTCCTTCCGCAGCGCCAATGGCGAAGATACGACACAATCGACGTCGCAATGGCAAGCACAAGTCTTTCACGACCCCGTCAAGCATCACGGCAAGCACCACATGTCGGTCATGGCTCATCGTATCCTTCATCCGCCCTTTCTCACCGACGTACTGGAGCGGGCCTCGCAAGAAATGGCCAAGATGGAGTCAGAGATCGACAAGGACTTCGACATCCCCACCGGCGTGCAGAAGAGGGCAGCCAAACCATCTCACTTGCACTCACGCTCTTACAACGATCGTTTGCAGGCCAGAGCACAAGGAACATCGGACGGCGACATCACCAAAAGGGGCGAGAATCGCCGGTGGGTGGGCGATGAGGGTCTTGGCTTGAGCATAGCCCGGGCGTCCAACACTCAGAGGGACAACGAAGTGAGTTGTAAAGGCGAAGTTCTTGTCTCACGGGTCATCTTGATGCTGACCGAATGTCGACCGCACTCCTGTTGATCAGTGGCTGATCGAAGTCGGCGTTGGTTCACCCTCACAACCCATCAAGATGGTCGTCGACACTGGCTCAGCCGACTCTTGGATGGTGCGTCTCGGCTCGATGACATAGCTTACTTGATAAGGAGAGCGGAAAGAGCTGAATTCCCGCTTCTCCTGGTGTTCTTAGTACTCGCCGTCGTGCTGCTACGGCAAGAGTCACCACTACTTCGATCCAGCCGCATCCTCCACATTCTCCAACCGCACCCTCTCTACTAAGGGCCGGCCCATCCGTGCGGCATCCGGCGTACAAGGCCAGTGGTGGAGCACATCCTACGCTGGCGGCTCAGGAACCGATGGGTACCTGGGCATCGACACGATGCGAATTGGGAATCCTTCTGTCAATGTGCCGGACTCGACCATTGGCCTTGCGCTCGCCGTCAATGGTCAGCAGCGTGCGTCGAGGAAGATGGAAGGTTTGCTAGGCTTCAGTCCGGGCGCTCTCAGCCCTACGCGTGGAGGTTGGGTCACGCCCTTCGAGAAGATGACGCGGGATGGGACCCTGGCGTACCCGGTCCTCACCGCCAATTTGCTCAAGGCGGACCGCAGGACAGGTAAAGGAGGCGGAGGCCAATACACGTTTGGAGATGTCAAACAACCCAACATGGACGGGGAAATGAAGTGGATCGATTCCACTAGCACGTACTACTGGGGTGCACACGGAGCCGGGCTGCGCATGGGCGACCACCACCTCAATGACGATGATCACAACAAGCGCTTCATCCTGGACACTGGCTCTTCCATTCTGTACCTGTCGAGCAGAAGCGCAGCGCTGGGCAATGCACAGATTGCCGGATCGTACTATGCGGCCGAGTCCTCGCTCGGCACAAAATGGCTCGTTCCCTGCGCCACTGGGCTGGTCGAATACGAGCGTCAACTGCCTCCTGGGCAAAGGACACCTCCGTTTTGGGTGGATCTGGATGGAGCTCAGTTTGCCATCCCTGCCGAAGATCTCGTATTTTGGCCAAACAGTCCGATAGACCCTTCAGAGACGGGAGGAAGAGAAAACATGTGCTTCTCCACCATTCAGGAAGGTTCTGAACAATTGGCTGTCATTGGAACTGCTTTCATCAAGAACCACATCGTCTCGTTTGCCTTTACGGACAACAAGGCTACGAACCGAAGGATCGGCATTGCAAATCGCTCCGACGTCAACCTCTTTCCCAACCTGAACTGAGGCATTACGCCCACCGCAAAGCGCTGGAACGCTCCGCTCCTTCTTGACTTCCTCACACTCTCAAGCTGGCTTACCTCGTGCCATCTGCGATGGCACTCCCACTCCGCGATCAACCGGTGTCCACATTACGCTCCCTACTTGCATCTCAGAGCACATCAACAATGCAATGATAGAGTTCGAGGAAATCTTTCGGTCTGTTTCTTATGCATGGCGAGGCTATCTGTACAGATGAGTGACAAAGAGACCGACCAGATTTGGATCGGGGGAGGGGGAGAGCAAGGCGCGAGACGGAGGGCGTGAGAAATTCGTGTACTGTGATGATCATGCAGATTGCTGATCGAATTGACTGTCAGACGGTGTGGAGAGCGTCGTATCATTATTTGGAATGTCGAGAGTCGTGAGCGCAAGACGAATAATGGATGTTTAAAGATGCGAGAGGTTGTTTGTCGCACTGCCCCGAGGAGCGCCAGAATGCGGCACATTGTTCAAAGGCTTGGACGAGAAGGCGCGCTAGAGGGGTGGCGAGCGCAGCAAGGACTTGTCGCCGGACCTTGCCCCTTTTCCCGTGGTGACAGATGATGAGACGTGACCACGACGGGTCTTGTGCCTCTCCGCAGGAGACATTGAGACGAAAAAGAATTCCCCGGGCTGGAAGCTTGGGATCTGGCTGAGCGCACGTGCCAGATACAATGGCGACCCAGCAGTCGTGGAGGAGAGAGAGGAGCGGGGCAATGATCGGACCTAGCAGCTGCAGCTTCAAGAGTAGAAAAAGTCTTCGACGCTTCGCATCTTGCTGACGCGCGGTTCGAGAATGTGCCAGAAGATGTAGAAGGCAATGATGATGGAAGCGGTGTTTGCAGCTAGCCAAGCCAGAGTGTTTGCGGATCCGGCGAGCGAGAATTGAGCGGCGCTATTGGCTGGGAAAGCGCAGCAGGTGATCCAGATGGATTGCAAGAGCTGCGCAAATTGTTGAGGTGCCGAGCTGACTGCTTGTGCCATGTTCGAAACAGAGATTGGCCCGACGGCCGGTAGGAGCGGAGCAGCGATGGACTTGGTGCTGCTCGACAGGGAAGCTAGGCTCAGTGAGAAACCGTTCCAGCCTTGTGTCCGAAGGCTCGAAGACATGTACATGTTGCCCAGAGGCTCCAGAGCTGCTCGAAGCGAAGGCAGTGGGTTGCTTGCCATGGCGCTCATGACGGATGGTGCTTGCGCAGTGATGCAATGCGACGTGTTCCTTTCGAGTGCCTTGCAAATCGTGAATGACGTGTTGCGGTTTGGGGAGCAGAGGAGGCTCGAAGATCGGTGTGCTCGTCAACAAGGACGGTGTGAAATCGTTTGATCACCAGACGGGCAGTAACGGTCGTGTCTAGCAGACGGTGGTGAGCGGACGATTAGGTCTGGCTGGGAGGAGTACGGAGCAAGATGGCCAGGCATATATAGGCAGGAAGACGATGAACAGGTGCTTTGCACATTGTGCCCTCGTCAAGAGGTGTGCCGATCCAAGCATCAGCAGCAGCAGCAAAGAGGCAGAAGACCTGTTCTATACGTTCCCCTGAACGCGAATGCAATGCAATGCACACGCAGTGAAGGCGGCGATCTGCAAAAGTCAAAAGTGGCGCATCGCTAAGGCCTACCCCGCACCCCGCACTCACGACTTTCTGACGGCATGCGCGCGGCACGGCCCCCCATGCAAGAGCAGTGAGTGATGGGAGCGAACGCACGCACAGCACGTTGATCCGTGCGTATATAAACCATCACGAATAAGGTAAGGCGCTTTGGAGCGCATGAGAGCACTCGTCAGCGGTGACTGAGAAGAACACACCCATGCACTCACACTCACGATTCTCCAATCACCGTCAGCATGGTCACAGCTATCGTGCTGCTTGCTGCATGCACATCGGAGCGAAGAAGACGCTTGAATCTCAGATGCGGCAAGATGCAGGGGCAGCTTTACCTGCTCTTCTCTCAACAGCATTGGGGAGCATGAGGAGAGGAAGCCGCCGGGGGGGGACTTGCAACCGCGACAAAGCATACACCGCATGCATCAGCAGGCAGCAGAGTACAGTATATATGCGCGGAATCGGCACATTTGCAGCGCGTGCGCGCAGAGGTGCTGCCGAATCCCGCAGCGCGTTCTTGGGGATCTCATCTGCTGTAGGTAATTTGCATGGAGAGTGAGTATATGCAGCCGCGAGCGCTGGTGACCGTTGCACTCACGACTGTGATTGACAATCTTGAATGGCGCGAACCTGTGTTGAACGGCTCGAGCTGTCCTCAAGTCTGCAGCAATAATTTGATCAGCTTCGATGATGTATGCTCTGAGCGAGAGACCTTTACTCTGACTCGATCCAATCTGCTGAGCACATGTGCTTACAGTCAGAGTCCTTAATTCCAGCATAAGCGAGGCCGCGGCCTTTTGCGATCAAATCAAGCCAATTAACGTTCGCACACTTTCACTCACGACTCGCATTTGCTTCCGCCTTGCGCCGCCCCAACACAATTAAGCCGAGGCCATCAGCCATGCAGCCAGCACGCGTTGGCCGGCCGGAAGCTTTTCCCCGCACTTTAGCCCGTGCAACTCTGCTCACTTGCTGCACCACGTCTTGCTCATCGCGGCAGGGAAGCACACTGTGAATAAGGCTCCCAACACGTACGGCCTCACAGAAGGGCATGTATTTTGCGCCTCACCTATACCTAGAACAAGAATTTGCCACTCGCCACCAATTGCGTCCTGCACTTTCTCGTATGAGCGCGTAAACCACGGTCAAGCTGGAAGCTGGTGCGAATCGCATGGCTGCCACACCGGACCGGGCGAAAGCGAGGCTCAGATTCGCGCTCTTCATAGCTGTATATATACACACGCACATGACGTGAGCTAGAGTGTGAGTGTGTGTGCCTCTGCATCGTCGTCCCGAGCCTGACCCGCCGTCAGACTTGTCTGTGTGGCTTGTGGCGCGCTCGCTGTGAAAGACGAACGTCGCGCGTGGATACGCGTGAATTGTGAAGGGAAACATGCCGCTGCTGCTGTCGACGCGCGCTCAGCAGCATGCATCTGCACGGCACGCTATGAAAAGGCGGCCTGAGACTGGCCGATCCTTGCGAAGCAGAAGAGCTACCTATACACGCGGGAGGCCGGAGCGGCGCAGGCCTTGACACGCCCACGCGTATAGCATATTTGCAACAGCTAGGCGCTGCTGCATGCTGGGGGAAACTCGATCGTGCAAGCAACGCGTGCTGCATGCGGCGGCCAGCACACGCGGCAACGTGACGTGTTCATCAGGCCTATAGCTGTAGCCACGCATGCCGCCGCCGTCTTTTCCTGCTCTTCTCGATCCCGCTTGGGCGGAACGTGTATGTACGTCAAGAGCGAGCGAGCAAGCAAGCAAGGGTCTGTATTCACGATTCGTGATTCACGTGATTGCGAACACCTTCTCGTCCATGTTGGTGTTCAAGGAGCGATGAGCTGACAGCACGTTCCACCTCCTCCAAGGCGGTGAAAAGCCATGGACTGACTCACTTAGACTCGCACCTGTCCGACGCACGCCCTCTCTGCTGGGTCTCGCTTTGCAGCCCGCACGGCGCGCCTTGTTCTCTCTTGTCCCATTGATCTGCATCATCACGCATTGAGCAGCTTATTATTCTGAGCGTGAGCTGTCCAAAGCGTTCGCGATTTAGCCTCGCACGACTGCGCTGGACGGATGGATGTCGCCGGCATAGATTGATCTAGTAGCGCGGGCTCGAATGAAGGATGCATGCCGCACGCACCTCTTCTGAATCAGCACGCGCATAAGGTGATGTTGCCTAATCTAGACGTGTACTGTACGCCTGCGGTGAACAGCAAAGCGCGAAAGAAGATTAGGAGCTGTTGTGCAGGGAAAAGATCTTCAAATTTGAATGGAGTCGTGAGTGTCGAAGCAATCAAGAAGCGTGATTATTGGTATTAGCATCGTGTAGGGTGATCCTGCCTTGACTCTTTGTGACCGCGCTGACTAACGTATGCTTGCTGACTGTCCGTTGCGGGGAGGACTGGTGCCAATCACGTGGCAACGGCTTGTGAGCATTCAAGATTCGAATCAGAATTTGAATTGAATCACGTGAAGAATTTAAATCGAGATTGATGAGTCTTATTTTCTTGCGCACAGCCGAGTGGACGAGAGTCAAGACAAAAAAAAAGTTGTCCAGGTAGCCGTGCTCGAAGCTTGCCTTGACGAAGGTTCGAGACTCACGTGACTCGCGACTGCTCCTATCCCCATCACACTCATCAAAATTTCGACTCGTCAACTCTCTTCTCTTCTTCTCTGATGACTTGTGTGACTCAACACCTACGGTGCGGATGCAATTTTGAATGCGCTCCTTACTCGCGCGCGCATTGCAATACGATTCATTCACGATCCTTGACTCGGGATTTTCATTCAGATTGCAAATGTGCTCTTCTCTCTCGCGCTCGCTTTGCTCAAGTCAGAAGAGAGTCGATTCGTCCGCCCGCCCGCACGCACGCACGCACGCACGCACGCACGCACAAGAACGCGGGAACTAATCTCCGAGTCACGAGCAGCGCCCATGCGCAGGACTCTTGACTGCGAGTCAGTGAGTAAAGTTGAGTCCAGCACCTTGCCGCCTTTTCACACCTCTTGCACGTACAAGTGACTATATAGCTCTCTTGACTGCTGAGGATGCATGAATGAGCTCGCCGCTACACAATAATGGCTGACATGCACCGGCTGTTCTGAAAGCTTTTCGTCTTTGCTCGCGCACGCGCACGCGGTCGCGGTCACGCAACTCTGGATGACTGCTGCATGGTGACTGGTGACTCCGATCATCATGTGCAATCAGATTTGCCGGTCAAGCTAGACACTCACCACTGCATGTGCAGCGCGCGCGCGTGGTCGTGGTCGTGATCGTGGTCGTGCGTGTCTCTTCGGGGAAGCTTTAAGCGTAGTTTCACAAGAGCGGTGCCTGGTTTTGCGGTCTATGCTGCTGTACTGCGTGTGGTCCGATGCTTGGCTGCATATATGAGCGCACGTACGGTCGTCAGCATGCTGGCGGACGCTGCCGCTGCCGCTGCTATACTCGTCCACCCGCCGACTGTGTGAGACTTTCTTGCGCTCAATCAAGAATCGTGAATCACGAATCAAGGATCAAGCATTCAATTGGTGATTCCATGTCATGTCATGACATGACATACGACCAAGCACAGCTCGCCGACTCACACAATCTCAACGCAACGAGCGACCCAACAGGTGCGACTAGCAGCAGAGCTGTCACTCCCGCTTTTGCTGACAAGCGGCAGCACCTACGACTCCCGATCCATCCTTGATGCTGATCATAACGTCTCAGCACGGCCCTACAACAAGCCGACGTTCCTCTTGAGTCAGCACCTCATCGCTCTTCGCATCAAATCTCCCTCCTGCCCCCCCAACATCACCACCGCGATGTCGTCCGCATATCTCTCCAGCGCCGTTTCCCGCATCTCTGGAGTGAGCGCTTCGGAGGAGCTGGGCGACAGCGCTGCTCACCAACCTGGCGTATCGCCACCCTTGTCACCAGTCAATGAGCGCGACATTGAGCTGAGCGCACCATTGCCAGTCTTTAGATCACACGAGAGGCCTCCAAGCCCAGAGATGCAGCTCAGAAGAGGATCAGCCTCTGCCCATACGCCCGCGCCGTTGCACGAAGCTGAGCTCAGCCAAGGCGCATCCTTTGGCCATGCACCATCCGCATACCCACCGCCCGCCCCATCCACGGTGCTCGGTGCCATCACGCCAGGCACGGAAGAAGCAGATCCGCTCCTACTGCGATCTCGTCTCGTCTCGGACACGGACCTGCGGCGCAGACCCAGTCAAGCCAAGGGAGGCAGAAAAGCGGAAAAGCGAATGAGGGAGTTTTATGACGAGCAGAATCTGCACATTGAGAGGCTGCTCAAGCCAATGCATCAGCACGCTTCGGAAGATGCGGAGGAGATGGCGAGTGTGGGCAGGAGCGTCAAGTTTCTCATCTACATCAATATTGCTGCCAATTTCGTCCTGGCTGGACTGCAACTCTTTGCCGCCATCTCTTCTGGCTCCCTCTCCCTCTTCGCCACAGCAGCCGACAGCGTGTTCGACCCTTTTGCCAACATCTTTTTGAACTGGCTGCATCGCAAATCCGAAAGGCTGGACGAGAGGAAATGGCCATCGGGCGGATCGAGGATTACGAATGCTGGCAACATTGCCTACTCGTGCATCATGCTCAGCGTCTCGCTCATCCTCATCGTCGAAAGTATTCGAGACATTGCTACACACAAAGCGGGAGAGGAGAACGATCTCTACATTCCTTCCTTGGTCGCCGTAGGTGTGGCCTTTGCCACCAAGCTCACGCTAGCCGTCGTCAACTACGGTCTCCGCAAGTACAGCTCGCAACTGGAAATGCTCTACGTCGACTGCCGCAACGATCTGGTGAGTACTTTCTTTGTGCGCTGGATGGCGTTCAGTACTGCTCGAAGCAGATGCCACGCGTATCTTGTGAGGGTGACTGACTCTCCCTCGCCTTCCTGCGCCGTAGTGGATCAATGGCTTTGGTATCTTCACCGCCGCAGCTGGAGCGAAGATCGCGTGGTGGATCGACCCACTGGGCGCCATCATCATCTCCATCGGCATCGTGGTGGTCTGGACGCGCACCGCCTTTTCCGAGTTCAAAGAGCTGTGTGGGGCGTCGGCGCCCACGGAATTCTATCAGTTGGTCACCTACAACGCCATGCTGCACTCGGAACACATCAAGTCCATCGACTCCATCAAGGCCTATCACTCTGGCCCAAATTACTTCGTCGAAGTGGACATCGTCATGGACAGCAGCGCCCCGCTCAGCCTCACCCACGATGTTTCTCAAGACCTTCAGGATCGTCTGGAGAGCTTGCCTCGCGTGGAAAGATGCTTCGTGCACGTAGATTGGGAGGTCACTCACGCTCCTGAGCACCGCAAGACTCGATGAGCGGTGAGAAGCGGCAAGGAGCGGAATCGAGGAATCGAGCCGACTTGTTGTGCACGTGTTCACATGTACATGACCTCTTATGCTCTGGCCTAATCGACGTATCATCGCATCAAGATAAAGTACAGTCTCCTTGAACAAACACATCCGCCCTCGCAGCTCGCTGCACAGTATTGCTGGAATTGGGCCCTCTTGCGTCCAGCATGTGTATCACCGATGAGCGTTTGACAACGTGGAGTCTGCATGCAATCGTGCTTGCACACGAAACTGTCGGAGCGTCTGGTCAAGTAGTGCGGTGACATGGCGTGCCTATAAAACCTGCAATTACGCGATGGTCAAGTACAATGAAATGGATGACTTTGCGAGACGCCAACCCGAGTAGAACACGAGGCTTGACCTGCGCGAATCGCTCTATAGCGCGTACGCGAGTCGATGATGGTGCGCGCGGAGCGCACAAAACTGACCAAGGTGCATTTCAGAACGTCGACGAAATGGCTGTTCAAGATAACCGAACGATCGATTGAGAGGGCATCTTCGAAAAAGCCGGTCAGCACACTGGCTCGTGACTAGGAGGCAAAAGCTTGCCCCGCGTTGCGTCTGGCCATACGCAATGTACGTCAACATCCAAGCATCAGGATGACGAGCATCATGCGAAACAGAGCATCTGCTCACGCAGCGCGCACAATCGAGCCTAATAAGCTGAACGAGAATTTTTGAAGCTCGCGAGCCGGATCGCTAGGTAAGGGGCGGGCCGGGCCGCATGTGCGGTCAGGCTGGCTCGCAGAGCGCACTCAGAGAGTGCCTCGAAGTCAAGTCATGAGCTTCCAATGACATCGAGAATACAATGTAAGAAGCGAGTTCGCTCGGAGAAGACATGGTGAAAAGTGCCTATTGGGAGCGCAGACGAGTAGCGCTAATTGAATCGGCTCTCTAGAGATTCCTGCAGTCTGTCCGACAGTCTTCCACCTGCCAATCGTCTGTCGAGTCCAGCCTCACTTCGGATGGTGCCGTTGGAGCGTCGTCCCGATTCATCGCCGAATCGTTCCGCCAAGGAAGAGGCATTGGACATGCCTCCGCCTCTTCTATCTTTGTTGTGCGACCACCTCTCGGCATCCGCTCCAGCATCAGCATCGAATGCACCGCTTCTTCGACCTCGTCCCCTGCGCCGATCAGCCCACTCATCGGCGTGCATCCCACCCCCGCCTCTCCTCCTCGACTCTCCTCCATCGTCCGCTCTGCCGACCCCACCCAGATCATCCCAGCCTCTGGAACCCGCACCGGGGGCTCGCATGGCCCCTCGACCCTTGATACGAACGTGGCTTGCAGGCGAATCTGAAGCTCTCTCAGCTCGGCGAACTGGACTAGCAGATCTGTCCCTGTTCCTGTCGTGCAAGGTCTCCAGTTCTTCATCCAGCGCGTCCATAGCAGCTCGGTTAGATCCTCCCCGACCTCGTCTATGTTCACCAGTGCCTTCTACGTAACGCTGACCTCGATCGTTCTGATCGAATCGGTCGTGCTGCCAGCTCTCATCGATCCGAGAGCCAAGCCTCATCAAGGGGTATTTATCGTCGTCATCGTCCCCTTCCCGTTTCCTCAAATCGTCAAGCTCTGCATCCATAGCATCGATCATGCTCTGACCTTCGTTTCCCCTCCCTCGCGAGCGTTTGGGAGCAATGTCCAAAAGCCTGGGCACCACTTCTCTGCCCGCATCCCGTCCATGCTGCCTATACCATTCGCTGGTGCTGCCTCCTGCTGCTTGCGGCCCATCCGTTGGAGAACGTGGCTCTCCTCGCCGTCTGCCGGCTTTGGTGTCACTGCTTTCCAAAGCGTATCTGACCCAGAGCGGACCACGAAGCTTTCGTAGTGCTTGGCGTGTAGGATCATTCTCCAGCGCGGATTCTTCCTCAGCAGCCATCTCTGCATAGATTGCAGGGGCGTCTGCTGGCAGCTCTGCCCGCCTTTTCTCCGCCTCTTTGTGACTCCTGAGAACGGTCATCAGAGTCTCCTTCTCGTTGCTGCTGTACAACTTGACCGGCAAGTTGCGCACTCTGCGAGGCAGCAGTAGCGCCTCGACCAGCTCTTGAGGGATCTCTTCTGCCGGAGTTTCGCCGCGCTCGTGCAGGAGCTGAATTTGAGCCGCTGCTTCGACGTGGTCTAGAGAGGGATACGAGGAGTCTGAGCCGCTCTCGGAGGTCGTGAGTTGCAGAGCTGCAAGGGCCGAATTGGCGTCGGAGAAGACGACTACAGCGCTTTGATCGTCTATCCATTCGAGCCCAAGAGGTGCAGCGCCGAAGTGCGTGATCAGTGCAAAGAGTCGAGAAGTGGATAGTTGTGTGATCGGTGATCCGCTAAGATGCAGAGCGACCAGACGAACGTCGAGGCCGCCGCCAATGGGTCCAGGCACAGTCGGAGCAGGTCCTGCACAACGGCGGACACCAGGTGAGCATTGCACAGCGAGGGAGCCTGCTCTGAGGCCTTGATACTCACCAGCAGCTTGCTCCGAGTCTAGCTTCTGCAGAGCCATCACGAGGCTCTCCTCATCAGGAGCGCCAGGGATGATGCTTCCGTGCTTTTGAGGCAAAGCATAGAAGCGCGCACCTCTCCTCTCCGCCTCGCTTCTCCTCCTCTCTTGAAGCCTCAGCGCTGCTCGGTTGATCGGGTTGCCATCCGCGTCATACTGCTCCTCCTCATCCTCTTCACCTGACATGCCATCCGCATCTTCTTTGCCGTAGAACACCTCGTGAGGCGCAAGTCTCGGATTGAGGTCGGCAGCTTCCGAGCTAGTGATGTCGTCTGAGGGACCGTAGTCCAGCTCCATTGCGAATGGTGAACGTCTGCGAAGCTTAAATTTAGTGGCAAAAGGTCAAAATGGGAGCGCAATATGAACGAATTGCGCGGTGCGCCGCCTTGAGAAGGACAGCTGGAGATGATCGCGGGCGTGGCGACAGTACTGGCCCGACTTCCGGGAGGATGTGGATGAGACGAGAACGAGTCAAGGTCTTGCCTCCAAGAGTCGGTTTCGTGGTCCGAGCAAGAGAGCGAGTCAGACGTGCGAGTGGACGTAGTCGTGTGGAATACGCATCTCGAGCCATGTGCTCACCTGCAAGTCTGGACCACAGCAGCTTCCTAGCGTCTCGAGTCCAGCCGGAACATGATGTGATATGTGAATGGTGAATCAAATGCATGCACGCGCTGCCCGTAATCATGTTCACCACTTCCTCATCGCCCCCACGTGGAGGGGGAAGACGGGCATCTCATGCAGCGATCCAATCACGAATTAAGCAGCAACTTTTACTCACGACTGTGACTGCAGGGCTGGCCCGAGCGTGCGCGTCCCACTCCGCTCGCGCGTCTCTCGTGACTGCTGCACGCACCGGCCAAGGGTTAAGGACGCGCGTCCGATACGGAGGGCTGCATGTACGCTTCTACACTCACGCTACACTCACACCACACGCATCACTTCCTCATTTCATTCGTGACCCTGTTTGAGCTCAGCGTTGCACGCTTCTGGCCGAAATAGTCACTACAACAAGCCTGCATCTCATCTTTAACCGCCATATAGATAAGCGTGCAACATGGCAGCGGCGTTTACGTCCACAACCTCCAAGTCAGGCTTTGACTTCGGTCTGCACAGTCGCAATGCTCATTTGGCATCTCAAGGGCACGCCTTGCCCAAGGCCACAAGCACGGGTACCACCATCGTCGGATGTGTGTACGAGGACGGCATCGTTCTAGGAGCAGATACCCGGGCTACGGAAGGGAGCATTGTAGCGGACAAGAACTGCGAAAAAGTGAGGCACGGCCAAAAGTCTGGGCAGCGGAAGAAGCATCGGTCGAATGTCTTGTTCGCCACCAGCCGATCTGGATGACTAACACCATCCGTGCTTACCTATCTCCCTTCTTCAGATCCACTACATCTCTGACAACATCAGGTGCTGCGGAGCCGGCACTGCCGCCGACACGGAATTTGTGACCGCACTCATCAGTTCTAACATGCAATTACACGAACTTCACACGGGCCGCAAACCGAGGGTGGTGACGGCAATGACTATGCTCAAGCAGAGGCTCTTCCAGTGAGCGGCAATATCAGTGCCGAGATGATCGGAGCATCTCCCGCTCATACATGCGCTCCCCTCTTCCTCACTCCTTCTCTTGCAGATACCAAGGCCACGTCGGTGCAGCGCTCGTGCTTGGAGGTGTGGATGCCACTGGTCCCCAGCTTTTCACCATCGCGCCTCACGGAAGCACAGACAAACTGCCTTACGTGACCATGGGCAGCGGTTCTCTAGGTAAGATTTCGAATCCTCTCAAATTCGTGGTGGCGAGCATCATTGCTGACGCTCTGATTTGCTCGTTCACCGCCTGCAAACAGCCGCAATGTCCGTATTCGAGACTGGATGGACACCAAAGATGTCTCGTGCAGCAGCAGTCGAACTTGTCGTGAACGCAATTTCTGCGGGAATCTTCAACGACTTGGGATCCGGCTCGAACGTCGATGTTGCAGTCATCACGGAGAAAGAATCCGAGTATCTCAGGAATTACGTCAAGCCAAATGAGAGGGGCATCAAGGAGGCCAAGTATGGCGTGGGCCTCAAGGGCGTCACACCCATCACAAAGGAAAAGATTTGGGAGATGCTTGTGAAGGAGGGTAAGTCTGAGGGCGTGTCATCAGAGACCGCGCGTCACTGGTGGTCCACTGTTGCTGACTTTGCGCAATCACTGCTCCTGCTCAAGACGTCTTGGAGCTCGGCAAGCCTCCTCAAGCTGCTGCCGCTACTGGCGAAGCTATGGATCAGTCATAGCGGTCTCAGCAGAAGCGTTGTAATGACAGAGGCCCAAATGTGATGTGATCACTGCATTTCAGCATTGAAAATGTCAGAAGGGCACTGCTGGGCAAGAAGTGGCAGAGCATGGTGACAAGAAGCAAGGACAATGGCTAGGCTGTGGAGGTCATGCAGGGTAAAGGGTAAAGGAAGTCAGGCCCGAGACTTGATCAAGTCTTGGTTCTGATGAGATTCTTGATCATATCGAAACTGTTGCCATCAGGCTGCAGATCGATCCAAGGCTCTCCGGCGATACCGCCTCCTGCGTTGCCCCAAGCTCCCGGGCTAGTGGAGGTCAGCTTTGATTCCACCGGCACCGCGCGAAGGGTACCGTGATCGGCTGCTATGCCCACGATGCGCGCTCGTTGTGGCGGCTCGCGGTCGTATAAGGTGGTTTCTTGATCGCTGAGCTCGAGTATCGTAGATTCGTGTCAGTCAAGCTGGTGCGGCTGCCACGCTGCTTCGGCTTTGTGGGCATCTCGAGGACTAGGGAAGCGCACTCACGAATGCAACCACACCTGCTCGTACAGAGGTACGAACGGCTCAAAGGAGCCGCCGCCTCCGGCAAAAACCCTCCAAAGCTTCTCCAACGTGGCGAGCACGGCGCCTGCCAGCTTTTCCTGGGAGATGGGTTCCAACGCGGCTTCACCAGCGGACAGGCGAGAGTTGTGATTGGCGATCAAATCGGACAGAGAGGTGGTCGGTCGAGCATTGAGACAATTGATGCCGCAGCCTATGTACGTGCCAGCAGACGAGGCAAAACGAGCGATGGTATGAGTACGTCTAGCAGGCACCCGATCGTGGCGGACAACAGCAAGCAAATCACTCACCCAGTACCAGCTGGAAGTCTTTGCCGGCAAATTGGCTGTTGACAAGGATGCCGGCAAGCTTTGCATAGTTGCGCCCGTTGTGAACGAAGGTACCGGTTCGAGGCTTTGCATCTTCTTCGCTCCGAGATTGCCCTACGTCCGCGTACACATCGTTCGGCCACTTGACCCTCAATTTGGGGCCCAGGTGCTTCGCGTAGTCTGGGCCCAGAGCACCTGATCTGACGGACTCGACGATGGCCAGCGCTGCCAGGTACTGGATGAATACCACCCCTCTGGCGCTCGATTGAGGTAGGAGAAGCACGGTACTGAATTGCAGGCAACCCAGGGGGCTGATCCACGCATTCTTCCCTCGACCTCGCCCAGCTACCTGGTGTGTCGCAAACACCGTAGCTCCAAGCGGCGAATGAGCCAGGAGGTGCGCATTTCTGGGGGTGGTTCACGAGATAGAAAAAGGGAGTAAGCACAGCGACGACTCGACGAACCACCGCCCTCGGCCGGATGTGCTTACTTTTCGAGCAAGGTCTGAGTGCTTGTAACGACCTCTCCGTACAAGATCGAATGCCCCAGCCTTTCCTCGCTCTCTGATGCAGGCCATCCGCCAAATCCCGAAGTTTTTGGTCTCAGTTGAGCGAGTGAGCTTACTGTCGGATCCAATATCCTTGATCGGGATACCTCCAGGCATCTGAAATATTCTGCCATGTCAAAGTGAGGGGTCAGAGTCTTTGGATCGGGAAGAAAAGAGGTTGCTGCTAGCGAGCCTGGAGCTGCGAGAGGAGATCCGGGAAATATGAGAATGTATTTAGGCACCTTGTGTAGGTTCACCTCCCTGCTAGTCTCCACTCTGCCAGCAGTCTCGGCATCCACACCAGAAGCCTGGACCTGCACTTCTTCTTCATAAGGGCTATAGTCGGCCTCTCGCAATGCCCGTTTGACGACGTGCGATACTGCAGGCGCAGAGTAGTAGTGCAGCAAGTCGTTGCTGTCTGCATTGGAGAAGAAGTGTGAGTCCGAGACTAGCCCAGGTGTGGGGAACGACTCGTCCAGCAGATCAGGCGAGAGCAGGTGAGGAAGATCGGTCTGCTGCGCTGGTGTTGCATCGGCATCTTGGGTATGCAGAAGCGCTAAGCAGTTGCCAATCAGACCAGGCATGTTCGACATTGCGAACAACGGTGTAAGGCGAATCCGATTGGTGTCGAGTGCCGACGCAGATGGGTTCGCAGATGCTGCGCCTGCTGTAGGTCGAGACTCGTCTGGAGGAGCTACAAAAGCCGGGAGGTCCACCTCGAGGCCGAGCTCAGTGTGCAGCGTCGATGCAAAGAGTCGCAAACGCTCATTCTCAAGGTAAGAAAGGGAAGCCGCTGTCAAGCCTCCCGCCCCATGCTTGGCCGCTCCTTCCGTAGCATCAGATCCTGCCGCTTGCGTGATCGTTCTCGAGTGGGCGTGTATGGGAAATTCTGGATGCGTGCCGAAGAGCAGTGCCCTTCCACCGCTCTTTGACGTCTCACTTGATGATCTGCTGACATCAACGCTGACCACTGCTGGTTGACCTGCAAACTGCGGCTTGATGCCATCTCTTGCTTGTAGGGCAGGATACCGAGCAATGACTCGCACCTGCCTTCCATCCACAGTCGCCTTGCCATCCTCTGGAAGGAGAAACGCGCCTCCGCCGTTGTATGCGCATGTCCAGCTGTCAGCCCTGCTTGCGAGGTGATTGTCTCTTGAGCCGTGCTGCGAAGCTTCGACGTCGAGCTTGGTCAGCCTGGCGCCTGCATCGCTTTCGTAGACGAAGCCGTCGTAGGCAGTACCAGCGCAAGTCCCTGGGAAGCATTGCAGAGCGGGCCGATCGCCGACCACTTCCATGTCTGTTCCAGGTTGGAAGCGACACACGGCAGAAGAGTAGTAGGCTCCCGCGCATATCCCAAGAAAAGATCCGCCTTGCTCTATGTATGCTCTGATTCGCTCGTCAGCTCGCTGTGGTGGAGGGGATGTTGTGGAAGAGGCGCTCGAGGTCGATGCGCTCCCGCTGCTGCCAGCGCTGACGATGCTCCTGAACTTGCCCAGCTCCGCGACATAAGGCAGGTCTCGGCCGCCAGGCAGGACAAGCAGCGCAGCATCGCCTTCCCAAGGTTCTAGAGCCAGCGATTGGGCACTGACGAGCTGGACGTCGTACGTGGGTAGCAACCTCTTCAACGTACCTAGCGTGTGCAGGAGCGCCGAGGATGCTACACCGGGTCCGCTGTAGATGAGCACTTTGGACATGGCGATGGTGTCGGAGAGGTGGAGGGAGCTCAGAGGATGAGCGCGTTGCTAAGGAACCCCGCGTCACACCTTTGCGCGGCAGCCTGACTATGGAGAGGGCGAAACCCTGCGGACCAGCGGAGCGGGCGCTTATTGAGCGGCGATGCCCCGGACGGTTTCCCCGCCTCGGATGTTGGGGCAGGAATTAACCTTCTGCAGAAAGCGGTGCGGTGCTTGCCGAGCTCAGAGCAGCTTTTTTGTAGCTGCAATCCTCAGAGCGCGACGTGCCAACATCCACCACGGCCACTGGTCTCTGTCTCCTCTTGAATGATCAAAGAATTGAAGCTTAATCGAGACAACAGAAACGCCAGCCACGTCGAGCCGTGAGCGCAGGCGAATGTGCACTCTTTACCCGTGACTCGTGGCTGTGACTCGCAGCATCTAGCTGGGACGTTGGTCCGATTTTGTTGGCAGCATTCCAGGGTCGCAGCGTCGCATATGTCGCGTGAGTTGTATCGTGATCAGCAGATGTCAAAACAAGAAATCTTAAATGCTATATATGGCTATGATATGCATGCAATTAAGCAATTGCATCCACGCGACGCCCATCAGCATTTGCGCCTGCACAACATCATTTGTAGGGAGCAAGCAAGGCTCGAGTCAAGAGGGTGAACCGGGTGCAAGCACGACTATATATACTCACGACTGTGACTGTGACTGACTGCATGGGGCAGCAATCACAATCGTGAATTGTCCTCGTGCAGCACAAATCACATACGCGGCGCCATCGTCGTCCGGATTCGCGGTCCCGTCTCACGTCAAAGCTTCGGAAAAGAGGATCCGGTGGGACTAATATACATGTGAATGAAGTCGTAATTTTGTCGTCAACTGAGAAATCCTTGCACACGCGATCATCAGTCTTTCGCAAGGGCCGACGCACGCACTTGACGGCCTTGATGCCTGCTGCTTCCACCGCGCCCTCCTGACGCTGAGCCGAGCAATGCAATCAAGAGTCAAAGTGGCCTGTCGCGCAACAACTTCTGGCATACTCCGCGAACCGACCACGAAAGCAGCATGCTTTAACGACAGGTGAGGTCGTCGGTAACAGATTATAGGAGGATGTGAAAGGGCGAAAGGGAGAAAATTAAGTGGTTGAACTGAGGCTACATTTCGGTGGCCACGCATCAGCTAGACTGGACCGACGACTTTCTCTGCTAGAGCCTACGTGGATGACTGTATCACAGGGTTAGGGCTTTGGGGCTACGTGCGAAAGACTCGCGTGCAAAAGAGGATAGATGGGAGGCCGAGACTATTCCGAAGCCAAAAGAGAGGGAGATGATGACTGGCTGCAGCTAGTCTGCAAAAGGACCCAGCAGTCTTACTGCATCGACGACGTCGAACATAGGATCGGTCATGCGTCTGCGAGCATCGTCGCCGCTTGCACCGCCTGCCGACGTTGAAACTTGACGGTCTGCACCGCTGACAGTCGAAGAGCGTCTTGGAACATTGGAATCTTCGTCGCGCTTTTCATCTTGCCACGACGCCTGTTGAGCCGCAAAATGACTCCCTTTGCTCCTTTTGGACCCAGGCCTTGTCGCGTGGTTCTCAACCACATCCGGTCGGTGAAACAAGCGATATGTGGAAGATGAGTCGACGACGTACTTGGCTCGCGGCGATTTTGAGCCGGCGCCAGAGCCGTAAAGCACTCGGCTGTCTGAGAGCTTCGAGGTTGCTGCTTGCCTCAGGGCATCGCTCATCAGCTCATCATAGCCTTCCTCAGCAGGCAGCCTCGCGAGTCCGGCGTTGGTCCAGGCGATTCCCGAGTCGTCGTGGTCGTCATGCGACACATCCAAAGCGTCAGCATTAAGTAGACGAGCAGCGGCGCCCTGCCCTAGAGTTTCCACAGAGACCTGAGGCGTCAATTGAAGCATGAACGCCAAATCGCGAAGGCGCAAGTTTGAAGGGTGAGCTACCGTCAAGGCGTTCTCAACAGACTTCGCACTTCCGCTCGATGTGTTGGAGTACTTGCGCACCATGTCGGCGCTTCCTAGGCGGTCTTCGTCTACTTCCATATCGTCGTCGTCTTCTGGCTCAGATCTGCCGTCAGCTGCATGAGACGTTGGCGCAGTGCTGACGAAGCTGACTGCGCTGTTGTCCGCAGCACTGCTGGCGGCGAGAGCAGTAGACGCAGTGCGCGAGGAAAGGTTTGAAGGCATATTTCGCAGAGGCAGACGTGGCGAGGGCGGTGCCAGATAAGACCCGTAGGCCGATGGTGCGCGTGCAGTGTTTGAGCCGGCATTCGTATTTGACGTGGCTTTACGCCCATCTGAAGCTCCTCTTGCACTCTGTGCGCTTTGATGTGTTATGCTCGCAGCTTCTACACCGTCCTGTGCGTGAACCCTAGCCGTGGCTGCCGCTGGAGCGTGCCCAGAGGTGCGGATGCCTCCCGCTCGATCAGATCGCACGGCCCCAATCAAACCGCTCGCGACATTTTGTAGATGGCCGTGTAGCGCTGTGAGTAGCAAAGCCGCAGCGCGGGGTGCTGCTCCCCCACCCACACCAGATTTGACTGCAGCAAGAGTCATGGCGTCGTGCAGCGCTTTCATGTCGGGGAGTTCCTTGGCCTCTGTGCACAAGGGCGCCACGAGCGCTCGATTGACCGCCTGTTGTACCGCTAGAGGCACATCGCGTTTCACATCTGTCAGGGATTCCTCAACAACGTTGAAATAGTCTGAGTAACACAACACACTCACTTGCAGTCAGTGACCCTGTGTCGCGTGCTTCTGCCACAGCGATCTCGTCCTGCACTGCGTCTGCACGCCATTCCCGACCCCCGATTTGCGTGTCGGCTTCTCGCACTCTACGCTTTTCTTCTCTCGTACGGCGACGCTCTTCCTCTTTGCGCTTTCGCTCCAGCATGTCCGCTCCGGCACCTGCCCAACCGAGGGCTGAAGAGACCGCAGGTCTGGCAGGAGGTTTTCCTGCAGACTTGAGACGCGCTCGATCTTTCTTGCTGAGACCTGCCACCATCGCGCGGAGTCGCTTACGAGGAACGGTAGAAATTTCATCCTCTGATTCGTCGGACGTACTCAGATTGCGCGTAGCGCCATCGAGCGCGTGCATGCCTCCGCCATTGCGGGCGCCAGGTGCGTAAGAGCGCTTGGATGCCGACGGCAGCGGAACATCGGACGAGGCGTTGTAGAGTATGCCCATCAGCAAGCTGTTGTGCAGATCGACTGTGCATGGACCGTGGCAAAGTGTGAAGTTGTGTCAGCGCTGAGCCAGACACGACACTATCAAGCACCACCGTGCGGCATGTTCAACGGTCTATCCGCATGACTTGCATCCGGTCTCAGGACGCGTCGCGCGAAGGTCGCGGCACGTCCTAGCCTGACTCTGAACTCGAGTTCGACGAGTCTGGAGCGAGTCAAGCGAATCGTGTTGACACGACTCCTTTCGACTTTTTTCCCATCACCGCTTCGTCGATGGGGCGTGCCTGCTGGGCAAGTATAACACCTGCAACTTCGATGCGTTCAATTGGCAGCGCTCTAGGATCTACCGGCATCATACCGCCTCCTACATGACTCGACTGTACCCAAGCACCTTTTTGCTCGTTCTTGCACACCAACTTTGGTCTGGGCTGTCGTCGAGGAAGCAGCTATCCCGAGCATCAAGTCGCCCGCCTCCTCTCATCCTCAGCAAGCCGGCGCTTCAGCCTCGAAACCCCGACGACAGTACACGAGGTGGAGGTGACGAGATTCGACCCAGCCTTCGAGGACCGACGAGTCTCCCGAAGAGCGTTCATCCACAAGTCCGTTCCGCTGCGTTTCACAACCGACTTCCACTCATCCTGTGAAGTGAGGGCGACAGCACAGGCTCGCAGCAAGTTGGGACGTGCAGATGAAGCATCCGCGAGCTGCAGCTCCCAATTTCAGAGCGTCGTCCACAACCCCTCCACTCCGTGCCAGGCGCTGATCATCGGACCTTGGCTACTCACCTTGCTCGGACTGCAAACACCTCCTTGCGACATTTTCGAATTCATTACGATCGATCCTTCCCGAGAAGAAATCCAGCAGAGCGGCCCAGTACTGAGCACCGTGGGATCCGAGGGCTGCTGCCAGCTTTGCTTTGAGTGCTTGGGTGTCTACCCTTTGAGGTCGACGTGTGGGTGGCGCAGCATCCCTCGCCCCATCCCGCACTTGAGACCTTTCCGTGGCAAGATCCGGCCGCGAGGCCCTCTCGACTATGCCCTTGCTAGACCCGTACCGCACTTTGGATTCAGCGCTAGGACGAGGCTGCGGTTCGGACACCGACATGGACGCGACGCCTCCTAGACGAAGGTCGTCGCGAGCTTTGCAGATGCTGGCCTGTATGCGAAGCAGACGAAGTCGAAACGGGTTGCAACGTCGCTATCCTACAGACCAATACTCGCTTGGCTGTGCGAGAAGCTGGCAGTGAACGATTGTGCAGATATTTGCTTGGCTGTGCCGTCTCCGCGCCTCTGCTTCGTCGGATGGATGACTGGTTCGAGTGCTGGGCCAAAGGGGTGAAGGCAGAAGAGCAAAGGGAGTGCCGGAGCGAAACGTCGAAGACAGGAGCGGTGCGCTGGTGTCAGCTCGAGCGTAAAAGTGCAGTGGTGTTCTACCGAGTGAGTGTCAGGGTCATGCTGCGAACGGTCGAGGGGCGGGCGCGCGTGGGTTTGAAGAGCAGCGAGGACTGGGCGATTGGGACTTTGATTGGCGCGCGAAGATGAGGTCGGGATGGATGGGCACGGGCATGGGTCACGTCCAAATTTACGCGGTGCGTTCACGGCCGGTGGCACATCAGAAGCGCCCAATCTTGAATGCGGCGCGTGCGTGCTTGATGGATGGATTGGCCGCGCGTCGCTATACCGGCTGGCAGAATCACGTGAACGTCAAATCACTCAAGACTGCAGCACGCATGGGCGCTTCTGTCAAATTCAAAAGGCTTTGAAATCACGTTTGTCCCAGAGACCAACCTGCTTCCTACCCTCCTCAAGATCCATCAGCCACACCAAATTCCGCCCGCCATCTGTGCGGAACTGCTTGACCGGTCTCTAACAAAAGTACTCTGCGCCGAGCGACCAATGTGGCCATTCAGAAGCGGAGGACAGACGGCGGATGGAGCTCCTGCTTCTACTTCTGCCTCGGCCCTTCGGAACGACAGCCCTGCGGGCCCACCTTACTCCTCTGCAGACGCATGTCCCGTGGACCATTCCGCTCGCGACGCTTGGCTCAAGCAATCGCGAGGTGAAGGTAGCGGCAGTGCTGGCCCTGAAGCGGCTCGATCTCCTGCTCCCATCTCGCTGTCTGGCATGCTGAGCTCCTTGCTGCCAACGTCCAAAAGCTCTGCAACCGAGCGTAAAGAGACGCCATCGTTTCGTGCAGACGGGCACGACTCATCGTTGAGCGTCGAGCGCGTTGTGTCGTCCATACCACGTCTGATCAGCTCGGGAAGCTCGAGGCTTGAAGGGAGGAGCGATACTTCGGGACAAAATGCCTGCCCAGTGGCCCACGATGCTACAGCCAGTACCAGCAAGGGAAAGGACAGCCCAGGCCAATCCACCCAAGCAGAAGACGCCAATTGGGTCTATCCATCGCCCGCACAGTTCTTTGCGGCCATGGCTCGGAAGAACCAAAATCCAAATGCTTCGGACATGGACATCGTCGTGCCGATCCACAACGCCGTCAACGAAAGGGCGTGGAATGAGATTCTCAAGTGGGAGCAGGGCTGGGATCCCGCTTCCAAGGACAAGTGTGGAGGTCCAAAGCTGGTCACGTTCAAGGGCAAACCGGGAGAATTGACATGGAAGGCCTGGGCGAGAGGCTTAGCTGGGTGAGTGACTTGAGAGCGACCTTTGTGCTCATATATTTCATATGCTCATCTCCGCAACGCTTCCCTTTCCCTTCCCTTTCCACGCACACACCAGCTACTCAGCACCCTTCGACAGGCACGACTGGGAGGTTGACAGATGTGGACATCGCGTTCGATACATCATCGACTTTTATTCAGGTCCCAGAGCCAAGGATGGTCGTGCGAGCCTGAGCTTCTTCCTAGACGTGAGACCTGCACCAGACACGCTTCACGGGTGGCTGATGAGAGGCCATCGAGCTTTGTTCAGGCCCGACTAGGCACTCGACCAACATAGAAACGCAATGCGATATGCCTCTCCTCTTGACATGTTGACCGGTCGCGCAAACTTCACCAAATCTCTGGGAGTGATGCCATTGCGTTGTCTCTGATGAAGAAAGATGCTGAATACTCTAGGGTGCGCTGATACATGACGTACGAATGAGAGTCACGACCAGGGCCCGCGTGAGAACATGTGGAGGAAAACATGATAGGAGCGATGTACGATCCTTGATCGTCAACATCCCTCACATGGCCTGAGAAGGCCATCATTGACAATTCACTGCGACTCGTTGACGTTGCGGCTCATGACGCTGTGAAGGCCAGCAAGTCGACTAGAGCTCGATGAGCTCTGCATTGGCTTCCGCTCGCCGGCTATGGCGATGCTGCTCGTCGAATCATTTCTCTGCAGCCCCATCTTATTGTTACCAGTGCTTCTGGTCCCGAAACTCGTCACGGACGCCCGTCCTTCAGCTCCGCTGCCGCCTCTTCTCACGGAGTTCGAGTTGCGAGTAGCGCCCCAACTCGATTCTTCGCGCAAATCCTTGGCAATGCGAGCCTGTCTTGCTTTCTCTGCTTCAGTCTTGCTTCTGCCATTGCCCATCAGAAGCGCGACGGCACGGTCCTAAGAGAAGCCGACGCGCGCGATGGTTAAGCAAAGCGTCGAAACGCACAAGTAGCAAGCTGACCAGCGTTAGGACTCACGATCTGCGATTCCTCGTCCAAGGCTTCTTGCGACTCAGCATCCACAGCGCGGGACCCAAAGGCCATGTGTCGCTGTCCAGCATCATTGCCCGCGCGGGGCCGTCCGGATCGCGCCGCTTCCTTCCTCGCGGCCACGCGATCCCGTACACGAAGAGCGCTACGCGCCATGTCCATCTCATCATCGCTGGCGTCGCCATAGATGCTGCGAAGTCGACGCTCCATCTCCTTCTTGTGCTCATCCTCAGCGCGGCGCTTGGCTTGCAGCTCATCATCCTCTTCGTCGTCGATGAGTCCTGCTTTCTTGCGCTTGCGAGCTTCGCGAAGTCCGCGGGCGATCTCGAAGTAGGAAACCTTGCTCGATGGCGCCTCATCGTCAGAGTCTGCCTCGCGATCAGACATTTCCTGGTGTATGGAGGGCCTACCTGCACGTGTGCTAGACTCCGCTTCGCCGCCTTCGTCGCTGTCCGCCCCGCCGAGGAAGGCGTACTTCTCTGCGTCCTCGTCTGCCCCATGGGTGTCGGAGTAGCCTTTCACAAACGCTTGGGATTCCTCACGTTGAGCTGGAAGCATGTATGAAGAGCAGCTTGTGAGTCGGCGTAAGATGCTGAAGTGCACCAGCAACGAATTTGCTCACCTAAAAAGTCCATCTCGTCTTCGCCCTCCAAGCGACGTTTCTTCGCTATGAATGCTCGCGGATTGGCAGCTTTGCGCTGCAGATACTCTTCGTCCCAGTCCTCATCTAGCAAGTCCTCTAGACCACCCGCTTCGCCTCGACGGCGCTTTCGGCGGAGGTCTCCACGTGCAGCTTTTTCGGCAAGTGCCATGGCTGCAGCTTCGTCGACCTGCACATCTTCTTGGTAGCGCTCGCGAGCAAGTATATCCTTTTCAGCTTCGTCCACTTCGTTCTCATTATTCACAAGCTCCACAAGGTCCTGCCCGTCGTCGTCTTCATCTTCATTCTCCCCGTCCGATTCAGAATCGTCCTCATCGAAGATACCGCCAAGTCCACCGCCACCTCGACCGCGCTTACCGCCAACGTCTTCTTCTTCAGACTCTTCAGCTTCGCCTTCCACGAAATTGCTGGATCGCATCTTTGGCCTTTCGGGCAGCTTTTGCGCGTCGCGCATCAATGCGAAAGCATCGCGCGTGGCGGCAGGGGCAGCACGGATTGACAACTCCCCATCTGTGCCCGCCCTCTCTTCCACGCTACCTGCGTCATTCTGCCGACCTTTTGTTGTGGACTGTTCTGCGCGGTTGTGGCGAGCTTCCTCGGCACCGTCATCGTGTGGTCCTAACGTCGAATCTTGATTCTCCTCTTCTTGGCTGTCTGCAGCAGCTATGCGGAAGCGTTTGCGCCGCTGTGGCTGGAGCGACTGTTCAGGGCTACCACGAAGCGCCGGGCTCTCAGAGATCGTGCGCGAAGGCTTGAAGGGGGTCAAATCAGCAGTGTAATTGAAAGCCGGACTCGTGCTTTGACTTTGAGACTGGCTCTGCGTCTGCGTCTGACTGTCCATCGTGCCAGGCTTGGTCTGAGTGAAATATCCACGGCTATTGATGTACTGCTTTGGCGCCTCTTGTGCAGGACTTTCTGGCATAGCGCGGCTTCTTTCGACTTCACGCTCCATCTGACGAATCTCCGAATCTTCTCCTGGGGAGCCAAGAGAAGGCAAGAACGACGGTGACGGCTCGTAGTCTGCGTTTGCTTGTGCGCGTCGCAGAGCTGCGAATGCATCCACGCCAGCAGTTGCTGGCGGCGGCATAATCTCGGCATCAGCGCCCTTCATTTTGCGGGGGGGCCTTTGACTGTCTTCTTGTGAGCTTGTGAACCACTGAGAAAGACTATCGCTAGCCGGTACGTTAGCGGTGCTCGAAACTCGCCCAGTGCGTGCAAAGATGTCCAGGCTTTCGCCTCTCAAAGGCGCGTCATTTTGCGTCGGGGTGAAGAATTGGCCTAACACAGAGTTGTCGGACGGTATCTTGCTTTCCTTCTGCGCTTGAAGTGCTTGTGCTACACCTGTGAATTCCTTGCTTGCGAACGGAGATGATGTCCCTTCTTGCAAGTCTGCGCCGGGCGCTTGCGTCTCTTTGAAGAATTGCGAAAGACCTCCGCCATTTGAGACCTCTGGCGCGCCAACGACATCGCCGGTGGAGCTCGCTTCTTTGCTTGCGGTCACGTTGGAGAGAAGAGCAGCTGTGGGTTGGAAAAATTGGCTGAGGCCAGTTTGCTTGTCGGGGGCGGAGGCAGGCGATTCCGAGTCGTCTGCTGGCGATGGACAGCCTGTCAGTGGGCTCAGACCGTTTGTGAAGCTGAGGTCCTTCAGTGGTGTCCTGACCAAGCTGCCGGAACGAGTGGCGTCCTCTTCATCATCCGAAAGTTGATGACGCGTTGTACGAGGCCGGCGATGACGGCCAGGAATGCGGGACACCTCATCCTCATTGTCGTCATCCTCCTCGGTGTCAACATCCTTGTGAGCATGAGTCTCCACCGAATGACTCTGGCTCTCGCTGGGCTGAGTGTTTTCTTTGTCGCTGTCGCTGTTTGCTCCACTCTCAGCGTCGGACCCCGACTCTTCCCGGCTTCCTGTTGCTCTCCAAGTCTCATCCTCGCTTCCACTGCCTAGAGCAAGAACGTCGTCCTCATCCAGGTTGTCGTTTCCGTTGCCTTCACCCTCATCCGCAACCTGATCCTCGACGTACTCTGCATCACTTTCATCCTCGTCACTGTCAGGAGACTCTGCCTGAGCTTCAGCACCACGACGCTGAGCGCGCAGAGCGTATGCGTCCATCATGCGCTGCACGCGAGCAGCGTCGTCTTGAGCGTCTTGACCAGTGGACGCATGCTCCTTCATCGGAGCGTCGCTCTGGTGACGTTTGGCTGAATGGGACTGCAGCTTGTGCCTGTGGCTGATGTTTTGTAGAGCAACATGCTTCAGCATTGTCGCGTTGAGCTGCTCGCGGGTGACCGCAAGAGGGCCTGTGACCTTCTTTGACCGGGTCTGGGCAGCTGAAGGAGCCTCAGGCTCCTCAATGTCCACTGGCGGACCTTGAACGGCGGCTGACCGGCTTGCGCGCTCTCGAAGTGCTGGCGAGGGTCGGACCGGCTGTCCTTGGGCGATGGCCGAAGGTGGACCAAGGTTCTTGCCTGCCGCTCGAAGCTGAGCGTCAGTGATGCAATCGTCGGAAAATTCTGCGTCGCTGGATGCATCGTCCGCAAAGGTTACCAAAGGCCGACGTTCTGAGTCCTTCAACTCCGGTCGGCGGGGCGGGCTGCCCGAGCTGTTGTTGGCAGAGAGATGTGCAGCTCCAGCACGAGTCGTGTGAGAGCTTTTGCGATGCAACTCCGAAGCAATTTGGCTTTTAGGGCCCAGAATTTCAAAATCAGGTTCGTCTTTGGCTTGCCGCAATGACAAGGATCCCGTGGTCTTTGAGGCCGAGTCCAACTGCAAAGTTGAGGCTCGCATCGCTTTCTCCTTGATGGCACGTAGTCGCGCGGCATGCTCGCACTGCTGACGCGAAGCGCCGTCCCCGTCCACAGAGCGCATAGTGAGCACAGGCGAGACTCTGGCAACAAGTGATGGGCCAGCTGCGTGTTTGGCCAGTGCGCTTGCACTGCCAATGGTATGTGCTGGATTCTCATTGCGCGATGCGACCTCAGAGTCTGTGGTTCGCGTGGGCGAGGTGGCTCTGGAGGTGGGCGGGGCACTGTTGAGAGGAGCAGGGCCTGTCATGTCAGCTTCAACTTGTGCACACGAAAGAGCGCATCCCTACACCCACATTGCCTTGCTGCCACCGATACTTTTGAGCAGATCCAGTACGTTGTAAGTCTTGCGCTCGGGTTGGGCATTAGACTTGACTGCTTTGAGACGCTTGTTGCGCTCGATTTGCGCCGCCATACGATTCGTCTCTTCGATCTGCTGCTTGGTTAGTGGCTGCGAGGAAGCGAAGGATCATCGTTCGCTCATGAGCTGCGATAACGCCGACTACACAGGCGACGCCATCTCACCTTTGGGCGGTCCTTGTCCCTCTCCGTCGATCGCTTGCTGGCTGACTTGCCTTTCGATCTGCCAGCGTCTGCACGCCTCGACGTGCTTTTCTGTCTTTGGCCCTTGTCCTTGCGGTCTAGAGCATTGAGCAGCCCATCGAGAGCATCGTCTTCATCGTTGACATCCGAATCGGCGCTGTCGAAGCCAAGATCGCTCTCCACGTCTTGCGTGTCTTCGTTGAGCGCGGCATCATCTCCGCGCTTGGCTCGAACAGCCGCGGCCATCGAGGCCAACTTTTGCTTTCTCTGCTCTGCGACCTCTTTCTCCGTGCTTCTCATTACCGAGGGGAAAGGCGATGCAGCGGGGGAGACAGTGGAGCGTAACCGTTTGGCGGGACTCGGTGAGCGCTCGATGGATTCTGCATCGCTGTCTTCTACATCTTCACCGCTCGACCCATCGGATGCTCGGAACACTGGTGCTGACGACTTTGCGCCATTTCGAGCGCGCATACGACTTGCCAGACCGCCTCGAGCAGGTCGGATGCGACTTGCCGGCGAGTCGTCCGACGACCGCGTTTGAGTCTCGCGCCGCCCATCCTCGCGCGTATTGTACGACGATGAGGCGGGCAAGCTGGTCAGATCCGACGTTGTCGGCTGTGAAGAGTGGCCTGCGTAGTGGCCGGGAGCCTGAAGACCGCGTTGCTGCCGAAAGCGCTCCAGGAACGCATCGTCATCCTCGGCCAACGTCTTTCCTGTCACATGCTGAGAGTCTTGCGAAGCAGAAAGAGGAGCTGACGCTTCTCGCGATGCCCGAATAGCTGCCTTGTCTGCCTCTTGGCTGCCCACTTGAGTCGTGCTCAAGAGAGATGCTTTGCTCTTGAGTGGGCTGCCGTCCAGTTCCGAGTCGGAGTCAGCTGCGGCGTAGCTGGTGTTGCGCGAATGTGACTCAGAGTCGTCACCTGTGTGAGCAGCTTTGGTAAACATGGGGCTGCTTTCCGAATGCCTCGACATGCTGGGGGATGAGACGTCGGATGAGCGCTCCTCTGGACGAGCGCGGCCGTAGGTGGCTGGTGCTCGCGCTGCAGCGGACTCGACCGCTGTTGCCATTTTGGTGCCGCGTGCTTCGGGGCGGATGCCCTTGGGTGAGCGCGCTTCAAGGGGGGTAGGGAGGGCAGGGGGGGGGGGGGGGGGGGGGGGGGGGGGGGGGGGGGGGGGGGGGGGGGGGGGGGGGGGGGGGGGGGGGGATGTCTCTCTGAAAGCCTTGAAGGAAAGCGTGTGTCAGACTTTTGAAAAAGATGTTTGATACCACGTCGAGACGGAGGTATATAGACGAAGCCTCCAAGGGATGATCGCCATATCCACCACATGCGCGCTATTCCAGAATCGCGGCCTCGACGCGTCAACGCATCACGCGCGTGAACTGCTTTCCTGACCCACCGCGGCGCGACAAATTGCATCCGCATACACGCACGCGCCCGCGCAAATTGCTTGCTGGGCGGGTGCGTGCTGGGCGTGAGTCTTGAGTTTGAGTCCAACACCGCACCTCGCGTGACCGAACACGTGCCCGGCGCGTCTTGGACTCTGAGAAGCAACACGAGGGCGCGCGTGTATGTTGCTGTTGCTGATCGCGCGCTGTTATGCCTGCCAGGCATATACTCTGACTGCAGCCAGCGTGAGCGCCGCACAAGCCATGACGAAATCTGCTCAATTGTTCGCGCCTCGCCTTTCTGCTCATTCGTGATTGCCTGTGGTTATCCGTCTTGCTCCTGAACTTTTAGGCCTTCGAACCGCCGCATCATCGACATCGCCCGACGAGTCAAGGAGGCTGACTCGAGGCTGTAACCATCATTGCGACGCGGGGGCTTCAGTGTCGCGGATCCCGTTCAGAATCTGCAGAGGCCTCAGCATGCAAGCACGCATCTGAGGTGCCCAGAATTCGGCCCATCAATCCTTGGACATCCACGGAGCAGAACTCGGCAGGGACGGTCGCAAGCATGTCTCAGGTACCAGCTCAGACGCCAGTCAGGACGACTCGAGCGATGGCCAAAGTGACGGGCGAGGTTCCTCACAAGCCCCAATGGGCCCTTCGTCGATCGCCAACAAAGCCATCCACGGCGTTGCGGGGTGCTTATGGCAGATCAGTCACCCCTTCGGGAAGGTCGGACTCTCCAGAAGATCTTTGCACGAATCCAATGGCACGTTTGCTGGAGCGTGCCCGCCGCAGAAGCAGTCTGGAGGCCTCGGATGGGCTGGGCACAAGTGGACAAGCGGATTCGCAGGTGGAAGACCCGCGCAAGCAAGCGCTCCGCAACTCTATCAGCAGAGACTCTCCACCACCACGAGATGAGCCTCTTGACGCGGGAAGAGGCGAGACGATGGACATCGTTGATCCGAGTCTAGGCGCGCATCGCGGTCCGCTCACCAAGACACCGGAAGCGAGGCACCTTAGGGGCAGCAACAGTAAGAGCTTTGCTGTCGATCGGGTGACCGACGACATCGATCGGCTTTCCATCTCTCCGCGCAAGGCGCCATCGAGCACTGCGCGGAAGTTGCGCGACACTCATCTTGACTCTCAGCCAGGCAAAAGCAAAGCAGACTCATTGCCACCCGCAGCACGTGTGCCAGCCTCTCGAAATCCAAAATCGCAAGATACGACGCCCGTTCGAGCATCATCGCCCGTCAAGCGATCTGCTCTGCGGCCAACGATTCTCTCCACAAAGCCCAAAGCGTTCACTTTGACATCGCACCAACGCGCTCAGTCTGTGTCTGCTGACTCGGCGGGAGACGTACCCGCAGCTTCTCGATCACGAGGCAGAAAGTCGCTCTACGCGGAGCAGGGCGCGCAGCCCTTGGTCAAAGGCGAGGAATCCGATGATGAGCTCAACATCATCACTAAGCCCTCAAAGTCCTCTCGTGGCGCTTCCGGTCGACAAGTCGAGCGGACCTCGTCGCCCTCCACTCGTCCGATCCTGCCTCGCCAGCAGTCAGAACCAGACTCGCCCCACGATCGCAGACCGCTTCTCCCACGAAGCTCTTCGAGCCCTCGTCTTTCCGCGCATGACTCGCGAGAGGGTAGCCTCCAAGCAAGACGGTACAATCTCGCCAAGTCTCATGGCCGCATCACAGACGACAACGACTCGCCCCCTCCGTCGGTGAGCTCAAGCTCACCCCTGACCTCACCATCCGAGGCGAGGAAGCGGACTGCGGGCGGACGCAGTCGGCTGCAGGACGGAAGTGTTTCGCGAGTCACACTGACGAAACACGAGAATGAAGAGTATGGAAGCGAACCACCAAAGCGCTCACCTGAGCGCACTTTGGCTCGCCTTCAGCAACTCGCGCCAGTCCGTTGCGATGCGCGCGGACCCACAGCAGACGCACCCTCCTCGCAAGCAAGCAGATCGACCTGGCGCGATCCAAGTAACGTCAGCATATCTTCCTCGCCGTCGCAAAGATCCAATAGAGCAAGCTCAGTGGACATTCGCACCCCTACACGCGCCTCTGAAAGTCCCAGCGCACTCGCTGTGCTCGAAGCCAGCCTTGAGCGATTAGCCGCGGCCAAGCGTCGCACCACGGGCAGAGCGCACTCCGAGCTGTTTGCCCCTTCTAAGCGCGAGATGCCAGAGACCTCGGCCCCAAGCACTTTGGAGTCTTCGAGCCCTCTAAGCAGTCCTCGATCCACGCTTGGAGACGCTACATCGCCGCTTCAGAATCGCGGTCTGAGCCCAATCGATGGAGCAAATGGCCTCGTCAAGCCGGCCAGGCGCATGCCTGCCGCAACGAAAGAGAGAGAGGCGATAAGCCAGCATGTGGCTGAAGCTCGTCATCTGCGGCGTCGGCCTTCCGACCCGGTTCGAGCTGCCCAGGCATACTTTGAGCGCGCCTTGCGTGAGGAGAGGGAGACTCTAGGTGCCGGTGGTGAAGAGGAAGAGGCAGTGTCTGCACCTAGCGAGGAGGGGCTGCTGGCAGGGAAGCGCGAAGCGAAACAGCATCGTCGCAAGAGTGCATACACTTACGTGCCAGCCAAGCGCGACTCTGTGGAAGACGCAGAAAATGTGGGTCATTCGGCGTTTTGTGCCGACATAGATGCGCCAGGAGAAGCATCAACGGCCACTTCTCCAATTAAGCGATTCACACCAGTCACACCCAGAACGGCACGCGATGCAGCTAGACTTGCATCTGCTAGGTTTCTGAGGGGCTTGCATGTTGTTGTAGATGTGAGGGATCAGGATGGAGATGATGCTTCTGGCTCTTGGATAGAGATGCTACGCGGCGCTGGTGCAAAAGTCACGTCGAGGGTTCCCTCTATGAGCAGTCGATCACCAAGCCACATCGTCTACAAAAGCGGGCGACCAGCCACTCTTCATTACTTTCGCGCGTGCGATGATCCCAAGCCCCTGCTCGTAGGTGTCAATTGGGTGCTCAAGTGCTTGCAAGAGGCTAGGCGCGTGGACGAAGAGCCTTACTTGGTCGAGATAGGCAAAGAAGCCGTCTTTCGCAAGGTGAGCCGTAGAGCCATCCAGATGCAGCTAGCTGCACAGCATTTCAGAATCCCCCAACGTAGCTGACACGGTCTATAACCCATGTCTGACTTCATGGTATTGTCCACAGCGTCGGATTTCCATGGCACCGCGCGCAGCTCCAGGTGCACTGCTCGATGACCAGTCCTGTGAGCCGGCTCGCGCTTACGAGTGCTTCATAGGGCAGCAAATGCGCTGCTGGTGATGGTGCTGACGCATTCGCAACCAATACTCTGCTACCCAAACAGCCCGTGAGACGTCCCCCGAAGAGGTCGCAGCGCTCAAGGACCGCCGACTTGCTCTGGCGCACGCCCCTGCCGTCCCGAGTCCACTTGGTGCGATGGCTTGGAGGCCTGATGCGTCCACCGATGGAAGCGAGATGGCCTTCTGAAATACGTCTTTGTGATGCAGTCCTTGCCCGGTCGCAGCCACGTACTGGTGGAGATATCTTTTAGCCTTTGACCCCCCCCCCCCAAGTTGAGAAAGGGGGAGCAACAACCCCGTTTTGGCATTTCCTGATTCTATGCTCTTGCCTTCTTCCTCAAACCATTGAGATACCCTTCATCGCACTACTATAGGCCAAGTCTCTTGCCGTGTATACAATTATTGAAATTCGCGAGAAAGACAACATTTTATCACTGCTTCATTTGCGGACAAATATTGACCAGACTGCCCATATAGCTTCCGAGCGCTCTGCACGCGAGAAATCGTGAGGAGACATTCAAAATGAAGGGCAAACGCAAGGTTGGGTTCGTCCCCTTCAGCGACGCTCATGAGTGCGAACTTCCAGCAAGACAACATATGCTCTCCACGTTCTGATTTCACACTTAGTCAGGTCAAGCCAAGGCGAGGAAATACACGGCTGACGATGTTCAATTCAGGATTGGAGACGATGTCGCCAGCGGGCATGCAAGTCTATAGCATCTCCCTCCCTCCTGAGCGCGCGCGCGCACAGCCTCAAAAAAAATCTTGACGTTGGCGAGGTACTGGAGCAGTGAAAAGGAGTCGAGGCTGCCTATCGCAGCTTTGCCTGCCAGTCTCCCGCACGAGGGCACTCGCGGCGTACCGTGGACTGACCATCGGACCCCAGGGGCCAATTTCGAAAATCGAATCAGCAGCAGGATTAAGACTCGCGCGCGTCTGATGACTTGCGGGTTGGATGTGCGGACCAATATATAGATTTGAGCTTTCTGTATGGAATGCTGCAGGCTAGCCCGTTGGGCTTCCAGAATCATGCGCCCAAATCTTCGTGCATATCAAGGGCTTGCGCGTCAAGTGACCCCGCAGTCTGAGGCCAGGACCACCAGCAGCAGCAGCAGCAGCATCAGCAGCGTTCGTGATCCGAAGGCTCACTTAGCTGCAAAGCATTCATCGGCTAGAGCTTAAGCGAGCTGAGCTTTGCTAACCCTGATGAGATATGTACTTCATCGGCTGGATGCGCGTGAACGGACCGCTCCACTGGATGTGAACCTCATGGATGCCTGCATGGCTCAGCACGTCATGGCTCGCACGGCTGCACGGCCGGCGTCCAGTGATGATTTAGCACAGCAGTCTTGGGCCGATAACGGCAACGGATGGTGATACTGGCGTGAGAATTGTGCGTGATGACGTGTACGGGCTTCATACCCCTGGTCGGATCAAATTCCAGGCTGCACGAACATCCTCGACTCGTCGGGAGGTCAGCGCTTTGTCGATGACGCGGGGCGAGCAGTCTCAGGTGCGTGCCGGAAGGCTCTCAGTGGGCTGGTGGGAGACACTCAGAGCGTCCACAAGCGAAACAGAGAGCTGAAAATTTCGGTCCGGCTGAGTGATCTCACAAGAGCGAGTGTGATCGATCATTGGCCTGTGAAGTCTCAAGAACGTTTGACCGTCAGCATGCCACTGGTGTGCATGCGCCTCTGAGAGCGAGTAGGACGATCGCAAAGCGCATGACGCCAAGCCAAGGGACGCGTTGAAGAGTGAACGACGCCGGCAGACCTCGACTCTTGACTCGCGCCCATCCGCTCCGCCGAATCTGACTGCCTTGCCCGCGACGACAACCTCTTCCTCTCGATCTCGCCGATGAGGGTATCGTCCTGCGCCATATAGTGCACCGTCCGCTTGGCCGGCCGTTCACTTGATTCAGAGAGACGGTCATCCAGAGGAGAGATTCTTTGCTGCCAATCAAGAATCTGAATGCACTGCGCAGGCGCCCCTCCGTGCACGTGCACGCCATCTTGAGGATGGGACTCCTGCGCCGCGCTAAGGCTCAATGGATCTACCTCTACTCGGAGCGAGAAGGGGTTGGATAACCTGGCTTTCCTGAATCAAGGGCAGGATGCCGTGCTCGGACCCCAGGCTGGCGTCTTTGTAGAAGCTCGGCAGCGGTCGAGTGCGCTGGCAAAAGGGCGCGGCTCCAATTGGGTTAGCGGATAGGAGTGCAAAGAGATAAGCTGGGCCATCCAAGCTGTAGAGTCGGGCCGCGGACTCGCGCGGAAAGTGAAGGTGGCGCCAGCTGCAAGATGGAACCCGAGCCACAAAGCACTCCTCGGCAATACTTGCAGCCCGCGCTGCAGAAGTCCTGGTGAGCTTGCTGGATGTGTAGCTTGATTCTTTGCGCCACGCATCGCATTGATGAAGGCTGGTCTGAGGCGCCGAACTCTGTGGGGCCGCCGTGAGCGCTTCAAAAGCGGCACCGCACCGCTGAAGCAGCTTTGAATGCATCACAATCAGAATAACGTCAGCGGAAGTTGCCTTCCGACTTCTGCTTGGCATGCTGCATAAGCGGTCGCTTGGGGGCTAGCTGATAGGCGAAATTTTCGACTGATTGGCCCTTACGGCATCGTACCAAAGCAGTGTGGATCGAACCAGAATAAGAAAGAGGCTTAAGACGATTGACGGAGGGCCGCCCTGGCGTAGGGTTCGGGGCTGTTGAGGTGAACGTGCATGGCCCGGACATTTGTACTTTGCGGTTCTTGTCTGTAGTAGTAGTAGTAGTATGATCGGGCATGCGCAAATTGCGACCAGTCGACTCTTAGCTGCCGCCGCATTTTCGACGATCAGGAGTCGAGACTGTGAGCGCTCGCAAAAGGGCCTGTAGGCACGAGGGTGGATGGATATCGTAGTCTGAAGCGAAGGCTGTAGATCTGAGGTCCCTGTCGTCCTTGTCCAACTATTCCATGCACTCTAGCAGAACACTGTCGGTACTCGGCGCTCCCTGCCCTGTCTCTGGCGCTACTCCTTTTGCTTTTCGCCCGAAAGAGCTGCGCTGAAACGGCAAGCTTTTGTGTTTGGTCGCCGAGTCATCGGGTACACGCGCCGGCGTTCCGCTAGGGCAATCGCGCTGCTGCAGGCACTTTGAGGCACGGACTGTGGTGCTCACTCACTGACTGATAATCTGCAGCCGACGACCGCGATGAAGCTTGTGTGTGTGTGTGCGGAAAAGCACACAGCACGGTACCGAATGTTTGCCAGTAATGAACAGTCATCGTGGGACTATAGCGAACGCATTTCGAAGAGGCAGGCTTCCATGCATAGATGAATCAGTAGTGTAGCTAGTATTACAAAATAATGAATACCGCTCACGACTTTGGACAGTCACCGCAGCCCAAGGCCTAGACTTCGGACCCTGACTTAGCTCCATCTGAGATCCCGTGCCTTGCTCAAAGCACCAATGCTCAGCCGATTAAACGGCCTAATTTGATCACAAAGTACGCATGGTGCTGCATTTGGACAAGCTTGTCATGCCTGAGTGTGCGAGGTGTGGACGCTATCAGACCGTGCCCTCGAAATACTGCTGCTATACTCCTTTAAGCGTCTGCATTTAAGCCTGAACATGTGCGGTCCCACTAAGGCTGCACGACATGCGTGACAGCAAGCTGCGAGAGCTTTCCGGCTGTGCGTCGTGCTCACCATCATGCATTTTCTTTCGCCGACTCGCAATCATGACATTCGTGATCTCGATTGACTGTTTGGCCAAAGTCAGTGCGAGTGACCACGCATTGGGTGTTGTACAGTACATGGCGAGCGTCCTGCTGGTGAACGCGTAGCTGACTCATCTTGCTTTGCCACTCATCAAAGCTGCAGCGCGGCGGCCATGCGATTCATCCGCAATACTTGCCATTCGCAAGGATGAATCGGACTGCCGCACAGTGTGAGTGATGCGCCAGTCGTGAGTGTGCGAGCCTGTCGGTACGGTCGATGATTTTGTGGTGCGGAGCTTCGCAAGACGGCTTGCTGAATCGGGTCGAGGGCTCCTGTTCGGCAGTCTGAGCCATCCTAGCCGACCTTGGCATTGCGAACGAGCGTGCGTGCAGCAGCACCGATGCAGCGAGCGGAGTCCGAGCAGCCTGGGCGAAATGGCGTAATAATTCGTGTGCGTAAGTGTCCACGCGAAGCATTCACGCAAGCGCGGAGCATCTGCCCGTCTGGCTCGGTGAGCAACCTCCGTCTCCGCCCAAGCAGCAGGCAAGGTCAGAGTCGTATAGCTGTGCCTAGCGTGGAGACGAGATGTGGCAGCCATTGGATCACGCTTTCGCTCTTTCCCCGCTTTGTCCAACTTAGCATAAGCCCTCCGCGGATGCCGACGGCACCGATTTTGTAGGCGAGACAAGAATAGAAGTCGGTTCGCAATCGGGGCAAATACGAGCGACAGTCACTGAGTGCGTTCTCGAGCGTAGCCGCTCCGCGGAGTCCGCTCTCGAGAAGTCAGACTCTGCAGGGTATATAGCGTGCTCAGACTCGCGTCTTTGAGGGGACGCTTCTCTTGAGAAAGGTGTGGATATTGCAAGACTCCTGACTGTCGTGCCAGCGCCGCAAGCTCGCTGTCTACGTGTTGCTCGCTCAGGCGGCAAATGATGTTAGTCAGCTGCTGCATCGTCATTTACGAGATGAGACGTATCTCAGGCATGACCTTCAGGCCATCGACGGAAGTCGGTCATAAAGGCTACGGCGGGGAGAAAGGGAGAGAAAGAGAGGGCCTGCGCTGACAAGTGTACTGACTGCATGCTGGAACGGGTAGTCCCACACTCATCATTACCGAGAGGCCCTGGAGCCGCCAATATCATCTCATGACTGTCAACTATACGCACGAACCCCCTTTGATAGCGACCGCGCATAGCTGAACCGCTGACGAGGCTGGGCGCAATTGGTGCCTAGCTGAGATGACTAAAGCCCGAAGGCAGAAGAAAAGATGTCTATGCACGTGAGCCCGTGCGGGGTGTCCGAGCGTGGTATTTGTGTATGGATGGAAATGGTCACTCGTCAGCTTCCAATTCCAGTCAAGTGACTACCCCGCCGCGTCTTCGAGCTTTGTTTGCGCGCCGAAGCTTGCCGGGCAGCACGCGTCAGCGTTCAGTCAAGAATGGTGAATGTCTTCAACGCTTCACAGTCACGAGTGCGCCGGCCGTGAGCTGCCAGGCAGACATTGTGCTAGCAGGGCAAGGGCAAGCAGCAGCGTTCAAGACCTTCTTTGCAACGACACTGGAGAACGTACACGAGGCCCGGGCGTACCGGCGCGGTGCTGACAGCAGAGGGGCACATTCAGAATCCCAAATTAATGGTACAACATCCACTGAAGCAAATTTGGGTGAGAGGGTAAGGTATACATGAATGACGAAAAGTCTGTCGTCAGTGATTCGTATAGGCATCTCATTTGTCGGCGATTCGTGGCACGTCGCGGGCTGAATCGCTTAACGTGGTCGGCCAGCCGACGCGGACTTGATCCGTCATGGGTGAGAGCCTATACGGGCGGGAGCAAGCGCAATAAAGCGAGACAGCAAGACGAGACTTCGCCGCGGCGTTTAGATCTTTCTGTACATGCCCTCTGCGCGCAATGCGGCTTTGCTGCGCCTCCCTCGCTGGTGCTGCTGCTACTGTATGGCTCCTGCGGCGTGAGTGCAGGGTGTTATGGCATAGTTTTAAAGCGAAAGCAGCAGCGGCAGGAGTCTTGAGTCGTGCTGAGTAGAGTCACAGCAGTCGTGATGAGTAGTGTGAGTCATATATATAAGCAGCAGCACGAGCAGCCAGCAGCTCAGATTAGCATCCATGCAGCAGCGCCAACCTTCCTGGCCGCTTGTGCAGTCAAGTGCGTTCGTCCGCGTCTGCTCTATCAGTGGGCTAGCTGTTTTCATCACTTACGTAGTTGGCTTCGCGACTTTGACTGACTACGCGTTCTTTGAGAACTCATCCGCCTCCAAAAGGGCTGCGATGCGACGGCCATGCCAGCGCGACATCTTGACTAGCTGTGACTTTACTCCCAGACTCTTCGCTATATCCGGGCTTCATCCACATTTGCGTTAGATTTGTCTCGGTCCCTCTTCCTGTCCTTGACTCCGAAGCTCCGTCGCGACGTCTGTCTGCTCTTCAAAATCACCAGCAGCAGCAGGACTCGCACGTCCAAAGTTGCTGAAATCGCGCTTGCTTCCCGCCCATGCACTCGCCTTTTCTCTTTTGCACTATTGTAGTACCTGTCCTCAACTCTCATTCTACTTCTGCCCTTGTGACGTCCATCGCGATCATTCGGGTGGATCGTTACCGCAGGAACCCTGCACCGTGCTTCGTGCATCGTGGTCCAAGGAGCCTTTTCCATCTCGGCTGTCCAACATCATCTTGAGCAGAACCATCTCGAGGAGCCTGTGATTGGTCAGAAGATCGGTGAGTCGCGCTGCGGATTTTGCATCCTCTGGATCCACTTTGGGCTCAAACGCAAATCTCCCAGAGCTGTGCGTCCGTCCATAGGCCGGTCACACCGTGCAGAAGGCGGTGGAAAGGCTTGTGCAGCCACAAGATTTCCAGTCCGCAGCTGTATGCGGCTTGACCATAGCCAGAACAATTGCACACGGTGTACATTCGAAGGCTTCGTCACGCGTCGATAACGTGACCATCAAGGGCGTCAGATGCCATCCATTGTATGGTGAGCTTATTGAACCTTGCGCTGGCGGCGTCGAACGTCCGAGCAGCATGCAATACACGATACGATGTGACGTAGCGCTGACTGTAGAGGTGTACACGCAATCCTTTCAGACTGACGCCAACTAAGCTGCTGCAGAAACTTAGCCGGCAAGCCAGTCTACCTGACACGCAGCATTCAATCCAGCAGAAAGCGGCGTCTCCCCCACATCGAGATTTCGCGAGCTTCGAGACTTGCTCCCAGCGACTCGAGCGGATGGTACAGGTCTTGACAAAGATATTCATCGCCATCCTTCAGTGCACATGCAGTGGCATCAATCACATCACGTAGGCAGCTCGCAGCCTGGCTCTGCTCGTCAGAGCGAAGCTCAGCGCGGAACTGCGGATTTGCCGAGCGGTTTGCCCATGACCAGCAGCTCTTCGCACCCATACTCGCCACAGCTAGGATCGTTCACACTTCCACCAGATCAATACTACGACAGTCCGGCGCGTGCCCGAGCTGCCTCGAACGCTCCGCTCAAAAGAGGCGATGCTGGGCTCACAGTCGCATCGAGCAGCAGCCAAGCTCTCACTGCGTCTCCCGGTAGTGGTCCAACCACGCAGCAAGCCGAGCCTGCTGGTGCCTACGAGATTTGTGAGTAGCTTTCATCCAGCATGCCTTACAGAGCTCGGTCAACTCTAATTGGCGCCCTGTCCAACTCATCTGTTCAGTCGTGGGAGACCTCAGCAAAAACATCAATGACTCAGCTTTACGATCTGCATTTGCGTCTTTTCCAACTCTCATCGATGCTCGTGTGATGGTGCGTTTTCAGTCTTTCCCATCTGCCGACTGCAGACCGCCTCACGTCTCTCTGCTCGACCATACCTCCCTCCTCAGTGGGACACATCGAGCGGCAAATCACGAGGCTACGGCTTTGTAACGTTTCATTCAAGAGCCGAAGCGGAACAAGCGAGTGAGCACTCAAGGTACCTCTGTGTTGGGTCTGCTATGCTCCGCGCTCAACATCTGATGCGTCAACCTGTGCTGCAGTCGCTGTCATGAATGGAGAGGTGCTTGGTGCGCGCCCAGTCCGCGTCAACTGTGAGCGTCACCATGATCAACTTTATCAACTCTATCAACTCTGCGCTGCGGCTAAGCTTATTCCTTGCCGCATGCAGGGGCAACCGTCAAGAAGCCGGCCAGCGAATCAGCAGCCAAGCCTCAGGTGCCGGCGCCGAGACCGAGCCATGCCATCGGGTTAGGCATGCCGCCAACAGCAGGCGCTGCTTCGGGCACGCCGCTGAGCTATCAAACGGTGTACAACTCAGCGCCGCTTGACAATACGACAATTTGTGAGCGCTGTCTCGGTCGCGCCGAGCCAACACGAGCTTATCATTCGGCCCAATGCGACCTCAGATGTTGGGAATCTGCCACCCATGACGAGCGCTGGCGATCTCGTCATGATCTTCTCTCAGTTCAGTACCATCCAAGTCCAGGACGTCAGGATGCAAGTGAGCCCTGCTTCGCACGCCCGTGGATGGTTAGTCTGGTCCGGGTGGCTGTTGACGCCTTACAAGACCTCCTTGATCTTCTTTGCATCGCTTAGCCAGATAAAGGGTTCGCATTTGTGCGTCTCGACACTCACGAAAACGCCACCAGAGCAATCGTTCTGGCCGCTGGTCATGTCTTACACAATCAGCGCATCAAAACGGGATGGGGCAAGGATCGTTTGGAAACCAACATGCGAAGAGCAGCGATAGCGGCGCGTGCGGCTGCGGCTTCTGGCATGGTTCAAGGCACAGATGCATACGGTATGCCTATGCTGGCAGGCTTTCCTGCGCAGGTGAGCTGCCTGTGCAGCGCGACCTACCCGGCAAGAGGGTCGAGGACACGAGCGTCGGACTCACCGGAACGGTGCCGGTATAGGTGGTGTCCTTGCTTTCAGCTGACGTCTCCTGCTCCCTTCTGCGCGACCACAGGCCGGGCAAGGACAAAGCCCAATGTACAACATGAGCCTGATGATGCAAACTCCAAACCCTGCCTACCCGGTGTATCCTGGTGCGCCAACAAACCAGCCGGGCTCTGCGAATCTGCCTTCCGTCTCGCGCAATTTCTTGTCGACAGAACAGCCAGCGCAGCTGTCGCTCGTGGCGCCGCCGTATGCTTCAGCTTCAGGCCCACCTCAAGTAGCAGTGGTCGGCTACGGCGACCTTCCGCAGCAGCAGGTCGATTTGCGACCTAGCCAAGGCTGGCCAACGCAGGGTCCGCCACAGCCCCCCGGAACGCTTTATGCTCAATCGTATCCCACGCAGTCATCCGAATCTGCCCTGCAGCAGGAAGTCCCCCATCTTCAGCGACAGTACGGCCCGGATCCGACTCGACCAGATCCTTCGCGTCGCGGGACCTGATCGTCCATCTTTCAATGCACCACTCAAGCGCCTGGTCAGCATCCGTTCTGCGACCACGCTTGTCGCAGCGTAGGACAGGCCTCGCTGCGCCAATCGATGTTCGCGCAGACCGTCGATCACCTATCATTGCCTTTGCATGCAACTCGCAATCTATCTACTCTTCGGCCAACATCACCTCAACCTCGCATTTCTTACATCCCTCAGCTGCTCGCTGCTGCATCTTTGTGCACCGAGCTCCCGAGGTCCAATGTATCCCGCTTCATTGTGAGTGACTTCAGGAAGCATGTCGTGTGCCTGTCAGCTTCGTGCGAGCTGATGCTTGCTTCGATTCCTGGTGCAAGGTCAAGAACTACAGCATGCTTCCCATTGGATTTACCGTCACCTTAGATCTCTCCGGCAACGATGCCAAACTTCGCCTTGTAGCAAACGCCGCTGCCTGATTCCCAACCTGTTCATTTCGCGCTTCAAGCTTTCTTGCCGATGATGCCGGCTTATCCTTTGGGCTTCTAAGAGAGCAACGTCACTCTCACAACGACCTTCAATTCTCAAGACAAAGCGTTTGCACAATGTCTTACCGACCAATGTCACAACACGATCACTCATTGCAATGCAGATCGTGCCTTCGAAAGCAAGCGCAGCAAAGTAGAAGAGTGCGCCAATGTGGGCGTAGGCTGGTAAAAGGTCGCTAAGTTATATTGCAATTGGTACTGTATTGTGCTTTCAAGGTCGAGGCGTACATCAGGTGAGAGGGTTCCATTTGTTTTGAAGGAGGTTTTGTGTCCCAAAGGCTGCGAACGTCGCTGCATCGAGGCGGCTTGCTGGCGTCAAAGGCGCAGTGGAGCTTAGCGGCGCGATGCCCATGGTGATCCGCCTTCTTTGAAGCGGGACCTGCGTTGGGGCGACGTTGCACCACCAGGCGAAGCCGCACCGCCAGCAATAGGCGAGGTGGGGGAGAATTGAGGAGAAGTCGGCGAATACTGTGGTGACGTGGGGGAGTATTGAGGAGACGTTGGTGAGTACTGAGGCGAGGTCGGCGAGAATGAAGGCGACGTCGGAGAGTACTGCGGAGACGTTGGACCTCCGTGACGTGGGCTCGTTGGCGAGTACGATGGCGATGCCGGGCTGTACGTGGGCGACGTCGGCGAGTAGGCAGGGCTCGTAGGTCCAAAGCGTCCACCAGCACCTCGCGGCGAAGTGGGCGAGTATTGGGGCGACGTCGGCGAATACGACGGCGAGGTTGGGCTCCACTTGGGCGAGGCGGGCGAGTACTGCTGCTGTGGACTCGTGGGACTGAATTGTGGGCTGGTGGGACTCCAAGATGGGCTCGTCGGCGATCCATTGGCGCGGGGACTGAGCGGAGAGTAGCTCGGCGACGAAGGGGAGAAGCTTGGCGACGCAGGCGAAAAGCTTGGCGAGGTGGGAGCATTGCCGAAGTTGATGCGAGGACTAGTGGGACTGTAGCCTGGACTTGTGCCGCCTGCACCGCCCGATACCCAAGGGCTGACCATGGCCGGACTGGTAGCTGCATACGCCGGCGATGCTGGCGAGTAGCCCATTGGACTGGAAGGAGAGTATCCGAGACCTTGACCGGGAGAGTAACCTCCCATTGGCGTTCGCATCGGCGTGGTTCCAGCGCCGAGGAAATCGCTGTACTGCTCTTCTTGTTGCATAGCTAAAGGTGAGAAAGCAAAGCCACCGCTTCCAGCATCGTCTATCATGTAGCCGCTCGACGGGCTGGAGGAGTCGTACGGAGTGAGGGCTCCGCCTGGGGTTTTGCTGCCGTCTTGAGCATTGAAGCTAGCGCTCATCGCAGCTGCTTGGGTGTAGCGCAAGTCCACGATGACGTCCTTGAGCTGATCAACGTCGAGGTGCACTTCGAATGCCCCAGTGCCCATTGGCGCCATCTGGCCGAGCAAGACGTTTTCTGCGACGCCCTTGCAATCGTCGAGGGTACCGGTAGAAGCGGCATCCATCAGGATTTCGACCGTCTCCTCGAACGTGCATCTCATGAGGGCGCCTTGATTGGTCCTGTTGATGCCGTGACGGGTGATCGCCATCAGATGGCCTTGCATGGTCATCAGGTCGCAAAGCAGGGCCAGATGGCGATAATTGACGTAGGACCCATCGAACTCGATGACTGCCTTGGCTTCACGCAACAGGGACAATCTGGCAGCTTCAATCCCAAAGGCTTTGAAGACTTCGACACAATTGTTTGACACTGTGCGGACCTTGTCGACACCTTCAACCGCCAGTACCTCCTTCAAGTTGGATCCGTCGGTGTCGAGCATCCACTCTTTGACAGGCTCCCATCCACCCTCAGCATTGATGCGTTGATGCGTTTTGTCTTGCTCGACAATGAACACTTTTTTGATGCCCGTGACACCTTTAAGATCGAGGTCTGTAAGGAGGAGGTCCGCAATCTTGCGCAGCAGAACGTCCTCCTGCCCCTCAGTGTCTTTATCGAGCTCGCTCTCGACGACACGAATGCGCAGAACCAGCTTGTCTGCATTGTCTTCACTGTGCATGACGAAAACGTCTTCGCCAAGCTTCTCCGATATCTTCGCGGCGACCTCTGCCATTGTCAGCTCAGCGTTGAGCATCTCCTTTCTGCTCAGAATGAGGCGGAGCAGCCAAGACTGTTGCTTTGGCAAGGATGCTTCCATCTCCGGGTCAGGAATGGCAAAGAAAGCTTCGACGAAGTCACGGTCCTCTTCGATGTTCGTCGCTGAGGGATCCGGGTCGAAATGGATCTCAACACTCTCCGTGACGGTGCGCAGCGTGGTATTGGTGAGATGCGCAGTGATACGCTTGGCCTGCTCCTCGCTACCGCTGTACTCTGGCGTGAGATACACGGCGAGAGAAGGTGTCTTGATGTTCTCCGCGCAATTGATGATTTCCTTGAGGCGAGGTACACCAAGCGTCACATTCTTACTCGCTACACCAGCGTAGTGGAATGTGTTGAGCGTCATTTGCGTAGCTGGCTCTCCGATACTCTGAGCAGCGAGGGTGCCGCACATCTCTCCAGCAGCAACCACAGACTTCGCGAACTGGATTTCGATCTCGCCCAGAATGTAGTCCCACGCCTCGCTGTTGAGATGAAGGCGCTCGATGGCGTATCGGCTGGAGAATGTTGCTCGCAGATGGGTCTTGAACAAGATGGTGGCGTTGAATTGCGCCTCGCGCGAGATAGCATCTCCTCCACGCACCACGACAAGCTTGTCGAGCAAAGTGCGTAGATCCGTGATGATCTTGGCTGGTGAGAGATCGGTGGGCATGCGATCGTCAACGCGGAACTCTTGCTTCGCGTTGACAATAAGGCGCGCGATGTTCATTGGCAGCTGCACGTCGTTGCGGTCAGTCTTGAAAATGAACGAGCGCAAGAGATTTCTGTCCTCGCAAAGCTGAGCCCACTCGACGTCGATTAGGGATTGAAGCTCTGGAGACCATTCTGCTAACCCTGGCAGGAGTGTTCCCGGCCTGTAGCCACCATTTGCTTCGTGCAGATCCACGTGGAATTGATTGTGGAACTGCTTGTCCGTCAAGCGATGTGTGATCAGATGCTGGCGCTCGACCATAGCACCGTCAATACCGTCTTCTCCATAGGCAAATTGGATGACGCTGTTGGTCGAATTCCGTACCGTACCGTCATAGTGGACCATGACATCCTCGAGCGCTTTGACGAGACGACGCTGAATGTATCCGGTCTCAGCCGTCTTGACGGCTGTGTCGATCAAACCTTCTCTACCCGCCATGGCGTGGAAGAAGAACTCTTGAGGAGTCAGACCACGCATGTAAGAGTTCTCGACGAAGCCACGAGATTCGGGACTGAAGTCGTCTTTTGTGAAGTGTGGCAGGCTGCGATGGCGGAATCCGAAGGGAATGCGTTTGCCCTCGACGCTTTGCTGGCCCACACAGGCAGACATTTGAGAGATGTTGATGAAAGAACCTTTGGAACCGGCAATAACCATTTGCTTCACGTTATTCCAATCCGGCAAGTCTCTCTCCGCTTCTGTGCCGGCCGTGTCACGAGCTTTGTTGAGGATTGAATTGACTTCAGCTTCGAACGACTCTCGGAGAGTCATACCCGGCTTGGTTCTCAGCTTGTCGTTCTTCGCGTCGTCGATCAGATGAGCCACTTTGGCTTTGGCGTTCATGATCTCGTCCGTAATCTTCTTCGCAGTGTTGTCGTCTGCGACGGTATCGCCAATACCAATGCTGAACCCGTTGTGCAGCAGCCAGTAGTTCACAAGACGCTGCGCACCACCAAAGAAGTCGCGGCAGACGATGGGTCCGCGCTCTCTAAAGATGACGTGGATCAATCCCCCTGCAACTGCACCAACCACCTTCTTGTTGATGACGCCGGTGAGCAGCTCGCCGTTCTCAATGGCCACGGCGCTATCATCGACGTTGCACTTCTGGCGGTTGATGACTCCTCCATTGCTGACGTTGATGCCCTTTGGAATGCAGAGAGACAGTAATTGCTTGCCCGACCAGTACGGCTTAGGCTTGATGATGCAAGGCATGGGCACTGTGCCGTCCCACTCAGGCACCCATAGCAGTAGGTTTTGGACCGCGTCGTAGTCCAAAAGACAATCGCGAAGCGTAAACTTCCGAATGCCGCAAAGCGTGTCTTGCACAATGCCCATGACTGGCTTATTTGCTTGTGGAGACACGATCTGTCTCGGTACCCAAGCGATCTGACTGAGCTCAGCTCGGGTCTCCTCGCTCTGAGGAACGTGCCTAAAGGTAGAGCCGCGCCCTCCTCGTCAGGCTGGAATGTAATCGTAAAGCGCAACATCGTAGCTCTCCACTTACAGATTCATCTCGTCACCATCGAAGTCAGCGTTGTAGGGTGGCGTGACAGATAGATTAAGTCGGAAAGTCGAGAAGTCCATGAGCTTGACACGGTGACACATCATGGACATCTTGTGAAGACTTGGTTGACGATTGAACAGAACGTAGTCCCCATCCCTGAGATGTCTCTCCACCGTCCATCCATACTGCAAGGCCATGTCTGATCGCTTGTTGTACTTGAGATCAATACGCTCTCCAGTGTCACGTATCACGTAACGAGCACCCGGCCATTCGGTTGGTCCTCGTCGAACAAGCTCCTGCAGGTCCTTGATGTTGTACGGAGTGACTGCAAGGAAGACACAAAGAGGTCAGCAACACCAAACCTTGATCATGGTCGCTCAATCGTGTTCACCTTTTTCGGGATAGGTCAAGTTGCGTGCGATGCTTTTGGGCACTCCAACCTGATCAAGCTCCAAGTTGGGGTCACCAGTGATGACAGTACGCGCTGAAAAATCCACGCGCTTGCCCATGAGATTGCCACGCAGACGACCCTCTTTGCCTTTCAGTCTTGCACGGATCGACTTCACCGGTCGTCCTGACTTCTGCATGGCCTTTGGTATACCGGCCGACTCGTTGTCCATGAGTGTTGCGCAGTGAAATTGTAGGACTTGCTCGAACTCTGAAATGATGTGAGCTGGTGCGCCTTCGTTTTCGAAGCGCTTGAGCTGAGCGCTCGCTTTGATGATGTCTGCAAGCTTGTAAGTCAAATCGTCCTCTCCTTTGCCTGTAGTGCCTTCGGCGACTCCCGGACGGACAGGAGGAGGAGGAACAGGGTAGACAGTCAGGATCATCCACTCGGGACGTGCATCGACAGTCGACAAGCCCAGGCGCTCGATGTCCTCGTCGCTCATCTTCTTCAAGAGTTGCTGTGCATCAGCAGCAGAGAACTTCGTTTTGTTCGGTTGAGAATTGCCTTTCTTGTCAGCTTCCTCCGCCGCCTCGCCGTCCTCTACTTTGCTGCCCTTCTTGGGAACGGTGTTTATCACCAGCCCATGACGCCTGATATTTGGCTGGACGTGTCCGCATCCATGATGTCCGAGCACCTCGGCCTGAACATCTGCGAGCGGATCCTCCTCCTTCAGGTCGTCTGTCTGGCACACGGAAATCTTGCTGCAGTGCGCCCACACTGCCTGCAATCGCCTGTTGCGCGCCTTCGGCCCTCGCGTACGTTCCAAGATAGCTTTAAACACCGGGTCGGTGTGCTAATTCGCCAAGCGCCCAATGAATGTGAGGAGGTGTAAAAGACGTGCCGCAGCCAGAAAGTCTGCACTCACCTCATCAGCCAGCAGCTTGCCGCAACGATTGCAGACACACTCAAGGATCTTCTTGATCAGCTTGATGAACCCCTGATGGTATACGGGGCGAGCAAGCTCGATGTGCCCAAAGTGGCCTGGACAATCGGCCATTCCCTCGCCGCACGTCTGGCACTTGAAGTTGCGATCGATGGTACCGAGTCTAGGATCCGAAAGACCGCCTACTTTGTACTTGCCATTCTCGTCCAACGTTTCAGGGTGCTCAACCTTAAGAACAGACATGGCTCGCTGGTGCGATAAAGTCGAATAACGAACGGACTGCGTCAGCAGGACGTAGGGTGCTGCCGATGAAGACTGCCATCTCCATTGGTTCGATGGAAAGATTATCCTTCCCCACGACGAGGGTCATCCATCGCTACGGATGGCACGTTTCGCCCCACACTGCCATCCACCGCGGAGTCGGTGTGCATCTGCACGAGTGGCACACTCACAATCTCATCCGGGCTTAGAACGCCAAACTGTACCTCTCTGACGAGGCGCTGCGTGGCAGCACTCTCCGTGAAGCGTCCGTGTGCAGCCATCTTGGGCTAAAAGTGAATCTTCCACCACGTCACTAATCGAAGCGGCTTGTTCTCGCCAATATCCCTTCCGTCTCGTGCACCAGATGCCAATTGCAGGGTACTCCTTCCCAATGAGCGTCTCTACTTTGCGATCCCTAGCAAAAGCTTGAGAAGGCGCTGCGAAGGGCCAGCGTCGTGCGAGGTGTCAACAGCAGTTAGCAACCATTGAGATGAAGCAGCTTCCGCTCACTTCCACGAAGAGAAGGAGTTGAGACTGAACGTACTTTGGAAGCGTAACCGCGAAGAAGCGAATGGTCCTCGTAAAGCGAGGCGCTTGGCAGATCTGGGCGCTTGAATGCCAACCCTGCTCAGCGAAGCGATGCTTTCACTGTCCACTGCCACCTTGCGCGCGGAGGCACGAGAGCACTTTGAGAGAGATCACCTCTATAAGTCACCTATCATAGATGGATGACCGGCTGGCTCGACCCTTTGCAATTGCCACCGGAGCCCGGCAAGCTATGCTAGCGCTCGTTGGCCCAGACCCTCACCGCCGACCCTTCCTACACTCAGCACGACCAATCCGACCAAGTGCAACAAGCTCCTGTCCACTCGTTGAAGAATCGGCTATGCCACCGTACTACAGTCTGATCCCACAAATTGGCCTTCGAGCTTGCGAAGCACTGTCGACGACGAGCGTGCCAAGCGCTGAATGACCTCGGAGAGGAAAAGCGCAGTCGAGCGCGGTCTAAACCGTTCGAGAGGAACCGAATGCTACCGCAGAATGAGCGATAGTGCCGATAGACCAATGAGCGAGAGGAGAACGAGGATGCTGTCAGCCCTCAAGAGTGGATGAGAGTGCAGGGACGGTCTGGTCGACTGGCAAAGGCGCAGTCGTCGAGGTGGGATGCTATTCTGGACCAGCCAGCCAAACGGCTTGTGCTTGCGAGAAAAGGCGGGCGATGAGGCAGACGGCCGAGTCGCAGGCGCGTGATGTGCGACGAGCGGCTGGCTGGCTGCACAGCAGACAGCAGCAGCAGCAGGTACGCGCGCGGGCGGGCGAGCGCCAGATTCTTCAGCCTCGCGCAGCAGCAGCAGCACCAGCTGCAGATGCTGGACGCGATTCAAGATTTGTCGGGATACGCAAGCGTTGAATGCATGGAGTCAAGTCAGAATATTCGCGAGCTTGACGTTCGATTCTTGCGTGATCTGCCCTTTTCGAAGCTGCGAGTCATGAGTCAGTCATTTATTGCGCTTCGCTTCTTGATTGCTGCATTTCAATCGAGTGCGCGACAGTTGAAATCAGGACTCGTATGGTCGCTGCTTGCATGACCAGCTTATCGGATTACGCACGCTCTGCATCAGCTCGTCCGCGCCACGCCCTCTGGCTCGCTCGCTCGCCATCCACTCTGACCCGCTGCTGTCATCGTTGAAACACAGGTACCACTTCATCTTCCACCACTCGTCCTCCAAGCCTGTCATCACAATCTTTGCAGAACAATCGCAGCAACTCCTTAGCATGTCTGCTGCCTCAGCTTCTCGTCTCAGCGAAAGCGCCGCCTTCGTGCGACTTGGTGCCGCTCAAGCTCGGCACCTCCACACCTCGCTGGCTCGAAGAGCGCAGCCAGTCAACCCCTCCTCCAGCGTCGATGCCTTGCTGGGCGTTTCTGCGCCAGCTCCACCCAGACAAGGTGAAGGTTCAGGGTTGGTCGTGACAGGCAACGCTCGACCCAACAATCCCAACGACCTCTCGCAACTCTTGAAGCAGCATCAGCATCAGCATCGTTCTGGTCCCGCGGATGGGAGTCGAGGTGGCCAAAGCGCGACGAGAGCACGCAATGCGGCAGCTATGGGAGCAGTGAGGCGGAGCGGTCGTTTTGGCAGCAGCGACATACCCACGCGCAATCTGGAGCTCGATGGAGCTTTTTCGCCGCCCGACGCACCCATCGACCCGATGGAAGAAGCACGAAAGTCGATGGCAAAGCGGGGAGAAGAAGCGGTGGACCGCGAGACGCCGCACCCCGTCGATGCAATGAATGGTCGCAACGAGCTGGACGAGAGGGTTTTGGCTGCTGCCAGAGCTGTGCACGCACGAGGATCTACCGATCTCCACGTCTTGCTCCATCAATTCGAAGATCGGGCGGGTACGCAACTCCCCATCGAACTGCCTTACGAATCAACACCTGCACCGGAGCGCCGCGTACGCATCACTGGCGCAGACAGCTCAGAAGCTCACTTGCAGGCCAGTCACGATGATGGAGTGCTGCTCATCGCTTATGTAGCCGGTCTGACTGGACAGCGGGGCACAGAACGAATCAGTGTTTGCTCCGGCTTTGCAGTGGAAGGCGGCGAGAGGCTGACCGAGGCGCAAGGGGGAGAGGAGAAAGGCGCGCTCGTCATTTCCTGCGCCCACACCGTGAGTCAAAGCGAGATGCTTGCGAGAAAGATCCTCCTTGACTTAGCAGCCGGAACTGTCCGCCTCCTTCAGCTGCGAGCATCGCTTCCTGTGCCCCCTAGGAGCTCGTCATCCTCTAGCGGCGCCAAGTCTATCGGAGACGACTCTGTCGCACTGGCCATCACACGTCAAGGCCACATCTTTCCGATCAGGCAATTGCTGTCTTCGCTTCCCAGATCCGATCTGGTGCTGCTGCAGCTCTCGGACAAGCCGATCCTACCCTCCATCTTGCCGACTGATGTCGAGGCAAGCTCGAGCTCGCTATCTGCTGCCCCGACCACCCTGCGCACGCTTCCTCTCTCCCCTTATCCTGCCACTGTTGGCACAGAGCTTGCAGTCAGCAGCTTCTGGGGCTACGAGGACGATGCGGGAGCAAAAGTTCCGCCCTTTGCGTTTGTTCAAGCCCAGAGTGGCGCGGGCGCTGGGAGTTCGAGCTTGGAGGGCCCCGGTGGCGCGACACGTACGCAAGCTTCTTCTGTAGAAGGTTCGGGCTTGACGCTCTCTACCCCTCTGCCTCCGCCGAAAGGAAGAGAAGCAGAGGTCGTCAGCAGAGAGAGGGATGACGCCGCACGATCCCGATGGGGTCGAGCTAGATTGGTCGAATATAAAGATGATTATGGTCAAGAAGCAAGAGTAAGTGCGCGGGCATGGATGCTTGGCCGATTCTACACAGTCGCATGAGTTGACACTGCAAAAATTCGCTGCATGCAGACGGGCACATACGATACGCTAGCACAGCTCGATTTCAAATTGGTCCTCTCTCACTCCAATCCGCCAGCACTGCACTCTTCCCCGCCCACCTCCGATTCTGCCGAAGAGCGTCGACGAGCTACTCGAGGAGTGCCCAACTTCCCCCCTCCCGGCTCCAGCGGCGGGCCGATCGTGTGCGCCGAGAGCGGAGCAGTGGTCGGCGTCACTCGAGGTACAAAGATGGGCATACTGGAAGGCAGAAGGGGAGATGGTGTGCCCGCCGAAAAAGTCTTTGAATGTGAGTCGCGACGTGAAAAGCCACTCCACTTCTGCGAGCTCACGCCGAGTCTTGTTCTGCACTTCAGTCTTTGCACTCCCCGGCTTAGGCAAGAAGTGATTTCTATGCCCTTGTATATCATGCGCGGGGACGACTTCAATTGTGCTCGAAATGTGAATCTGACCACTTGCGACCTGCTATAACAATCGACTGTTCCATATAGATGTGCTCTCATAGTATCTAATTGCAGCTGTTGTCTCATCAACGGTGCCATGCACATCCTCTGAAGCGTTTTGGGGCCTGGTGTGACCACCCAACATTTGGACAAGGCACCACTTGCAGGTGCGCCCTATTGTTTCAAAGCATCGCGGAAGAAGGCGAGGGAAGCTTCGTGGCAAACGCTCTCCGCCTCGATCGTGTCGAGGGCGTGATCCGCATCCGGAAAAGCAATCATTTGAACGTGACGACCTTTGCCCTTGAGGGCGTGGTAGAAAGTTTTGGCCTGCTGAGGAGGTACTCGCCGATCGCTGAGGCCTAGCTGGAGCAAGACAGGCGCTTTGACCTGGTCGACGTATTTGATAGGAGAAGCATCATACAAGCGCTGAGCTTGCTCGGGCAACAAAGTGACGGGTGTCGAGCCTTGCGAACTGTGAAGAGGAAAGGGCAGACCGAATTCCGCAAAGCACCAATCTGGAATGTCCGTCGTGGAAATCATAGCCCCCACGTCGATGACTGGATTCCTCATCACCGCTGCTTTGAACAAGTCGGGATGTTGACCGATCAGATGAGCAGATAGGAACCCTCCGTGGGATCCACCTATCACCAGCAGCTTGTCCCGCTGGGCTAGACCTTTCGAGATGGCCCACTCGGCCGTAGCAACGCAGTCTCGCACATCGAGGTCCCCGCACTTGCCTACCAAAGCCCTCACAAACTCTGATCCTCTACCTAGGGAACCATGGTAATTTGGAGCGATGATGTTGTAGCCTTCCAAACACATGGCCGCGATATTGGGCGCAAAGTCGGTGGTGAGTGCCGAGTGAGGTCCTCCGTGGGGATACTGCGCGTATAGAAAGGTGCTTTCAGAGGCTGGGCTATGACACAGATCTCTCCGAAACTTACAATGAGACACGGCCGTGCTGCAACAACTGAACCAGCCGTGGCCGCGCTCCATAGTACGGCTTCTATGGGTATAGGATTTTTGAGGGCCCTATGTTCGGTCCCAGGAATAGTGGCCACCAAAGCACGAATTTCGCAGAGTTTTTTGACAGCTTTGGGGCATACAGAATCGCATCAGCATCAGAGTGCGCAAAAGGAGGTTTTGTGCTTCGCTCGCTGCACTGACTAGGGTGATCTGCCACACCATCTACCGCCCTCCAGATCAACAGGGAACTCTTGGGGTTTGCGTCGCTGCCTAATTCTACCAGAAACACTTGCAGCGGCGTATTCTGACACGAACGAGAGACTAGCGCGTGGCGCTTGCCGTTCGTCGCCAGCGCGTTGTAGCTGTACGGCAGCTCGCCAGCCTGTTCGTTCGCCAGGATCGGCCTGAGAATGTTTGCTGGCCCGCTGTCTGAGATTGGCACCACAAGCGAAGTCGATTTGCTTCCCCACAGCGTGTTGCTGATCAGATGCGTCGACTTGCCTGTACCATCCAAGGATAGAAAGCAGGTCGCAGGCAAAGAGCCCGCAAAAAGACCTGGAAATGCACCCGCATCCCCATCCGGTGGTGCTGGACTGACGACGTGATCTGCATTTTGCAGCTTGCAACGCAGCTGAGACTCGTCGCTGTGCGGACCACCTTCAGGCGATTGAAGGTATAACACATCGGACTTCCCGGCATCCGGCACGCGCACACTTCGCGTTGAAGCTCCAATTACCGCGCTCAAACACTCTGCTCCATGCGGGATCCAAGGCGTCTTGACGGGCGCAGCAGGCTTGCGGTCAGACGTGTTCTCCTTCGCGTCATCCTTTGAGGCAGATGGGAGAGCAACTCTGATCAGGATGGATGGCCGATTGGTGCAGTAGATGATGCCCAGCTGACGTCCATCTTGGATGCCCGAGTAGACGTGCGCAACCACTGCAGCATGTCCTGAGGCGTCCGTACTGAAAGCGGGCTGGGCGTGCGGCACCTCGCCTGCACCTCTGCCAAGTGCCTCAGTCAGGCGCGAAAGGTCGAGCTGGGAGATCTCTGGCTGGGCAGAAGCTTGCGCAGTCGTCTTTGTGTTGAAACGCACAAGAAACACGCGAGGGCGGAGGATGCTGCCACTTTTCTCCCCCAAAGGTTCTTCGTACCGGAAAGCTTTCAGTCGATCCTCGGTGCGAGTCTCATCAGACCCCGACCTCGCATCATAAGCGGGGAAAGGGTCAGGTTTGTCTGCCGCTTTGGCATCGGCGACGTACAGAGCGGCGTCCTCGGTCAAAGGGCACAGGGACGAGCTCCCGTAGGGTTCTAAGCACGTGCAAAGTCGATGCCCTCGCAGTCAGCAGCTGCAAAGCGCGGACCGGCTACTCCTTGCAGAGGAGTGCGCAGATCGAGTCGCCCGGCTGCCCGCCGTCGCTCACCTCCGATGCAAAAAGATCCGTGAACGTCGTTCACGTGCACCTCACGAAGCAGCGTCGCTCCTTGCCACAGCTCAACGCTCTTCGTGCCGCGCCCGCCCGCATGTTTCGCTCCGGCATCCGCATCCGGCCTCTCACGAAGCACCACCCTTCTTCCGCTCGCAGAGGCAGCATGCAGAGTAGCCTTGATGGTCGAGTCCACGCTCACTGTGCTGCTGTGCAAGACAATGCCTTGCTTGGCCGAGACGACGAGGCTTGCCTGGAGATTGTTGCGCGAGAGTGTCGCATGGGAGCGAACGGACAAATCGAGCTGAACACCTGCATGTGATGATCAAGTCGAAGAGGAGGCGAGACAGTCTTATTGTGATCAGTCACGAATAGGCACAGCTCTTCACCTGATGTCTCAGTGTCATGGTACGCACTGAGAAGCTCTTCGCTTGCCTCTTTGGAGGAAGGCGGCAAGAAGCGAGCACTCGAGACGCTAGGCAGCTCGGCCAAGAGTCGGTGTGTTGCCAGCGAGCTCATCTCGAGGGCGTTGTGAGTGTCGAGCAATAGTCAAGTGATGGTTGAGTCCTGCGTGGAAGAAATGCTCTGAAGGTCAACTCTAACCCTAACTCCTGGTTGTCGATTGTGAAACTTCTGCTGCCCCAGGTTTGGCTCGCGCGGTCACTGAGCGGGCAACGCCGCGCCGCTGTTCTGCGTGAGCCCGCGGGCTAGTTGCGACAGAGTAGTAGTGAGGGACGGTGGTTTGGCAAGCCATATCAAAGCTCGACGCAACTAGGCGGCAATCGCGTGAGTGCAGCATATACAACACCGGCAGCTCTTTCCGGGTGCCCGGTAGCTCATGTAGCCGGCCGTACGGAAAGTGGTGTGGACGAGATATCGCGGCGTGCTCATGGGCATGCACAACGAGTCACGAATCTGAATGCCTTGGGCCCACGATGATGGCCCCTACTGATGAGCCTTTCAGGGAACACCTGTAGGCGACACGAGCTCTCTTCGCTATAGCACCACGGATCGCAATCAGGTCCGACCGGGACAAGGCGCGATTCTTGATCGCGGCCCAAGAACACGCTTTTGGTGGCAAGCATTCATGTAGGTTTGGCCAACGCAGTATGTTGAATCGTGATGCTCACCTAATTAATGAGACTAATTGCGCTTCAAGTGTTGACGACTCGCGTCGAGGAACTTAGATCCAATCACAATCACGAGTGTGAGTCAAGATGACTTTCCTTTTGTTACAATTCACTGTGATCACAACCGCAAGGAGCTTCAATACCGTCAGCCAGCAAGTGCGAGTCAGTAGTCTTGTCTCGTGTGATGGTATCGAGAGGCGGACACGACTATTCTCACAATCTTGAATCCTTGTCTCAGATATTCGGCTCCAACTTAAAGATCACGGCGGGAAGACCTGCTGCTGAATGAGAGTCCGACCGCTCGAGTATGTATAGAGGGATGAGACGGAAGTGTCTGCCGAAGTGAGAGGGCAGCGTGAAGAGAGCGCGAAAGAAACAAGCCGTGCTACTTTGAGCTCAGATGGGACGAGCGAAACTACGCGTGCGCGGGTATGTGAATGATGTGAGGTCAGCTTAGTTCACGATTGGTGATTGTATCCGCGCAGGACCGTGCATTTGATTGAAGCACTTTGCGGCGTGCACGCATGGTCTAAGCTAGCGCGGCCAACGTTCCCGCCCGCCGCCGCGGCACACGCAGCACTTTTGACAAATTACGCCACATCCATGCCGCTGAGTTGCGCCATACGCCGCCGCCCACGCGTGAGTTAGCCTGCAGGGCGGCGGAAAGCCGCCAGCCGCACGCCTGATGATCGATGTCCGCGCAACTCAAAACTCGACTCATCAGCGTGGGCAAAGGTCGCAGTCGCGTGAGTAGCGCAGCTAGAAGCTCTAAATCGTGAATATTATTCGTGACTCACCACGACTTGTAACTGCATGAGTCCTAGGCCAATGCATCATCTGCAGCCGCACACCTCACCCGAGACTCGGCCAGGCTCACCTCGCACACGTACCGATCCACCACTTGTGACTGCCCGTTGCAGGTGTTTGGCCGTCAGAAAGTGGAGCATCTGTGAGAGGATGTCATCTCGGCAGTCCGTATGGACCTAATGACAGGCAGGAGTCAAGGTTCAGTGGTGAGAGGGACCTCACGGCTGCTACTCGATCTTGCCGGCTCACAACGTCACAGGACACTGAACGAAATGGCTATCGCAATCGCGAATATGGGTTTTGCGCGTACAGAAGAGACGCACCGCCTCATCCTTAACTCAAGATCTGGCAGGTCGGGAGGTCGACCGAGCATCGAGACTCTTGCTCTATATACAGTCGAAAGTCGCGGCCGCCTAACGCCGAGCTTTGCTTGTCGAAACCGTACTTGCAGTATTTAAAGACGATTGCAATATGAGAGCATCGGACGACGATTGTCAGAGGCGGTGAGTGACTTCCTCACATGCTTGTCTTGCAAACGAGTCGCAGTCACGAGTCGTGCTTGAAGAACGCGGCCTAGCCAGGGCCCATCCGCGTCTTCGACAGATTAGATCACAAACGAGGCTCGCCGGACCACGCCTGTAGCTCTGTAAAGCCAAAAACGTCATATCCATCAGCAATTGCCTGCGACTATCACAAACAGACAAGATACGAAGCTGTCTCAATCTCGGCCTAACCAAATGTATCTGAAAGCTAGCGTCTACCCTAATTCACGATTCTCAGCTCGCAGCGAGGCCTCCTTGAGGAGATCCCCCGAACACGCGTGACTCTTTGAGGAGGAGGTACAGGTGCTCCTATATCGACGTTCAAGGTCGCAGCACTAGATCAAGGCTCAAACACCTCAATGTATGATGCGCGGAGCCGGATCGAAACGTCAGGGATGATTGGCAGTCAAAGCCATGCAACAGCCTGTGCGGCTCGGAGAAATCGGATCGACATACTAGTTCACGATTGCTGACGCAGTCAGAGTCCTTCGGGGGCATGTTCAAGTGGCGGGACTCGCAAGCTCTTTCCCTTTGTGCAAGATCACTCAGTAGTACACTCGCCACTCTGGCTGCTATGGACGGCCCGGTGCATGCCGGTGTTTGGAGTGCTGCATAGCCTAGATCACCAATCAGCAAACGGCTTATGTGCGCTGATGTATAAACTCTCGGACGACGCACGAAATATCGGTCGACTCAGACTTCTGGCACTTATCTTTGGCTGACACTCCAAGCATTCACAGTCAAACACGCGCCAGTCAAGACTGACATTGTTGGCTACAGATCTGTTCTGAAGGTTCGAAGAGGTGCACCCGGTTGCACCGAGTTCAGACATCATCAAAGATACTTTTTGGACAGCAAATCGGTGAAGAGACGAGCGTTGTTGCTGTGATCACATCGGGAAGAGAACCTTGTCGGTTCCAGGCCTGAACTTGGCTATGGCATTGCTGGCAGATCGAGCAAGCACAGATCAACGTCGCAGTCGTGAGACAGCACCGCTGTCGTTGCTGAGCCGGGCGCGATGGATCTGTGTCTTCGTCCGGTGGGGCTCCTTTGACATCGTTCTACATCAGATGGGTATAAAAGCAGCACGGAGATGCTCCCCTTGATCCCGAAAAACCTACCTGCGTGGTCAAGTCGAACTCCCTCCTTCTTGATCCGGCGCTTCGATCCCAGCTCATCCGCCCAAGTCGACGCGCGTGACCCTTCAAGATCCGAGCTGGCTACACATCCTTTGACCTCCCAGACCTCACAAACATTTGAATTGACAAGATGGACCGCTCAGTCAAGACCGGTGACCGTGGTGAGTGCACTGATCCCATCGGACCATTCACCAGACGATGTGCTGATCAACCCTTGTCTGTGCTCGTCTCGACGTTCGCAGTCCTTTTCCGTATTGGACCCAACCAGGTCGAGGGGATTGTTCGTCGTATCCTGGCCGATAACAAAGTGAGTCTGATTTCCATCGTTATACCTCGATGCACAGGCTCGATAGGGGCAAAGGGGAGAGTGCTATTCCCTTGTGGCAGGTCAGGATGCGGTCGATGCATCGGGTAGTCAGACTGCTGAGCCACGTTGAACTCGCTTTGCATCTTTCGGCTACACGTCAGGGCGAGATCATCCTCGAGCTGGAGCACATCAACGTCGATGGATCCACCACGATGATGTGGCGTCATTTCAACAAGAGTGAGTGCGCCACGCTGATTCCAAAGCATGTCCTTTGGGCAGCAATGTGCTCACTGCAAGGACTCGGACCACCGTCTGCTCCACAGTCATCTTCGTCTAAGCGTCCAGCGAGTCGGCATCATGGTCGGTATACGATTGGAAGATGCCCGCTAGCCAATCAGAGGATTCCCTTCTCGTCAAGCTCACTCAGTCGGTCTGGATGAAACTTCTCGTCAAGCTACACGACTCAGATCTTCAACATCATGCTGTTGCTCCGTCTACTGAAGATAGTCTTGTTTCGTCTTGCACTGCGCTCCATCTACGCCCCGCATCTCTTCGATTTCGCAGACACCATCATGTGTCGCATTGCCTTGCTTTGATCCACGCCGTCGTATCGCGCACATTTTGCGATCCGGACGCCAGGCCTTGATTCGCGTCTCGTCTACCTAGCTGCTATGTCTCTGCAATCGACTGATTAGATTGCGACGCTCTGTCGCGAGCTCGAGCACTTGAGGGTCTGCGTTGAGCTGCTGCTTGCGAGGAGCAATCAACAGCTGCTTCCTCCGCTTTGCTCGGCCGACCTGCACCGGGATGAGCTCCGGATGAGAAGCAAGTGGAATCAAGACGGATTTTGCTCGTGATCCCACAGTCACTCGAGACTTGATGGGAAGATCACCTACTCACTGGAGCCAGCCAGTTTTGGATTCTCGATTGTGATTGCACCGTTGTGGACTTGCGTGCCTTGCGCACATCTTCCTCGCTCAGGCATTCACCGAGCCAAAAGCTTTGCGAGCGAGGCCCATGTCAGGGCTGCTTCGTGCGTCACGCTATGCATCTGTACAGTAGTAGTAAGTACACCTTGCTGCTCGTGTCGCCTTGCGGTATGTCCGGCGCTAGGCATGCACACCAAGCATGGCAGGAAACATGCAAGACGCCGGCAGATGCTGGCTGTCGAACGCGAAAGGGCGGAGATGAAATCTTGATTCACGATTGCGTATACGGTGCGAGGCGTCCGCGATCGTGAACGCAGGCCTTCATCTGCTATAGCTGCTCTGCGGCCCTGAGCAATTGTTATGGACTGACGAGAATCGTCACAACAACCTGCTTGCCGACCCGCGCGGTCGAGGCTCAACCCCTTGGGCGACAGCTAGGAAGTCACGAGTCATCAAAAGAGACGCAGCAGACATTTGCTGGGCGCAAAGCCAAGTCGGAGCAATCGTCACGCCCCATTCGTGATTCACTGAGTACCGGTACTGCTGCTCATGTCGTTCGATCGCATCTGGGAGCGAGATTGTGATTGAGCCGCGGGCAGAAGTTTGCGCGACGGACAGGATGACCGCATGGTCACCATGCAGAGTCGGAGCATGTACTCACACTCGTGACTGTAGGTGCTGTGGGCACGCACGCAAAGTCGCACCTACACGGTACGGTAGAGTAGTCAGAGTGACTGCGCGCGGATTCGATGGACAAGCAATCGTGAATTGAACGGCGTTCTTCGGTTAGCTACAGTAACAGCCCACAACAACGCAAATAAATAATAAGCGCTCGCTCTTGGCCCCTTTGGATGCATCCATGCGAGCAGCATGCATCACCGGCGGCTCAAGACACACAGCAGACTCGCGGGTGCGCGCGGTTGTCAGCATCTGCAGCAGCGTGCTATAGCTGATGCATGCATGGATGCACACGCGATTGCCCCGTCAAAATTTCCTTCTGCGCCAAAACGCCGCGCGTGCATTATTCTGATTCGTGATCGTTTTGTAGATTCAGCCTTGCCTTGCCTTGCATCGGCGAAATCGTGCGAAGGGATGCGAAGGGAGGCGAATAATAAGAGATGCGATGTGAGCTCGAGCATTGTGGCCGCGTTTGCGTTGATTGCTGCATGGTGCCCTACACAGCCATCAACGCACACCTTGCAGCAGCAGCAGCAGCACCAACTCATCATCCCCCTTAATTTATTGCTCGCTCGCAGAAAGAGGCTGCCGCTCGCGTTTGCGCCCCTGATGAACGGACTGGTCTGCTGCCGCGGCTTCTGTTCTTTGGGACCTGAACAAGTTTCGATCAGATCCACTCACGACTCGACACGACTCACTCACGACTGCGAATGCCTGCGAAAGGCGCGGTGGATGGCCGACGTCCGCCGCAGCCTTGCAGCCGGACAGCATGCAGTCACAGTCGGACCAACGGCTTGACAATCTGAATGTAGCAAAGCTGCGTTTGTTCGAGTGCATCGAAGCCGTGCACCAGTCTTGATCACAATGTGATGTCTATTGCGTAGCCTCTATCCGCGGTCGCCTTCTTTACAGGAGAATGTGTTATACGTCTTCAGCACACAATCACCACCACCACCAACCATATCCTGATAGCCCTCGCAAGCGCGCAAGCCAATCACGCGCCTCTTGACTCTTGCCGCGAAATTGCTGTACCCATCATGTCGAAGCCAGCACCCATCTCCACCGACGCAGCCAACGCTGGCAATGGCACATCGCCCAGCAGCTCCGTGCCCACTTCTCCCAGCACCACGCGCAAGCTGGGCAATGCGCTTGCCAGCATGGGCATCGGCACAAAGAAGCAGAGCGCCGATGGCTTGACCACTCCCACTCACGAGATTGCTCAAACCCCTGCGTTGGAGAGCGGCAACCCGTTCGACAAGCACGAGATCCCAACAGAGGCTAGACAACAGCTCGTCGTTGGTAAAGTGGGAGAGGCTGTCCACGAGGAAAACTCCAAGATCTTGTTGGCGCTGGATGGAACGGATGCGGGTGACAAGGCTTTCAACTACGTTCTCAATAGCAAGGTCCTGGCCAAGGATGCCCACATCTTCAGTGAGTAGCGTGCCATGGCGGCGTGCCTTGCCGCAGCTGGCGCAAGGGCCACTGGGCGGTCGAGATGCGAGCAGCTTCTGCGCTGGTGTCCTGGTAGCACATGTTTTTCGACATTCACGTTGACGATCATACTGACTGGACGTGTCGCGCGCCTTGCTTCCGCATCCAGTCGCCACTATTCTCCCAGCCAATGTCCTTTCGGGTCCCTGGGTGTCTGGTCCCTTGTCCATCGACACGAAGCGTCAGAATGAGCTCTTGAAGCAGCTCAGAGTGCAAGCTTTGGCCAAACTGCAGCCATACAAGGAGAAGCTCAAGGCTGCTGGCTACGAGGCTACTCTGCACATTCTGCACGGCGATGCCCGTCAATCCCTCGTCAGGGTCGCCCAACATCACAAGGTGAGCAAGGGGCGCGTGGCACAGAATCACGGAGCGCGCTCAGAATGTTTGCACCCCTCTGAACCTCCTTCTTCGTATTCCCATCTTTTACAGGTCGATCTCGTCATTGCTGGAAAGCGAACAGCGAAAAAAGGTCTCAACTTTTCCACCGGCACCATCTCCTCCCACTTGGTGAACCACGCGCCGTCTCCCGTGCTCGTGATCAAGTAAAACAAGGATCTCCGCTCGCGCGCACTTAGATCCGTCATCCCATGATGAAGAGTGTATTCACGACTATCTGAAATTATTCACAGGTATTAATGATGAGAAAACCGACACGACGTAGCGTCTACGCGATGGCACGCGGTTGTACGCGATTTGAGCAGGTTTGTGAACATCCTCGATGGAGCGGAGCGAGCGCCGAGCGCTGCAAACAGCGCTCAGTATACTATCCAATGCGACAGCTTTCCAGACCATCATGTCCGAGATGGAATAGCAGCACTGATTTAGATCTCATCACATAGAGCGTTGACGATCATGTGATTAGCGCGCATTGAGACAAAGCAGTTGATATGGATGACTATGTTGTTCGGAGACGGTTCAAAGATGTTCGGGGCGGAGGGTGCTTGTGAGGTCAGACCGAGCAGATGGCGATGATCGAAGAGCAAGACTCTCCGTTCAGCGTCGAAGCTGAGGCGAACTGCACATAGTCGGCTTGATCTGATCGCTTAGCCCGTCGTACGACCATTCACTCCAAGCCGGATGCGTCCTTGTATTTGTCCTGTGGAGCAGAGGGCGAAGTTGAGCAAACAAGAATCGTTGGCGCAAGCCCCCGTCACGTGAAGTCGTGGGGCTGAACTCACTTTGTGGATCCAGGACATGCCGACGGTATCGTACCCTTGGGCTTCCTGTGAGACAGCAGAGCAGACGGGCATTCATTAGCACGGCCAACGCGAGCACCCGCAATCGGTGACGGACAACGCACCGCCATGCGGTAATACTTGGCAGCTTTCTTGAGGTCCTTCTTGCAGCCTCCCTTGCCCGCAGCCAGAAGTGCGCCAGCTTCTGCTTGAGAGTCAGCATCTCCAAGCTTGGCGGCCAGCTCAAAGTATTCGAGCGCCATGCGTTCTAGAACGATGCGTGTGTCAAGGTCAGCCAGGCTGGAGGATGCGGCGGTGATGCAAAGTGTCCCGCATGCAACACTCACTGTCCATCTTGACACCCCAGCCGTAGCAAAAGCACTTTCCTAGCTCGTAGACTGAGAGCTTGAGCTCGGACTGTACGGTCGAATGAAGAAGCGGGGCGAAATATCGCAGCGGATGGTCAGCGGTGGCCCTGCGTTCTGCTGAGTGACGTGACACCGCACTCACCCTGATGGCTCGAAGTTCCGCTTCAGTCTTCTGTCCGCTACTCGCACCAGTGCTCATCATCTCGCCCGCTCTAGCCGCAGCTCGGCTGATCCACTCGAAGCCCTTTCTGGGATCCTTTCTAGCGCCCCAGCCTTCGCGCAAAGCCATGCCCCACATGCACATGCCAACAACGCAACCACCCTCCACTCTGGCAGACCTCTCAAAGTAATACGCCGAGCGGGCGAGATCTCCAGATTCGTGGTAGCTGATTCCTTGCGAGAGAAACTCTTCGGCTGCTGTCGGGCCTGTGCGCGTATCTGCTCGAAGAGGTCCTGCCGGCCCGGGCGCGACTGATCCAAGCGACGCGCCCAGCCCTCGAGCCGAAGGCGTTGTTGCGATGGATACCGATGATGGCTTCGATTGCAACGATGGAGGCCGCTGATTCTGACTCTGACTTGGATGAAGTTGAGATTGCGAAGACCTGTTCTGGAGCTGACCTCGCATTTCGGCCGAATTGTAGCCAGCATCACCTTGAGGAGGCCAACGACTGGTCTGCACATTGCTGCGGTGCAGGTCGTCTTGCTGCGCCCATCTTTCTCCAGATTGAGGCGCGGTGCCGTTCTCAGCTCTACGTGGCGGCTGTTCGTCAAAGTGCGAGCGGATCTGAGCAAGTTGCGCAGCCTGACCGTCTTGCCGAGGCGCTGCAGAAGGCAATCCGTTCGGTTGCTGCTCGATCGACGACAGGCCGCCCGAGTGGTGCGAACGTCTTGAGTACATGCTCTCTAGACTCTCTCGCCTGTTTGATTGATCTTGTGGTCCATCACCAGGCTCATACAAGACCGTGCCCACGCTCATGCGGCTGCTTGCAAGCGTACTAGAGCTGTCCCTGCGCGTGCTGTTTTCAAGCCGGAGCGTCTCGACATCGAGATCCGATACCAAGCTTTCCCTGCCGTCTGCGTTCTTGATTGCTTGAGCTCGCATCTTGCCGATCGCTGGCATGTATGGCGAAGGGGCGTTGGGATCTGAATATCCTGGGGTGTCGTCGCGAGGAGCGGGCGGCGGCATTCGGCCAGCAGGATGACCATGCGTGGCTCGTCCACTCGAGATTCGGCCACCCGACGATCGGCGGTGGCCATCGGCACTGAGAATGGGCGAGTCGAGTCCTCTGGCCAAGATTGCAGAAGGACCAACTGGCACACGTTGCAGCTGTTGCTGCGAGGGCAGGGTCCAGCTTTGCTCAGCAACAGGGACAGTCTCCACGACTGCGCTCATCGGGGACATGCCGCCCTGGGGAACACCTTGACCTGACGAGGACGCTCCGGCCACACCCTCGTGGCTCGAGACTGATGCTGATGGCGTCGGCGGCCAAACGAAGACGTGCGCGCCATTCGGTCCCGACGCATCGCTTCCACCACTACTGCTACCACTTCCAACGCTGTTTGGGGTAATAGTGCTGACAGATGCGATGGATGCCATCGAATCCCGCGTGTTGGCTTGACCGGACCGATACGTGGGCCCATTCTGACCGGAAAGCATCGGCGTCTTGAGATCATCATCGTCGCCTGCTGCCTGGGCCTGAGCGTCAACGTCGTCAAGCTCTGGTGCAATGCTGCGCAGAGTATCTCTCCGGCTTGGCGCATAATTCGAAGGTGAGCCTCTAATGGTCGGCGTTAGCGAGACGACATGCTGCCGACTCATTGAAGGCTGAATCGGCACATCGGCTTGGTCGAATGCTGTATGATGTTGTTGATGGTAGGTGCGCGCATTTGGTTGGAGCAAAGCAGCGTCATGACTGGGTTGGGCAGAGCGACCTGGTGCAGCCTTGAGCTCAAGGCCACCGATGTGCTGCGCTTGTGTGCCATTGTAGCCCTCCAAATGCTGACCTGATGCTAGACTGCGCTCCAAAGTCCCCAAATGACCTCCATACTTCGCATTGGTGCTGGCAGCATTCCGAGATTGTGTGCCTGTGATTGCTCCTTGTGCAGCCACTTCGTCATCCACGTCATCATCTCCGTCATCTCTGCCGCCCCATTCGCTATCCCCGTACAGACTCTCTTCGTCATCCACCTTGTTCGCCCAAGCCTTTCCCCACCTTCCATTCTCGCCAAATTCGCTTGACCGCACCGTGTCTATGCTTCCTCTGCGTTGCAATGCCAAGCCTCGAACCGCACTTGCTACCTCATCATCCACGCCACCCGTGCTCCAAAGCTGGCCCATGATAGAAGATCGGTCGTTATCGCCTGTGATGGTGTTGAAGCTGGCATCTGATGACATGGAGCTTCGAAATGCGTTGCTGCTCAACAGCTGCGAGCTTTCCCTCTGCCGCGCTTGTTGTTGCGGGCCGCTAGCGAATCGTCGAGGCCCGTAATCGTCCTCGTCTTCTTCTGCTATCGCACGAGCAGATGTGGTGCTTGGCTGCTCTGATCGATCCGCCAAGCTTTGGCTGCTCAGTCTCGCCGCCCTCTGACGTCTCACCTCCTCTCTTCTCCGTTCCTCCTCACTGCGCACAGTATCCCTTTGTTGAGCTTGGCGATACGAGCCTTGCTCAAGTGTATCTCTCTCGTCCACTTGCGGTGGTGCGCGTTTGATCGAGGTGCTCCTGGAGAGCGCAAAGGCGCGATTGTAGATTTGAGATCGACTTGCAGGTTGCTGAGCAGGAAGTGGGGCGTCAGGATCTGCTCCGCTCTTCATGCCTTGCACAAGAGCGTCCAAAGGTGAGCCCACCGCTCCTTGCTTGATCCATGACGCAGAAGAAGATGAAGGGCTGCTGTGAGTGTAGGAGGATGCTGGTGATGTATCCGCCTCGCGTTCCCGACGACCACCGCTGCCGCTGCCAGAGGAGTAGGAGCGCCCGCTGCTGCTTCCGCCGCTTTGCTGACTGTTCATGCTTCCCTGATCGGAATCAGCTGCTCTAGACAAAGCAGCCGACCGAGCTGAGGGACTCGGATACGACGCGGCTCCACTTTGATTGGGTTGGCCCCTGTACATCGCAATTCTTCGCGCCCACAGGCTTCTCAGCTGGGTGAGGCGCGACTTGTAGACAAAATCGGTCGGTGTAGAAAGAGATCTGCCCGGGGAGTCGGGCTTCCAGAAGATGAATCCGCCGGTCCTCGACCAATGGTGTATGTTGTTGCATTCGCCGCGTGCGAGTTCTGTTAGACCACTGCCCCACAGCCTAGGAAGCTAGCTGCGCTAGGCGGCTATGGAAAGGCGTCAGGTCGGCCGGCATACGAGACATTCAAGAGCGCGAGCTGGCTAGCGTTGCGGTCCGTATGGGAGAGGAGCAATGATCTCGCATTGTAGCGGAGAAGGCAATGAAGAGCAGAAAGTCAGCGGATACGCTGTGGTGTTGCCGCGAGCATAGCAACCACCAATCACAATGGTGAACAGTCACCGTCGCCAATGCATGGGTCCACATGCATCAGCCAAGCCTTACGACTCTGTTTGTGGGGCTCTTCCTCGCGACTCTCCTATAAAGAGAGCAAGCATCTGATCGCGCGAGTGACAGAGCGCAACCCAGCAGCCGCGCGCTTGTGCAGCAATAGCAGCAGCTGCTGGCATCACCATGCAGTCACGAGGCGCGGGTGTCACGGGTGTAGTACCGCGGCACGCGTACACCACCCTGCACGCGTATATCTATACATATATAGCGGGTGCAAGGTCCGCTCTCACGCCGCGGTGCGCGCATCCGCCATGCAGCAATTAAGCGGCGCAGCAGTCTCATCAGTCATCGCACACGAGATACGCGAATAAGTTGTCGCCCCCACAACGATCAGCATCATCAGCTGCTATAGCTGATGGTAGAGCATGCAGACAGCGACGTCGCACCGCGGCGACAGACTCGCCCCTTCGTAAATCAAGAATTATATTTTATGGTGATTGGTGATTATGTGAGCGCGTCGAGAGAGCTGCGATCCACCTCCTGCATGGTGACCCGATCTGTGCGGAGGCATGTCCTTTTTGCACGTACATCGGATGGTGCTGAGGCGGTCCTGATCGTGCAGCGTCAGGAAGCAAGAGTGATGAGTGTATACAGCTCGTGTGACTTTGTTCATCGAGCTCAACCGAAGGCAGCAAGTAAGAATAAGGATGCAACGAACACGGAAGAGACCAAAGCGTTGCTGCTGGCTGGCTGGCTCTGAAACACATGCTATGAGCCTCGCCTAAGCTAGCTGCGTTGCCGCAAATCGCCGATGCCGAAGGCCTTTATTTAGAGCGTTTTGCCTGCTGGACCATCTGCATGCCAAGAAAGGCGGCTCGCTGACTTGACTCGTTTGCCGGACTTCGACGGTAGGGATCTTGCATCCTTTGCTGGTCATTATTATAGGCTCGCAGTCGTGATGAGTCACGACTCACGCTTTCGATTTGATGAGCATCTTTTTCTTTCCATTCACACAGCATCGCCCCTTCGGCTTCGGGTCTGCACTTTGCCGCTTGATTCGTCCTAGACACTTCAAGCGCGCTGCTGCACACCTCAGTGCGACCGCGGCTGCTGCAGGCGTCGAAGGTGCTGCAAGTGCGATCCAACCCTTCGCTTCGTTGGGGGCATTGGTGCAGAACAGCAGTTGCACGCAATCAGGTGGAAAACCGCCGCGGTCGCAAAGACCGACCATGCGAGGCGTCTGCCCAGCACAGCATCGAGCAGCAAAGCATTGCGCCATTTCCAACCTCTAATCCACGCACTTCTCCAAGGGAAGAGCAGCAGTTTGAGGCTTCTTTGCTTGCACACGCATTCGTATTTGGACTCCAAAGGCAATCGTTCGGAGTCGCTCGTGCGCGCGCATGTCAGACTGCTCGCCACCATCGTGAGTCGCTGCGAATGGGTCAGAAGACTTCTATTCTGGGATATGGATGGCTGTCTGTGGAAAATGTACAGAGAAACTCGGCGAGGAAGGGACGTCTCCCGAAAAGAAGGGTATAGAGGTGAGGGCAGAGGATGGTGGCGGAAGATGTGGCCCCATCTTGATAGAGCGAGCTCGGTGGACTGCGTCGTTACATTGTACAAGGAGTTGTCTTGATTAGGTGTGATAGACGATTGTTCTGAAATGAGAGTAAAAGCGGGCTTCTTTGAGCGCGAGAGGAGAGGGAACAAACAATCTCAACGTCGACCTTAGATCCAAGCGCTGTGTTGCCGACGCGGTGTAGACTCAGGAGACAGTGGAGATCGATGGTGCGGTTGGGGAGCGGCCATCCTAGAGCTTGACCTGCGCGGTTGTGCTTGCTGCGCGGGCGGCGAAGCAAAAGGTGCTCCCAAGGGCAGAGGCATTCCCGAATGGTATGACGGAGAATGAGTTGTGGAGAAGCTCTGTTGCATATGTTGATGAGGTACGAAGTAGCCTCCAGACGCAGAAGTTGGCAAGAAGAAGGCACGGTGATGCATCTGCTCTGGTGTGAATGGACTTGCCATCAAGTAACCTTGGTGAGGCTGGATGCCAGACATTGCGTGAAGGGGCTGCTCGGTACGCTGAATGCTGCCGCGCCGAGGGTCCGCCAAGTGAGCGGGTGGCATCATCGATGAGCGATTTTGCCCACCGATGCTGCTCATTGAAGGAGATGGCAAGACGGTGGACGACCGCCCGGCCTGCTTCGGCGTAGACATCTGATTGATGTTCGCAGCGGTGGCAGAGGTAGAGAGAGCAGAAGGCGAGAGACGAGCGCTCGGACTAGTAGTCATGGAAGCGTCACCTGCACCGTAGTTCGGGCTGTGCAGCACCGAGGTATGTGCGGTGACCTTGCGTCGCTCCCTAGCATCGCGAAGCGCTTTCTTTTGGTCTTCTTGCAAGCGCTCAGCCTCTTTCGCCTTTTGCCTCTCCTGCTCGCGCTTCAGCTGCAAACTTCTCGACTTCTCTCGATTGCGCAACTCTTGCACTTCCGCCTCGAGCTTGGCTATGCGTGTGCGTTCCGCTTCTCGTGCTCTCTTCTGGGACAGCAGAACGCCGAGAGGCAAATCTTCCTCATCGCTCGAGTTCGCGATCGCCGCTTCGTCTTCTTCTCGGAGAGACGGTGATACCGAGATAGCACTGGAACTAGTCACTCTTCTGACTGAAGGTGACGTGGGCAGAAGAGATGTGCGACTGGGAGAGCGGACTTCGACAGATGCCTTCTGCGGAGACATAGACTGTGGAGCAGTCTCTTCTGCGGGGAGGGTGCTCGATCGCTTTGAGTTCAGCTGGCGAGGAGCGATCCATGGTGGAGGGCTGCGACCTTGTGAGCTCGATCGTGAACGGACCTTGCCCTTGGTGCCTTGACTGTGGACTGGCTCGCTGACGTTTTGTTGGCGGATGACCGCTCGCGACTCGCGCTTACGGAAAGAGCGAGGCGTCGGGAGCACCGTCGTAGGGTCTCGGGGCGTTAAGCCTGCAAGCACGCGAGCGCGTGGCGAGAAGCTTAGAGGAGATGGCTCGACCATCTTTGCGCGTGCAGCGGTGATTCCTGGAACCTCGACGCGCTCGCCGACAGCAAACGAGGACACTTGCAGTGCTTGATCGAGCTCGCTTGGACCGTAAAGCGCCTCTGCCATGATTAGCTCCATGCGATCTGCAAAGCCTGATCGCTTAATCCACCTCAGCATGCCGTTGCACTCCTGCTCAACAGCTTGCATTTGTGGCTGGAGACTGTTGGCGCCATTAGAATCTGCGTGCGATGTCGACGAGCCATCTGCAGACGCGCGGTTGACCATCGGTGGGGTGGCCAACGCTTCAGGACTGACATTTGGCCTCTGAGCGAGCCCTGCGACGATCAGCTCAGGAGAAATGCACTCTGTGCCGTAACGGCGCATGAACCACGACAGCTCCACTTCTTGATGAATTGGCAGCTTCTCTCGACGCAACTTTCGCATCACCGCTGATCTGGCCACTGCAGTCCCGAGATCTCGGTTGAGACCCAGGGTCGACGGATGAGCATCCAGCACGTTCACTTTGTTGATTGAACGGGGGAAGCGCAACTCTGATGGCGGCTTTGCCTGCAAGATCTGTGCTGCACCAGGAAGTAGAGTCTGTCCGTCCGGCGTAGCTGTGAAAGCGCTAGCCAGTTGTGGATGCACCTTCAGAAGGGTGCACGTGTACAAAGCTCTCTTTGCTGGTGTGTCCAATCCGATTGCTACAGGTCGAGGGCTTTCTGCACGTGCGACAGGCTGTGTGGGCAAGGGCACTGTGATGACCTCTGGCGAAGAAGTAGCAGAGTCGTAAGCTGTGGAGCGAGCGTCTTGGAAAGCATCAGATGCTTCTTCGTCACTGTCAGCGGCAGCAGCCGTAGACCTCGCAGATGGAGGGGGCCTGAGGCGACCAAAAGCGGTTTTGGCAGATACGCTCGCAGCACCGCCACTAGGCAACGGGCTCGCCCTAGCGAGCGGCGACGAGCTCGGCGAATCGAAGAGGGCCTCTGACGCAAGCCTGTCGTCTGACTCGTCCCCGTATTCATCCTCCGAGTCGGCGTCATTATCGTCGCGTCTGAAGAGATCAGAGCGTGCTACGCCTCGCCCATAGATAGGCTTCCAAAGACTGTCCTTGAGTGCAGCTTCCGCCTCCATTCTCTTGGCTTGGGCAGCGGTCAGGCGCTTGGCACCGGGTTGCCTGGCTTCGGAAACGATCATCGAGCGAGAGGCCTGGACCGAATCAGCTCCCTTCAAGCTGATCATCGATCCCATTCTTGGAGGCAGAGATGGCGATGGTGCGCCACCTGGTCCACTCGACGCTGCCAGGTCCGTCAGGCCAAAGTTCAAGACTGCACGCAGCATGTCAGAGTCTTCTTCCATGAACGCCGAGGCGCGCTTTGAAACTTTGGAGTGCAGCTGAGGTGCAGAATCTCTCTGCATTTCGCTCGACCGTTCAACAGGACTGACAGTAAGTGTCGATCTTGGTGGAGAGCGTTGAGCGGCTGCAGGCTTGAGAGGCCCAGAAATCTCAATCAAAGACAGGGCTGTCGAGTCAGCCCAGCTCGACGAGCCAGGTCCGGATTCAGCTGATGAGTACGTCGAAGACAGGCTGTTCGACTGGCGGCGAGGTGGACTGCGCATCGGATCAATGTCCCATGCGAAGCTTCCCAAGGACGGCAGCGCTGATACACTCGTTTTCTGCTGCTGAGACATGAAAGAAAGGGCGGGTACCTCAGGCAACTGAGGCATAATGTCCATGGTGCTTTTGCTGGCCAGGCCGTGCTGGGCCACTCTCGGGGGCGTTGTAGGAGTCAATGGAGGAGAACTTTGGCAGGTGTCTGCTGAAGAGTCCGAAGAGGCCGAGCGCTGCGACACGATGGCGGATCTGTTGAACATTCGCTTGCCAAAGGAGCGAAATGCGTTCGTGGAAGGTTTCGCTTTGAGATCCCTTGTCACTTGAGCGTGGGTGTTTTCTTCGCTGTCCCTGGCGCTGGTAGGAGGACTTGAGGCCGTCTCAGCGGCACTGGACGCAAAGGAGACGAGACTACCATTTCCCCTTTGATACGCATTCGAAAAGCTGCTTGAGCGACGGCCGAGAAAGGCGGGCTGGGGTGGTTGCAGCGTGTCGCTGCCGCCGTGAGCGCCGCGGTCGCATGCATCCAAAGTCGCCGTGGTGCAGTCCACGGCGGAAGCGGACGCAAAGAGATTGCTTTGAGGCGTAAGAGACGGTCGTCTCCATCGCTCAGAAGTCGAAGTGGGGACACCGGATCGCGAAGGCTCCGTGAGATTCATGGCAAAGCGTTGCGTATCGTGCCCATCTTGCCTGGCAGGAGATGGCAGCGATGGCGTGGGCGGCACCGGCGGTGTGCTGTCTGATACTCCTCGAAGTTTGGCCAAGCCTCCGCGGGAGAAAGACTTGCGCACGGCCTTCTCATCGGCGCTGAGTGTCGATCTCCCTTCAGCCTTGGCTTTTGAGTTGAAAAAGGAGGGCATTTCAAGTGTGAGGTGCGTTCCCAAAGGCAAGTCGATGGACGTCGAAGCAGTCGGTAGGAATGGTTGAGAAGTAGCCTGTTGCTGATGCGAAATGAATTGCGGTCTTGCAGCTCGCCAGCCTCGAGCTTTGCGAGATGACAAAGACTAGACGAGCTGTTCGCGGCGTAGATGAATCAATCGCTTGCTTGACGCACTGGCTGCGCGCTCTGTGCGTTGAGATGGCGTTGGACAGGAAATTATAACGCCATGAGTTTGCAATATATGGCGTTTGAGTGGATGCGTGGATGCGAATTAATGCCTGGAGGTGCGAAATGCAAAGGTGTGGGTGAGCAATTTGCCGACGATGCGAGACGAGGAGCAAAGGAAGGGACAAGGGCTCGGCGGGGTCAGGACCCACCTCGAACGTTTGAGGAAGGTCCGGTGCCGTGGATGACAATGCAAATGACAGTGGAGATTAGTAGCCTCTGCAGTCGTGCCAGATGCGCTATCGTTCTCGAGATCTTCGTGGGGGACGTAATCAAGAGCAGAGGCTAGGACAGTGCCGCAGGTGAGCGAAGAAGGGCACCGCTATCCAGATGTGGTGCGCAGACCGCGGCGGTAGTCCTGCTGCCAGCTCCTAGCAAGTGGAAAGAGTATCGCAGTGACACTCTAGGTGGTAGAAAGGTCGCGATGGTCAATCAAAAAGTGATTGTATGCGTCCACACCTGCAGCGCCAGAAGCAGTCTTCAATGACGTCGATGTAGTAGTTGCCGAAAGGGTGGTGGGTGAAGTGTGAGGGTAAAGATCGGCCTCGTCCGCAATGGTGCATTTACTGGAACGGGCAAGAGCAAGGGAGGGTGCTACGGTCTGACTGCCTAGACGGGTATGGCGCGGAACGTGACACGGCGCTAGCAAATCCCGCGCGAGTGGAGAGGCAGCTTTGACGAAGGGGAGAAGGCGAGTTGGACGCAAGGAGCGTGGAAGGATCTGTGCTTGCTAGGCAGAAAGAGAGGCAAAAGTCACGACGGGAATCAGGAGAGGAGAGCGCAAAAGACCGATGTGCTCAGCAATGGGCCCGAGTTGAGTGGTCATAGCAATCGTGACTCTGTTGGGTAGTACTCGCGCGCGACGAGAATCAGAATGGCCCGCCCCGGCCCGTCTTGAGACGGGGAAGCGAAGCGGTGGGTGCGTGCAGCAAGCAGCAGCGGCGCCAGAGGGATCTTCATGCAGCAGCATTCACGAATACCGGTATCCGAGCCGAAGGACCTCGACATTTGATTTCTTTTTTGACCACAATCAAGAATATCAGCTATACATACCGGTGCTGCACATCCGCGATTTGAATCGGGACACGTTCACATCCACATTGCAGATTCGGATTTGCGGCATATAGGCACCGGACGAGTGGATCCCCATGCACTTTTGACTGGACCTTGCTTCCACTCACGACTCTTCCCCTGTCACTTCCAACGTTTTTAATCCCTCTTCCCCTGACGTACACGTCGTGCCTCCGCGCTGTCTTCTTTCTTACCCCTCATGCAGCCACCTGAAGGCATGTTCAGCGAAATCACCAATGCACGAAAATGCACCTCAGTGCCCTGTGGACCCGCGGACGACACAATGACAAGTGACGCTATACCCTTGGCAACAGACTGCACGCTGAGTTCCGTCACATCGCGGACACTTGTCAGTCACAGCACCAGAAGTCGATCAATTGCCAGGCGCGGCTTAGCCGATGGGAGGGGTGATGTTGCGATCTGCGTGATCCAGGCCTCGTGGGTTCCGATTGAGCGGAGTGTCGTCTCTGCTGTCTGTTTGGCTCTAGAGCTGAGTTGAATGGAATATCAAAGGCAGCGCAAAAAAAAAAAAAAAACAGCTTGACCTAACCCGTGGTGCGAGGCGTCGCGCCCTGACCACTGCGACAGCTAACGGGCAAGAGGGCGCTAAATGCTGTTGGGAAGGTCAGAAAGAAGAGTCGCGAGTGTGAGCGTGTTTGACAAACAGTCGGAGTGCGAATCGGATGGAGCATGTCATACCGGGCGCAGCGGCTCTCATTGTTCAAGCGAGGAGTTCTGCCCGTGCAGGGTAGAGTGCTGCTGCTTGGCGCGCGCATGCTGGGGGTCCGTGTGCAGGTGATGACCTGGGCACAGCAGCAGCAGCAGCAGCAGCAGCAGCAATTTGACCCCTTTCGCTGGTCATTCCGACACGGGCCTGGCCGATTGGATCAGAAAGAGTCAATCCCAATCAAAATGCAAGCTGGAATCTAAAGCATCAGATTTTGCCGCTTGCTTTGATCCGTCGATGCGGTGAGAGGAGTTGCATGTTGACTGACCAGTCGTGCAGGCAAAGCACGCGAGCCTTTGGCTGACCACAGCATCTCTCCATGGAAAGGTGGTGGATTCAGCACGCTACATTCAATTCGTGATTCGTCAGCAGCATGCTCACGAACAACTAAGCATGCAATAACCGCAGCAATTACAGTATACGAAACGTCGGATTCAACATTGAGCGCCTCGCCTGTCTCGTTACTGGCGCTGCTGAGAGTTCCGCGGCGTGCCTGCATACAGCAGCAGCATCTGATCCTGCACGTGGCATGTGCGGTGTGGTGCGATGCCCATGGCAGCATGAATTCCTGCTGCTCCGAGCACGGAGCATGTTCGGATGCACGAGTGAAGGTCCCCTTCTGTTGCAGTGCATGAGTTGCTGCGAACTTGATCGACCCGTGCACACGCTACAGCTGGATGCAAGCCATGCATAAGAGGCCCTGCCGCTATATACGGCGGAGGTTCGAGCGCAGGCCGGCCGCTGCATGCTGCTGCAGCAGATTCGGTCTGCTGACGGCCATCATCAGCAAGCCGCTCTGCCCTTCTGCGCATGCATGTTGTAAGTGTATCTGCTACAGCCGTGGGTATATGCGTCTGACTCTTCCACTGCTCCCGCTTCGGAATGGGCAGAGATGCAGCGCGTTTACATATGCTCACCCAGCTTGCGTGGCGCTAAGATCCTTTCCAAGAAGCTCGGAGGCCGCGCTGAAGGTTTGGCGTACCCAGCATGCAGCTTTGAGGATGCCAGGCATGGTCAGAGTAGGGGTGCGGTCAAAGGGGCGCTCAACATCCTCATCAGCAGCATGTTTCGAAAGAAAGTGGGAGGGGACACATGAACACCGTCGTGCAGAGCGAGTATGAGTCTCAATCAATCAAGCGATATGCGTATGCGCGGCTCGAGTCAGCCGATACGAGGCAATTAATAAGTTGTGTAGCAATCACGAATGCGGCGGGGGAAACACCAGAAGAAGCGCGCGGTGAATCGTGGCGGTGGTTGACATGCATGCAAGAGCCAAGATCCCGCCCCGCGTCGGCGATCGCTATGTTGAGGTCACGAGTGTGAGTGCCGCGATCTCTTAATTCAGATGTGCCAGATTACTCTGCACGGCCCAGAATGCTCGAGCAGAAGATATCCCATATATAAGAGTCGCCTTCGTTTGCGAAACAGAATATAAAGACACCTCGACTTGGAGGGACTGGTCAAAATTGAGCGCCGGTTTGCAAATTCACACTGTGACTACCATTCACTGATTCATCAAGCTGGTGGTGTGCGGGCCAAGCAAGGCCACAACGTCCTGCTGGTCGGCTTCCAAGACCCTGGGCGCCAAGCCGGAGCAAGGCGTTCTTGTTCACATTTGGTTTGCGCCTAGCTACAGCACTCATCACGCGCCCCCGGCCGGGAGACAACAGCAAGGGTCGGTGTTGTAACACTTTTTGATTCCGAACTCGTTGCGCACGCAGGAGCAAAGGTGGCTTGACTTTTTGACCGCGGCGCTGCACGCGTTCAAGATTCGAAGAGTCGTGAGTCTTCACGTAGCTACCTTCCCTCATTTGCAGCATATGGACCATCTGGGCTAGCTAGCGAATCCTCCAACCCAAACCGTCGCCGTCGAATTCGTCCTCACCCCTTTGAAGTTCAGATCTAGACTTGGCATGGGGCTCCCGAAACAGGAGAAATAAGAATGGGCAGCAACAATGCCCCTCAAAACAAGCGCTAGGCCACGCCGGGCGCCTACTCGACTTGTTGACTGACCACCAAGGCTCAACGGCAGCTCTGGGAGATCGCATGTGGAACCTTCCACATTGGGATGGTGTAAAGCACCATAGAACAAAGTTATTTCAAAAGTCTTGCGAGCTATGGACAAGGACACTCATAGCCTCAGCGGTGTCAAAATCCACCTCGTACAGCTCCGACATTTTTGCTTGTGATTCTCATTGTCAATTGAATCTAGACGCGTGCAGTTGACGTCGTTTTCACAGCATTGTTAGGGTGACGTTTGGGAATGTGTGAGATTGGTTGCCCCTCCCCTCAGAGCTACGCATCCGGAAAGTCCCGCACATCAGACCTCGTTGTCGACGATGTCCTTGACGCGCACGCTCCAGGGATGCTCGATCCTACCGAGCTGAATGTCGTTGATGCGTTCCAGCATCGCCTTAGCGATAGGTCCCGCTCCGCTAGGTCCCACCGGGATGTGCACATCTTTGCCCATGTATCCGATTCTGTCTACGGGCGAGACGACAGCTGCTGTACCAGCACCAAAAATTTCCAGCAAGGCTCCTTCAGAGGCAGCCTTTTGAATCTCGGCCATGTTGATCTCTCGCTCTGACACTTTCAGTTCCTTTGCTACACCCTCCAGAGGCTGTGTTGAGCCAGAGCTGTGCTCCCTTGCCAAACCCAGAATCGAGTCTCGCGTCACGCCCGGCAAGATCATTCCGTTCAAGGGCGGTGTCACAAGCTCCACGCCTGAGAAACGAATGCAGGGCAAGGTCAGGGTACAGATGCAGAGGCATCACTTGCCTAAAGACGCGTGGAACCGCATCTGTGCGACTCACTGCCATCGCTCTGTCTGAGCGCAACGAAGAGGTTCATCGTGCCGACCTCCGTCAGCCAGTGCTCATCACCGAACAACCAAAGGTTTTGCTGGTAGCCGCGCGTCGCAGCCTCCATTTGCGGTCTAATGCCCGGCGCGTAGTTGCCTCCAAGCTTGTAGTTGCCCGTGCCGCCTGGCCAAGCCCTAACCTTGCTCGGATCCGCTTCTAGAGCGACAGGCTTGAAGCCAGTCTTGTAGTAGGGACCGACAGGGCTGCTGATCACGAAAAGCCGAGCATCTGTCGTAGGGTGAACGCCAAGAGCTGCTTGCGTACCAATCAAGGCTGGTCGAATGTACAAGCTGTGGCCGGGCTCTGAAGGAATCCAAGAGCTATCGAGATCCACCAGTGTCGCGATGAGCTTAATCAGATCACCATGCGAGAACGTCTGCCCAAGTCGGAGGAGATGTGAGCGCATATGCTCGCGTCGACGCTCCTTCGAATAAGCAAGCTGCGCAGCGCAGCTCTATAAACTCACAGGCAAAGCCAACCTTTCGGCGCTCGTGTTCATGCGCTTCATGTTCATATCGGGCCTGAATAACCTCACTTCGCCATTCACATCTTTGTAGGCCTTCATGCCCTCAAACAAGCTGGGCGCATAGTGGAAGATGACGCTGGAGGGATCCAGGGTGAAGGGGCCGTAGGGTTGGATTTTGGGGCTCGACCAGCCTTTTGAGCTAGACCAGTCCACGGTCAGCATATGATCGGAGAAGCAGTGGCCGAACACAAGCTCGTGCGAAGGAGGCGGCTTTTTGGCGCTCTTGGTCCTTTCGAGGATCAGAGCTGATGCATCTAGTGGTCGGCTCGAGCCCAATGACTCGCCGGTCATGGGATCTTGCGCTGCTTCAATCTTTCCTGCTGGCCCCGTCGTCGTCGTCGTTGTCGACTTGAGCCTCGCTTGCGAAACGGATGCGGAAGAGCCGCCCAGATCCAGGGCAGGCGCCATTGTTCTCTTCAGGCTGACTAGCGGCGCTTTAGCAGATGTGAAGATAGTCCGTCTTGCACAGGAGGACGAGTGCTTCGAGAGCAGGCTTGCGCTAGTAGGCAAGATAGATGACATGATGGAGGACGACCGAAGCGTGTGTGTAGTGTTCCAAGACTTTATACTAACTTCGTCGCCAGATTCTTCAAGATGCGGCGGAAAAAAAAAAACTCTGTGACTTGTTGTCCTGTTAGGAGCGGCCTCGGCGGATCAGATGCTCCAGGCCCGGCAACTTGATTTTCAACGCGGCAGAGGTGTGCGAGCCTTCGAGTGAGGAGTGTAGCACAGCGTATTGAGCTGCGAGATAAGGTATCTATCCCAATGCGTTAGAGGGCCTCATGTACACGAGCTTCGGTATGATGAAGAGGAAGTAGAAGCGTTCGGCCGCGGTCGCGCGGACCACTGGCCGTCTAGCTGCATCAGCAGCAGCAGCGAGCAGATGATCTCACACGAGCGAGCGAGCGAGCGATGCCCGCACGGGCGAGTCATTCACAAAATCGCGATTCATCATGCACGCATCTCTCGTGCGAAAGGAACAACGCCGCGGGCATCACCAGCACAAAATATTCCAGATGTGCACGCCATGCTGGTTGCATGGATAGCGAGATGACGCATGCAGCATGGGTCCGTGGGCCAGCACCAAGACTCACGACTTCGCGTTCAAGGGATTGCCAAGGTCTGCTCTGGTCTGCAACACTCACGATTCCTCATCCTTGCTTGGGGTGTCTAGTCGCTCGGCAGCTTACCGTTCGAACGCCTTTGCGAAGCAGCATCTTGACTCTTGGCTTCTTGCTCGAAGCAGACTGTGGCGCTCTTGGGGTCGATTTGGAGCTCGGCGCGGGCGCGGGCAAAGTCAATCCATCGTCTCACCGGAGGCGCACCAGCTAGGGCTGCCCAACAAGCTCTTCAGCTCTTTCCACACCACAGAGCAAGATGTCGCCCACGGCAGCCTCCACCTCCGGTCTCGATAATGCCATGGCGACCTCAGCAACGGCCGGGAACCAGTCCAACTCGTTCATCAGCGGACAAGATTACATAGGCTTCGATTTTGATGACGATGACGGCGAGGAACAAACGCCACACGGTGCTGTGGACGAAAGAGGTGTCGGTCGAAGAAAAGATGTCAATGGCCGCCACACATCGACTGCGGGTCCTTCGAACGGTCCTGGTACGCTTGCAGGGGCTCAGAGGAATGGAGCATCGCGGGACCGAGTAAGGGGTGACCGTAGGCGATCACCACCCGCTCTAGGCCCAGGCCGCATACAGCCGCAAAGTAGGAGGAGGACCTTCGAAGAAATGGCCATGGATGATGGCCTTACAAAGCGAGAGAGGATGAGAAGCATGGCTAGAGCCACCCCTTGGGCTCTGGACGTCGACTGGGACAGTTGTTGGCATCCCACCGAAATGTGAGTTGCATGCAATCCCACTAGGCATCGAGGGCCTTTGCGGTAGTGCTATCCGTCACCTGACCCATCTGCTCTTCTTTTGCATTAGGCTACACCGCGAGTTGGAAGCTTTTGAGCGGTGGATCTCGCCGACCTCCTGGGAACACGACTGCCGCGCGATGGTGATCCAATTGATTAGGAACGCGATCTGCTCGCAGTGGCGCGATGCCGAGGTGCTGTCGTTCGGAAGTCACGACACACGACTGTACATGCCTGAAGGGTGAGTGCTCGCCCACTCGTTAGGCCTACGGCTCGATCTGTTTCCAACGACTCAGGATCTAGAGTGTCTACTGATAAATTTTCGATGATTCAACATCAGGGACATTGATCTGGTTGTGATAAGTCGCTCCATGGAGAATGAGCACCGTACAAGAACCCTGAACAAGATTGCAGCGCTCTTACGCCGCGCAAACTTGGTTGTGGACCTGGCAGTCATTTCGAAAGCTAAAGTGCCCATCGTCAAATTCACTTGCGTCCATGCCAAGTACAAAGTCGACATCAGCATCAATCAAAGCAACGGTTTGGCTGCCGCAAAGTGGGTTTCCGCCTGGCTGAGAAAACAGCCAAGCTTGAGACCACTCATTCTAGCGGTGAAGCTGCTCTTGAATCAGAGGGGCATGAGCGAGGTATTCAATGGCGGACTGGGCAGCTACAGCGTCATTTGCCTTGTGATCAGTCATTTGCAGGTAAGCCGACATTTGAGGCTCCAATTCTGCGTGACCAATCAGTAGCTTACGTTGCAAGTGCGCAATCTGATACGCAGATGCATCCCAAGGTGCAACGAGGAGAACTGGACCCTGCGAAGAATCTGGGTGTCCTATTGCTCGAATTCTTGGAGCTGTACGGCAAGACCTTCAACTACCACACGGTCGGCATCTCTGTGCGCGGTCAGGGTCACTACTTTGAAAAGAAACGGCACGCATTTGTCAGCACCGGCAAACCTTACATGCTGGCCATCGAAGATCCTTTGGACGCTTGTGAGTAACGATTGGCAGTTGCCGCTCGAGCATGCACTGCGAAGATACTGAAAGGCGATAGTCTGCCACCTGATTACATCGTAAGCAAACGACATTTCGCGCGGCACGTTTCAAATTCAGGCGGTTCGGCTAGCCATGAAGGGCGCATTTGATATTCTGTCGGGTGCCCTATGTCAGCGCGCCAACGTCATGTCGGATCCAAACGCTCAGGATGGAGCACAGCATGCTCCCTTTGACGAGGATGACGAAGCTAGAGCTGCTCTCATGCAAAATGCAGCGGTCGGGGCGCCGGTCAGCCATTCCCACAGTCTTCTGGGAAACATTTTTGGCATTTCGCATGAAACTACTAGGGCAAGAGAAAAGGTGAGTGGTGACGAAGAGGCACACCGCAACCGGAAATGCGATTAGATCGTTTCATCAGTTGAACAACCCTTCTTGGCCCTGATCCAGATCGAAGCCATGTATCACTCCGGCGAATTGCATTATAAGCTCGGCAGACCGCCTCCGCCGCCAGAGGATCCACGCCCTGCCTCTCCCCCACCGCCCAGATCTCGACCACCGCCTGATGACGCTCCCCCGCCTCTCTCGCGGTCTATACCTGCTCCTCCACACCGAGGAAATGAAGAGCGGTCTCAAATGCCAGCAGGGACAAGCGCAGGAGTCAAGCGGGATCGTAAAGCATTCGCCAGCACGCCACCTCGGGAAGTGCCGTCACAATCTAGACGAGGTGGCCAAGGCACCACAGCAGGATCTTCGACTGCCTATGGCACGCTTCGCCAGGGCACAAGAGACGCGCCAATCGTCATCGTGGACGGGCCCAGTGAAGTGTCCTCAGAATTCGAGGATCGGATGCGAAGTGCTGTGAATGCCGCCAATCATCTGACTTCACGCGCATCGAGAGGAACCGCCGCAATATCGAGGGGAGATGGAGACACCAGCGAGGAAGAGGAGCTTTCTGCCGTCGATGAAGCAGAGCTGGCAGAATCTCAAGGCTTTAGTTTTGGATCTCAAAGCGGAGCGAGACAGGGCTCGAGCTTCAAAGACCAGTCTGGAGCAAAGCGGCGTCGCGTTGCCACAGATGAGTCCGCGTCACGATCGCAAAGACGTCAGACGGAAGGTGACGATGAGCAAGACTCCCGTTACGCAGAGCACAGCACCAAGGGGCTGCGAAAGGCCCGAGCAGACCGACGGGAATACGTAGAGAGGAACAGCGAGAGCGACTCGGACGCTTCGATGCATTCCTTGGATGAGCACCCAACATCGCAATCGCGAGCGACACTGACAGCGTCCATCCCACAAAGAGGCATCTCTATAGCTGGAACAGCGAAAGGGACCGCAACAGCTGCGTCGGTGACAACGACCTCCATTAAGGGTGGACACAGGATCGCACAGATGCGGGACAAAGCTGCACAGAAAAAGCAGGTGGCGGACTATTGGGCTGCGAAAGCTCAGGGAAGCAACATCGTCAGCGAAGAGAGCGAGGAGGGAGAAGTACACGAGTAGGCTCACAAGATCGAGCGCAGCGCTTGATGCGACTTCTGATACCGTTTGCTGCTTGGCACTCCTGCTAACGCATGCTGGCCGAGTCCTTGCCCACTGCTTCGAAGCACTGCGCTCAGTCCTCAGCAGCGCGTTCCTGTACACTACCATATGAGCCAACACAGCCAATGTAGAAGAGCTAGTCACCCACACTGTAACATGCCAAACCAATCAAAGTCGATACCTGAGCCGTGATATTCTGATCGTCTGTTGTACACTGAGTGATTGCTTATCACGCAAAACTTTCAAGTGACGAGAAGCGTCAAGCCTGGACGCATCATCACCACAATGCATGAATGGAAAGGCGTTAATGAGAGCTCCGCGACCCGGGTGCAGTTCGTGAAGTCTGCCCATACGAAGTCTGCCCATGCGTATGCCTAGACCAGCATTCGGACTGCGAGGTCTCATGATCTCAACGTCTCATCCTCTGCCTGTCCGTGCGTACCAGAGCCATAATGGCCATCGGTACGGCCAGTTGCTCTTTCTTGCTCCTCGTACGCAGCTCTTCTTTCCTCCTCCTCTGCCCTGTCTTGCTGTTCCACCACCAAGGCCCACACGCTAGCTTTGAAGAGCGTGAGGACGAGTCCCATTTTGCGTTCCAAGACTCGCAGTTGCATCAGCAGATCTGCGTGTTTTGCGTTTGAAGAGAGTGGATAGGAGAGAGCTGTGATCTGTTGGTTGATGGCAGCAGAAGCGAGTGCGAGCTCAGCCCATCGTTCTTGGTTCAATCCACCAACACCGCGTCGTTGAAGTGATGCATGCCCGTGACACACTCGTGGCGAATTGTATGCGGCCAATTGCACGCAGACTGTCTGACCTCTCGAGACACGGTCAGTACTATCATCGACGTCTCTCCCCTGCCCGCGCGCATCTCCCAGTCCCTCCATGTGTCCTTTTTCCCCCCCACCCACCTTTCTTCGAGCCACCCTCTCTCCACGCGTCTCGCCGCCTCGCTGTACTTCGGCGCCATCGTCCCCATCCTCATTCTCTCTGGCCTCCGTCTGCAACAGATGCACTCACCCTCTTGATGGTCTCTGCAAGCCTAGCGTACTCGCCCAGCACCTCTGCCTCTTGCTCTGATAAGGCTCTATGGCCATGATAGGGATTCACCCAAGCTCTTTCGTTTGTTCCTGATCCTCCACCTCCTCCGAGCGCACTCTGTCCTGCTCCTGCTCCTGCGCCTGAGCCTGAGCCTGTGCTGCGAGAAAGTGCGGAGGTCATCCCGTCCTAGGCTTGTGGTCCAGCTGTGCACTGATCATCAAAAAAACGTGTTCGAAGAAAGGCTGAGGATTCAATCTTGATTGTGTATGATTTGGATGACAAGATGGCTTCTAATGAGATAAATGGATGGTGTTGGCAGGGAAGTTTGAGCGTGTCCTAGGCAACGCTCATCAGAAGCTTGGCCATCATCTGCCCAGCTTCACCATGCACTATACTCGAGACTCACGACTGTTGTGACTGTTGTGTGACTTTGACTCACGATGCGTGCGCGTCGCGTGCGCCTGGACGCGAGCGCCCTGGCGGTTGCATGCCATAGGGCGCGCGCGCGTAGCACTTGATGCTGTCACGTGCTGGTAGGCGAACGAGCCACCCAAAGCTCGGAAAGTCATGATCAAGCTGTGCTGTCATCTTCATTCACGATTCCTCCTACTACAGCTGGCTCTCCATCACGACCGCAATATCCGCGTGCAAGCCGGTGTGAAGTAGGCGACGTACAGCGAAGATGAGCTTTGGATTCGCGGCTTCGAAAGATCCGTCGCAAAGGGCACCAGAAGCACCTCCCACCTCCGCGCTGCTCTCTCACGACGCTGCTCTTCAATTGTGGGTCGAATTTTGTCTGTGTCAATCCGCTCTGCAGCGGAAGCAGAGCTCATTCTGACCATTCACCTGTACTCACACTCGTGTCGCAGCGCCCAACTACGTCAACCGGCCAATGTCCCATCGGGCCTCTACTTGAGTCCTACGACCAACCCGACAATATACAATGGCGTGCTCTTTGTACACAAGGGCTACTATGCCGGCGCCATCTTTAGATTTCAAATCCGATACGTGAGCGCGAATAGAGCACCAGAGGTGACGATCGACGAGTCTTGCGCTCATCCTCTGGTCGATGTGAGTCGAGTGTCGAGTACATGCGAACCTCAATTGCGCATTTGCTTTCACCTTGACTCTTGACTCGTCTGACATTGATGCTGATGCCGACGCTGATGCTGATGCCGATCCTCATCTCCATGACCGCACATCAATTTCCCGTCGCGCTTCTCCACATCGAACAGCCAAGCACACGTCGCCTCCTCTTGGCGTCGCGTTTCCCAAGCTGGAGACCTCGACAAGATTTCCTCTCCCACGTCCTCTCTTTCATCAAGTCCATCTTCAAGCGCAAGGTTCTCGACAATATGACGGAGGGACAAGTGGCTCATGCCGAGCTGTTCAGGTGAGAGACGGCATTTGAAAATCGTCGAGCGATGTGGCCCACAAACAGCCCCTCAAGCTCGGTCCGTTCGTGCTTGCCTATCGCCTAGAACTCCAGCTTCTGACACATCACACTCTGATCGACCACGCATGCACGCATACGCGCAGAATCTATCGAGCGGAGCGGTCCACCTTCATGAAGATGGCCTCGCAAAGCGCAGCGTCTTCGCAGTCCAGCGCCAAGCTGTACCATGCTTCCTCTCAATCCACCGTCTTGACTAGCGCAGGTCAAGATTCACATGCCAGCAGCGGAGGAGGAGGAGGAGGAGGAGGAGGAGGCCCAAGTCCTGCTTTCCTGGGTCCTCGCTTCGAGAAGCTCAAGGACGAAGAGTACGATGCGTTGATCAAGAGGATTTTACCTTGACTTTTTTGGTGTTCGATTCGGATCTCCGCTTGCTGCAAAGCTCCCACTTCAGCCTGGCCCATGTACTTGTACTCATTCCATTACCTTCCAGGTGGTGCGCTTTTTGTCAGCAAGATTGAAATGATACCATCCGTCACATCCATATTGCGTATTCCGAGATCCAGATCATACAGGCGATGGGCAGTGGCACTAGGTCAAGACACGTGCATACAGATAGGGGTACAGGATGAAGAGGTGGTGGCATGAAGGAGGCAAGAAGCGTCGGACTGTGACAAGATGAGCGAAATCGCGGGCGGAGCGGGGCCCGGTAGAGGGCAGGGTGGCGAATGGTCTGCAATCATTCCCATAGCCCTCCATCATTAGCCGATCCCGTCTTTGCTCCACCCTTTCCAGATTTGCCTCTGAGCTTCCCACCCCTACTTCCCTGATTCTTGTAATAATCTCTCATGTCTTGTTTGCTCCACTCCGAATTCTCTTCTGCCTGCCAACGTTCCTCGTTCCTGTCCTTTGCCGTCTGAATGCCCGCATCTGCCAATCTTTGACTTCGACTGGGAGTGGCGTAGCCCGAACTGTTGCCCGAACTTGATCCGTACCTCGCTTCGTCTCGCGCCTCTCTCTGCTTTTGCTTGCCGTAAGAGGTCAACCAGTCCACTTTGCTCTCTCGACGCGTCCAACGCGCTCCCGCGCCTGTAGAGGTGGAGTTGACCACGTCGAGAAGAGTGCTGCTTGGCCCGCTCGGAGTCGAATCGCCTTGCATTGATTGGGATTGGACGATGCGGTACCAGCAATAATTCAATGTAGCTGATCTTCTCCATCTCCTGCACACGAGTGAGCACGACCTCAAAGCCTGCACTGGCAGCGACAAGAAGATCCGTTGCGAGATCTAGGCGGGGCGTGAGGAGTGGAATCGGTCGGTCAGATCCATTTGGGCATCACAGGTGCAGGTATGACAATGGCTCAACTCACCACACCTGGAAGTGCTCGAAGAGGATCCGTCTTGCTTTTGTGTTTGATTCTAGTGAAAGGCTCCGATCTGAGCGAGCTCGCCTTTTTGGGCACACTGCTCGCACTCGCGGTATTCTCAGCCGCGGCGAGCGTCAAATGATGAAGAGCAGCAGCGCTACTTCCGCCAGGGGAAGAGGGCCTCGAGATATGCGGCGTGCCTGGTGCGCTCGCAACTCCAATCAATTCGTCGTCCGATGGACCCGACTCTACCGCTTCCCACTCATCCAGCGCCTGCCCGTTGGGCACTGCCGCATCTTGGCTTGAAGTGGAGCTTGCCTCTGCACCGGTGACAGAGCCGAGTCGGGCAGTCAGCACGTTCTGCAGCAGGCTTGACATGGTGTCGTATTACAGGCTCGCGGCTGGACGAATCAGGATGGATGTGGTGGTGGTGGTGGTGGTGGTGGTGGTGGTGGTGGCGGCGGCGGCGGCGAATGAGATGGAGTGGCTGAGGAATTGAGGACGGCTCAATTGTGAACAGTCTGAATGCAGCCAGCCGGTGCGAAACGGGAGGATGACCTGCTGACTCGATCTGGTGCTGAGTCGATCGCGCCTTGGAAGGTTGATCAGCGGGCTCAGCTGCAATGCGTTCCTGACTTGGGCGAGTCACAGTCCCGGACTTAGGAGGCAGACCACCGCGCCTGACTCGACTGAGCGATGGCAAGTCGCGAGTGGCGTCGATCAGCAATCGAACACAGAGGCGTGCAGCGCGGTTTTTGGAAGGCAATCGTCAGAGCGGTGGATTGCGGATGGGTCTGGATGGATGGATGCACGGCGAATCCGAATGGATGGATGGATGCACGGCGTTCAGCGCGATTCATGGCATTCAGACTCACGACTCGACTGTCGTGGCTGGGATCGCGTGCGTGCTTGCGTGCCTGCGTGCGTGCATGGCACCAACGGCGCGAATCTTGAATGTGAATCGAGGGGAGCGTGCACGATGCTGCTGCTGCATGGTGGAGGTCTGACTGACTCTCCCGCCCTCCTGACACACGCGCGCCCTCGTCACACGCATCCACCACGAATTAAATGTTCTCGGCTGCCGAGTGCCATTCTCTGCCCATCTCACATCATCTCGATGACAAAGTCGAGCGTCTTCGGGTGAGGTAGTGTACCGAGGCTTGCTTGTGGTCATAATCTTGTCGGTGACCTTCGCATCGTGTGCAGGGCCTCGGTTGGGCAAGCTAGAGCGATGAGCAGCAAACAAGCTTGTCGACGCGGCGAGACGGCTTTGCGAAGAGCAGACCCGCGAGCGCTGCTGCTGCTGCTGCTGCAAGGGGTCGTCAGCAGTGTCGTGACGCTCTATTTTACACGCCAATTCGCACATCTCAAAAGGTATCCGGAGCGATTCAAGTAAAAGTCCCTGCATGCACGCCCCTGCCCCGCTTGTCTGCCATGAAGCGTAAATGCTGATCTTGAATTGAATGTGAGTGTGAATAACGGATGCAATCTTGATTCACCATTCACGATTGCTGGGTGGGTGCTTGTATAGCTATATATCCGCGACTCGAGTGGCGTGCGTGAGTGCACAGCATGCTCCGTGCGAAAACGGCCGCGTCCGATTCGACGCGATGCAAGGCGCGAGCGAGCGAGCGCCTCTCTCATCTGCTGCTCACGCCGGGTGCATGCATGCATGGTGCTGCATGCAACACAACAGCAGGCAGCCCGCAAGACGCGCGCTGCACAGCATGAGATCGCGTCTTGGATTTTGAGCTCGCTCGATAGACAGGCAGGCGACACTCAGACTGCTGCAGACTAACGACTACCGCTGTACGCACCACTCAACACTGACACTCAAGACTCACGACTGGCACCCGCCAACGACACCCTCGTAGGCAAGCTGAAAGTTCGAAACCAACATCTCGCGCATTCAACGTTGCTCCTCACCGCTTTCCAGTGCACAACTCTTCTGTAGCACTGTCACTCTCCGCACTACCGACACTTCTCGCATACCATTCCACTTGACCTGACATTAGCTTCATAATGATCTCCGGTGTTGGATGGAGCGCCCCTCACATGCTTGACTGAGCCGGTCTTAACCCATTCACCTTTCGCTCACGACGCCAGCCTCAGCATAGACAACAACCCATTCGAGTGGCCTCGGCCATTCATCTTGCGGGTTCTCTACGTCTTTCAATTGGTTGACAGACAGCCTGATTGTCAGCTTGCCACGGGCCGAGCGTTCCTGGCACCCTTCCTATCAGCGCCATCATGCCACGAACACAATCGCGCATTTCGCGCCTGGTGGCCTCCTTTCTCAGGATTGTGTTGGTGCCCACCATCCTCTTCGGCGTTCCTCTGTGGCCCTTCTTGGGACTTCTCTGCGCAGGTGAGGCTTTCTTTGGCAATTAGGCGCGAGGCGTGTGACGGTCCTGCTTATCGCAGGTTTCGATTGCTCCCATTGATGATCTTGGCAGTCCCGTTTGTGGGCATCATGTGAGTCTAGCAGCCATGTTGCGCAAATTCGGGTTCCTGCTCTGACTCTCGTGAATGTCTGTTCGCCCCTCAGCACCATTCCCCTCTTTCTGCTCTTGTCCGTTCTCCTCCTCTACTCGATAGCGTGGTTCTCCTACTTGCTGCTTGCTCAAGCCGATCCACCGGCAAGCATCTCAGCTTCGAGCTACCTGCCCTTCTTGCCGTACAGCCCCATGAGATGCCTGAAGGTCAACTGGGCCGCCTTTCAATACGCCACGACTGCTGTCACGGTCGTCATCCCAGCAGTGCTAGACTGGAGCTATCGTCGCGTCATGGTGCTTGGCTCCAAAGGTGCAGAGGGTATCGTCAAGTGAGTTGATTACGCATCATACTCTGCTTGCATTTACGCCTGCTGAAGTTGTGCTCCGACGGCGCTGCAGGGAAGGCATCGACTATGGCTCCCAGACACCTGGCATGCGTCTCGATGTCTACCTTCCACCCTCGCATGCCACAAGTGGCTCAGCTGCACAAGGAGCTACTGCGGCTCAGACTTTACGCACCCGGAAGCATAGCACACTCTTCGCGGATGCGATTCCACCACCCGTCGAGGAAAGCCTGAACGGAGCAGCCAGGATGCGGGGAGCACCCGTCATCGTGTTTGTGCCGCCGACCATTCCGCCGCTTACGTGGACGAACAAACGAGTAAGTCATGCATACACTACGGCGCGCTGGCACCTGATCGCGTCAGCTGATAGAGATCTCCTCGTCGTCAGAAAACGTACTTGCAGCTCGCTCTTCGTTTTCGACGGATGGGCTACTGCGTAGTAGTCCCAGACATTGTAAGCATATGAGCGCCGAGCCTTGGAGAAGAAAGGCGAAGGGTCGTCGACTGATGTTTCCCCGCCTTTCACAGTCGTACTTTCCAGCTGCGCGTATGCGTGCGTCTGTCATCGACTTGCGCTTGGTTCTTCGATGGGTAGGAGAGTCGTGCGCCCGCTACGGCGGTGATCCTTCTCGCATTCATTTGATGGGACACGGGCTCAGCGCCCATTTGGCGCTGCTCACTCTAGCTCAGGAGGCCGTGGTCTTGAGTCGTGAGGGTCACATGGAGAGAGCGTTTGAACGCGAGATGGAGAAGAGGGGAATGATGAGATGGGACGGCAACGCTTCGGATGAAGATGAAAGCTTCGGACCTTCTGCGGGGAGCCCTTCGGGCCGGGCTCAGCAGCGACGCACCTACCGCCTGAATGAGCAGGCTCAGAACGCTCCGGCAGAGGACGCTCAGGCCGAGACGGCTTGGGTCGACGAACCGGCGGATGGTGACGATCTGCCCCCGGGGGCAGTGATGGGAGAGTCCTCTGCTGCAGGCGGGACAGCACGCCTCGCATCTCAGCTGGGGAGTCTCGGCACGCCGAGCGCTTCACGCAGTGGGGCGAGCAGCGGCGAAGTCACGTTCCCGAGCGCAGGCATCAGCTCTTCACCCATGAACGCCCAACAGCACGCGGTCGGTCGAGAACAGTCGCTGGCAAATGCAGAGGCGTCCATACCCAACGGATTGCGCAGAGTGGAAATCTACTCCCCAGATGTCGCCATCCCTCCCATTGCCGGTCTCATCCTCGTCTCTGGGGTCAGCGATGTTATCAAGGGTTTCAGAAATGAGGTGAGTACATCAGTCAAGCATGCTGTCTTCCAAAGGCCCGACTTCCATAATAAGCATGACCCTCCATTCCTTGTCATACAGTCTGATCGTGGCATTGAGCACCTGAGCGTGCTCAGAAGGGCGTGCGGCCCCAGTCACACAGCTTGCCTAGTGAGTGCGGAAGTGTGGTCGACAAGGACTCTGGTGAGCTTACTCAAACAATACGCTCTGCTGGGCACCACTGCCTTTAGCTGCATTCCCCAGCGCACTTGATCTACGCTGCAAAGAATATTGTGGACGCTAGCTTGTTCCCACCCAAGATCCTGCTGATACACGGTGGTAAAGACAGCGTGGTGGATGTGTCCCAGTCCACTCTGCTCAAGACGCTTCTGGTGGGCTGCGGGGTAGGAAGCGTCAGACTTCGAGCTTATAGGCAGCTAGGGCACGCGGAGGCCATCGCTGCCATGTTCTTGGGCATGGGCAAAGCGGCTACACGGTACCAGAAGCAGCTGCTCAACGATATTGCCGACTTCGTTCAGCAATGAGCGAGAAGTCTCAATTTGCGCCCAAAACCCCCCTCGTCTCACACATTGCAGACACTATCTCCTCACGACGCCGCCCTCCACCATTTGGCTCCTGCATGCATGACGAACCCATACCTGTTCTCACTTCCGTGTAACGATCTCGCCCTGATGACACTCTTAACCTTACCTTATCCGGAGCTTCTCGTAACTATGCTCCATAAGATTCTCGCTGTTACATCTGAGGCTGCATCGGTGCCCCTCAGCATCCGTCTAGCTAGCAGTGACGAGTGTAGGTACGTGGTTGACTGCTGTCTTTGACCTCTCCACCCTCGACTTCGGAGGCAAGAATGTTCAAAAGCCGCAAGCGTCGAGTGTTGATCTTGTGCATGCATGGCGGTGCTCATTTTGATCGAGTGCGATTCGTGCGCCTGCAAGCATGCAAGGGTCGCGCGACTTTTCGCGCTCGACGCGTCTCACCAAACACGCGAAGCTTTTCCACACGCAGCTCACGTAGCAGCGAGCCCAGCGTTGGCATTCGCTGCAACGCGTGCATCATACACGCCGCCTCCGCATGGCTTTTTGACTTCGGACGGTTTGCTGCTGCGTTCGTTAATGCGAGGGACGCTCTGAACTGCGATCACGATTGACTTGATCACTTGATTGCTTACCACTGAACATCGATCGCGCCGCAAAAGACCTGATCGTGGTCCTTTACATCAGCAATTGCAGGCATTGTATTGGCCGTCGATCGATAAAAAAATTTTGGAATTCCCGACGCTTCTCGAGTCACATCAGATGCAAGCCAAGATGCTGGCGACAACATCGACCAATGGCGTGCGCGAGCAGCAGCATAGACCCCATGTCCATATCGAAGCCAGATTATCGCAGAACTCGACGATGAGGGCGGACAGCATCAAGCAAGCTCTGCTTTCTTATCTCGATTCGAACGTAGCTAGTCTGGAGAGCGAGACGACGTTGGAAGGATGGCAGAGCGTGCCTTTGCTCAGGCAGCATTTAGACCTTGTGAGGGTGGGTGAATGCGGTGAGTGGATGGATGGAAGGGTGGTGTGGGAAGCACAAGTGCACGGCGAGAGGCTGGTCTCTGCGTTGCCGATACCTGTTCTCTGGCTTATGCTATCACTTTGCCGCTCCCACCGGCCGTCAGCCGTACCCTCCTCCATCGTCTCGCTCCAGTATGCCCAGCCGCAAATATACGTCTATCAACCCGCTCCAGCAGACTCGATGGAGGAGTTTTCGGCAAACAATGGCGAGGAAGGGGAAGAGGAAGTCGTTGCCGCTTCGGTGTTGGAGCTGCCGAGTAGGACACTAGAGGGAGTGTGGCAGAGGTGCGTAGAGGTCGGCAAGCTGCGGACACAGCTTTGGCGACTGGGCGCTCACGGGCTAGGATTGCGAGGCTGGAACTGGCACGTGTGAATGCTTCTTGAACCCAAAGCATAATTGGCTAAAGCTTTGCACCGTAAAATGCAGCTTGATCTACGGGGACGACATCAAGCTACGCCTGCTGAACTACATCGCCACCACGTTGCGCTTCTCTGACGCGAATGTGGATCTGAACATCGTTGCATGGAATCGGTGAGCCTGCTTTGACACTCATCTTTCACCATCGAGGTGCTCAATGACCCACTCCTACTGCGCTCATTCAGGGTCGTGCTTCTGCATGGTCCGCCAGGCACAGGTGAGCGCTCATCCGCTCCCTCATGCAAGACTGTCGGCTGATTTGTCCTCTGCTACAGGGAAAACGACGCTTTGTCGAGCTTTGGCGCAGAAGCTCGCGATTCGTCTGTCAGAGCGGTCAGTACGAGCGCCGAAATATTCAGACAGTCGTATGAGAGGCTCACTCATGGGCCGCATTCCTCGCGCAGGTATACCCACGGCAAGCTCGTAGAGATCAATTCGCATTCGCTGTTCTCGAAATGGTTCTCGGAAAGCGGCAAGTTGGTGCAGAGATTGTTCAGCATGGTCACCGAGATGGTCGAGGATGAGGATGGCTTTGTGGTCATTTTGATAGGTGCGTCCGAGGTGTAGGCTGCATCACGGCAAGTCGATGTATTCTGATTGCTGTCTTGGATCCACGTGGCCGTAAAGATGAGGTCGAAAGTCTGACAGCGTCACGGAGCGCATCCATGGGCGGTAGCGAACCGAGCGACGCGTTGAGAGTGGTCAACGCCTTGCTCACACAACTGGACAAGCTGAAGCACCGGAAAAATGTGCTTGTCATGACGACTAGCAATATCAGCGAAGCGATAGGTAAGCCGGCCGCAGATGCGTGAAAGTATGGAGATCACTTCTCTCAATCACTCCTTGCCTCTTGCAGATAATGCGTTCATCGACAGGGCAGACATTAAGGCGTTCGTCGGATTACCGCCGCCGCAGGCAGTCTACTGGATTTTGCAGTCTTGCTTGACAGAGCTCATGCGTGTGGGAATGATTCAACAGCTTGTGAGTCAGAAGATGCGATTCAGCGCCTCTTTCGATCTCGTTCGCTGCTACGCAAGCTCACCATGATCTTCATCTCGCGTTGCAGGAGTTAGTGGATTGGCGCACGGCAGCATCACTCAGGTCCGAAGCCGCATTGGGTCGGACAGAGCAGAGTCCGAACAAGCTGTCCAGCCTAAAGCTGTGGGAATTATCATGCTTGTGCGAGGTGAGTCAATTCGCAAGGATGCTTCCTAAACCTTTCGGAGGCTAAAAAGTCCCGCGCGACTCTCATGCAGGGCACGTCAGGTCGCACATTACGTCGACTGCCCATCCTGGCTCATGCAAGGTATCTGAGCTCATCCGCTGGGCCTCAGACCTCGTGCGAAGCTTGGATCGACGCCATGCGAACTGCGACGATCGATTCCCAAAACGACCTGTCACGCGTGACAAAAGGCGGAAACATCTGACGCTCCGCGGCGCAGTATCCGGCTCGCATCAAAGCCAGGTATACCTGGCTTTCGAGCATGCGCTTGCTCCACTCTTCCTTCTTTCCAGCTGGCGATCCGACGCCTGTCTCGGCACACTGCACGCCCATCCCCATCAAAGCACATCATCTGTAACATCTTCAAACGTCCGGACTCTCACGGCAATAGAACGACTCCTCCTCGAAATGTACACAAGCCCATCTTTGGCGGCGATGCCATTCAATGCATCTTTATTGCGCCCTATATCTTTCAGCCATATCCCTGCCGCATTGGAATGAATGCGGCTGATGGCCCAGAGTACTCATGCGAAGCCGAAGCCCTCTCCGCCTTCGTTCATGGCGACAAGCAGCTGAGATCTGAGCTTTTCGTAGCTATCGTACTGAGGCAGATCAAGCTGATTGAAGCTGACGAATTGGCAGTAAGGGGCGGGAGAAAGTCAGCGCTCAGCAGGATTGGCAGATTTTGTGACTGTGCACTCCCGCTCACCAAGTGTGGGCTGCAGGTAACCTATCTGCACCATATGCTTTGTGTATGTTGAATTTCTGGGTGCCCTGGACACCTTGCAAGTGAGCGAAGCCCTCCAATGGTACTTTGCTAGTACCAGTGATGAACTGCAGCAATTTGGCTTTTTCGGTCTGATCAAAAGACCTGACAGCTCGCCACCACCACTGGATAACAGCATCGCTGTTCGTGTATCCGTGAAGGTCCGTGTTGTTCTTCCAAGCGTCCACATCTATGTCTGGAAGACCCGAAATGAGGAGCTCCAGCTCTTGTTCGCTGAAGATACGAATCAGCTCAGGCGGAATAATCTCGTTGAAACCTTGCAAGAAAGCGTCAATCTGCAAAGCGAGAGCTCATCAGCGAGCTGCAATGAGAAGCGTCTGCTTCATTGCGTGAATCTGTACACACCTGCTTGCGAATGGACAGCGTGAGGCGCTGCTCTGTCACGAGTCTCACGTATTCCACCTTGTTCGCCTCGGTCACGGGAATAGCTGCACCTCCCTCCTTCAATTCGATCTGCTTCGTCTCGCCGAAATCGTCCGCATCAACTGAAAAGTTCAAGTCCAAGATATCCGTAATGTCATTCTCTAGCATCCATTCCAGACTTTTGTAGTATTCAGGATCGACGCTCTCCAAATCCCGATAGTCCACTGGCTTGTTAAGGATGTGCTTGTAGAACGATCGAGTAAAGTAGGCGTCCAGTAACCTTCCGTCGTAGATGGCTTTACCAATGACTCGGCCTATGAAAGTGAAAAACGCCAGGTGGTCCGGATTGACTGCGCTCATGCGATTTGGCTGATACGTCGTCCGGTCAGCCGCGCAAGGGGCAAAGAGTGCATAGTCCGGATTGAACATCGCCCTGGCAAGCACTTGGAACCATTCTCTGGTAACACCACCCGCATCGATGCCTTCCTCGTTGTAGAAGCGCACGTTAAGCTTGCCATGCTTGATCTCGGTTCCAGAATGTCGTCTAAAGAACCAGAAGCTGTCCTCAAAAACGTACTGTCTGCGCACACTTAAGCTCAAAGGCGTCATGTGCTCCCTCCTACCCTTCTGCAACTGCTGAGAGAAGTAATTCCTCTTGTTGTCGAAATCCAGCACCTTGGGATTATTGACGAGCAACGAGAAGCTTCCCGACATCAGGGTAGGGTTCTGCCGCACCATGACATTGAGGATCTTGCGATGCCTCTCGGTGAAGGAGAAGAAGTTGTCCCGCAGCACTTCTCGCTTTGTGCGAGAGAGGGCCGAGGGTCGCTCCAAGGTAGGAGACACAGACCCTCGAGCTGAGACCGCCGCTGATCCCGCTGCTGCTCTCGCTTCCACCACTGCGGCAGACTCGGGCGTGGCCACATGTTTCGAAATCACCATCAGACTCTGCACGCAACGCGAGGAGCATCTCAGCTTGGGAACTCTCAAGACACGCACGCACTTGCCTATTTCATCTACGATCCTTTCAACGAGACGTACCTCTATCAGCGGCAAAAGCACCTGCGCAGCTCCAGCGTCCCCTTTGAGCCTGTCAAGCGCTTCGCTCAGCTTCTTCCACAACTCTTCAAAGTCGAAACCCTCGTAGATCTTAGCCAAGGCCTCCTCATCCTCAGGACTAGGTTTCTTCGCTTCCTTATCCTTTGCTTTGCCCTTTTGCGAAGTCCGCGACAGGATGCTCATGGAAGGAGGAAGCGGTAGATCCAGAGCCATGTCCATATCGTTGCTACCGTATGGATCCATCAAGCTAGAGCCGCCGAGACCAGGACCGCCAAGTAGAGCTGCCAAAGGGCTCATACTGCTCCCCGAGGGCTCAGACAGGCCGCCTGAGGGATCTAAAGTTCTGGATCCAGAAGGCAAAGGAAGAGCCATAGGAATCGAGCTGGGCAATTCTGAGCCAGAAGCGCGCGGTGTTGATGACCCGTTTGCGCTGCCCGACCCGGTCATGGCACTTAGCAGACCAGGCAGAGCCTCGCCCAAGCCTGGCATAGCATCTTCGGCAGTCCGTCCAGAGCCTGATGCCGAACTTGAAGATGCTACGGGCATCGGAACGATAATGGTCGCCGACGAGCCCGCTGGCAAAGAGGGCCGATCAGACCCTTGCGGCGTTTCGGAGCCCTGACGCCTACGAACATGATGAAGATAGAGACAACTGACTCAGCCATAACAATGTTGGGCAGATACGGCATGTCTGACTCACTCTGACATGTTCGTACCCTCGAAGTCGTCAATCCTGTATGATAGCCAGCTTGCCCTCCCGCGACGTCGCCGGCAGACTTGGCCGGATCGATGGCGAAGGACGCGAGATCTGGACTCCGTAAATGTTGGAGGCGAGCAGAGAAAATGTGCCTTGATTGTGCTCTCGTGGCATTGAACAGGGCGATGCTTTTGTACGTTGTTGTGGTGAGAAGCCAGAAGGCGGGGAGCAGCTCACACCCATCAAGACCACCTCACCGCTTCATGACTCGCATCGCAAGAGCTGTCATGCTCTCGCTCGATCGATCGACCTGTGCACGCTCCAGAGCTCGGCAACAGACAGCACTTGACGATGCAGCAGCAGCTATGTGTATGTGCACGGCTGCGTCGCACTCAAATTTGCGGTCAAGCAGCAGCCGCGCAACCCTAGCTGCGATCTTGGCGGGCCGTCAATGTCACGTGCTCGTTCAGGTGGAGGACCTGAAGCTTGGTCTGCAAGTCAAGATTTGGCATTCTTGCAAGGATGGGCTTTAAAGCACCACAGGCAGAAGGAAACAGCCATCATCGGCCCAAGCGGGAGCTTTTGGCGGCGCTTTCTTCGTGCCCTCGCCAACTTTCGTCTGGCTGCCTGCGCAGATAAGCATCGATTGACGAGTCTTGGCGACCGCAAACCTCCCTGGAGCTGCTACAATGGCCTTGCCGCTGCCAGCCGGCTGGACGGAGCATGTATCACCAACGGGCCAGCCGTACTGGTACAATGCGTCCACTCGCACATCCACATACCACCGCCCAGCGCCGCCAGGCGGCTACGCCGGACCGCCTCCACCTCTCCAAACTTCGTCGTTTGTTCAAGATACCTCCACCAGTGCCGTCGCGCAGCAGTCCCCCGTAGTAGAGAAGAAGAAGAAAGAGAAGCCCAAAGTGAAGCAACCCATCCCCGGCACAGAAGGATGGATCAAGGTGACCACCACCCACGACAACGTCTTCTACTCGCATCCAGAGTCGGCAAGGTCTGAGTGGACAGTGCCGGACGAGATCAAAGATGCTGTCAAAGCTATGGACGAGCGAGAAGAAGAAGAACGTAGAGCACAAGTAGAGAGGAGACGCAAGGCTGAAGAGGAAGCGAGAGAAGCCGAGGAAAAGGCTGCAGACGAGGAGAGGGAGCGCATAGAAGCGCAACAACGCGTCCAACCGGAAGAAGAGCAGCGATTGCGGAAGGAGCAAGAAGCTAAGGAGAAGGAACTCAGAGATGCAGGGAAGAGAAAACGCGGAGAAGAGCTGGACGACGAAGACGAGGATGTAGGTGGGGTAGATGCGGACGAGTTGCTCGCTGCCCCCGCAGATGAGAGTGATGCTGCAGCGACGAAGAAGGCCAAATTGGAGCGCCGCGATGTCGCTGAATCATATGCGGACCATGAGCCAGGCGAAGAATCGGAGGACGAGGATGAAGAAGCGTGGCAAAGACGAGTGGCAGCTGAGATGGCGGCCGAAGCTGAAGCCGAGGCCAGCGAAGAGGTGGCGACACCCACCCATGGGCCGCCGCTTGGTCCACCTCCATCTGGACCGTATACGGGACCGCCTCCATCCATGCCGCCACCGCCTCCAGGTGGGTATACAGGACCGCCGCCGCCCCTGTCCTATCCTGGTGGTCCTCCACCAGGCTTCTTACAGAATCAAGGCCCACAACCCCCGAACATATTTCCTCCTCCGCCAGGCGCATACAATCCTCCGCCTCAGCTCTCCCACGAAGAGAGCAAGGCTCTGTTCATGCTCATGCTGACATCCTTGAACGGGACAGCCAATGAGATCAATCCGATGGCACCCTGGGACAAAGAGCTCGTCAAGTTCGTCCATCTGACCGACTATGGAAGGTTGACAAGCCTTCGAGATAGACAAGACGCGTTCAATGAATGGTGCAAATTGAGATTGAGGGAGAAGAGGAAAGCGGGACCGAGCGGAGCAAGAAAGCTCTCCACAGTCGCGAGCGATGAGCCCGAACAAATTACAGCCAATGCGAGCGCTTCCACACACACAGCCAACAATGGCCACGCCCGTGAGCGTCAAGAGCCAAATGGTGCTCTTGAAACTTATCGAGCGTTGCTGCAAAGCTCGGTCACGTCGACCAGGACAAAGTGGGAAGACTTCCGTAAGGAGCACAAAAAGGGGAGGAGCTTCTTCGCGTTTGGCAGAAATGATGCGGAACGCGAGAAGGAGTTCAAAAAGTGGTTGAGGGAGCTCGGAGAGCGTGAGTGATTTGCGCCAAGGGGTCTGTCCCGTGCTGAAAGCGCTGACCCTTACCCCTTGCCTGGCATTAGGGAAACGAGCCGCTGCAGAAAAGGCGGAGCAAGACTTTGTGCACCTTTTGGAGGCAAGGCTTAATAGGGCGGAGCAAGGGCTTAGCAGCACATCGGATCCGCAGCAGTGCAGCGAGGCATGGAGCAAAGCGAAACGTCAACCCGGGCTGGACACCGATGCTCGATACGAAGCTGTCGCATCATCCAGTCGCAGAGCTGATCTATTTGCCAAGTGGGTCAAGGGGGAGCTGAGTAGCGCCGGTCGTGAAAAGGGTCAGACGAAAGAGTCAGAAGAATCTGCGACGAAGAAGAGGGATGCGGCAACTGCACTTCGCGAACGGGAAGATCGGGTCCGAAGAGAGCGAGCAAAGTTGGAACAACAGAATCAGCGCACCATCCAAGCGACCAGTCACGAGGAAAGGTGAGTGGACATGTAGGCTTGAATCCGGATCGCTTGGTGACTGAAGCCCTTCCGTCGGCATTCAGTGTCGTAGCATTCTCGCAATTGCTGGTGGACGCGGTGACCAATCCTCATACAAGCTGGTCATCAGCTCGATTCGATCTCAGCTCCGATGCCCGCTTCCGTTCTCATTCACTCCAGCAACGAGAAAAGGAGGACCTCTTTCGAGCGCATCTGGACAAGTTACAATCGCGCAAGCTTGCCGCTTTGCATCGCGTGTTCGAAAAGCATGCCCCACAGCTCGATACGGCGAAGCGAATCGCGTTACCTTTGGTACGCGATGATGAGGATATGGAGAAGGGCGGCCTAGGCGAATGGCTCAAAGAGGAAGAGCAGCGCGGGCTCCGACTTGAAGAGATGTTTGAGCGATGGAACGACCAAAGGCACAACGATGCTCGCAGAGACTTTGACAAGATGCTCAAGGGTGAGTTTGCGCGCTGGTTGGCGAGTTCCGAGCAGTTAAGTGTTCCAACACAAAATTGCTTTAGACTGACGTCACCATTTCTGCTCCACTGCAGAGTCGAGTTTCATCTCCTTTTGGGGCGCTTTGAGAGCCGAGAGACAACGCATGATAGCTGCGGGACAGGACACCGACGCGACTGACGCCGCAGATGAGGACGACGATGTTCCCAGCCTGTTGAAGATGGCCGGCAGCGTAGATTTGGAGGAGGTGCATGCAACCTTGCAGGTGCGTATGCCGATCACGCCGACCGATGGAGTCTATCATCTTGTCTTTGGCTCACGCGTGCTTCATCTTGCGCCAATCACGTCAGAACGATGCCAGATATCGAGCGTTTGATTTTGTGCCTGAGAAGCGAGACGCGTGGGTGAGGTCGTATCTGCAGCAGATGGACGTGCCCAAGTCTACAGCTTTCCAGGCTCAAGCTGGATCAGCCGCCACACGCTAATCATATGGTATTGATGCAGAGCAGCGTTCTTGTCTCTTGCAGCGGGAGCACTCAGACTGACCTTTGAGTGCCTGCAGATATGACGCTGGCAATACACGAACTGCGTCACTGAATCGATCGGCTAAGCTGATAGCTCAAGTCTTGAGTGTGAATAAGTGTGGATGGCCATTCGTGGCCTTTGCATCCGCGACACGCGCGCGCAAATGCTTTGGGCAGGCGCGGAAACGAAACCGTGACATTGTGTAAAGTCGACGGGTTGCTCGCCCCCTCAAGCCTCATTGACGGTCACAACTTTCTCCACTCAACGTCGCAGGCCAGAGCTGACAAGGCCATAGGAGCTAGCCCAAGGTATGGCACTGTCAAACGGGCAATGCGAATCAAAAGGTAAAGAAGGCAAAAAGGCAAGCCATCCGGGATGCGCCCCGCTCCACGCGAGACGTCATGCACCGGTTGCGAATGCCCTATGCTCAAGAGTTGGAAATTCCAGAAGAGGGCTACTTCCACTGTACTAGCCAACCCGGGCGCATGCTCAGGAATTCGATTGTACATATACCGCAAACATCCGATGCTTTTTTTTTTTTTTCGGCCGATCGATGGATTTTGATAGCGGCGACAAGGTAGCTGGAGGTTTGCTGTCGCCCCCTTGCCTGTACCTGCAGTGGGAGTGGTGAGTGTGACAGCTCGCTTGTTGCAAGGAAGAAATCGATGCCCGACTTCTGCTCCCTCGCCCCAGAAAAGTTGCGACGATCCAATTCCAATTCCATGGTGCAGTATCTGATCGATATGTTTCGCCCATTGCTGCACAGGGGCTTCCAGACTCTGTGTAAGAAGCCGCTAAAGAGCGCAATAGCACATCACCAGTGCTTAGGGAAAAGTTGATGCGACGTGTAGCAAAAGACGAATGAGCGCGTCGAGGACAAGGAAAGTGAGCTGCTTCAAGGTCCCTAGCCCTCACTTACGCGGTAAACAAGAGCCTGGTATCAGATCACTTTGTGCCTTGCTCGAGGCTGAGCGTGCCAACGCTGTGAGCAGCTGGTCCTTTGCCAGCCTTGATGTCCTCATCCCTCTTGACAGCTTCTGTGCACTCATAAAGCCTCTTGAGGTAAGGCGTGCATTCCCTCGTCACTGTCTGATCGTCGCTCTTTTCGTGTTTTGCAAGACAAGCATCATATCCCTTGATGGCGGGTCCGCATCGCGTCTTGACCGCTCTTACAAGAGGAACGCTGTCCGCTGCGCAGATGGCTAGAGCCGTCTTTTGCTCTGCGCAAGCCTCGCCGTGATTCGATTGATTGGCCAGGATGCAGCGCTGGTAAGAATTGAGCTGGTCTGCGCATGACGAAGCCACGTTGGACAGAGAATCTTCCATTTTGTTGAACAAGAGAATGACTGATACGAGAGAGAAATCTAAGACGAGCTGCGTTCAGTCGTACAGAGTCAATGATCTATGCCAAGAGTGCATGGTGGTTGGGTGGTTGGGGGGTCTGGAGTGGAGGTTCGCCCGCCTATAGAGGCGTAGTCCTGTGTCACGACTTCTGACAGCTTGCTCGACAAATCTTCCTTGCGTCGGCGCAAATCGGCCGATGCGCTCCGTCAGCGACCGCAGAGTCCGTTTTCTCTCTTTTTCTCTCTCCCTCTCTCCCTCTCCCCCCCCCCTCTCTCTATTTGTGGGCGTCTCGGACTCGGATCCAGCAGGAACGCTTCAGCGTGGGTGGGCTCGAGACTGCGGTGCAAGCATACTGCTCACAGAAGCGCGCTTCGACAATCACGACGCTTTGCGAGATGCATAGCAACAGCTATGTAGGAGGAAGCACATCATTGGCAGGAATGGCATTCATGGTTTTACACGTCATAGGCAAGTGCTGATGATAAAGTAAAGCGTGGCCACTGATATGCGAGGTTCGACTCCAGGTCCCAAAACGCGACAATGGAGGCTGCAACGGACTGAAAGCGGGAAGCCAGTCCCTGACACGTGGCGCTCAAGACAAAAGCCGAGCACGACACGGCTTCTGGAGGAAGAAGGCGAAAGGGGAGTCTGAAAGGGGCAGTGTGGAATTGGCCTATTCGTACATTTCTGTCATTCCAACTGCAAGAGCCGCCTGCCAGGCTTTGATGTCTTCGCCGCTATAGCCCTGCTTGGCTGGTCGTCGAGTCTTGTGAGAGCCTGCTGAACTCTTCCGAGTGGAGCGCGGCGCGGCGCTGCTCTCCGACGCCTGAACATCGTACCGTTTGCGTCTCTCGCCATTCCTCTCAGAGGACCGGCGCGGTCGGTCGCCAGAGTCGGGGTCTAGGCGCGGCAGGGCTGACGCTTTGCCACCAGTCCTGGAGTGACGAGGCGATCGACGACCAGTGTAGCCAGATTGAGTCCGCCGTCGGCCACTGTCCATCGGACTAGCACTTGCACCCGCATTTCTTCGTCGCGCATCCGGAGAATCCTGCACTGCGTGGCGTGGAAAGGGCAGGTTCACCTTTGGTTCCCCCGCCACATCTTCTTCATGAACTGGGTCGAACACGGGCAGGGATTCAGCGCCGAAAGCAGACACAACGCTGGGACTGTCGTGGTGTTCCTCCTTAGTGCCGGGCCCAGTCAAGCGGGGAAGAGCAGCAGAAGCTGCCGCCGCTGCTGCAAATTTGCGCTCTTCCTCCGCCTCCAACTCGAGTCGCTTTTGCAACGCAGGAACAACTTGCTCATCCCAGTCATTGGCAGGGGAGCGCATGACAGGAGAGGTGGCATCGGAGCTGGCGCTGACAGGATTCAATGCTGTCGCGGCACTCGTGCCAGAGTCTGATGGCAACCGTGGCCCAGGAGTCGCTGCAGGGTGGTCTGAAGCGAAAGACGGGATCGCCGCGCGCTGAGGCGTTCGGCCAGCAGGTCGGCTGCGTTGTCGAGGTGGTGTGAGGAACGGGAGAGTATCATACCGCTTCGCATCCCGCTGGCTTTGTGGCGGATCTGACAATAATCCTTGCCGAGCGACATTTGCCGATCCTGCTGCTGAACGGGCATCTGAGCCTGGAACAAACATTGTCCTCTCAGAAGCTGACAAGGCTTCGAAACCCCGCATCGAAGTGGTCGAGCCATATATGTCAGCCATGCCAGTAGCGTCGTGGGCATGACGAGCTTCGCTATGCGATGACCCGTGCTGCGAGCCCAGCGAGGCCTGCCGCGAGACGTGCGCCTTTGGCCACTGGCGACGAGATGTTTCGCTACGTCCAGAGGAAATCGCGCCGGCGTCCGACGCTCTGCGCGCGCTTGCCTCCCTTGTCTTGGGGTAAGGCGCCGCTCTACGTCGAGGTCGAGCATTCGAGTAGTCTGAAAGCTCACTCTGACTCAAGTCTGCTCGAGAGCCCGGGGACTCGTCAAGCCAAGCGGGCTGTCCAGGCTGGATCTCGGGAGCACCGAATAGCTTCGTCTTGGCCCATCGTGCACGCCAGCCATCCTCCTTGCTGCTCTCCAATGCAGCCAGAGCCGCCAAGCTCGCCTGCACAGCCGTGTCTGCGTACGGCACGGGCGTGCTTCCGTCTTCGTGCCCGCCCTCCCGGTCTGGCGGGGCAGAGGCATCAGGAAGGGGTAAGTGAGGCTGCTGCGCTAGACCCTCAAGACGCTGTGGCCGAGTCGGTGTTGAGACTGCGCGGCTTCGACCAACAGGAATAGGCAATCGCGAGGCAGCCTGCGGTCGCAGCGTCTGAATAGCTGAGATCGGTGCGCGTGATGCAGAGGCAAGGCCCTGCACGCGCCCCGGTCTGGCGTTTGCTGCTACAACGGTACCGAGCCAGGGACCGTCATTTGACGTCCAGCTTGTGCGGTCTACGTGAGTGTCCAGGGACGGTGGCGCTAAGTGCGATAAAGCAGAACGCGACGGCGGAGGACCACCCGCGGATTCAGAGACTGATTCGCGCCGCGAGACTGAGCTGTCAGCTATGCGAGATCGACGCGCCAGGGAGTCAGTGTGGTCCAGCGCGGACAGAGGTCTCTCTCCAATGGTCTCGGAAGTCGACCGCATCGGCCGAGCTGTGGCGTGCTCAGTCTGCAAGACAGGAAGCGCAGGCAATGTCCTGCGAGGTGAGGCGCTAGCGCTTTGCGCATCCGAAAGATTTCGAGTATGCCTCACGCTTCCAGGTCGCCTTTGGTGTACTGGTGGCCCTGCCGAAGCGACGCTAGTTGACAGCTGCGAGGTGTCGTGAGGCGCAAGTGGAGGCTCGGCGTTGCGTGGCACAGATGCCGGCTGGGACACCGGCTGCGCCTGAGCACCCGAGTGCTTCTGCAAGGACCCCGCTGACTTCTGCGCGGCCAGATCTGCATGAACATCGTCGGTGACATCTTCGGTGCCATCAAGGCCTGGCACGTGTCCATGTCGTCGATCGCTGGCGTCAGATGGCTCGAGGCGATGATTAGATCGGGTTGGTGGGAAGTCCTCCGCTGCAGTCGAGTGGACAGGAGAATGCGGCATAGGTCGAGGGCGTCGGAACGCTCCTGGCGTCCAAGGTTGAAGACCGCGAGGGTCGAAGCCACCATTCGTGGCTGCCAAAGCCGGTTCTTGAGTGCTGCTTGGGGCAGCACTGCTGGCGCCAGCAATCGCGTCATTCTCACTCTCCAGCCCGCCAAGCATATGAGAGGTTGGCGAGCTACCAGAAGACCCATCCGTTGAATTTGTGCGCCTGGTACGTCTCGAAGGCCGAAGTGGCGGAACAGGAGCTGGCGGAGGTACAGGAGCCAGTGAGGAGAAATTGTCTGCTCCATAGACTCCGTGCAGACCGCGCACACCGATTTGCTCGTCCATGTCTGGTTTGCGTTCGATCCGCACAATTTCGAGCGAAGCCGACCGTCGATTGGCAGCGAGCGAGCGATCTCCCTCTTGCTCTGTTGCGGGGGAGTGAGGCACAGTCCGAGAGCTATGTGCGCCTGCTGCAGCCTCGCTCCCTGAAGCTTCGCTCTGCGTTCGTGTTCGTGTCATGTCTGTGCTGTCGCCAGGAGCAGACTCCGAGTCATTGCGCTTCCTCCACGCCCACCTGCCAGCCTTCTTGGAGGGAGCTGCCTGGTCCGTCTGCGGTGCCCCAGTCTCGCCCGAAGCGGTCTTATCCGTGACGCGATTCTGCTCTTGAACGTCTTCCCATTCCGCTTCAGCTCTCAGAGCTCGTTGCAGGCGGGTCTCTTCCATTCCGCTGAGCGGCGGTGGATAGCCTCTGGCAGGTGTAGATTTTTGGAATTCGGGCAAGAGCTCCCCAGCGCGATAAGAGGCGCGCAGACTTGGTGCTGAGCTCCGCCTCGATCTTGCGCTTCGTACGCTATGGACGCTCCGAGGTCTTGAGTGCGGACTCGATTTGAGAGGACTGCGACTGCGAGTGGGCCGAAGGCCATTGGCGTCCGCAAGAGCGCGCTGTAAGGACACCACACTGTCATTTTCACCCTTGATCGTCAACGCTGTGCCAGATCGGCGACGGGCATTTCTCAGTGCGGTTGCGGATGCTCTTCCGCGAGGCACCGCAGTCAAAGAGCTCATGCCATCTGAGATGCCATCCGCATCATTGTCTGCCGTAGCTTGTGCCCCTCTTTCACGCTTCGGTGAGAGTATTCGTGAAGACCAAGGTGATGCCGGTGACACTGGCGTCGTAGGCGCAGAGACCTTTGTCGGGGACTTTGGCGAGGAAGTGATCCCTCGCGTGCTTTCCGAGCCCCGTCTGACACGACCTCGAATCTTATCGATGAGACTCAGTGCTCGAGGACGCTTCGCGCCTGAAGGTGATCCGCTCAGATCGGATACTTGACGAGCGTCGAAAAGACTGGTATCGGAAGGCGTACCGAGAAGCTCAATGGAAGCTGTCGCATCAAGTCGAAAAGCCGGGCCTGCGCGAATCTGTTCGACGTGAGCCAGAAGCGCATCGGTACCGTTACTGCCACGGCTGAGTTGACTGCTGTGCTTAGATCCACGGGTATCTCCCATCGAGTCTGGCCTGTCCGGGAAGTCGGTGTCGAGCCGTCGCCATGTATGCGTTGGTGACAACTTCATGTCTGTGACTTGATCCGCGCCTTCTTCCTTCCACTCCCGCTCCGAAGCAGCAGGAACCGGTTTTCGCCAACTACTCTGTCCAGGGCTAGCAGGTGGTCGACGAGGTGACGAAGGGCTCGGAATAGGCGCCTCAGCAGCTTCGGGCGCCGAAGGAAAGGCGTCCACACTAGGTTCCAAATGCTCATCCTCAGCTTGAGAAGATGCTGCAGCAGCTGACAAGAGACTTGTGCGAGAGCGTTGATCCGCCGGCGTGTGATACGACACGGTCAAGAAATCATTCAACGATGGTCTTTGCTCCGGCGCCTGACGCTCCAATGTGCCTGTGTGATGTTGCTGAGCCCATACGCTGTCCAGCTTCGAAGAGATTCCGAGCGGAATGGCTGCGGGTGTTTGTTTTCCAGGGCGGGGTGTAGCAGACCCGGATCTTCCTGTTTGGTTCCCCGCTTGTTGCATATTTGACATCGCACTCTTTCCTGTGACACCGTCGACGTGATCGGAGATGTTGATGGACTCGGTCTGGGCGTCTGCGGTCGGCGAAGCGTCCTCCTCGTCGCTCCAGGAAAATCGCTGCAGGGTGCCCGCTGGAGTGCGGAACTCCTCGTCCGTCAGGGGCACATTCGCCGGCGAAGTCGACCGCGAGGGCTCGCCGCGATCATCGGGCCATTCGGAGGTCCACAATTGTGGGTCAATAGGTCCAGGGGTACTCTGGTCTGAGGGGCCAGGCATTCTCACCGACGGCCATACAGAGGAGGTAGAGGTTTGCGCGTCGGCTGCAGCGTGTGCCTGCGCAGGTTGGGCGTGCGCTGAAGGCGACCTCGACATTGGTGCTGGCACTGTTGAGCTCCTCGAAGCGGGACGCTCACTTGCCCAACTGTGAGGCCGGCTGCGGTAGGAGAGCAAGGAGCTCCGCCGACTAGCCTCCACACTGGTAGTGCCCTGTGCCTCGATCATCCTCCAATAGGCCAACAGACGCTCCCTATCCGTTTCTCCTGTTGTGCGACGCGTCTCGCCTACTGCGGGGCCCGTGAGATCGAGAGGCGAAAGTGTCGCACTCTGCCGCTCGTACTCAGATCGAAGCTGACGAGCGAGCTCTGGAGAAACTGCGCCTTTGCCTAGACCTATCCGCAAGGCTCGAGCTAGAGGCTCGGGCAATGGGAACGGCTCGTGTCCGCGGTCTGAGGCGTCAGAGCCTCTGTCAGCCAGTGCTCTCAGAGGGTTGCCAAATTCCGTGACAAGATCCTGAGGCTCGTCGACCTCGACGATACGCGGCTGCGCTGGAGTGGATGCGACTCGATACTGGGTGCTGTTGCGGGATGCCCTGACTGCGGCAGCAGCAGCAGCTGTTGATGCCGCCTCCTCCGTGCTGGTGCCTAAACTGACTGCCCTGGCGCGAGATGGATGCATCCAGTAGTCCTGTTCGAGAGAGGGACTGCTCAGCAGTGGTGCATCTGCATCCGCGTCGATGCCCGCGTCGGCTGATGTGGACTCTTGGGTGCGTTGAGGAGGATCAGCAGCAATGCCCATCTCGTGTGCGTCGGAGTCCTGAGATGTGTAGGTGTAGTTGGAAGAACCTGAAAGCTGCGGGCCTTGTGGCCTCGCTCTAATAGGACCTACCAGACTGCGCCGCTGCACTGTCGCGCTGTGCGGTTCAGCTTCAGCAGAGGCACGTGGAGGGGCGAGAGCGTGGGTGACGTGCGAATGAGAAGCTTGATGCTGCTGCAACAACGCGGATGTGCTCGTGCTGCCAGCCCGTAGGTGCCCACTTGGCGTGCGTCCGTGCTGGAAAAGCCGATCCGGCCTGAGTGCAGAGTAACGTTTCAGGTCTGGACCTCGCTGCGAGCGCGACCGTTCGAGTGGAGACTCATTGCTGCTGTCGAACCCGACAGCGGATGGATGGTATCCACCAGTGCCCGATTGTACTTGACCCATCCCCGCCAAGCCACGCAACCAGATCGGCCGAGATCTAGGGACTGAAAGGCAGCAAATGGGACCGAGTGCGATCAGAATGGAGGCCTACTCACTGAGCTTGATGTGCATCAGAAAGGCCTGCTCACCTGCGTATTCTCTCCGTTTACCGAGCGACTAATGGCGATGGATCAAATTCCGTGCAGGCATCATCTGAGGCTGCAAAGTCGGCGGCCGCGTGATTGGAACGGGCACAAGAAATCGGATGGCTTGCGCTCTTGATGACTTCTGGTCTTGGGAAATACAGATCGTGGGAGCCTTATTGAGCAGCGGGGGGCGGCTGCTCGCTTATTTGCACACCAACTAGGCCTTAATCGTGTGCTAGAGAGGCTCAGCGCGGTCTTTCTCTATGCGCAAGCCGATATATACCCCGGATGGGAGATGAACCGACAGGATACCGCGGGAGGCAAGTTGTGCGGAGCCGCGTCGATGCCCGTAGCTTCACTACGCTGCCGTGCGTGGTTTCAAGGAGAAGAATGTCGCTGGTGTGTAGGGAAGGTGAGTGTGACTGGTCAGCGGAAGATGTCGCCGTGGCTGGCGCAAGCGTTTGAATGGGAGTCGAGGACAGCCTTCTGACTTTTGAGGTTGACTTTCGACATCTGTCCAGAATCCAACGGCAGCGGGGCACTCGACTCGGGCTCACGCTCTTGACCCGTCCAGCTCCTTGGCGCGGAGTTCTCTGGTCCTCGGCCCAATTCAGTTGGAGATTCGTCTTGTGCTCCGTTCGCATGGCTCATGCACGCTGCTATACGCTAGAGGATTATTGAACGCAGGTGTGGCGCCAAACCAGTCAGCAGAGTTGTGCTGCGTGTGCAGCAAGCACCACATGCACTCACACTGGAGCAGCAGTAGCTGGATGCACAGGTGCAGGCATAGCAACAGAACCACGGCAGCCGGCGAAGCGGAGCAAAGCTCGACGCATAGTCAGTGTGAGTGTGCAGTACAGTACACCTCGATGGATCCAACGACCCAAATTCAATTTAAGAGTTAGATTGGCGTGGCTCGTTGCGCTTGGATGTTCGCCTTGCCCTAGCTCGCACATATGGGTGCGCGGTGCTTGCTGCTGTACAATCAAAATTCACGAATTTGCTCTTGCTGTTTCGGCAACACGTCATTCCTCACTCATCGATGGATCGGAACCGATAGTCAGTGTGAGTGAGTGCGCCGTCGAGACTAACACACTGCTTTCGACGACGCACGCGCACCTCGCGCAGAGCCACAGCAAGCTGTCGAGTCTCGTCCATCATCCGCCATTGGCTCATCAGCGCTGTTGACCCCCCAAGCTTTGGAAACATCTTTGCGCATGATGCGGCTTCCAGCTGCTGTGCAGCCTGTGCTACGTACATGTATGCGCAGCGCTGCGCTGCCGAACGCCAGCGTTGTACAGTGTACCGTACCCCTGGTTTGCTTTGCACACAGCCGAGACGCCATGCAAGAGGAAAAGGGTCATAGATCTGACGAGCAGTCCCACCAGCCCATGCAGATGCAGCGCCTCGATCACGGGTACGTGGCTTTGCCGCAAGCGAGAAATCATTGTGATTACATTTAATTGCTACAGCAACGGCGCAGGGTGCATGCTGGATGCGCTCCTCGTGAATGAGTTTTTTCGGTACCGGGCGCACTTCGGCCAACGGGTGCGGACGAGAACACGAAGCTAGGCATCAGAGACGATGCTTGCTGCCGAGCTACCCACGTGCATACATGGTCCACAAGTCGTAGCTAGTGTAGTGGTGTCATATAGACAGGCCCATACATGTGATGCGGTTTCTTCTGAAATGAGCCTGCTAGCTGGTTCAGCTTCGCTGGATGTTGATTCGGCCAAGCCTCGACGGCACCGCGCGCCGTATTAATTTCGTGATGGCCATGGCATCGGTGCCGCTTTCATGCGCGCGCTCGGCGTCGTGACCGCGTCCGAAACTCCGACACCTGAGACATCAACAAGCTTCGGACGCATCGACACCTTCGTCATCAGGAACACGCACAGATATCCAAAGCCATGTCTCAGACGTGCTTAAGCGCAGCCAGCTAATCGTCAGCAGGCCATGTGCAGCTATATAAATCATCAGCGACTGGCTTCGAAGGAGGAATTACGCGCTGATTCGGCCGATATAAGTCGTGGTTGTGGGGTAGGAGCATTGCTTGGGCAAGCTTTGCAGTCACATTCACGACCTTTTGTATTGGCGAGCCTCTCGACCATCACACCAAAAGTCCACCTTTTCTGCGTGGTCGCGATACTTTGGGCAGTCGTCAACGATACACGACGTGCGTAGCGTGAATGGTGGTGTTGCGTCGATCCTTGCCGAGCACGTTCTAAGGTCCAGATCACACAAGAGTGACGCGGTTCGCTCATTCTGTATGTGTAGCACTAATACGCGCACTACCACCCTATCAGACATTGCTAACAGTCGAAAAACGCGTGAGTCTAATCATTGCTCATGACACCAGATGACACCAGACCTGCATGAGCATCTGAGCTTCGCTTGCTGAACTCATTTTTGGATCGGATTGCCATGTTGCCGCCCGGCGTTCTGCTGCGTCTCAAGCTGTACGATCCGGCGGCGTGCTCATTTTTTTGCACGCGGCACGGAGTCGAAGCGTCGGTGAGTGAATCGACAGGCCATCAGGCACACGAAGCGGCAGGCGGACCCAAGCTGAGAGACGCATGGCTATTTGTGCAAGAGCGACGCGAGCGTCTGAGCGGAAGCGAGATGATGGGACAGTGCGATGAGTGCTATTGTTCGTGATAGGATAGGATCGTGACCATGGGACAAAGGACAAGAGCGAGAGGCAGGCGGCACGGTCACGTCGGCTACCAGTTTGAGCCCACAATTACGCCGACGGAGATGTTTAGGCGAACATGGCGGCAGCCAGAGCTGACAGACCAAGGGTGAGCACGGCGAAGAAGCTCGGCAAGCCGACTGCAGCAGCGCCGCTGCCTGGGCCACCGAAGGTCGAGTAGCCGTCTCCGCCACCGCTAGTAGTCGCACCATCAGTGTTTGTGTTTCCGGTAGAAGTGATGCCTTCGCCGTTTTGACCAATGGTGCGGGTCTCGTCCTTGAAGCCACTGTTGAGACACTTCCCGGCAATGGGGTCCCAGAAAGGTGTGTCGCAGTTGTCTGCAATGCGATGACGCAAGGAGCCGCTAGCGTTATTTTGAGGAGGGTTTGGCACGTCTACGGTGGGACGTTGGAGGGGGCAGCCGTAGCAAGTTCTGAAGGGCGAGTTGTTCAGGGAATCGCCTGGGGTGTCGGAGATGCAATTCTGGACGACGGTGCTTTTGAGCAAGAGAAGAGCGATAATTAGCAACTTGCTCAGACAATGAGCGCGATCCTGGAGTGCCATATGACTCACGCTTCCTTCTCGGGCATTCCGTTGCAGATGACGTCTTGGTTGACCTGAGGCGCCTGGCACTTGAACTCGTCAAGAGTGTTGAGCTGGCTGGCAGGCACGGGGTTGCGCATCCAGGCGAGCAGCTGCGAGTTGGACACCATCCATACATTCCTCATACTCTGGTTGGAGTGGGCAAAGTCGAGGAAGGAATTGATCGCGTTGAGCTTGTTCGTCGGGTCAGGCAGACCAGGGTAGCCAGACGCCAGATTAATCGGGTGGCTGTACAAGCCGAAAGGCTGCTTGTTGCCGTTGTAGTGGTCCATGAACGTGTTGCGCATCCACCCGGCAACCACGTTGGGGTCGGCATCGAGCCAAGGGTCCATCAGGTGCGGTGCGGTCGGTGACTCGTACGTAGAATACATGGGAATCTCCCAGAATCCGTTTAGCTTAGGCTCGCCCCCGCAGATGCCCACGACATCACCAGCGCAGTCGTTGGCCATACCGTGGTCCAAAGTGTATGGCCAGAATGCGTCGGTATTAGGGTCCGTTGCTGGAACGGACGACGACGCAGAGCTGTCGTATGTGAATTGAAACTTGTTCAAAGAGACCAAGGTGTCCTTCGTGTAGTTCAAGAAAGGTGCACGAAAGCCGATCATGGACCTGTACGGAATGCCAGCGAGGGCGTTCATGGCAATCAAGTTGCTCCGAATCTGTGGAATGCGATGTTTGAGCCTCGTGAGCAGGTACAGTAGGATCACACCAGTGTGTACTGTTTGAACATACCTCGCCATCACTAGGCTGGGCAACGTGGGTGACTGTGTGATCCGCCACATCGTGTCCGGCCACGTACCAATTGGTGACTGAAGAGTAGCTGCGCGCGACAAGTCGAGGACACGCGTCAGCTGAGACGCACAGCTGGAATCGTGAGCCCGCAATCTCGCTACTCACTTGGTGTAGTCGAGCTGTGCGAAGTACGTTGCTTTGACGGGGCAGCCATTGGGATTCTTGCGACCATTCATCAAGCGATTCAAAGCATCGACGGTGAAAGACGTCACACCATCATCTGCCGTCAAGGTGATGAATTGTGGAACGTCCCTGTGGGCAAACAAGGTGTGTGTAGCGGGTGAGTCTGCGGCTCGTGCGGCCTACGACTTCGTTCGGCCCGCTACATTTGGGACATGCTTCCGCTGCCCCCGCAATCAACCAAGAGCTCGCCACCTCCCTTCCTTTGCCGTTTGGGGAGACCCCTGATTGCGCCAGACATCACGCTTGGGTACCCGCGGGAGGTGGGAAGATAGAGCAAGTGTTCGGGTTTGCGGCCATTCCATTGCGAAGGCGGCGCTTGTGCCAAGTCTGCGTCTCAATTGCTCGCTCTACTCACTCGATAGCAAGATTGCCAGGCGGCTTGACGTCAGCACAGCGACAGTCGGGTAGCTTGCAGGTGTTGGGGTCGCAGGAGTAGCGCGCAGCAGCGGCACCTCCTCCAGCAGGCGCGGCACCTTCGCCAGTAGCGGACACCTGGCGTCTGTTGAGCTGGTGACGCTTGGTGTGGCATCCGCTATGGAGCGGATCGTCGCCGTGTGCCACCACCAAGGGCGCAGTAAGACCCAAGGTGGCGGCAGCGGCGATCAGGAGACTCGAGCAACGCATTTCTTGAGGCAGGGATGTAGGTGGGTAGTGCTGTGGGAGTGGCGGTCGTCGTCAGCAAGACCGAGGATTGGCAAGAGAGATGGTGAGTGAAAGCAGCTACGAGGACGCGGAGTAAGAGAGGTGAGTTGGGCAAGCAATGACTATGCGCTATGGCGCTTATGGGATGATGGTCAATTTGGATCTCGACGAGGAGGGCGCCGCTTGGCCGCTAAGCAGAGAATCCGAAAGCTGGAACGGCGGTTCACTTTTTGCATGGCTCGCGACGATGTCGCACGCCGGCGCGCGCAAGGGATTTGGCGGCGGCCGCGTTCGCATGCCTGCTCGCCTATAGCTGCAGTGCCCCAATCAAGCGCGTATATCAGCTATAGCGCTTTAGACCCGCGCCTGCGCGTGTTATGAGACGATGCTGTACCGCGCCCCGCGCAGGCTCATCATGCGATCGGCGAGCGAGCCACCTGCTTCGTTGCCGCGATCCTTCTTGGCAGCCCACCATTTTTGCAAGGCTCGATCGAGCAGACAACCTTTGAGTCATAGACAATGTACGAAAGCGAGCATGACACTCACTGACTGTGAATTGTCCATTCACGATTGCCTTCGAGATCACCCGCACTCCATATAAGCAGCGAGGCAGCAGCGGCCAAACTGCCGAGCAGGAGGCGGGCGGCGGAAGTCCGTGCCGCATTCCACGGCGACCGGTTGGTCGACATCGTCATCTGGCCATATGCAACCCCATGCATGCCGCTAGCGTGTGGTTTCAAAGATGTGTACCGTACAGTCAAGTCGCGCGCTGGGATCTGTTGACCCAAGACAAATTGCGCTTTGCACAGCATCTTTGGCTGTGATCACGTGCATCTCAAGGCTGGCACGTGACTACCTTGGTTGGTTGCGGCATTTTGAAATGTCCTACAACACGGATTCGACACTCACTTGATTCGACATTCTGATTCTGATTCATGATTCGCGATTATGCTCTGGTTGTTCGTGGTCCTTGATCAATCTTTCTTCGTAACGTGAAGCCCAAATCCCCGCTAACCACGTCCTCTTGGCTTCTATCATCTCGGCGGCTCTCGTTGCAAGATTGTGGAGAAGGTGCCACACGATTCCTTTGGATAAAGGACGGATTTAGCCCAGTTGTTAGCAAGACGCCCTCGCAGTGGCTGCCTTCACACGTTTGTCATTGGACGGTTGGGGAGCACTCGTGGGCTTGCAACATCATGCACTGCTTGGTGCGTTTATATTGCGTAGAGAGAAAGCCATAGTCAGAAACCCGCTTCGAGGTCTGACGCTCTCCTTTTCGTGCATTGCTTTTGTCGCAGCGCTGGTGGCTCCCGCTGCTTTTGCTGCCGCTGCCAGCGGCAGGTCCCTTCACCATCGTGCTATTCGTCGTCGCCTACGCCATCACAACCAAACCTTGGTGAGTGGATCTGCTCCAGCATGTGGTGCTGAGTCACTCACGTAGCTCATGATGATCCCATGCCGATCTAGCTTCTACTGTGCACTACTTCTGACTGTGTTGTTAGCAAGCACATGCAGTTGGTACATGCCAGCTGAAGACCCTCGACCGCCGCCACGCACAGTCTGTTCAGCACCGTGGACGCCCTTCGAAACTCTGATCGGTGCACCAGCCTACATGTGCAGAGCTCGACGACCAGCCAAGCCATCAACCTGCTGGCTTCCCACCAATCGTCTGTTCGCCGCGCCGCTCCAGTCCAAGACCTCCAGAATGGTCCCTCCCGTCTCGGAAAGGATCGCCAACGACTTCGATGTCAAGTGGCAACACGCCAATAGCAGCAACTCGTCCTTGACCCACTCATCTCCCGAGACAATTTCGGCAAAGGCGGCTTCACTTGCCTACCGTCTGGCTCAGAGGCGTAGGTTGTGGTTCGGGGTCGGCGATCGTTCTCGAGGACTTGGCTATGATCTCATCTTCGGTTGGCTACCTCCTCCCAAGCAATGACCTGGGGCACGGTGCTGCGCGCAATCGATCAAGGTCAAATCCCTCCTTGTGAAATGAATCAGATTGCTCAAGCTCACCGAGAAATTGAGGATGTACTAGTATTACAAGAGACGAGAGACGGGAAGCAAAGTGAGGTTACAAGGCGCTAGATACAGCATTCGTGACTAAGGGGGGCGGCGACGCGCGTAGACATGACAGTCTGGAACCCCGCGAGAAGGGTTGTGGCTCAATCATTCTCTCCTAGCGGGCGAAAGTACGACGCGAACATCTGCTCCCCTCGCAAGAGAGGCGACTCCGAGATGACGGTGTGGACGTGCACGACCAGAGATGGGAAACGCTTGGTGAAGTAATGCAGAAAGGGACCTGGTAGAGCGCCCATCTGCCTTCGCAGAGCTGGAGACATGTCCTGATAATGATGTTTCTGTCATCCAAAAGCGCGAATAGTCAGTTCCTGCATCGCAAAGGCTGCTTGCAGCATGGTTCACCAACGCACCTTGTTGCGCAAAGCTCGCAACAAGTCCTGCACGCTTGAGCGTTCGTACTTTCGGAACTTGCCAAGGTCGTCCATGAAGATCTTGTCCATCCTACGATGCCAATCCGATCCAATGACGGCAGCTGCACAAGACTCGAGCGCAATCAGAGGTGGGGGCGGTGCGTCCTTGTCCATGATCTCGAAGCGATCGCTGGCGTCTTGCAAAAAAGCAAGCCTTTGTGCATGATCCCAGAAGTAGGGGTGGGTCAGGACGTCAGGCGCACTGGGCCTGTCCTTGGGCTCTACTGCAATCATCTTGGAGATAAGATGTTGCGCTTCGTAGCCTTCCTCTCCGAGTCCGGAGAGTCTCGATAGGTCAGATGCGCTCTTGACTATGTTCATCTCACGCTCGAAGCGACTCCCGAATGGATGATCGCCGTTCGCCAAGATGTAGCTACGGAAAGTTGAGGAAGCTTGGCTTGTTAGTGGTGAGAAGATACATGAAAGACACAAGGGGCTACTCACTAAGCCAAGCAGCCGAGCGCAAAGACATCCACTGCACGTGTAAGGCGCCTGGAAGTCTCGCCGTCTCGAGGAAGACCCGAACGCATCCCATTGCTACTGCTTTCCGTGCTATTGCTGCCCTCTGCACCCGCGTCTAGGGACACTTCACCACGCAATATCTCTGGGGCCCGCCAACCAACAGTGCCACCCGGGTTGTTCATGGTCTGACTGAAGCTGGATTGTGCTAGACCATCTAGTCGTTTAGAGAGCCCAAAATCTGAGAGGAGCATCTTGAGCTTGCCAGACGGATTGTTCGAGACAAGAATGTTCTGCGGCTTGATATCGCGATGCACAACTGTATGATAGCAATGGTCGAGTGAGCGTTGAGTTCCATCACGCACTTACGCATGGCCCCTATGAAGGTGCAAAGCGACTTACTCGAAAGAGAATGCAAATGTCTCAGGCCAGACGTTATCTGCGATAAAGCCTTCTTCGGTTCAAGCAAGAGGCCAAGCTCGCGATATTCAACCGGCTTCTCGATCACATCTGCCAAGCTCGCAGGGCAGAGCTCAAGAGCAATGAACAGGAAGCTTGGCGTGAGCTCCTTGTAGAAGTATCTAATCACGTTGGGGCTGCAGAGCGCTGGAACGAGTCAGCGATCAAGCGTACAGGACATCTCGCCGAGTATGCGACCCACTGATTATCGGCAGATTCCAACAACGACACCTCTTTCGAAGCGACATGGACGAAGTCGCGCAGCAGCCGCTTGACTGCGACCGCTCTCCCCTGGAACGTCCCTTTGAACACCACCGTGCCAGACGAACCGTAGCCTGTTGCTCGAAAGGTACCACATCAGCATCACTCGCGGCGCTTTTGATTGGTGCAGACTCACCAAGGATCTCTTCCGATATTTGCAGCGAGCCATTGGGCCCGAGGTTACCTGCCACCGCGCCCGGTCCAGTTGCATATGCTGCTAGTTTGGCAGCTTCTTGTCCGGCAGCTGTGGCCTCTTCAGCAGAGTCGCCGAGGTTGTGAGCATCAAGCCCGGTGGCTTGTCGCACGCTTCCTCCAGCGTCTCCATCCACGTCAAAGTTCAGTCTTGTAGCTGACGCAAGCTGCTGATTGTGGCGGGGTGTCGAGACTGCTCGGGCGGAGGGGGTGCCCAAGGGAGTAATGACAGTACCATCCGCAGCCTCAGCAACATCTGGCACATCATCACCATCGGCATCGATGCTGTCTTGGTCGACCGCAGTCCCGTTCCCCTCGAGGGCCGCTTTCTTACTCTCCTTGAGCGCAACTAGCTGACCAGCCCTCTTGCCTCTCCTCCGCTTCTTGCCTGCTCGCTTCTTGTCCGCTTGAGCTGCCTCAACAGCTTCTTGCTCCAATGCAAGCTCAGCAGGGGTTTCTCCCGGCGCAGCATTCTGATTCTTTCGAGCTTTTATATTGTCTCCGGAGATTGGAAGATCGGCAACATTGGCCCTGCCACTCTGATGCATGGCATCGACGCCTTCAGCACTCTTGTGCTCATTACCTAGTGAAGCTCCGTTCTCCGCATTTTCGTGCTTCTCATCCAGGACAGCTGGGACCCAAAGAACATCCTTCGCAATGCTCGAGGCGCTTTCACGAGCTAACCTTCTCTGCTCTTGCAAGCCGATGTAAATCAGGGCACACAGAATGGCGCCAAGGAACAAGCAAATGATCTGCACCAAGGCGACCAGAGGTGTCGGCCGCCAGCTCCATACGGAGTCTGAAGGAAAAGTGCTGCGCTGCTCGCCGGTACTAGCAGACTTTGAACCACTCTTGGGCTTGTCTGACCGCTTTGCGGTAGTCTGGCCACCAGATTGTGAAGACGAGTTGTCGCTACCTTCTTGATGTTCTGCATGATCAGCAATCTGCAAGAGAGATCGCTCTGCTTGATCTGTGATGGCTGGTCCGAGCCCCGAAGCATCTGCGTCCCGCGCGTCCCAAACCCCGAACCAGCACCCAACGTCGGAGCACGGCTTTGACTGCTCGGAATGCGACGGCAAAGTGGCTGGCGCGGGTCGGGCAAGGCCAGCTAAGGGATGCGCCTCGCTTCCCAGCGCATACAAGCTCCCTCCAGCAACACCAAGATATGTAGCACCAGCGTCGAGTGAATGAAATGGAGCAGCACCACTCGCTGTGACTGATGATCTACGCACGAGTCGAGAAAGGGGAATCACGGGGTGCGGAACGAGGACAGGCGGGGACCGATCGCGACTCCCGCTTGGTTCCTTTTCGGGATACACGAGATCAAAGACTCGCGCGACAGAGCCACCAACAGCTGTGCTCCAAAGGGTGCGATCCCGCTCCTCGGTGCTTTCATCAGAACCACTATCGGGCGAGGTTGTCGCGTTGACACAGATGACGGAACCATCCTCTGGAACGCCAAAAATTGCAGTTGGTGGTGGCGGCGGGCGATCAGCAGAAGAAGGCTCGGAGGCAGCGCGCGCCTCGGGGCTCGCAGCACTCCACACTGCAGCGACTTCGCGATCGGCAGCATTTGGAGCAAAGGTGCTATACCGCAGCGTCTGGCGAGCCGATGGATCGGCTCGACTGTGGATCGTAAGGGTGTAGTCTTTCAAAACAGCATGCAGATATTAGCGTCTGGCTATACTGGTCATCTCATCACACTCAATCTGCAGCAGCCCTCACCTGTGCGCCCGACATAAGTCCAGTCTCCATCCTCATCGCAGATGTCATCTTTGCACCAAGCTTCAGGTGACCTCTCTCTTTCACGTCCGCCGCCGAAAACGGCGCCCACTCTTCCCGTCAGGACGTCCAGTTCCACAAGCGAAGACGACTTGTGGCCGACGAACACGCGCTCATTATCGGCGGGAAAGGAGAAAGGCGAAAGATCGACCAACTGCGGCAAGGTTAAAGGGAGACGCCTCAAATTTTGTCGGGGTAGAGTGGTGTCGTGCGGGGGTTCCTGACTGGTGGATGCATCGCTTATGTCGTCCGTCAGGACGTAGATTGAGCCCCCACCTCCTGGCTCCACAATGTAAAGACCTTGCCGACGCAGCGCCTGAAGAGAAGCAGCACCTTCTTGACTAGCAGCGACATCAGCGAATGACCGCCGAGCTCGACCATAGTATGCTCCCACCAAGGGCTCGAAAGAGAACTTCTGGCGATTTGAAGAATCTTCCACAGGGTCTGCCTGGGCTCTGGCTGGAAGATCCCACAGTCTCTGACCAGTATGCCTATCGAGCGCGTGCAAGCCTCCTTCAACAGTAGCAAGGAGCACTGTCCTGCTCAGAGTCAGGCCAGAAAATGATGGCGCATGCCGTGGAGTGCCGCCGAGTCTCTGAGCTGTCTTCAGTCCTCGCCTAGATAGACTCAGTGCCAAAGAAGATGCACTTTGAGCTCGGGATTGATACTCGGACGAGTGGTGAGCTGACCTTTGGCTTGGCGATCCACTGGCAGGCTCAGACAGTGCAGTGCAAAGGAGCGCGAGGAAGACTAGCACGATCCAAGAACAGCGCAGCTGAAGTGCACAGCTTAGCATATTGACTATCGGAGCGTGTGCCCCTTGTGCTGGCCGCGTGTTGTGTGCCGCAAGCAGGCACGAGCGGTCGCCGTCGCATCCAATTGTCTCGCGTCTGTGGGATAGCGTTCACGTGCTAGCCAAGCAAATGGCAGACATCGGTGTTACTGCTGACGCAATGGCTTTGGACGCTGATGAATCGATGATGAGGACAAGCTGGCAGTGGCCCACGTCAGCCGTACTGTATCTGCGTGGCTTGAGGCGCGCGGCGAAGAGCACCGGCGTAGCAGTGTAGGCATGGATGCAGGATGCTGGTGGTAGCTTTGGGGCACCTCCGAGTGATGTGTCTCTCTGTGTTGTGTTTGAATGCATCCTCCACGTACGCGGAGGCTCAGCCTGCTGCTGGAAAAGCTTGATCTTATAGGTCCGCTATGCATGCGCGGTGGGCGGTGATGCGACATTTCGCAGGGAGCTGTAATTCGTACGAGAAAGTCACGCACGGTTCATCTCCGTGGTGTGAGCGTCACGAGTCGTGGACGCGCGTCCAGAACAGAAGTCACAACAGTCTAAGACTTGACACAAGTGGGACAACTGTAGCTGTCATGGCGACCACACTTATGCACCGACCGCCATCACAGCTTCCACAATTCTGATCTCCAGCCGCACCCGTGCAGAGTATAAACCCAAGTGTCAATCATCCGCATAACGAACGCGGTTTCAGATAACGTGCCCCACCTTTCTCAGCACGTCGATTCCACTGACCCCTCGGGATGTCAGGCTCTTCAGCAGCTCCTCAAGCTGTCTCATCCGACACTGGAGTGCCTGGCAAGCCCACCGTCAATGCTGGAGGAGTAGATGATGATGTGCCTCAACCCATTCCAAACCTGGAGTTGCAGCAACTTCACTTCGTCTTGACGTCTCCGCGGACGCCCGGTGCTAAGGGCAGGGAGGTCTCGGAGGCGCTGCTAAAAGGGATCGAGACGGATGGTTCGTGCTTGAGCTACTGACGGTAATATGCTGTTACGTGCGCGGCTGCATTGCTGACTGACTAATTCGAACTCTGTACGCAGAAATGGCACCGTACCTCTCCGCCTTGCTGGCCGCTGGCGTCATCCTACCAAGTGGAGCCAAGGACTTGCACGCTCAGCTGCACGCCAAGAATGAAGAGTCTCTCAAGGCTATCGACGATGCGCTGGTCAGACTTGAGGAGAGCGAGGGAGACATGGAGGTCAATGCAGTGAGAAGACAAAGAGCAGCGTACCTTGCTCGCATCGGAGACAAGGTGAGCAGGGCTCTTTTTCATTTTGGCGACAAGGCAAAGGTTCTGATCCGTGTCGGGGGAATGCTGTTACTTGTGCGCAGACGAGAGCCCTCGAAGCTCATAAGCTTGCAATTGAGAAGGCTGCTGGCCTTGGCTCAAAGCTGGATTTGGTCTTGACGCAAATAAGAATCGGCCTCTTCCATGGCGATGCGTCAATAACCATCGAGTCCATTGCAAAGGCTAAAGAGTGAGTACACTGCAAGAGAAGCAAATCCCGGACCTATGAGTGATGCTAACCAATCACCGCCACCTTAAGGCTCGTCGAAGAAGGCGGGGACTGGGACAGAAGGAATAGACTCAAGGTATATGAAGGTCTGCACTTGCTTTCCACCCGTCAATTCAAACAGGGCGGGGAGCTGTTCTTGGACGCTCTTTCAACGTTCACTGCGACGGAGTTGCTGAGCTACAAGGACTTTGTGACTCTGACCGTCATCGCCAATGTCCTCACCTTGGGCAGGAGAGATATCAAGAAGAAGGCGAGTTGCGTAGTCAGAGTTTCGCGCCCTCTCGAGCCCTTTGCTTAGAGGTCTTGTCCACTTTACAGATCATTGACTCCCCCGAAGTGCTGCAAGTCATCGACGAGATTGAGCATTTGCGATCCTTCTCGTCTAGCCTGTACAATTGCGACTATGCAGCTTTCTTCAAGGCATTGGGTGAGTGACTTCTTATTCCCTTCAGGGTGCTCTTTCTCGCCACGCAGACAGGTTCCTCATTACGCTTTGTACTCACCGCAGCCGAGGTCGAGCAGACGCACCTGCTGCCATCGAGAGTCCTCTCGCCCCATGCACGCTACTATGTTCGCGAAATGCGCCTGGTGGCATACTCGAGCGTGCTTCAAAGTTACAGCACGATCACTCTTCCCAACATGGCCGCCGCCTTCGGCGTGACGGTGAGCTGCGATTCGTATCCTGGTGCTCAATCCGAGCTCTGCTGATGTCCGCTTTCTGCATTCGGCCACTCCTCTTTTTTTTTTTCCAGCCCGAATTCTTGGACGCGTGAGTTCGCCAGATCCTTTCGCTAGTGTACAGTCGCTCGACGCTGACCAAGACGACTTGTCCACGCCGCTTTGCAGAGATTTGGCGCGATTCATTGCTTCGGGCAGACTTCCAGCGGTCATCGATCGAGTGGCTGGTGTGGTGGAGAGCAAGAAAGCGGGAGGCACGTCGATGCTCTATTCTAGGGTGATCAAGGAGGGCGATCTGGTTCTCTCTGCGACTCAACGATTGAGCAGAGACTTGGGTCTGGCATGATCAAGACAGGACGATCAACTGCAATTCGATGTCGATCGATGTTCAGAATTGACATGATGCTCAGGTGCGCGCCGCGTGGATCGCTTGTGAATGAAGGGTCAGCCGCGTGGGTCATTTTGCGCGTGTGTGCATTCCGTTGGGTCAGGACGATGCGTGGAATGCTGTGATAGGCTACAATCTTCTAAGCGGAGAAGGGAATGTGGGAGACCTGCTCTCAAGCTCATCGCAAAAGAATCTCATCTTTTGGGCTCTCCTTCGACCGAGGTTCGCCACCATTCTTTCAAGCAACTGTATCCCTCTCGATCAAAAGACTGATTGACAAGCATCACGCGTGTGGCACACTTGGTCAGTCAAGCACTGTCTAGGCCAAACGTGGGCAAGCTTCGTCGTCACGCACCTTTGCGGGGTCGCAGTTGCAGCGACCAGTGTCGTGATACTTCTTGTTGGTGGGGCAGTGATTCCACGGCATGTGGAAGCTGGGTCGAGCGATGATGGTAATTGATCAGGCGAAGCCGAAGATCCGTCTTTGAGCGTCTATGGACTCACTATCCGATGTCATCAAAGTGATGCAACCTGGCCTTGTCCAGGAAAAGGATGGCCGCAATGGAGTGGACTGGTGCATCTCCCCATCGCTCGTAGAAGAACCCGCCAGACTTGTCCAGGAATTCAAAGTACTTCTGATAAGCTTCGCCTCGCCAGAACCTGCGTGAGTCGCAAAAGGCAGATTTTCACTCAGTGCATGCTTCGCAAAACGACTACAAGACGAATAAGGCCCTCACCGTAGGTCACCAATCTCAAAATTGGACCAAAAGTGGCACAAATTATAGCCCGGGTCCATGAAGCGCTCCGGCTCGTCCGTCATGAAGTGAATGCCATTATTTTTGGCAACGTATTGGGGGTTCTCTTCTACGAACTTCTTCGTGGTTGACCATAGAGTCGGGATGGTCTCGATGTATTCGTGCAGCGCCATTGTGAATCCATATGTCTGCACAGCAGTCAGACACAGAGACTGATCGGTCAGTAAGATGTCAAGCTCCGACCGGCCACTGCAGAGCGTCTGACCTTATTGTTCATCTGCATGAAGACGAAAGGGTCGTAGTCCACATCGCAGTATAGCTTGATTCCCGGCTCAACGCGCCAATAATAATCGAGGTCCATAGTAAGAGGATGCTGGAAGAAGAAGCCGCTTTGGAATCGGCACATGTGGCGATAAGACTCGGAGTCTCCGTAGATAATTTTCTGCGAAGCTCGAGAGAGAAGGAAAAAGAATCAGATCGAGCGGCATTGTGGAGCGCACAATCGACCATGCGCCGCTCACTTTTTCCTTCATTTGCTTGCGAGTGTCTGCTGCTTTGTTTTGGTCGATCCATTCTGGATAGCCCCAATGCTTTTTCTCTACAAATCCGAAGCGAACTTCGGACCTGGTCATCTGCTTGACTCCCTTTTTGAAATCGTCTGTGAATGGCTCGTCTGGGCGAGCGAGCGTCATTGTCGGATCAGCTCACGGCCTTGCTCTTCCCCATCTGAACTTGCACGCGCACTTACTATTCAAAAAGATCCAAGGATAGCCGTACTTGCGGTTGAAGCGATCTTCCACTGCGATGCACGCGAGAGGGAATGGTGAGTTCGTGGGCCCCCTTGCAAAAGCGCGCCATTTCACCCGTTGACTGCCCGTGACTAGAGCCCCGGGCTGGACCCCTCTCCCCATCCCCCGCACGATTGCTCATGTCCCTTCCGAGCCCGTTCTGCGGCCAGATACCAAGCCTCACGACACTGACTCACCATCTCGCATGCTTTCCCTCATCGATGCCAACTCTCCGTTGCGCACCAGCACGATGAATCCAGCCTTGGCACGAGGAGCCTGGTTGGCCTGAGAAGGGATGAAGCTTGGCGGGTAGAGGTTCCCATCGTCGCCCTTTGTGGCCCATTGCTTGAGCTCCTCAGGAGTTTGGGGAATACCGGGTGAATGCGTGTACATGTCCTTCACTGCCGAATCGACAGATGGAACGCCAGAGCCTCCGGCATAATCACCTGCTGATGAACCTCCGGGTCGCTGCCATGGTCGGGGTATGCTGCCCCATTGTTGTCGCACCGTCTCCACACCCGTCGGATCCACGGACAGCCATGTGGTCAGGGAGAGTAGCAGAAGCACCAAGGCTGCCAAGAGAATCAATCGCTGTGGCCTCCTGGCGAGGCCCTCGAGAGGACCGAGACCCGCCATGATGACCTGACTAGAATCTTTAGGAGCGTCGACTGCTATTGATTGCTGGAGAGCGAGACGAGCTGTGCTTTGAAGATGCGATGCCGCGCCTGAATGTGATGGTTGGGAAGCGTGAGGCAGCGAAGCTGAACGATGCTGCGTGGCGTAGTCGCGAATGTGTTGGAGGTCAAGATTGCGGTCAGTCGTGGCTGGAGCAATTTGGCGTGTGCGTGTGCGCATTCAGCAGCAGCCAGGAGGGTTTTGTGAGTAGTCACGAGTGGTGCGAGGATGTTTTGACAGGCATTATGGCGTTGACATGGCCAGCCGACCAACGGACCGACCGACTGTGACTGATTGACCGAATGGATGGATGCATGCGGACTTCAACTTGAAGGGCGTGCGTGCGCTTGCGGAGGAATTCAAGCGTTCTACTTGATTTGTGCGCTTTGACGCTTCGCGACCGCGTGCAGGTGCACGCACGTACGCACGCACGCACACATTCCGCTCAGCATGCAGGCGTCAAGACTCCTGACTGCATATGGTGGCTGCAAGCAGCAGCTCGACGGTGTCCATGCTGCAGCAGGTACTTGCTTGCCGTACTCACGCATGCCGACGCTGCAAGTCCGCTGTGCAGGCGGACGACCGTGGCGGCCGGAGCTGCAGCTAGGATGGATGTGTTCACGCAAAGCACGCGAGGCAGAGGACGATGCAGCACCACGAAGTCGCCGTTGAACGTCCGAAGGTCTTTCTCACTCAAGCAATCGTGAAGTGAGCTGTGCGGTACGTGTGCCATGATGCCCGACCGCGGAGATCTTTCAAGGGCTCTCGCTCATCTTTAACACGCCACTCAGCACTTCTCATGAGAAGCCGGACCACCGCCTGATGAGGGCTGCTGGACAACACGTCTTGACCGTCGCTTGCCTCTGCCAGACAGACGATATCGATCAGTATATCTTCTCATCAGCTAGACACGCTTGTTTGTGGCAGCTCAATTCTGCTTGTCCCTGCATGCACGATCGGCTGCCGTGGCGGTGCGTGGCAGCAACGAAGCAGCAGCAGCAGGCAGCAGCGCTTTGCCTCCACTCTGACTGGATCGTGAATGGGAAACAGCACCGCACCGCATGGCTACGCTCCTCGATGCACGCAAACGGCGCATCGAGCACATGGTCGGCATTGCGCGATCTTCCCAGCTCAGCTTGGGCGGACAGTAGCAGCAGCAGCACGACAAACCTGTGGCTCTTCGCGGCTGATGTCTGCGGAGACATGCAAGGGCCCGGATTGTCCCTGGAGGGGCAATCCTATATAATCAAGGACTGCATTCAAGATTGATAACCATGAGTTGCGCTAGGCTGGCGGAGTCATCCACGATCGCAGCAAGCGCGCGCCGCAGAGCGCACGCAAGACCGTCGGTGGCCCGCCGTGTCGCGACAGTCGACAGCCAGACGTACACTCGAGATTCTGGCTGGCACGCGCTCGACTGTGAACAGCGAATGAATGCGTGCAACAGGTTACGATATGAAAGCATGACTCTTCTGTCTGCTGTGTTCAGGGGAATGGAGGAGTGTCTTGGTATCGAGTGCAGTTGATGAGTCTATAAGCTGCACAAACCTTCCATCACACCGGGCTACTGCGCCACTGTGGGACATTTATGCGGAGACAAGTAGATTTTGTATTCGGAACCGACTTATCGGCGCCGGGGGGTTTTATGCGGCAACTAGTCTAGTGTGCGTTCTTATTAACAATCTTGAATATTTTTGATTCACTGGTGATTGTTATTATTACACATCTGGACTCTGACTGACGGCACGAATTGCCGAACGCGACAGGAAAAAAATGTCTCATCACGTGACCAAGACCTGACCTTCTCGCACAGACCTTCGGCGCTGCATGAACGCCATGCATGCCTCGCCGTGCGCTGTGGTACGACCTTCACGATTCAGATTCAAAATTCATCATCATGCTCAATCACCTCGACGATGGCAGAGATTCACGCATGCGATCCGACCACCCTTCGACATCGATCACCACGCCCAGAGTCCACTCCAGCACATTCGAGCGCGTCGAAACCCACATCAAGCAGATCTCTGCTGCTGCACTCTGCTCGACCAAGTTCGCAAGGCATGGCGGGCGACCATCCAGAAAAGGATGTCTCTCATCTCGGACAAAGAGTGAGTTGCAACGCGATCTCAGCCATCAACTCATGCTATCTCAGGGCTCACCACAGACTTCCTTCACAGATACGTGATACACACGCTCAGGCTGGCCTACTTGCGGCGCATAGATGATAGCGTTGGGCCCCGCGTCATCACTTTCCCTGCCATCAGACACGATGTAGGCTCCTCTGGCCATGCGAATGGGCGGGAACACGCATCAGCGCGCATGGGTGACTTTGATGATGCTCTGGACGCGGAAGGGAATGGTCAACTTGACGACTTTGATCATCATCCCGACTCGCACGTCATGATAGCAGGCCTATCTGACGCAAATTTCAATCCAGAGCTTCGCGCAGTCTGCTCCCCCAAGCCGCGGCCAGAGTCCTTGATCAGGCCGGGATTCATGCCCGTTCCCCCTGCAGAGATGGTCGAGACAGCCAGCAAGGGTCCGAGAGCTTCGCGCGTCGGAAACGGACTTCGCTACACGCAAACCATCTACGGACCTGGAAGAACAGGGGCGCTCGGCATGCGAGTCTCCGGAAAGCGCGCACCTTCTCTAGACAATAGCACTTCGGCGCTAGCCTCGGATCTGCGCGAGGATAGGACAACACGGTCTCGTCGCCGCAGCTCAGTCCTCGATCGTGGTGCAGAAGATGAAGCCGAAGAGCCGCTCCGAGCTGCGCTTGCCCGGCGCTCGAGCCTGAAGCCTAAAACAGATCAAAAGCCGCGCAGTCTCGAAGTGCCAGAGCTGGCTCTGCAAGCTGCTTCGGTGGAGAGCGGCAGAAGCGGTCTGTTACGCGGCGAGATCTCCACTGATCCCCCAGCTGCATCCGATCCGCGCCTCAGCAACCCATGGCGGGACTCTCAAAGCAGCTCGGAGGATCGCAGCTACAGCCACAGCTACAGCTCGGCAGGCGTACCTCTGCCAAATGTGGGCGCCACAGGTCGCTCGGATTCCGGCTTAAATACAAGAAACTTAGAGCGCAGCACTAGTGTGATCGACAGGCAGGTACGTGGAGGTGCAGGTGCCCGAGACCAGCGACTGGGTGCTCGGCGTCGAAGTGCGAGCGAGTCGGCAGGAGCACTCATGGACTCAGGGGTGGATTTGCTTCGTGGAGAGGCGATAGAAAGCGAAGATGAAGGACCAGAGTCAAGTGACGACCGCGCCAGGTGAGAGCACCGTTTGGTATGGGAAGCACATGTTGTCCGAAGCGCAAGTGCGCTGACTTGCTGCTTCTTCTTGGCATGCATGCATCCAAGCTTCAATGAGGGACTGCGTCGTGCAGAGAGCGATTCGACAGTCTTCTCACTTGCCTCCTTACCTTCGGCGCGCTCGAGACCGACTCTGGCGATTGATGCTCGGAGGACAGCGGACTCTGCTTTGAGCAGTCACTACAAATCGCGGCACATTTTCACTCCTGTCAGCGAAGTCGACGAATCCTCTCTGCGCTCAGCAGCGCCGAGGTCACGAGAGGAGCTCCCCATCATGAACGTCAGTCCCCACCATGACTTTTCATTGGACGAGACTGTGAATCGAGATGAAGAAATACGATCTTCTACGAATACCGCGGACGATCGACCGCGTGGAGTGCCACCCTCGACAGGCACCGAAGCGCACACAAATTCGGCGTCCGCGAACCTTCTCGATGATTCAGAGTCATCATACGATTATTCTCTACGCAGCTCTCTTTCTCCAAGTCCAGGTCAGCCCAGCAAGCAATCCTCACCCTCTGATACGCGCTCGGCTCAGCCAAGCACAATTGCCTCGCAGTCAAGACCGGGCCTGGCCGCATCTGCGGACGCTCAAGGCACCGCTGCGCCAACCACCTCAGCGCTTGGTCTGTATACCGGTAAAAGTACCAGCTCGCGACTTGATCCAGCACCACCTGGTGTGGGGAGCACGCAAAGACCCAGTTCCAGCATGGTCACTCCCCAACTTGACACCGCTTCGAGTCGCATACAAGCTGATGCGCGACGCCCATCTAGATCCCGCTCGCGTCTGCCACAGCAAGCCGCGATCATGACAGACTCTCCAGAGGCAACAAACGAGTATTTCAGCTCGTTAAAAACTGACGCCAAGAGTGTGCAAGCTCAACACGCAGCTCGACCGAAGGCTTCTGCTTTGTCGAGGAAGCTCAAAGCTCAATCCTCGGGCCCAGCCAACGCCTTTTCCCAAGCTTACGCTGGTGTTGGAGCTCGCAATGGAGCGTCAGCAGGTACGGTCAACATAAAAGTCTACTTCCCTTGGGCAGAAGATGAACAAACGCCAAGCGTCAGGCCGCTCAGCGATGCTTTGTCGGTTGAGCCGCGTAGTCGCAGCATGGTTCTCTGCCTTCGCCGCGATGCTGTCATGGAAGAGGTCGTGGGCTACGCAATGATGTGCTACGTCGATGAGGGCTGGGAGCCTCGCCTGGACGATGGAGATCCGGACGAGGACGAAGAAGCTCTCGAGATGCGACTGAGTACGATCGGCTGGGCACTCCGCATGGTCGAGGACGGCGAGGTGGATGATGATTTCCCAGCCGTCGATCGAGGCTTAGTCGTTGGCAAATTTGGCGCCGACGAACTTGCAATTTGCGAAGCCACGCCCGCACAAGGTATGTGCTGAACGAACACGACTGTGCAGCTCCTGCATGCGACGCTCACCGCTCTTTTGTCACGTCAGTCAAGCAACATCTAGCTACTCAGACTCCTGCCCAAAAAGCGGCGCGAGCCGCTGGGCGTCCAGGCATCCCCACACCACCACCACCTCCTCCTCAAAGCACACAAGGCGATCGACTCGCAGCACCTGCACGCTCGCTCGCACCTGGAGCTGTCACAAGTGCAAGGCTTGCCGCAATGGGAGCCAATGTACCAGCCGGTTCGCTGCTAGACGTCGCAGGGACGCCCATCTTTGCATCCTCTGCCCTGTCCAGAAGCGCATTGGGACCATCGAGCGCTAGCATATTCCTTCGGGTGGCCATCACCCCTAATGATCAGGTACGATACAAGACAACGCTTCAGGTTCCATCTGACATGTACCTCGCCGATGTTCTCGAGACCATCTGTCGCAAGAGACATCTCGCGAGTCCCGACGAGTGGGCGCTTGTGGTCCCAGATAAGGACATCGTCGCGCCTCTGGACCGTACGGTGGAGAGTTTGCGAGGAAATCATGATCTTGCCTTGGTTCGACGCTCCACTCTTGGAGCTCAGGGTGGCTTTGGCGCGCTAACAGGATCCAGCACCAATCCGAATGGTAAGCGATGAGAAGGTCATTCTAGAGGGAATGCGCAAGCTCATCCTCTGGCTTGCTCAATGCACAGCTTCTATCTTTAAACGACTTTCGGAGCCTGTGCAGCCACGCTACAACAAAGCTAAGGATTTGGCTGCCACCTACAAGGTGAGTTGTGCCGCTCAAAAGACTACTTATCGTTTTGCTCACTACGCGCGCCATGCTGTGCTCGCCCTCTCAGACCTTCACAGTCAACCGCAAGATGCCTATGTTTGTTGGTCGCCACGAGAGAACGCTCACCTTGGACGGGGACTGGGTCCATATCATGTGCGTTGCACTTGACAAATTATTAGCGTGCAGCGAACTCTGACACGCGCTTGCTTCTTGCACCAGTCCGACGGATTCTCGGGCATTTCATGCTCATGCTGCCAGGTGAGTTGCTGAACCAAGTCTGAGAGCGTACATTCGGCAGCTGAACTCGGGACTCTTTTGCTATTTGCGCAAAGCTTCCCGATCACATCGGTCGTCAGCTGTGCCCAATCGACCAAGCTCCCTTCGGGTTTCAAACTTGTTGTCGCCCGCGAGACGCTGCGGGACACCAAGCGCTACGACTTTGAATGCGCGAGCGCACGCGAAGCCGGTCAGTGTCTTGCTTACTCGGCTGGTCGATTCATCTTCTAACGCTGACTTGCCTCTCGCTCGTTCCAATCTAGCCGAAATTGTCGGAGAGGTCAATTTGCGCATACGTCGTTGAGCGGGTACTCAGATCGTCTTTACGAGCGCACCCGCTTGTGTTCATCTGTATTTGTAAGACTTGCTCAAGTTCTCCTCGAAATTACTCGGTACACCGCTGATTCGAGAAGAGGATGATGAGGCGAGTTGTGCTGCCTGAAGCGTGCTGATCCCTTGATGGCGCGAAGCGTAAGGGCGAGCAGGGTCGCCTACGGATATCGACCCATGAGCGCTGGACGACTCGCAGCGCTACCTGCCTTGAAGATGTGAAGCCGCTAACGCCTTCTCATGAGCGTCAGCTCCCCTTGCCTTCGCGAAGCGTCGTCGAGGAGCATGCAGCAAGGCTCACCATCAGGCATGCTCGTATAGAGCCGCAAGCCCGAGTTGACGGGCAATTTTGCCGCACCGCGACAGAAAGTGGAGGTGATGCTTGTCACGTGCATGGCTGCATGCCATGCATGCAGCCGTACGGTACCGCCACGGTTATCAGCGGCGCGGCAGCGTTGTGGATGTGATGCAGGGTGCATGCAAATGCAACCAGCATCAGAGGCTGCCCACGACGCCAATTTGAATGCTAGCTGCTGCTGATATATGGGTGGGCTGTGGTGGGAATCGACCGGTGAGCCCGCTGCTCATGTGCCGCTACGCTCACAACTCTGACTGTACGTAGGGTTGCACATCGTGAGGTAGGGTGATGTCAGATCAGCTCTAGACTCTCGACTTGCTCGCTCAGAACCACAAACCGACAGTCTGGTGATTTTTTTGAAGAATCGTGAATCGATACACACTCGACTTGGCTATACATGTTCTAGCTGTCCTTCCCGACGGAGTGGAGCCAGCAGTAAGCATCACATCCCCTCTCTCGCCCCCCAGTCACGAATATCATCACATTCCCACCGGACCGTCTGCATCTGAGACAAAACAAGTCACACCAATCAACGGCGCCTGCGCTACGGCCCCAGTCGGCTGCTTGGGCTTGCACAGACAGCGTCGCCTTATCCCAAGTGAGCCATCCCTTTCCAATACCTGACCTTCAGCTTCACAAGATCAGCCTTCCGTCGACTTGAAGTGTTCTCGACCTCAATCGTTCATATCACTTCGTCTTCTCGCTTCATGGTCATCGATCACTAGATATGATCGTCACATCCGCCAGACGCTGAGATGTCAGATCAGAGCTTTGCCTTTCACCTCGCGCCAGAGCGGGCGTCTGGTTCAGCCTCGCCACTCATGCGGGACTACGCCTCGCCCATCAGCTTGGGCGAAGGCACGGCAGAGCATCCCTTCGAGCTTGCGTCCTCACCAGCACCACGAGCCGATATGCCACCGCGCCGAGACCTTGGATCGCTCTCTGGTAACCGCTCGCATAGCGATGGTGCTTCACCATCAGGCTCTGACACCGTCTACTTCTCCTTCGAGGATTCGCCGCCTAGACCCCTACAGACTGCTTCTCGCTTTTCACAACGCCATGTCACGCCAGATCTGACACAGACATGGCTTACAGGCTCAACAAGCTCTCGCGTCAATCTCGACTTGCCTTCGCGTCACCAGCCAGTAGATCTCTCGTCTAGCTTCACTGGATCTTCGAGTGGTGTCGGCAGAGGTGTTGCAGGCCCTAGACGCCGACACCTCCGCGGCTCTGCCGTAGGAGGAAGTCCCACTGCGCTCTCAGATGCGAATTTGCTGGATCAGGATAGAGCCGACATCTTCTCTCAGCTTGACACAGCGCCGAGCAGGAACACTCGGCAGAACCCTGATTCTCTGGTATCGTCATTCAGGCCAAGATCGAGGGTCTTGAGTGGCCGATTTAATCCCATGGACATCGAACAGCTCAACAATGTCTCATCTCTCGCGGCTCCGTTGGCCCCTTTGGCTGGAACGACCTCAAGCAGCTCGATCAGAGCCAAGCGCAACATCGACCGCGTCGGAACGTCGCCGGATTTGGCTTCCTTTGATGCACCTGCCTTGCGCAGCGGTGCCCTCGGCGCGACCTCCGACTCCCTGCAATCTTGGCCAAGTTCTCAAAGGAGCGGTGCTCGGCGAGAAATCGACGACTTTGTCGACGCCTCTTGGTCGACGACATCTTCCTCGAGCTCGGCCTTGGCTGCTCCATCAGGCAATGCCCACAAGCGCTTGCGCCGTCGTGCACGCAACGCCAGTCCTCCTGCAAGCGATAGCATGGTCACTGAATCCAGTCCACGCTCTCAGCCAGCTTCAAGAAGATACGACATTACGTCGCGCAATTCGGTCAGGGCTGAAAGTCGCGAACCGTACGTCTTCGAATCTTTGTTTCCTCCTGCCTTAGGGCCTCCTTCCAGCTTGTCAGAAGAGACTCCTGCTGTTGTTTCGGCCCCATCCGATAGGGCTATGGCTACTCTGCCCGTGTGGAATGAGCTTTGGTCCACGTATCGAGAGCCGAGACGCATGCGGTCTTCGTCGTCGATACTCTCCATCCAGGCTATCAGAGACAGAGCCACCAGCTCTGCTGTTGCTGGCTCAACCCATCCTCATTCAGGTAGCAGCGCAAGGCTGACTCGCCGCCGTTCCCAAGAAGACAGCATGGATGTGGATGGTCTGGACTTGCTCAGCAGCAGCTCATCGGACCTCTTGGCGATGATTGGAGAGCGGGCTTCAGCCAATGTGAGCCAGTCGACTACGACGTTCGACTCCGACTCACTGATGGACGATGTGCCTCTGGCCTCGACGCGCTCATCTCACGCGTCGTACGAGGATTCTCTTGCTCATGGGTCACCTAACGTTGCGGAACCCGACACTTCGGAAGGGCCAATTTTACCCCTTTCCTCGCGTTACCCTCAGCTTCTTTCGCCTTCTGGCTCGAACGGCTCCACAAGCACTTCCAGTCAACGTGACCTCGCCTTTGGCACAAGTACGAGTGTCTCGCCACGCGACAATGACAATCGTTCGTTCGACGCTCGCCGTCGACTGGCACTCCGTCAAGCGGCAGCCGTTGCGCCTCGCATCGATTCTGATCCACCCCCGCTTAGCGCCTCTTCGCAAATGTTCAGATCGAACTTCCATCGCGCTTTTGACCCCGTCGGCACAGCTCGACAGCGGTTTCAAACTTCAGCCGCGTCGCGGCGCAACGCACTACTTTCATCAGGTCGCTTCGCGTCGTACGACTCCGACGACGTGGATATGCTGGCTCTCTCGAGCGATGCACTTCCATCTGCTCGAGCTTACGCCTCTTCACATGCGTCTTCAGAGCGGCCACGAGGTTCGCCAAGCGAGGCGGCAACGATGAGGCAAGGAGTTAGTGATGGGGTCACGTCTCTTTCTCAGCGGATCGCGTCTTTACAAGATGCGATCTCCGAAAGTCAAGGAGTCTTGTCCGACCAGCGGCAGCGCAACGCGGACCTCCTATCGAGCTTGGATGATGGATCTTCGGACATGGACATGACGGGAAGCGCCAGCTCTGGGCCAGTCGATTCCCTTGCGAGCCTGAGCACCTCGAGCGGAGTGACATCCCCTAGCAGGACAGGCGATGCACTCGACGCCAATGATGCGGGCGAGTTTGCGACAATGCTGTCGCGCTTGCGCTCGACTTGGGAGCGCGCTCGCGACCTCGTCGGTGCGGGGGTCACTTCCACCACACCAGGCGACTCGAGTGTCTCCGATGACGCTCTCAGTGATGCAAGCTCAGCTCGGAGAGTAAGACGCGGTATGTCGGTGGCCAGCCGCGTCCGACCAGCCGCTTCTTCCAGCATCTTTAGCCCGACTGACTCGGTCAGCAGGGATGGGATGGCGGCCGACAGAGCTCGATTTGATCTATGGTCGGAAGTCAGAAGCGTGACCGAGCGAACTAGCCGTGTGCCTCACCTAGCAGGTCTGGATTCAGTGGGTCTCACCGACCTAGGATCGAGTTCCGCTGCAACCAACGGCACTCAAGACGCGTTCAACGCCACGACCGCGCCGCCCGTGGCTGCTTCGCGAGAGCTCGCACTGTCGGCTGATCCAGACTTGAGCACATCGAGCGCTTGGACGTCAGGCCCTGATCGTTCGACCAGCCAGCTTCGTCGAACGAGCACGCTTGACATTAGTGGACGCCTTCGCGGACCTACTGCTCGCCAGAATCGTGCATGGCTGGCTAGCGAACGGAGCGTTGCGCGAGGGAGCAGCGTCGCCGAAAGTTCCGCGCCACCTATCGACTTCCTTTCTGTCGCCTCGCGTCGCCGATCTGAACTCGAGGCTCGATATTCAGAACACCTTGGCAGACTTGCGTCATCAGCCGTAAGTCAAGTGCCCCTCTCGATCCTTGTCCTTGCGGAAAGACTGACGCTCACTCACATGGTCAAACAGAGCCGTGAGAGCCCTACGCCAAGTGCTGCTACGATGAGCTCTAGCTTGCTCGTGCCCTTTGATCAGCAGCGGCGAGTTACAGGAACTAGTATTGACGCGGCCCGGGCCTCGTTGCCATCCGCAGACCGCGGCGGCACTTGGCCAAGCCGAGACAATAGCTCCAGATCTCAGCAGACGTCATCAGCTACGCGGGTCCCGCTCGAAGTAATTGACTTGACTGGGCCGGAGCACGACGACGACATCACTGGCGGGCAGTCGCCGAGGATCGGACGCTGGGCTGCAGGCTCTCGCGAGGCAAGGCAAGCGCGTTACGAGCAGCTGCGAGCCAACCTCAGAAGAGACTCTACCAGAGTCTTGGAACGCGACTACACGTCGCCCGCATCTGCTGCTGCCCGACCTTCAGAAAGCGGTGGCGTTTCACCAACCCGGCCATCCTTCGCGAATCTCTACTCGCCTAACCAAGAATTCGATACGATCTTCCCAAACTTCATCTCACCTGCAAGCGACGCAGCTGGCACGCTTCAGTCCACTGACTACGGCGTGTCTGCGCCTAGGATTCCACGGCGCGAACGACTCCGCGATGCTCTGGAACGATCGAGCGGCGCGCGTAGCGGTACACTACGAGGAGTGCAGGCGTCCGCTCCTACAACGCGCGTTCCAGCCTCCTCGACGGGACGTACTCGTCTGCGGCATGGAGACCTCCTCTCCGCTGTATATATCCCCGTCCAGAACGATAGTGCGGCCACTAGTGCCTGGCACTTTCTCGCTCCTACCGATGCAGCAGAAGCCCGTCGCGCAGCGGAGCGTGAGCGAGACCTTTCATCTACGCTTACGTCCGGAGGACTCACAGCTCTCAATCATTCGCGGCCGAGGCAAGACCACCTCCTCTCCGCTGAGAATATCCCCATCCGACCTCAGCGCGACGATGGTGCGGCTACTGATGCCTTGCAAGCGATCCTCGCTTTCCAGGATGCAGCAGAAGCCCGTCTCCCAACGGAGCGTGCGCAAGACCGTTCATCTGCGGTTACTTCCGGAGGCCTTACAGCTCTCCATCACTCGCAGCCCAGCTCGACGACTGATGCACGCAACTCCATTGATCGGACCGCATTCGGAGGACGCGCAGCAGATCCACTCTCGTCTAGACTGCTCCACCCTCTGCCGTCGTCCAGAGCACATCATCCCGAGCGTCACGAACCGACAGCAGACCCGTCAGAACGTGTCGTGGCGAGATGGCGTCGTGAAGCTGCCGATGCAAGACGAGCCGCACTCAGCTCTACAGAGAACGGCACTGGATCCAACTATCATGCGGCGCGAGCGAGCGAGCTCAGAAGTAGGTTCCAGAGCACGTTGAGGGCCGGACAGAGCGGTGCAGGAGGAAGGACTGGCGACAACGACACCTCATCTAGCATCAACAGTCATCTCGTAAGTCTTTCGAACACAGCATTCGCCAGACCGCAAACGCTTACAGTCATCCCGTCTTGCAGGCGCAGATGGAATTTGATCTCCGTGCTCATTGGCGTTTGAGAGACGAAATACTCGGCATCTCATCCAATCGCACGCCATCCAGCGTCATTGATAGTCTACCAACTTGTGTCTTTGCAATCTGGCAAGGCGGCTCATGTGTCACGCCGAAGCTGGAGGCATTGCCTGTCACAGGCGAGGGCAAGGGCAAAAATCGAGCAGGTCCTGAGAGCGATCGTCTCCGTCTAGAAGCCCTTGCAGCAGCAGCTTCGAGAGAGCCACGTTGTCCCATCTGCCTGGACGAGTACGAAGCCGACACGATGCTCATGAGCGCGCCTTGCAACCACGCCTTCCACAAAGGTGCGTCTGCCGAGTCCACAGCTTGCAACAACCAATTGCTGATGCTGACAAGCTTGAGCTCGTTTGAAATCGCAAACAACAGACTGCCTTAAGACCTGGTTGTCTACGCGTCGCACGTGCCCCATGTGCCGCTATGATGTGGGAGCACATGGCAGTCGCAACATTGTACGCCGACCCAGACGGAGCGAACCTCAAGACGCAGCAAACACTGCAGCCTCGCTCCTACAAGAGCCTAACCAGTGAGCTCTCAGTCATCGATCAAGCTACGATCCGCTCGCATCGTCTTCACGGTGACTTGTCGAGCCTAGGTTTTCAACGATGCCGCTGCTCGACACGCTTTCGACACACCGGTCCTCCCCGCCCTTCTCACGATTGTTATCACGAGACTTCTGACATTGATCATGCACAATCCTGCACGCGCACACACATTTTCAAGGCTGGCTTCTTCAACAATACTCTACTCTCACCACAGCCAATGACATTCGCCATCATATATCGCTACGATGACTTCCCTCCAGACACCATCGAATGGGTGTCACTTCACTCCGCGTTTGCTCGTCCATCTTGCCTCTTATGCACACATCTCCATCATTCTTACCAAGAATTGTGATCCACTTGTGCGGATTTGGGCATCACATGACCCTTTGGTGAGGTCTGTGCGGACGTTGACGTCGACATTAATGAGCCTAGCGATTTAGAGGAACACATGAAACATGGTTGGCCGGCGCAAAAGTTCTCGTACGATAAGATCTTTGCGCGAAATCGAATGTTTTGATGACCAACGTCTGTACGCTGGTGGGCCATGCGCCATGAGGCAGCCATGCTGCATGCGCGTGCTGATGGCATGCCGCATCTTCTTGAAAAGCCGCGGATGGCCGGTGCAGTGCGTGCTGTGGAGAGAACAGCCGCGTATGTTGCGTATATGCTGATTCATGTGAGTGCCCAGAGCGTCGTGGAGCAGCATGGAGAAATGAGCTCTCTCGTATAGGTGAACGTGTTGGCGCACTTGACTCTGACTCAATACCTGGTTCGAGTGCCTACTCGACTGCTCCCATATTGCCGTCCATCACCAACGCATCTTCCTCCCGCACTTTCTAAGCGAAGCATCGTCAAAATCTGGATCTGAGACTCTTCCGCCTCTCACGAGTCGCTCCTCTTGAACAGTGGCCATCGAGATGGTGCTGTCTCCATCTGTTGGCACTTCGGCGGCTACGCGCCTGGCTTTCAGGCAAGGCATCAGCGCTCCTTGCCGAGGCGCAACCGTGCCACGCCTCGCGAGCTCATCGCTGACACACGACTCTGTGGCGCTTGCAAGACGGCTAAGTGCGCGCGGCATCTCTTCGAAGACTAGCGCTAGTGCAGTCACCGCAGCCGCTGCTCCCGCTTCAAGTGTCGCGGCTTGCAGTCGAAGCTTGGCAACGGTGGCCTCATCAAACACCGGCAGCAAGCCTCCCACTGCGGTCTTGCTGATGAACATGGGTGGTCCATCGACACTGAACGAAGTGGGCGACTTTTTGTCCCGCCTATTCCACGATCGTGAACTTATCCAACTTCCCTTTCAATCGAGACTGGCGCCGCTCATCGCAGCTCGCAGGACGCCCAAGATTAAGGATCAGTATGCAAAGATTGGTGGAGGATCTCCAATCTTGAGATGGACCAGAACCCAGGGAGACGCCATGGCGACCATGCTGGACGAGCTGCACCCCGCCACTGCCCCTCACAAGGCTTACATCGCTTTCAGGTACGCCAGACCTCTGACGGAGGAAGCACTGGATGAGATGGCCAAGGATGGCGTCACGAGAGCCGTCGCTTTCACTCAGTATCCTCAATATTCCTGCTCTACCACCGGCTCCAACCTCAACGAGCTGTACAGAGAAATCCAGCGCAGGAGAAAGGAAGGCAGACCCGAAGCTGATATCAGGTGGAGCGTCATTGACCGATGGCCCACGCACGAAGGGCTCGTCGAGGTGAGTGACGCCACAGCAGCCGCAAACTCGCGCCATCGCGCTGATTTTGCTCTACATTTTGGGATTTTCAGGCTTTCACTCAAAGGTTGAGGGACACCCTAGAGACCTACCCAGCCGAGATCCGCCAAACGGTGCCGATCATGTTCTCTGCGCACTCGCTGCCCATGCAGATCGTTTCAGGAAGGGGCGATCCCTACCCAGCAGAAGTAGCAGCCACAGTCGCAGCAGTCATGGCGCGTCTTGGTTGGTCAAACCCTTACAGGGTTACTTGGCAGTCGCAAGTTGGCCCAAGCGCCTGGCTTGGACCTCAGACCAGCGATACTGTCAAGGGATGGGCGAAGCAGGGTCACAAGCATGCTGTGGCTGTGCCTATCGCATTTACCCAGGATCACATCGAGACTCTCTACGAGCTCGACATTGAGCTGGTGGAGGAAGCGGAAGAGGTGAGACAAGCATTCGAGATGTTCCTGGGCATCTGCTAAGACATCTCCCCACGTTCGGGTGCTGACGCCTCGGCAAACGCTTTGCCTTTCCATTCTGCCAGCACGGCATGCAACTCAAGCGAGTCGAGTCGCTCAACGATCACCCGCTCTTCTTGCGGGCATTGGCGGACATTGCAGCAGCTCACCTGCAATCCGTCGAGGGTACCAAGGCGACCTCCGAGACTTCCTCGGTCGCTGTACACCCCTTCGCGCAGGGCAATTGCAGTACTCAGATGGGTCTGCGTTGCCCTGGGTGCACCAATGCAGTGTGTGGTGAACAGAAGGCCTTCTTCAAGAGTGGTGGTGCACCACTCGATGCTGCTGCTTGATAACGTCCTGCCCATATGCCCAGCCCGCGACTTCTGACGTTTCCTGCAAATCGGTCATTTGAGCAATACAAACTTTGCAAACTCGGCCTCAGGATACGTGTGTATGATACAGTGTGATGCATTCAGGCTCTCCTTTGCCCCACCAGCTCACTCAAGCCCTGAGCAACATGCTCTACGGCTTTGCGAACCCTTTGCTTGTCTCCCTCCACCACTCTGCGAAAAACGTGGTGCGAAAAGAAGCGATCGGGATGATAGCGTCGCAATGCCGTCCTCAAGCGAGCATTGGCGACCTCGCTGCCAGGCGTGGCGTCTGCATCACCCATCGACGCGCGGCTCCTCTGCTCATCCGACACTTGCTTGGCCTGCCTGCGATCAGCAGGGGTGATTTCGAGCAGGAAACGCCTCAAGCTGTCGGGTCCCAGGTCCAGTGGATGCCCGAGCTCTCTGGTCGCAGGCCAAGGAATGTCTTGGTACCTCAGATCCTGCATGAGCGTTCCGTCGGGTTCTTTCGGAACCGAAGAACTCAAGTCGGACCAGGCCTTCTCCCAACGAGTCCTCGCTTCGTCCAGCTCGACACCTTGCCTCTTCGACGCGGCTTCGATCCTCTCTCGCACTCGCGCAGATTTGGCTGCATCTTGCTCCGCTTTTCTCTTCTTCGCTTTCTCAGCAGCCGCCTCCTGGGCAGCAACATCCGCAGCATGTGCTCGACGCCACATACCGTCTGGAATGGTGTCGCCGAATGCATGTGGAGTGGGATGAGCATGGAGAACGTGTATTAAGCATAAAAACCTGATATCAGCTCAGCTCACCTCTGATGTACTCTGCATACTCCTCGTCGTCCATCAGATCCGTGCGAACCTGCTGCTGACCTTTGGCAGCATCTCTCCATCGTTTAGGAATGTGAACGTCGTCATCCTCCATCGGTCCACTCTTTGCGCTCTCCTCTTCGCCTCTCATTCGCCTAATTTCTTCTTCCCAAGCGGCATCCTCGGACCAATTTGATCCGCCCATCCCTCCCCTCGAAGCGCTCCCAAAATCGTCCCAACCTCCTGCAAGATCATCATGCAAGAGGGAGCTCAGCTTGCTCGCCCACGCCTTTTTCTCCTTCTCTGCCTTTTCGGCACGCTCGGCTGCGAAAAGGTCATTCGGGTCTAGGCCGTACCGCGCCGTACTTGGCAAGTGGGAGAACCTTCTACTTGACCTGGTTGGGACAGCCACGTCATCCTCTGGCGGCGAAATGGATGGTGAGCGACCATGAGATCGATCCGAACGTCGCCGATTCCGTCTCTTTTCCTTCTTTTGCTCATATCGAGCTTCCTTACGCTCTCGTCTCTCGCGCCGCCTTCTCCTTCGATCTCGCCTTTCTTGCTGGTCATAGGAGCTATCGAATGTTGATTTTGATTGGCACGACTTATCTTGATTCAGAGGGTCTTGGCGCCTCTCACGCTTTTGAGAGTGGCGGCCCGACTCCACCACAGATTCGGCACTCTGTGATCGTCGCGAGCCATTGTGGCGCGGAGAGCTGGTGCAATGGGTGTCTGACCACTTGCCATGCTCGCTTCTTGAAGGTACTGATTGAGTGGGCGCTGAGTGAAAGTCTCTAAATTCTTCGTCTGCTGTTACGTCTCTCGATCGAGAGCCAGATCCATCTGGAGCTGATCCGAAATGAGACGCAGCGCTGTGGCCCTGCTGGCTCTCATCCGGAATGGCGCCAAAAACCTTGTCGAACACATCGCCGCCTTTATCAGCCATGTCTCACAGAACTATGGAACGAATTGGGCGTGCAATGACGTGGGTTGCAGAAGAGGCGTGCTGACTAGAGCACCGCGGCCGGATGGAGCTCTCGGCATCTGATCCAGAGGCCTCCCACGTTTGAGCTGCCGCCTCACTGCACGTGGGGCAACTGGAGACAGCGCCGAGCCATTGCAGGTTTTTCAAAGTCGCAGCTCAAAGGCGGGGCAAATACAGCTTCTCACACACATCGTCGGAAAGACGAGATACGGGTATGCTGTGGGGTGATGGTGTTCTTGACTCTTGCAAACAAGTCGAGCGCGTCATGCATGCGATGGATTCACCCGCGCCTCCGTTTCCATGCGGAGGCCTCTCTCTGCTCCCTCAGACACCGGCGTGTGCGCGCAGTAACTCGTGCTTGACTCAGACTGGTGCAGTCAGCGTGAGCAGTGCGAGTCACGAGGGTAAGCACCACCACCGCTTCCGCGTCTCTGCGGAATGTCGACTTGAATGTCACAATCACGAAGCGGGCTCGCAGCATCTCACCGCTAGATTCAAGTCACACCATGACGAGCTGAGACATGCGATCAGATCCCCGAAGCATGCGCAGAATGTTGCCACGGATGGCAGGCAGGCCGGATGTCAAATGCGCCAAACTTTCAAGAACGCCGCCCGTTCGATTTTGGGCCCACATTGATGGCTCACTGTCTTTCACGCAGCACAATGAAGCCAGCGGAACAGCGCGACGGCACTCCGTATGGCTCTCAAATGCGATACAATCATCAGCGCCCATCAGCAATCGCCTCGACCCTATACACAGGATGCACTCGCCACCACGGTGAACAGCTGAGGCGGCGTGGTGCCTGGCTGTGCCCGTGTACCTTGTCGTTACGGCCCCTTCGATGCATGCGCTCAACTCCTTAAGGGATATCCGACATTGCCACCACACTGAATCTTGCCACCCGGACACGCTTGGCGGCATTCTGGTGATTGCACGCGTTCCGCACCGATCGAGGTGTACCGTACATGGGGCATACTTGCTGACATAAAACTGAGGCCACAGGTCGCCCCTGGAAGATGCATCAACTCCAACCGCTTTTGAAGCCTCTTGGAGCATTAGGCTTACTGCCCAAGCGGGTTATCGTCGGTGCGGGCCTGAGAACATGAAGCTCTGCACTGTTCTACTCCCCGTTGCTGTGTTGTGGTGAGTACGGTGCAGTGCACAGAGACGGGACCCAGCTGACCAAACGTCGCCGCACGATCAACCTGATGTTAGCAGCCTCGCCTCGTTGAGCCATTTTGCGTATGCGTCGCCGCCTCTCGCCGCAAAATGGCAGAATGTTGCCGACGCATTAGCCATTCCGCAGGAGCGTGGGAAAGTGTTGGCTCGCTCGCACTCCCCCTCTACTACACCTCCCGTACTTGAGAAGCGCTGCGAAGCGGCAAGGGCTGCCATCGCACAATGTCTTGCCAGCGCCAAAGAGAAGGCAAAGAGGCTCTTATTTGGAGAGCCTGATCCCTACCACGGACTTGATTTCGCGATATCGTATCGTCATCCGAACGATTGGTACACCGACGGCGAAAGGCGGGCTCACGTGATCATGAATATGAAGGACAATGGAGTCAGGAATGGACAAGGAGGCAGACGTCGATTGCGCAACCCGATCAGTGTTGAACCGCTGTCGGCACAGGCCAGATGGACAGCGAATCGAGTCAAATGGCAAGCCGAAGATCCACTAGAAGAACCTGATCCGCAGCTGATGCGTCAAGAGCTAGGAGATTGGTTCTTGCCTCCCGGCGGACATCACGCACACATCGAACGCAGGGGTTTGGTGCGAGCTGCACCCCGCGTCGTTCTCGAAAAGCGCTGCGACCCTGCGACGGCTGCCATAGGCTGCCTGATCAAGGTTAAAGAAGCTGCCCAAAGGCTTTTGAGGCTCGGGCAGCGACAGCCTAACCCCTATCAAGGCCTGGAACATGCAGCATCGTGGCGTCACCCCAACGAATGGTACCTCGACGGTCAAAGAAGAGCGCACGTCCTCGTTAAATTGAAAGACAATGGCGTCCGCAATGGGCAGGAAGGTCAACCTGGACTGCGAAGACCCATATCGCTCGAGCCTATCGGCGACGAAGATAGGACTGTGCTCACCAAGGTCAAATGGAAGCCTGAAGATCCACTCGCTCAGCCGGATATTCAGCTAATGCAACAAGAGCTGAGGCAGTTCGCGCTGCTGAGGCAGAGGAGCGTGACCGGTGCTGCGTCTTCGGCCATCGAGCGACGATGTATTCAGGGTGCTCTGGGTCGCTGCACGCAATATGTCCAAAAGCTTTTGGGTCTCTCGAACGATACAAGAGATGCTGTGCGAGCAGCCGAGCTGCGCGCCCAGGTACTGCCAAATGAGGACGCGGGACACGGCGGGGCCCGACGGTCTGCAGAAAGAACTGGTCCTGTGCGAACATGGCGCTCAATCTGGTTCGAACATCCCAGATGGATGTACGCTAGCGATCGTAGGGGCGAAGCTACTGTCTTCATCCGGACCAAGGACAACGGCAGACGCAATGGCGAGGATGGGGCGCGAAGCAAACGACATCCGATCGCTATCGATGGCGACATCTACAAGTCAAGGCTGAACCGAGCGGGCCTCAAATGGACTTTTGAAAGGCCCCAACAGCATCAGCACCAAGAAAGAAGAGACGGCGCTGGTTCCTCAGGCCCTGTGCTCCACAAACGCTGCGTTCTCACGGCATTGCGTCAGTGTCTTCGCTACGTCTTCGACTCGAGAGTGAACGAAGAGCGCTCGGGTGCGAGGCTTCCCTTGCTTGGTGGAGGTTCCCGGCGCGATCCCACACGCACTCCAGACGTGTACAAAGGATTCGCAGTGGCGCATGTCATGCCCAACTTGCCCGAAAGCTCCACCACTCGAAGTATCGACATCTGGGTCGGTGCAGAAGGCAATGAGGTACGTAACGGTGATAGATCTGCGCGCAAGCGCAATCCCATCGCTGTAGATCGCACAACCTTGGGTTCAAGGCTGGCTCGCACGAAAGTGCGTTGGGAGATTCAAAGGGTGCCACCACCTCAATTGCAGAATCCTAGCAATGTGCAACATACGATTCGTCGCAGGGATGTCTTGCAGGGTGGCAAGACGATGAAGAGAGCGCCAGGAATCGGAGATGACGCCGTTCTCGTCAAACGCGGCGGCACGGCCAATCATGCCCGGTCCAGAGGGCGCAGCTCATCGTTGACGAAGCGATGCTTCCGCGTCGCTTTCGAGAGCTGTAAAGATGCCGTTTCAGAGGTGCTCTTTGGTCCAAGCGTAGAGAAGCAGATCGCAGCTCTGACGAGAGCTCCCGTGTCGCAGTGAGTTGCCCGGTAGGCAGAGGGCGTGGTCATCGTGCTGTCCCGCCTGCATGAAGAGACTCACAAGGCTCCATTGCAACCCAGAAAGAACAAGGATCGAGCCCGTTCGGATCAAGTCCAAATCTGAGAGGCTCAAAGAAGACCTCGCGCGCCCGTCGATCCGGGCGAGACGTTATTGGAGCAACAAGAGCCTCGAGAGAGCGAACTTCGGCAAAGGTTTGGGCGACTCGGTTCAAAAGGGGAGGATCAAGCCCTACGAAGAATTAGTCATTCGACTGCCGAGGGAGGCGCACGAAGATCTCTTCAAGGCAAAGAGGGGCAAGGACGAAGTCACCGTCCGGCGCTGATCCGTCTCGCGTGTATGCCTACTTTTGCAATTCGACGCGCATGGGCGCAGGCGCATCTAGTGGGTCATCAAAGTCATGATAGCACAATGGCATTGCTTTCCCGTTATCGTGATAGTAAATTGTAGCAAGAGGGTTCTGACACCGGTGCCGAGCTGAAGCTAAGCGTGTATGCTGAATGTGGGCAGTCGCGAGGCAGTCCACATGGGTGGAGGTCGGAGATGGTGGCTATAAGGGTACATAGGGCAACAGCATATAAAAAGGGCAAAAAGACCGCGACGAAGAACACAATCCAGTGACCGAGTGAAGTAGCATTGCGCATGCGTGTCCAGGGCAAGGTGATGAGGAGCGAGAGCGTAGACAAGGAGAGATGGATGCTGCAAGGCAGTGCGCGTGGTCTCGACGAGGTGGCAGAGTTAGATGAGGCAAATGCAGCTGCCGTTACGACGACATGGAGTCCGTGCAGCTTAGACGCGCTTGTTCGTGCTCCTGTCCGTGTATGTAATTGACATACTAATGTTGATGGTCATGTGTCAGCATTGCTGGGAAAAAGGTGCATGGTGATCTGCAAATTGTGTGGCAATGCGACTCACGTCAACGATAAAGGCCACTTGCTCGGCCGTCTCGATAGCCTTGGGACTGCGCCTTCTGCGAATCGTCTCTATAAGGCGCTCCACCGTCGAGATCAGCCGTTCAGCGTCGGATTCGGTCGAGTCTGCCGATGCCTCGTTTGCAGCTCGTGCCGGTCCCGTTGCGAGAGCTTCGCACTTTGAGCCAACAAGGCCTAGCTTGTACATCCAAGTGCACGCGATCAAGCCAGCTCGGCCAACACCACCTCGGCAGTGGACCAGGACATGCACGCCTTTGAGCGTGTAGTCCGAGACGATGGATGTCATCGCTGCGTCGATCGTCTTGGCACACGTTGGAGCAAAGCCCTCTGCCATGGGCAGACGAACCACGTCCATGCCCAACTGATCAGCTTCTCGCTCGTACTCCTCCCAAGGCGCTCCGAGGAAAGCGAGCTCGGTGTCATCTAGACAGCAAATGACCACGCCTACACCGAGTCCTCGAATGCGCTTCAGGTCCAGTCCGAGGTCTCGACAAATGGCGCCTCTGCCACGCACAGGGCCCGTTAGACGCACTTTCTTTCCCGGACAAGAAGACAAAAGCATGTTGCCCATGGAAGGTCGATGTGCTTCTTCTTCAGTGGACCGTCCCTTTGCCTCAGCTTGGCCTTCAGCCCTTGCCTGCGCTTGCACATCTTCCGGTAAAGCGGCGCTATGCGCCGGGGCGACTGCTCCGCTCGCTTGGAGCGTAGCATCGCCGGCTGCTGATTCGACGGCATTCGTGCCGTTCGCGGTTGCGCTGATCGATGGACGAGATGGCTGAGACGCCTCATATGCCTTCTTCGCGGCCTCGATTGTCTCCTTCTCCACCGTCTTGCCCACTTGCACCATGTCCAAGCTGGGCGGTAATCGCAGCAACTTCTCGCCGCGCGCTTGCCGAGACACGTGAACGTCGCGAGCATCGACCGACGGCGTTGGCACTTCGTGCAAAGCTCCACCGCCAGCATGGGGGCTGCAATGTCCCGCCTCCAAAGTTTTCTGGCGCTCTTCTGGCGTTTTGAAAGCGGCATCTACACACGTGGGCAAGATGTTGAGGACGATTTGCGAAATCTCTGCCAGCATGTCAGGCGGTATGATTGGGCTGATGCTGTAGGGCAAAAGATGTGCGAGTCAGAATCTGTAACGATTGTAGTCAAAGCCGCGCCGCAAACGTACGTGATGGGATGTGTGTCGCTAGTCTTCATTGCCAGAGCTTGCTGCGCTTCCTGCGACATGGATGCTACCGTGACACCAGTGGGGCGTGTTGCATCCGTGACGCTGCTCACGGCGCCATTCTCTCCGCGTCGCTGCTCGCTCTCTTGTGTCAGTAACACTTCGCATGCGAGAGGTCCAGCTACGGCAACTTGGCTGCCTGCACGAGCTTCAGGAGGTGTGTGTGCCTGGCTGTTGGATCCTTCGCCTATCTGCAATCCGAGGCCTTCACTAGGTTCCGTCGCCCCCAACCTGGGGCTTGAGACAGACTGGTGCGACTGCCCCGTGCCATTGGGTGAGATTTGGTCGCCTTGCCGTGCCTGAGCGCCAAGGCTCGTGGACAAAGTGAGGTCGGCTGCAGTCGCGAGCCGCGGTGTTGTGCGAGCGCTCTCATCTCTGGCGGAGCTCGCAGAGTGCGGCCGCTTGATACCGCAGGGCGGACTGAGAGCGACTTTGTCCAGGTCCATGCTTGTCTCGGAGCTGGTTGGACTGTGTGGAGCTTGCTGACGCGCCGCCGCGCGGAGCTCATCGTGCCTTCTCTGCCGTTTGTAAAGAAGCCACGCTGCTGATTCTGCTTCATTCTCCTCCTGCTTGCGCAGTGTTGCATCGGCGATGCGGGGATGCAGCATCGTGAAGGGCACATATCCATAGGGAGAACCTTCTCCGGACGAAAGAGAGCAACATCGAACAGTAAGCAACTTGCGAGGAAATCAATTCTTATCTCGCCGCCACTCACCTCGCGCTCCGTGCTTCAACTGGCTGTACGGGCTGAGATGATGTTGACTAGCCAGGCGGCTGAGATCGAGAAGATGCACCCAATACTCGTGCCCGCCCTTGCGCGAAAGCTGCCAGACGAGCTTGAGCAGTCGATCACGCTGCTCATATGTTGGGCCCGTTTTGACGTTGTAGTACAGCAGGGGCACAATCGCGTGCACTGTATCGCCATCCGAAGCGTGCTCCGGCGGAACGGGATTGATCGTGACGCGCACCGTCCGATCCAACTCCGCGCTCGTCATTGGCAGCGGCGACGCCAGCGGCTGACACGAGGTGGATAAAGATGACGTCTGCTGCTGTTGCCCAATTTTAGCAGCGATCGCCGCTGATCGCCGCGGCGAAGTGCTGCTACCAGGCACTTGGCCGTGCTGTTCAACGCTTCGTACACGATCGCCATTTTGTCGACCGTTTGCGCGCGATGCGGACGTATCGGAGGCAGCGTGTGTCCAAGCAGGAGCGTGAGTAGGTGCGTTGGGTGCGTTCGACCTTGTGGCAGAGAATGGCACAGCAGCACTTTGTGCCATTGCGTGCACTTCGCTCACCGCCGCGCAGGGAGCCGAAGGGCTGCCGCTTCGACTATGGAGTGCTCTTGGAAGGTGGTCTGGTCGCCTGTGAGGCTGAGGCGACGAGTTGTTGTTGTGAAACTGTCGAGGCGAACGCTCTACCAGACCTTGAGACATCTGATATCGGAGAAGATGCCCAACTATGGATGGTGGGGGTGTTTGGAATAGAGTTTCGCTCGTAAACCCTGCCACCGGAGCTCGAATGAGATTCAATCGCTTCGTGGTAGAGTGAGACTCGTGTGTCGGTGCTAGGGCCAGAAAGTTGACAAGGCAGGTGGATATTGAGGTGACAGTGTGTCCATAAAGCGTTGCGGTGGAGTTGCAGTAGGCCACGTGCAATGGCGACGATCTCCTTGACTGTCAGTGCGAGGTGCAGCTCAGGTGATATGGATAGCAGAATGTGATTGGCAAAATCGTTGTCGTCGTTGCACAAAGATTGCAGGTGCTCGATGCGCTCCTTCGGGTTCGAATGAAAGACTGGGGCAATGGTGCAAGGTATCGCGCGAAGGTCGTGTGCACGGTCGAAGCTAGGATCCCATGCAGGCAGTGATTGGGGCCAAGGCGTTGAGTTCGGCGAGGGCAAGGCGACCTTGCTATTCGTAGTCAGTGACACCGCACGCGGTCTGCTGGATTCCATGAAAGGTGGAGCAGGTCATGAGAGTGTCTGCAAGAGAGGACCTCGTCGAAACTCCGACAGTCTCGCGCAAGGAGCTGCGCCAAAGGTCAAGGTGGCGCTAGGAGGAATAGCAGAAAGACCGAATAATTTGCGGCTTGCGAAGGATCAAGCGACGACCAGAGTGTGAATGGGTCGTGGAGAGGGTGAAGTTGCCATTCCTGAAAGCAGGCCCGCGAGCGGGGGTTGGGATCTCAAGAGGATCACGAGGTCACTCGAGCTTTGTTCGGGCTGGCATTCGTCAGTTCGTGATCGCTCTGCCAAACTGCCACCGCGGTATTCCAAAGAGGAACATGCGGAGGGAGCGATATGCTCGATAGCGGAAGCGTATAGCTCGACGCACGTCGGGTGAGTGGTCTGGCGGCAGAGCAGTCTACGTGCTGCCGCCCGCTGTGCCTTCCTGTTGGGTTCCGGTCGATCAATTGAAGCAATGATCGGATAGCGTGCGTGCCTTTCGGGTGCCTCATTTCACCTCGAGACAGATTTAGGGAACAGCACCAGGAGACTGGGGCCTCATGGAGACTCATGGAGACAGCCGTCGCTCATGCACTCGTGCAGGCGAAAGAACGAAGCGCTTGTATGCATTCAGTGATTCGTGCATGTGCAGCAGGAGCTCGCCGTCTTGGATCCTCTGCCTGACTGCCCCTCATGGACCCGCTCATGTCCTCCACGAGCCATGCCGCAGGTCGGATAAGGCTTCAACAACGGTGGGGAACGCGGGGCAGAGAGAGAGAGAGAGAGAGAGAGAGAGAGAGAGAGAGAGAGAGAGGCGTCATGCGACACTTATGACTTTACCGAGCATGGAAGCCCAAAAGGAGCGAATGACGAGCCTGTGATGCACACCGAGAGCCAACAGCAGGCGCGTGCCGTAGGCAAGGCACACTTATCAACGTCGAAAGACGCGAAGGACACCGCTGCCCGCAACCCGATCAGCAGAACCACGAGTCGTGTGGGCGAGACTTCGTGAATCTACGGTGGTGTCACGACTCACGATGCTCGTTGTCAACGATGACCGTTTCAGCCGGCCTCAGATCTAGATCTGTGGGATCTCTAGAGCGGAGTAGTGCGTTGGTACAGTCAGAGTACGAGTGGTGTCGAAGTCAATAATCCTATCGACTACGCTCCAGCTGTCTTTCCGCCAATCTAAAATAATCGTGAACCGATCGGGCAGCCCGAAGCAGCAGCAGCAGCAGCAGCAGCAGCAGCAGTCAGGCGTGTTGTTGTAGTAGTAGTAGTAGTGACGCCGTAGCGACCCTCTTCAAGTACATTCGAGAGCGCTGGACAAGTCGACACACATCAGGTCCGAAAGGCCAAGATCTCAACGCTTGACCGAGCCCCTGCTTGTTCTGCTTGCTGGGCGAACTCGTGGATCTACGGTTCGCAAGTCGTCATCATCAGCAATATCACGAGACCCGCAGTCACGAATGAGTGCAGCTAGCTGCTAGTCTCGAGTCGATCGATCGTGTGAGGACGGGGCCGGTCTCAGCTAGCTAGCTAGCTAGCCTGCTTGAGACCATTCAGATTGCAAGGATCGACCCGATTTGGCTCCGTGATTGGTGTCAAACCGGCGACTTGATGCGCGTTCGTCCTCACCTAACCCGCGATCGACAGCTTTGGCGGTCGGGCGCATGCGCAGACACGGCCATGCAGCAGCGCTTCGCGAGTGCTGGATGTGATGGACGCTACAATAAACGCTGCTGCTGGTGATGGACGCTGCTCTTCCGACGACTACGCGATCTCGCAGGTGGCAGAGCACGGCCGGGGAAATGATTCATTTAAGTTCCAGATTGCAGGGATTTCGCTTTAGGCACGCGTTTATTTCCGTACCGTTCGAAAAATGAACGAAGCTAGGGAAGATCATTATTATTACTATTATTGTCATCATCACTATAGTCCTCCACTTTCCAACCCACGGCATCGGAATCTTGAATCCTGTGCTACACAGCTCTGCACAATTTGAGCGACCACCTGCGAATAGTACTACTCTCTGACTTGCCATTCCGTGATCTGCGCCTATAGCTATAGCGTAGTTCAAGCACCGCGACGCGGACAATCTCAGGCGAGCGAGTCTAGACTTTGCCGTGCAGCAAGTAGTAGGGCAGCATGGCCACAGTTTGTGACGAGTCAAATAAATGCGCATGTAGCAGCTGCTGCGAGGGGGCCTGAGCTGAGCTGCCGATATAGACGTACGCGGCTCGACAGAGAACGTGCTACCTGTTGCTGAAGAGTTGCGTGCGCTGTGCCCGACCACGTCCTATATCCGTCGCTTTCGCGATGAGGAGAGCTGGATTTCAAATCCGACCCATCAGGTGTCTTTCTTCAGCCCTGAAAGTTGTTCAGTTAATCAAGCCTCGGGACGGGGCTTCAATCGTGAATCAAAGTTGCCGCGCAGCTTATTCCTACAATGTCTCAAGGCTACGCCATGCGTTCATTCACGATGTGATTAATTCAACTTGTGATTCGTTTTCTTGACTCAAGCTCAACTTCATGACTCCCTTTTGACTCTGCGTAAATCAACAATAACGTCGAGAAGGTGACATGTTGCTTACACATCATTCTTGATTTGAGGGCCTGCTGGCAATCTCGAATCATGTTTGCTAAACCAGACGCGCATACACAGCACGTTTCCTTTCAAGATTAAATCCAAATTCAATTTTTTATGTTTGAACGGCGCTAAAAAGCCAGGCGCAGGTGCGTGCTGAGGCAATTGACCTCGCACACGCACACGCACACGCACACGCACACGCACACGCACACGCACACCGCCGGTTTAGCGCACTGATCGCGCAGCAGCTACGCACAGCATCGCGCGCATATTCGTGATCAGCTGCTGATGTTGACCCTGGCTGCCGCGGGCAGCGTAGATGCGCGATTGCGCCTGCTTGCTGCTGCTGCTGCTGCTGCTGGCCGCGATGATGCTGCTAAATTCAAAGCTAGGATTGGTGATTCTGTGTTCGCGAGCTATGCGGTGCACATCACCCACCCCCTTTGGTGAGCCCGCCCGCGCGTGCAGTGCCTATGTCCGCTGATTCACGATTTTATACCTGCGCATGGAACGCAGCGGCAGCAAGGAGGCGACACTTTCATCGCTCGGAATCGCACTCATCATACTCGCTTCAACGCGCTCATACTCAAGACTCCCTATCATCAGCATTCCGTCTCTGTCGCGTTCAGCCTCTTCTCCTCGACCAACTCGAGCTTCCTCGACGGACGACTTGGACGCAAGCACGAGGTACTGGGTGCGATCCCCTTTCCCCATCAGCTAAAGGGAACCTTCTGTCTCCTTTGGTAGCGACGGTGAACCCGTGCACTATTGCCTCTCCGACCTTCGCTTGACGACACGCTCCTGTTCGACGCTATACCTACGCGAGCAATCGCCCAAATCCGCCCTTCAAATCCACGGCTTACGTCGCTAATCAAGTTCTGCTGCACAAATTGCTTATACGCTCTTTTCTCATTCCGGTCGAGCCCCGGCCTCGCTCCTCTTTCCACAGTCTCCACCACCATAGCAGTGCCGGTCCCTGCTGGTGCATAAACCTCAAAGCGGAAGCTCGTCTCTCCCCAGAAACATTGGAGTCGCTGTGAAGAAAATATCCGCGCGGCCCCGCCCGCTGTTCCACCAGCAAGATGGCCCCGCAACGCAACACCACATTCACAAAGTCCTTTGTGAGACCACGGAACGCCAGAAATCAGAGCTCAGGCGGCCTGCCGGTCCGGTCAGAGGCTCCACCGCCTTTGAGGCAACCGACTAAGCTGCAGAGAGCAAAGACTCTCACACGCCCCGAGCGCGGTCAGCCACAAGTTCCGCTCATCAATCCTGAAGGCGTTGGTCGAGGGGCCACGCGGCAGGGCTCTGGAAGTTGGACCTGTTTCAGCAGAGTTGTCACCTTCTGGGCACCTCCACCATGTATGAGAGCTTGTGGACTCAAGGACGCAAGCAGTCAACAGGCGTGGAGAGAAAAGTGAGTGCGCTTACAGCACTTCGTCTGTCCTTGATCGCGACTGATCTCAATGCCTGCGCACAGAGTGTCTCTGGTGTTCCTAGCCCTGCTGCTTGGAGGCTTTGTTGGCTTCTTCACCATGGGCCTCAACAAAGTCTTGTGTCCGGCAGCTGCCCAGACTCTACCAAATCAGCTTGCGAGAGTCGGAAAAGACTTGTCATGTGAGTGCAGTGGTCTTGGGAAGTGCGGTGTGCAAACAAGTTGTGGACCCAGACTGATTTTGCTGCCAATTGGCCTGCAGCCGCTGTTGGTATCGCTGGATGGGACTACAACATCACAGCAGCCAAGCTGCCAGGTCAAGCTGAGGTCGGCTACAACATGTACACCCGAGCTAGCGACGCTGCAGGATACGATGTCACCCCTCTTCTGAAGCGCACTGCAGCAAATTATCCCTCTTGCAGCGGCCTGAAGGGCAAATATGCCACCAGCGACGATTGTTCGCCAGGTCGAGCTGGATTGCCCGCCTGCCCGCTGGGCGATCTGACCACTGCGAACCTCCAGACTCAACAATTGTTCAACACGAGCAGAAAGGTGGGCTACGCGTGGGAGGACTTGGCGGACGGCAAGTATCCTAACATGATCGTGAGTAGGATGCAATACTTTTTGAAGAAGTCATCTGTGCTCACCTGACACGTGTTGGTCGTTCTTGGCCTTGTTTGCATGTTACAGGTCATCGATGGATTCGTCTTGAACATGCAACCTTACATCAACGCCAACCCGACGTCGATCTCTGGAGACGCGGTGGATGCTGCGATTCGGCGTGGACTTGCCCAGGATGCTGCAGGAGGACGAGACGCAACTCGCATGTTCACTGTGAATCAAGACCTGAAAAGTGCGATACCGTGCTTGAAGGAGAAGTACCTCGCAGGTCGCATCGATAAGATCACACCTGGCTGCTTCGTCTCCAACCTGTTCCTCTACGCTTCCCTTACAGTCATCTTGGGTCTAGTGTTCATTCGCTTCTTGATGGCCATCTGGTTTTCATGGTTCATGTCGTGGCGAATGAGCGCCACTCCGGATGACTACGGCACCAACCGGTTCAACCACAACAACATGCCTGGCGGTGCTATGACCACCGTCGATAATCCCGGTCAGGCACCATGGGCGAACAAGGAGCGACCTACGCCTTCGAAAGCGCCTCGTCTTCGCCATGACGACTCGGGTCTCACCGCAACAACGACCGCCGCTAAGATTGGTAACGAGCCCTACGTCGTTTGTCTGGTCACAGCCTATTCAGAAGGCGAGGAAGGCATATCGAATACTCTGACTTCCTTGGCAGAGACCGAGTATCCCGATTCGAGGAAACTGCTCTTCCTCGTTTGCGACGGCATGGTCACAGGCTCAGGAGAGAGCATGTCCACACCAGACATCTGCGTTGGTTTGCTCGAGTCGGATGCGCGCTTCGGCACTCCTATGCCCATGAGCTTCATCAGCGTTGCCCAAGGAGCAAAGGCACACAACATGGCGATGGTGTACGCCGGCCACTACACACGCGGACGTGGTCACCGCACGCCTATGATTGTCGTCATCAAGTGTGGTACGCCTGGTGAAGCATCGGAGAAAAAGCCCGGCAACAGAGGAAAGCGTGATGGGCAAATGATCCTGATGAACTTCTTCCAGAGGGTGACTTACAACGAGCGCATGACTCCACTCGACTTTGATATGTTCCGCAAGATCCACACGTTGATGGGGGTGACACCGGACTACTTCGAGCTTTGCATGATGGTGAGTCGTGCTCGGAGTCTCTCTCATGCCCCTTAGATGGAGACTAATCTTCGTCAACGATCTTGGACAGGTGGACGCCGATACGAAGGTGTACCCCAAGTCCATGCGGATGCTCGTGAACTCAATGATGAAGGACCACATGATCATGGGCGCCTGTGGAGAAACACGTATTTCTAACAAGCGTTCGTCGTGGGTGACTGCCATCCAAGTTTACGAGTATTTCATCTCGCATCACATGGTCAAAGCTTTCGAATCGGTCTTTGGTGGTGTCACCTGCTTGCCCGGGTGCTTCTCCATGTACCGCATCAAGGCGCGAAAGCCGGATCAGGATTGGGTGCCGATCATCGTCAAACCGGAGGTGACGCGCGAGTATAGCCAGAGCGTTGTGCACACGTTGCATCAGAAGAATCTCCTCTTGCTTGGCGAGGATCGTTTCTTGACGACTCTTCTGCTCAGGACCTTTCCGAATAGAAAGATGGTCTTCGTGCCCCAGGCGCGGTGTCGGACAGAGGTGCCACACACATTCAAGATGCTTCTTTCCCAAAGGAGACGCTGGATCAACTCGACTGTGCACAATCTGATGGAGCTCGTCCTTGTTCGAGATCTCTGCGGCACCTTCTGCTTCTCGATGCAGGTGAGTTGACTTCTCAATCAGCCGCTGATGCAAATTTCCGTGCTCACGTTCAAGCTTTACTTTCACAGTTCGTTGTCTTCATGGACTTGATCGGAACCGCAGTGCTGCCAATTGCTATTGCGCTCACCTACACCTTGATCGTCTCCTACTGTCTGAACGCTCCCAAGACCTTCGAAGAGGCAATTCCCCTCATGCTACTGGTTGCTGTGCTTGGATTGCCAGCGGTCTTGATCTTGCTTGCTACCCGGAAAGTTGTCTACGTTGTATGGATGGGCGTTTACCTGGTTTTTCTTCCAGTGTGGAACTTTATCCTGCCCGTTTACAGCTTCTGGAACTTCGACGACTTCAGCTGGGGAGAAACCCGAAAGGTCGAAGGAGAAGGCAAAGACACGGGCCATGGCGACGAAGATGGCACGTTTGCTGCTGCTAGTGTGCCTTTGCGCCGCTGGGAGGATTGGGAACGATCACGGTTGAAGCGAACCGCACGAGAGGAGAAGCGTAGGCGGGAAATGGAGAAGCAGTTCGGGCGCGGTTTCCACAACGACCAGTATCTGGGAGAGCCGAGACCGGACAGCGATTCTTTCAGCGATCACGCGAGCAGCGCAGATCCGGACGAAGACCAATGGGGTCTCCACATCAGCGCTTTCGACGAGCACGCACCGCCACCACTTGCCATTGTCAGGCACAGTATTTGGGTCGATGGCAGAGAAGTCATCTTGGACGGCTCAGAGATGGAGAAGATGCTGGAGCAAGGCTGGTCTGATGACTTTGCGAGCGGACCACCTGCAGACAAGGGACCTCTTGCGCCCAGCGCAGTGAATGCTCGCCGAAGCGGAAGGTGGTCAAGAATAGAGGCGCCCGTGCCTTCGATACCCCACAGGTACAGCCAGTATCAACGACAGCCGACCGGCATGCCACCACGAGGCCCTCCTCAAAACGGATCCTCGCTCGATCTCATACCGCCATCTCCTCACGGTGATGATCCGTACGCTCCGCTCGTCCGCGGCATGTCGCAACCTTCTTCACCTCATTTTGGCCCTCACGGGACACCCAGTCCGAACGGACAAGCCAATTATGCCCGTCCGTATCCAAATGGAAACCCTGCCAGCGGACACTCTTCGGGCATCGAGGGTCGCGACTCTTTCAATGCCCAGCATGCTCGACAACGGTCGCAAGGCTCTGGCGCACTCGCTCCTGGAGGCCCTCTGGGCGGTTTCAGACCGCCGCCTCGTTTCTGAAAGCGCTGTAGCTGCCCCACTGGTCGATCGCCTTGTACATTCTGCTCTCTTGCATTGGGCTCCATCACTTTGTCACATCGGATCGGTCTCGATCAGGCCCTCTTTGGAAGATTCTCGGCAAGTCGACACTGCGCATCAACGCGACTAATGCGGGACGCCGCCTCGTCGCAAGCTATCCTCCGCTACACTCATTTGCAAGCATGAAGCATTTCTTGATCCACTCAACAGTCTTTCGTATCCTCTCCCTCACTTTGTGTGTGTGTGCGTGTGGCCATCGCAATCGGGAGTGTGGCTGCGCTTAATGTACTCGTGATGATCGTGAGGCGCACTCGCCTGTTTGTCAAGGTGAGCTGACAGAAGGTCGTGCGGGCGAGGGTTGTGACATACGTGAGAGGTCTCACACTTGCATTCACGATCAGCGGCTGGCGCACACAAGCTGAACACCTACGATCACTCGAGCGGGACAGGTGCAGCGCAAGCAGGATCGCGTGTATTGTAAAAACACGCTGCTGGCATTCCTAGTCGTACATGGCAGCCGTAAACCGATGAGCGTGCCTAGCGCTCAAGTAATCCGCTCCCTTCTCCTGCCAATCCGCCTTGGTGATGCACGTCTTCTGAAAGTCGTCCGTCAACGACCACATGGACATGCCTCTCCATGCATCGAACCTCACATCTCTTGCGCGAACGGTTCGCACAGGTATGTCCACCGACTGCGTCGCCCTCACTGACTGGCATAAGCGATCGTCGAAATTTGGGTATTGCGTATGCTGTCCCGTCACGAAGATGTTCTAGCAGCGGCAAAAAGACGGACGAAAGAGTCAGCTGAAGCATTTCGCCAAAGGGTGACATCGGTCCGGCAGCACGCACGTTGGCCAGCCTCTTCGTGACATCTTGCTGATAGTTGCGCAAGACGTGAGTTACCAGCTCGTCCAGTCCAGCCTGATCGACACCAGCGATGCTCGGCTGCCAAAGTATTTCCGGAACTCTGGCTCTCTCGACATTGAGATGGATTTGATGCGCTTGGGCGACATCATCGGGGTCCCAAGGAGGGTAGTAGCCCCTAAGAAAGGTTGTCGTGATCTTGTTGTTGCGAGCTTCGACTGCGGACCAGGTGTCGTCTTCCGTGAAGGTGGGATCATGATCCAGTAATCGTCTTTCCAGCTGCTCAAGGGTCACCTTGTCGTCCTCCTCCTCTTCAGAGTCGTCGGCGTTTCCCTATATATTCCGGGTGATGTGAGTATATTCCGGGTGATGTGAGTTTCAGACACAGCATGCGTTGCACGCCACCCGACTTCACTCACAATCTCGCGGTAGACCGACCAGTCGTCGTCATTGGCGCCGAAGCCATCATCAGCTGCGAACGCATCACAGGGACGATCAGCCTTTGTCCACAAAGCCCGCGCGTCGAGAAGCTCACCGTCGGCGCCGCCTCTACCGCCGCGCTTCCTCTTTGTGCTTCCCGGACCCGAAGTGTCCCCTTTTTCGCTTGCCAGATTGGCAATGGTCTTCATCCTCTCCTGAGCAGCCAAACTTTTGCGATCGGCCAGCATTTCCTTTCGTCTGATTCTGTCTTTAGCCTTGGCGATGGACTCCTGCAAGGGGCCAAATTTGCAAACGTATGAAGAGTAAATTTGTGGCTCAAAGTAGGGCATGCAGTGGTTGCTTTCGAGGCGCGACGCACCTGATACTGTGCCCGCACTTTGGAAGCCCATGCTCGAGGGTCATTCTCTCTCTCAGCCTGATCTCTGAGTCTGGCTTCCTCCTCCAGCCTCTTCTCTTCTTCCTTTTCCAGCTTGGCGCGTGTCCGAGCATCGTAGCCCGCCTTCATCAAGCGCTGCCTTCGCTTTTCCTTTACACCTTCCTCGTCCAGCTGATGATCGGGAACTTCTACCAACGGAAAACTCGGCGGCTCCTGCAAGGTGTCGCGCGGCTGGATTCAAGATGCGAACTCGCACTATTGCAGCTCTACACCTTTACTTCAACTCACGGCGGGCTCATCCTCTGCACCCAGCTCTCTAGCACGGCTTCGCTTGAGAGCAGCCTCGAGCTTCTTGGTGGTCTGCTCCAGTGCTTGCTCCGTCTCGAACCCTTCTCCTTCAAGACGTTTCTGAGGTGATGTGTTGAAAGCGACAGCATGTCAGGACCACGCCGCTTCGAAACGATCGAGTGGCGCTGCACTCGCCATGTAATCTGCTTTGCGTTCTTTCGCTTTAAATTCCTTGACTTGGTTGTAGTACGCCAAGTCATTCTCCTTCTGCAGCAGCTGTGTGGTTTTGGAAGTAGCGTAGGACGTCAGCGTTCCCACGCAGCTCGCGATCACAGCTTCGAGACCAATGCTCACCTTTTCCAGCCGTATCCTTTGTGTCTGCTCCTGCAATCTCCTAGCGCTTTCCTTTTTCTTTTCGGCCTGTCGCTGAAGCTCTTCCTCGGTCTTCTCCTCCTTCTCTACAATGGTAAAGGGGAACTGGATGATCCGGTCTTCCTTTGCTAGTTCATCAGGATTCGAAAGTCGCCTGATGTGGTCGTCGTACGAAGATGTCGCTGGAGTGTAGACGTAGCAAAACTCTTGACGCATCCACGAGGCTTGCAATGGATTGACGCGGGTAGGAAAGGCGGGATACTTGAGCTGGGTCAGCTTCAGGAGAAAGTCAGTGGCGTGCGAGCCCCCTAGGTTGAGCCTGACTCCCCAGCAGAGGTGGAGAAAGAATTGGTCAGCAGTGCGCAAAGACGCCAATGAGCGCGTGTCTCCGAACGACGACGTACTTCTTGGCATGGTTCAGATCACCTCTTCCCCCGACGAGGGGGATGATGTGGCTGCCGCTATGACCAGAAGATACGATGAGCGCATCTTCTAGACCATTCGCATAAGCTGAGAATAGAGAGTCTAGACCGTACGAAGCCGAAGGCACACCGTAAGTCTCAAACAGGAGCTCGGAAGTGACTGGATATGGCCGGACAAAAGAGAAGACATGCTGTAAGCGCACAGGCTCGTGTACGACGGCTCGGAAGACGCACGTGACCTAGGGAAAGATGGATTGCACAGCGTCTCTGTCATGACGATGGGATGCTCAACGCTGCCTTCGCTGGCTACGCCTAGCTTGAGCAGAGCGTAATCGATGAGATTTTCCTGCCCAAAGGAGGTCGATGAGGGTATTCAAGAGCCCGTGAGATTATCACTCGACCGAATCAGTTCTCGAAGCCCAAATCGACTCACAAGGAGATCTGTGCTGGTGATCACGTCGCCATCCCAAGGACTTCGTGCAGCTCCCTTTGCCGGTCCGTCGACATTTGCCTCCGCACCGGCCAAAAGCACCTGATTGCCCTTCTTCCTATCTTTGTACCGCGACACCAGACTCTCGTGCGTCAATTCCGGTAGCGCATATCTGTTGTCATTCGCCCAACCTGCTCTGAGTTCGGATGACCCAGCATCGATGATCAGGGGTCTGTGCTGCTGGTAGATGGTGGATGCAAAGTAGGCCTGACTAGAAGGTGGGACGAAGGAAGCGGCGCTGCTCCTGTGCCTCTCTTGCACCGGCGCGGGAGTGGGCGGCGTATAGTCTACGAGATGCGACCACGCCGTCTTGGCAGGTGAGGATTTCAAGGGAGCCCTGGTGTCCTGCTCTGCGCTCGACCCTGACCCGCTTGCAAAGCCCGCCGGCCCTGTGCCTTCCACTTCCGCAGCGACAGGCGCCATGATGATGCTCTGTCGCGCTGACCAGCCTTGCGCGACAAGATCGACTGATGAGGCTCTAAATGATTTGCTTGTCCCTGCTTTTGTGTAGCGAGAGGTGTATGGAGAATCGCTGCACGTCCCGGTAGGGGTACAAGCTGATGATCATCGCCTCCAGCTCAATTCGTGATTGCTGCTGGGATCGAAATTAGCCTGTAGGTACACACTCAAGACTCATCATGACTCTTGACTACGTGACTTTCCGAACGGCGGGCCGTGCAAAAGCTATCACGTGACCATTGGTGGTACACCCCGACTGCACGCGTTTCGCGCATCATGCTTGGGCAGACCGCGCGTGCGCGGCGTTGCGGAGGTGTTGTGTGTTGGAGTCAGCTCAACAAGTCACAGACACGCACCACCCAATGAGCACCGCCATACATTTTGCTCAATACTCACGACTTCGATCGTCATCGAGACCATTCAGAACATCATCGCTCGCAAGCCGAATCCAAAGAGATCTCTCCCCCACGCCACAAAAGCTGAAACATTGAGATGCCGAGCACAGCTCACTCTTCGCGCAACAAGGAGAACGTGCGGGGCGGCACATTTTCGCTTCAACGCGTCGACTCGGGTTCGGAAGCGTCCGACGCAGAGCAACAGGTCACCAAGGGACGCCGAAATGCTGCCTTGAACAAGAGAAAGGGCCAGGATGAGGATGAGCAGCAGCAGCAGCAGCATGCGGAGAAGGGCAGGATTGCAAGCAAAGCGGCGGGTAGAGGAAGGGCGGCGGGGGCGGATGCTGAGTTGAGGCCGGAGGATAGAATCGCTGAGCTGGAGGAGCGGCTGGAACAGGTGCGTCGTCCCGGTCTTGCTCTGTGCACACGATGACTGCACGCTTACGCGAATCGCACGCTTCGCTTGCTCTGCAGATGACGGCGGAGAGGGATGCTGTGCAGTCAGAATTTGACTCGTTGAGAGAGCTGCGCAAGTCCGAACCTGAAAGGGCATTGAGCGAGTTGAAGAGGGTAGCAGAGAGCCGTGCAAAGCGTGAGACGTCGAAGCGAGACTTGCATGGATGGTCCTTGCCGATGCTGAAATCATCATCATCATCATCATCTGCTCCCGACGCTGCGACGCGTCTTTGCCCACTTCCAGACCAGAAAGAGATGATCAACACCCTCAAGATCAGGTTGGACACTGCGGAGAGGAGAGTCAAGGCGCTGGAAGCTGATGGTCGCTCTGCTGGCAGCGCGCACTTGAGCAGCACAGCGGTAGACGATGCCACTCTGGCCACGGTCTTGAACGAGCGGGATGATGCGAGAGCGGAAGGTGAGTGGGGTAGAAGGGCATTCACTTGCCGCACCTGCCTCGTCGCAAATGATAAAGGTGACTGAAACGAGCGACGCATCTCTGATGCTTTGCCGCCTTTCAGTGGAGCGACTCCAAAGGGAGCTCAGAGAAGAGGTGGCTTCGTCTCAGGCACTCATGAAGCAGCGTCTACCCTCCAGCAGCGCAACAGCTCAAGCACCCGTCAGGCCCACTTCGGAGAGCGCAGCACACGACAGGGCCATTCGCACACTTTACGAGGACTTGACTGGCTTGGTCATCAACAATGTCGAGACGTTTGACAAGGAAAAGGACTTTAGACGCTTCAAGACAGTCTTTGCCTGCCCTGGCTACCACGGTGAGTCTGACGCCCCCACCAAGACACAGCCTTGCGCTTGCTGCCGTGTTGCGCTAACTCATCTGGAGCTCTTCTGCCTGTCTGCTCAGATCTGCAATTGACGCTGGAGGAAGGAGCGTCGAAGCTGCCTAGCTCTGTGAACAGCACTTCCCCAGCATCGAGCAAGGAACGCAAAGACTTGATCTACATCCCTCACATCGACGATGATAGAGACTCGGCGCTATTGAAGAGCGGCATGCCTTCGTACTTGCTGGAGAGCATCAAGTTTGATAGGAACCTTGGAGTCAAATTCATGGTCAAACTCTACAAGGGTCTCAGCTCCAAGTAGCTTTAGCTTGCGCTCGCGCTCGCGCTCGCCTTGCTGGCGAGCATCCCTCCATTGCACGCCCTTCGCTTCCTCACACTCTTCCCACACTTTTGCAATGAGCTCACTAGCCTCGACGTTGTTTCCAACTGCCTCTCACTGTAAAGATGCATTCTTCTGCGGATACCATACCTATTTCGAATTGCGACGTACATGACTTGTAGCCACTGGTTGTGAAATTGTGGAGCGTAGAGCGTGGATGAAGGCTGTTGAATAAGCGGTCTTCTCAGAATGCTCTCGAGCAAGATGAACCTGATCATCCGTCTGTATAGCGCGGTGTGGCCTAGCCATGACAGCTACAGCAGGGCAGGGTCTTGCCGCGTGCAGTCCGCCGCGTAGGCCCGCCCGCAAGCCCGCGAGCTCGCCCGGCCACGGCGGCAGATCGAGCCCCTCAGCTGCGCAGAGGAGGCGATGCTTTGCATGCGCATGCATCATGTGCGCGCATCGCGCACATCGTCGCCTGAGCTATCGCCGCGCTATACAGCACAGGCGCCGCACTCGCGCGATGCTATATATGCTGCATGCGCTGATGCATGTTGCCCGCGCACGTCTTCAGCATCAGCGTCAGCAGCAATATAGATGGCCGCGCGGGCGTGTGGACGGATGTGCGCGGTAGATAATCACACTCGTCAGACTCGCGCGTGACTTTTGACCGCAACTGCGACTGCGACTGCACACAATCACGAGGGAAAGCCACTCAGCGCTTACACTTCTGACTGTATGCACTCACCTCTCACTGCTCGCCTCTTGCACGCAAGGCATCATCTGACTGCTCAAAGCCCAGGGCTAGCACGAAGACGTACATCTGCTTTGACATTCGGATATCTGCATCGGGCACCTTTGTCATCGGGCCACCCCTTCGATTGTCGTCTCTTCACTTTGACCTGTTCGGCTTTCACACATTGACAAGAACGAAGGAAAGCGGGCGATCAGGAGTGCGAGGAAGAGCACAAGCATACGCGCCGCCCTTACTTGGATCATCTGAGCTGATAGCGGAAGCAATCGCCTGCCTTGGAACCTTCGGTCAACGTGCCAGCTTGTGCAAGCGCGGTCAGACGAAGGTCACGAGGGACAGATATTCATCACTCGATCTCGCGTTCAGAGCGACTCACAGATTTGTATCGCAACGCCCACCAACCCTTTCGATAGTCAAGATGGCTACGCGCAAGAAGGTGCTGCTCAAGGTCAGTAAAGAATTGTAAGCAGCGGGAAAGCGTGCGGTTGGGTGCTGTGCAACCTGAGACAGCATCTGGAAGCTCGTCGATTAGTCATGTCCCCTAGTAGGAAAGGGAGACTGGTCCCAATGCCTTGGTCTCCATCTGCCACCTTTTTGCTCATCCTCTCTCCCTTCTTGCCACCTCTCCGTCTGTCTTCGGAACAGGTCATCGTGAGTGGGCTCGAGTCTTGTTCGATGGGAGTGTGCCGCAGCTGAAGCTTCTGCTCCCTCTTTTTGCTCTTGCGGTTGCTTAGATCCTCGGCGATTCTGGTGTGGGCAAAACGTCGCTGATGAATCAATGTGAGTAAGCAAGAGGGAGCTCAAATCGAATTTTGAGACAAGCGGCCAATTGGTTGATGGAATGATGGTCATGTGGTCACGTACAGATGTCAACAAGCGCTTTTCGAGCTCTTACAAGGCCACCATTGGAGCCGACTTTCTCACTCGAGAGGTCTTGGTCGATGATCGATTGGTGACGATGCAGGTGAGCCAATGCGGCCATTGTCCTTGTCGTCAATAGCCAGCTCTGGGGTTGATGAAGACTTCGCTCACTTGTTCGTCGCCTGCATCTGTCTGCAACAGCTGTGGGACACGGCCGGGCAAGAACGTTTCCAATCCCTCGGAGTGGCATTCTACAGAGGTGCAGACTGCTGCGTGCTGGTCTACGATGTCAACTCTGCCAAATCTTTCGAGACTCTGGATAGCTGGAGAGACGAATTCCTGATTCAGGCTGCTCCTCATGATCCTGAAAACTTCCCATTCGTCGTCCTCGGCAACAAGATCGATGTAGAGGAGAGCAAGAGGATGGTGAGTCCTGTGCGGTGCTGAGCAAGCGGGAGGATAGTGATGTGCACGAGAGCGGCAGTGGACGTGAAAAGGCTGCAAAGGGACCAAGTTGCAGTTGCCTGGCAAAAAGCAACGATGTCCGTGACGAGCACATCTTCGACGACGGGAGTGTCGGGGCTGCACCGCTGCTCTGAGTGGGAGGGTCATCGCCCAGATCATGATTGCGTTGCTGTGATGCCCTGCCACCTCAACTTTCGTGCTGACCAACTTGCCTTTCGTCATATCGCCCGCAGGTCTCTCAGAAGCGAGCAATGAACTGGTGCGCTTCCAAAGGAGGTATCCCATATTTCGAGACGAGCTCAAAGGATGGCATCAATGTAGAGAGCGCTTTCCAGACCATCGCAAAGGTCAGTGTTTCGGTAGACACATCATTCGACTTTCCGAGGAGAGGTGGCAAGGGAAGCTGACGCCCTTTATGAACCCTTTTAGAATGCTTTGCAACAAGAGGCGGAAGCTGAGCTCTACTCGGAGTATCCCGACCCGATCAGGCTCGATTCTGATGCTCCGCAATCAGGCTGCAACTGCTAGACAGCACACGCAGAGGTACGAGACAGTCGCCCAATTTGAGCTCATCTCGCAATCCTCCCCTCCTTCCACACTTGGTCTGCTTTGTCGTGCCATCCACCAACCTCCCCGCAAGAGAGCCAGCTCTTCTGCATTTGGCCTCGTCCACTTTGTCCGTTCGCGCTTCTCTCGAATGGTCCAGCTATACAATTCCAGCCCAGCCCCGCAGTGTTGCAGTTAAGATAACAATTTACCTAAAGGCTCCCAAGCTATCTCGCTGCGCTAGTCAAACCAACCTTTTTCATCTCACATCGTGCGCAGCCTACACACGCGAAACTGGCACCTCCAAAAAGCTTGTCGCGTACGCTTCGGTGGCTATTGATTGAGTGCAAGTTGTCAGGCACAAGGTAGACTTTTGCGGTCTCGATATCGAATGTGGGGCTTGCCTCTAAATTACCATCGTATACATTATCAGGATAACCTGCTGACCAGATAAGACATCAATCCAGCGCTCTCCTCGTTCGAAGCTCGCAAAAGCATGCGTATAAAGATGCTAAACGTCTTTGCAGAACCGTTTTCCATCTCCGAAAGCGACCTCCTGTCCATGCGCCAAAGCGTACAGTCCGAGTCCGCAAAAGCAGTCGTGTTGCGAGGTTCTCGCGCAAGGAACGTCATCTGCACGTCCGCAATGGAAAAAAGTTTGCGGCAGAGTCAGCCACGCTGCGTGTCGGCGCGCGCGCGCGCGCGCACCGCTAATCACGTTCGAGAATCTCACCTCGCCAGCAATCGTGCCCGCAAGCATCGCCTCATTGATTTCGTACCCCTCTTGGAAGTCGTACCTAGCTTTCAAGATGCCAGCCTGGATCAAATACACTGTGCAAGAGAGAGTATCAGGTCACGTGCTGGTCGCACAAGTAATTGTTCTGACTCACTCGCGTCAGACTCATCACCGCGCTCCCAAAGGGTCTCGCCAGCGGACAAGTGAAGAGGTTCAAAGCTCTTCGCGAGCTCCATGAAGATCTTCTCGCCCGCCTGAGGATCTCTGTAAGCCTGGAACGTTGCCATGAGGAGAGGAAGAGGCTGCACACGTGGAACTGGTGGAGCTTGGATGGCAACCTCTGCGGGAGTGCTGGGAGCGGCAGCCGACGTGGAGGGATTTGTTCCGCCTTCTTCGACACCAGCAGCAGCCCGCACAGCAGCCATTGCGTCCGAGGTTCCTTTTGCAGCTTCTATCGCGGCTTCTTGCAGATGATGTCTGCGTGGAGAATTTTCAAAGGCTTCATCCAACACGAATGCGGGCTTTCTCTTCTTGTCCGGCATATCGAGACCATCGCCAGCAGCCACCGACGCCTGCGTGAATTGTTTCCCCGCAGCAAGGCCCGAAGCATACATGCTGCGCAGAAATTGGTTTTCGGTCCACTCCAAAGCCTCGTTCAGATGCTGGAAGATCTCTAGCCTGACTCCCTCATGGATGTCGACTGCGCGAAGAGCATCGCCGACGTCGCTGTCAGGCGCTAGTCCACAGAATACCAGGACCACATCTTTGGCGTCCAGCAGGCGTGACACGCGGGTAAAGGCCTCCGCTGCACTGAAGTCGATGCCTGATACCAAGCTAAAGTCGACGATGAGAAAACGAATGGGGTTGCGCTGCCAAGCTGCAATGTCAAGAGCTCGCCGCATCAGCTCCTCAACGGAGGAAATGTTTGCAAAGTACAGGAAGCCCTGTGTAGAGCGAGGTGTGATCATCAGATGGGCAGACTAGCCATATGAACGCAGGGAACTGCGACGCACCTGCAATTTCACGATCTGCGTTTGACTGCCTACGGCATCAAGGAAATGCCTTTGAGTAGCGTGCCTGCGAACCGTGCTTCTGGCAATGCTACCGTCCAACACCGCCCGAATGACCCTGCGCTTGGACGTCTGAATGACAAAGAAACAGCAGGCGAGAATAATGCCCACCAGGATGCCTACCACGAAGTCATCTGCGACCGAAAAAGAAGCCTGAGCCCGGTGCTGCGAAGGGGACACTGCGGCATCTCGACTCACAATACGTCATGACCGCAATGATTGCCACGATTGTGAAATACTCCCAACGATTCACTCGTCCAATCGTGTCCCATAGCGCCTCTTTCACAAGATCGATGCCAAGCACGAAGATAAGAGCTCCCACCACGACGATAGGCAGGTAGCTGATAGCCCCAGGACCGGCAATGAGGATGCCTGCAGTACCAGCGGCGAGCATCACACCTGAAAGGCGACTACCGCCGCCCACGCGATAGAAGAGGACGGAGTTGACGTAGCAGAGATAGTTTGGCACAGATCCAAGCAGACCCGCCAAGATGTTCGACACACCATGAGCCACAAGTTCGCGGTCGGTGTCGAGGTTATCCTCACCGACGCTGACAGCGAGCGCGGGGACATTGAGTGGGACGTGCAGAATGCTGAAGAAAGTGAGCGCAAGTTGCGTCGGCATGGTCGACCAGAGAGCCGTGAGACTGGTTTTGCGGAAGTCAAAGTAGGTGTAGAATCTCCAGAATGGTGTGTTGCCGGCATCGCCGATGTCGAACACCCAGCCATGATCTCTAAGGAATGGCAAGGTTTGTCGACCGGCACCAACCACGAATGCATAGAAGAGCACTGGCAGCACCAAGAAATATGCTGGAAAGATCAGCGGGTGGTGGAATCTGGCGGTGATAAGTCTGAGCAGAATGGCAAGACCAAGTGCTGGGGCCCAATGAGCCACCATGTCCCAGCTCTGAGTGAAGTACTGGAAGGTCGGCAGATCCCAATTGAAACCTCCCTCAGACTTGAGCTGGCCGGCCACCTCCATGCCAGTCTCGATCAGGAACACACCGACGCCTCCGATGCAGCCGACAAGGATGTGCCGCGGGAAGAAGCCGATGAGCACGCCGAGTCGGAAGTATCCCAACAGCAAGAAAACGACGCCAGCAAAGATGGAAGAGAGGGCAAATGACACGATTGTGGTCGAGATGACTGCTGCGGCATCCTCGTCCCCTAGCTCATTGATAATGCCTTGCACCAGAATGTGGAAAAAGGGCACGACCTCGATCATCATGGAGCCCTGCAGTGGAGAGAGGGAGGTAGGTGACAGCGTCAAAGAGCTGCACCGCGATGCGTGACCGCAGTCCAACGATCACTCACATTACCTCCGCGAAAGATGGAACCTCCAAGGGAGTACACGAGTTGACTAATGACGCAGGTGACAAAGAACATAGATACGCCGTCGCCTCCGAAATCAGAGAAGATCGGATACGAGTTTGGAAAGATGATGAGTCCGTAAGAAACGCCGTCGAGCACGTTGAGCAAAAGTCCCAAGATGACAGCGGGCAATAGTCGCACCGGTTCGACGCTGGCATTTCCGACGTCCCGCCAGGTCAGCTTCTTGAGGGACTCGAAGGCATCGCGGAGATGATTCAAAGGGTTCGAAATGTCTTTCACCTTTCTCGTCCCTTTTCCCGGTCGCAGGCCCGTCGGCAAAAGCCTCCACCAGGGCGGCAAGGCTTGCTGCGACCACTGATTCGTCTCTGAGCTTCCAACAGCAAGTGCATGGCCTTGGGATGTGTAGGAGGCGTCAGGAGCGACGGGTGTCCGAGCTCGTCCATGCGCCTCTTCAGCTGCTGCCTCTGCCATAGCAGCAGCAAGAACTCCTGATCCGTAAACGGACTGACTCATGTCGTGGCCGGCGCTCTGAGCGCCGCGCCATGACCTGACGCTGAAGCCAGACTCGCCCGCATGCGCATCTTCAGCGCCGTGCTCCCCGTGGATGCCAGGGACGGAGATGGCGGACGCGCCCATGGACTGGGCAGAGCGCGCGTCCGACCTTGACCATCCTCTGCTCTTCGCGGAGGAGGCAGCGCCGTACGCAGATTGACGAGCTCGAGCTTTTGAAGCAGATCCGTTCGCGCGAAGCAACGGAGTCGCTTCCCCAGCTTCGAGATCTGCGAGTGCGAGACCGGCTCGGGGCGTAGTGTCGTCTGTTGGTCCTTGTGAGTCTACAGTGACGTTTGGCGAGCGTGCACCAGCAACTGGAGTGCTCTCATTGCTCGCCGATGGAATGTCGACAGCTGCCGCTGAGCCGCCATTAAGATCCAAAGCCCTACTGAGATTGCTAGGGCCGCGCTGCTGGGATGTGTTGCTGGCAAACGACGAGGGTTTGAATGATTGAGGTCCGATCTGAAGAGAATCACAAGCCAGATTTGCGTCGGGTGGTGTTGCTGCACCACTTTCAGGCTCATCTCGCTCCTCGATACGAGACTGCGATGCGTTACTTCCCTCATCATCAGACATCAAAGCCATTCCAGCCAGCTGTGCCGTGCTATCGCGGATCGTGTTCTGTGTGGCGGTGTAAGACCGCCCGTAAAGCCCGCCGTCCGCCATACCAGGCTGAAAGCGACTGTGAGGATGATCGTGAGCGTGAGCATGACCTTGCAGAGGCGCGAGAGATTGACCCACTCACTAGCTGCGACCCTCTAGGTGAAATCCTGATGAGCCAGCATTAAGGGCCCTGGTGGCCTCACCTTCACTAGCATAATCCAGCCCCGAGGTGTCGCCCGCGCCGGGGTGGTAGGTCACGCTCCGCGGCGCTCGACTCTGATGAGCTTGAGCGCTAGGCCTGCGAAGAATCGGACCGGCTGGTGCATGAGCAGCCAAAGCAGGTGCGTCGGTGGTCAGGCTTCTTGGAAAAAAGCGCTGGCCTGTAGGCGGACCTGAAAAGGGCGGCGCTAAGCTGGGGTTTGTCGAAGTAGCGCTTGTTTCGAGAAAGCCAGCAGAGACTGGCTCTGCGTTTGCAGCACTTCCTGTGCTTTGGACAGACCCTCGCCGGAATGGACTGGATAGAAAGCCTCCTCGTCGAGCGCTTGGGGTGATCTGGGCTGCTGCTGCGGCGTCTGCGCTCTGGGTGTTCGGCGCTATTACCCCCTCTGACAAAATCATCGGGACGATAGAGATGGAAGAGCAAGGTCAGCAGAAATACAGGAGCCACGCAAGAGCGGACGACGCAAATCGAATGTGAAATACGGGCAGCACGGGCGGAATCGAGTTGCGTGTGAACGTAGGCGGCGTCTGAGTGATGACGCTCGTCGCAGAGCGTATGAAGCAATCGAGTTCATTGCACGGCTCGGCCCGGCCGCGAGGCTCCCCGACCCGCTGCTCGGGCGCGTGTGAAGGATACCGCAATAAGACGACCACTCCTACTCACCGGAGAGGCCTTGGTCTTCGCTACCTCGACGAAAGAGACGTGACATATTTTGGCTTTGATGCGGGGTTCTGCGACTTCTGACTTCGGGGCTAGGCAAGGGGACCTTCTCCAGCAGTAATGTAAAGAATGCTGGCTTGTGCCCGTGGTGGAATCTGGATTCAGATTCGGCATGCACCTTGGCTTTGACGCGATCGAATGTGGGCCAGCCTGGTCCTTGCGAGGGATGGCGCTACAGGACGTGCCCTGAGCTGAAGTCGAAATGAGCAAGAGTTTGGTGACGAAGCGCTGGGTGAGTTGGAGTTGATGTATGACGCAACCATTGGGATGAATGGCGTCAAGGCTGTTGGTGGAAAGGTATGAGCGTGGAAGGTTGCGGCGGTCGCGGAGGCATGATCATCTATCTATACTTGCATCATCGACACTCATCGCAACAAGTGTGATCTTGTCGCGCACATAGCGCGCGCAGGCGCTGCAGAGCTACCGGGTACGTGTATGTGTGCAGCAAGCAACCCAAGTCACGGGTGATGAAGTGCGAATCTTCGCTCGCGCATCGAATTTCGATGATCAGCCACCACAGCGAACATAGAGAGCAGAGCTAGCCGTGCCCTGCGATTACACTCATCATTGACTCTGCAATCGTGAATGCCGCACTTCGTCACTCGATCTCGGTCCTCTGCGCTACTCATTCCGAGCGTCTACTACAACAACTACTTGCGCTGTGGCGACTGTGGTACCTGCGTGGCACCGCGGACCATGGCGCATCACAACTCGCGACTTGGAACATTCATCAAATTCGTAATTTCGTGCACGCTGCGCTTTGCGCTGCGCACTCAACGCGGGTGAAGTCACGAATGGGTGGTTTGGGAACAGCTAGGGGAGCAGCAGCGGAATATACTTACGCCGTCATGACTTGTATTCTTGGTTTGTACCGCTGAACTTGCATGCATGCAACGGTTGAAGATTAGATACGGCGGCAAGCCTCATTCATCTGCACCTCGTTTCGATCGAGCGCGGCCATGAGGTATGGAAGGTATACCGCGGCACAACAAGCTGCGCAGGTTGCAGCCACAGATTCACCCGTCAACACGTGATTGCACAGTCACAGTGACTCCGACCATTCAAAAATTGGTCCCTTCTTTTCCATGTTGAATGTGGAGATTGTTCCAGAATGTCGACAAGAGGGCGACCGATGCAATGCATGCATGCCGCTCATGCTTAAACTCCGAGGCGCGAGCTTGCCATACTCTCCCGGCCGTCAGCAGGGCAAATGAGCGATTTTTGCTCATCAGAAGATGCCGCTAGCCCTGCCGGAGAGCGCTGCTTGATTCGCAACAGCCTTGAGCGAGGCATTCTCCCTCGTTCATCCGACGTTGCACGTACATCGCGTGTACCTCTTCTCTGTATATATACAACGCTTACCGATCACGGACTCGCTGTATCTGTCCAATCCCTACTATTCCCATACTTCAAGCCGCGCACAGAGGCTGCGGAGGCTATCTGGGAAACTGCGTGTGATCATCCTACGCAGCTCGTTTCGCCACTTCGGGGCAGAGGTCCGCCCCGCTCATCGCCATGAGCCGCGCTCCGCGCGTGATGTTGAGGACGACGCTGGCCATCCCAGCCATACACTGCCCCTCATGCGTGGAACACATTCGCAGCCTGCTCAGCTCCCTCTCGCACCGAATCGAAGCGAGCGTTTCCATCTCTGGCATCACAGCTTCCTCGGCTTCCTCTGCGAAGAAGCAAGGCCTGTGTGCAACGCCGATCGCAGATGTTTCAGTCTCGCTCATCGACAGCACTGTCTCCTTCACGCATCCTGCTTGCCCGCAGAAAGCTCCAACGAGCTCCATTCTGGACAAGGCATACGTGATCAGTCTGCTTAGTCAAGTACACGACGCGCTTGGCGCAGATGGGTACACTCCACAAGGAGCAGAGACGCGCGAGCTCGGCGCTCGTCCCAGCCACGGCAGGTCCCTCTCTCTACCATGGCTCGACTCTGTGGAAGCTTTCGATGCGGATCTGCCTGCAAACGCAACGGTATCGCCGTCCTCAGCTTTGCCCACCTCTTCGTCTTTCTCCGCTTCGCTCTCCAACTTGAGATCACTGGTGAATCCCTTCCGTCATGACACGGAGGGCAAAGACAAAGGCAATGCGGTCCGCACGGAGGAGCGCTGGCGGCGACATTTGGAGGCTTGTGTCGCTTGTCGAGAAGAGGCGCAGCATACAGTCAATCGAAGGCCAGGTCACGCTGCGAGCTCCGACACGCAACCCCCCGACGGCCCGGATGAGTCCCGCGGGCAACCTAGCGAGGCTTTCAACGTGACGCTAGCTGTAGGTGGCATGAGTGCGTACACACGTCTGACTTCGTCCCTATCGTGCTGCTCACGTCGTGACACGTCTTTACCCCTTACAGCGTGCGCGAGCTGCACAAATGCTGTCACTGCTGCAGCAGAAAGCCTCAACGCCCCTCACCTACCCGCTCGCGTGCGTGACTTTTCTGTGGAGCTCCTTTCCAACTCTGCACGAGCTCTAGTTTCCAGCAAGGAAGATGCTGAAGCGCTAAGATCGACCATCGAAGACGCTGGTTATGACGCGACGCTGGTGAGCATCGCGTCTACAGGCTCATCAATGCACAAGCAGCAGTCGAGGCAGCACCCTACTCGCGATCACTCGAGCGGTCCACCTGTATGGCTAGCAAATCTCGCGATTGGCGGAATGACCTGTGCATCTTGCGTAGGCAACGTCACTGGGGTAGTAAAAGCGAGCATGTCGGACAAGATTGTGATCGAATTCAATGTCTCGCTACTCGAGAATGGGGCGTCAGCGAAACTCCGTGCGGACGACAATCTCGAAGCGCAAAAATGGGCGAAAGAGATATGCCAAGCGATTCAAGACTCTGGCTATGACGCGGAGCTCGCCAGTCTCGAGCTCGACGTCGCCTCTGATGGGCATCTGCCTCATGATGGCGTCTTGGAGAGGAGCGCCAGAATACGTGTGGATGGGATGTTCTGCAATCACTGCGTATTTAAGGTCCAGCGTCATCTTTCTGCCATGATGGAGGACTTTGGACCGGCCTTTAGCGTCGAGCAAGACGACGTGACTGCTTTCAGTCTTTCGCGACCGGTGATCACCGTCTGCTATCTGCCCTCTCGAAAGTTGAATCTGCGCTCGATCATCAAAGCTCTGCAGGATTTGGATCCAGCCTTTTTCGTAGAACACCTGCCAGCGCCATCCTTGGCTTCTCGAAGCGCCAAATTGGCCCGAAAGGAGCTAATGAATTATATCGTCAGGCTCGCCATAGCTTGCATGTTTGTGCCGCCGACGCTCGTGCTGGGTGTGATCGCCCCGATGCTGTCTTCACATCATCCCTTGCGGCACACTTTCGATCGACCAGTGTGGGGCGGCGCTTCTCTGGGTGAGGTGTCCCTGTGGCTTTTGGCCACGCCGGTCCAATTTGGCGTAGGCTCGCTTTTCTACTCTCGATCCATCAAGAGCTTCAAAAGTGTTTGGCGACCGGGTCGCAGCTGGTCAGAAAGGTTACTACGATGGGGCAACATGGAGGTCGGTCGCATTCTGGTTCTGTAACAGCTCAGTGTGCGCGATTTCACATTGACGCGTCGTGCTCCTCTCATCTCAGGTCCTCGTGGCACTCGGCACATCCATCTCTTACTTCGCTTCCCTCGGCTTCATGCTCGTCAATGTGGTTCGCGGTGCAAGTGCGCCCAGTGGAGAGTCTATGACGTTCTTCGACACCAGCGTCTTCCTCATTGCTTTCATCCTCTTGGGCAGGGTACTCGAGGCCTGGTCCAAGCGCAAGACTGGTGACTCTGTCGCTGCTTTGGGAGCCTTGCGCCCGTCAAAGGGACTCCTGGTGCTTTCAGACTGTGAGCACGCCGAGAATACCGGCGGCACTGAGGAGGTAGGCGTAGAGTTGCTGGAGGTGGGCGATCTTGTGCTCGTGCCGACTGGCTCCTCGCCGCCTCTGGACAGCGTCTTAGTCATCACATCCGACTCACGCGGAGCATTGTTCGACGAGTCTAGCTTGACAGGGGAAAGCTTGCCTGCTGCCAAAGGCGACGGCGATCAACTGTATGCCGGAACTGTCAATGTCAGCTCTCATCCGGTTACGGCTCGCGTCACTGCCGTCGTTGGTGACCAGCTGCTCGATGGGATCCTCGACGTTGTTCGCAGCGCTTCGAGCCGCAAAGCTTCTCTCGAGCGCATTGCTGATCGAGTAACGAGCATGTTCGTCCCGCTCATCGTCTATACTGCGGTGATTGTGCTCTGCACGTGGCTTTTGCTGCTCAACTACGTGTTGTCGCCCGCTTGGATCCAGAGAATGGTCCCGCATTCTGCAGAACCGGGAGCTTGGTTCATATTTGCCCTGCGCTTCGCCATCAGCTTTGTCGTCGTTGCATGTCCCTGTGGCATCGGACTTGCCGCACCCACGGCACAAATGGCCGGCATTGGCCTCGCAAGCAAATACGGCATCCTAGCAAACGGCGGTGGAGAAGCTTTTCAATCGGCTTCTCAGTCAGGTGTGAGGGAGACGATTGTCGTCTTCGACAAGACTGGTACTCTGACCGAGGGGGTAGGTCAGGTCGTTGACACAATCACGCTTCCATCGGATGGGTCTCTTTCCGAGAATAGAGTATGGGCTGCCTTGGACATTACCGAGCAAAACAGCTCGCACCCTCTCGCCGATGCGTTGCGTGATCATTGCGCCAAACTTTCTACCGCCTCGGCAAATAGCAAGAGCAGCCTCAAGCTGCGCGACGTTCAAGAGCTGTCGGGCAAAGGCCTACACGCACGTTTCGGTGTAGCAAACGGCGACATCCAGTCTTCGTTCGAGCTGTACGTTGGAAACAGACGTTTGTTGGGCGAAGCGGGTTGTGATGAGCTCTGCGCAGAGGTGATGTCAACAGTTGAAAGCTGGCAGGCAAAAGCGTGGTCACCGGTCTTCGTGGCCATCCGCAGCGAGAAGACTGTAGCGATACGAGCAGTGCTGGCAGTCGCAGATCCCGTCCGGACCGAAGCAAAAGCCCTCGTGGCTTGGCTTCATCGCCAGGCTATCGAGCCTTGGATTGTCAGCGGCGATGCGGAGGCCGTCGCCAAAGCTGTGGGGGCCCAAATCGGCATTCGACCAGAGAACATCGTCGCAGGCGTATTACCAGCCGGTAAAGAGGAGACCATCCGGAGAATTCAAGATGCCGGCGGAGAAAGAGCAGGCATAAAGGCGCGCCACAGTCGAAGCTGCAGCCTTGGCCCATCGCGAGAAGTGCTTGCTCCACTCGTATTTTTTGTGGTGAGTCTCGGGAGGTTGAGGCTTGGGGGCTAGGGGGACTTTTCTTCTGATCCCCTTCTTACTCCTTTATAGGGCGATGGCATCAACGACGCACCAGCATTGACTGCAGCTGATGTTGGCATAGCCATGGGCAGCGGCTCAGCCATAGCTTCGACCAGCGCGGATTTCATTCTCCTCTCTCCTAATGCTCCGCTCTCCTCCATCCCGTCTCTCATCTCTTTGAGTCGAGCAACGACCAACAAAGTGTTGCAGAACTTCGTTTGGGCCGCCGCCTTCAATCTGACGTTGTTGCCCACTGCAGCGGGCATCTTGATGCCGTTGGGTGAGTAATGCCAATTCACCTTCGAGAGCGGGAGCAAGACCTGTTCGGACTGCAGGGCTTGCCCGGCTTTTCGACCTGATGGTATATGAGTCCAGCACGGGCCATGTTCACAAGGTCGTGTTCAAAGATCGCTCGCTAATCCAGCCGCCCTTCCATTGCTTTCCGCAGGTTTCGAGCTTCCCCCTTCTCTCAGTGGACTTGCGATGGCGGTGTCATCGACCTCTGTCGTTCTCAACGCCCTCACGCTCCGTCTTTGGAGGCCGCCGGCCGCTTGGGAGTCCTCCGAAACCACGCCATTGCTACGAAGCTGATACTCTGCTCTGAGCTTTACCCTCCTGCAACACATCATCATCATCGTCTACATGCTTATACCAAGTCTTAGAGACACATCACGTCCTGCAACAGAATTCCGATTTGATTGATGCTACACGTAAAGAGTACTAGAAAGTAACAGAAGTAAGGTCGATGGGGCATAGTTTCGTGAGGGTGCGGGCGGGAACAACAGGAGTAGAATGGGTGGGAAAAGACTCCAATTTGACAAAGAATGCCTACGCCGTTACGGTAGAAGCAAGCTGCTCTTGCTCTTGCACAGCGTCAGCGACATCATCGATGTCATCGTGCGGCGCGTCTTCATTATCGTCGACCTCGACTGTTCGTGCTGCAGCATTGGCAGCCTCGTGCGCTCCATCGACCTGCATGTCGTCTGTCAGCGAAGGGTCGATAGCCTGCTCTTGACCATCCTCAACACTTTGCTCCACGATTTGCTCGGTGGTCTGATGAGCCTCGTGCTCCTGCTGCGATGGCTGCTCGCCGGCCTGTTCATTCGATCCTTCATCCATGGCCGCGTCCTGATCCTGAGCTGACTCTTCTTGCGTGCCATTGACTGCTGCCGGAGCAGGTTCGTCTGCCTGTATGCGCGCCAGGATCTGCTCTAGCGTCAGGGGTTCCTCACGATCAGCATGCGACGATCGAGTGCGAGCTTGCGACGACGACTCGGCTTTGGCGCTATTTGACAGCGCGGCTGATTCGGCTGAAGTAGCAGCGGATGAGCTCTCAGTGGCTGCGATCACCGCCGTATCAGTGGGCACTGAGAACAGAAATTCCGTAGAAAGCCGGGCGGCGCTGTCGCGCAAAGACGTAATGTGCTGCTTGACATCCGTAAACGAGCTGTTGCTGAGCGCTCCGGGATCTTCGAAAGCTTTGGCAAGAATGTCGAGGGCGTTGGAGGCCTGCGTTGCTGCATTGCCCACGTCTGCTCTGGCTTCGATGAGACCACGTCCCAGTTGGGCGAACGCATTGGTTTGCAGCTCCAATTTTGCGCTTTGCGCATCAATCCTTGCAGCTAGTTGTTCGAGACGCTGGGCTTGAGAGTGCGCACCGCCTGCAAGGCGCGAGCCGGATGTCCAACGTACTCCGTCGATTGCTTTCCCCTCGCCATCCGCTCCAGAAGGCCCTGCTATTTGAGACTCGTCTTCCTGCAGCGCAGCACGAAACTTGACAGCTCGCTCCCCATCCTCTCCAGCAGGCAGCGTTCCAAAAGGTGCCTCTTCATCCCCCTTCTTGCGCTTGTTCTTCCGACGCGTGTTCTCCGTTTCCTCTTTGCCCCGTCTTGTGATGGCGCTCAGGAGGGTGGGATTGCCTTGTCTAAAGAACTTCTGCCTGAAAGCCCAGACTGCGGGATTGCCAGGGGTGGAACGGGTCTGATCGTTGATCTTTCTGAAGCCGTACAGATTCAATTGACGCTGGAATGACTGCCAATTGGCATGTTTGAAGTAGCGGGGCAAGACGTTCCTGCTGAACTCGCCCATGTCGAATACTGTGAATGCAGTTCCTGGCTTTTCATCTGGCACCTCTGCATACTCGTTGGGCTCGCACCATCGGATTAGATCTCGCACTTTCCACTCATCAGTGTTGAGCATGTCATACAGCTTTGTGACAAATGCGACGGCCTTGGGAGGATCAGGCTCGAGGCTGGTGAGCGCGCCGCCGGCCGCGTCCTGGCTTTGCGTGTCGCCGAGCGCGTTTGTATCTGTGGCCGACGCTTGCACTTCGCCGCTTTCTCCATTCGCATGGGTATTTTGGGGCTGGCCTTCACCTGCTTGCCCACCGGTCTGCGAATCAGCATCGAGCTCAGCAGCCTCTCGTGGTGCGTCTTGTCCCTCGACCTCTTCGTTTCGAACTTGCTCGCCCGAATTTTGTTCATGGTCTGGGCCTTCGGCGTATGAAGCTTCCTGACCCTCTGCATGCGTACCGCTCGCTGCTGAATAAGCAGAAGGGTCTTCATCACCATGTGCGGTGTGCTGCCCTTCGTGAGCATTATCCGCTTGAGCGTAGGTCTCGTCGGCACCGGATCCATCTTGGAGTGACGCGGTGTATTCGCCAGGCGGATAGTCTTCCACCTGCACATCTCCTCGACCCCCAACAGCTGCCTCTGTGGGCTCGTGCGACGCTTCTGCCTCGCTGACCGCCATCCCATTTGCATGCGCAACATTTGAGGTCAAAGGTGCCGCTTGAGCCGGTGGATTGGGTGAATGCTGAGAAGAAGCTTCAGCGAAACCTGCCGTTGGTGAGGCAGCTGACTGGGCGTATTGGCCTGCAGGAGTGTAAGGTTTGTGGGTCTCGGGATAGTACGGCGCATAAGCTCCGATAGACTGATAGCGACCCTCATCGTCTTGATGCGGGTGCTGGTGTTGAACACTGTGTTGCGAATGCGACTGCTGTGCTACGCCAGCACCGGTGTATGCGCCATTTTGCTGGCCCGCGCCGTACTCGTGCTGCTCCTGGGTAGGATCAGGGTTGTGGTGCGACATGATGAGAAGGTGGCAGCTTCTTCTCTCGAATTTGCGGCCTTGAGCGTCGCAGGAAGCAATTGGTGGAGCGGCGCAAACAAATTCCACCACGATGATGCTTGGAACGCTGCGAGTGCTGAGTCGAGGATAGTGGACCCGCGTGTGGGAGCTACAGCAGCTGGACGGCAGCCAAGGACGAAAGGAAAGGCGATAGGAGTCAGGTCGTAGCAGAAGCGACTCGATGAGCGACTAGCGAATCGCGTCAAAGAGACTGACGACTTGCCCGATCTAAAGTCTCTCTCTTCTCGTGGTGGAACCAACACCTGCTGGGCCCTTGGATCGAGCACGCGTTGCTCGACGAAGACGCGCCAAGTGTGCGCTGCTCGTCGAGTGAGGCAGCTGCTCTGTGATCACAGCGCCGTATTGTGAAGTTCCGGGCGTGTAGCCTATCGTAGCGGCTCAAGGCGCCACGGTTGCGAGTGAGCCCAGCACGCTGCCCCGGATATCCGCTTCTTTACGGAGAAAGCGTCTCGATGTCTCATAAAAATGTCGTGTTGCTACACCGTGCCCGAGAATGTTCGGAGAAGGTTGAGCAGGATGTGAAGGACGGCGCGCGCGCTTGAAACGTACTCAGAACCGCGTATGCGGTAGAGCGAGCGTGCGTGTGGATGGAGAGAAGTCGAGAAGATACTTCACTCAACTCAACTCTTGGCGACGAGGGCTGTGATCCAGCGCATGCATGCCGCGGAAGTGGCTAACTGTCGGCCGAAAGACATCCATGCAGGTATATGGCAGATTCGGATGTCTAGATCACGTGGTCATTCTGCACGTTCACATTCTGATTCTTGATGCTTTTGATTCATTGATTCAGGAGATTTGCATGGCACCCACAATTCCTACCACAAGCACGACTGACCACTGACCACTCGTGAATTTTGACGGCCTGAAATGCCTCCGGTCGGCCGCTCAGCTCATCGATCGGATACAAAAGTCTAAAACAAACTCGACCTCATGCTCCAGGGCTAGCGCAGCGACCGAAGACGGCTCCCCTTTCAGGCTGTTTGCCATCACCCGGCTGAATGCTAATCAGAGCCCTCTGCGCGGCCGCACATCAACTTGGCAGGACGCCGCGAGGCGGCATCAACGCTGCGAACATTCGCACCTTGCACTTCTCCTGCATCGTTCTCAGAATGGCTGAAGCAGGCCCTTCTAATTACGCAGCTCCTCAGCAAGTGTTGCCCGATGGTGCCGTCTCAGAGCCAGATGTGCAAGCCCCTACCGATGCCCAAGCTGTCTCCGAAAGTGAAGGCATGATTGGCGCAGGTCCGAATCTGCAGGAGCTGCAGCAGCCTCTATCCAAGAATGCGCGCAAGCGTCTGCTCAAGATGGAGAGGTTTGAAGCTCAGAAAGCAGCGCGGCGAGCAAGAGACAAGGAAAAGAAAAAGGAGAAACAAGCTCGAAGAAGGGAAGAATCGCGGTCAGAATTGAGAAGTGGAGCAGACTTGATTCGACAGAGACCGCCGCTCAAGATTCGCAAACCTTTTGATGCCGCTGTCTGCATCGACCTCGGCTTCGACGACCTCATGACCGACAAGGCGAGTCGAGACGCTGCACAATCTGCTGATCCACGATCAAAAGTAGAAATGCTTATGCGAATGTCTCTTCATCGCGCAGGAGATCACTTCCATGAGCTCTCAGATCGGCTTCGTGTATGCCTCGAATAAGAGCTCAGCCAGCCCATTTCGCAGACTCGTGTTCAGCGGTCCAGGGCCTCAAACGGCAGGTCATTACGACAAGTCTTCCACCAACGAAAGCAGCGATGCTGCATTTTCCAAAGGGCAGGCGGATGAGGAGAGCGCCAGGAGTATGGTGCCTTTCGCAGAAACTCCGACCGGCAAAAGGATGACGAGCGCTTGGAAGTGGGAGCTTTGGAAGAATATCGAACGTGTGCCCCGAGGTGGTCTGGAGAGCTTGATCGATCACGAGCGAGACATCACGAACGAGCTGAGTCCAGTTGCAGCAGGGCCCACAAAGGACGTCGCCGGCGAGAGGCGTCTCAACAAGGCGGATAGTGTTGACTTGGCTGATGCTGATGCTGATGCTGATGCTGATGCCGATGCCGATGCCGATGCCGATGCTTCTTTGGAAGCCAAGTCCGCAATCAAGGGTTTCCAATCGCAAGACATCATCTACCTGACAGCGGATGGTAGCGAAACATTGACCGACCTTGAAGCTGGCAAGATGTACGTGATCGGTGGCTTGGTCGATCGAAATAGACATAAAGTGAGTGCTCTGGGTGCTGCGTTCCAGTCCTCAAGCGCTTTCGATCCTAATTCTTTGCGGAATGTCCGCCCCATTCGTGCTAGAACATTTGTCTTGACAAGGCGAGAGCGTTGGGTGTGCGGGCTGCAAGGCTACCGATCGACGAAGAGCACCTCGGTCATCGCGCCTTGAACTCGAGAAAAGTTCTCACGGTCAATCAGGTCTTTGATATTCTTCTCGGCTGGTGAGCAGTACGACGAAACACGATAGCACCTCACCCATCCCTTGCGCTGATCCAGCCAACCTTTGTCCCAGGGTGGAGACGCGCGACTGGGCATCCGCACTAGATCGAGGCGTGCCGGGACGCAAGTTTGCTGAAGAGACAAAGAGTCAAAAACGAGCCAGGCTAGCTTCTGCTTCTTCCTCGACTGATCATGAGCGCGGCGCTATCATGCAACACCTTTCTGCCGAAATACCCGCAGTCCAAAAGGCTCGCGCTTCCGAGGGCATAGACGAGGATGAGCTCTACAATGCGTCGAACGTCGCCCGATGAGCCTGGGCTGGAGGCCATAACGCAATGTATTGATCATCACACACACTCGTGGCTTCTTTGCACCGCTGCGTGTGTCTCTTCATAAAGCACGTCAAACAGCGATGGCTTTGAATCAGATCCGATTTGGGCCCGACTCGTGGGACAGGTCGGGCATTAGGAAGCATTTGAGTATGTAGGAGCACCTTACGCGTCAATGGAACAGGATGATGCGAGAGGGGACGGATCGAGACCTTGAGTTGGGGAAAGGGAGGGGGGGAAAAGAACAGTAATTGGAATAGCACAAGCTACGGCCGAACAAGCTGAGACGCGTGGGCGGTACGGGAATGATGGTGATGAAGGACTCGATGTATTGAAGGCTCAAAGGCAGCATTGCAGCCTGTGAGCCGGCTGAGAACTATGAACAAGAAGATGGCGAATGACGATCGACCAGCGCAACGCATGGCTCGTACTCTGCAGAATGGGCCGGCCATTTCAGAAGGGTTGATCAAGCCAGGGGATACTTCGCTTCGTTCACCGCGTCGTGTTGCCTCCGCTCGAAGCCTGCGGCCTTGACGAAGCACCTAAACTTGCAATGCGCGCAAAAGGGGAAGAGATTGAAGTCATAAATGAATGTAGTTTTCAGCTTGCGGACGTGTTGGATGCCGTTGTTGAATCAAGTGATGCGAATGCGTGTCGATGGAAAGGTTATCGTGCTGGGGAGCCTCACTGCAGAAAAGCTCTATGAATCAGGAATACAGGTCGAGGAGCTGAAGGCTAGGAATCGACGCGTGGCACGGCAAGGTGGCAGCCTGCGTTGCGCGTCCTCTGAAGATATGCGCGGCGCGTATGGATGCACGGTGCAGGGTGAATCATACGAAGAAGTGAGTGTAGATGCGGCTTGAAGGAGCAACGGCCATCTCTTCCATCTTGTAGGTATTGAGCTCCTCCTTGATACGTTGGGCGAGTAGTGGCGTAAGCCGATTGCACGTGGCAAGCTCGCCTCTACGATCATAGACGTGTGCAGGCCATGTGGAGTGGAAAATTTGCTGATCGGCGAAGAGGATTCTTTTCTTCTGAGGTGCAGTGACCGAACGGCCAGTCGGCCCGCCGTTTGGGCTCATCATCAGAGAGAGGGTGGGCATCGACGAGTTGGCGTGATGTCCAAGAGGCTGCGGAGGCACGCGAGACGTTGGTGTCGTGTCTGAAGATGATCGGTCTCCTGCAGCAGGCGATTCTGGCCGTGGGGCAACACCATCGATCCGGTCGGTGCCGACAGGTGTGCTAGACACATGTGACATCGACGGCACCCCTGCTGATGCGCCACCAGCTCCTAGACCTGACTGATTGGCGTCGTAGGAGTTGGCCCGTAATCGTCCTGCGAAAGGCTTCTCGAACCCGCCAGGGCTGCTTCCGCCGCCATTGTTTCCTGCAGCTGCTTGCAAGTTGTTGACCGAAAGGCTGTTTTTCAGGATTGGACGAACTGATTTGACGTTGGCAGCACTGGCCCTTGCTTGTTCAATTCCTTCGCCCCAGTGACGTAGGCTATCAGTCTCTCCAAATTCGTCGCCGGAGTCTTCACCACTAGCCCGCATGCCAGGCAAACGAGGCGGCTCGAGCTCTTCATCGTCGTATGCAGCGTCGTACTTGGGATCCTCGTATCCGCTTGCACTTGACCCGGCCATTGGTCCGGCCTGAGCAGCGGAGGATCCATAGCGCGGTCCCGCATCTTCTGGCTCGTTCTCCGTGTAAGGCATGGTTTCGAGCCCAGTTGGCGCAGGAGTGGGGGTCGGGTCACTACTGCCACCGATCAGCTTCTTGCGCCAGCCACGTTTGCTCTTGAGCCGCTCCTTTTCCCTCTCGACCATCTTTTGACGATTTTCAGCTGCATCATCAGTCGTCTTCGACCGATTCTTCGCGCTGCGAGCTTCAGCCTCTGCAGCGGCCGCAAGAGCCGCGGCTGCGATTCGCTCTCTCTCCGCACGCGCCTCCGCTTCGGCACGCATTTGCAGTTGATGCTGTCGCACGTAGGAAGCGGCAGGGGTCATCATATCCGCGGACTCGAGCTCGACGGTAGCGTGGGACACAGAGGCCGCGGCTGGTGCGCCCTTCTTGCTCTTCTCTGCTTTCTTGTCTTTGGGTGCTGGTTGCTCATCGAGCGCGGTAGATGGCGTGCCAAAATCATCGTCGTGGATGCCTTCTCTGCCGGCGTCGCGATCCTTATTGAACATGTTTGTCAAGCCCGCGAGGCTTCTCCGTCTTGCCAGCTTACCGAGATTGCCCACCTTCCGAAGCATGACCGAGGCGCTTGACACTGTCGAGGAGATGGAGAGATTGTCCGATGAGGAATTGAATTTGCGATTGAAGAGGCTTCGCTTGCCGGTTGCTTCTCCTGATCCTGCGATCGGCGGTCTTCCACTACGCTTCGAGCTGATCGAGGCTCCTGACGACGAAGCAATGGGAGCGCCGTTGTCTGGAGTGCGGGGAGGCGATGTGGATCGTGTCGAGCCGGAAGATCCGTTGGTGTCACCAGAGGATTGTTGATGATTCGCGGGCTCCACACGGCGAGCAAGGGGTGAACGAGTTGAGGCAGGGCTGCTCTCCGCCTGTTGAACGTCATTCATGTTCGAGAATGAGAGAGCTTTGCGGAGCTTGCCGAATCCACCCTTCTTGGAGGGCGTTGCGACGGGCGTCGCGCGACCGTCCGCGGTCTCATCATCGCTACCACCGTAGACTGCCCCTCGATCGTCGTCATCTTCGCCCTGCCCATTCGAAGCTTTCATAGCTCGAGAAAGTGGCGAGGGCTTCTTGCCCCCCGCTCCGGGTGCCAAGGTGGTACTGTGAGCAGTGGGAGTAGCAGGAGCGCCACGGATAGAGCTGCTGACGGAAGAGAAAGAGTCTTTGCGAGTATCCGGGGTCGTGGTGGAGTCGGAGGAGCGCATGCTGGCAGATCTTGGGGCCCCATCAGGCCGCCGGGGCAAAGAGTCTGTGGAGGAGCTGGAGGGCACGCCAGCGTTGCGGCCGGTTGCGCCTCTTAAAGAGCCTGCTCCAAGCGTACTCTGCTGCTGCTGCTGCTGTGCGCGTCCAGCGGCCACGGCAGAGTAGGTCACTGGTGGATGAGCGCCTCCCACGCGCTGACTTGCGCTGGTTGCTGAGGTGGTGCTTGACGAGCGGAGACGAGGAGAGCCTGAGGCATCTGGAAGAGGTGGAACACCAGGTGCACCCGTGCCGAACTGGATCGGCTGGGATGCGCTCGCGTCAGACCTACTGGTTCCTCGACGATACGGATGAAAGCTCGACGGTGCGTTCGACGAGCCGCTGTTTGAGGTCGACGACACGACGGAGGAATGCGATGAGGAAGATGCCATTGTACCGCCGGGCAAATTGGTCCGCATGTGTGATGGCGCATTGGTCCCAAAAGAGACACCGGGATAGGCTTGTTGCGTGAGCGTGTCGTTGTAAGTGAGAGGTGGCGCTCTCTGTGGTCCAGAGGTGGTTCGTCGTCTCCTTCCATCCTCTGTGACACTTGAAGCGCTGCCTGCGTTGGATGAGCCCGAGTGGTCATGTGGGGCTGGGTGGCGGCCCTGGGCTTGCGCAGCTAGCATTTGTTGGTACTGCGCCCATGCGAATTGTGGATGACTCCCCATGCTCGGCGCTGTTCCCATAGGCGGAGCTTGACCAAAGGCTGGCATGCCAGGCATGCCGGGCATCAGCTGCAAGGGAAGGATGGCGAAATCGAGTGAGCGAGTCTGCGCGGCTAGTGCATTTGCGTGACACGAGAGGCGCCAACGAAGGAGGCGCAATGCAAGACGCAACGTTGTAACGAGGACTCACGGGACCACCGAAGCCAGCGTGAACATTAGCTACAGAAGGCATTTGATAGCCAAGTTGTGACGCTGGAGGTCCTTGAACCTGTTGATGTACTGGAGTGGATGCAGAGCGAGCGGGGGCACGATCACCGGCTGCTGCAGCGTAGCTTCGAGGCTGTGGGGAAGTAGAAGCGCCCCGTCCCTGCGCACTGCTGGTGGGTGCGGTCAAGCTCGAGGTGGAGGAAGAATGAGAGACCTGCTTCAGACTGTCGACATTCGAGCTGGAGGAGAGGGGACCGCTGGAGCCTGATCGAGGCTCATCCTGAGTAGCAGAGCCAGAGGATGGCTCGTCAAAGAGCGGCGATGAGGGCGGAGGGGTCCAGTTGAGCGCGAGCATGTCGAACAAGCCTCTTATGACCAGTCCACGGCACCGTAGGAGCAAGAATGTCAGGCTTGGAACGAATCACACAGGCAAACGGGCGCAAGCGTGGTCAACTTGGCATCAGAAGCAACAAATATGGCCTCGTGCTCGTCACCCCTTCGACAGGCGCGATAATGATCCTGACTGCTTTGCGCTCCGCGACTTGACTCACTGACGACAATGAAGCTAGTAGAAAGTGGCTGAGAGCGCCACCACCGCTCTAGAATCAAAGCTGTTCTGTCTCCCTGACAACTAGACCCGTGCTTGCAGCCCCCCTCCGAGCGGCTGGCGAGGCTCTGCTAGTAGAAAGAGCCGACGACAGAAATGGGCGAACTTGTTTGCGAGCTGAACCAAGACCAAAAGGGGACAGTAGGAGTTGAGAAGGCAAGTGCTCCCAACACAGCGCTAGGCGTAGTCTAGCTACGGAAGCACGCTGCACGATGAAATCGACCAGTTCCACGGGCGCGAGATACGAGGTGAATCGTGGACCGTAGGAGATGGATGGCACGGGAGATGGGTGATCTTGAGAAACTTGAACTATCAACAGAATGTGAATAGTCCATTGAATGTCGGTCGGCAACAAGAAGATGTCGGATGCCAGTCGAGCGACGCGCGGTCGCGATCAGCAGGTGCTCAGGTCGGTTCGGTCGGAGTAGTAAGGGATGGGCCAGGCGATAGGGTGCTGGCCGTTTCTTTCTTACGTCCTCCCTCGCCTGCTGCTGGGTGGTGCAGCGGTGCGAGTGCACCGGCGGGGATGCGCACCCAGTATAGCAAGCGAGCAGCAGCAGGCTCTGTGCTGCTGGTCTGACCTTCGCGTGATACGGCTCAACGAATTCATGCGCACTTGAGCAGTGCTGGTGTCTCGGGCCATGACACCAGTCGTGAGCTTCATCGGCTCTGGACGAGGGCGCGTCATCGCAGCAAAGCAGCTCGTCGCGATCTATGCTGGCAGCACCATGCAGCAGCCGCGCGCAAGTTTCGAGTCGTGATCAGTCGAGCGCGCGCTGGGTCCGCAATTTGGAACGCGGAAGTGCATGGGCATGCGCCAGCGGCCATGCCTGCAGCGCGCGCATGAGGGGCTCATGCACCGCCGCCATGAGCTTCGCTCTCGCGAGCCCGGCCGCGCGGCCCTTTCGAAGTCTCCTCTTCCGCCCCAGCGTTTTCTATAACAGCACAGGCGAAGCGAGATTGCTGATGATACCGCACAGCATATGCTGTACGTTATGCGCAACACTCGTGACTTGAGCGATGTGAGTCGCGAGTCACGTTGAGTGATGAGTCAATCGCGAATAGTCTTGAGAGTCAGCAAGTGATCGAGCGCGCACACAGAGTCACGAGTCGTGAGTATATGCATGGTGTCCTCGATCGTGACTGTGCAGTCACGAAGTCTGGCAAGTATACGCAGGGCGCGGCCGCCAAGCGCAAGCTATATCCACAAGTCGCACGGCATGACGTTTCTCGTCTCTGTTGTACATACAGTCGTGAGTAATAATGAGTCGTGAGTGAGTACACCGCTCGGTGCTGCCAATCACCCAGCTCTATATACCCGCCTTCACAGCGAGCGATAGGTCGCACGCAGCTCTCATGTCTGCTGTCTTGCATGCAGCAAGCGACCACGATGACCAGGATGCATGCACGCAGCGGTAGCGACAGGGTGCGCGGTGCACCGCAAGGCCACCACCATCAGACACGAGAGCAGCTATAGTCGTGGGTAGCGCGCTGAATAATATAATCGTGAATACACCACAAGCGCACCTGTACGAACCTGGATGCACGACAACGCACCTGCTGCTGCTGAATCGAAGACGCTTTTGGCGCAGACACGCCCATGCAGCAGCGCAGGGCAGACATGCCAATTGATGATTGTGATAGCTGCTGATGTTCCAAATAGACGCACTCGATTTTGATTGTGACTTTCGCACACACCGGTCATAGTTCCTGATTGACTCATTTTGGAGGGCTACGCAGTCACTGCGGCGATGTTGCGGGGGGAACCTGATGATGGTGATGAGTCAGAATCAGTGATTATCACCCTGACTTCCACCTCGGCCTCGAGCTCCTATAGTCGCGCTTCTTCAAGTCAGGAAGTTGCCAATATTGAGCTGATTTCTATCTGCTGGCTTCCCTTGCGGACCCCACTCTTTGAGTGACTCGCGTCCCAGGTAGGGGCAGACGAAAGTGTCGCATTCGATTGACCTGAAGCCTCATCGATCGCAGAACGCAGGTAAAATGACCACCCCCATTCGTGATTTTGTACTCACGACTGATGAGTCTAGTCACGAGCAAAAGGGGAGAGGCGCGCAGCTGCTGTGAGCTCAGGCTCACGTCGTGCACGCTACGACCAGGGGGGGAGGCGGCGACTCAAGACTGATGAAAGTCTGATGAGCGCTTGAGCCTCACCAAAGTGCATACTTTGATATTATCCGACACGCTCTTGTTATCATTACGCGTGCACTGGCTAGACTGTGACTAAAGGCGTTTCCGGTCAAATGTGCGAAAGACGCATGGATGCCGTCCCCAGCTGCGAAAAGCAATCGTCGACACCCGTCGTCATCACGGTGATGGCCATTCGACAGCGCATGTGAAATCCCACAGCGCTTGCCTGCCTTGGACTTCGAGATTCATCCGGCTGCTTAACCAGCGTATGATTGAACCATATGCATCTCCAGACAAGCACGCCCAAACGATTGAAAAGGAGAGCCGATTCTGCCCATGCGTACACATGGAGCTGAATCGTCTTGCACGCCATCTCGTCGGTCTTCGATTCGACGGTCCGAATCGAAGATGGTCGATCGTTGCACGATCACCACGTGCGTGCGGATCGGAGAGCGCGCCAGCGACGAGAGACACATGATCCGAAGTTCAAGAGTATTGCGCAGGTGGCCATTGAACCCTGCAAGAGTCTTTTCCCGTGGTCATACCCGTTGCAATCACTGAACGTCCCAAATATTGGTGACTCGAATCGAGTCACAGGCGAGAATCGTGAGTCTTGAGTTACAGAATCAAAGTGGCGACTGTTGACTCAAGACTGGCGCGCCATTCGAAATTGCATGGGGCCTCACGTGAAGGTGTGCCTTCGGTTCGTCAATCCGCTGCCGGCATTCAGCACCGCATTACCTCGCCAAAGCACGTCGGAGCATGTGCGATTCAACATTCACTCCAGACTTCGGACAAATCGCACGAGCACACTTGCTGAAGTGCAAATCTTGTAGAGTCCGACCGCTCCGTTTCTGGTTCGCGGCGGGCCATCGAATGTCGAGCACTTTCTTCCACTCGAATCGGCGCAGGAGTCACTGAATGGCAGGACTGAGCAAGAAGTTGGGCGAAGAGTCGTCTCTCGCCTTTAGTCTGGTTCGTGGCTGAAAAGTGACGACGGTAAGAAGAAGCTTTGTCTGTGTCATTCAAGTCGCAACACGGCGCAGCATAGAACAACATTGCAATTTTGGAGGTAGAGAGTCAGAAGCATGGTGCAATCGAGAGAAGAAGTACACTTAAGGGTCCCTAGAGCAGGAAAGGCAAGTAAGGGTCGAAGGAGCCACCGAACAACTTCTATCTTATCCAACGGAAGCACAGCGGTCAGGGCTTATCTCCATTGTCAGCTTCTTCAATTTTAGCCTCAACCTCAGCGCCGTCACCTGAGGGAGCGGCAGTGCTCTTCGCGGCAGGAGAGGCGCGTCGCTCAGTGGAGGAGTCGTCCAATTCCCCTTCCTCTGGCGATGGCGCAGAATTTGGCTGAGGAGGTGCGACTGATGCCGTGGATGCCACCGCGGGCGGCTTCGCGTCGGGATCCGGATTGCTTGGAGTCGTTCCAGCGGGCCCCGCGTTGCTGCTTGCAGTTGCAGATTTAATGCCCTCTGCATCCTTTTGGACACGGTCAGCCACCTCCATCGCATCGTCTTCTGCGCCGCCTTCCACATTTCGGGCTCGCTTTTCAGTCACGCGGGGTGATACGTCTGCTGACCGTGGATCGGTGTCATCGTTTGGCCTTTTACCGAGGATGCTGGAAGCGCGCGCGTTGCTGCCATCGTCAGGAATCGGCGCTGCATTCCGCTGGCTCCGAGACGCATCTTGAGCGTCATCTGCAGAATGCAAATGGGCGGCAGGTTGTGCTGACCTCGCTCGTTCGCTCTGCATCGAATCAGCGCTCAGACCTCCTTTGGCCGGAGGAGAGGCAGTGCGACGTGAGGAAGGATGGTCCAAAGTGGGCGGGCGAGCAGGAAGGCTACTGGAAGCGGATGCGGCGCCAGCGAGCCCCATCAACGCATCTGCTGCACCATTGTCGTAGTCCTCATCCACACTACGCGAAGCGATCGGAGCTTGCGACCGTTGTGCTGCATGCGAAGCGCTGAGACCAGCTGCCAGGGGTCTGCTGCCAGATGAGGCGTCAGAACCCGCAGGCGAGCCGCGGTCAGAAGTTGGCGACATCCTCGTCTTGACGCGATCTGGACTTCGAACACCTCCGCGGCTGCCGCCAAAGGTTGACGCAGGTCGAGAGCTACCCGGCGACTGCGATCGAGAGCTGCCGTTTGCTTTTCGGCGCGAAGGAGACGGGCCTGGTGCTTCGGTTTTGGGCTTCGCGCTGCGACGACCAGCTTTGCGCTTACTCGCTGAGCCGTGGCCATCACCGAACGGTGTCTCTCGCGTAGGCTCACCATTGTGCGAGCCAGTGTCCGAGTGACGAGTGGGCTCGGATCGATCGTTGAGGGGATCATAGCGACCGCTGCCGCTGATGATAGGCGGTGGAGGTGGACCAAACCCGCTTGGGCCTCGGCTATACCGATCACGATCTCTGTCTCTCTCACGCTCTCGCTCTCGGTCATAGGCCGGATCGTATCTCCCGTAAGGCTGTCTCTCAAACGGAAGAGGTGGCGCTCCTGCAGGTCCGCTCCGTCCGTTGGCATACCCACTATGGCCAGAGTGCTCGTCTGGGTGGCTCCCTCTTGGCGCTCCGCCGTAGCCACGGCGCGAATGCTCCTCTTGCTCACGATCGCGTGGACCATCGTGTTCGCGCTCTCTGTCATAGGCGTTGTTGCGCCCATTGCCGTCCCATTGCCGAAGTGGTCCAGGAGGACCTGGTTGATTGAATCCGCGAGGACCGGGCGAAGTACGTTCGTGCTGGAAGCGGTGATGCTGCGGTGGTGAACGGCCGCTCTCGTTGATAGGAGGCGCATCCATGGGAGCCAGTGTCGCATGACTAGAGGATTTGGTGCCGCGGTCGTCAATGTTGGGAATAGATGGAGGTCGTCCCCCGCGGAAACCTTGTGGCGGCGAAGGGCTACGCTTAGGTCCTGGCAACTCTCGCATTGGACCGCCATCAGGGCCTGGAAGGCCTTGCGGAGGGAAAGCGGCAGAAGGCGGTCCATTGCCATTGGCACCGATACGCGAAGGGGGCCCTGGAGGTTGCGCGCCACCCACACTCGCGTACGCGGTGGGATGCACGTCTTGAGGAATCGGTGCGGATGAGACCTGCTCTCCCTTAGCTTCAGCGTTGCGGAGTAAGTTGAGCCGTTGCTGAATGTGAGGGTTCTCGGGGTCCAACTCGGCCGCTCGAGCGTAGGCATCGATAGCGTCAGAGATTTGGTTGTTGCAGGACTCGTACAAGCTGCCTAGATCGAACCAAACCTCGGAAATGTAAGGGTTGAGGCGAATAGCACGCGAGTATGCATCAAGTGCATCGCGGAACTGATTGATCTGGTAGTAGAGCACGCCGATAGAGCACCAGAATGTCGGATTCTTTCCGTCTCGATACACAGCCTGCTGGTACGCCTCGTAGGCTTTGTTGTAGTTCTGGCCAGCCATGTAAGCGCGACCGAGCAGGTACCAGCTTTGAGCATCGTTGGCGTCTGACTCAAGGCTCTTGGTCAAGAATTGAATGGCGCGCTCTTGATTCTGGAATCCCGCACTCGATTGGTGGTAAAGCCATCCAAGCTGCTGCAGGACTTTCGCGTGGTGGGGATTTTCCGCGAGCACGCGCTCGTACGCGTCCTTTGCAGCGCCAAACTGGACGGGTCGACCAAGAAAAGAAAAGCGTGAGTGGCCAAGTCACTGTGCAAGCATTTGGGCAATGGATATGCTCACGTCCTTTTGCTGTTCGTAGACGTGACCGATCTGAAACCAGATGTCAATCTCGGTGAGGGGCCGAGGAGGGCTAGACAGGATGTAACGGAAGCATTCTAGACTGTGCTGGTACTTGTTCTGCTGCTTGTAGATGATGCCAAGGCGGAAATAAATTTCGTTCGCTTTCTCGTAATCTGCCATACACACAGTGCACGCGTTGTAAGTAAGGCTGTATGATAGCCACATCGAAACCCTTATCACTCACTGGGATCCATTCGCACGACACTTGCGAAAGCTTCTTCAGCGTGCTCAAGGCTTCCGTAGCGGTCGTACAGAATGCCAATACCATACCAAAGCTTGGGCTCCTTAGGATTCGGAAGGTGGTACAGCGCTTGCTGGTACGCAGTGTATGCTTTTTGCAGATCGTCCATCATGAGATAACAGTGACCTGCAGCAGCGGCCGGGATGCAAAGCGTTTTGCCTTCAGCACCAGAGGCGAGGGCCCATTACCTAATGCGTGAAGCCACATTCTCGACTCACCCATGGCGCCCCAAGTCTCCCCATTCTCTGGCACAATATTAAGGACACGCTGGAAGTATTCCACTGCTTTTTCAAAGTGGTCCATCGTTCGATGCACCCCAGCGATGGCACTGATGGCTGGAACAGAGTAGGGGTTGTGGCGGAGAGCGGCTTCGTATGCAGCAATGGCTCTGTCGAAGTCTTCCATCGCATCAGCAGCAGATCCTAATTTTGTGGCAAGCAGCAAGTAAGGGGAGACGCTCCGATCAGCTAAGCAATAGACCTCGAGCGTAATTTTGGCGTGATTACCTACCTATAGATATCCAAGCATTCTCATTGGCTTGCGCTAATTTTTGCATGATGCCAGCTGGCTGACCTACACTTCCATCCATGGGGTGCTGTCCGGCAGCAGAGGAAGCGCGAGTGGGGGGTCCATCGATGGGTGCGCTGGGCCCTCCTGCCGCGGAGCCTGGGCCTGCTCCTGGTCCGCCAGGTGGCATAGAAGCAGCGTGACTGCCTCCTGGAACTCCGTTAGGTGCCGCGCCAGGTGGAGGTAGAACACCGCCAGGTCCCGCGTTCTGCATAGAGCGCGAGGCGGGCACGCCAGGCGGGGGTCCCATCCCATTTGACGACAATCCTGGAGGAGGGGGAGGAGGCCCGTGGGACACAACGTGGTGCGAGGGTGGTCCAAGTCCATGAGGTGCTGGTGGCATGCCATGCTGCGCAACCACAGAGCCGTGAGGTGCTGGGGGTGGTGGAGGGCCGCCTGCGCCGCCGCCGTGTTGTCCATAATGAGCAGGATGCAAGCCATAATGCGGATGGGGACCAGCGGGCGAGCCTGCACCAGGATGATGACCGTGATGCACGATGCTGCCTGCCTGTGAGGGCGGCATCGTGTTCGCGAAGGATGAATGTGTAACGCTTGCGATCTTCTCGAGCGAAAGTCTCAGGCCACAAAAGTAGACACCAAAGCCAGCGGAAATCGTCGGTGTGGCTAGCCGCTATTCCTGTCGTGTTGTCAAAGGAAGGGTGTCGAATGTAGGTCAGATTTTGGGAACCACTGCTGCGCGAGTGTAATCAAAGACGGGAATGGACGGTCGCTGGCAAGAGGCGCGGGCGATGGCTCTGAAAACGCAAGAGGACGCAGCCGCTATATCTGACAGAGCGCAGGCGGCGGCGAGAGCCCGCCATCAGCTAAGGAGTGCACTTAATCGTGTAGCTCGGGCGGTGCGAAGTGACCTGGCGGCAGCATATGAAATCGCAGCTATAGTCTGACTGCATGCAGCAGCACAGCAAACCTAGACTCTGACACCAGCAATTATTCTGTGACCTGAGTAAGCACCTGGAACAGATTGTTGGTAGATTGCTCAGAGGCGCGGAGTGGATGTGCCAAGGCAGTTAGACGCTGTAGCGCCGTTGCAGGATGAGCGCACGGGCCGATTGGAGCCACACTTTGCCACCCTCCAATATCACGATGTAACCGATCGACTTTTGATTGCAGGTCGGACACGCCAAAGCGCAATTTAGAGTGGGCCGCCATGCACGCAGCTGCTGTAGAAGCTAAGCCCCTCCAAAATGACCGCGCGTAATCGAGACCCGCGTATCAAATTTGGAGCGGGCAACGCGTCCGCCCTCGAGTTAGACGTACGTGTTGCACGAGCTATATATGTAGGATGGATCATTGGCGACCGGCGCGGCTCATCAAGTCTGAGGCAGATTCTCATTCTTGATTACAGCGCGTGGCGTCATTCCGACGGGCGCTGACTACGCGTGCGTCAAACGATGATGGAGCTGTGCCTTGCTTGCTGCGTCCGCCCAAAGTGATGCGAGCTGATGATGCATGCAGGGCGCAGTCTACCGCAGAGCCCCAGATATGTCTCACGTTGAACGCGTAGATCGCCGTGGGCTTTTCCGAGACGGTATTTTCTAAAACGGAAGCTAGGAGTCTCGCCACGATCGAGGCGCCGTCCGGGGACGCAGACCGCAATCACGAATCACGAATGTACGCGTGAATGATTGCATCGCGGGGTCACGAGCGTGGCTTGCCGTGCACTTTCGAAGCGCACCAGACCGGTTTGCTGCGTTCATACGCGCACGTACCGGTATAAAGGGCGTTCCGCGGGGCGTCCAGCGCGATAGACCCCCTCACACCTCGCTTCGCCAATTTACGTCTGAAACGAACGCAGCTTTTAACTTGAAACAGCTCGACAATGAGGCTGTAGAGGCCATGCAACAACACAGCCTCTGTTTAGCTTGTCTTCGCTGGTGTGACCGGGTGGCAGAGAGTCACAATTGTGGGCAGCTAGAGTCTCTGTGCCCTGCAGCGTATAACGTTGTGCCAGCACACCAATCTTCCCGTCGCGAGCGATGCCGTCGCGGATGACTCAAGTATCATTCGTGGGCAAGAACAGGCCAAGGCCAAAGAGACGCGGGGCAGCTTGCGACCTTGCGAGCTTGCAGCTTCCGATGGTTGATCGGGACGGAGGTCTGACCATTTGTACGCGTAACGCGAGCTACTCACAAAGATCCCTGTCTGACTCTCCTCGGGCCTTCAATTCGCGGCTTTCGAGCGCAATTGGACTCTCCTCCACAGAATGAGGACCGCGAGACAGCAAGACTTTCCGGTCTCTGCCACCAGGCAACCACAGATGACGTATCTGGCTGCGAGAAGGCCTACTTTGACGCCAATAGTCCCGGCAATATCTCGGGTAGACGTACCCTGGGCGATGTGCCTTGGTGCGCAAGAGCACAGAATCCGAATCGTCTGCGTTGTAGATATACGCCGCCTTGAATGTTGACGGCGAGCACCTGCCGGTGTCGTGACGATGCTCGGGCCAAAGTGGTGGATAAAACAGGTCTCTGAATGTGCAGACAAACGCTTGTGGAACGCGTGAACGGCTTCCTTCTTCTTCGCGATGCGAGCGCACGGCAGGCGGCGGAAGCCTTGGCTGCGATTGTTGTCTCCGCGAGTCTTGTTCACCTGCTGAGACAAGCGCAAGATCGAGCCGGAGCAGCAGTAACGACCCGCGTGAGAGACGACTGCTTTGAGACACGGTCGACAAGTCTTGCCCGAGACCAGAGGTCCGCAAAGGTTCGTGAGATTGTTCACAAGGTCGATGAGGGACTGCAGAAATAGCTTATAGAAACGTCGTCATCAGCTCGTTGGGGAGGCAAAGGAGGCGAGTGTCAGGAATGCGCGTGATCGCGATGAGGGATGGATGGATGGTGGAGCAATTGCATGAGGATGTGGAAGCAGCGGTCGCGCGCGGGGTCTCATCGCGGGCATTTGAAAGCAATCACTTGCTAGCTCTTGCGCGCAAGCGTCCGTAAGCGGAAGACCACACCTTGTGATTGCTTGCTGCATGCTGTGCCCACCACAGCGCCCACAGCTTGACTGTAAAGATGCTCGCGTACCACGTACGCAAGAGCTGCCGGCGAAGATCGCGCTGCGCTGGCTTGATTCTCAGGTGGACCTAATGCAGGGCACGTCAACGTCTCTTTGCATGCAGCAGCATCGCAGCGGCGGGACCGTTCAGGGCCCGGGGTCGTCAGCAAGCAAGCAAGCAAGCAGATGCGAGGGAAGGAAGGCACCATGCGACTTCCATGCCCGCAATCTACGAGGAGCGGCGTCTGAAACGAACGGTCATACAGCTGCTGTCAGATTGCCCTTGACGTTTCCACACGCATCCGCAAAAAGAGCACAAGAGCGGTGTCTCAGACTGGTCGCGGACCATATATAGTTTTAGTAGGAGTAGTGTGTGCTCTAGCGCTAAGCTCCCGCAAAGCCAAATGAAGAATCTGAATGAAGGGGCTCTCGCATCACTCATGGGAGGAGGACAGCTAGGAGCAGCAGCAGCAGTAGCAAGAGCAGCGACGGTCCGGCAGTCGATGTACAGCAGGCACGCCTCGCCTTCTGCGTTCAAGGTCACAGACGATCTTGGGTCCACACCGCTGTTCCAAGTTGGAGTGCCGACCTTCAGCTGCTGGTTGTTGCCACACTCCTTGTACTGCTCAGATGCTCGCATGCATGAGGACGGAGGGCCAAACGGAGCGCAGCAAAATATCGGCCCGCATTGCAGTGCATTGCATTGCATCAGACACATGCAGTGGAGAGTCCAGTAGCGCACTTGTGTGCCATCTAGCTGGCACGGCCCATCCACAACGTGTTTAAGCCACGACCGTAGGCAGCAGAGTGGACGCAACTGCGCATCTCGCATCCAGCAGCCGAGCCAAATCTGGGGCAGCAAGTGCGTAGCAGGCAGCAGTCGTGTGGCTGTCGCAGAGCCCCGTCGCAGTCATTGCTTGACTGCCATGCAGCTTGCGCAGGCCATTCAACCCGATGGCCAGCGGCCGTCAGCTTCACAGCTTTGCTGAGAACAAACCACAACAGTCTCCTGAAGGACACGTAACATGAGGACCGCGACAGCTTGCCTTTCACGGTTGGATCAGAAGCATCGACCGAGCTTGAGTTACTCATCAAGTGAAGAGCTCGAATCTCGGTCACCGGACTGTGAGGAACACTGGCTGGCAGCAGTAGTGTAGCGCTGCGGGGGGGGTTTGATCTGCGCAAGCTACCCCTGGGCCACCTTCCCGCAGGACTCGTGACTGCTGAGTGTACACCTCGGACGTCACGTCAGCTAGGTGCTCGGAATCCTTGAGCGCGGGAAGGAAATGCGTGGCTGGCTCGACGTATGGCGGAGATTCACGATTGCATTTGCCAGCAGCAGCACTCACGACTCACGAAGAGAGTGCACGCTCATGATGGAGCTTACGCGCTGATGCGGTCTTCCAAGCCCCTGCTGCAAGCCGTTACCCGTACTGTGTATATCGAGCGTCATCGAGTGCGCGAGCTGAGCTTGGAATTCCACGCGATCTCCGACGCGCTCGGCTGGTCGACGCTTGGACCGCGTCCTGCTGGAAACCTTGGCTTCGAAGCATGCAGGGCTTCAATCTCCGCTGGGAGTCTGCCCGCGCATCCGGCTGCAGCTTTGGGATCGGGGAGTAGCGAGCGACAGGCGGCTGCGCCGCGACTTGAAGATTCATTCCGAAGGGGTCCGTCCACCTACAGTCTGAGTACATGCTGACCCAAACCTGGCTTCGTCCTCATACCGGCAGCCGCCTGAATAAGCACGGTCGCGAGGCTGGCAATCGAGAAGCGAGGATCGGCCCAAGGCAAGCAGCCACTCTTGCTACGTCGCGGCGGCAGAAGTAGTCACGAGTAGTATATACGGCTGGCTTCATGAGGTCGCTGCTGTGCTTCTGCTAGTCCGGTACAGTAGAAGAGCGCACCTGAGGTCGTTCAGGGTGACAAGGATTCCAAAGTGAGAGTTACAACAGTGCGCGCTGCGTAACACTGTCTTGAACCATAACGTAACCCACGCACGACTCTGACTGTTGGATTGCACCGCTTATGAGGGTCGCGCAAACAGCAGCTTTGCCAAGATGAGAGCCGAACAGAGTTTACAGTACCAGTCACCAGTGGGCCGTCGACGCATTCTGCTCGAACCGGTGCCGGTACTGTGACCACAGTGTGGCTGGCGCAGCCAAAGAGATGAGACGCTGACAAAATTGCGAAGGGCACCGCGCGCTAGCTAGCGCACGTCGTCAGATGAGGTTCGGCGTGCGGTAGCGTGTGTTTAGCGAAATCACGAATCTCGACGGGTAAGCGCCGAAATAGAGGACTTGTGCTGCAGAACAGAATACGCGTTCGATTAAGCATCCGAGCTGGCTGTTGACTGGGCTTCCTCCCACTGCCGACCAGCATCCCATACTCAAGTCACCCTCGCCGCTATTCACAATTCCTCGTCATCCGAGGCGGCCATGATGCCGCAGCCGCAATCCCGCTATCCCACCAGAAGCAGATAAGGGTTACAGTGGAAGACCCTCAGCGAGACCGCATGCCCCGACAAACCCAAGGCTCCTCAAAGCGACCACACGGCTCATCAGCGAGCAATAAAGGTGCGGGACGCAAGGATCATTCCTTGCTCCGATCTGCCCACAGCAAGCGCAAGGCTTGATGCCCGGCATTTGGTTTCTGCATCCGACGCGAGCGTGAGCGATATAGCCACGAGTATGCGTTCTTGCGGCAGCAGCACTTACCAATCATCTTGACGAGTCACAGCTGATGTATATATAGGCAGTCACGCAGTCGCGACGATGTGCTGCACCCGCCGCGCATCGGTCGCGCTTGCTTGCACGCCGGCCGGGACCGCTCTAAGAGGCCGGATCCATCAGCGCATTAGCGCGCACATGCATGCCGGCTAGCTTGCGCGCGTGCGTGTGCCTGAACGCTCGCCCTCGCACCTATCATGCGCCTTTCCATATATCTGCTCGCCGCTCATCTTGCGTGGCACCCGTTACGCGTCGTGAGCTGTGCGCGCCCGCGCTGGTGAGCCGTAGCATTGCTGCTGTGACGTGGAGTCTTGCTCAGCAAGCACCCGCGTTGCACCTTGCGGGGCCAATGACCAACCAACCCGACCAATGGCCGACGCGAGCAAGGGGCTTGACCAGCCATCATTTGACCGTTCCGCGCGCAAACATGCGCGCGCCGACAGTTGCAATTCAAGGTTTCGAAACGGAGCAAATTGTATTCGGAAATTGGGTTAGACGAAGATCTGATGCGCTTCTTGGCCAAAGTATTTGCATGCAATCGTTGCTAGGTTCTAGTATGCCTGTAGCTCGTGCGTCGTAAAAAGAAGGTGTGGGAATGCTCTTCTGCCTGGCAAGCGCGAGAGAGCGGCATCACGGGAATGGGGAGTTGAAGTGCGTGGCTCGAGGTTATTGTGGTGCTCGACCGATGCCCATTCCCACTCGGACGAGGGTCTCCAGAGACTGCTTGGAATTATCTAGCAGGTCTTTGTCGAATTCGACAGCACCCTTGGGGAACACCAGTAGGATGGTCGATCCTCCAAAAGCGAAGTATCCGATCTAGACCCGGAATGGAGCGATCATCGTCAGCAATGCGCAGGGCGTCAAAGAAGGACCGCAAAGGCTTGCTTACCTCGTCGCCGCGCTTGATTTTGTCACCAGTCTTGACAGTCTGAATGCTGGAGCCGACCAGCATGGCGCCGATGCACACGTACAGCACACGACCAAACTCCTCCGTGTGAAGCTCGACGATGGTCCGCACATTAGCGCAGTATACCTCTACCGTGGACCGAATAGCTTGAGGATTGACCTGGAAGCGACAGACTCGTCAGAGGCGCTTAGCTCCACATGAGGAGCTTGCTCTGCCGACTCACCGTATAGTACTCTCCAGGAATCGGCGTGATTTCGCCGACTGTAGCATCTACAGGAGAGTGATACCTGTGATAGTCTTGAGGCGCAAGCCGAAAGATGGCAAGCGGTCCATTGTCGTACGCGCTGGCGTCTTTGTACTGGTCGCCTAGCAAGTTCGGAATCGTAAATTGTTTGCCTTTGATCCAGAACTTCTTCGAGTCTTCCACAGATTGAAAGGCCTGCATGCGGCAATCTGCACCAGAAACTAGCCTCTTATGATTCTCGAGCTCATCGACCGGCCTGGCATCCGGCTTGAGCTTGCGGTAGAAGAACTGATTGAAAGTCTTGAAACTGGCACATACAAGGTGAGGGCATTCGCAACGAGTGGTGTGAGCTCGATCCTGCTCGAAGAACGCTGACAAGACCTTGCGCAATCGCTCACTTCTCTAATGGCTCAAGAACTTCGTCCATCTTCAAGTTGTGAAACGCGATGAAGCTAGGGATCTCACGGGCAGACGCTGGATCGTCGAATTTTGCGCCCTGCTTGACGCTCATGTTGTGCAGCATGCGACGCACTCGAGCACCTTCCATGCGAGACTTTCCACCTCGATACAGCAGTCTAATACCGAGCCGAACGTACACTGCCATCTTTTCTTCCAATAATTCACCTGTGACGCGATCCTATATGAAAAACCGATCAAAAGGCTCAGTACAGTTTCCCGTAGCGACCTTGCCAGATAAACTCACCTGCACGATAATGTTAGCAGAGTCTGCGCCCAGCTTGTAGTCACCTTGACTGATGCGAGTCAGGACTTTAGTGTACCACTTGCGCTGTGCTTGTGATGCAGTGACGAAATTTGACACCATCAGAGAATCGACACGTCTCCAGTCCTGCGAAGCGCAGACAGCTAGATGTGTGATGATGTCGACCTCTGCTTTCCTGCCTAAGCGTGGCATGTGACAAAGTGGACATGACTTGCAATAGATGACGCGCTCCTTGACTTGGCTGTTCACTCTCGGAGCACCTCCTGCATGCTGCGAAAACGATGATCCTGACGAGGCACCTCGATGCGCGCTGGCCAGCGGGCTGCTTGAGGTCGAATTCGCTGAGCTTGAGGTGGCGGACGAGGACAAGGATAGCTGACTCATATCGCGCGCAATGACTCCCGGCACTGAGGCACCTGGTGGAGTTAGCCGCTTTGAGCTGGGCTCATTTTCAGAAGCGGATGGCTCGACCGCTGCAAGGCTTGATAGACCAGCGTTCTTGGCAAGTTGTGTCTCCGAAGCAATCGGGGCATTCGGGCCAGAGTAGTCCAGCGCGTTAGCCGTCACCTCGACTGCTGGGGTGACCGTCCCGCTCGCCGGGCCACTGACGTCTCCATCCGACCTCGCCGTTCTCTTCTCGTCCCACGTCTTGTTCACTTCGGCTTCCAAGGACAGAATGGCCTGGGCGGTTGATCAAGGTGTTGTCAGCATGTGTCAATGATGCGCTTGCATAACTACATACACACCTCGTCGAACGTCAAGTCGTCTTCATCGGGACGTTTGTTGTGTTGTTGCTGTACGATATGGTCCAAATCATTCATCAGCTCGAGCGCTTATCAGTACCTGATGTGTGCGAATGCTTACCCAAAACTCCTGAATCGTGAGCGACCCGAGGGTTGAGCCAAGGCTGTCCAGCATGCTAGTCAGTTCAAGGGTACTGATCGTCTTCGAGTCGTTGCTGTCATAATTGAGGAGCATCTGCCTCCAGAAGCGTTGCCTCAGGGCGTCGTAGGGTGTAAATTTAGCTTCCACCACTAGGAGGGATTGCGACTTTGTGTCTGCTTTGTCCTTTGCAGACTTCGACAAAGGCAGCTCGAACCGTCTCATGGGCCGTTCAAGTGCATTGACGTCGGCATTGTACAGCTTGGTCTGCACATCTGGCTTTGGGGCCTCTTCAATAAGATCCGCTACGCTGATCTCGGTCGATCCCACGTGATCGTGTGCCGATAGTCTGAGGAAAGTCGAGTACAGAGACACGTCAGTGACGGAGGTTTGAGCTTCTCACTCGCTTCACTTACTTGTCCCAGTCGAAGATGGACAGCTTCGTCTTCCACTGCGCCTCGTGTCGACGAACATGGAAGAGCAGCTTCTCGTCCCACACGGGACTGAGCGTGTGCCGCTGCACGCGCGTTCGGAAAATCTTGTCGGAGAAGGACACAATGCACATTGGGTCCATATCGAAGCCGGTGTGCAAGCCTGCCGAGGCCCGGTGCGCACGTAAGCATATGCTCGTCTGACCAAAAGCAGGAGACCTGGAAGCTCGCTCACTATTCTTCCATCTGGGCAAGTCGCAGGCGCTCTTGATTTCCATCTGCACGATACCGATGATGTCGCTCGAAGCCTTGAAAGCATACTCATCGTCCAAGCTTCCCTTTTTCGCCTGTTTCTTCCTCTTCCCTTCCTTGGTCTTTTGTGTAGGATCCGTAGCCTTCCTTTGTTTACGGCGTCGTCGCCTCTTCGATCCGTCTATAATTCCATCACCGTCAGTGACCAGCGCAGCCTCCGTGGAGGACGTCGTGGAGGAGGAGGTTTTAATGACGCTCCTTGACGAGAAACCTCTTCCCAGCTTTCGTCGAAGCTTGCCGCCTTTCTGTTCGGGTGCAGAGATCGATGGCACCTTCCCAGCTGTTGGAGCACCAGCGCTGACTCCGGCTACGTCTACCGGACTGACCGAAGCAGCTTCAGCAGCCGAGGCCTGCGGTACAGCGGCAGTACCCAAAGGAGCAGTAGCACCTGCACCACCAACCACAGATTTGAAGTGTTCGTCAAATATGCTGGAGTCCGATTCTGCTTCCGTGGCCGTTCCGGCTGCATCTGTGTCAGAAGCATCTTCATCGTCATTGTCATCTTCGTCATCATCAGTCACCAGCTCCTCGAGCTCATCGCTATCATCGCCCGAGCTCAGTCCATTGTCCAAGAAGGCCTCATCCGGGCCTGTTGTACCGACACTTTGGTCTGCTGGCACAGCCCTGGTCGGGTGACTGTCCTGGGTGTGAGCGGCCAGTACAAGCCGCTCGAAGATCTGCGGCAGGTGTGCAGCCGTGGATGACCTCGTGACGAGACCGACGCGAACCTGAATGGACCCTGGCTGACCCGTGAGTCTGCGGCGAGACGAGACCAGAGGAAGCCAGATGGGTTCTTGCGTGTCGAACGAGCAAGCATCTCGGCACCAATCGTGCGTTGGGAGAGACACTTCACCAATATAGTCGTTTGCTGTCCACCTGTCCTTGTCCCACACCACAAACTCGAGAGCGGCGGGACAAAAAATGCTCTGGCCTCCGGGTGCATCGCCGTGCGCGGACGCAGCGTTTCTGTGCCGTATAGGCCGAGGTGTGCGACGTCGCACAGCTCGGGCACCAGCCACCGCTCCACGAGCTCCAATGCGCACAGGCGCTGATAAGATCTTTGTTGCAGCTCCTGAGATGCGCCTCCTGTTCTCCGGCCTGACTTGAAGACCGTGACCGGCAGGCTGGGATCCAACAACGGCAGCATCCTCGTCCACTTCACCTGGAGCGGCTACTGCGCTGAAAGGAGCAGTTGCGACACCAGCAGCAGACTGTAGACCCGAGGCGACAGAGGGCGCTTCATCCTCATTACCGGTCCCAAGGCCGTCCGAATTGAGCCACTCGTTGGGAATCTCAAAGTCGAATGTAGCATCTGCGTCTTTCCACTCCGGATCCAGCGACTTGGGGACAACGGGCGTCTGGCGCCTGTATGCCTTGCCAGCTCCGGGCAGGGAGACGATGACGAAAGGATCCGACGCTCCGCTTCGATCTTTGGCTGCCAACTCCTTGGCTCGAAGGATCTGAACCCGCAAGATTGCGGCATACGGACCTGCATTGGCGGCGGATCCACTACCTGTAGCAGGTGTGGTGGTACCGCTGACGTGACCAGAAGCATTGGCAGAAGCAGCAGCGGAGTAATCGTCACCTGAGCCTCCCCGACGAGCTTTGAAGAGTGGCATAGTCTTTTCAATACGAGCCAATGTGGTGGAGAGGTTGATGTCGCGCGAGGATGTGCGGATGTGGGGCTAAGCAGGAGCAGCAAGGTACACGCTTGCTCGCAGTGGGTGACTGCTGCGTCCAGATGTCGCGGCTTCGAGGGAAGAATCTAGCTCGAGTGAGTGGTGGGTGAGAAGAAGGTCAACAGGATCAAATGAGCTGGTGAGTGCGGATGAGTTTCGTCGGAAGCGTACTGCTTGCCTTTTGCGGGGCTGCGAAATTGCATAGACGAGCGGGGTTCATGGCAGCATTCACACTCAAGATTGTGCTTCACAACTGCAGTCAGAAAGAATGATTGGCATGCGGCGGCGTGCACCTTTCCGCGTGAGAGAGAGAGAGAGAGACAGCATCAGCTCTCGCCCATCGCAGCGCACAGCCATGCGTGCATGTGCGTGCAGCACGGTAGGTACAGTGGTGCATGCTGTGCATGCTGTGCATACACGCGTGCAAGGCAACCTTGAGCCCTGGCGCACGGCCTTGATGCGCTCGGCGCTCGCTTGGAGTTAGAGGTCGTGATCGGGAGGATACCGTGCTCATGACCCTACAAAGACAGTCGTGAGTCGTGAGTGGTGCAGAGGTATAATGCTCGAGCATGACGTGGTCACCACGTGCGTGCTCGACAGCCGTCTGTGTCACGGATAGTGTGGCAGCGGATCGGATGGATTGCGGAGCGAGCTGGATGGGGCATAGGGTGCAGCTACATATTCACGAGTCAGTGTAGCTCTGCACGCAACGAACGGCCACGCACGCACGCAACGCACGGCAGGCAAAACCCGCTGCACGCGTTCCTCGCGGTCCCGCTGACAGCTTTAAATTGTGTCCACTCACATACTCTTCACACTCTTCTGACTGACACTCGATCATGATCGCGATTTCTGATGCTGCTGCTTCGGGTTGGCCTTCGCCGCACGCTGAAAGCTCAACAGCCTGCATGTGATGGCAAGGCGAGACAGGACGCGATATCTGTATCGGCACCGGTGCAGCCAGCACCTGCGGTACAGAGTAGTATCATCCAGCGGGACCACGGCTTGCAGCAGGGCGTGCAGCAGCAGCATGCGGAGCGCTCACGCACGGCTTCCACGCCTACCGAGGTCTTCTTCCCGTGCGAGAAAATTTCATGGCTTCTCTCAATCTTGACTTTTCGGAGTCGGGCCACCAAGCTGCGATCATCACAATAAGCACAGCGCCATGCCGCTGTGACCGGTTTTCAAAACCGGTCACCCTTAAGAAAGCGCATGCTCCTTCTGTCTCTGTGTGCCAGTGCTACGACAGAGGCAAGCTAGCCTTTCCCATCAGCCACAAAGACGCGCAAGACGAGACCCGAAAGCTCATCGCCGCTCGCAACTTCAGCCATGGTCGGGCCTTCCTCACAGCAGCAGCCTTCCAAGCCGCGAGGACCAGGAGCTCCTCGATATGAAGCTCAAGAGAGGTCATCAGAAGATGGCAGCGCTTCCTACCACTCCGACTCCTCTTTTGATCCGGAAGATGATCACGACTTGGGAGATTGGGTATCGGATGAAGAGGAGCAGCAAGCAAGCGGGGCAGTCCTAAAGATGCAAGGCAACGAGTCGCTGGGGTACGCATCTACTTCGCAAAGCTACTCTAGCCGCAAGGTCAGGTACCTCGCTCTGTTCCCGAATGCACACGGGCAACTCGACTGCTTCAAGACGGCTCAAGAAGCGCTGGACGACGCCAGCGGTAGGGGGTGTGATGTGGTGGAGGTCGTGGCCAGGCTTCAGCTGGACCCGCTGCAAACCATCAGGCTGCTCAATCGTCTGAGACGGACAGTATTGGAGCCAAAAGTCGGCCAGGTCGAGGCGTTATCTCCTCGGTCAGTCGCTGAACTGACTGGTAAGGAAGCCTGGCTTGACGACGACGCCGAGCTCATGCCAGTCAAAGGAGCGGAGTCCGATGGCTTGCTGCGTGAGTCGCATTCTGGTCACTTTGCGATTCTTCGTGCAGTTTTGTGCTGACTTTGATAGCTCACATGGCCCTTTGTTTGTCGACAGAAACTGATTTCGATGAATTGATAGCGCAGAGAGATGGGCCGCAAGACGCTGCCCATCCCACCCGTGCTCTGCGCGCTCGCATACAAGAGCTGGAAACTCTTTTGCAGTCATCACAGCTCTCCTTCGAGGATTTGCGACAACGTTACATGTCTGCACTTTCGCTCGACACCCCTGCTGGTCATCTTTCAGACAAAGGCAAGAATAGATCTGATCAAGCGACCCGCACCTCCGATGCGTCAAGAGAGGTTCCGAAGCGCGACGACGATTCTCACTATTTCACCAGCTACGCTGGACATGACATCCACCAAACGATGATTTCGGACGTAGTCAGGACTCTGAGCTACGCCAAATTCTTGCTGCATCCTCGCAACGCTTCGTTGATACGGGGCAAAACTGTCATGGATGTTGGCTGCGGCAGTGGAATTCTCAGCCTCTTGGCTGCACGAGCAGGGGCGAAAGAGGTCATCGCTATTGATGCAAGCGACGTCGCGGAGAGGGCAGAGGCCAACGTGAGGCAAAATGGCTTCGCTACCACCATTCGGGTCGTCAAGGGCAAAGTGGAGGAATTGAAAGATGAGCTGAAAGCATACGAAGGCTCAGTCGATCTTCTCGTGAGCGAGTGGATGGGCTATTTTCTGCTCTACGAATCAATGCTGCCCTCGGTACTCTATGCGCGAGACACGTACCTTCGATCTGGCGGCGTTCTAGCACCATCGCACTCGAGAATGACACTTGCCGCGCTTTCCGACAAGAAGCTTGTTACATCTCGCCTGGACTTTTGGAACGATGTGCACGGGTTTGAGATGCATAGCATGAGGCATGGCTTGGAGGATGAGGCGTGGACGGAGCATGTCTCCAGCGAAAGCATCGTCAGCAGTGTGGCTACTATACAGGTGAGTATTGATTGACACTTTGAGGTGGGGCGCTTGCGTTAACGCATCTCTCGAATCTGTTACACCAGGACTTGCCTTTGGAACACATACCCTCCAAACAACCCAACTTTGTCGCGCCTTTCTCACTGATCATGAGCTCATCGACAGCCGTGCATGGTTTCATCTCATGGTTCGACACTTGGTTTTCGCCGAATCACCTGCCTCTTCCACCCAAGGGCCGTCAAGAAATGCCCGGTGGCGAGGAATTGGCAGGATTAACCCCCTGCGAGACGAGGACGCCCGAGCTTGCAGATGTCAGAGGTATGAACCTGCGAGGTGGTGCGATCGTTGATGCTGCCTCTGATGAAGATGGCGGCGAAGTGGTCAGCTTCACAACTGGTCCCGCGGGCAAGGAGACGCACTGGAAGCAGACTCTCTTCATTCTCAAGGAGCCTATCCAGGCTTCAAAAGGTGCGTCAATCTTCATGCTCGCACTATGCCAGCAGGCGTAAGAGTGTCCGCTGACCCCTTATGTCTTGCGCAACGATAGGAGACGTCATCGAGGGAACCATCCACGTGTCAACATCCGCGGGAAACTCTAGAGAGCTCGATGTGGAGCTTCACTACATCACATCGCCTCCTACGGGTGCCAAAGCCGTGCGCACCGAGACGGTGCAGCTGTTTGCTGTGCGATGACATTGCGAGAGATATGAATGCATCATCTTTCTAATGGAGCTTGCTGCCAATATGACGACATGCGTGTCTGGCACTTTGTAGCGCCCTCAGAAGAGACGTTGGAGGCGCTGTTCTACCGACTTGCATGGCCCGGAGGAGGACACGGAGCGTTTGGGGGCACCTTGGAGTTTTTGCGTCCAGGCCAGTTGGCTGGAGCGCAGAACAAGCAGTACCATTTTGATCTGGGTGCAGAATCGAGACCCACGCAGCTGTAGTGGAACTGAATGGAAGAGAAGTGCTCAGCGCAGGTTCCGCGTTCCGCAATCTGCTCGATGCGGTAATCTCACCCATTCGCGAGGACAGTCGTCATTGTCGCAAGCGACCATCTGTGCACATCAGAGAAGCTTGAGATTGCTGCCGCGGTTTGGCTCGAGAGACTTGCGCTACTCACATCGCCGTAGCTGACCTGATCGCAGTAGCAATATCTGGGCTCGTTGGGGTCAATCGCCATGTCGGGAATGAGATTGCTGCCTGCTCGTGCTGTCAATGCGCTCGACAGGCCTTTCAAGTCAGACGAGCTCGGGCTGCCTAGCGACTGTAGGGTCTCGGTAGGACTTTGCTGACCCGATCTCTGGCTTGCAAATGTCGACCAAGTGCCTCGCATGCCGCCCCTCCAACCTCTACCTGCACCTCTGCCACCTCTGCCTACCCCTCGTGTCTTGGCAGGAGCCAGAGAAGAATTCAGTGACATCGCAGCTGCCGGCGATAGTGAGTCTGTCCTTCCCCTCCTGCCTCCACGGGCGAATGAACCCCTGCCGCTGCTTACGCCACCGCGAGCAGGCCGACCACGAGCGCTGCTAAAGTCGAAGACTTGAGCGACTGGCGTGTCAGCAGCCGTGCTGTTGTCGTCCTCTGCGAGAGCGTCACGTCGCTTGGCTTCTTGCTCTTCAAATTCGTCCATTCCGAGCGCTTCGCGCAGACCTCGACTTGCTTCCGTACCTGCTCTGAGGCCCAGCAACAGGCTATTTTCGCTCTTTTGGAGATCGGCGTCGAGGCGACGGATGTGCCTGTCGACCCAATCGTACGCAGTGACCGCGAGGCCCACCTTTTCTTCTGCAGCGCGTATGCCTTCTGATACGGAATGAGAGATGGCTCGCAGCAAGGCCATTCGAGCAGCCTTGGAAGGCACACGGCTGACGGGAATGTTGAAAATCGGCGACGTGATCGTTTTCCTCTCCGCAGTTGCAGACATGGCCCCGGTGACGGTCACATCGCCGTCGTCGTCAGACTCAACATCGCCGCGAGCCTTAGCCGGGCTTGTAGATGGCGCAGCGACGAGCACACTACCATCGCTGCTTGTGGCTAGCGGAGGCTCATCTGACGTCAGTCGATCCGGGCCGGCCGTGTCTGGGTCCAAGGCTTTACTTTTGCCATTGTCGAGACCACCAGAGTCTTTAAGCCGCTGGCGCTGGGTCCGCAACGCGAGGCGTGCGTCTCGGTAAGACTGCGCGTTCGTCGCGGTGCTCTTGATACGACCTAGCACAGAGAAGAAGTAGGGCTTCAGCGCTTTGGCATCTCTTGCTGAGCCTCGCAGCCACGCTCTTACTCTGCAGCTTGCTTTCCAGCTCCCGCATCAACGCAAAGGATCGATGGAGCTCCAATGGCAGCTGTTCGACGACTGGCCAGCAAGACGTCGGGAAGCGAGTCTGATCCTGTGAGCGGCTGCCCTCAAAGCGAGGTGGATATGGCCTGCGCGAAAGCTCGGTGCTTCTTTCGAGACTCACTTTCGAAGTACTCCTCGCTCCATCGCTGCCACATCTCTTCTGCGTCTTTTTGCTCTTGTGCTTGTCGAGCCTCATCCTCCGCACTCAACATCGGGTCGGACCCACTAGAAACATCTTGATTTGAACCATTCAAGAGAGAAGTGCCTCCAGCGGACGCAACTCTCTGTCGCTCCTTGACTCTTGCGCTCTTTTCTCGCGTGCTGGCAGCGAAGACCTGCGTTCCGGCCGGAGATCCCGCGCGCAGCTTCAATGGAGACGAAGCAGCCAGTCCCAACGTGGATGGACCTGTTTCAGCAACCAGGTCTGGCCTGTTCGGCAGTGCGTTGGTACCGAGATGTGCTCCCAGATGTTGAGCACCTCGTCGACTACGGGTGCCGTACGTGTTTCCACGAGACGAGGCGGGCGAGAGCGCAGGGGATGCAGATGTCGAAGCCGAGGTTCTGCGCGAGCTCTGATTCGTACTTGAAGGTTCTGCTAATGATGACTCGATGTCTGGAGAGCCGAGACCAGAACCAGCTGCTCCACGTCGTCGCTTGCTGGCGCGTGGTGCTTCCAGGGCTGCCATAGCGCAGCTTTCTAGGCCGCAGGCGGCCAAGCGCGGGTCAAGAGGTCTAAGGTACTCCTTGCAGACTTGCACTGCGTGGGGTACCACATACACATTTGCTCGCTGCGGGGAACATGCGATCGGAAGTCTTTGTTGGTGACCAGAATGTGCGTTGTGAATGTTATGGTGATCACCTGTAGCTGTAAAGTCACAATTTGGACACTGCATGGATAGGATTCGCGTCGCGTGACGCGCGGCGAGTTACAGCCAATTTGATCTGCTGCGCTCGCTCGCTCGATCGCGCCGAAACAGAGCCTCGCGAGTTCCTGACGTGCATCTTGAGAGAGTGACCACCATCAGATCCCTCTCAGACGGGATACCATACATCAGTGTATGCGCGAGTCATGCACCGAGGTATACTAACATTGAATCGCATGATCATTCTGTTCGTCTCACTTCTCATCCTTCCTGACCCAACAGCTCTCCCACCTCAGCAGCCGCACTTTGACTTTGGTTATGCCTCGAACGTCTCCGCCTGTGGGCGGAGCGGCCCATCTAAAGACTCTCGCCTCTCAGCTCCGGCAGACCTGCCGTGAGGTCGAGGAATGGCTGAGTCGCTCGCAGGACCTCGATTCAAGCACTGCGAAAAGTGCTCGCAGCATCTGCAACGCCCTCGCTGATGTGGTGAGTCAGGTGGCCTCGCAGCTGGTCCCTCAACATGATCCAATTGACCGTGTTGCCCAACATGCCCAGCTGTCGACGAATGACAGGTCCATCTTCGAAAGAATACATCGCCTTTTTGCACTGCAGCATCAAGGAAGTAAGATAGAAGATGTTGTAGCAGCACTCAGTTACGCAAATCTATCCGCAATTACTTCTCTGGTAATCGCTTTTCAACGGCTGGCTTGGGAGGTCGTCCTTCCCACCTTGCTCCTAGAAAGCGCTCAGCTAGCGCTTGGCAATGATGGCAAGCAATGCAGAGAGCTGGTTGAGGGTTGGGAGGAGACAGCAACCTGGTTTGCGTACGGCATAAATCTCGCTTACATCAACTTGGTCGAGAGCGCACGAGAGAGCGATGAAGAAGCGACGCTGGATATGGCAGCTAAAGGTACGTGGCGGTGTTGACCATGGCAGAGCACGATAGAGGCAATGCCCATGATCGACCTTTTATGGATGTATGCGCTTCTGCTTCAGAGCGAGACAGGCTCTTTGATCTTCTGCCGGTCTACTCTGCAACTTTGGCAAACTACGGCGGCCGGCTGGGCCACGAAGCGGTTTACATGGTAGGTTGCTGGGAGACAAAGCGACTTGCGTACAGCCGCTTGAGCGCTCACATTATCCCGACAGTGCATACTCTCGATTGATTGGGCCGTTGAAGATAACAAACGTCTAGCTGAAGACAGGCTGTCACTGCGAGTATGACACTGCGCCCCAAATTCCGTGGCTTCAAACAGACTTTTGCCAACCCATCGCGCTACTTGGCGTTCCCGCAGATCTGAGCTTGGACTGGCACTGTGCCGACTAGATGGTACGATGATCCATTTAGCTATGCGCGAACACATCGCTGACGGCCAATTTCGCCACCAGCTTTCGATGCGCTGCCGCTTTTCAACACGGTGTTTAAGCTGCGCCCACGCTCCTCGAAGACCAGCAAGGTTTCGGACGAACAGAAACGAGACTTTGCAAGCAAGCTCTTCCGACCCCTGAAGGAGGCTATGAAGCACGACAAGCTATACGAAGACTTTTTAGACCTGGCTGTACAGCTCAAGTCTGTCAAATGGCGTGAGACCGCCTCCTTAATGCTGGCTCGTCTCGGCGAGTACGATTCTCGACGGTGCGAACATCCTCCACTTCATGTAGCCCAGGCAAAGTCGAGCGCACGAAGCTGAGGTACGGTCACTCTTCCCACCTTAGATCGCAGCGCGTGATTTTCAAAAAGCTGCAAATTGGCGCGCAAGGAAACCTGGTCCAGACTCGCTTGGTCCGTTCGGAAAAGGACGCAGCGCCTTACGACATGTGGCTGGAGAGCGAGAATATCCACATAGCTTTCGTGGATTCTGATGCCGACGAGGGATCAACGGACATTCAAGACTCTTCCATCAACCTTCCATATTGCCATGTGGCGAAAGTCTCGTCCTCCGAGGAAGGTATGTTTTGTCCAAAATCTTCCTTCGCTCCAAGAATTGAGCTGACTACTCAAACAGATGGAAGCGTACTCCTGATCGAGGCTGATGTAGATGTGCTTTTCGGCTCATCGCCCTCGTCTTTGGACCGTCATCTACAAATCTACTCTCTACCGGACGAGGTGGAACGCGCCGTTGCCATTATCAATGAACGCCGGCAGTCAGCGATATCGAGTGCCTACCAGGACTGCGAGAACGGAAACCGCAATCATAGCGCAGCAAGGTCTCACACGGACCAGCAGACGTCTGACTGTGCGCGCAGACCCCGCGGATTGTTGAAAGACATGCCCCCGACGCAACAAGAGTCTCTTGCTAGTGATCAGGGCCTTCTACCTGCTGCATTGCCACACAGAAAGACGTCCGTCTCTCCAACGATTGCAGCTTCGAATGCGTACGCGCACCAGACCTCGGCTCTTGTTCTCTCGATGCCGGACTCCAGAAAGCCGCAGCCCTTAGCACAAAGCAGCTTGCAGAAGGAATCCGAGCTCACAGCTAACGTGTCTACACCCGAAGATTCTTCGCAGCCGCCGCATGCCGTGACGCAGGAACTATCCTTGGATCAGAGAAGCCAATACCACACCTTGAAGGGCTCAGTGTCCTGGTCTGCGACCTCTAAAGCAGAGTCAAAAGAGCAGGACCGGCCGCGGCGTCAGCCTGGCGTTGTCGAGCGTCTAAGAAAAGCGGAAGCATTAGCGCCCAAGCGAGTGCCCCGAGCTTCGGAACACGTCTCTGCTCAAAAGCGTTCGGCAAGGACGTCCAAGGTCGACAGCGAGTCTCGTTACTCTCTTCGCAGAGCTGATGAGCAGTCAAAGAGTGAGTATCCTCGTACGCGCCGCGGATGCTTTGTGCTGCGTATTCTGACTCTTTATGTGGTGATCCCTCAGACGGGGCGCGTTCTCAACGAGAAGTCTTTCATAGCGTTGCTGATGCCGATCAACGAGTGAGCGCAGAAGATCACAGCGCAACTTCGGAGTTGACCGATGCGAGTGAAATCGCGCATAGGTTCCAAGAGTCAAAGCCTGGAAAGGCATCCCAGAAAGCAGCTTCCGTGCGCGAAGAAAGGCCGTCGTCTTTAGTCAAGGAGAAGCACGCCTCAAGGAAAGAGCTTCCGGGCAGCCTAACGTCCTCTACACCAAGAGGCAGACCCAAGCCTCGCGCAAAAGTCAATGACTTTGCAGCGCCGACTCGCCATGCTGACTCTGCCGATGGTATCACACCCTTGCGCAAATGCGGACTTGAAGAGGCTGAGCAATTTCAAGCTGGATCTCGAACCCATGCTGGACGGCATCAAGAGACTTCTACCTTACGCGTAGGCCGACCACTTTCTCCAGTCCAACCTGCGGGACCGACAAAAGGTCAGGAGCCTGATTCAAAGCGCGGGGCCGGGTCCAAAGCAGCGTCCGAGCGCAGGATCCCGCTCAACGCGAACCCCGCTTCCAGCAACTCTACCGAGACGCGAACCGAAAATGTCGTCGCTGACCGTGCGGGGCAGGCTCGCAAGCCTGCGACTCACGGTCCAGCTCTGTCTTCGTCAGCCAGGCGCAAGCAAACGCATCCGCAACGTGATGATGGATTCCCGCTGCTCGAAGAGACCTCGAGATCCATGCACAGCGAGCGGAAGAAACGAGCACGTGGATCCAAGGTTGCACCAAGCGGCGCGAACGACGAGAATATCGAGGCGGACTGCGTAGAGAGCTTCTCTGGCGTGCCGGTAAAGCGAAGCCGAGTCGAGCGCATGGACGTCGGAGGCGCCAAGAAGACGGCAAAGACAGCCCGTTTTGATGATCACAAAACTTCGGAGAACGTCATCATACAGGAAGACATCTACGATGAACTTCCAGGAAGCAGTAGTCCTCGCAAAAAACCTCGCAAGGGCGCCGCTACATCTACTCAAAAATCAGCAAAGTCGACGATCGCAAAGAAAAGGGTGCGGACTGAGACAACACGACTCAGCCCTGAGAAGCCCAATCGGCCAGGGCACTCACAAGAGGTCTCGAAGCAGCGAAGCCGTCTCAATACTACCGCACCCCAGGCGATTCGCGAGGTCTCCGAGCCTCCAGTCCTGGACGATGCAGATCCAGCCGCTGCCACATCTGCCGAGACTTCCAAAGTCGTGAGAGGGGCTCAGTCTCCTGTTACGCTGCTCTCACCTCATAAGAGGGCCAGAGCCGCTCCATGGATGGTCTCTCAAACCCAGCGTTTTATTACGCATAGGGAGCATGATCGTGGCTATCCTCTGGAGACCCCGGAAGAACCAGCGGAATTGCCAACACGTGTCTTGACAAGTGGCGATCCGGTTGCAGGGGGCGAGGCTCCGGCAATCAAGGGACCTTTGGCGCTTCTGCCTGATGACGACGTGAACTTTCACGATGGTATTGTAGACATGCAAGCCTCTAGTGAATCGGCCTCTGCCCTCGACAGAGCCGAGCGCCAGATTGCCTCACCAAGTCAAGACGCAATGCGGCGACGAACCAGCCAGCGCTCACAAGAGCTTCAGCAGACCGACAGGATGCAGGCGAAGGTACCCGTCCTGATGGAAGATGCACGGGTTCTGCACACTCTGCACGTCCAAGCTATACCAGAAGAGAAGACCCCACTTCCAGCACGAGCCGGCGCGGACCACAGTCACGTCCCGCACGATGCAAAGGCCTGCAGCGCAGAAGTTCAAGTTCCCACCGCCCTAGCCAAAGAGGTGCAAGCTTCTCACCATGCATCAACGTGCGAACCCGATCAGCAGCCTACTGTCGACACGCCGGCGCCGCTTCCGATTGGCCAAAGAATGGTGCGGCCAGAGCTGGACGAACGTAGTGCTTCACGCAGTGAGCCAAACATTGGCAAGCAGAAAGGTCGCGATAGTGGGGTAGGTGGGATGTCAGGCACGTCGGAGCTAGTACCAATCAGTGATCTGTGTGAAAATGTTAGGACTTCAGCTGCCCACCGTGAGCTTGGCAATCTGTAGGTGTCATCAGTCATCTCGCGTGCTCTTGCTCACAGATGCCCTATTCTACTCTGCTGTAGCATTGCCATCGACCGACAACGAGCTGCCTTCCACCGAGTCGGGGCGCCGTAGACCGCTGGTCACCTCGAAGTCTCTCCTGCGCTTGCAGGAGGATGGTCCCTTGCGCCCGTCACACGAAGCGCGCAGCCAGGCAAGATCGCCAGTAGTCACACACAACATGGAAATCGTCCAACACAGCAGAGCTTTCACGAGCGCGAATCCGCTGCGCTCACGCGAGGAAGTCACCATAGTCAGGGACGTGCCAATGTCGCAGGATAATGACCTGTCACAGCGGAATTTGCGTAGCTCTACGGTCGAGCGCGGAGCGTGTCATGAGCGTGTATTCCACCAAAAGGGCTTGCCTACCTTCGTCCTCAAGGATCCGATAGACCTCGGCGTTGCAAGCACGAAAGACACGATTGCTTCACTTGCTAGCGACGTGTTGCTCAAGCCAAAGATCAACCAGCTGCAACCGGAAGAAACTCACTCAAAGGAGACCGATGCGGCTCAACAGACCCAGAACCACCAGGCGGACATCGTCGAGCGTATTCGTGCTGCGGCAGATGCCATCGTCCAAGTGTGTCCTGCTCGCTGGTGTTGAACCCGCGATGGCGTTGCTGACTCTGCTACTCCTCTCTGCAGGCGCTACTTGAGCAAGCAGATTCTGCCATACAGCACCGCATGACAGCACAAGAAGCTGAGCTTCTGCATCTGCGCCGCGAATTTGCGAATGGCATAGCTGTCCTCAACGGGCAAACGTGAGTCTTCATGAGCGAATAAGGAGCTCACGCCGAGCACGCGTGAGCTGAAGTTGCGCGTACTGCAGTTCCATCGTTCAGCAAGTGCTAAGAAGAATGCATGGCACCACCCGAAAAGCAGCAGACCAAGTTTCTCACTTTGCCAAGAATGACGTGGAAGCCCTGCGCAAGTTCAAGGCCGGTACCGAGAACCTCAAGAAAGACCACGAGGACAGCTGCGGATCCTTGCCCGAAAGCCTGTTCGAAGAGTAAAACTTTTGCACCACTACAGCGACACCTCCAAATGTGTGCCGCGAACGAGCTACGTGAATCCAGAATCCATTGACGCAGGCGAAAGCGCTTTCTCCACTCGCAAACGACGCGAAAGACTGCATGACAGCTTGTAGAGCGACAGCGTCACACGCGATGAATCCATGACTCGCTTTGGCGCTGTAAAGCGAAGCTCAAATCCCCAGAGCAAGCTTGATTGAGACGCGCCTGCAGATTCGGATGTGCATGTTGTCCTCCCTGAACGTGTATCCGAGACACGGTCGAATGTGCCGATTGTCGAGCAGGAGCGAGTGCTAGCCCAAAAAAGCGAGACCTTTCTTAGTGACTTCCACGCCTCCAGCACCAATGTGTCCTGTGCCTTCCTTGTGTAGCTTAAGTATGTCCTTTGTAGGATCCTTGATTCGGGTGTCGCATTCAGGGCACTGAGCAGGGGCGTTGCTCTCCGTCTTTGACGCTTTATCTTTCTTTGCATCAGACAGTGAAGCTGAAGAAGGAACGAGCGTAGATATGCACAGTGCGCAGTAAACGTGGCCGCATCTTCGCAGCACTACCGACACGATGGGGACAATTGGTGAAGCAGCTTCGTCAGATGTGCGTATCTTTTGTCTCAAAGAGCTGCATTCGCGATGCGCGGGTCTTGCTTACCGTGCAAGTGGCTTGCGTTGCTCAGACCTTTGCGACAGGAAGGACAGATGTTGCGCTCGCCGTCAGGACTGCGTGCGAATTTGACACCAACGAGCTGCTTGGTGCTGATTTTGCGAGTCAGCAGGGGTGCGCGTACATCAGCCAACTTGTGATCTATGAAAGCAGGGATCAAATCGTTGGTCGTTCGACTTACGAGGTTGCATGTCCAGGTTCGCCACCAATGAGACATCTAGGTTTGGCTAGCTTTGCCCTCTCCTTCCTCTTGATCTCCAGGTCTTCAGCAGAGAGTTGATGATTGCTGGAGTCGGGAGTGAGACTGGGCACCCAGTAGCTTGGGAACGTGGCTCGAGCTGCCTGAGCTTGCTCCTCTGCTAATGCGGCCATCGCCGCATCCTCTGCGGCTCGAGTCGCTTCTGCGATACGCGCTGGAAGCGAGGAGAGCGTGGGCGATGACGAGCGAGCTTTCTGTGCTATTGTGACCAGAGCGGAGTTGGCGACACCATTCGAACCTGTGATAGGCGAGCATCAGTCAGTAGGAGCGCCTGACCGCCTCGCATGGGTCAGTGGTCAGGTGCCGACTCACTGCCGACGCTCTTGGCAGCACTTGAAGACGCCAGGGAGGAAGAGGAGGCGCCGCTATTCCTCTCAAAGTCCAGCAACACCTTTGTACGCGCTTCTCTCCTCGCAGCCTCCCTCTCCTCTTCGAATCTCCGCTCCAACTCTTCCAATTCCCTCATCCTCTTTTCATTCTCTTGAACCTGATGCATGTAATCCGTCAATGCGCACTCGTGGCACGTCAAATGTCCTCGGCTGCACACAACTGGGCCGTATGCTTCATCGAGACACAGGGAGCATTGGTCGTACTTGCGGATACTATCGGATCCTAATCGACCGGACTTTGAGCCCCACCGGTCAGCGAGCATCTTGCGCTCGCCGGAGGTGAAATGAGACGCATTGGTGTTGTTCTTCGAGTGACGTGGCATGATGGCAAAGCGGTCGCCGGCTTCAAGCCAAAAGCGTGTCGAGCTGGATGATGAGCGTCGCCCACGTAGATCGCTCTAGGTCGGAGGCTGCCTGCCTGGTGTGGTGTGCGAGATCATCGACGTGCAGAGCGAGCATTCGCAGGGCAAGACGCGGAGTGGAGTCGATCAAGCATCAAGAATATCACCAAATCACGAATGCGCGGCTCCACTCACGACTGTGGCCAATGTGAATGGCGGGGATGAACAGCGCGCGCTTCTCCCATCACGTGGTTCCACTGCAGAGGCTTGCGATCGCGCATCAGAAAGTCGCCATCAGTTTGAGTCGAAGCACGGCGGAAGCTTCACACCGGACCACCTCCACCAGCTCCACAGCCGCCGAAATATCCTTCGAATGCATTTGCATCCATTCTTCGAAAGCTTTGAACAGGTGCGACAGGCCCCTCCTCACAACTCCGCATAGGCCTCGCCCCGAGGCACATCCGACGCAGGCTCGAATCATGGCGCCTGTAGCGACAGACGCCAAGAGCGGTCCTCCCCCAAACGGAGACTCTTTCGCAAGCGGGACCGAGGCTTTACCAGACCTAGCCCAGCTGATCAGTCGCGCATCTAAAAGAAGCAGATTGCTGTTCGCAGGCGGCGATGCATCCTCCTCGTCTCCCTTGCCGGACTTTGCGACTGGAAGTGGATCAGGCCTGGAAGCAGCCGAAAGGGCCAGGTCGAGCGTGATGGAGGACGCTTTCAAAGATGCCAAGCATCTTCCGGCCGCATTGCTAGAACAACAAGGTGCAGTGGGACCCTCAAGACCGGGAGGCGGAAACAAGCGTGGCAGAGAAGAAGCGCCATCTACAAGCAGCGGTCCAGCAGCTTCCGCAGGAGTCGTTGCGCTTAGAAGATCAGAGGGATTCGCATCTGCTTCGGGAGGAGGGAGCTCGCTGAACACCGCATTGATACGCAAAAAAGAAGCGGAAGAGAGGAAGTTGAAACCGCAATTGCACGCTCAGTGGAAATTGTCAAGGGTCATCTCGGGGCATTTGGGTTGGGTCAGGTGCGCTGCGGTGGAACCGGGAAACAAGTGGTTTGTCACTGGTGCTGGAGACCGCATGATCAAGGTGAGCTTCGAATGCGACGCGTTCGTGGAGGCACGGCTTAACACGCAGCGCGTCTATGTCATCTTCTCTGCTTGCCGCAGGTGTGGGATTTGGCCTCCGGAGAGCTCAAAGTCTCCCTGACGGGTCACATTTCTACTGTACGAGGACTCGCGATCTCTTCGCGGCATCCATACATGTTCTCAGCGGGAGAGGACAAGGTGGTGAAGTGCTGGGATCTAGAGACAAACAAGGTCATCAGGCAATACACCGGACACCTTTCGGGCATCTACTCTCTCTCGTAAGTGCAGCTTGCCCACGTCGTTGGTCTCCGTTTCGGCTTTAACTGATCTCATCACGTATTCGTCGATAGTCTTCACCCAACCATCGACGTGCTTGTCTCAGCTGGTAGGGATGCAGTGGCTCGAGTCTGGGACATGCGGACCAAGGCGCAGATCCACGTCCTGGGTGGCCACAGAGGAACGATTGCCAATGTCCAATGTCAAGACTCGGATCCGCAGGTTGTGACAGGCAGCATGGACGCCACTATCAAATTGTGGGACTTGGCGGCCGGAAAGTCGATGACTACCTTGACTCATCACAAGAAGAGCGTCAGAGCTCTGGCTCTGCATCCAACAGAGTGTAAGTGGGCCAACCTACCGTACTGCATGGAAGTGCAGAGTCTCAAAGCTAACGAGACCCTTTTGGCATGCGTCGCCCAGTTTCCTTCGCCTCTGGCTCTGCAGGTGGCCGGAATGTGAAGACGTGGAAATTCCCAGAAGGAACGCTGATCAACAACGCTACGACGGATAATATTGTCAACACTCTATCGGTCAATGCGGATGGTGTTCTGTTTGCCGGCTCAGACAATGGAGCCCTGCGCGTGAGTTGCTGACATTGCGCTTCATATTCTCTTGAGAAGGCTCCGCGCTGCAGCTGCACCATTTCGCTGACCTCGCATTCTATGCATCGACAGTTCTTTGACTATGCCACGGGAACACCATTTCAGACAACAGAGGACGTCCCTCAGCCCGGCTCATTGGACGCAGAAGCTGGCGTGTTTTGCTCCACCTTTGATCAGACCGGCACGAGGCTTATCACTGGCGGTGCAGACAAGAGTGAGTGCGCGGCGCGTTGTCGCAAAGGTTGAAGGTCGAACTTCCGAGAGGTCGATGTCATGCTCATCACGCTAAGTAGGGGAAGGAACTGACCATGCCCGCTGCAACCTCACCTTTGCTCCTCGCATAGCTATCAAGGTGTACAAAGAGGCGTAATCACATTTGTGTTCATGCTCAATCGAAAATTCACGAGCTTTGGTGTGGTCTGTATTCAAGGGATCGACTCAAAGCGCATCCGAGTTGCTCGATTGAAAAAGCTTAGTGTGCCTCCTGTCTCAGATATGCCGGAGCTATAGGTGGGCAATGGAGCACAGCTAGTTGACAGAGCTGACACTACCATCGGAGGGATCGTGCACCAACATCAAGGTTGACTCGGCCATGAAGCTGCCCAGCATTTTGTCGGCATAGCACTCGTGACTGCTTGACGATCACCGCTGAACTTGATATACGTGATGCCTGTCGTGATTCAAAGTGACCCGACAGCACCGCGCATTCGCTCTCAAGACTCTTTTTTGACTGTCTGTTGATCACCCGCCTCTGCTCAGCGATGCTTGCGTGGGCGCGTGAACTGATGAAGGGCATGCACACACGCGCGCACACACATATGCTTGAGGGGGGTGGCCGCCCCGCGTTGTGTGCGTGAGGCACACAGCATCCACAGCAAGCACGAATGATTCCTCCACCTGCGCGGCTGCGCGTGTCCTAGCTGTTGCGTTTCTCACGTTCCTACCTCCAACACTCACCTAGCTGTGACCGCATCACTGGGCAAGCCAATCGATCGAGATCTGATCGCAGAAGGAACAGATACTCGTGACTCACGACTGTTCATTTGTGTCTCGTCTGAGAGTGCACAAGTGTAGTCGCTATACACGCGCATCACTCGATTCCTGCCATCAGGCGTCTCCACGCGCTCTTTCACTCGCGACCCACAACCTGCGCACGCCTGACTGAGCAGCGTCGACGCATACCCACACGTAGATAATCGCCGCGCCATCTGACTTTGGCGACGCTCATATCCCTACTTATTCGCATCATCCGCGGGGCACTTGGACAGCAATTTGGGCCACTAGTCAAGCTCTCTTCGTCACATCACCACCGAACGCCGTCGACCGCAAATCTAAAGCGGCGCTTCTCGCGAGGCTTCCCTTCGTCTCTGCTCACCAAGACTCGACGCTCGCACATCACCTGCTGCACAATCGCTTCGAGATGCGCATCGCATCCAAAAGGCTCCAAAAGGAGCTGGCCGAGCTCCGCTTGAATGGCCCACCTGTCGGCACGGAGATCATCAAGGCGGATGACCTTCAAACTTGGGTCTTTTCTGTAGAGGTACTTGGGGAGAGCGTTTATAAAGGAGAGAAATTTGCGCTGGTGAGTGACCATGGCGGGCTTGCATTGCCATTGACAAGAAGAGAAAGAAATCGAGAGGCCAAACATACGAGCATTGGAGGGTGACAGAACGACAAATCCTGGCGTTGGAGCTAAGCCGGCTGCCATCGCGACTTACGGCCTGGCTGATTTTGCCTGCCTGTGCTTTCCCGTTCGCACATCGCGCATCTGTAGAGATTTCGGTTCCCAGACGCTTACCCCATGGAAAGCCCAGAAGTAGTCTTCTTGACCACAGATGGCTGGTCAGCTCCTGCCGTGAGTGGGCAAGCAGGGGGCACATTTGCAGCGTCATTGGGATTCGCTGACCTTCGCCGTGCCTGGTGTACTCTAGCATGGTCACATCTACACTAACGGCCGTGAGCATTTGGTTTGCTTCGGTCCTCCACGCGGCTCGCCTGCTGACCGACACGCTACCGATGCAATCGTTCCCCGCCGTGTTTCGGAACAGACATCTGCGGTGAGTGGCTCAGTGGTTGTGCCTGACCGTGACCCCTGCGCCGTCTCTTGGAGCAGCGTCACTGACGCTTTTCAAACCTCTCGCAACAGCCTCGATTCTGGCCAACGAGTGGTCTCCAGTGCTGCACGCCACCAGTGTGCTCTTGACCATTCAGTCCATGCTCGCGTCGTCGAAGAAGTGCGTGCGCAGCGTTGAGGCGACAGCCACACTTTCTCTTTATCGCTGAACAACCTTGCCCTGCACTCCTTTCGTCTTGCTTGCAGAAAGGAGCACCCACCCGATAATGATCGATACGTCAAGAAAGCCCCAATCTCGCGTGAGTAGATTGCCAGTACATGTGTGTGACACCTCTCATTGACCACTGCGCTCCCACCCGTTGCTATCACGATGCACAGCCAAGGACACCCACTGGTGAGTGTGTCGTCCCTTTTTGATGGTCGAGGGTCGATTTCTGACGCATTCGTCCGCTTTCGAGCAGGGCTTTTCACGACGATGATGTCTGACGCAGACTTAGAGACAGGCTCGTCCTCTGACACACAGTCTCCCTCTGGACGATTGCTGGGCTAGCCTCGAGTCCTCCCGGATGACCGCACATCGCACGTGGGTGTGAAGCACGCTTTTGTTGACGCACGCTGCTTTCCGGGGCTGGGAATTTGTCACGGAAGGCCTGGCGCACGACTCAAAAGTTGAATCAGACGTCGCCAAGCCCCAAGTCCTTTCGCACCCTTCATCACTGTACCATTAGACTTCCTACACGTTACTCCCATTTCTCCGAGACGACCCGATGACCGATCTTTTGACACGCGCCTTTCTCACAAAACGTCGAACCCTTGCAGCGCAAATCGACTGTTGGGGTTTACAGGCCGATTGACTTGCACGCATCGTTGTCACATGTACGAGCGCTGAGGGCCGGGGCCTTCTTGACGTGGTGCTTCGCACCAAAGCACGATAGCACTTCTCTTTCCCAATGCCCTCCGATCTTTTACCTATCCGCACCTTGACCCCTCGACAACTCTCCCTGAAGCTGCCCTAATCTTCTACCCTCTTCCTCCACAGCGTCTCTAGCAATTCTGACTCTCTCTTTATTTTCCCTTTCTTGCCTTTCTTCCTCTTCCCTCGCGCGCATCTTTTCGTACTCTGAGGAGGGCCTGCTCGAGGACCCGAACAAGGATGCGGAGTCAACGGCTCGAGGTGGCCGCTCCGGCACGCCCAGAATGCTGCAAACGCTGTGCCAGACTTCCTGGCCTGTGTCGTCAAGGTGGAGGTCGTTTGCGTCAGAGGAGAGTCAGGGTGCTACGGGTGCTTTGTTTGCGGATTCACCTCTCATGTGGCTTAGCAGCTGCACTTCCCTCGTGTCTTTGTTCACTGCACGATACGGTGCGAGAGGAGTATCCGAGATCGTCAGAAAAGGCTGTGCACCCATCGCAGTGTGGCGTAGTTTTGGAGTCCGAACAGGTGGGGCAGACGCTGTGCTGCATATGTCCACCAGTCATGGCATATATGCGCTCGCCTTGGCCGCCACTCTTCGAAGTCACTCACATAGTTGGATTCTGAGCAAATAAGGTCGCATTTCAAGCTGCTCCGATTCATTCGCTGCGCTTTCCTCATTGCTTTGAGTCAGCTCCTCCTTTGCCCTCCTGATCACCTCGAATTTTGCATTGGGATTAGCAAAGACGATTCCTGGCAAGCGTTTCTTGACAAAATCTTGAACTCCCTGATGATTGACCGCTCCTTTACCTGGCACTTCGACAGAGATGGAGACGAGACTTGGAACGTTGTAATGAGGAGAGAGGTTGTTGTACAGCTTGAACAGCTCTGATGCCGCAACAGGACCTCTCTTTGCCCGTCGGGTCGACCCGGCTAGCCGCGCCAAGGTGGGAATCATGCTGGCACGGGTGCGTAAAAGCTAGCCAGCGCAAAGTTCGGACCGAATCTCAGATGGAGGCGCCTGGAATGTCGCCCTCGATGGGGGCGAAGATTCGAAAACGGAGGGAATTGCGGTTGTGGGCGTATACGGTAGGGAAAGACGAGATGCCAAGGGTCTTGGTCGAAGAGTAATGATCAGATCAGATGAAATCACGAATTCTTATTAGAGAAGTATACCTAAAGCGCAGGCACGTGATTGAGTCACTGTTATGCTATGCGAGATCAGCTTTCTCGTGCGGCACCACTCGTGACTCAAATTGATGTGATTCGCGCATCGAAAGGGGCGGTGCTCGCGCGCGTGGGCTGTGTGTCCACAGCAGCCTGATAGCTGCGCGACACGAACGCACAGCATGCACTGCACAGCACGACAGCCCTTTGTACATGTACATATGCTTATTGATTTCACTGCTTGATTTTGTGGCTTGCCCTTGAGTATCCTTGCTGTAGGTGTGTTGCCTTGTGCTCAGCAGCTGCCATGCGATAACACCCAAACTCATGACTGTGAATGCAAGGAAGGGCCTTTGAGTGCATCCCGCTCACCGTTGCGTCCAATGTTCTGAAGGATCGACGGTCAGCCTAGCAGGCGCCCTTCATTTCCACAGCTAGCCCCGAGCTTCAACACAACGACATCCGCTCTGGCCGACCGACTTCAACGCGCAGCTCATCAACCGACCTGCATTCAGCAACAAAAGGATCTTCCTGATAGCCAGGTCCGCACTAAGCCACCATGCCGTCGCGCTCCGATGAGGCGTCGTCAAGTCGCCAGCAGTACGCGTCCACTTCCACCATCTCTTCCCAATCGCCTGGACGACGAGCGCTCAAGGTGGTGCTCATCGGCTCAGCAGGCGTAGGTAAGACGGCTTTGAGGGACCACGTGAGTGTCGCTCCTTGTTGTGCGCAATGCTGAAGCCGGACACATTGACCCAAGGAACGCTCTGCTCCACCCACAAGTGGCATACCAACCGCTTCAACGCTTCTTACAGGGCGACCATTGGCGCTGACTTTGTCACAAAGCAGATCGACAGACCAGATCCTCCGCCCAGAACGAGGCGGCCAAAGGGAGGCACCATCAGCGTCGCTGTCTGGGATGTGAGTGGTGCAGCAGCACAGCTTTGGCACACCATTACATCGCACTGATGGACGCGTGTTCCCCCACCGCAGACTGCAGGCCAGGAGCGGTTTCGCTCATTGGGTAGAGCCTTTTACCGAGGTGCAGATGCCGTCATACTCGCTTACGACGTTACCCGTCCAGAGACGCTATGCGAGACAAAGATCTGGTGGGCGGAGTTCAAAAGCGCCAATGGCTTCCACAGTAGAGCACCCGCCAAAGGCGCCAAAGGAGCTGGCATGCACCATCAGCGCGCCGAAGATGAGGAGGCCCTGCAAACTTGGTTGAAGACGGTCACGCTGGTCGCTGTTGGATGCAAAGCAGACCTGTTGAGCTTAGAAAGGGAAGCCGATTCGACTGGTGGGGGACGCAATAGGGCACCAAGCGAAGCGCAGAACTGGTTTGACGGATTGCTGCGGCAGGATTTGGAAGAGCCAAAAGAAGCAGGCTCAAACAGGAACCACGAGGAGCGCGATACGTCAGAAGCTCAGCACGCAGCCGAGCCATACGATATGTCTGAGAACAATGTGACGCAAGCAGACAACAGCGAAGATTATGTTGCTGCATCTTCATCCTCTTCCGACAGCGGGCCGACCGCTCGACCGCCCCTGAGCACGCGCGGAAGTGATCCAAGCGGAAGCCGTCCGAATTCGACGACAACCATACATGCCGAGCCTACCAGCTTAGTTGGCGTCGAGCCTCAGCAGCCCAGCTCAAAGCAGCAGCTTAATGATGACAAGCCTGCAGACGCGCAGCTTCATGCCAGACGGTCAATCGCATCGATCAATCTCGTTCACGCGGAGACGGAGCCCGATCCCGAAAGACCTGCTCCGAATGCCGGCAATTCGCGCATCGTGCACTCACCAGAGGCGGAAGTAGGAGAGCCAGATGAGACGGCAGGCGAAGGCGATGCGGCTGGCAACGCGGAAACTGTCGAAGCGAGCAGCACCACCGAGGCCGCCCGAAATATTCCGACCAATCAGAAGCGCAAGAACGACACCTTGTCGATCTCGACCTCCTACGGAATCACACCGCCCGCCACTCGAACAGACGGTCAACGAGCGAAAGTTGCTCGCACGCCCACACGAGTCAGAGGCAGGTACGATAGCGCGGCTAGCGTGGCCAGTACCATCGCTGGCGGAGCTAGTCTGTACCACACGCCTAGAGGCAGCACGATGTATTCGTTCAATTCGAGCTCCAGCGAGGAAAGTCGGCAGCGTGCTGAAGCAGTCGCGCGCACACCTCGTCCTGAACCCGAAGACCAAACCAATGACAGCGGAGATGGGGAGAAGACTCCTCGCGGTGAAGCTGAAGCAGCGCAAGGCAGCGATCCAAGTGCGTTCGACGTGACCGCTTTGGAGAGAGCATTGCATCAGGCGCACAATGAGCCAGGGCAAGGAGATGAGGCGCAGCCCTCCGTGAGCGAAGATGAAAACGGCTCTGCCTACTCACAGCAGATCAGACCGGGCCAGCTGGAAGGCGAGCCGATTCCCTTCCCAAGCACACCATCTGCGGACCGAATAGCTGACGTTAGGCGTGCTGCCAGGTCTCGCAAGGGATCCAGCAACGCGGCACGGACCTCTGCGGCCCGAAGCAAGAGCAGAATGGGCGGCGACAAATCAAATTTGCAGCCTCCAGCCTTGGAGTTGCCTGCTCGACCCACAACGCTGTACGAGGCACCGCCCGTTTCGGTAGGCTCTGGCTTTTTGCATCGTGCCGCGGCCGAATCGAGTGGCGCGTCAAACGCACAGGATGCCGGCGCGCATGGAGGTCTTTCTCTGGATGAAGAAAGCGTGAGGAGCGAATCTGACTATGATGCTGCTTGCGAGGATGACGAGGAACCCATGGCGCCCACGCAAGGCTTTGTCCTGCACCTCACATCAGCAAAGACGGGGCAAGGCGTGTCTGGCGTGTTTGAAGAGCTCATCGAGCGAGTGTCTCAGAGGTGGGAGGTGGAGGAGTGGGAAGAGAGACAGGCACAACACTTGAACGGAGGGTTCGGAGTGGATGTGGATGGCAAGACGAAGGAGAGGAACGTCAAGGGAAAGGGATGGTGGAGGTTCGGCAGAGGACAGCAAAACGTAGAGTTGACGTGGGAGCAGAGGGAGGAGATTCAGGTTCGCAGAGGCATTCGGATAGCTGCTGGCAAGGAACCGCGAAATTGCTGCGGTACTTGAGTCGAAGGTTGTCAGAATGCTGCGTATCTGAAGGTGACACGAGTGGCGGTCTCGCCGTCGCCGCACGATGCGATCTTGCTTGCCAATTGTGCATCGTCTAAACGAAGCTGTTCGCCGAAGCTATGCAAGAACGTTACATTGTTGCTTGTGATACCACAACATCTTGAGTCAATGCGACCAACGCTCTCAAAGACTGCCGTGTCACGAGCCAGCGAAGTGCGAGCGCGATCGTTGAGTAGCCTGATTACATGCGCAGCACCGGCTGGAAGGTGCCTTTCGTGGATATATTTTTGGCCTTGGGCCTCGATCGCAGGCGCACAGTCACTCGAGCTTGTTGGCCTTGGCGCGTCCAGGCCGATCGATGATTGCTGCCCCCGCATTCGTGATTCGTGATTTAGATTCTGATTTGGTGCACCGTGCACGCAATCGCGTGAATCGCGTGAATCTTCTGCGCAGTGCGCCAATTAAGCGCTCATGCGGCCTCGTGCGCCTCCACTTTCACTCACATTATAGAGACGTTGGTCAGCTGATTCATATTCACCATTCACCATTGTGATTCGTGATTGAGATGAGAGCAGCGTTCAGTCCAACCATAAGAATCGGCACACTTCACCCTCCCACTTTCACCCATCTCCAGTATTTGACGCTCGACTTACTGAGCTTGCGGATCCCTAATTCCTAATACATACCATGCCTCCTCGCCCTACGGAAAACGTGTGGAAGTATCCACGCCCACCAGCCCTTCAGAGGACTTCGGCCAGACTCAGAGTCATTTGGCGCCCTGCCACTGGCCCCTCTGCTGCAACGACGGGAGGAGGAGGAGGAGGAGGAGGAGGGGAAGAGGTCGTTTTGGCCGATACGACGCAGGGCTGGCGAGTGCTAGAGACGAGTCACCCTCCTACCGTGAGTGCATGGGCAGCTTTCAGACAATTGGTGTTGTGATGGTGTGTCGGTATTTGGAGCAGCGCCCCTTGACCCGAATCAGCGCTGAATTTTGTCGATCCCGATCCCCAAACGAGCGAACAGTACTACTTTCCCCCCTCTTCTGTGCGTCGAGACCTCCTGCAAGACTCGAGCGCTCGCAGGACAATGTGCGAGTGGAAGGGACAAGCAAAGTATCACGATGTCTTTTCTTCCAAAGCGAGGATCTGGTCGTACCCTAGCGCGACCGGCAAGACCGGACCAACATCCGATTCGCAGGGATTCGAGGACATCAAGGGCCACTACTGCTTCTACGCCTCTTCCAATACCGATCCCAAAACTCAGGGAGCTTGGGTCTGCGTGAGTGCTTGCTGATGCGCTCAGAAGGAATCTTGAGAAAAGCTTGGTAGCACGTCTGTGCCGCACATGCTGACTGACAGGGTACGTGGCGCGGTCCTTGCTCGCACCTCTGCGTTCCACACATCCGCAATCAGATGGTGGATGATGACGTAGTGCAGGCACAAGAGGGAGACTTTTGTGAGCAGAGCGCCGGTACAATTTGCACGACAGCAGCATTCCTGACGTCGCGATTCGCCGCTCAAACGACTGCCATCCGTTCATCGCTCGCTCCCTCGCTCTGGCTGACTGCCGCCGCACAGATGGCTCGTGGATCACGCCCGAGATAACGGGCGGGGAAAGAGGCTTCAAAGGCGCTGCTGGTACTTGGGGTTGGTAATATCACTCCAATCGCGACCGGTACATGACGCTGCCTTGGCAAAAACAGTGACAAAAAGGCAGGCCACGCACACGATAGCTTCCCCAATGCTTGCACTCTCAGCTTCCATGCACAAACAGGCGATCTGTATGCATACGACCAAAGTGGGGCGGGAAAGATGAGATCCTCTCCAACGCGCGATGCGCTGAGCAAACCAGAGACATGGAGTTGTAGTATCAATCGAAAACAATCTTTCTGCAAGGAGATGGGACGTGATTCAGGTCAGCCAGTATTCTTGAATAGTGCACACAGAAACGTCGCTACTCACTTTGCCTTGCCAGGTACGAGCTCGCTATAGTGAGAGCCATAAGCCGAGTGTTCCTTGCGCTTGATGGCTGCGGAAGTCCACGCAGGCAGGGGTCAGATGATCGGACCAAACCCAAAGCGAGACATTCATCAGCGGAGGCTACACTTACTGGTTGGGAACTGCTTCATCTCCTCGGGCACTGGCTGATTCGAGTCCTTGAGGATTCTAATCAGCTCGCCGGCGTGAGACTTGTCCTCTTGTGTGAAGAAGCTGCGGCGGACAAGGCGGAAAGGTTTCAGCGCTTCGGGCACGTGCGACTTGGTAATCTTCCCTCTTTTCACTTTGTCACTCACGTTATCGACTTTCCAGTCTTGCCACCGCGACCCGTACGCCCAATTCGATGGACGTAGTCCTCGATAGCTGGGTTGTAACAAGAAGTTCAGCCATCAAGTTCTCTGACGCTCTAGCCGTCGACAAGATGTTGACACTCACTCAGCGGGAACGTGTAATTGACCACGTATTCGACCGAGGGCACATCGATACCACGGGCTGCCACGTCTGCAAGACGATATCGGTAGCAAGTCGTTCAGAGCGCAGTGCATCAATGCTGCACAGTGCAGCCCCGATCATCACCTACCTGTCGCAACCAGAAGAGGAGTTTCGCCTTTCTTGAACGCTTCCAAACTGGCCATTCTTTGGTGCTGATTCAAGTCGCCATGAATACCAGCGACGCTGTATCCATTTCTACGCAAGGTGTCTTCCACTCGTTGGGCTTCCTGCATGGGTCAATCATACAGCAGTGAGCACAGCGACGCCCCGACGAGCGCCGTGCATCGGCCTGATTGCGGGAGCTGCCTGCTCACCTTCTTGTACAGCGCAAAGATGAGGACTTTGTCATTCGGAGCTTTACCCCGCGGTCCAGCTCCAATCTTCTTCAAGAATGCATCTAACCGCCTCTCCTTCGCTCTTCCGTCGGCCAGCACCTCGACGGACTGCTCTACTCTGTGATTTGCGCTGAGCTCGTCGCTTCCGACAGTGACGCGAACAGGGTCGTTCATGAAGCTCTCCGCCAATCCTCGGACTGCTGGAGGCCACGTAGCCGAGAACATGCTCGTCGACCTGCCTTCCTCCCTCGACCTGCACATGCCCATGATCGCTCGAATGTCGGGCTCAAAACCAACGTCCAACATTCGATCTGCCTCGTCAAGAACAACATTGTCCACAGCTGATAGGTCCAGATTGCCCTCTCTGGCGAGATCGAGCACCCTTCCGGGTGTTCCTACCACCACCCGGATGGGCGGGGAGCCCGAGAGAAGCTTAATTTGTTCTTGCTTATTCACTCCACCATACAAGCATACGCTACCCAAGCCCACTGCCCGAGCTAGCTTTGCCATATGCTCATGCGTCTGAATAGCCAGCTCTCGGGTAGGAGCCACGACGAGTACGGAGACGTTGGCAACTGCGCTTCCTTTTTTGGCCTTCTTGTCCTTCTTGCTAGCTGAGTCCGCGGGAGCGATTCCCTTGACAACCAGCTTGTGCAGTGCTGGCAGACCAAAGGCAAACGTTTTGCCCGATCTGGAGAGTGATGCGATCTATCAGCATGCCTCGCTTGGGATGGGCTTCATGCAAACGGCAACGTTGTCACTCACCCTGTCTCTGCGATTCCGACTACGTCCTTTCCAGCAAGCAACACACTCCAGCAACACGCCTGGATAGGCGTAGGCTTTGCGAATCCATTTCTATCCAGCTCTGTCTTCAACCTGGCGTCCACCTTGCCCGTCAGCTCGTCAAAGCTGAGCATCGGCAGAGGAGGCAAGCCCTCATGAGAATCGCCCACTTGCTCGAGCGTGATATTATTTGCCTCCATGTACGCTCGTGCCGCCGCAGAGTCTGCCTTGGAGCCATTCGAGACTGCGGTGGACGGGCCTTGCGGCTTCTTTGCAGCAAACGCTGCGCTGATGGCATCGTCGTGTGTCGCTGAGCCGGTGCTTGCAGCTGTTGTAGAAGCGCCGCTCGTCTGGTCCAGGGCAGATGCAACTGAGTCAACACTAGCGGCAGCAGCTTTTGCAGCTTGCTTTGCTTCTTTTCGCCTCCTCTTTGCCGCCTTGGCATCTTCTGCTGAATCCGCCTCATCCGCAATCCTAGCTGTCCGCTTGCCGTTGGTGTTTGCTTCTGACATCGCAGCTGATGTCTGTTCAGCTTCGGCAGCGCGCGCCCTCTTCGCCGCCTTCCTTTCCTTCTTCAGTCGCTTCTTCTCAGCTGCAGCAGCCGCTTCATCCAAGTCCGATGCGACGCCATTTGCAGATGCTGGAGTAGGAGAGGCGATGGATTCAGCTGGATGTGCCGCTGCAGCGGCACTAGTCTCAGCCTCGGACCCTTGTTGCGAAGCTCGCTTTTCGCGCTTGTGAGCAGATTTGAGGGCCTTCTCGGCCTTGCGCTCGGCCTTGGCTGACGAGGTGGCCATGATCGATTGTGGGGCGCTGAGATGTTGATGGTCTGTTGCAATCTTGTCGTTCTTCCGTGATGGAAAGGTACGATTCAAGGACGGCACAAGAATTGCGGCGGAATCACGAATGCTGCCGGTGGCTCAGGAGAGGCGAACGGCGCGTTGCGCATGCTTGTTGGATTCGAGCTGCACTTCGCGGTCTGCGAGACTTCACGATTTCACGACTTTTTTTACGCTCGCACGCGCTCGCACGCGCTTCTCGTACGAGACAAGTTTCCCAGCCAACAGCTAGGTCGTCTGGAAGCAGAGTCTTCCGCCAGGACTGTCCAGGATCGTTGCAGTCATCTTCATACAATCACGTTTTTCGGGGATGTGGTTGGCAACAAGTCGGGAAATTGGGTGCAGTGCCCGAGTACTTCCTTCGCGAGCGGAGCAACCTCGCACAGCCAGGCTCTCAGGGACAGCTTAGAAGTGAAGCTAGTAGTATCACGAGATCAAAACATGGAGCCTGCTTTCAATTCCATTGTGGTTCATGCGAGAACGAAAGGCTGGGTGCCAAGCATCATTCCATCGATTGAATCGCGGACTGTCGGCACAGCTGCAGTGAACCTCTTTGAAACGTGACACTTTGGCGACCCAGCGCTGGACGCAACTTCTTGATCAAGACTGCGCCATGTTAATGAGAGCTTGCATAGGTGAGAAGCACCTACTTGCTCATCATCATCTGCGATTGCGCATATTCATCAACAGCAGTCGTGCTGTCAGTATGGACCGGCCATGATCACCTGCAGAGTCGTTGAAACCGACTCACGTTGACGAATTCATTGTAGTTGATCTGACCATCTCCGTCAACATCAGCCTCTCTGATCATCTCCTCGACCTCATTGTCTGACAGCTTCTCGCCTGTGCAATTGTGGTACGCAGTTGAAAGAGGCGTCAGCGAGCCTCTCTAGGAATGCACACTTTGAACGCCGTCACAATGCTCGAGCGCGACTGATAGCCTGCCTGTCGGGCTCATCACCGTCTCTCCACATCGCAGCGCGAAGATCCCAGCAAACTCCCCGCGAAACTGGCACATTTCCTCCTGCTCTTTTGTGGCACCGCGATCGCTTGCACATTACGGCTCCGCGTTCCATCGATGACACCAATGCTCCTTTACGTGTCTCATGCGGCGGCGGCTTTGCGGTACCTCTTCTGGACGTCCACCTCGGCACAAGTTGTCGAAGAGACCTTCGCATGAACTCACCTAGGTTGGTCATGCTTTGCAGGCAGCGATTGAGAAGCAGAGCATCAGTACCAGCAAGGCACACTGCGTCGTACAAACGAGCGCATACTCACACGTGCCTGAGCTCAGCCGCGGAGATGAAGCCGTTTCCGTCCTTGTCAAAGACTTTAAAAGCTTCTTTGATCTCCTCTTCGCTATCAGTGTCCTTCATCTTGCGCGCCATCATGGTCAAGAATTCTGGAAAGTCGATGGTTCCGTTTCCATCAGCATCGACCTCGTTGACCATATCCTGCAGCTCGGCTTCGGTGGGGTTTTGTCCAAGCGAGCGCATCACTGTTCCAAGCTCCTTGGTGGTGATGGTACCGTCCCCATCTGTATGTCCAACAAAGGGAATAGGGGACAAGCGGAACCAAGAAGTTGTGGTCAACTTGGCGCTATGGGCCGCAGTTGTACCCGGACGATCGCAAATCAGACGCACCTTTGTCGAATAGAGAGAACGCCTCCTTGAACTCTGCAATCGAGTTGAAGGCGTGGTATTCAGCGAACCAGTTCCTGCGCGTTACGTAGTACATTACAGCCAAGGCTCGTCAGCTGACCCACCAGAGATTTGCTCTGCGAACGGAGGGATGTAGTAGGTCGTATTGTCAGCTCCGCGAAACACGTTCCCGCCGCGGGCTACTTTGCTTACCCTCGGTCTACGCGCAGCATGCACGAAGGGCAAGATGGAGGCGAAGGCAGGCGAAGCATGTGTCAGTCTACGACATCCGAAAGCAGATCTCTCGGGTCCTGACCCGGCCCGTTGTGCGGCTAGCTCATCCGAGCGGCTGGGTGCGCCTGCTCCTCTCCTACTTCCGCCATCCCTGCCTACGCACAAGTTGGTCGGCCATATTTGCGAGGGTTTGTGGTGAATGTTTCTTCGGCAAGACTTGGGCTTGATTTGGATCTGGAAAGTCGTGTGGAGACCGCAGTGGATAAGAGCATGAGGAATTGTGATGACCAAAGTCTGATGAGTGTAAAGTCATGTTGTTGCTGCTGCGTACAGCACACAAACCGTGCCGGGGCGCACACGCGCGGAAATGCTGAATCTGCGATCAGAGCTCGAAGCGAAGCGCGGGCAGCCGTGGGCTGAGATGCCATGTGCGGCCGTGCGCGTGCGCGTGTGGCGCGCGTTGCTGGTGATGCGCTGCGCCGCCCTACTTGTTGCGATGCGATCGAGCAAAGCGCGCATGCAATCAAATGCAGCACGCTGGCTGCACGGTTCGAAGGCAGGCAGGCGGCTATAGCTGAGAGCGCGGGCGATCGTGCGCAGCAGCAGCGGCAGCGGCAGCGCCATAGAATTAAGCAGCAGCAGCCAGCTATGAGTATAGCTAGCCCCCAGTGCGCAGAAGCATACATGTGCTGTGCATACATTCACGATTATTCGCATTCAAATTCGCATTCGCACTCGAGGACGCCGTAACGCTATTATTGTTACATGGCAGAATGCACGCTGCGCACAGCCTTCGTACAGAGAGGCTCCATGAACAGCGGCGGGCTCTATAGCTCTATACAGTTGAATCACTGCAAATCAGGATGCCGGTCGCGCGGTGATCAGGCTGCCTCGCTCCGTGAGCGGCGTTTCAGCAGCCAGCAGGCGGCGCTGTGTACCGCGATACTATGGACTGTAGTCGTGAGCAGTGTCGTCATCATCAGGCACCTGAACGGCGGGCGAATTTGCCGCCGGCACAGCCTCACCACGCCGTCGCGGTTCTTGCATGGGCCCCAGGCACGCACAGCTCCGAACGTTTGCCCCAATCAAGTTACGACAATTATTCGTGATTGCGAGTGCGAGTGCGAGGCGTGAGTCTGCCGTTCTGGTCGTGAAGAACGTGGGCTCATTCACCATCTCCTGCTGAACAATCGGCAGCGTAGCGAAGCCCAAGGCGGACAACTAGGAAAATCAGAGACCAGACCAACGAAAAAGTGCTCGTGTTTGCCATCCAAGGATCGTCGCCCGCCATGGCTGCACGTAGCAATGCAGACTTCGATGGGCAAGAGGTGCTCGCATTCGCCATCGAATTGGCCAAGAAGGCCGGAAATGCGATTCTGCAAGGTTCTCAGAACCGCAAGGCCAAGGCCGAGGCAGGTGAGATGTTGCACAACATAGCCATCACCTCTACTCTGGGTTGCTGACGTTAGCCCCTCTGGCACTTTGCCAGACTGGGAATCTCTGACAAAGAAGAATACGGCTGATTTGGTGACGGAGACGGACCAGGCGGTGGAGAAATTGGTCAAGGAGACGATTGCAGCCAAGTATCCCACACACAAGTGAGACGAACCCCACACTCTCTGCAGCGTATTTGGCAGATCGAAAGCTGAACGTCACACCGCTACCACGCTGGACGTGGACAGATTCATTGGCGAGGAGTCTTGGGCTGCGGGCGAGGAGGCAAAGCTGGACGATGCACCTACCTGGGTGAGAGGGAATTACGTACAGCATGCACTTCCAAGTCAGCTCACTCATTTGTATTGCTGTGCTTCTCGCAGATCGTCGACCCCATCGATGGGACGACGAACTTTGTGACTGGCTTTCCCTTTTGTGCCATCTCCATCGGAGTGGCCTACAAGCAGCGTCCCGTCATTGGTGTAGTGTGAGCTGCCCGGTGCGCAGGGCGACACCGCACTCATCACAGCTCATCCTATTTGAGCCGACCTCCTACTTCAGGTACAACCCTTTTTTGCGACGACTGTACAGCGCATGGAAGGGCAACGGTGCCTACTTGGAATACCTCGATGAGAAGGGCGCCCAAATAGGACAGCCCTCCAAGCTGCCTCTCAATCCCATCTTTCCTTTGTCTTCGCTGCGCCATGCCGTCGTGGCAGTCGAGTGGGGTAAGGTTCTTGTGCACTGCTTTCTAACTTTTCCCGCGCGCAACTCGCCTGACCTTTCGCGCATTCACGCAGGCTCGGACAGAACGAAAGAGACGATTGAGAAGAAGACGCTCAGCTTTGCAAGGCTCTGCGGTAATCCGGAGGAAGGCGTGCAGGGTGGCCAATTTGTGAGGGGCGTCAGGAGTATTGGAAGCGCTGCGCTGAGCTGTTGTGCTGTTGCCGAGGGTGCTTTGGATCTTTGGCAAGTGAGTGCAGGACGGTCCTTAGCCATGGAGGCGTGAGCGCTGAGCACTTCCTTCATCGTGAATGAATCAGGAAGTCGGATGTTGGGCTTGGGGTAAGTTGATTTTACTGGCCCCGCCGCCAAAAAGCCGCGATCCTGATTTGAACCGCTGTCACCTTGTCGCCTCACGCAGACGTATGCGCGGGCGCCGTCATTGTGCAAGAGGCAGGCGGAGCAGTCGTAGGCTCCAAACAAGCTTTCCTTTCGGGTGCTTCCAAATTCAATGATGTGACGCCTGGTGAGCATTTCCACCTAGCTCAATGCACAGAACGTTGCTTGAACGCTTTGCTGAGGAACGTTGGCTGCTGCTCGCACGGGCGGCACTTTCCAGAGGTTCTGCAGGGACGAAAGTACGTCGTGATCAGAGCCATTGCGGATTCGGAGGGCGAAAAGGGAATCGATGCCCAAAAACGAATCATCAAAGACTTTTACGGAGCGTTGGAGGACTGGGAAGCCAAGTAGAGCGTCACATGTGCAATTGAGACGCGGTGTACACGTTTTCAATTTCGATGCTTCAAGGCTATACTTAGTTTTTGAAGAGATTATTTTCTTGCCAAGCTTGGGCCAGAGCATCGATAAGGGAACGCCACGTAATCGAGGAATTCATAGACGCTGAGATCTGTTCCCATGACGTTATTTTGATTCGTGACCGGTATGCAGCAGTCATAGCCTTTCAGCTCGTTCACCAGCCGGTGGAAAGTTTGCGAGGCGGTGGGGTAGAAGCTCCCAGAGAGTGGAGTGCTGAGAGGTGAGCCTTTTCTGGCAAATTGCCAAGTATGCGCCTCAACTCTTTGGCGTCCTCCGTAGAGCTGCCAGAACTCGTACTAGACTGTCGAGTCAGCTCTGGGACGAGCTCCTGCAGCAAAGATGAGCAGTCGCAGGGGCGTCAAAGACCAAGCAACGTATGAAGTCACGTATCACGTCTAATGATGATGTTGTCGTCAACGAATCCACTCACTGGCTCGCTCAGCCGCTGAGGCGTGCTTGGCACGGTCGATGGCTTAGATTTGGGCGTATGCCAGTCGGTGCTCGAGACCGAAGATATAGATCCGTCGGACCTTCTAGGTGAATCAAGTCGCGAAGGAGGGCTTCCAATCCAACCTCGACCAGCTTGCAACGGGCTGCCGAACGAAGATCCATCTTTTGGCTCGATTCCGAACTAAGATATGCACGTTGATTGGCTAGGCAGAATGTCAGCAAGTTGCGGAGGAGCTTGCGCGCGCAAGTGCGCTCTACTCGCCTTGGCGTACAGCTCTTTGTCCAGATTGCGCATGGCGAGCGAATGGAGCCGCAGATCTTCTTTCAGCTTAGCTTCTCCTTTCAGAGATGTAGGAGGAACGCCAGGAGATGCGTATTGACTTGCCCACTTGTATCGACGTCTGCCCGCTGGCTGCACAGGCTCGAAGTTTTTCGGCTTGGATAACAAGGTCGCGGATGAGGTTGCAGTGCTCTCTGGACTACCACAACTGCCTCCAAAGCAGCCGCTGACCGTTCGTCTGAGCTTTTTGAACCTGTCTGCAACGTGTGGCGGCTTTTTGCGCGCCGCGATTCCCGCAACATCAAGGATGTCATCCACAAGCTGAATGAAAGCGAGGTCTGCTTGAGCTTACTCGCAACACGGCGGTGCGTTCTTCGAGCGCGTGCCAATCTCTTCGCGACCGAGACTCACGACGGCATCGGGAGGGCCGCGAGGCTCCAATGGTGCTGTCGCATCATCATGCCTCCGATTCAGAGGGACGTGATCTGGATCAGAGCCACGTTGCACTTTCTCACCCGTAGTCGAGGATGGCGCAAATACAAATTGACGTTTGTGGATGTGCGGCACACCGCTCCGTGGACTGTTCGGGTCTGCTCGATTCAAAGGCGACAAAAGTCGCTGCGGATCGAGTGCGCACCTTTATCAGACTTTGTGCTTCTCCCTCGCTAGCAGCGCAGCTCACCTTTGTGCCTTCAGGCACTCTACTACCCCACTCGGCTGCGTCGTTGAGATTCACGCGGCTCAATTCGAGTAAATTTTCGACAAACTTGAAGCTAAGCCTGGACCTCAAACTCACGACTCAAGAGGTTCGTCAGATCTGGCTCGGATCTGGATCGTGTAGGCGTCAACCATCTGACCTCGTCGGGCTTGGAGCCGACGACATGATCGTAGCGAGACGGACAAGTAAGCTGCTGCCAAAGCAAAGGCATCATCAAGCAGAGGCTCACTGTGAACGATGACGGAGGAGATTCGGGTCTCGAATCCCAAGGCGTCGGCCTGTTTCTGAAGTGGTCCCTACCTCCCGACAGCTCACCGAAGCTGAGCGGTGAAAAAGGTGCGGAAGGAGGAGAGGAGGGCGAGACTTTCGCTGATGGGTGTTTCGAGACCAAATAATCAGATCCAGGAGAGTTAGAGACAGTCTCGGTTGTGGTTCTAATGCGGCGCGAGTGATGACCTAAAGCTTTGGGCGCAAAGCCAGGCATCAGCTATAGGCAGGTTCGGGTTGCTAGGAAAGAGGCCGACTTGACTTACTCGTCAGCCCGCTTCCGTTTCGGGAGGCATCTGAATGCCTCGCTGCTGACAGCAATTCATGCTCGTTTGTCTGCTGCACCGAAGAAGGCTGGACGTCTATGCGTCGTCTGCTGGCCCGCAGTCGATGCATTGCTATTGGGCCAATATCGTGCGAGCCCCACAAGGAAGGGTCGCGCGGACCTTGGAAAGTGGCGCGCCTTGGGGGATCATATACCGTGGGCTGAGAACTACGAATTCTTCTGGGCTCTCCGACCGCAATGTCCACCCTGCCGAAACACTTCAGGCAGCCCTTGAGCGGGGACCTCCGATTTATCTCCGACTCAACAGCATCTCGTTTGGATAACGAGTGTCGGTTCGGGGTGGTGTGAAATGACCCAGGAGAGCTGTGGGTTGAAGTAGATGTCTGTGCGACGTTTCTAGTCATGAGCGTCTGGTCGGAAGCCCGATGTAGCTACTTGGCACTCACGCTATACAGCCTGGGCGGTGTCTCCGGACGGAGATCGTGTGCAAAGGGACCCTCGAGAAAATCGTGTCGGTGCGCATTTGAAGTGGAGCCCTTTCCACCATCGTAGAAGCGCTGCAACTTTACACGTTTGCTGCTCGCACCATTCGAATTTGGCAGCCGTCCATCTGCAGGAGGAGCCATGAGTCTCGGCACGTGCGGCTGAAAGAACACTCGGTCTTGCGGCAAGCGCGTTGGCGTATTAGCTCCCTCAGACGAGGATGGGCTTGCATGATGTCGCCAGATCAATCGATGGCGCGGAGTAGAAGTCATGTAATTTTCACTGTCGCTACGAGCAAGTGACCGCGCATCCTCGGCCTTGCAAAAGATGCATCCTGTGAAAAGCTTGCGGAGCGGCGCGCGTCGGTGCAGGGTGATGTTGTTGGGCCAGAGTCTCACATGTGCGGCCTGTCGCTTGATCAAAGTCTTCGACAATTCACCTTGTCTGCTCAAAAACTCGGAGACCGAATTTCGCGACATTGTCTCGAGGCTTGCTGAGATCGGGCTGCCAGGCCTAGAGTTGCGGGGTGCTGAGACGCTTCGATCGAGCACAGGGTTCAACGACGCTACTGCTTTGTTGACCCTGGCGCGAGAAGGATTGATGAAAGCACTCCATTTTTTCTTGAGACTCGCTGGGCTAAGAGGGTTGCTTATGGTATCAGCGTCGCCACTGCGGCTTCTCCTTGGTGCGGCACGCCATGCATTGAAAGCGTCAGACCTAGACTTTGTGAGCATCAACGGCTCTGAGACTGAGCTGCTCGGGCTTGGACTGAGGTGAAGAGGAAAATGCTCCGGACTGGACCTCGCAGGGCTCAGTGCGGACTCGTTGTCCAACGCAGATCGTGGACGCGTCTTGCCGAACGATCGACTCGCCCACTTGAAGAATGCCTTCGGCCCGAAGCCGCGGCGTTGCAAGCGTGTTGAACTTGGCTGAGCCTGAATGCGTGGTGTGTCACTCTGCGCAGCGGTGCAAAGAAATGCCAACGCACTGTAACAAATCAAAAGTGCTGCGGCAAGACCATGGTAGGCTAGCAGGGTTCGCCGCATCTTGAGCAGCGAGGCTCTGAGTCGATTCTAGCGCGCCAACCTAGGGAGCAGAAGTGATTTTGTTCGTGAAGTTGTGTTTCAGCTCACAAAAGGCTTTTTGAAGGTCGGCGTGCTGTCGAAGGCCTGCTCAGATACTTGGACCGACCGAGATTTGTAATAGCAAGAGCCAGTGACCAGCACTGACAGAGGTGAATAGAAGAGGTACGGGACGAAACTCTGGGAGTGGGCGCTCCAAGACAATCCAGGGAGGGCCCTATTTGAATGGTTCGTTGCGACATCCTGGTCGGACACGCACTCACGTATCTTCATTTCGAAGCCGCCTTGTGTCGATCTGTCTGCGCTAGTTCACGGCCCGCGTGGCGGCCAGGAGGTCAGGGAGCCACTGACTGCATAGTCCAGCTGCCCCCACGTCTGCTCGCAGCAACCAGCTTCCGCCGTTCGCAAGTGGCGTCATCACTGATAAGGCATGGCTTGGCACGCGGGTACTCGCAAGATAGATCCAGTGGCAACCGAGTCGTGCCTGCCACGTCTGTGACCATGAACCCGCCGAGCCCGGCCCACATGCGCCCTTCGTTGTGAACCAGCGGGTGAAGGCGGGCGTCAATTTGCGATCGTGCGCCCAGCGCATGCAAGCGGTGTTCTCCTTTCTGCAACTCGTAGATGAATGATAGAGAGGCGAGCCCTCCTCCGGTTGCCAAGCCGCGTAGAGGCAATCTCGGACTGCCAAGAGCGGCTTTGGGCGCCCATACGCGTGATCGACTTCGACTGCTTAAGCGGACCGTATAGAACAATGTCTAGCTGACTCCGAAAGCAGACCCTCGATGGTTGATGCTACGGCGGTGGTGCAGGAAGACCAGTCTGATGGCAAAAGGAAAAGGTGCAGGGAAAGATGGCGGCACGAAGAAAGTTGGATGACTGAGACGGCCCGCGTACGGGCAGGGCGCACGCGGCGGCCAGCATTTCACTCGGCGCAGGAACGTGAATCCTGCAGACGGACCGGAACGAAAACGTTTTAGTGCATTTGTTTCGCCGAGGTCAGCTTCCGAATATGCCCTTACTCAGGCAGCTTCGCCACCTTGTCTCACCAGCCGTGGTCGTCCGTGGCGGATGTGGTGCATGCTGAGCAACACCAATCTCCTACCGGCGCGTCCCACCTAGCGAGCTACGGTCCATTGTTCGGTGACTCAAATCCTCGAGCCGCATGAGAGGGCCAGTGCAACTTGCAATACAACAGAGCTCGGACGAGAGATCAGGGCGTGTCGGCTGCTTGTTGACTCACACTCACGAACGCGTCTGAGAAGCCGCGTTTGGTGTTGCCCGGGACTTTCATGCCCTCAATCCACCGCACGACGGCCATAAGCTGCCGTACAACTTACAGCGTTGCCAAGATGCCATCGCGCAGCGATCGCAAAGTGATGAGCTTTGTAGGGCACACAGGCAGTGAGTCATCCAATGACGCTGCGGAGAACAGCGCAGCTGAGCGACAGTCGGATGTCGCGCATGAGCATCAATTGACTCAGGCTGAGGTTGCGGAAAAGTGTTATCGCCTAGTGATGGTGGGTACATGCGCAACTCCACGTGGACGAAAGGCGATGACGCGCATCAACAATGGAACCATCTCAGACAGATTCCGGTGAAGTTTCGGTGGTTTCCCCATCGTTCTTGACATCTGATCCAATATCCAAGCCAAGAAGCGCCTTATTCTCTTCCGTATTGGTGGTAGCCGCAACTTGCGTCTGGTCAGACGCCGTGCGCGCGCTCAATGAGTCCACCGTTTCGGCCGTCTCTGCGCTTAGTTGAGACGCATCCGATGTGGCCGGCGAGTCGCTGCTGCTGATGTCATCGTCCGAAGTCGCAGAGGGAGCAATGCTCTGAGATGGCAAGTCGGGCAGGTCGAGCTCATCTGGTATGGCATCAGGAACAGCAGCGAATCTTGCGAGATCTGGCTCGTCCTTTGATTCCGACTCTTGACTGGTGGTCGTCATTGGTCCACCTAAACTGACAGGGAGGCCCTCCACCCCTTCAGCAGAGGCAGCGCCGAGCTCATCGACCTGTGCGCCAGGCGCAACTGCTTCAGCCGCCGCTTCCGCCTCGGCTGCAGCTTCTTCAATTGTGAGATCTGGCGATTCCGAGATATTTTCCTCATCAAAGACAGGTGCAGTGTCCCTGACTGGCAGCTCGAGCTCGTCATCCTCGAACAAAGGTCGACTCAGCGTCTTCGAGGGTGAGGTAGATTCTGCTCGCGCCACAAGCGCTGCGGGTATGGCACGTACGGGGCTGGTGCTCATGCTGCTAATGGGAGGAGGAGGGCCGTCAAGTTGAGGTGGTCCGCCTGCTCCGCCCGGAGGGATCAATGTAGGGCCAGTCGCCCGTCCTGTCGGACTCATCGGTGCAGCTCTTACTCTCATAGGCGAGCGGGGGACAGAATCCGCAGTAGCGGGAGAACCGATCGTGTAGCCCTCCGTTGCCCGATTTGGAGGAGAAGATGGGTCTGCTGGTGCGGTGACGCTGCTGCTCCTCCTGCCTTTGCGAGGCTGGCCAAGGCTCAATTGGGCACTCGTGGGCGGCTCTGCTGGTGGGTCAGGCATCTCTGTAGCAATCGTGAGCAGCTCGCGCAACTGTGCATTCTCGTAACGCAGTCGCTCCTCTTCCGTTGTGTCTTCCAGAACTTTTGCAGAGCGAGCAGCATCGGGGTCCCCAGCCGTGCCGGTGTAGCCTCCAGTTCCATGCCATTTAGGATCGGCGCTCGGTGCGCTACCGTATCCGCGGCTCTCGGTATATCCCGAGGTGCTTTGCGAAATTGAGCCAGGTTCGGCTGCGCCGGAGGCAGGGCTTTTCGGTGAAGGAGAGGCGGCCACCTCACCATCCAAAGTACGCATAGCAAGACGCACTAAGGATCCCATTTCGCTTAGACGACTCGACACGGCTGTCGATTCGGACAAGTCTCGGCTGGATTGGTCCTCTTCTGCTTGTGCAAGGAGCGACTCGTAGTGAGATGTGAGCTGAAGTGTGTGCGATTGAGTTGCGTGCTGTGTCGATGCGGGCGTGTGCACCAGTCGATCAGCATACAAACATCCGCACCCGGCACAAACGATCTATGCTCACGGAAAAGGACCTGAAGCGACCCATGATAGTTTCCAAGGTCTGCTCGTATTCCCTCAGCAGCAAATTGAGCTGCTTATTCTCGTGGGCAAGTGTCTGATTCTCAACTACCAGGCTGGCGTTAAGCTTTTCCAAATTTGATTCAAACTTTTCCTTGGAAATGTCCAGGTTGAATCGACGAAGCGCATATCCGGTGTTGTTGTGGAGCGCTTGTCCCTGGGCGCGTATGCGACGGACATTCCTCAGCTCCATCTCAAGCGGTTTGGGCTCCGTCACCTCTGACGCACCTTCAGCTCATCGACTCTGGCTTGCAATTGAGCGGCCACCTCTCTATTTGTCGTTAGCTGCTGAGAGAGCTCCCCAACAAGCAGCCACAGACGCTGATAGTCATCACCTTCAACTAGCGTCATTACTCAAGCTTGCGATGAGTAGTACGCGATGCTAGCGGCGGGAGGAAGGAAAGCTAATCACCGACGGAACCGATCGGCTTGTGTCGAATGTTGCGTCCCGATGTGGTAGTTCTAGAATGGCGCTTGACCAACAGATGCTTGGTAGTCCGAAAAGACGTCTGCAGGTATGAAGAATGGCGGTACGACAGGTTCCACGATGTTGAAGCTGGACCGAATGGCTGGTGAATGGAGGGACAGTCACAGTTTGAGTGGTGAGTCAGTCACGATCGAATTAGTCAAGAGTACGGACGTCACGACTCACGACCCCTTTGTCGTACGAGAGATGTGGGCGGGCTTCTTGCTTTCTGCACGCAGTCGTGAGTTGAGCGCAGTATAGCAATCTTGAATCACCCTCGCGTGCAGAGCAGGGCATCATGCAGCAATAACAATCAATTATAATAAGAAGAGCGCGCTGATACCGCGGTATGGTACCTCGATCCTGCGCGTCTCACGAGTCGCTTCTCGCTTTGGGAGATCCCCGCGCGGGCACACATGAGCCCATCGTACAGCACGCGCGACCATCACGGCAAAGCCAATAAACAGTCCTTACGCTGGATGTATTCACCGTTGCATCGGTGTCAGGCTGCCAGTCCAGAGCGTAGATTGAGTCGCTTCTAAGGGGTGTACGTATACACCAGATTGCACCAATCACAAGCTGCCGCCCGAGAGGTCTCGTTCGATCCACCCTCATCGCCAATCGCGTCTGTTGCACCTTTCGGTCAGCAGCGATCGTACCAACATCACGCCTTGACTGTATCGTGCTCTCTCCTCAATGCCACCGCGAGCTCTTCATGAGCGAGTGTCACGCGCTCAATCATCACCAGAACAGCAAAGATGAGCAATTTTCCTGAAGAGCGAGATGACGCTGGGCCCTCGCGAAGCCCGACCACGCCTAGGGTCGCACCATCTAGCATCACCAAAAATGTCACAATAGCCACGTCCTCGGCAGCTCCATGTGCAACATCAGCAATGTTCAGCAGCAGCGCCGTTGCTGCAGACACTGCAGATGTCATTCTGGAGCGCAGGATCCCGATCTATGTCCGATTCGTGCCCCGCGATATTTGGTTAAGAATGCATGTCGACCTTGCCAGCACAATCTCGGCTGTCAAAGACGCGGCCTTGGAGAGAGCCGGAGTGCCTTTAGAAGATCCTACAATGAATCCAGGATTCTTCGAGGAAGTCACAAATGCCTCTGCCCTCGCTTCCATGTCAAAGAGCGGATTGGGTCTGCCTCCAGAGGTCTCGACGCTTCCAAGAGGTTTCTTAGCTAGACGAGCTGGCTTCATCGGCTCGGGCAATGCTGGCGGCCCAACCCTCGCTCTGTGGGACTCGTCTGTACCGATAAGCTCGCCGCGTCACAAGACGAAGGCAGCCTCGACCGCATCCGCTGCTGCTCAGCATTTGCATGGAGACCCTGGCCGAGGAGGCATCGGAAAATTGGGCCCCGTTGGTGCTGGCTTCCCCGCCGTGTACAGCCTTCCGACCCTGTCGAATAGACGTCAACAAGCAACAGGCTCGAGCGCCGTTTCTCACGGCGCGCACGATGCGACGAGTAACGGAGAGCTGTTGTCCATTGCGCCCGCGTCGCCTCTAGCTGCGAGCGCATCTGTGTCCCCAGGCCTCATAGTCAAGCCCAGCAGAAGGCCCACCATGCCGTCGAGCGCATCCTCACCAGACATCGAGACTCGCTCGCACATCAGACAGGTGACAGACCGGTCTGCGAGGCACATGACCAGCTTTTCTGCTTTGGCCGCCGCCGCAGCTACTTCCTCTCCCTCACCCACGTCGACCAGACAGGCACCGACGTCATCCGACTCTCATAGCTACGCTGCTGCATCGCAAGCGGCAACTCCATATTCACTCTCCAGCGCTCCTGATTCACCGTCCGTCGTCGTTTCGCGGCGCCAAGCATCCAAGAAGGAGACTTCACATCACTCGCAGGATCAGTCACTCACTGCTGACCTAGACGCATACACGGACTGGACAACATATGGGCTCCCGGGCAATTTAGAGGCGCTGCGGCTAGAGCAGGAAGCCACTGCGCGTACGAGGAGCCCGGACCCCAGCGCGGATGTTGCCCGCAAAAGTGAAGCGCTCAGTGCCGGCTCGTCGTCGGCGACCTCTACGGCCGTGTCTCGCGCTGCTGCTTATACCGCTGCGGCGACTGGCATGTCCCCATCCATGAGCTCGTCGACTGCCGCGAGCGCCGACATAGGTAGCTTCGGGGTTACGTCGCCAGATGACGAGCTCTCGACGAGCGCCAGCACAGTCCCGGAGCCAGACGTCATCGTAGAAGCCGCAGAAGCTGAGCTCTCAAAAGAGGGCGCACGCGAACAAACACCAAATGCACAATCAAAGGCATGGCAAGGAGGGTCTCAGCCTGGCAGGCGCGACCGCAAACCACCTTCGACCACACACCCCTTCGATTCAGACGAGTATGAAGAGTCGACCAGCGAAGAGGAATCCGTATGGGGTGACGTTGGAGATGAACCTGATCAGTCTGGTCAAATGACTTCTGCGGGAAGATCGTCCCTGTCCACCTCATCCGAGGACAGCGAGAGTGAATTGGCCCTCAGAACCATTGACGACTCACAGCTTTGGGGCACACAATTGGAGGAGCTGATGGAGCAGAATGCAGCAGCAGCAGCGGCAGCGGCGGCAGCAGTGCAGCCATCAGCAATTGGGACGCCGGCAGCAACTGGACAGCCCACTCGCTCCTCGCCGGCACATACGCGACAAGCATCCATTCTCCCTGGCGGAGTGGCTAATGCTTTAGCTGCTCAGTCGCAGCCGCGCATACCGCGGAGAGAAGGCAGCGTGTCTTCAGAGCGCGCTAGATCTGGGACCATCACGGTCTCGAATTTGTCAGTCCAATCTCCGGCAGGAACGTCTGCGCCAGCTTCTGCGACTACGCCTGTTTGTTCGGAGTCGGAAGTAGTCAATCATCTTGCACCAAGCGTCGATCGGATCGCAAGGAAGCCCCCAGCGATTCGTCGCGTCGGATTGGACGACGTCGAGATTCACAGCAAGTCATCGGAATCCAGTCTAGGCAGCAACGCACATAGTCTATCCAGAGACGGTGTCAATTACAGCCAATTGTCGACGTCTACGCACGCCAGTAGTCCCGCCAAGTCGGTCCCGCGCCCTACCGGTAGGATCGCAGGTATACGCATGGACGAGATCTCCGCATGGGATCAAGCCGCGCATCCCATGTCGCCGCATTACGCCCTCTACTCATTCACAAACGGCATGCTCATGGAGGACTGGCGAACAGTAGCAGCCTTCAAAGTGAGGCCATTTGAGCTCATCGAAGTACAATTTGCCAGGCAGAGAGACCGAGTACACCTACCAAGAATGGGCGAAGCCAATCTGGCGGTTACAAGCTCTCAAGCCGCAGCTACCGCGTCGGCATTAGCAGCTGCCAGTGCTAGAATGCGCATCAGAACGCCAGCGTTGGACGAGCGGTACGTGGAGCCTTTTAGTGAAGGGTGGTACTACGTCTTGAAGTCCAGTAGCGGCTCTGGCAAACATTCCAAGGCTGGCTTAGGGACTTGGAAGCTTCGATACGTGGTTGTACGCGGATGGATACTTTCGCTCTTCAGGCAGAAGCCAAGTCGGCCCGATCTGACTGTGTCGCGCGGACTCTTCAGTTGGCACCTAGGCACGACGAGATGGGTCGTTACGGAAAGAGCAGACGGCGCAACCAGCCCACCTTTGCCCTATGGAAGGCTGGCGTCCGAAAGCATTTCGATCAAGTTCAACACTGGTGTTGCGACGGACTATTCTCAAGACGACGGCGAGCTTGCCCACAGAAACTTGCTCACTTTGCGCGCTCTGACTGAACACGACCATGAAGCTTTCTTCAGCATTATTGCCAGAGCATACTACAGGCACGTCACAAACAGTGCCGACCCAGGTGAAGGCCTCAATATAGAAGCTTGGAGACGACGAGCGATTGCTCGCGCGACCATTGCTGGAAGAGGAGGCACTGTGCAGCCTGGCAGGGCAGGTCGAAGAGCAGGAAGGAATGCACTGGCTCGTGCGCGACTTCGGCCGAAGGGCATGAGCCGGGCATTCGACGATGCCGACCGTTGGAGCAGCACGAGCGAGTCCGAAGTGTTCACGCCACCTCCTTCGCTTATGAACGCAAGCGATGGCCATGAGGCCGCGCTAGCGCCATCCACAGCCCCTAAAAGCGCGTCAAATTTGCCTTCGACACACGTGCCATCATTCCCCTCAAATTTTAAGGGCAAGCAGAAAATAGAAAGTCCGCCTGAGGCGCCCTCTTCCGATTCGGAACGCAAAGCATCCAGTGCTCTGAAGTTGTCGGAACCGACGTTTCTGAGCAGTAGTCCTGCCGAGCAGAGTACAAAGTCACGACGCGAAAGGGAGGTCTCTTCAGCGCAGAGTGAAGGCAGTCAGCTCCTCCTTGCCGCCGAACTCCGATCCACGCCGAGCAAAGTGAGGGCCGATGGCATGGGTTCGTCGTCGAACCGCGCCGCCGTCGATGGAGCTAACGCCGCCGAGCAACAGTGGGATTCTCGCGATTCGCCGCTGACCTCGCATCGTTTGTTAACGGAGGTAGGGAAGTCTCCGGAGCGTTCAAAGCGTAGCTGGCGCATATCTGCACAAGGTCAGCCCACTTCACGCTTGGCAGATCAGCCAAAGTCATCCTCCATACGCTTTGACGATCGTCCGCCCACCTTTGAGGCTCCTGTCCGCTTGACCCTGACACCTTATGCGATCAGTACGAGTCGTCCAAGCAGCCGAAGTGGCAGGACGCGCGCGCACACTGTCGCAACAGGTCAGGATGGTAGACCAGCTTCGCAAAGCGGCAGGGAGACCTATTTTGATGGAAGCGCTTCGCATCTCCCTGGAGGCGGACATGAGAGCGCTTTGGCCGGGATGCACCAGGCGGGGTGGAGTCCTTCGCACGGCAGCACATTTCGACCCTCGACTCCGACTAGCGCGAACCGTCTTCCGGACATTTTGGACGGCAGTCTGACGGGTCTTACAGGTCAGGCAATTCGGCGTCCAGCGGCTGATGCAGGTGCAAAAGCGCAGGAAGCGACCTCGTCACCCACATTGCATCCAGACCTTCCAGGCGCCCTTCAATCTCTCAACCATAGGAAACGTGAAGAGTCTCGTTCATAAAGTGCGTTGACTGGGCATTGACACGTCTTGATTTTGTTCTTTTCTCTTTGTTTCTCTGTCCGCACGTTCCTCCTTTGAGGCTGACCAATGGTCGGGCCCACGAACAGACGCGCCATTCGTGAACATTGATTCTTCACCCCAAAAAAAAAGCCCCGAACCTTTTCCCTTTTCCCCCCGATGATCTTCAATCCGCGTCAACGTATCCTCCACGCGCCTTCAAAACTTCACCTCTGTTGTATGTATCAATCAATCAACGCAGCTCACGGTATTAATGTGCCATCGCAATCGCATCCACAACCACGGGCCTGATCAGTCTGTGTGAAATCTCCCACAACCAGAAAACGCCGAATCGCTTTCGCAACGTGCAATGCTTATTGGTCGATGCGGTCTGCAGGCTTACTAGAGCGAAGTACTGTCCTATTGCTTCATTAGAGTCCAAAAGGTAAAAAGAGACGGACATGGTGTGCATGCGATGTAGGAGTTCGTGCGGTCGAGCAGTGCGAGCGAGGTGGAAAGAAGAGGCAAGCCAAGATGCTCGTTGCTCGAGAAGCGAACAGCATGCTCGGGTGTATCAAGAGCGGAATTGAAGAAGTGAGAGAGAGACCGCTACAGGAGGCAGTACAGAGCAGTGCGGTAGATCGTCAATCGAGGTGGATGTAGATAGCGTGCAGTGCGTCGTTTGTCCGCTGATGCGTTTCGCGATGCGTCGTTGCTGGAACGCGAGCGAGCGTATCAGCAGCCGTCGATGAGCCTGTTCTTGGGCCAATTGTACTTGTCTCTCCACTGCGTGACGTTGGGGTTGTTGTACACGTCCCCATGTCTGTTGATGTAGTCTGCAGTTGGATGATCAGCGGGATCGCAAGTGGTCTTGTCGGCTTGACCATCGCGCTGGTACACCCTAACGTAGTCTACCTTCATGGTAGCGGGGAACTGGAGAGTGTCGAACTCGATGTGTTGGAAACCTTCAGAGATACCCAAGTTGAGGATGATGGAGAGTGGCTCGGTGGGGATAGGTCGGCGACCGATACCGATGTTGGGACGAGGCGGTGTCGAGGCGCCAGTGACTGTCCAAGTTTGCTTGCCATCGATGTACCAACTGATGTACCCGCTGCCGTCGTTATCATAGTCGGGAACGTACTCGAAACCAAAGGTCGTAAAGGTAGGGTTGGTGGCGAGCTCGTATGCCTTGTTTGGGATGGGCGATAGACCAGAGACGGCCTCTTGGTACACACCGCCAGTGTAGGAGTTGATCTTCGTCCCACCTCCTGGGTGAAGCACCGCGACGTCTTGATCCCAATCGTAGGCGAGATCGAATGGAGCGGTCTGCAACGACTGCGAGGCCTCGCCCACACCCTCCGCCGTCTGAGCTTCGAGCGCGTCGATTTCGGGTGAAGATCGACCGACGTTGTTATTGGGACCCTGAGCGCGTGTGTGAGCGCGTCAGCATGCCAGGCACGTGAGATGTCCCACGCTCAACACTGGCGCCTATCCACTCACTGGGTGATCTTCGCCTGAGCAGGTGCATGAGGGAAGGCGCATACCTGGAAGCCAGTTCAGACCCGTCTTGCCATACTTGACAGAAGTCACAACCGAATCTGGTGTACCATTTGCAATATCACTCTGATTCGGTCGGATCCCATTATCACATCCTTGATAACTGTAAGGCCAAGTTCTAAGCAGCGGCAGAAACAAGCAGAGACAGGAAGAGGACGTCAGCTTAAGGTGCGCAAGGAACGTAGGCGAGAAGAGGACACTCACCCCTGTTGACAGCGTTGCAGTCGCGTGCACCAGAGGAAGCGAGGGACAGTCAGCTTCGGAGCAGAGAGATCAATGACACACTACGTACATCAGTCGTTCCAAGGTAGCCGGGACGACCTGTGATCAAGGAGCAGATACAAGAATGAGCTCGTGTAAGGATCCCAGCCTTGCAAAATAACGCAACGCACCGAGGTTGCCCATGGTCCAGAGACCTGGCCACCAGCCCTGAGTGTTCGGGCTGCCTGGCAAAATGGCAGAGAATTCAATGTATCCACCTTGAAAGCAGAACTTATTCCCTGTGCGCACGCATGGGCAAAACGTATCATCTCATGAGCAAGTAGGCATCTCGTATACTGAACGACTACACCGACAACACTCACAGGACTGAAGCATTCCACTTCGGAAGTTGAGATTGTGAGTGGGACGATCCTCCATCGTGATTTGCAGATGTCCGTCAGTGGTGTTAATCTGCTCAGGCGCATACCATTCGTAATCTGTGCTCGAGCATGAGCCAAGTCAGCGAGGTCTAATGGATGCAGTGACAAGCTTCACCATCTACGCACCGCCCGTAGCTCCGTACCAAATGTCGACCGCCGTCCAGTAGGGATCATCGCCAGGCCAGAAAGTGCGTCCTGGAGTGTTGAACTCGTCCGAAAAAACACAGTGATGCTTGATACCATCGGCGTTCGTCCACTCCCGGTCTGCAGGAAGTGTATCGTTGTCTACGAGACCCAAGATGCTTGGAACATTTGGCACCTGCCCTGAACCATTAGTTCCGCCAATGTTGAAGCCAGACGTGTTGTCAGGGTGCTTCGTGTAATGCGCGATGATAGGGTAACCAGCAAAAAGAGCCAATAGACCTGTCACGATCACCACCAGGGCAAGCACATTGAGGATGCCTCTCGCTGAGCAGGGGTGCAAAGAGTCTCCTCGCTTGGAATCGGGGTTGTGCTGCAAGACAAAAGAAGCAGTCAGCAGTCGCATGTCAGCAATGCGCGCGTTGGCGGGCTGTCAAATTGTAGCCATATGCAGGGCACACAAAACTCACCAAGTAGTCATCTGGCTCTGCTTCGCCCTTGCCGTCCCAGAGCAGACCGTCCTGCTGCGGCTGGTAGTACTGCTTATTATCCCCGCCGTATGATGAAGCAGCGCTGTAATTGCTAGCTCTGTTTCCGGCGTCGTGTTGATTCAGGTTGGCTCCCAACGTGGCTCCGGCAGCAGCGCCACCAGCAGCATAAGCACCTCTACCCTGACCAGGTCTGCTTCCCATCTTTCCCATGCTTCCCTTTCGCAGATGAGAATAAGGACCATATTCGCCATTCGTCGTTACGTCCCTCTGACTTCCCACATAGCCAGCACCGCCACCGCCTCCCTGATTGTTTGAAATCATCGGCGAGTTGCTCGATCGACCCGATTCTGCAGATCCACTAGCACTTCCGCTCGCATCTCCTGTCGAGCGCCTTCCCGGGGCAGGGAAGCCCTGCGGATTTCCGCTCATATTGCGATTGTAACTTCCAACGCTGGGATTAGGAACGCTTTGATAGTTCGCTCCTCCTTGGTGCGCGTAAGACATGTGGGGTGATGCGCGCTCTAGGCAGCAAAATCGTTGCGGTATGCGGTATAGTCGACGAGCGAAAGGGACGAATTCTGTTCGTCAGGACTTCTCTACTCGAACAAGATCGTGTCGCCGTGCGACCAGGGGAGATCTTGCGTTGGACGTCTTTCGGTGAAACGGTCAGATGGTGTTGTCGGTGCACGATGAGTTCTTGCGGCCAAGCAAGGTTACCGCGTATATACACATTTTGACTGTGACTTGCGCTGCGAGCGCGGGCCATGGCATGAGCAGCAGCTAAGATCGAGCGCGGGCAGCTAGCTACGCAGCACCTTTGCGCCCATTGACCTTGACGGCGCGCAAGGGCGGTCGGTCGTCACAGCTAGTCCGCGCATCAGTCACGCGGCACAGCACCGCACCGTACCGCACCGCACCGCACCGCATCTCGCAACAGCAGCATGCAGCAACAGAGCCTTGATTCGCTGATTGCTGCAAGTTGCGCGTCGCCGAGATTTTAGGGGATGGGCAAGGTCAGGCGACGAGACGGTGGGCATAGCACCCGCGTGAGCAAGCAGCTATACTGTACTCAAGACTGTACAATTGCCATGATGCATGCAAGTTTTGTGGCGGGGCTCGTGAGCGGCACGTTTCGCCGGCCCAAACCGCGGGTGTGCGCTGCGGGCCCACGGCTTCCGCGCGTCCAGCAGCAGCGCGCATGCAGCAGTATGCAGCCGTGCGCGCTCATTCCAACGTGGCCAGCACGCAGGCGAGTCGCGCTGCTGCTGATGGAAAGAGCCAAATCATATCGCAGCGATTCATGCGCGCATGCAACCGAATGGACGCGCAACCCCGAGGACTGGATACGGGCCATCACAAAGCTATATCAGCGTTGCGCGAGTGCGAGTGCGAGTGCAAGGCAGCCTTCACCAACAACGTGCGTCGACCCGGCCCCCCCTGAGCCTGCCTATGTAGCCGGTGGCTCGGCTCGCAAGATCCAGCGAGCATGCAGAGCATTCAAGATTAGATGAGGTGGATCTATCCTTAATATTGAGGATGGCAGCTAGGAGCCGGCCAAATACTTAAAAGAGACCTGAGCTCGTCCATCACTCGACTGGACTGCCCTCTTCTGCCTGCCCGATACCAAACGGCAAGAAAAAGGTAGCAAGTTGAAAGACTCAATCGCACTTGTCAAACCTCACACGTAGTGCAGAGGCCGCTGTCGGTCCTCCATTCGTGATTGGCAACATCAAGAATGCATGACGGTCAGCCTCTCGGCCTCACGCACATCAGTTGTGGACTTGTGGTGCTGCTCACCTGGAAGTGATTTGCACGGGCCGGGCGTCATCGAGAATGAAACTCAAGCTAAGATCCGAAGGTGCGCTCTGGGTGCCTTCTCCGGATTCACCTGAGCTGAGGTTGGTCCGGCCGCGCCTCGGCAAACATCTGATTCATGAGTTCCAGGACCCTACAGTCATGAGTTATAGCAAAGACGACAGACACCAAATCAAGTCTTTGCATGCTGCCCCTCACAACTCGTGACGCAGTGGATGAAGCTAGTGCGAGTCCGAAGTGAGTACTACTAGACTCACGACTCGTGATTGCCGTCCGACTGTCGACAAGGTAAGAGCTGTGGGTCGCCTCCAAGTCAGTCATAGTCGAGGCCGCCGAAGAGCTCCCTCCAGGGGCTACTCGGGTTGGCGGTAAGCATTCCTGCAGAGTCCGCCTAGCTGGAGCAGTGCACGAGCACCCGCCTGCGCGACCGTCCGCGCGCGCTTTATGTCAGCAGCTCCTTGTCCTTTGCATGTTTTTCTGCAAGTCGATGAGCCGGTCCCTGAACCACGGGCGCAAGAGCAGTATTGCTTTGCAAGTCCGACAATGCCAAGCCTTGAGACAGCCGGGCTAGCGCCAAGGCACTTCTCCAGTCATCCTCGTCCTGATGGCGGGGATGAAGTAGATCGGCAACTGCCATTCCGCAATGCATTCAAACTTATTATAATTGTGATTTCACGATTCAAGTTCGCGCTGTGGGCGCCAGCATTCAAATGGTAACGGGATCTGTGCTGTCACGTGCAACGTCAGAAAGAAAGACCTTTTGAGCGCGACCTCCTCTTTCAATTTTCGAGGTGGAAAGCCTCGCAATCTCATTGGTCACATTGATCTACATTTTTAGCTGATTAGTGAGGTCGACCTGACGATCTCATTGTAGGTGACTTGAAGTAGCTCCAGCTCAGACAAGTTGTCGGCCGCGTGGTGCATAATCTTGCAGTGAGACGAAATGGCTCTGCGACGCTCACCTTCGACGCAGCGCAACATAAAGCGTAATCATGAATCGTCTCTTGCCCAGATTGGCGGCTCCGTCTCTGATCAGCTGCTCAGCATTCGCCCCTTCTCTCCCTTGCCGTAGAGATTGTCGGGGCCACGTGACTTGACTGGTCGTTCGAAAAGTCCAAATTCTCCTGTTCCATCCGTTGCAAGTACCTCTCAAAGCCAGGTTTGAGGCCAAAGCAGACAAAGAACATTTCTATGCTCGTATCCTTTGAAGCTTTGCACTTGACCAGTCTGATGTGCTCAAACGCATGCAGCAGAGCTGTCGCGGAGCCCGAAAAAGAAGAAAACAGTCAGTCGTCTTCTCGAATGCGACCAAACGAGCGACTCGACTTACTCGACTTGTGAAACGCGTTGGCCGTCTTTCCAGGGAAATATTTGGCCACGTAGACGCTCCCTGCCATTCTCTGTCTTTCTTTCAAGCTCGCTTTCAACGATTTATCCCCGTTCGGCGAAATCTTATGAGGTGCCACCGTGGCGCTCCACTTGAGGTTGCGATATGCAAAGCTAAAGGAAGCTGTCAGAAGCCTGAGCATGGCCTCTTCATCTCGCGCCTTGCTGCCAGAGCTAAACGAATATGGCGCAAGTACAACGTGTCAGTGGTTGACTCGCACACATTGGCGCTGCACATAGCACTCACAGACTGGCTACAAAGATGGAAAGGAAGAGAAAAAAAAGGAAAGTTGCGAAACTTCACAAGTAAGCATCAAAGACCTTTTGTTGTTTGTCTAGCTCTCCGATGGAGCACAAAGCCAACTCACGACACATGTCGCTCATGACGACATTGACCAGTCGCTGAGATTTGCCTGAAGGATCCAAGTACTTGTCAGTCGATTCCTGAAGTCTTCTCGTCTCTGCCTCTGATGGAGGTTCCGATTTGCCCGGCACCTTCGGCAGTGGATACAACTTCGGCAATGGCGCTTCGGACATCGCTTCACTATCGGTCTGCTCCTCTGATGGCCTGGTTCCTTCATCATCACCACCGTCAAGGTTGTCTCCAGGGTGATCTAATCTCTGAGTTTGCTCTGTGTTCTCAGAAGCCACTGGCGGTGCGTGGGGAGCGTTCGAATTGAGGTTGTCTACCAGAAGGGAATCTTCCCGGCCAACTTTGCTCCTGATAGAATCTTGGAGAAGGAGTTGCACATCATGTCTGAGACGATTCAAAAATAAGGGCTTAGCCATCTGACGTGAACATTTGAAGCAGAACGACCTTCCCTCTCACCTCAAGAAGTCACCATGGACAATGGTGGTGGAGCTATCCTCAAGCGCTTTCAAAATGTCCGACTTGATATCGATGGACCAAACCAATGGCTCCTCATCCTCCTTCGTTGCCGTAGACGCGTCACCTCCCGCTTTAAGCAACAAGCCATGCTGTCTGGCTCTGTCTTCGCGTTGTCTGAGCGTGTCGATCGCCACTTCTGTCCAGCCTCCAGGATACGCCCCCAAATCTACTACGACTTGTCTCTCTGGATGTTCTTCTGACGGACCGCGAAGAATGTTCAACTTCGAATCGAGCTCAAACTGCATCGAGCGAGAAAAAGGGAGGCGGTTCATTCGATCTGCTCCAGAGTGCCGTAGACGGACAGGAGGCGAAGGCAGAACAAAGACCGATCGGCAACACTACTCACCAACTTGTATGCGCTCTTGTTCTTGAATACAATCTGCCCCACTTTCAAGCCGGTAGATGCCAATTTGCCACGATAATGTATAGGCTTCAAATGATCAGGTTGATTCCTGTCTCTCCTGCTGAGCATCATCTCTACCGTGGATAGCATTTGGTAAGTCCTGCCGCTCGACGTGCCACGTTGTTCGCTCGAAGTTGAGTGAGCATTTTTAATCTTCGGAAACGTAGCATATCCTTCGTCGGGCTCTGTCGAGTGCGCGTTTGATGCTTGGTAGCGTCTGCTGTTTGAGTCTCGACCACGATCACCTTGACGCCCTCTCCTCGCGGAGCCTCCTTTACCCTTGTCATAGCCTGCTGGACTTTGTCTCCCCTCCCTCCGATGCCTTCTTCCTTCTTCTCCCCTTCCTCCTCTATCCTCCCATGAGCTCGATGACCACCTCGGTAAATCTTGCTTGAAGTCATGATCCCTATCTCTGTATGCAGAGAATTTGTCGTTGGAGGAGCTGGAGGCGAATCTGTTCGACGAGCGATGAGCAGGGCATGCGCCATTCCCTCTCGATTGCCGTGCGGAGCACAACCATTGCTGCTGAGAACCTCGAAGTTGACGCAGAAAGTGAAGCTGCGATGGGTTCTTCATCGCTGCCAAGCACTTGTCGGACCTGGTCTGAAGTTGGCAGCAAAGAGCGACAGTAAGACTGATGAGACGACGTAGATGTATGCCAGGATTCTAAGGAAGGATGCTGTGATGACTGGGAGGAGGGTCATCGAGGCTAGAGGAAGACATCTTGGCTCTGCCTCCTCCTCCACCCTTCTTCACGATTCGTGATTAATTGCAGACCTTCTCATCCGCGTGCATGCATGCATATAAATGCGCCTCACCCGAAAATATAAAAGCCCTTGCTCACGTGACATTCATCATCGTGTCCGTGAGTTCCTTACAAATAAGTCGTGAGTGCTCCCTCCGCCGGCCAGCATCCATATACCACTGAACGCCCAGCTTTGTGTCGTGAATGGGCACTCCCCCCCCCCCCCCCCCCCCAGCCAAAAGCACATGACTTGAATGGCACAAGTTGTAGATCTGGGCTCCGAGAATAAGCACGAATCTGCATGCAACTACACTCTTGACTGTTATACCTACAGGCGAGCAGCAGATGGGCTGCATGACGCGCGGTCGGCGCCAAACTCCACACAACAGGGGCCCTTCCGCGGCGCGAACAGCACGGGCGTATATGTATAGAGGTACACATGTATACCGGTGTCGATCCGCATTCATGTACATTGATTATTATTCGTGAACATCACAAGGATATTTGCAGAGTGCTCCTCTCTTTCTCGCACAAAGTGCAACGCTTTGACGCACCTGCAATACCGACTGGCACCATTCACAACATAAAGTTGGACGGATCTGCTGGAGTCCTAGAGTGGCCGAGTTGGAAAGGATATGACCTCTTGGACGTCTTAGGGCAAGCAAGCTTCGCCGCATTGCTGTGATTCGCCGCCCTTGCGAACAGCCCAGCATGGCTGCCGATTCGGCGTTGGGAAGCGGTACGGCAAGCAAGAGTGGGCTGCAGTCTTCTCAGTCTCAATCTCAGCACTCCGGTGGAATGCAAAAGTTGACCAAAGTGGCCAATGCAAGTCCAGAAACCACTCCTCTAAACAAGGACACCGCCGAAGAGAGCGGCCCCGTCTCGCCATCGCAGGATCCACTGTCCACTACGAGTCCCAAGCTGGTAGTGCCTGTCAGGAACGTCAGGACTATCAAGGACAATGTCCCATCTCGACCTTCGCCGACCGCAGCTTCGCAGCACTCTCAGCCGCTCTCTTTGCCCAGTCCAGCCTTGTCCTCCTCCTTGGGCCGCACGAGCAGCTCCACCACCTCCACCTCTTCCCTGCGCCCCTCTCAACTTAGACTCGCTGCAGCAGGAGCTTCGAGAGGTGGTGTAGGAACGCAGTGCTCCATGCCTGTCAGGGGAGAACAGGACGATGCGGCGGATGCTGTGCTGAAGTTGGAACGCATGATTCAGCTGCGCCAGCAGAAGAAGAGGTGGAGAGCTGCGGCTAGCGTCGGATTGAACAAATTATCTAGACGGTCAAGCGGGACGCAGCATCAAGGTGAGTGGGAGGTGTCTGATCACTTTGTGTATACAGGCAAGAGTCTTAGCCTAGCAAAAGGCGGCAGGGAGGCAACCGCGGCTCATCGTCTTGCGTTCTGCATCTGCCCATACGACCCAGATGACTCTGATTCTGAAGAATCGGACCACGGCTCTCCTTTCGGAGAAGTCAGGCTGGCGATCTCCAGTCTTCCCGACTTCCCAGTCATGGCGGTTCGAGGAGCAGCTCACCGCGCAAAAGGTCTGGTAGGCCGATCGGGCACGATTATTGGTCGAAAAGGCTCCCCGGCCGGTGCAGTGCGGCAAGCCCAAGACGCCAGCGAGGGTGCCAACGTGCTGAGCGATACTTCGGACAGTGTGGCAATGGACGGTGGCGCGGCCAATTTCCGCTTTGGCAGGAGAAGAGCAAGTCAAGGAGTCTTGTCGCCTTCGTCTGCTTCAGTCAAGCGGGGGAGCGTGTCTAGCATATCCAGCCTTCAACCACCACCTCCCACCTTGCAAAGCTCGAGCAGCGCAGGTCCTGTCTTGATGCGCCCAGAGCCTTTGCGTCCAGGTAGCATGGAAGTTCCAGCAATCGAGTTGTCGCGGTCAAGAAGTGGCGGACCGACTAGCTCTGTCAACGAGCTGCATGCCGTGAATGAGGAGGATGGCAAGGACCATGCGCAGGAGACGCCTCTTGTCCGCGCAACGCCTCTTCCAGACGTCAGCGAGCAGCCGCTCCACGAAGAGGGGTACGCAGAGCAAGCTGGCGCCGAACAGGTGCGGGGGTCAACACAAGAGGTGCGTGCTGGCGCTGGCGCGGCCAGTGGCAGCACAGACACGCGCCTGCGTCGACCGACCCTCCTGGTGCAGAGTCCTACCGAAGCGCAGCTATCCTTCTCGGCACTGGACTCTTTCGCACCGTCGACGGAAGCTTCGCAAGAGCTGATCGCAATTACCTCCTCAGCTCACAAGGGACTGGATTCTGCGACGTCTTCACAAGGACACACGAGCATCATGGGTGGAGCGCTTCACGATGAGCCAGAGGTGGACAGTGACGGCGTGGTGTTCGAAGAGTCCAGCAGCTCGTCGGATGAGCGAGGTGAGCGACAAGGTGTTGCAGCTGAGGCAGTAGGGAATGGCTACGAGTCTGGAGCATCTACTCCTTCTTCTGAGGAAGACGAAGACAAAGTGATGTCGCTGCAATTGGAACATGGCTCACAAATGTCCAAAAAAGACGCTAAGCGCCTGCTGCGCGAGCACAAGAGGGCTGCACGCGCGGCCAGATCAGCATCTATGAATGGAGGCAGTCTTCGTGGAGCCGCACTGGCAAGGGGCGAGAGCATTTCTGATCGAGTGCGGGGCGGTCTCAAGTACGCCACTACGGAATCTCGCAATCGTAGAGCGATGGAACGCTTTTCTCCGGCTGTGAACCGCTCTGGTGCTACTTCGCCCGTCACTGGTGTCGGCCAGGGCTCAACGGCGAACCCCACATTCAGCGATCTCAGTCGGAACGCGACGACTTCTCGGAGCACCACACCGCTAAACGGGATGCAGCTCGCTTCTAGACGGGACTCGGCAGTCAGTAGCCGTCGCAGCTCCGTCTCCGAAGACGCTGCGGTTCAGCCATTCTCGCCCACGTTGAGCGAGAATGGCGACCGGTGGACTTTGTCAGATATAGGCCGGCATCTACCTCAGCGCTGGAACACGTCCAAAGGAAGTTTGCTGGGCAGTCAGAGCGGCAAGAATCTGGGCTCAGTCAAAAGCGTGCGTGGACATCGATTGTTCAGCTTGAGGAGACGCCATCGCAAAGCGGATGAAAAGGAAGACGTGGACGAGGAGGAGCCGCCTTCTTCGCCCAGAGCGGAAGATCCTGCGCTGGAGCTTGAACGCGTGCTAGGGAAGTTGATTGCTCAGCAAGCTCCTGAGGAGTTGAAGGAAAGATACGAGTATGATGTGCTGCACGAGAATCAGCGCGGTCTTTTGGTGTTTGGCATTCCCAAATTCAGTGCGAGGACGCTGCTCCAATGGGACCCTGCGGCGTGGACGAATGCGAAGAACAGAGACTCGCCGTACAGCATCGTCAATGCGCAGCTGCCTGATCCCTCGTGGGAATGGGTGCATCCCGAGTGGCTCATCGACATGTCTGGCGACGTCGACGAAGCAGGCTGGCAGTACGCGAACAATTTCGGCAAGTCTTGGATACCCCATTTCAAGCGTCCTCGTGGAGCTCTACCGCGCGCTGGAGTCGTCGGTGCTATCGAGATGAACGAAAGGCTTGCGCGTGAAGAGCAAAAGGATCAGGAACGTGCCAGGCAGAGGGAAGATGATGGTTTGGAAGCTCTCAAAAGGTCCGCCCAGGCTCGCAGCGCCAAATGGCGCGCCGAAGGCGATCCGGGCACATTTGTCAGACGAAGACGATGGATTAGGCTGCGCAGACGAAAAGCTTTGAATGAGACCGCGCCGGCCAGAACGCCGAAGGAGGAGCCTGGAGAGAAACCTAAAGTTTCTTCGGGAGATTGGTCAAGGTTGGTCGCACCTTCCAATCAGTCTCCATATCCCTTCCCGAGATCCGAGAAGGTTTCCGCGAGCAGGGGAGGCGGTGAGAGACACCCTCAAGTGCTTGAAGATTCAGACAGCTTGTCGAACCTCGAGGAAGATGAAGAGTCGGATTCGGGAGACTCAAGCTCGTCGTCAGAGACAGGCGTAGATGGCTTCATGCCCCGCCCAACGCCGAAGGATACGGCTTTGGAAACTCTTGAGGAGCTGCAACATACCGACCCGAAAGAGTACAAGAGGCGTATCAGGCATCAGCGAGAATTTACCGGCACTATCCGGGATCTAAAGACTCTGCTCCCTGCAATCATGCACAAAGAGCGCCTTGGTCATTCTCACTCGTGGTCTACGAACACTATGAAACAGCAACAGGAGAAAGAGCGCAAGACTAGCTTTTGGACGCGGGAATTGGATGCGAGAAACCCTTTCATCTCTTGGAAGTTGGTCAAGAAGAGACTCAACGATGCAGATCTTGCCTTTGCTTCCACTTCTCTGCGCGCCCGAGAGCGCAGGCACGCTCGACATCTCTTGGTCAGCAGCACTTCTTCTGCACGGCCTGATGCGCGCGTCTCCGGCAGTGCGATACCTTTTGCTGGCGAACGTGACGTGCAGGGAGGAGCGCACTCTGATCAGGCTCGTGATGCTACCGCGCCTACTTCTCCCTTTGACGACTTGACCAGATCTGCACTGGTGGAAATTAATTTCCGTCGGGTAGTCCGAGTACTCAGGGCGTGCAAGCTGGACAGACAGCGTCTGCAACTTTGGCAATTGTGGCTCGGTTGCAACACGTCGGATCCATCGCGCACGCGTTCGACTATAGACGGCGACATCGCGTCAACCTCGAATCAAAAGCTATCATCTAGCAAGAAGCACACAGAATTTGGATTGCCGGATCCTGTGGATGTGTGGGACGTGTTGGAACGCCACTTGGACTTGGTCCTACTCCTGTTTGAATTTCAGGGCAGCAGAGCAACTTTGATAAGATCTTTGCTGAGCTTACATGCAGAAACGCACCCCTGGCACAAGTTCAGACGGACGTCGTGGACCATCGGTGCGCCCGTCGATGGCGTCTTGGCTCATCCTAATGCTCCACCCACATTGGATCCCGACAGCGACTCGCGCTTCGAGGGCTTATCAGCTGGTCGACCAGTTCAGCATGTTGGTGCGACGGAGGAGTGGCAAGCGGCAGAAGTTCCTCGATTGGAATTCTTTTCGGACTTGGAGGCCATAGCTCGTAGCTATCTCGAAGAGCCGCCGCAAGGTGTAGCAGCTCATCAAAGTCAGCAACAGAGAGAGGCTCCCCACCTGCATAGCCCATCACCGGCAGGCCTACCAAGCCGCGATTCGTGAGTCGCCATTGTTCCAAATTCTTCTAAGCGCCCCTGCGTCGACTTGAAGGGCGCGCTGAGCTTAATGGATCCTTCTCATCTTACTCACCGACGATAGCAGTCCCTTTGGCAAGTCGCGATCACCGCCACCCGCCTTGCGCTTTTCTCCAGCCTCTCGAGCACATACGCCGTTGCAGCAACTTCTGTCACCATGACATGACCATACGCCATCACGTCCTTGTGCCCATGTTATGCTTTACGAGACGCGCAGAATCCCTGCAAATATCCTGGCACCGTTTCTCGCAATTTCCCTACCGGGACACCTGCTTCTTGATCCCATCGTAGTCAATTTTATACCCGCACTTCCAATCGCCTGATTGCAATTCAATATGCTGCACACATAGCACTTAATCGATTCAGCCATTTACATTGCGGCGCAAGGGCAAAAAGCGACATGCTCTTTGGTGAAGTATCATCCCGACATTGATCTAATCATTGAGTGTCAGGCTGAAGCTGTAGCCTCATGATGCGTTAGCCATTCGATGGCGCGCAGCGAACGCAAGAGGACAGCTTGCGAGTTAGCGCCGTCAGCAAGGCCGGAAAGTACAGGACTCTGCACTCTAGCCTGTTCGCTGTCCACCTGATCGTCATCGTCAGAAGATTTCGGAGGAACGGGCAGGCTGGACAGCAAGTTGTCGAGATCTTTGACCATCGCTTTGCCTGCCGCCTCAGCTTCTTGTCTCAGTGAGCCAATAATGACATCACGGCCACCAGGCACTACCGTCAGGTTGGAGGCGATGCTGAGCGTGTGCTGGAAGCCACGAGAGCTGATGGCGGTGCCCAAGGGCTTGACGACAACGGCGATGCGCTCTGCCGGAATGACGGGCATTACGGTGACGGGTGGCGAGTCTCCTGACGGCTGCGATGAGGATTGTGCCGGCGTGCCCAGGTTCGCGGAAGAAGCCTCGATTCTTGTGGGGGCCGGTTGAGCCTCGGCCGGGCCAGTGCTGAGAGCCTCTGTGGGGGCACCTGATGCATTCGAGTCTTCTGCAGGCCCATCATCCTTCTTTGTTGTCTCCTTGACTTCAGCTTGCGGAAGATTTGTCAAAGGTTTCGTTACAGAACTCAAGCTAGATCGGATCGGGAGCAATGCAGGCATTCAACCTTTCAGCGCCACATCTCGGTGACTTTCGCTTCGTGAAGCGGACTCTGACTTACAGCGCAACCAGCGAGTCTACGAGTTGAGGGTTGCCCAAGATGGCTTGTTTGTTCAACAAGCCCAGGAGAATGTTGATTGGTGCGCGCGGCTCCTTTGCAGTCTGAGAAGTGTCGGCTTTCTCTTTTCCTTTAGCAATCTTCTTGGGTCCTCGCACGTCTTCGCGCAAGAAATACCAGGCGGTCTGCTCGCTGCTGTGAGTCAAATGCAGAAGCGTGTCGATGCTGCGGCTCGCAATCAAGAACGGCGCCTCCTCACCAGTGCGCGAAATGGGCGCGCTGAGCGGCTGGGGAGCCGCAGAGGTAGGCTGAGATGGGGTAGTCGGATGACCACCGGGCGCTGTGTGGTGCCTCTTGGGGGCAGGTCGCGCGGGCGTGCCAGTCGACAGCTGACTTGTACGGACAGCTCGAGCGCTCATAGATGCATACGACTTGTCTACCGCGTGCGTATCCGTGATGCCGTCAGCCAGAATCATCAAAAGCAGATTGAGGAGTTCCTCTCGGGTTCGCGCATTCTCTTGCACATTCGCAAGCACTTTGTGGAGTACTGTTGAACGACTGCTCATCTGAGGGAAGAACAGTAGGCGCACGAGCGTCGCTACGCCAGATTTGTCCAAGACTTGTATGGCGTCTCTGGACGAATTTTGATGTTGTCCAGCGACCGTCGAAGCTGGAACTTCTCTGCGCTGCACAATAGTGTTGCTAACTGTCTGACCATCCGCCGTTTGATTTTGCCTGACACGCCTCAGGTGGTCAAGCTCGGCAGCTACGCCGGCTGGAAGGCGATCAAAGACAGTGTTGTCGCGTTGCGCCAAAGCCGCATCCCGGAGACCGGGATCCAGGGTGGCAATGAACGAAGAGGGATCCACTTCGTCCGACCGAGCAGCGTCGCGAGCAGGTCGAGAGGCCGAAGCTTCATTCCTGGTGGAGGCTTCGCTGCGTTCTGCCTGGGCGGTGCGCTGAGCCTCAGCTGCCTCGGCGCGCATGACCTCCGCTCTGATTTCTGGTGGAAGTGCTTCAAGGAACTCGGGTGCGATGCTGGAGTCAGTCAATGCTGGCATGCTGGCGCCGGCGCGGCGCTCCCGGAAATGCTGATTGACGACCTCCTCGCGCATGTCATCCGGCAAAGCCTCAAGGAAAGTCGGGTCAATACCAGAGTCAGTGATGTCGACCGTGCGTCCTCGAATCGTGGTCGTCAGGCGGGGCCCGGCGGATTGTTCAGATCCGGAGGCGATGGACGTGGTCTGTTGCGTTGCATTCGTCCGCGCGGACGCTGTGCCGCCCGGCTGCTCGGCCCCATCCCGACGCTCCAGCTCTCCAAGGCTCCTCTGCAGCGACTCGAGCTCCATGTTCGCTTGACGAGAGTCCGCTGAAGGGGTGGATTGCCCCGACCGTCGCGGTTGCTGAGCCTCGGCGGCGGCGGAAGTCGCTTCCATCTCGACATCCTCTCCTCCAGTCTGGCCTGTCTGGGACAGCGCAATAGCTTGCGCCATCCGCGCCTGCTCGTCGTCGTCTTCAGTGCTGTCAGCATTGCTGCTGGATCCAGCAGGTGCTTCAGAGTCTGCCCCGCTCTCGGTCACCGACCGCGATGGCTGGCCAGCAGCCGTTCGAGCGGCTGCCTCCTCAGCCTTGGCCTCTTCCAGCTCCGCAGCAAGCCTTGCTTTCTCTCGTCTGAACTCCGACAGCTTGCTCTCTAGCTGACGTTGAGTCTCCTTCTTTCGCTGTAGCTCCTGTTGACTTTTTCGGTAGCGAAGCTGCAAGACGTTCACGATGTGTGCAACCAGTCGCTCGGCGCTTTCGCTGACGCTAGTGTACACGAGGCGAGCAGCTTCTGACCACCGCTGTGACGTCGGCACGGGCAAGAATTCTTGCACTAGAGCAACAAGATCCGTTCGTTGGGGGCTGCGGCGCTGGCTGTGGGCAGCATCAGCATGCCGATGTGGCGCACGCAGATGACCATGACCAGTCAGAGTATGAGGGCCGTCGCCAGGTCCACCACCTTCCATGCTGACAACTGGCTGACCGTCAGCATTCTGCGAAAGCGTGACTCGTAGGCCGTCGGTTGGCATGACACCGGATCGCGTGAGCAGACTACTGATGAGATCCATGGTGCCACCTCCCCCAGCCATGAGCTCTTCCAGAGATTGGGCCCAGTCAGTGTGACCTCGATGGTGAGTGCCAAGAACGCGTTCGCGAGAAGCGCTGGGACGACTTGCGGGACTGGCTCTCTCTTGGTCGACCAGTAGAGGATGAGAAGTGATACTTTCGGTTGCAGGATGACCACCAGTGGTGCGGTGCAGGTGCGCTGGCATGGGTGCGTCGAGGTCGAGAAGGCGTGTGTGTCGTCTGTGTGCGCCGGTGGGAGCAGAAGGGTCGCCTTGCAAAGGGTTCAAGAAAGCGGGAATCGGCATGGGTTGCGCGCGATTGCCAGTAGTAGGGCGAGGAAGGGCAGGCATCTGTGTCCATCCCCAATTGGCTCCGAAGCGATCCTGCGGCGGTCCCGCGAGCGAAGGGCCTCCTGTGAACTCCAATTGGGCGAGGTCATCTTGCTCGTACGAATCGACCGAGACTTCGTCTGCTTCTTCGTCGACATCCTCGTCGTCGCCCATGTCATCTATGCCATCACCGACAGCATCATCCGCAAGGTGGCGTGGGTCGTGTGCTGCATCAATGAATGCGCCTTCCAGAGCAAAGAAGTCTTCCGGCCTTTCATCTAGGTCCTGTTCGCCATCGTTGTTCTGCAGAACAAAGTCCAGAGGGTGCTCGTCATACACCGCAGGGTCGTCTTGACCTTCCTCCTCATCATCCTGAGTCAGAGTCCGTCCTGACACCGTCAACCGATTGCACCAGCGCGTTGCTCGCCAGATGATCTGCTACTCACCGTCACCCATTCATGCCCTTCTTCATCGCTGAGATCCTCCATCTCAGCATCCTCGTCCTCGCCCTCGCTGTCTTCCTCACCAGACTCGCCGTCTTCGTCGCTGTCGTAAGCGTCAATTTCCATCACTTCTTCAATAGTCTCGTCGCCCTCCTCATCAGAGCTTGAAAGTGTCATGAAGGTGGTCAGCAGATGAGGGCACTACGCAGACGGTTGCCAGCCGCTCACCTCGAGTCACTGCGATCGCTGGCGTCAGCATCGCTTTCGTACTCCATTTGCTCCATGTCCTCGTCTTCGGAATCATCATCTTCCTCCGAATCTCCGCGGTGCTCGGTGAAATTTTCGGATTGATGAATGCCAAGGGCGCTGTTGCGGTACAGATCAGGCGTACCTTCGTGTTCGCTTTCACCCTCGGTAAGTTCTTCACCGTCATCATCGCTTTCCGAGTCCACCTCCATCGCGTCAACACCAGCCTGAGAATGGGCATCGTGGCTCGCATCAGCCCCTTGAGCATCGAGCGCTCGAGTTTCCCTGCGCGATTCATCGGGCGCCGTTTTACGACTGGACTTGCCCATCTTGATGGCTGCTTTGGTAAGGTGTTCGAGCGGCTTGAGGATGCGATCCAGCAAGGGCTTGACCATGGGCAGATCAAGATCGACTTCGGATAGCGCTGTAGTGAGCACAGAAACGAAATTCTTCTCCAGCATTGTCTTGGCGATGTGCAAAGCGATGTCCTCAGAGGGTCGCACGGATGTAGCGCTGGAAGTGGGATGCGTGTGATTCGGTCTCGCGGTCAGGAGCCGGTAGCAAAGGTCTGCAAGCGCATACAAGCGACCATAGCGGATCTCCACCACTTCATTGAAGCTCGCGACCTCGCGAATAGCTTTGGCTGTGGCATCCAGAACGAATCTCCGCACCTCTACCAGCACGGGCAAGACCTCTGTGATGCCGCTGTGATGCTTGACATCCGCAGTAGCGGCAACGAGCAAAGACATTGCCCAATTTGAGATGCTCATGCTGCGTCGCATGTGGGAATGGTCGCCAGGCTGGACGTAGCCGATGGGAGCTAGATCAGCAAGAAGGTATTCGACCAGTCCAGGGTGACCCTGCGTTGCAACGTCGGCCGCTTGCGTCTTCGAGCGCTGAGCCGTTTGAATGAGACACCTCTTCGCGGGCGCGTACGACGACAAGACTTCGGTGAGACACTGCAGCAAGAAGCAGGTATAGAAGTAGATCTTGTCGGCGCTGTCGTCGGACTTCGAAGAGGCGGGCGAAGATACGTGGACAGTGGAAGGTGGCTTCCCATCTACCTCGGCCTCTTCGATGGGGCCAGCATGAGCCCCAGCCTCGTCTGCGGCCCCGTGTTGCTCACTTGCGCTGTTGCTAGCGCTGGCAAGAGCGTCCTTCACCTTCGGACCCATCGCGAGCGTTTCTGAGACAAGGAGGTCCATCACTGTCTGGAGGCCGTCGGATTTGAGATCTTGCCCGCTTGGCCTCTCGCCACCAGATACCTCTGGGGTGCCTTCCGCACCTGCCTTCTTCGTGGGCCCAGGCTTGGTGTCGTGACGGAGTCTTACAATTCCTTGACTTTTGGCAGCAACAAAATCTATCATGTCCATATTTTCGGCGGCTAATTCGACAAACAGCTCTGGGTCTCGCAGCATAGCAGAGGAGAGGTGCCGTGCCAACGTGTTCGTGTCCATGGTGCGATTTCGGGCCGCATCAAACGCAACACGAACCTCATGCTCGAGGAGAGCACGGAGTAGATCCCTGCTCTCAATGACTTGACGCAGGATCAAGACGGTGAACACTTGACAGCCGGCAATCGTCCAAGGGCTGACGCAAGCGAAAGGCTTCAGGACGTCCCCCAGATGTCCGTCCAGAGCCAAGCGCTGAGACATTTCCGGTCGTCGCGTGAGGACAGTAAGAAGGCGATAAACTGCGAGTAGCTCTTCTCGAGACAGGCTCAAAGGTGCTGCCAAACAGCGGAGGCAGTACTCGTAAAGGTATCCCACTTCTGTATCGGATTGGCGCGTATCCAATATCTGTGGCTGCGGCACAGCTGCAAGTTTCTCAGGGTCCTGCTCGGTCGTGACCTCAGTCTTCCTTATCTGGGTCTCCCTGCCCAAAGCTGCAGAGGCTGAGAGCAAAAGAGAGGCGCGCCAAGGCGGTGTAGCTTCGGTCGTCTTCGCGCGGCCAACAAGTTCGGCGGCTGCTGTAATGACAAAGGCAATTGTCGCAGAGCCGAGCAAAGGGGCAGCGGCAGAGTCCGTAAGTAGGATAGCCGTCAGGCGAAGGCGCACAGCCAGGCGGCGCTCTGTAGCGTCTTCTCCTACGTCGTTTCGGAGAGCGTCTAGTCGATCCTTTTGTAGATCCTCAAGAATCGCGTCCAGAGCTGCCTGTTTCTGGCTCTCGTCCTTGGCAAGCAACTTGAACAATGACTTGGCTTCGAAGACTAACGAGCCATGTCGATCTGCGAGGCTGAGTACGCGAGACATAAGACCATCATGCAAGCTCGCCCGGGCTGCGTCCAGAGAGGCTTTGCGCGCTTTCGCGGCTTCGATAGCTGCTGTGTCAACCTGTGTGCTGGTAGCTTTATCGTCCTTTGCTTGTCCTTCCTCAACCGGGGACTCGACAGCGTTCAGCGCCTGCAGCAGAGACGAGACCTGCTGCTCGGCGGAGCTGCCAGTCGCTGGACTTGCGTCTGTACCGCTCTCTGTCATTTGCACATCAGGATCGCTTGCAGCAACTGCACCGGAAGCCGTGTCTCCTGAAGTCTCGGGTTGCTGAGCAGGCGTTTGGCCGTCAAAGCTGGACGCAACGGCCGAAGTATTGGCACCAGACGCTTCTGCAGCGGCGCTGTCAGTCTCGTTGGTGGTATCTGATGGCTGCGACTCTTCCGGCGCCGGATCAAGGTCTGGCCCTGGGTTGGCTACAATTTCGGGATGCTGTCATGGGACAATCGCACAATTAGATGAGCAGATCAGCGCAGCTTGCCTTTGCGAGGTGACTTACTGTCAACAAATAGTCAGTCGCTAAGGTGAGATTATTAGCGCATCTCGAAAGCGCTGCTCTTGCTGCGGCTCGAGGAAAGCCCATTTCCATAAGTTGACGCGTCTGCGACTCGCCCGGCTGCACTGCCAATCTGGATCGATGTGCAGAGGGTGCGCCGGATCCATGACCTCCCAGCATACCAGTGAGGCCTGCGAGTGCCGACTCGATCGAAGTCATACTGCGTTGGAGATTACCGAGACTGCCGCTTGCCGCGTTTGTGTCACGACTCACAGCACGACTGGCAGACAAGGAACTAGTGTTCGGCTCAGCTTTTTGTGCAGCTTCACCCTGAGCCTCCAGAATTGGACTTAGTGTCGATATGAGAGCGCGGGTGATGCTCAAGGGCATTTGAGCCAGCCAAGGCTGCTGCCAAGTCTGCTGCACTTTTGGCAAAACTTCTGACCTGATGCGCACCACAAGGTTTGCAGCGTCGAAGTCGTCGACGACGGGCCGAGCGCCTGCGCGCGCGGACATCATTGCCGTTGCTGGCGACTCCTCGATGGCTTTGGAAGAGACGAGGCGCTGAAGCAATACCAGCGAGACCCTAAGGCTGCCGCATGCGTGGCCGAGACTCGCGCGATCTGGCGCGGCATCTGCATGCAAGTGCTGGCCGCTTGCATCGAAGTGCTTCGAGATCTCGGAATTGCAGCGGTCGTAGTTCTCGAGAACGACTTGCAAACCATCCTGTTTGACAAAAGCCGAAAGCGTGAGCGTCTGAGCGAAAACGCCTGAGCCATGAGGTCGATCGTCGTATAGGAGACTGGAGGCGAAGCCAGCCATTGTGGTGGCGAACGTCAGGCTCTCGACTGGTCTATCAGAGTCTTGCCAGGACAAGCAATTGACCAGAACCTTCGCAAAAGCAAGTGAGGCAGTGTGAGCCTGCTTGCGATGATTGCTGTCGCTGGAGCGGCGCTCGGTAAGCAAACGACTGGTCTCCAAGAAGAAAGAGACGATGGACGAGGGCAACGATGAGGAGAGGTGTCGCAACGCTACCACGTTCGAGTGGTACGGGTCGCAATCCGAAGATGACTTCTTCGGCAAGATTGAAGTCGGCAGCCGTGCAGTTGTTGATGATTGATCGCTGTTGCCAGTGACCATCGCATTATCGTTCGCCGTGTCCTCCGCCCTGGGTGATGGAGTGGGGTCAGAGGAAGCTTTGGATCGACTGCTAGACGAGGCTGTTGCGATGTCCGCTGAGGTCACACTAGCCGTAGCTGCCTTCAACTGCACATTCTCCCACGCTGCTACGCGTTGCAGATCGCCAAGCTGCTCGATGGAGACCGGCTTGGTGGCTAGCAGAGAAGAGGCGCTGTTGAGCGTGGTGAAAAGTGTGGTTGGAAGCTTTGATCCGCTATAGCCAAACGTGGGCGCAATGTCGGCGAGAAGGTGCGTGGCAGCGTTCAGGTTGACTAAAAGACGGAACTTGAAATTTGCTGCTTTGGCGCTTTCTTCGTCAGAAGGCTTCGCTAATTCAAGGAGAGCTGACGACGTGCGCGCGTCCCTGGAAATTGGTTGAAGCAGGCCCGCCTCATGCGCTTCGAAGAGGCAAGATTTGACGTGCTCTAGCACGGCATTCAGCACGGTGTGGGGACTAATTTCCACAATAAAACGTATCAGCGTGACGAGGCTGTCGTTGGCCACGCTGTTCACAAAGTCGTATGGCAAGCAAGGCAGCCGATACAGAGCCAAGAGTCGACTAAGACCATCTTGCTTCAAGAAGTCTTTACAATGCCCAGTGGTCTGAAACAGACCATCCAAGAACCGTGTAGCGACTTCGATGTAGCCAATCACCTCATTCTCTCGTCCAGATCCGTCGCGCGTCAAAGCCGCAGTCTTGGGGCGGAGTGGGAAAAGCTCCGGTTCGTCGAGTATGATCTCCTCGTCACCGCTTTGCTGACTTGAATTTTCTCTCGCAGCGGCCTGATTCTGTGCACTCGATTGGATCCCGCCCGTTGCATCTCTCATCTCGACGTCAGTCTGCTCTTCCTGCGGCACGGGCAGCAAGAGATAGCCCTTCTTCTCGTCTGCCCCAATCTCCATCTTCTGTCCAGACACCTCAATGTCCTTGAGGCATCGAACGGCGCATTCGATCACGCTTTGCTTGACGCTTGGCTGGTGTCTGACGAGCTCGTCGATGGAACTGCCGAACAAGCTAGCGTTGTCGCGATCAGCCAACACTTTCGTGTAGCGGGTCGAGGTGAACAGCGCGAATAATTTCGGCACCAAAGGCCTCGAGTTGAGCAAGTCGATCCCACTCTGATTGAGGCACAGAGCTCCAATGGCATTGGGAATAGCTGCGATCACGTCATAATTTGCCTCGATGTCTTCTTCGACAAGATCTAGGAAAGCTTGCGGGATTTGCTTTTCTTGCACAATGCCTAGGCTCGTAGGTTCGTTGTGGATGAAGGTCGCCATGATGTGGATGGAGAGTGCCAGGATTTGGCCTCCAAAGACGCGTCTATGTTGGAAGATGCGCTTGATGGAACTGAGCAGGCTCGAATCGATCAAATTGCGCAGCCCTTCGGCAGTTCCAGTGGTCGACATCATGTGCGAGATGCTCTTGCAAAGATGGCGCAAGAGTTGCGCCCGACCGAAGGAAAGACGCCCATACAGGTTGTCGGGATGGTCTGCACCTGTAGATTTGTCTTGGGGCGGCTTGCCTTCCGCGTAATCTTCAACGTCTTCCTTTACTTCGGACTCGATGCGAGCAACGAAGACGTCAAGTCCGCGAGCCGCACAGAAGAGGCCGAATGATGGCTGATAGGCGTACAGCACGCTGTCGATGAGACCCACGGCTCTGGTGACCGTTCGCTGCAGCATGTATGCTCGCGTGCTCGTCTTTTCTACCAGCTTGATGAGGAGCGGTAGCAGACCAGCGCTGACAACCATGTTTGAGCCCACAACAGTCGACGTCACAAAGCTGACGAAACCGAAGAGAGCGTCGATCAATCGATCGTCCGGTTGCGCTTCATCGCCAGTCGACAAGATGCCGACAAGGTCTCTCAGCACGTGCAGCAGAATGCCGTGATTCGCCGATGCGTTGACGGCTGTGAGCACATCATTGACTTTGCCACGGTAGCGGCCCAACGCATCCAATGCGTAGAAAGCGCCTGATTGAATGACGGTCCCGACTCGGGAGCTCGGATCCACCACTCTGGCAAGGCGCTGAACGATATCAGGCTCGTACAGAAAGAGCTGTGTGGATGCTGTCGACTCGGGCGTCGTGTGAGCTAGGGCAGAGAGAGCAGAGCGATCCGCGAATCAGCGACCCAACAGACGCCACCAAGACCGCAAGAAAACGTACCATAGATAGCGACTGCGAGAAGTCTGCAGACCAACAACTGACGTCGCAAAGCAGCATCTTTGACCCCCATAGCCAGCCGCACTTTCTGGAGTAGCTCGAAATGGTCTTCGGATGGGATGGAATACTTTTCCACAGCATCTGCCAGAACGTCGACAAGCCTCCGGGCCGTGTGCATGAGGTTTCCCAGGTCGACTGCGACGAGACCTTCATTCTGCAAGTCGCGAGGAGCTTCCTGCGAAGGCTGGTTGCTTCCACTTGGAGCCGGAGGACTTTGACCACGTGGTCTGCCGGCCGGCGTGGGAGTCGTGGGGAAGACAGGAGCAGGCACAAATGACAGACCACTGGCGGCAGAAGCGCTTGCTGTTGGCTGTTGGCGAGAAGGTGTCCGGCCTGGCCGCTGTGGCGTGGCAGCCGCGAAAGGCTCTGCTGCATCGCTGTTTCGTCCGGCAACATGGCTGTCCGAATGGTAAGGAGCATTCTTGTGGCTTCGATGCCTGTAGAAGTGGAACTTCACGTGAGATAGCTCGGCTGGAAATGAAGCATCGTCGCGCGCCCATTCGACCATGTCGACCCCGTGCTCTCGTGGCGCCCAAGTGACAGCTAGCGCATTCAGACGCTCGGGTGAGATGGCAAATTCTGCCCTTCGACCGCCTCCTTGGCTGCTATACTGTTGAGCTGGTCGCAGAATCAATCGCAGAGTCGCCTCAAGGACATCGACATCTGGAGTCGCGAGCAGCACATTGAGGTGCTCGAAAGAGTTGTAGAGCTTTCGATTCGTGCAATTTTCCAGGAGAAGCCTTGAGAATCGCAGCACCGAAACCAAAAGCCTTTTGCGGTTGGGTGTGAAGTCGTTGATTTGCAGATGAGACAAGTCGTAGTCGGCGCAGGTCTCTGCCAGAATGTCATCAAATCTGTTCAGTGTAGCGGTCCAGTAGTGAAGATCTCCGCGAGGCCAACACCACTCTGAGATGCCATCTAAGATCGGTGGAAGCTCGTCATCTGTGGCTGCAGAGATCTGCAATAGGAGGGTCTTGACGGCATCGTTCTGAGGGTATGAAGGATGTATGCAATGTCAGCAGATGTGCAGCTGGCTCCACCGAAAGGTGGGAATGACCAGAATGACTTTCGGTGGGTCGTCGACACCCTTTCGGGTATACTCACGGCTTCAGCGAGCCTTTTGGGTGCCTTGGTGATCTTCATAGTGACCGAGCAGTGGCAACACCGACTTCACTGGATTGACAATCGCTCCAGTGCCGCTGAGCTGGGCATGTGAGAGCAGGTTGTCAGCCCAGCGACACTGGTAGCAACAGATAGTGACGCAAACGTAAAGGCTGTTGAGAGCAATTCTCGACCAGGTTCTCTTATCGCCAGGTCACAGAAAAGGAATCAAGGATATTCGTTGATGGAGTCGGTAATGAGAGCCGCTAGCGCCATTTGCTCGCGTGAGCAGGATCGAGGGCAGTCCGGTCTTTGCTCCGCGCGCTGTCGACCTGTGACTGATGGCGATGGAGTGAAGGGCGTGAGAGCTGCAATCACGATGGTGAAGTGGTGACAGATAGCACAGCTGTGGCATCTGGGCCACCAACGCACACCACTCGCTACACAGCTAGCTTGTACACGCGCAGGCGCCAAATTTGGGGATGAGGCGCTTATTCGATCGCGATCGACTCACATCGGCGCGCGATTCGTTCCTCCACCAGGCTCACGCGTCTCGTATCGGCCGGCAAAGCGCTTCTCGGCGGCGCGCAGGCACGAGTCACGAGTATACGAAGCGAGACGCTCTGATTGCAGCCTGCACGTCGCCCGCCTCTAGCTGGACCAGCGCTCGCTCCCCCCCGCACTCTTGACTCCGACTCCAGACAAGTCACGCTTGTAGAGGACCTCACGGAGCACAGCGTTCGACGATTTGTCTCTCCAACAAGTTTCTCACAATGGCGGGCAAAAAGCGTAAAGCATCGGGCACCGAGGGTCGCAAAGAAGATGCCAAGCGACAAGCCACAGAGTCCGCCTCTGGGAGCACTCCAGCAACTGCTGGTCAGGTAAGCAAGAATGCTGCTGTTGGTGCGACGATGGTGGAAGCTAGTCAGGGAAGAGCCAACGTCAATTACGTTGCGAGGTTCTTTGACTACAAGGAGAGGCTGCACAAAGCCAATTCTGTGAGTAGTGAAGGTCGTCAGCCAAGGACGTCGCTCCCAAGCCCGCTAGCTAGCTCGAACGAGCTGGCCTCGGCCTGCTTCCCTCCCGTGACATCCACTTCGCGCTCACTGCCTGATGCTATGGCACAGAAACGTGATGGCTATCACGACGCTCTACGGCGGTCCATGACGAAGCACTGCGACTTGCAAGAAGAGATAGAGTAAGCAAGCCTTCTCAAGTTGTCCAAGCAACCGACAAGTCCTTCCACCCGCTCACCCCTCCCCTCTCATCTGTCCTAGCTACATCCTCGACGCAATCGCCACAGCGCGTCAAAAGAGGCTTGGAAGCTCGGCACAGGCAAAGCTGAAGCGCTCTGAGCGAGATCGTTCAAAGCTTGCCTCCGCACTGGGTCCAGCACCTCAGTCGACCTTGTCTCACGTGCTCGATGACTAGAATGAGAAGCGGCGAGAGTGATTTACGCATGCTCTCGCACTGCACCAGTAAGCGCTGCCAATGCTGCTCGTCAGGCTGTGACACCCGTCCACGGAGAGCACAAGGAGGCCGCCAACACGTTTCAATCTCTCGGCGGCTAGTCTGTCTCATGGCATCAGCCTATACCATGGCGACACCAAGCCGGGTTGGAAGGCAGAGATGTCATGTGTCGCACCTCGTGTATTTGTACAAGAACCGATCCCAGATTCGAAATCATATTCCTCAGACGCACGATTTGTCATCACCAATGACACAGACGGAGAGATGCTCACGGAAGGTGCAATTCGTATTGGATTCGGAGGCTGACTCTATGGGCACTGGCAGAATACCCAACAGCGGGTGGATAGCACAGAGGGACTTGGTGAAAAAGCTGAAAGGACAGTCTAAGGCTACAATGGATATATGGAAATCGGACATGTGGGGCGCGCAATGGGGGTGAGGGCCTCAGCGCCACAACAAGATTTTCGAGCGATGATGAGTGAGCGAGGCATGGCAATCAGAGCAGAGCAGAGCTACAAGCGCGGTGGGTGTCAGCAGTGGTCTTCATAGAAGGAGCCACTAGACATTTCCAGTCCAGCCACGCCTGAAGCATCGTATCCGGAAGTTCCCCTTCCTGCCGGCCAGCAGCGTTCAGCTCCCGGACTGCGCAAGTCTAGCGAGATCGATCGGCCTGCTCTGGCGCCTTTCGTCAAAGCTTGCCTCTCCTCTTGCGCAGTCGAAAGGTCGAGAGAGCCCGCTCGGCGCGCAAGCTTCCTTGTCGGCCGCGGGTCATCAGCGTCGCCCGATGTCTGTAGAGACGCGAGCTTCGTCTTGAGTCGCTCGCTCAGGTCGTCCTCGGTAAAGGCAGCTTGCTCCACGTCTGCTACGGGTGTTGTCGCACCTGTATCCACGCCCGAAGCATCAGCCGACGAGCTGCTGCGGCGCGAAGAGGCTGCAGATGAGCTAGATGGCGTCGATGCCCCCTTGAGTAGCTCATCTGCACCGTCGGTCGCGACTGGACTGCTAGTCTGAGCAGCGCCGTCGAGCACCGTCGTAGAGGCAGAGGGCCCAGCGCACGTCTCAACGCACGTCGTCTTGATCGGCGTAGGAGGCGCAGCAGTGGCCGATTTGCACGAGCTGGAAGAGGTGGCGCCAGTCGAACCTGACCTAGAAGTGCTCGCAGAAGATGATGAGGAAGAATGTCCGGTGCTCGTACGAGACGTGGGGGACCCAGGATCCGATTCGATCTCATCGCCAGTCTCTCTCCTCGGTGGCCGCTCGGTAGGTGCTTTGCGTCCAGGGGGTCTCTCCTCGCAGTCCTCCGAGCTTGCTACTGAGAATTTGGAATCCGTGATGCTGTAGAACGAGTAGCCTTTGGGCCCGCCTCGATATGTGCCGATAACATGATCATCGTCTCCACCGTACTGCGAAGGTGGCAAAGCAGCAGGCATTCGAGATCAGCGTGCTTGACCTCCCCAGACTCGCCTTCTCTTTCGATTACTCACAAGATTGACCGTGGGATACGCATACACAGGTCTTCTTCCACCCCAGATCAACCCTCCATCTTCCCAACCAATCTCGTCGGTGCGCAAGGGAACATACAGTGTCTTGTTGGACAGATCCTGGTCCGGTGCGGGCTCGGACTTCCTAGGACGGTCGGGCGGCGGGGTGAGTCGAATGCTCGGAATCACGAATCCATTACGAATTACCGGTCCTGCCGACTTGATCGCTTGAGCTGAAGTGGACGCCATCTCGACGAGATCTGTGAGACTGTAGATCAGCGGCGAAGAGCTAGTGGACTACAACCGATGATGATCTGGTGGATGAGTGCAGGAGCACGTTGCAGCCGGCACGAGTGGCGGGAGGAGTATGCAAAGCGTTTGCCTGGCTTAGATCCAGGCTTGACGCTCAGGCTTCTGTAGTTGCTGCGCACGCGCAACGAGTTCGTGGCTGCGTCAATGAGAACCCTCGGGTGAGATAGCGTTTATTGCGGGCAGCTTCAAGAAGAGAACGCAATTTGCGTTCCTTGTAAAAACAGATGCCGTTGCGGATGATTGGATAGAGGCTGGGTGCTTGAGTGTCCAACCTCTCCACTCTAAAGTGTCGGTCGATGTAACGGTAGAGAGTAGGCAGAGACTGTTGAAGCTGATTTTCTAGTGCAGTGACCTTTTGACACAGCACGATGGCGATGAGAAGAAATCTATCTCTCTCTAATAAGGGTGGTTGAGTTTGTCACAAATGATGTCGATGGGTGTAGTCGATGTCAGCATGCGAGAAGGGCGCGGTCAAAGTTGGGCAGTCGATTGGTGTCGAGTGTGCACGGATCTCGTCGATGCTGTGAGCAGCCTTCCGATTCATCAAGAACCGGGTGCAAAACAACGGGAGCAGAGGAGGAAAGGAAGATTTCGATGCAAGATTAGAGCTCTATATCAAGGGATTGATGACGACACACATGATGGATGGACATCGGCAGCTCGAACCTGGTCTATAGATGGCACGTACATGGTCGAGTCGGTCCAATCAACAAGCATCGTGAGATGCTGTTCAAAACGTTGGAAACGTTGGAACGGGCATGGCAGCAGCAGCTTAATCAAATCAGGATTGGCTATTCGTTGCACATGCTGCTTCCCGAACCCGCGGCACTAAATCACGCTCGGAATCGAGGGTGCACTCAAAGACTCATCACAACTCGATCGTGACTGCCTGACCGTAATTTGTTGTGCATTCACATTAGCATGCATATGCAGTGCTGGTGCTGCCCGCATGTTGCTTTCGCGCCCAGACGCGCGAAACTCGCACTACGTTGCACCAGAGCCGGGGGCAACACGCGGTGCGAATGTGCGCCGCCGTCATGATGCGGCAGCGCGCTGCAGCAGTCGTACAAATAACCGCATCCTACGGCATTCCAGCACTCACAAGCTATCAGCTATGGCCGCCGAGCCAAGTTTCATGCCTCATGCCATGCGTCGACGCCGCCTTCGCCCAAGCATCGGCGTGCAGAGAGTTGCAGCATTCATGTGATTTTCTTTGCCTAGCCAGTTCTCGGCGCAGCAGACCGCATGATTCGAGCGCGAGTCCGACGCAGCAGGCATCATCAGCCAGCACGGCCACAACTTTTGACTCTGACCGTGTACTGTATGCGGCTGTAAAATCTCGATGATCATGCAGAGCGCCTGATACGCAGATCGGCGACGAAAGCCCGAATGAACAGCACAGGTGTTTATAGAGGGAGGTGTAGCCATGCAGAGAGGGAGGCCATTTCCAAAGTTTAGGACTCGGAGCTCTCATTCTTGATTTGTCTTCCGTTCAAGGCAATTCCGCCGGAAATATGCGTACAATTCTTGTGAGTGTAAGCGTGGACGGACCCTGATTCTTCTGGATCGTGGCTCTGCTGGGGTTGCTGCTGGGCTGAGCGGAGTATGCAGCAAGCATCAGTGCTGACACGGAGGGGCGAGGGAGTCTCAAAGTCAGCCACGACTCTGACTCAAAACTGTAGCTTCGCCTCCTGCGTCGCGGTCATGCGCTCGGCGGGACGCTTTGCTTCAGACGGCGGCAAAAGCGGACACAAAAGCGCGCGCACCGCGATGAGGTGACAGGCAGACATGCCCGCGGCACATCATCGTCATCATGCGGGGCTGTGATTCATGAGTCAGGGTTTGAGTGTGCATGCTGCGCGTGATGGTTGCGTGTGACGCGATGAGGAGCAAGCATAACCTGCATGAGCTTACGCGGCGGTATCTGAGCTACCTGAAGCGACGACGCGTACAGGCGCGATCTTCTCCTCTTTGCGCTATACGTGCTTTCCCGCTTTGGCTAGCTTTGCTGTTGCTTATTCGATTCGCTACCGAGGCATGCTCCAACCGATGATCAACTCTGCTCTCTGATCGTGTCTAGCAAGATCACCCTCGCAGCTCGCTTCGTGCGTACACTTATAGATGTGATTCACATTAGTCAAGAGTCGTGAGTTGGACCGTCGTGTTTGATCAGCCGCTGAGCGTATAGATGGTGAGTTGAGCCGCTCAACGCGCGTGGGAAGGCCAGACCCTGCTTCAAACGACACGATGCTGCCGCAGCCACTTACCCCAAGCAGAATCTCGAAGTCGTTGTGTAATCACGAAACACGAATCACGAATCGACATGGACCTGGTCTCGGCCATGACGCTTCGTTTCCTTCGATCACGTGAATGCTAGGCATTTGATTGACTTACTTGCTGCTCATCAGACTCACGAACTCCAGACCGCAGACTGACCAGCTGAGTCATCAGCGCGCGTGCAAATCTCATTCACATTTGCGTACATAGCGAGTGGGCTGCCATCAGAAGAGTCGTCTTGATCTGGCTCAACGTCATCTGCGACACATGATTCGAATTCAAGATTGGCAAAACGTCACTTCACCAATCGTGAATCACGTGAATCGCGAATGTGCTTGTGGCACAACGTAATTGAATGGTGAGAGCCTGAGCAAGCACGCAGACTGTGCACTTTACGACTCACGGTTTTGCTCATCTTACCACGCCTATAATGAGCATGCGTCAACTCGTCTGCTGTACAGTCAAGTCAGCTTGAGCGTCTCTTCGCTCGGGGAAGCTGCAAATCCCGAGCTAGCATCCCCTCATCGGCCACTTGCCTGGCCTTCCGAGATATCTTCGCTTGTTGACTGCATGTAATCGACGTCCTTCTCTCCAAACGGGCCTCGATTGCGTCAGCAAGAGAGCCTTGTTGCTCGCGAAAGTGTGGGGCTGCCAGCCGCTTTGGACTCTTGCAGCTGGAGCGCGTGGACCCTGCAGCAAAGAAGTCAGTCGTAAGCGTCCAGCCAAACAGTCTCGAGTCGTGAGCGTAAGTCGGACGGTTGAATGCAGAAAGATCCCGTGCGATTATGCTGACAATGAAAAATCGTCACCCCGAATCAAGGGCCGTCCAAGTGCACTGCCATGGATGTACGTCTGGCGTGATTTGTGATGGGATTCAGGCTGATGATCGATGGGTGCATGCCGTCATACTCAACACTTGTGCACGATCGTGGCGTTGGCGTCCAATTTCGCACAGTCAACATAAGGAGGCGGTCCGAACCCGCGCACACAACACGTCCGCGGCGTTTGCACGGGCAAATGGGGCTCATGAAGCATGACCGCGCGGGCCCGCTTCTGATGTGGCTCCGGGACAGAATTGCTCTGAGGCGATCACACTCGATGATGGGTTTTGTCGAAGCTACTCTCAGATTGACTTCCATCCGAGTAAATAGCAGCTTCACTGTGCTGTGCTTCCCGAGAGAGAGAGAGAGAGACGCGATCGTCAATGTCAATGTAGGTGTCTGCATTGCGTAGAGCACGTGTCTAGTCCGAGCATGCAGCAGTACAGCTCTACAAGCCTCGAGAGCGCGTGGTGCGTGGAAACCAGCCGTTGCTGCTAGAGCTCGATGGGTGAGATGGCTCTGAATTCGCAAGTGGAGGTGGCGGTGGGAAGAAGCTGGCTGGGCTGAGCGTCTCTTCGTTGCGCATTTGCCGGTGCTGTTGGAAAGGTGATGGTTGTTGTTGCATCGCAGAATGCGAGTGAGCCGGAGCTGAGAAGGCAGGTAGTACAGATGATGAAAAGGCAGGTGACGAAGCGTGTGGCGTGGGATGAAGCTCATACGGTAAGGAACCAGGCGGAACTGGAGGCAAGGGTGGAAGTGGTAGCGGCAAGTCGTTTGATCGCCTAGAGGGCGGCATCGGAGGTCGACTGAATGATCTCGGGTAGAAAGACGACAGTTGCTCTGCATAGCCCAGATACGGGGGCGGTCCATCCGTGTAGCTTGGCGCGATCTGACCAATTTGGTGACCGGTTTGCATCACGTGAGGGGGTGGAAGCTCATTGGCGAAGGTGGATACTGCATTGCCCAGAAGCGGGTCATGGAACGAGGATCCATCGAGCGCTGGCGGTCTGCAATGCATGGCAGGGGGATGCGGCATGAAGCGCTCGTGGCGTCCCGTTGCTGAATTGAATATTGAGGGTGATGCGACGCTTTCTGTTGAGGGCAGGAACCGGGGCACATCCGCGGCGAGGACAGGTTGAGATGGCGCTTTCGCCATTGCCACCTTGAATTGGAGCGTCGACTGTTGAGGCGAAGTCCGCGTCTGATTGGGCTCGGAAGGAACCGAGGACAGGTCCGAATCCTCATCCTCGATTGCAGACCGCTTGCGTTTTTTAGCGGTTGCTTCTGTCGAAAGTGCCGGTGCCTCATTCCTTGAGGTGACGTCCGAGAGGTCGCTCTCTGCGTCGGACACATCTGCAGCGCCTTTGACCCAAACGTTGCGCTCCTCGACAGGCTTCACTCGAGGCTGGGCCTTAGCCTTTGCTCTTGAAGCTATCAAAGCCGAAGTTGTTTCGATTGAGCTTTCGCCGTGCTTTGTCTTGCTCAACGTGTCTGATCCTTGCTGCTGTGGCTCAGCGGCCGCATCTTCTGCAGGATCGTCCTCATCTGAGCTCTCAAATTCTCCCTGGTTAACCGTCTCTTCCTCCGCTTGAAGTAGAGCTTGAAGATGCGCTTCCAAGGGTAGCAGGCGAATGTACAATTGCCTCCATTTGCCCTCGGGCGACTTGAAATGGTGTATGGCAACGCGTTTGCCGTCATGATCGACTTCCGCAAAGAGGTCAGCCGCTTGTTTGGCTATATTTCGTGACCCTTCAGCGCGTCTTCTCTTCCTTCCCGTGAGCAGTACATTTCCTGCAGGTATCGTGCGATTCCCCTTGGCATCGGGAGTAGTTGCCGCGTCTCGCTTGCCATACGTTAGCGTCGCGCGTTTGAGATCTTGTCTGCCTCCTTGGCTCTCTGGCGAATGCTTGGCAGGAGGTGCAGCGGGGTCTATAGCTTTGGCAGAGAGAGCCTTTGCATCTCGAGCTGCACGTGCCACTCTCGCGGCGATCGCAGCTTTTGGGCCCTTCATGCCTTGGTTTCTTGCAAGTCCCGGAGGTCCAAACAATTCTCTGCCAATGAGGGCGACCAGGAAGTGATGCACGCTGGCGTGGTGGCCTATCATAGTTGAGAGAGACACGGCACGCCCGCCACTCTGCTGAGCAAGCAGATCCTCCAGGCCGCGCTTTCGCAAGCAGAGGCTGCATCGGCAAGGTCGCAGGACGACGCCCGGCACGTGAGTCATGGAGCAGGGGAAACAACAGGCATTGACGGAAATCGTACCCACCTGCAGTTGCAGAACCCCTTGCATCGAGGACAGACAAACTCGTCCGCCGCCTTTAAGGATACCTGATCCACGCCATATCGGATCTGCATACAGGCAAAGCAATACTTAATGGGGCACCTACGGTCCTCCTCTTCGTTCGTGCACTCTCTCGCCTTTGTATGGCTGACCTTGCGGCGGCACTGGTGGCAGCTGGTCCATTCAGACTGGCACAAAAGACACAAGGCGTAGAGCAGAGTCAGATGGCTATACACGCTCTCAAGTCTCCACCACCACGCGAGTGGCACTCACCGTATCAAGCGAGCCGCCCGAGGTACCCGCGACATTGACTGGCCTCTTAAGCTTGACATTCTTTTCTGGCTTCGCAGGCTTTTGAGGCTGCGCGGATTTATCCTTTGGTGGTCTACCGCGTCCTCTCTTCGCCGGAGTCTCGCTAGCCTCTGGTAGAGCTTCCTCGATGAGTTCCTCCGCTTCGGACTCTTCGCTAGGCTCGCTTTCGCTAATGAGCTCTGGCGTAGGGGCGCGCACCCGCACATCGTCGATGCAGAACAAAAAGCCCAGCCTTTGCCTGCTGCGCAAAGCCGGAAGATCGACGTAAGCGACTTCGTGCGATGTTCCTTTGAGGGGCAAAGACGTCGTCGTACCATCCTCTGCAAGCTTCAGTGTCCGTTTCGCGGCGTGATTGGCCCATGTTGAGCCTTGTCGAGGCGCTCGTAATGCTTTGGCTGGCCGGCCTCTACCTCGCCTTTCTATTGCTTCTGACATTGACACATCACCAGCAGCTTCGTCAAAATCCTCTCCCTCAGGCGCCGCAGATTCAGATTCGGCCAGAAAGGATCTCTCTTGACCTTCTATGAGCCCTTTGGAGCCACCACCACCGAGGCCTAGTTGGGCCAAGATTTCCTCATTAGCTTTCAGCTTGCGCAGGCGCCGTGCTTCGTAGGATTCGTCGTCAGTGCCAGCCGCAGAATCGTCGTCATTATCGTTGGATTGTAGCAGCATCTGCAAGTTCTCAAGCATCGCTCGCTCTTCCTCCTCCGCCTTGCGCTGAGCCTCTTCTTCCGCAGCGCGTCTGGCCGCTTCCGCTTCTGCGTCTCTTCGCGCTGCTTCGGCCTCTGCTGCGAGTCGCTCTTCCTCCTCCGCCTTGCGCTGAGCCTCTTCTTCCGCAGCGCGTCTGGCCGCTTCCGCTTCTGCGCCTCTTCGCGCTGCTTCGGCCGCTGCTGCAAGTCGCTCTTCCTCCGCTCTTGCCGCCGCAGCTAGATCTTCCACTTCTCGCTCAGCGGCTATCCGAGATGCTTCAGCATTTGCTTCAAGGATCGCAGCTTCTTGCTCCTTCGCATGGCGGCCTTTCTCCTCTTGAGGCTCGAGCGACATTGCTAGAGATTCGTGATGAGCGCTGGGCAGACCGCCTGCTAGAGACGACCTTTCCAGTGTATTCATGCTGGCATCGCATTCGGAGCGCCCTGAGCCTGCAGAGCTACGAGATCCAACCCCGCCGTCCAAAAAGGGATGAGAGCTCATAGGCGACAAGCGTCTTTGGCTGCCAGAGGCGTGGCTCGAAGCTCGTTCGTCGGCGTGATCCACAGACTCGCTACGTGATGAGGATCCCGATCCTCTACCTGTACGCGAGGCTATCGAAGGAGGTGGAGTGGGCGTCTCTGGCTCCCAACTATCCGCATCGTCCGCAGAAACGCCTCGTTTTGCCCGATCCTCGTCCTGAGCGTCGACAGTGCGATCGGTCTCCTCTCCGCTATCCGACACCTCGAGCGGAAGCTCGAGTGCCCGAGCTTTGCCCCTCCGAAGAGAATGATTGCTGAGCAGCGAAGCTGTGCTTCTGGATCGTACTATCACTTCGAACCCATCTTCGCTCTCGCTTGCGCTGCTTGACCCTCTTCCCGCCCGCGCTGCGGCCTCTTCCACATCAGACGAGTCGCTGATGACGATGTGCTGGGGTGGCAGCTTGGGTCGCACCGACCTCTCCTCTGCCCTTCGAGATGCCTTTACGCTCGCCGGTCCCATCCTATAGCGTGTGGTGGCGCTCGGCGAGGGTCGGGCTGGTGAGTGTGTTTGGGAATGGGAGGATGGAGCAGGAGTACGCGTATTTGGGCGTGCTGGTCTCAATATTCTTGGAGAGTGAGCAGGCTGCCATGATGGCGGCTTGATGTTGGACTTGAGTATCGCAAAAGGACGCGGAGAAGATACCTCGGGCTGCGATGCGTTGGCCCTGAACGAAGAGGCGCGCGATGGTCTCGATGGACCTGCTTCGCTTGCATCAGCATGCGTGGCGGACCGCCGAGCCGAGTTCGCACTCGATCTCAGCAGCATCTTGCCAAAAGGCTGATAGGCTTTCTATTTGAACTTGCCAGACAGTTCGGCGATGGTGCTCAGCGCGTGATTTCGTTGGAACCACGAGCTGGGAGATTGAGGAGGCAGGAGGCAGTCCATTATTGAGTGGGATGGAGCAGAGCCATGCTGCTCTGGGAACGCGAAGATGAGCGGTGTATACCCTCGTTCGAGTGCACCCGCCTCGCTACCGAGCTTTGCTGAAGGTAGTAGTAGTAGTAGCGATGTTTGTAGATCTCGAATTTGCAGCGTCGGACATTGGCGCTAGGTGTGATGGTGGAGTGCGTGAGTCACCCCCAAGGCAATCCAGCACGATGCGCGGCTCGCGCGACGCGCCGCATGTACAACGCCGCATACCCTGGCTCGTACGAGAAGTTGTGGACCGCCGCGGCGCTATGCGCACGCAGTGCGAGGGCACTGTGAAGCGAATGATAGGCACTCCACTCGATCACGACTCACAAACTAATTAAGTTCCTTATATAGCTCCACTCCACTTCAAGAGCTCGTCGAGACCTGAGCTTTGTGAGCGCCAGCAAGCGGTCTATTCGACTGGGCAGCGCGGTGCTGTGTGCATGTGCGGCTGAATCGATCCAATTAATTGTGAATGAGGTGTCTGCGCGCGTCGCATCCACAAAGCACAAGTGACACTCGTGACTCGAGACTTCCCAAGCCATGCATGCCGCCACTGAGGGCTTGCAAGGGTCTGCACATCTTTTGCCCTGTTCCTGGCCTGTGTTACCCGAGCCTCCTCAGCATGCTGCCAAACGGAACGATCCCAGCTATCAAGGAGCGATGGCGCCCATTGAGCCAGCACGAGGCACGCATCGAAAGCAGAAGAAACTGACCATCCAGCGTTCAAGACTCACGACTCCCGCATCAGACTCGGACTCGGACTATTCACGATTGACTCTCGGCTTTGAAGCTCGAGAGGTTTTGGAGTCACGGGTCAGAAGAGTCAATTAAGTCTTGAATCAGTCACGAATCTTGAATTTTGAATTTGAATGGGCAAGCTCACGTGTCATCAGAGTCGTTGAGCGGGCCCGCTCGTTTGTTCAGCGAAGACCCTTCGCTGCTGCGTGCGCATGCATCCTGCATCTCTACGCAGCAGCAGGTACACGTGATCGGACGCTCCCCTGCGCACTGCAGCTGCTCAGCCTGCACTTTGACTCGCGCGCATGTTCAGCAGAGCCCGCATTGGGGCGCCTTGCGCTGCACGCACGCAGGAGCATGTGTAGGCATCGGACCGATCGAGTGAGGCGCCGTGCTGTGCGCCAAGGCTCATCACCGCCGTCCTGCCCAAGTGCCTATAGTCACACAATCTCGGAGCTCAGCTGTCAGTGCGCATGCCTACCGTAAAGAGTTGCGTGCAGGCGAGCGCAATCGTAAGCGGCGAGCGTGACTTGCCGTGCATGACGCGGCAATCAGTCAAGGTGCTCCATGCGTAATGCTAGTCAGAGTCAAAGCGCTCACTAATACCACTCGTGACTAGGGTGTGTCACTCGTGGTTGTGACGACTATACGAGAGTCACAAGTCAGGACCCGCTCGCTCATCAAGACGTCTCCACTCACTTCAACCCCCTCGCTCGATCTGACGCCCGGTCTCTCTCAAAGCCTCGTTCTTCAACTGGCCGAGACATCAACATCGCCTCTGGTCCGTCTCCCAGATGATTCATGGCACGTACGCTCGTGACTTGCCACGGCCCAATCGCTCCGGTTAATCTTGCACTCTCACGCGCCACTTATCGCATTGCGACGGGCTGATCGCCATCCAACCAACCAGCGCACGGAATAAAGCGTTGACACGAGTAGTGATCTCACGCTCGCTTCTCTGAAGCTTGCAATCCACACCCAAACACAGGCCCTCCTACCCCGCTTGTTGTTGGCCTTCTGCGTAGACACGCCATTCTCTATAGCGTCGACCAACTCAAGTTCGCGCATCCTTGGCTGGGAGTCTGCAGGGTTCTAGCATTCACTGTCAACATGAAGACTCGCCAGCCCACGATAGAGGGCAGCGCTATCAGTGGAGACGACGGCGCTCGTCCTTTCGTTGTCTCGTCTGTAGCCACAGGCAAGGAGTCATCTCAGGGGCGCATTGTAAAGGCAGCCACATCGAACGACCTCAATGCGAAGCAGCAAAGCGAGAGGTGGAGGCTAGCATGGGAGAAGCAATTGGAACTATCCAGGACCCGACTGTCCCAAATGGAGCGGAAAGGAGAAGGCTCGCGAGGAGCGCTCGGAGGGGAGAGCGTCTCTTCTTTGGCGGACAATGCCGCTACGGATAATGGTGCTGCCGAAGGTGGCCCCCAACGGTACCTCGATGCGGATCTGCTCGAAGCTTCACCTCGCCCGCATTGGTGGAGCGCGGCATTCATAAAGGACACGTCAGTGCCTCCGGCCAGAGATGCAGAGCAGGACGGCAGCAGGCGGCAATACCTCGACACTGATGGACCTCAGGTTCGAGGACGCGTGCAGGACACCACACCAGAGTCGTCTGCTGTGTCCCGCTCACTGCTGGACGAGGTCGACATTGGCGTGCGCCCCAGTGATGTTCGACGAGCAGGCGACGCGCGAGCCTGGCAAGATGGTGTATTTGGTAGGGTTGATCAGCCCCAACTCGCTTTTGGGGCTGCTCGACAAGGTCGTCGCGGCGGCTATGTCCGCTCTTGGCCTCGGGCAGACGATTCCGATGCCTCTCGGCTCGTGAGAAGCAACGACGGCCAGTTCCGGTGGCGCCAGCGTGGAATGCGCAATTTGCTCGAGGACGAGGCGCCTGGCACAGGACCGATTTATCGTCGACCAGACTCGCCAGAAGATGCCATCGTGCTTATTCTACCGCTCTTGATACTCCTGTCGACCCTCCTGTTCCTCCTACTGATCTTTGTCATCCTGGTCATCTTTGTTCGTCGGCGCGCCAGAATTGCATTGCAGGATGGAGATGGGCCTTTGGATGTCGGACGTGAGGAGGAGCTCGAAGGGCTAGGTGGCATATCTGGCGTAGAAGAGCGCTGGCTCGACACTGTCGACACGAACGCGAGAAGGGGCTATGATCGAGCCAAAGCTTGGCAAACGTCGTATCCTCCTGGCAGCCTCAGCACCGACATTACCCTCTCGCAGTTCCTCACGATTCAAGAAAAGGGAGTCTCTGCATTCTCTTTTGATCCGGACTACGAAAGCAATGCCAGCGTCTTTGTCGAGGCTAGAACGGAAATCACGTTCTTGGCGGATGGCGGTGGCATGGCACCCGAGGAGGGTGGGGGCTCATGTGTGCAGAGCAATATGCCCCTCCCGAAGCTCAACGAAGTGTACTATTGGGAAGCCAAGATGTTCACCCTTCCGACCGGCACGAACATCGGTCTGGGTTTGGCAACGAAGCCTTACCCGAGCTTCCGCCTGCCTGGTGAGTTGGCAGTCAGCCATGACGCTTGCCTCATCTTCCCGCTGACACCATCTTCTCTCGCACGCAGGCTGGAGCAAATTTTCTGTCGGCTACTTTTCTCAGGATGGCTTCAAATCGCACAATTATCCCTTCACCGCGCAGTCATACGGACCCGCCTACGTTCAAGGCGATGTGATTGGTGTGGGCTACAGACCTCGCTCCGGTACAGTCTTCTTTACGCGGAATGGCAAGAAGCTGGAAGATGCATTTGTTGGACTCAACAGACACAATCTCTTTCCCACTGTTGGCGCCGATGGCGCAGCAGAAGTTCACGTCAATCTGGGCCAAGCTGGCTTCGTGTTCATTGAGGCGAACGTGAAGAAATGGGGTCTCGCGCCAATGGTTGGCACCCTGGCTCCACCTCCTGCGTACGGTCAAGAAAGAGGGAGCCTGCTGATCGAAACGGGTCAAAGCAGTAGCGCCCAAGCAGGGGGCAGAGCAACACCGCCGCCTCCATTGACCCCGCCACTCGAGCACCCTGACGTGTCGCAATCTCACGCAGAGGGCTTTAGCGCTAGTGGACGAGCCCCGACCCGGTCGAGACGTCATCGCGCTTCCAGAAGGACTCAAGGGCGCAGCAGCCCAGAGAGTCCGAGGCTTCCTTCCGACATTCAAATCGTCCGTAACGCCCAGGGTCAAAATTCGCCACCTCGGCGTGACTCGGCGTCCTCAGCAGATGCACCACATAATCCCCCAACTCCGAACGCTCTTGACATTAGCCTGCATCAGCTACCGCCGCACCAACTGGCTGCGGATGGCAACATGCCGGAAGCGGGCTCGGCTCAGGGTGAGGGTCTACTCGCTAGCTATTTCCCAAGACCGGGCAGCAGGAGCGGTAGTACGAGACTCGGTAACGGCGGCAGACGAGGCAGCGACCGAAGTCCAAGCCCACCACCGTATCCAGGAGCCTCTGACGGCAGATCCGTCGGCACGTGGTCGGACGAGTCTGCGCATCGACGACAGCATCAGACACGGTCTTTAGCAGGTCGCACGAGCTCGATCGCCAACGCGTTCATGGGCGCACTCGCAGACAGAGGTCTGCTTGCCTCCTTGCCTGGGTCGCCCAACGTTGAAGATCCCAATGTGCGAGACGCGGAAAGGCACAGAATTCTGGACGTAACCACAGCAAGAAATACCGATGCTAACCGCAGAGGCAACGATGCTGCTGCTGCTGCTGAAAGACCTGGCACCGCGCAGTCAGTGACTACGTGGGTGGAAAGCTGGTTCAGAAGCTGATATTGCGTCGGTCGCCCTGCACGTATGATGCCGCGTGGAGAACGCTCGCTCAATCAACGCCTTCTATTGCCAATCTCAATGCCCTAGCATATCTGCCTCTCTGCAACTATCCTTGTCTCGGCGTCCTCATGACGCTATTTTGGCTGCCTGCTGCCAACGAGTCTCGTACACTTTTTGTACCCTTTGCATCTCACCTCATCTTGCGACCGTGCTCACTGTTACACTTATCCAAACACACCCAACCACTCTGACTACGTTGCGCCTTGGGCCGCTCTGGCTATTCTTGGGGGAAATAGAAACATCTCAATAGTTCACTGACTGTGCGGCGTCTCTTTGCGACACAAAGCCCTTGTCACTCGCATTGAACAGATGTTTTCCCGCCCCGTCAATCTTTGTAGAAGCCAGCGATGTGGCTGTACTCGTCTTTCATCTTCTCGTCTGTATACGGCTACGGCAAGTCAGACATAGCAGCCTGACCCATTCCCTTATTTGCTTTTGACAATTTTCGCCGCAGGACAATGACAGCGGCGAGCTGCGGCGATATCCTATAGTGAGGCAAGGGAGATGCACAACTCGGTATGACATCTTCGTCTACATAATTCAGCCCAACTCATCGTTTTGGGCGCCCATAGCGCCAAGAAAGAGGTCAAGTCGTACGCGATGCTTTGTGAATGTTAATCGTGCATTCAAATTAGCGGGTATGCGCTTCACTGCATTGCAAAGACTCTGATTGACACGACCAATGTTCAGACACCCGTCGCTGCTCTTGCAACCTGCTGTTCCTCACTGGAGAGGTACGGCGCATACCGAGCGTTCGCGTCAGGCAATTGTATCTGAGAGCGCAAAAAGCTGGAGAGGTATGCCTGCCCACGACTGACGACATTAGCGGACATCCGTGATCAAGCAAAGACGAATTGTTCTCACCTTCGCATCCATGTTGTACACCTCGTCCGAAGCGAGATCAGGATCTTCCGGTCCGTTGAGGTCGAAAAGATCGTCTTCGCCGTAGCCAGGAAATCCCGTGGGGCCCAGGACATCTAGAGGAGTCGAGCGCAGCAATGAGCAGACCGGTCTCTATTTGATCCATAGCGCGACGCTGTAAGCTTACCTGACAGAATGATATCTCCCAGAGCACCCCTCTTAGGCGCATAGTCCTCCTCGTCATCCCATTCGCCGTCCTGCGAAGTATCAGATAGCGTCAGCAACTGCCCATGTGATTCGGCAGGCGTGTTACGCACCTCATCGTCAGTCTCCGGTGTGCGCGCACCATCCGCTGCATCATCTGCAGAGGGGCCGGGTGGGCCTCTTCTTGCGTGTTGCCAGTCACTGAGAAGCAGCTTCAGCATCTTGGCAGAGATGGGTATCTGGCTGTACTTGTGAGGCACTGTTTGAGACTTATGACAGCATTAGTGGTGATTCCACGGCAGCGTCGGTAGCAGTCTGCCGTCAGGCTTCTGACAACATCTCGGAGCTCCAGACTCACTCGTCTTGGCTTTGGACCGAGTGCGAATGACTGCCAAGCAACGCGGCTCGTTAGCTTGGACAGTCTGGGAACCGTAGGGCAAACTCACTATTTGAATTGTCCGGCAACAGGTCTCCCTGGACGATGACGTTGGAGAGGATAGGTCTGTTGGCCTCCAGCAGGCGGGTAAGTGCGATCGAGCTGCGATGGAAGTTGACAGACTCGATTTATCAGCGCGACGCCAATCAAGACTCATGTCATTGACTCACCTGACTCTTTGAGCCCAAAAGCCTTGGATCGTCTCTGCGTGCTCGACCCATCGCCTAGCCAGCACCTCAAGACCGGACACAGTCTGGCCCGAGCCGCTCGACTCACTGGCCAGCTGGGTGTGGAATCCTTCGAGCAGCTCTATCACCGTTGTCGCCTGTTCGAGCATGAGATATGCGAACGGGACGATCAAGGATTGAGCAAAGGCAGAGGTGCGAACTGACGCGAGTCGCGTGACGAGAGCGCGAAGTAGGTCCGGCAGGACCTCAACGACAGCTTGCGGGGCCTTGCGCAGAAGGGCAATGAGCAGGTCCCCGACCGCAAGGCCTCCGCTCTCAAACTCGTCGGCAGGCTCCAGAAGCCGGGCGACGATTGCAAGAGTCTTCTGGATGGAAGTTGTGCCAGTCCCGGGCTCGGTCCACGCAAGCGTTTGCTGCGTAGCTTTCCGGACAAGATGTGTCAAGCATTCGACGCCGCGCTGTTTTTGAGGGTCCAAGAGCTTAAGCCGACAGCAACATCTGCGATCGCTTGACTTAGATGGCTTACCTGCAGGATATCGCGATCGTCGCTGACCGTCAAAGTTGCCACGAGGGCAGGCAACACCTCTTGAGACAAGTCGATGTGTGACAATGTGTCGCTAGAGGCTCCTCGAAGCGTCGCAGCCATGAGCTCGAAAGAGCCGGCTGCGAGTACGGCGCCCTCCGAGTCAACATTACCGCTCTCCTTCTGCTTGACGATTTGCGAAAGGGCCGCCAGAGCAGATGATGTGACCGCGTGTGCGTGCGCGTGCGATGCTCCTCCAGCGAGTAACTCAAGCATGTCCTCGACAACAGAGAGCAAGACGTGGTCTGTTGTTGCGAGCGCGGTCAGAAATCGGGCAGTTGAGTCGATGGAGTCCAGCTCGCTCACCTTTCGCATCCCTACACCACGCCGTTAGCGTTGCATTGATCACCTCTGCATAAACCCCTGCGGGCACGCCATTAGCGTTAGTACCGCCGTGCTCATCTTGACTCTGAGTGGCCACCAGCTGGAGCGTTTCTACGATCAAGACGAGCGTTGAAGTGGTAGTGACAGCCAGTAGAGGGCCCAGACGAGATACGACTCGTGCAGAGTATGGCCTCACAGCTTGCGCGTCCAGGTGGCGGTAGAAGCTGGCGGCGAATCCGGGAGAAGTTGTAGGTCAGTCGTGCCTCTAAATGCATGACCAGCTTGCACCGCTGCCAGACCCACTTTTTGATACATCGCACTGCAGACAGCTTGATGATAGCATCGCCCTCGGCTCCATCGCTAGAGTTGTCCTCAACGCTTCGCACTGCTGCTTCCAAGATCTCAGCTGCGAGGGGTGGAGGTAATGCGGAAGCGTACTGAGATGCAAACACGAAGCATCGTCCAAGCAAAAAGGGACCGGAACGAAGGGACATGTTCGGCAGTACCATGGTGGTGAAGATATTTCCCAGATCGAGGGCGCCGGCCGTGGTGCAACTACTACCAGCCGCATCCTCCTCCTTGTGCTCCAACACAGCTTCTGCGACTCCTCCGAACAGCGCCAAAGCCGCTTCGCTTTCCTTCCAAACATCGGGACCGTGGGTGTCGCTGACGTGGCGAGCAGTGGACTCTGCCACGCGTTGCAGACATCCGAGCGTGGGTTGTGCGGCATCTTCGAGGAGGCCGCCCAAAGCATCCGCACAACTTCCTCGAAGAGCCCAGCCAAGCCCTTCTTCATCGTCCGAAGCAGCAACGAAGGCGCCGATGTCGCTTGACCATTCCTCCTCATCTTCGCGCGTCATCCTTGAGAAGCTGCGCAGCGATTCGACCAAGGATGCCAGTGCTGGGGGCGGTGCACTCGCAGCGGTGGTGCTATCCACATGCAGCAGTGCAGACTTGGCGGAGGGTAGCCGAATCGAGCTCGTGACAAAGTCGAGAATTTGCGAAGCGAGACGAGGCACGTCTGAAGACACGTCGCTATCGCCTTCGGTGGATCCAGCAGCCGAAGGCCCATCTTCGCTCGGCGACACGTGAGCTGCAGTAAAGGCTGAGGTGAGCTGTGCCAGGTTGGAGACTGCTATGTTGGTGAGGCGAGCAATGTAGGGTTTGATGTGGCTCCTGAAGTTCAGAGCCACCTTGAGGGTCTGCGCGTAGAGCCATCGAGGGGAGCGTGAATGACACCAAGCGATGCAATGAGCAATTTAGCGGCGTGGCTCACCTTCCAAATTTGCTCCTGCAAGCCCAGCACTTCCAAGCTCAGCGACGCTTGCGCGCTCACGACAATGCCTTCCAAAGCTGCCAGCCACCGCGGCAAGACCTCGTCTGCCGTCGCTTGAGACGCTTCGGGATACGACTCGCGCACCATGAAGAGCGTCTCGAGGAGATGTCTGAAGACCAGCACCGCTCGAGCGCGAACAAAGCCCGAGTATTGCTGCAGAATTACCACGTGCATATCAGTCAGCTTGTGAACAATTCTGGCCAGGAATGAGCTCCGGCCACTCCCTTTCTCGCATGCTCACCTGATCAGCACCGAGCACTCGCTCTAAGCTCGGCAGCAACTGTCTCGACACCGCCACGATCTGGTTCTCGTCCAGATCCCCAGACACAAAGTCCGACAAGAATGCCATAGCACCGTGTACCGCATCGACGTTGGAAGAGCTTTGCTGGTCCAGCAATTGCTGGATCGACGGCAGCAGCTCCGGCGCATCGTCTGGCCAATCAGGAGCACTAGCCGCTGAGAGGGCGTACGCGGCCGCCAGCCTGAGCGGTTTCTCCCGCAGCTTCAACGCTTCCAGCAATTTGGCTCTGATGCTGCTTTTGAGCTCCGGTGGAGTCGCTATGGCTGCACTGCTCCCGCTTGGGTCTCTGAGGCCGATGTAAGCCGATAATTGAGGAGACCATCTCTCGTTCACCCACTTCCTCAAATTGATGCCTGCTGCTTGGCGAATGTGCATGGGTAGCTGAGCTGCCAAAAGAGCGTCCGCCAGTATTGAGCCGCATTCCGCCTCAGCGTGGATCGACGATAGCTGAAGCTCAGCCTGTGTGCGTACGTTGGCGTCTGGCGAAAGCGTCGCTTCGAGTACCCCAATTACCTGGTCTGCCATGGCCGGTGATATCCTGGTAATGATCAGCGTGCCGCCACTGTTGCCTTCCAATGAGACTGTACTGCCTAGTGGTGATGAGAGAGGGACTCTACGCTCGCGACTGGGTGAAGCCAATAGAGAAGATGGTCACCTTGAGGGCCACCAACAATCGTAAAAATCTCGAATTGCGGTGTTGGTTGCTTCAGCCTCGCCGCGCTAGGCTATATAGGCGCGCTTTGATCGGCGGCATTCACGATTGCTGCATGCAGCCATCATATATCAGCTGCGCTCACATTCTTCCGCGCGCGCGCGGAGCGAGCGAAAAAAAAGCGCGTCGCGTAACCCACAATTGCAGCAGCAGCAGACGCGTCAATTTAACACGCAGTCGCGCAAAGGTCGAGAAACACTCGGCTTGCTTGGCAATCAGAAATCGCAATCGGACAATCTGACACGTCGATCAGCAACACACGCGCCAGGGACGCCCATACCAATGCTGATCAGTGTGAGTTTGACAGCCCATACGTCGCTATGAACGTGTTTGCATTTCTGTGTGTCGTCTGACTCTACATGATGAAAGTTGCAGGCCTATCGCTTGACCGCTTTCAAAAGTGGCTTGGGGAACACTCGTGCTGCCAGAGAAATGTCCCCCACTGTGAGAAGAATCTCGTCGGTGTCAGTTGGCTAATTCATTTTGTTCGATTCTGGCTGTTGGCGCCAGATGCAGCGCCGCGCTGATTGGGCCTCTTCAGACCTTTAGTCTTGCGAATTCTGCCGGTGGGTGCTTTTGCCATGGAGGCAGCGTCGAGCTCCTCTTTGAGGCTTTTCTTTCTTCGCTCTACCCTCTCTACACTCGGATCACGGGCAGAGGCACGACGTGCGTGAGCACTGCCATCGTTGGATGTTGCTACAGCATTCGGGCGCATGCGAGGGAGGTGCTCCAACACGGCTCGAGGAAGTCCTGTTGGCTGGACTGGACGGGTTCTGCCCACTGGCGTGAATGGCCGCTCGGGCAACTGAGCTCCTGCAGACCCTGCAGGAAGGGCTACAGCTTTTTGCACGACAGGGGACGTAGAGGGGGTCTTTGGCGGAGCAGCAGCCGCCACTGCGCTCCACGTCCTTGTCGGTGACGATGAGCTCGAGGCCGACTGGGGCGAGCGTCCAACGGGCTGCGCTGGCACTGCAGCCCTCACGAGGTCAGCGTTGAGACTGCCTGATGGTCTGATCAAGCTGGCTGCAGGGGTACTCGTCGTCTTTTGATTGGGAATTGCAATCGCGAGAGTGTTCGATCGTGCCTTCGTCGTTGCGGCTGGAGGCCGCGGCGCGGCGTCGGAGGGCGTGGCGGATGATCTGCTCTTTGCTGGGCTCGAGCGGGGCGCACGTAGAGCCTTGGGGGCAAGTGGCTGCTGCTCCGGCGCGAGATTGTGATGAACGCGATCGCCACTCAAGTCCTCCACAGGCTGTCCATCGACAGATAGCCCGAGCAAACCCCCACAAAGATCCTCTATTACATGTGCAGAAGCGCTCTCTGCAGCTACGTGATCCTTTGCTTCTGCCGCCCGCTCGAGCATCGTGTCTTCCAGTCGACCCGTAGGTATCGACAAATGGACCGCTGGAAAGAAGTCGATATTCTGCGCAGATGTGCCAGAAATGCGCCATTCGCCTTTACCGTGTCTTCCCGTCCACCTCATCACCTTGAGGCTCTGGCATCGCCTCGCAAATCTGTGAAGTGCGCCCGTCGAAAAGCAGAAAATGTTCAGCAGGCGTACACGAATGTGCTCGAGCACAAGAGAATTCACTTGCGGATGTCGCGCTTGGGCGGCAGCAAGAGATCTGCTGCCAAAGGGGGCAGCGGCTGGGGAAGACGCCCACTGGACGGCGACATCGCCACTGAGCTGCCCCTGCCTATCCCAGTGTGTGCTGCTTCTTGACCATCAGGACACGAGGGGCATTCGAAAGCGCCGCCGAGGTCAGGGCTGCCTCCCTCGCGACTCCAGCTGGCTTGTGAGACGAACTTCGGAAGCGATGGGCTGGTGTTTCCTGCACACCCTGGCCCGCCGTTTGATCCCTGTTGATAACCTGCACTTGGTGCAAAGCCCTTGGTAGAGAAGCAATGGGGCAGCGCTAGGGTGAAAGCAAATGTGTGCAGGCGCGTGAGGGGCACGAACGCCGAAGAGACCGACAACTGCGCGGCTTGTCAGCAGATGTGGGCCAGGCTCGGACAAATGTGTAAGGCTCATCACCTCACCAGTTTCTCCATGGGCGCATCGACAAGCACTTTGAGCAGCTCCAGATTGTGGCATACGTGTAGCAAGGCTTGAAGCTCGCCGATGGACAAAATGAAGAAGTCGAGCTGTGGCCATGGCTCAGAAAGGTCAGACGAGCCGTCTTTCACTCCCACACGCAGCTCGGACTGACCTCGAGCTTCTGAAGCGAGGCACCATGCGTGATCAGTGAAGTCATTGCACCAGTAGGCAGAGCTCTTGGAAGGACCATTGGGTGGCAAGACCGTACGAGGCTGCCTGGAGAGCTTGCTTCCATGACCATTGGCGCTCCGAGCCCGTGATCCGACGCAACAGCTACGAGAGCCTCTGATGGTACGATTCGACGAATGGCAAAGTTGCGCAAACCGAACGGGCTTTGATGTAGTAGGCTAAAGGCGGTGTCGAGATGGTCACTCGCCCAACTGAAGCCCAAAGAGGCACACGTGAGGAAACAGTCTGTGCGCACATGAGAGATTGGCACTTACGAGTGATGAGATGCGACCTCGTTGACTGAAATTTCGAACGTGTCTAGAACAGAGGGAAGCGCGCTACAACGAGTCCACAGTCTTCGACTGAAACGGCCTGTCTTCAGGTGAGTGTAGCTCAGCAAACGTTACGAAGGAGCGACAACACGCGCTTCGCTGACTGCTGACCTTGTACCTCGCTCAGGTTCAACGAGCGGAGCTCGTCGCACTCTTTCATGAGCGCGATGATTCCGTCATCTGTGGCCTGGAATGGTGGGGCCATGCTGAGAGTATAAGCTTGGCACCACACTTGCCCTCTTCGAGTGGTCCACACACCTTGGTACCAGTGCTCCGCAGAGTCAATTGTTGCAGCGCTCGGCAAGACGCCGCCACTGCACTTAGTAGCGCGTCATCGACAAATGCGAAATCCAAGGTCAAGCTCTGGAGCTTGGGGAGGTAGTGCATGGTGAGCACAAGATTCCGTGCTCCTTCGGCACTGAGGCAGCTGAGACTGAGGGCTCGGAGGTGCGGTAGAAGGTGAGTGCTCTTGGCTTCCCAACGAGCTAGCCTGTCCAGGTCCTCTGACGGATGAAGAGCTGCATCGAAGGCTCCACCTCCCTTTGAGGAGTTTGTCCGCAGTGAGAATTCCTCCTCTAGGCTAGTGTCGCTGAGATCGGCGCTCGATCGGCGATGTCGGAGTGTGTCTGTACCGCGAGATAGCAGCTTTCCGGGTGTCTGCAGCTGTATAGGGTGTACTATCAGCGTCTGCAGGTGGCGGGCAGTGACTGCCAAACACGCGCAGAGCGACGCAAAGGGCACTCGATCGGTCGACCTGGGAAAGGTGATTCCGTGCTCGTCAGTATCTCTACCAGCGAGGCGCCCGGAAGCTACGGACCATATGAATGCCTTGAGGGCGGGCAGAAGCGCGAGGAAGCCCATAAAGCTCTCAGGGCTCAGGCTTCTCCTGCATGCTGGCTGGAAGTCGTTGGCGGCATCTCGAGGACTGCCGACTCGTGGGTGCGCGGTTTGGCTGACGATGGTGAGTCGACGTACATACTTGGCAAGACTGTCGGAGAAGTGACGAGCGGGCAGATTCAGCGGACAGCGGGCGATGACCCGGGTGTTTGCGAGACATTAGATTGCGCTTACGAGGCGTGGTACTGGATGACGGCTTCGATCTTGCTATGTATGGCAGGTCGCGCCACGAAGTCTTCTTCGTCTACGATGACCAATTCTGTTTGACGGCCGCTGGAATCAGTCTCGTGCCTTGTGGCGGCTGCCAAGCCCGCTCTCGTACCGCTCACCCGCGTACAGCACGTTGCAGGCGGCCCGATTGAACGCTTTGCAGATGAAGAGCAGTGGGCTGATCCTACCATCGTGGTGCTGAGCCACTTGTCCAACGATATCTGATCGCAACAAACGAGCTTGAGCTTGAGGAATTTTACTGGCGAGTGCCGAGCCAGACTCACTTTCCAAAATCCGACATGGTAGTAGCGCCCAGCTAGTGTGCGTCTGCGCGGCGACGTTGGACATGATGAAGCAGCTCGCCATCCGAAGCTCAGTGGAGCGAGGGAGGATGGAGCTGGCCAACGAAAGGCGATGGTGGCAGCACCTTTTGAGCGGAGATGAATAGGGTCATGAGGTGATGCGGGGTGCAAAGCCTTGCGGAATGACAAAGGAACTGCTGATCAGAGGGTGGTGTGGAGCAAGACCAAAGTGACCCATTGAGCGAGGGCTCGTCTAATTGAGCTGCTATACGCGCCGCAGGAGCAGCAGTAGCCAACCCTTCCGCTAGACTTGATGTTGTTGACGTCCTGCTACTTGGCTCTGCAAGGAACAGGACTAGCCATTCAGGGTCACGATTCGGACGATTGTCCACCGACACTCACGACTCGTGACTCTCGACTGCTGCATGGCATGAACTTCGCGGACGCGTCAAACCGCTCTTGAACTCATGTACAACTCACGACTCGAGCACGAGTCATTAAGCCCAGAACCATCCAACAAGTCGTGAGGGTGCGCCCACTCTTGATACCACGGAAGTCTGTGAGTGCTATAAAACACGCGGCGCTTGAGTCGTGAACCGCGAGTCTTGGCAACCCCTTAAATCCTAGCTGCTGCTGTACATCCTTCATTCGTGCTCCAGCGTGACAACACACCGCAGATGTATGCGCTGATGTGCAGGCATGTATATATGGATATGCTGGTATTTGAAACACCCGGCCGCCGCGGCGCTCTAGCATCGGCGATCAAATCGCCCATCAGCTGTGCCATCATGCGCAGTCACGAGTCACGACAGCACGAATCTTGCTTGATTTCGGTTCAGTCGGCGTGGCTGATTGAAGCGTCCAGTCAGAAAAGAGTGTTGGGAAACTAATTTTGAATATATATACCGGCGCCCAATTCACCCTCGATCGCGCGCATGGCTGTGCTAGGCTTCCTGCAGCCAGCAGCTATACAGGCAGCGACGCACCAGCAGCAACTGCACGCTCTCGATCGCGGTATAGATGGTGATCGATATGAGTCAAGTGCTGAACCACGATGCTCGCTGCGCCGCCAGCGCGCTCACTCACCTTTGCTTCTACGGGAAGTTTCCACATGCCAGGAAGTATGGCGAGGGTGAAGTGGTGTCTATATATAGCTGTGCTGGTCTCAGGATGAGCGTTGATGATCGAGTTCTGCATATTGACTGTACTGAGCCCGATCTGAGCCCATGTCAATGTGCATGCAGCTACCTTGGCCGTCGTGAGCTCAGACATCTTCGTACCATATGTGATGCGGTGATCTCTATGGCCACCAAAGCAATCGCAAAGCACGTATTGTCGACTTGTGAATTTGAAACAGTCACAGTGTGAGTGCGGATGTGCATGTTGCTTGTTGCTTGTTGAGATATATAGCTCTCGGCTCTCGCAGCAGAGGGTTCGCCGCGTCACATTGTGATTCAAGATTCTTGACGTTGCGGCGACTTGTCAGTCACCAGTTTTGAATCACCACCCGTGAATCAAGCGTCAGGAAGAGCTGGATCCGTATTGTCGCATTCGCGATCATATAGAGACCTGATGGTGTTGAATCAGGTCCGGTCTGAGTGTTCTCACCTGACCGAGAGCAAGCGCTCCATTTGTTTTGGTCTCGCCCCAGGGCCATCCGCCGTCCTCACCGTGACAGCACCCCTGTTGCGGCATCACCTCCATCGTGTCGCTCAATGAGTAGGCGAGCTGAGCGGATCGAGGTGGCTGCTCTAAATGCAACGAAGTAGGAGAGATACAACAGTATGGCTGCGGGTACAGCTATAAAGACCTCTCACGCCGGCTATCGCCCATCCGAGACAGACAGTTTGAGGGCGGCCAGCCAGTCGCTTCTGGACTGCGATGCATCATTCGCGGCCGCGCTGATGTGTCGCGCTTGTTCGATGGAGATTCCCTCATTCACAGCAAATGCTCTCCACAGCATTCACGATCGGTGATCCTTGCTTCAAGATCCGCCATTCTTGCGCGCGATTGAGCTTCGTTTGCGTAGCCTTCACCGCATCAGTCGTATTCAAGATTGACCAATTTGCGGTCCGCGTTGGGCATTCCTTTGATTCACGATCATTTGGCTGGAGTGTCCACAGCGCCTCGCTGAGATCCTTGCTGTATATACGTGAATGGTGTGTGAAGCTGCCGCGCTGTCTATCCCTGCATGCTCGTCGTCAGCAATCTGAGCGAGCTCGACACAATCTTGAACTCAGACTTCCGATATATAGCGCGCCAGGACGCCCAACAGACCTGGCCGAATGCTGTGGAAGAAACCAATCACGTGACCCGTCAGTGTAGCGGCCGGCACTCGGGAACAACATAAACAGGTCCGTGCTCGCTCTCTCCCGAGCTCCACACGCGGCAATGCCCGAGGCCCTGAATGGATGTGAGTGGTCTTCGTGATCCTTCTGTATCTTGCTCGCAAACGATCACTCCTCCACCAGATTCTTTGGACTCCTCCACCAGATTCTTTGCATCTCTGCTGAGACGAAAACACTTTATCGACGTCTGCCCAGCCACGCAACAAAATGCTGGCCGCTCTCGCTCCTACTTGCCGCGTCGCTGCGCAACGCACCGCCTCTGCAACCCTCGCTGCAGCTGCCAGGCCAACCCTCAGTCAGCAAGCCCGCACTGCCCTTCCTTTCGCCTCGCGCACCATCCACTCGACCGTGCCGAGGCTCTCCACACCGCCTGCGAGCGATGTCGGCGACTACAAAAACATCATCGTTTCCCAAGCTGGCAATGGAGTCACATTGATCACCTTGAACAGGCCCAAGGCGCTCAACGCGCTCAACTCCGAACTATTCACAGAGCTCAACCACGCTACCGCAGCGGCGGATGAGGATGCTTCGGTCAATGCGATTGTCATCACAGGAAGCGAGAAGGCCTTTGCTGGTGAGAAAGATCCAATGACCACGCCTTCAGAGAGCTTGCAACTGACGCTTCGCCGCCTGAATCACAAACGCAGCTGGAGCAGACATCAAGGAGATGAGGAGCAAGGAGTTTGCTGGTGCCTACAAGAGCAACTTTCTTGGGCACTGGACGAAGATCAGTGAAGTGCGAAAGCCTATCATTGCTGCAGTCAGCGGGTTTGCGGTAAGTCTAGACCGGCTTGCTCCTGCTGCAGCGCTGCGAGTTGATCAAAGTTTTGTGCCGCTCTGTATCAGCTTGGAGGAGGTTGCGAGCTCGCGATGATGTGCGACATCATCCTCGCAGCTCCCACCGCCAACTTTGGCCAGCCCGAGATCAATCTCGGAGTCATTCCAGGCGCCGGCGGCTCACAAAGGCTCACGAAGGCGCTCGGCAAGTCGCTTTCAATGGAGCTGGTCTTGACCGGTCGCAACCTTTCTGCTGATGAAGCTGAAAAGCATGGCCTTGTCAGCCGTGTCGTGCGCGAAGGAGATGTGGTCGAAGAAGCGGTCAAGGTGGGCGCGCAGATCGGAAAGAAGGGTCAGGTGGCTGTTCAGGCTGCCAAAGAGGCGGTCAACGCATGTGAGTTGCGGCATCTCTTGCCTCAGCGTGGGTGAGACTACCAGTGCTGAAGTAGTCCACACGGCGATTGGCCATCACAACCTGAACAGCCTTTGAGCTATCACTTCACGAGGGTCTCCGATTCGAGCGTCGGATCTTCCAGGCCTTGTTCGCGACAAAGGATCAAAAGGAAGGCATGAATGCTTTCGCCGAGAAGCGCAAGGTTCGTGCCCTTGCATTACGACGTGTCAATCATGTGCTCACTATTGCAACCTCCTTTGCAGGCCCAATTCTCGAACGAATAGAGCGGGGAAGACAGCAGCACATGTCTCGTAGCTTGTCGAGCAGAAGCGAGTTTACAATTGAATGTAAAGCGGTTTACGTGACGCAGCACTCGTCGGTATTTGTCGCTCCACTTTTGCGATCGTGCTCGACAATAATCATCAACCTGCTGCTCTGGGTAGTGCTGCTTAGAGCTGCGTGCGGGTGAGCCACATGCGCGCTTCCAGCCGACTTTGACGTTTCGACTAGTTTTGTTAGAAGGGCGGAACGATTTGAATATTTACAGAGCAGGTGATGGATGCTCTATACCTCCCCCTCTCTCTCGAGACGATTCGCAGACTGCGTACAGAGACACGAGCATGGCGCTCTCGCTTGTGTGTGTGCCTGAAGTCTGGAGCAATGCCTCAGTTACGATTGATGAATGAGGGAGCTTTGGCTGCATCGTAACCTCTATGCCGACCGAAAGAGGATCGATTCGATTGATCGAGGCACGGCGGACCTCCAATTTCCGACATGCATGAAGGACACCGGTAGGAGTTGGCTCATCGTATCAGCCCTGCGTCAAATGAGACGCCCTCAGCTGAAGAGCCGCCAGCACAAGTGCTCCGCCGTCATGCAATCTCCGTCCGCTCAAGCGTTGCGGGCCGACGAGTCGCCGCTCACAAGCAGCGCCGGATTGGTCATTGAGGCAGCGTACAGCTTCGCAACGTCGGGAAGACCGGACAGAGCAAAAAGTCTCATTGTCGTGCTGAGCCGATGCGTCGACGCGGATTCATGTGCCGCGTGCCTCACACCCCTTTACAAAGAGGATTGCCTTTTTTGGGCTACTCGTGACTGTGACTTGTGCTCTTTGGCGGCGCAGCGGCGGCAGAGTTGCATGCTTCACCCTTAGGCCAACCTCGCACAGACGCGCGCGCGCCACAGCCCACATCATCTTCCCATCAGCGCCAGCCTACAGCTTGCCTGCAGCTTGTTGTTGTTGCGGCAGCAGCAACGCAGTTCAAAGCACGTATATATGCCGTACCGTGCAGCGTGTACACGGCACCTCACGGCTTGCTTCTGTCAGAGGCGCTCTGGCTGTATGTATGTCGGCGCCGAAGAGACGGGCTGAGCCGGTGATGATGACGGATGCTCCTCGAGGGGTCAACATGCATCGATCGAGATGACTCTTACTCGTAATCACGAATTCAACAACTATGGTATCGTGCTTAATTGATACGGACAGCACTGTTGACTATTCACGATTGTCGAGCCTCGTCGAATTTGTATGGGCCTGCCGCTGCCGCTGCCCTGATGCCGATGTACATCATTCTTAATCCGCGTGACTGCAATCTGAATCAAGAATCCTTGAATGTGAATCACGAATCCGTAATCACGAATCGCCAAGGCTGGACGGCCGATGTCCGTTCAGCGGCAGAATTTCGGGCTTCCCAGCGTCGAGGTGCCATTCTAGTCACGATTATAACGATCCTGCTTGTCGGGTGTTCCGAGACTCAGACTGCAGATGAGTAGCACACATGCAGTCGAAAGTGACTACTCTTGACTTATATGCTGCTCGTCAAAGCTGCTGCGCGCAAGCAGGTCCCGCGCGTGTGGGTATGTCCGCCCTGGACTCAATTTGAACCTTGCTACCGTCACGCTATCCAAGGCCGACGCCTACAGTCAATTGTGACTTTCCCACCGACATGGGCCATCGAGCTTCTTAATGTTTAGGCCAGCGAACATCGTTTCTGACACTTCACACTTCTTCATTGCGTGACCGGGTACACCATGCATATTCTCAGCAGAGGTAAGAACGCCATCATCGGAGCTGGAGGGTGCCAGTCACGGCGAGTCAGTCGGGGTTTTGAGTGCCGACGCGCATGCGCTCCTTCCTTCCTTCATGCTCCTCTTGAATCTGACGCTCCAGCAGAGTGATGCACAGATCACGAACCAAACTATAACTCGATCATGATCAGGCAGGCGTCGCGAGTCGAGCCTCGCGTTCGCGCGTCAGAGGTGCGTCAAATGCGCCGTGAATGGCATCACACCAGCAACCTTTGTTTCAGCCGTAAGTTGCTCTTTCGCCCGCGGCTGATGGATGGCGTGCGGTCCAGTGCCCGCGCACGTTATTCATGAGCACATGCAGGATCATGCGGCATGCATGCATGGCCGGCCACGATCCCGCTTTCGCTGCATCAGTCGAGTTGAGACTCTTGAGTGCGTTGGTGCCTGAAAATGGACTCGCATTTGGACATACCCAGCCGTGAGTAAATGGCGATGTGCACCCAATTTGGCGCCATTTTAGATTCCCTAAGCTGGGCGGATTGAAATCGGATCAAGCCATGAAATCACGCATATGCATGTTCGCGGATTGCTTGGCTGCTGATGACCTATCCTGAGAAGCATCTTGGATCGATCCGGGCTGCTTGCTTCTGGGTTTGAGTAGCGAGAACCGAGATGGGCGCCAACGATTACGAGCTATGGCCACCGTCTTTGTGTCCTGTTACACTCACGACTCCAAGGCTTGAGGCACACAGACTCGCGAAGACATCGCGCAAGCCAATTCATATCCTCGGCCCATCAGTAGGCGGCTCCTGCAGCATCATCACCGGCGGGTTCCCGTTTCGCAGCGCACGCAATCCAGCGCTTACTCGCGCTGACACTTCTCAGCAACTGCTATCCGCAACGCTGGATCCAGTAACATATACATCACGCGGTCTTGCAAGTCTCACACAGATTGACATCATTGGATCAGGCCGGGCCTCAACGCTTCGATCGCTGCTCCGTAGAGCGACCTGCTTGACGTCCTTTTGAACAGGTCTCAGGAGAGCAGCACCTGCGAGAGCTTGGTCACAGCTGTGTCTGCCCGCACCAGTCGTGATTGCGTCTCGCCTTCACCTAGATCAAATCAAAGAGGCGCCTCATCCACATCGACTATCATCGCCTCCCACTTCATATCGACATCCCACCATTACCTATTGCAGCGGCGTCTTCAGAGGCTTACAATCCCTTCGCGTAGTAGTTCGACTGGGCGCAGATCGATCGCTCTACTCTCCGGGCGCCACACCGCCGTTCAAAATTACGTACCTGGTCAAGCCCCGCGTAATCACAAAGCACGGAATTCTGGCCCGTCGCCTCCTCTTCCCAGTATTGCACCGCAAGCAACAGCTGGGTACCGCGCGTGGCCAAAGCGGCGCTCTGCAACCCACCAGCCACTCCGGCCAGCCATCTGAGCGCCTCGACGCAGCAACCTGTCTACGGCCCGGTCAGCTGAACTGTCCGCGAAAGTCGCGCCGAGGCCCACCTTTATCTAGCCACAGTTGCCCCTGCGAGAAGCCTATGGATCGCGCCTCGTAGTAGACCACACATTCCTCAAGGTGTCAGTTCCGAGAATCGTATAGCCGGAGTCATACAGCCTCGGCTGGTCACGGGAAGTCAGCAACCTGACCACCAGGTGACCCAGTCTCCTTCGTCATCTGCCTGCGACGTCGGGCGGTCTTGTGAGAAGCTGCCATACAGAGTCCTCAGCGTCATGTCGTACGCCGATCACTACAATCGAAGCTCCGCAAGTGGCTCCTTGCAGCATTCCAGGCTTGCTGGCTACAGCTCTAGCGCTCCATACTCGGCTTGGGGCGACTCTACCAGGCCTAAAGGAGGGCATTCGACAGCACTGGACGACCGGCGGTACACGAACAACGCCAGAGCCGCTAATGGGTACCAACGCAGCGCTGGCCCAAATGCAGCCGCCGGTTCGGCGTCAGCGTCTGGACACTCGTACCATCTTCCGACCAGCGGAAACTACGGTAATCACAGCTTTCCCTCGCCTGCCACATCTGCCACGTCAAGCGGCAGCAGCCTTCGCACCCCGCCTGATCTGCTGCTGAATGGCGCTGCGCTGGCTACTTCGTGGAAATCGGTCGACAAGCAAAAGCTGCACAAGTGAGTCTCAATCGAGATCCTCTGCACTGTGTCACCGATGCATTGTCTGAGTGAAAGCTGTTTGGCTCTCCGCGTCTTGGGCATTGGCTGACTTTGATGGCTTCGATGTACAGCAACCTTACTGTGACGGACATCGAGAAGCGCTTGAAGGTGAGCTCGAGCAGCAATGTCGATGTCTATCGTTTGGCTTGCCTGCATCTCAAGCTGATCCGAGTACCTCTCCGCCCACCTCCCTCATTCTAGCTGATGGCGAATTTACCAACGGAGCCGATCTCAGGAGAGCTGCCCACGCCGCCATCATCGCCGCGTCTTCAGGCTCGTGACAAGACACAGGACAAGGCGAGAGCTAGCGGTCGGGCTTCCGCTGGCACGAAGGAGGCGGCTGCTACCGAGAGCGGCACAACCAAGAAGCGGAAGGTCAGCACGCGAGCAGATGATGTTGGAGCGCAGACCAAGGAGAGGAGGCTCTCAGATTCTTCAGATGAGACTTTTTCGCGATCAAAGTGAGTTGGGCATGCCGCGTCACCATGTAGTCGCCTTGACGGACACTTGTTCATCTTCGGTACCTCCCGTGCCAATTAGACGAGATGATCAAAATCAGAGCAGGGACAAGAAGGCGGTCGCACCACGGTCACTTCATCGCAGCCTCGAAATCATTCTTCCGCTCGATCGTCGATGGGACAAGGACCTCTTCGTATCGACTGCTGCGTCGTGAGTTGCCGCAAAGCCCGAACAGGTTATGTTAGGTGGCTCGCAACTTCGTGCAGCTGACCATCGTTCTTCGGCCTCCTAGCTTTCGCGCGCGTGGCAGATCATTGAAGCATCAGGGAGACCAAAGACTACGGGAAGAGTCTACGATGCGCATCGGGAGCAGCCCTTCGAGCGCCGCTTGCATCGCGACATTTGAGCAGATGGACGCCGTCTTGCTGTACGTATACAGCTTTTGGTGCGAGGACGAAGCAGCGACTATCGACACTGGCACCCCAGGCGTTATCATCGCCGCGAATTGGAACACGATCTTTGGTCTTCTGAAGTACGTTTGCGATTGCCAGGAACGCAACGGGTTTCCCGCCCTTGCAGGACTTTGGTGAGTGCTCTCGCGTAGTGCATCTGCTGCCTCACTGTGCGCTGGCCGCTGACCCATCGTGTACGTAGCCGTCTCATTGAGGCGCTAGTTCTGCGGAAGGTCAGCGACAACGAGAATCGTTTGCTTCAGCGTCGCCTCGCCAAGCTGGTGGCATCGTCTGCTGCAATAGCAAATACTGGCTCAACCTATGTCGCGGCAGGACAAAGTCCATCCACCCCATTCGGAGACACAGCAGCGCCATCACCGGCCTCTCATCATTCCGCAGAAGTCCCACCGGGGGATTTGTCGTCCGCAATTGCCGATATCTCTAGTATTATGCGCAAGACGGTCGGCGAGTCGGAACGGAGTGCCAGGCTCTTCGCCCAAGCTAGAAATGCGCTGTCACCGTCCACCTTGCAGGATTCCTTCCCAGACGTCTGGCAAGCTTGCCTGGCTTCCTCGACCGTCATCGAGCCCGTAAGAGACGCCCTGCGCTTGAATCCGGAAGGATTTGGCTCATCGAGTTGCGTCACGGACGATGCTCCTAGTGCTCGATGGGCGTGGCCACTGGACCACGTCACCCCTCTCCCACATTACGTCAACTTCGGTCGCGCCCTACTCCGTGAAGCGGCAGCCCGGAAGAATCTCAAATTCCAGCTAGCTGCGATCACTTCCCATCGATCTTGATGCCTTGCATGCTGCACAACGACACGCTTGATGTGTCTTAGGCACACTGCAATCTGAGGACAGCACAATCAGCTGTTGTGCACGTCTGAAAACTGCCCTTGCACAGCTGCCACTATGCTTTCCTGGCTTCTCCAGCTCACCACGATCAAGGGGATTCCTGCCCGAGTTCTTCAATTATCTTCAGCACGCTCGACTCGTCTTTATCGTGATCTGATTCTCCGGCACGCTTCCAGCATCCTTCAAGAGAACCTTGTACTACTATCCGTTTCGAACGACGCCCGCACACACGCTTTTCTACTCTGTCATATGCCTGGTTATCATCATGCGCTCCGCCCTTCAACTTCATCGCTGCGCAACTCTTTGCACCGTCACTCATCCGATTCATGTTCCGCAACGAGGCCCTTCTGCAGGGAATTTATGGTGTTCTCGAGATCTGCTGTGTCCTGAGATGGGTCGCTGAGAGGATCGACGATGAATGAGCCTTCACTCAAACTGTTACTGTCGGCGTGCCTTTGCCGAGCAACGCGGACAGGCCGGACAGCTGCAGAGACTTTTGATTCCCTTCATACAAGCCGGCGCACCGTTGATGGTCACGAGTCGTGACTATAGTTCGTTCCCAAAAGCAGCACATCGCAGTCTCTGGGGACGTTCTCGAGGGCAATACATTGGGTCTCTGTAGCCTTCAATGGACTATGCGTTGGCGGACGATTTGACTGAGGATCAGGACGCGATGACGGCTTGCGGCTTAACGGTCTCACTCGTGACTGGCTCAGTGTTGAATGACAACTCGATCGTAAAGTTTGTCTCGCGACTGGCTGCGCTGCCATTCATGACGTCAATGACTCGCGTGGCCTTCATATAGCGATCTGATGCCCGAAGAGCAAAAGTCTCCGAACCACTCGACTTTCTCCCATCATACGCATTCAGGATGCACCCTGCTGGCTCGCGGTTTGGCGACCTTCTAGAAGGAACGGGGCGCGTCACCTGTGAATGCGTACTGAACTAACTTGATCAGGCTTTGCGTCGTGACGCTGGGTGACATTTCGACTCCATCCCGCAGGCGTGAAACGGCTCGCACACGCGACCACGTCGTACCGGATGATGGACGGAGGATAAATGTTCCATGGCGTGGCATGCGAGGTCTTACGAATCACTTCGGACGCTAAGCACTCAGACTGTTGCGAATGTTGGAAGCAGACACGTACGTATACATGCGGTCCATGCTTCCACGCTTGCGCTCGCCGTCGTGGTCTCAAGAGATGGGACTCAAGACTGTAGACACGTACTCGACCGGAACATTTGTCATCTAGAATGATTGCCGTTCCGCTGCGCGACTTGCGTGCTGGACGTCTACTTGTTCACATGGCTGTGGCCCGCAATTCCATCAAGACATCGACCTCTTGTCGACATAGGTGGCTCCTCCTTCACCATGAAGATGTTCACGCGGCTAGCTCCAAGCGAAGCGCGGCTTCGTATGGAGCCGCTGCAGCAGCTTCGCCACTGGCCGCGACCAACAATGCGAGTTCAACCACTCTAGGCCAGATTTTGAAAGTCCTCTGAACCGGCTCGGCCAGCAGCAATTGCCCTTCAAATCACGAATCACGAATGTGATGCGAGATGCATCAACGCTTGATGCTTGTGGGGTCGAGATCTTAGACACAGGGTGAAGCCTATTCGCACTTTGCCTTGGGAGGATCGACTTGTGGAACAGGAGGGCGACGGGATCGGCCGAGCGAGCACGAAGCTAAGCGACATGCACAAGTCAACGCCTGCACACACGACTTTGAAGCCAATCGTTCCAATCCATTTCGCTTCGGAAGGGGCCCATTCGACGTCGCATCCTTTTGCGCATGCCAGCTGCACCTCGATGATCTCGTCTCGAGGTTTGGTGACGTTGATATCGCTGTGCTGCTTGGCTGACGCACGATGTTGCACAGGACATGCTGGAGGCCCCTAAAACCCCCCCACTCAAGACTCTAGCTTAGGGGCTGCCGTCGGCTTCAAAAGCATGAGCGCAAGGGCCCTTGCAGCTGTGCAGGACTCACAACTTGCTTTCGCTCCCGCCTCACGGTCGCTTGCATTTCCTCAGGTTGCACGCCCCCCCCCCCCCCCCCTCCCGTCCCAAAAGCTGGACGTGCAGAGCTCACTGGGGCGTGAAAAGATCGACAGCTCGGGGTGTCACCTTGCATTGATTGACGGGACAGGACACAGCACCGGCATTCTTAATTGCGACTCTGCTGCTGTTCGTGTGTATGGACATGTCAGAGAGGCGCTAGCGCGAGCGGAAGCAGATCTATGCGAGATGGAATGAGGAACACGGGCTCCAAGCGGCCACATTCACCATTCGTGATTCGCGTGGAGGTGTGAAGAGCTGGCTTTCGAGGCGGACTGCACGTGAAGCACGCACTTGAGAGCTACCTACACGGCTTGCTGGCTAGAGAGCTTCAGCGACGCAAGAGATCAAGGCAGGTGCGAGTCACGAGTGAGGGGACTGGCCCTATCAGAATGACGAGCATTCCACAATTGAAGTGACCGAGTTGCCAAGGGTACACAACCGTGACTGCCTTTCAACAAACAAGCGCTGCTCGGGGCAGGCCCATCCGCATGATAGCGGCAAGGAACGCCCGCGCGCTTGAGCGCTATGATTGGCGCGCGGTACAGCTAGTACTTGGCTCGTATGTGCATGGCGCCGCAAGCGATCATTCACAACCAAAAGTCACATCGTGTATCTCGAGCTCGCTAACGATCACGAGATGCAATCGCGATCAGTCACGAAACAGAGAATGACGGTGCTTGCACAAAACGCCGCGCGTGGCTTTGTCGGCCCAGCTGAGACGCGGACTGCAAGGCTCGCGGCAAATTGCACGCTTACTCGACGATAAAGAGACGCATGCAGCAGGTGCTATTTCAGCTTAAATTGCTGCTGTACAGTCACGAGTGGGCAGCAAGCTGGCCCGAGCCGTGCAATCAATCGTGAATCGTTTGATTCTTGATTCTCACTCTGATAATTGACGTACACCATTCGTGATCCCGAACTATAGTCGCTCCTCACCGCATCTTTCGCTCCTTTCTCCGAGCAGCAAGCATCCATGCAATCTCGATCGAGTATGTGACGCTTGCGGTGACTTCGCAAGGTTTACACGCGCCAGGCGCTCTGAATCGATGAGGTCTATCAGTGAGATACGCACCGCGGTACAGGTACACTCGTAAGCACCGCAGTGCGCACATCGAGAGGTCTAGAAATGCCTCCGCGGGTCCGTGGATGACATGTTTGGTCAGCCAGCTCGCTTATTCATTCTCATCAGAGCTTTCAACACAGCGGGCGCGCAACACGGACAACTCAGCAACGGCCGCCTCAATTGATGGAGCTGCAGGTGCCATGCATATATGCATGCAGCTTATAGGTGAACGCCATTTCCGCGTGCTGCGTGAGTTCCTGATCCAGGAGAACGGGGGCCCGTTGGATGCGAAGCGTTTTGATGAACTTCTTTCAGAGCTTGAAATCACCTTTTGGGATTGCAACGAAAGCAAGAGACGCTCCTCGTTGGCCTGCCTTCTACTCAAGCTGAAGCTTATCGCTGCTCACCGATTGCGTGAGATATGCCAAGCTGGGTCGACGATGAGCGTTTCGACTCCCTTGAGCACGCAGTGACTTACATTCACGTGATTCGAAGACTTCGCAGCCCCCGTAGTCCGCGGACCACAGTCACATCAGTATAGTCATGCAGACTTGATGCGAGTGCTTCTCGTCACGCGTGTGAAATCCAGCGCCGAGCCTGTTTCAACACCCGGCGCTGCAGCAATTGAAACTTGCTGCATGCATGGCGGGTGCGGCTGCCAGAAGGTCGTCAGCTGTAATGGGGCACTTCACCGCACTTTCTATTCGCGCGCGCAGCCGGCTGATCCGCGATTCGATAAGTTGCTGCGCTGCAGCTGATGGGCTGATACCGTGACGCTGTGTTGTGCTGCTGCTGCTGGTGGTGCTGCTCTTGCGGCGTACCAAGCGCACCAGCACGCCCATATGCAACCGCGGAGCTTGGGCCTTTTTCTCTCCGGAGTCCTCCGTCACCGCAAGCTCTCAGTGGCCATGCTGCTCGAGACGTGTCTGGATAATAAGATTGTCTGCTTCGCGGCGAGCCAAGCGGCCTCAGTCGGACTAGCTGCATTCGCATCCAAGGATTTCATTTGTACAAGGTGATTCACGTCTAGCTCCCAATGTGCCTATTCTCCAAGAGGCATTCCCTCAATCTAGATTCTAGATCCCTGCTGCCAGGATCGTTTCGAATTTGCTCACCGGTCCCGGACGCGTTGCAATCGATTCCTTCATATTTGATTCCGCTCTCCCCGCGCGTCGGGGCGCACAGTAGCCGGTTTTGAAATGACCCAAGGGTGAGCGTGAAATCAAGTCAAGCTGCGCGTCTAGCTTGTTGAAGCTCGCTGCTGCTGCTGGGGGTCGTCTGCAGGTACCTGCGCTCCATACCAACCGCATGGCCTACGTCGCTATATCGCCTCACACATGCGCGACATGGCCCACAGAGGGTTGTTGCGTGCTCTCTCTCGGCAATTCGAACCACAACAGTCCGTTCAGCCAGCGCTCTAATCACGACTGGTCAAACGACCGGTCTCGCACATTCCCCGATCATCAGCCGGTCTTGGTCAGCCTTCTGAAAGCCACTCCGACCCCATCAGTCGCCCCTCACGACTTGAGCCCGCATGCTAGAATCTGCCATCATCTTCTCTTTCACCACGCTCATCAGAAATCGGTCTGCCACCAACGCGCGCGCGCTGGCCCGCCCAGCTCCACATCTTGCTGCTGATACCAGCGTGCTCCCCTTCGACACGATCGCGACTGGTGTCTCTACTGCACCGCCGAGGCTGAAGACCACCGAAGGGCCTTCTGACTGCAATCGGTCATCCTGCTGCCCACGTTTCCTTTCTCTGCCACCACCATCATCTCCTAGGTGCGCACGTATAGGCTCTTCAGTCACCCAAAGTATCGCTGTGTGCATATATAGACGACACCGTCGACCTTCTACAAGCTTGCGCGAATTTGCTCTGTCTGAGTAGGTGGAATCCTTGACGATCTTCCGGGTAGCCTATTCTGGAAATCCTGCAAAGTGGCCAAGCTTGGTCGCACGTTACTTCCGACATTCGAGCGTGCGCGAGCATCGGTCTTGCTGATCTTGTGAGTCATAAGGCCGGGAATGTGCAGTGCGCAGTTGCAATCCCTGCGACTGACCGTGCTGCTGCCCCTCACCGTGCTAGTCAACGGCGAAGCGCGGTGGCTGCCACAGACAGCGGTGGATCGCCATCGCTGAGGTTCAGGCATGTCATCAACCCTCACCTCCATCGCGCATTGGCCATCCACCTCCGCCGCCTCAGGCTCGGATGCCTCCCACTGGCATGCATCGACGAGCCGCTCTGCCATCCAGCGTCCGAACCATCGCTCGCCATTAGGCTCCGCGCCTCACTCGCCTATTCTGGACGCGATGCCAGACGGAGCCGGTAGGCGAGATGTGCGCTGTGCCCCAGGCCATTCCGCTGGCCCCGGGCGATCAGGAATTCAGGATGCGCAGCATTGGCACCCCAGCAACGACCTCGATCTGCATCATCTTGCTGTTGCAGGTGCCATCGAGGCAGCTGGGTACCGAAGTGGACAGTCTTCGGGTCGTGGGACGCCTAGGCTTACTAGTCCAAGCCTGCGGTCACCGCAAATAGACTTTCCGGTCGACGATGAGGCCGCGTCGCCAGTGTCGACAGGCACTCGATCACCGCATCGAACACGTCGGCCGGTGAGCATGAGCGCAACAAGTGGGCCCTCACGTTCGGGCAGCAACTCTTCCAGCTCGTCTCGAGACCAGTGGTGGGAGAATGTGTTGCCACCGGGTCAGCTTGCCGAGCGCCTGCGTCGCGCGCAGACCTCACAGGCGCAGAGCGGACAAGACAGCGATCAAACCGTCACGCATGCTGGTGCATCTTCTCTACAAAGATCAAGTCGCACGTTGTCGGAGAAAGCGATTTGGTCTGGACTCGCAAAGCTGGCGCGCACAGCAGGTGACCCCGATCACCTCGCTTCAGACCACGGCTACCCTGAAGGTGCGTCGCGCAAGTCAGCCACGATTGGTCCTGGAGTCCAGCGCAGTGCGTTGCGTAGGCCTCGCGTGACGGCCGCAGGCAGCCTCAAGACGCACGGAAGCTCTCGATCCGATGTCGGCGAGCTATCTCCCAGCGACGGCTCCACCCTCAGTGACACCGCTAGCCGGCAAAGCAGCCCCGTGGAACCAAATGAAAGCGCCAGTCGTCAAGAGCGCAGCCCTTCGCTGACTTCCTCAGGCGAGGACCGGCTGTCATCCTCTCCACGCTTGGGAGCCCTCCAAGCGTCGCGGGTTGGCTACGGCGCCTCTGCCTCCAACGCCGCGTACCACCAGAAAGGCCGCACTAGTCAAAAGAGCTTCTCGAGAAGCACCAGCAATCGTCGCTCGAGAGTGATGAGCGAGGATGGCTTGGGCTTGACATTTGCCCAAGAGGCGATGCGCATGGGACCAACCGCTGCCGCTCTGGCGCGTTCCAGCAGCGACGAAGGGAACGAGCAAGCTGGGCGACTCGCTCCCTCGCCTTTTGTGGAAGATCAGGCCACACGCCACGACGAAACTTCTCGATCACTCCTATTTCCTCTTAGGTACCTTTCTTCCACTCCTGACATGAGCTCAGAGGAGGATAAGTCGGACTCGAGCAGTCATCGTCATTACAGGTTCCAGCAGACGCCTTCGAGCTCCGGCACAGTAACGACTACAACGACGCGCGTCACTCGTACTCGCACCACGAGTGTGGCGAGTTTTGCGGACGACATTGATGCAGTCGACCGCGCTTCTGATCTGCGACCGGTCGAAGATTCAAAAGTTCGCCGAAGGGTGAGCTTCAGTCTGGACATAGAGCCTCCGGCGGGACGAAGCGTTCCTCCAAGTCGCCGCGGATCCCTCACGAATGTCAAGTCCTCACTTAAACCTTCTGCGAGCGTGCCCAGCGGCTCATTGCTTGCCGACGGCGCCGTGGCAGCCGCCGCTGCAGCTGCAAGGCGCAGACGTAACGAGTCAACATTCGACAGCTTGCCGCCCTCTCGCACCTGGTTTGCGGGTCTAGACCACCGACCTAGCAGCGGGCGTCGTCTTCGAACTGTCTCTCGCGATTCCTTTGGCGCGAGAATGCCCTCTTACTCTGCTCCGTCGAGCCCCCGGCTGTCGGTGCATCTGCTGGACGCGGAAAGACCCCCGCACCATTTCGAAGATGAACAGTCTGACGACACTTTTCCGTTTTCACGCGGTCAGCGTAGCTTCGCTGCTACTTCGCTCGACCAAGGAGGCCCCATGCCCGACATGGCTGTATTGCATTCGCTCAACATAGCGCAGACTCAGCTGGCCAGCGCGGGAAATCTTGCGCTTACCTTGACGCGACAACTATCGGCGCCCTTGCGACCAGTGTTGCACGTCACGCTCTTCGTGAGCATTTCGACCATCACGCTGATCACCTTGCTCGGCTTCCTTTGCGCGTCGTACATCCTCTCTGTCTGGGACGACCTAGGCTCTCGCAGTCGGAGCGTGGGAAGAGCTGCTGGAGACGCAAGGCGAAACATCGAAGGCGGTCTGGGATGGGGACGGCGGATGCTTCTCGGAACTCATTTGGCAGTAGAGGAAAACTCTGCCGGCTCGTCTGAGGAGACTTCTGATGCAAAGTTACACCAAACTACTACAACCCACGCACCTCGAGCCAAGACCTCGCCTTTGTTCTCTTCTCCCTTTGCCCTCGCCTTTCCATCTCCAGCAGCTTTTGCAGCCAAGTTGGCTCCTTCAGCTTTGGCCGAGCGCTTGGGTGTGGAAGTAGACTACCAACCCCGGCGCCGCTCGTCTGGCACCCCCGTCTCGCCCGACTTCTCGAGCAGCTCTGGGTCGACTTCTCGCCGGGCTTCTTCCGTGTTCCAAGAAGAGGACACGTACGACAAGCCAAGGCGGCCAAGGTCCTCCACGCCACCTCTGCCACCGCGTCCACCGCTATCTCATCTGGTGCCTTCCATTCTTCTCACCATCTTGATCGCGCTATTTGCCAGCTTTACGTCGTACTTGACAAACAAGCGCGCTGCGGAGGCGGCCAGTCAAGGTCAAAAGCACTTTGGAACTGCATCTTCAGAGCCTATGCCATCGCGCAAACCTCGACCCGGTGGTCACAGCTCAGCTGCCGCAACGTCGCGATCTGGCTCCTTTGGCAAGTCAGCAGGTCGCCGTCATGCAGCACAAGCCGGTGGCGGATTTGACATTTACAATTGAGATTTCTGAGCGCGCTGCAGCACTCGTCGGTATCTTGATGCAGTTGCACGCTTCAGCAAATCAAGGGGTGTTCGAGTAACAATTGCAAGATCTGTCCACGTTGTTCCAGCGCCTATGACCACCCCTCCTGCAACACCCTCGTTCCTGCGCACTTCTTCATTTACAGGGCTTCCTACCAAATCATGTCCGGACGTTGATCTACCTTCATGTATTGCTAGATCATTTTAGATCATTCACCCCAAGTATAATTCTCACCGCTTGATGTCGCGCCCTCTCTGCAAGTTGAGCAACACGTCCTGAGGCGCACAGCGGAGCCCTCGGCGCTGGACAAGGGTTCGTGAGGTAGGTTCATGGTGTGCGATGCAACGTGGGCTACGCCCTCTCGAAAAGCCTTGCATTGATGGTGCACTGCACGCATTGCCATGTTGCTGGAGTTCGCAAGCGGATGGCAGCGCTTCGGGACAGTGGCGGGGTGCGGGTGCGCGTGGTTTGTGGAGCGCCAGTGACGAGGCGTCATAGCGGCGGGTGTCAGGACTCGGAGACTGATGGGTATCAGCAAGTGCGCCAGCTGATAGATGCAGCCGACCTGTCCGAGGCCAAGGATGGTCGTTGGGTGGTTGCTGCGTGAAATCTACGCATGATATGGTCGCTAAAGGGCGTGGGACTGACAACACTGCATCGCGTCGAGCACCCCCATCATGGCGATGAGGCGAATCGCTGGGAATTTTCATGAGGGCCGCTCTTGCTTCGCTTTCGTTGAGTCGAGGGTTGAATTGCTCGATAGCCTGCGCCAAGGAATGTGCGGGACCAGAGGGGGGGGGAGGAGACTTCAGCATGAAGCAGGCAGGCTGGCAGCATTTGGTAGCTCGTCAGGGGGTGTCAGACGGTCCATTCCCGACTCACCAATGTTCCCAATGCCCTTCGACCCTCGCAGCCGTGTCTCTAGCCCACGCTTCCGTTCCCACCGCACCTCTAAACTCTGGATGTTGCAGCGCGTCCAAAAAGTAGAGCGCGTTGGGATAACGCAGGAAGCGAGCGTACTCCGGTTTGCGCCAGGTGGTGTGAAGGTGTTGCAGGTAGCGAATGAATGTCGGATCGGCGAGTTGGCCTGATTGGGAGAGGTGCACCAGATAGTGGGGAGATGCGAGGGCGGAGAGCGTTTCGAGATCCGACGTGAAGCGATGCTGGTTCACTGCTCGATGATATTGTTCCGCTAGGCTTCGTTCTTGAGCACCTCCTGGCTGGCTGCTGGACGCCTCCAGCAAGGGGATGTTGGACATGTTGGAGTGGGGGTGATGTCTGGCGAAGGAGGTAAAGTGGTGCTCGAATGTTCGCCCTGGCCCATTGACCGTGTTGCGAAAGACGGATTGGATGATGAGGCGCGGGCCGATTGCTGCTCGATCGAATCACGAATGCACTCCACCTTTGTCAACGCTTGAGCAGCTTGGAAGAGGTCCAGGCAGTGCAAAGAAGAGCCCTTCTTGTCAGTACTTTGACTTCTCCTGAATACTCAAAGTCGCTCATCAGCTCACTCAACGTCGAGCGCTCAGAGGTCAGAGGAGGGGCAAGCGCCTTGACTTGATTCAGAAGTCAAAGCTTAATTGTTGTGAGCCAGACTCGTTGCGAGCATCAGCTTGGGAGAGGATCGACTCATCAAGGCGTAAAAGGTGAGCATAGACGCATCACGTCACGTTCACGTGACCGCTAGGCCGCTACCTACCGAGGCTGAATCAAGAATTCGTGATGTGATTTACGATTGATTATCGAGCCCGTGGCGCTTAGTACCGGAGGTACACCTGCAGGTTTATGTACAGAAGTGTGTATGTGTAAGTAGCGGCTCTGCTGAAGGTGATGGTGATTGCCCATCCAAGGATCTCAATCAAGGCACAATTTGACTTCTTTGGACCCCTTAAAGGTGGGACTCCATGTTGACGGGACTCATCGTGGTGGCTCATGCTGACTGTGGACTCGTGACTATTGACTGACTCAAGACTCGAATCGCTGTGTGCGTAAATATCATGACCACGTGCTTGCTTGATTCATTTCGCGCCGAGCGCTTGCGCCTGCTGCGCGGTGCCAGCAGGCGGCTAGCTGCGATCGCGCACACATGCAGCTTTTCGCTTCAGCTGTGCTGATGCCTGAACCTCCGCTGGCGCAGTCAGTCGCGCATTGGCGCGGCACTGGAGCACAGCTATACCCTCGCGGCACCCCACTCAAAGCTACATAAAGGCGCATCCTGCTGGCTCGTTCGCTCAACCGCCCTCGCGACGCGCCCGCGTGCACCCATCAGCTCACATCCTCCTCTGCCGCCCCCGCGCTCTCCTCTTGCTCAACTCTCGAATTTTTTTTTTCCTTCTCGAAGAAGAAGAAGAAAACGCGCCGCGCCGAGCCGCGCCGCGTCGCGCGAGCCAGCAGCCTACCGCGCGTAGACACAAGCAGCAGAACCGCGTCTCGTGACTTGTGACTTGGTTTTTGCTTATTTGCGCGCGGGTCACCCAAATACGCGCCGCGCGCTTTGGCCCACAAAGACGCGCTGCTGCTGCTGCACTGTGACTGATCGATCGAGAGACGGTGACCGAGTGAGTGAGTGGGTCGCGTTCCAATTCCAGTCGCGCTCGCTTCATCAAGTTCGGCCGGGACATCGCCACTGATGTTTGGTGCATGACCTAATCTTCCTTGACCACCACCATCATCCTCTCACCATCACGCTCCCTTTGGTCAGAGCACAACCTCATCATCGACCCTCTTCGTTGCGAGTACACGCCGATCAGGTTCAAGAAGTGACGCTAGGGTACCCCGACTCGATAGCGACCAAGCCTGCTACAAGCTTGGCTCTCTGTTCCAATGCCAGCGCTGGACACATCTGATCTGCCAGTCGATCCTGTCCCTCGTTCCAACGGCGGAGACCACGCCACCGAAAGTAACGGAGCAGTCGAGCTGACCAAGGTAGTACCTGAGAGCAGTGTGCCAGCTCCAATTCCCGCCACGGACTCGATCTCCCATCCACAGCAGCAAGCTTCAGCGGACACTTCAGCTATGGATACTGATCTGGAGGTTGCAAAGCCTGTGGAGGTTGCAAAGGGGCCGGAAGAGGTGGAAGCGAAGCCGGCCACAGGTGACGCCGAGGGTCACATCGGATCGAATGGGGTCGCTGCACCGAAGACGAAGGCGGAAGAGACAGATGCGACCGGCGGGCCGACCAGCGAACCCGGCGCGCTTCTGTCCTCTGGTGAGTAGACCCTGACAGCGCCTTGTTTACAAGCGCCATCAAGCGCTGACGTCACGCTTGGCCGGCATGCTGACCAACCTTTAGGCCAAGAAGTGCCAGCAGCAGTTTCGGACGTGAAGCCTCCTGCAGCGCCGCCTGCCGCCACTGAAGCGCCTGCCGACTCTTTGCTCGAGGCTGGAGATGCGTCAGCAGAGGACCAAGGACTACGGAAGCCTGACACTCCAGCTGATCCCGTGTCTTCGTACGAAGCTGGAGCCACTACGGGTGTGCCTCCGATAGCCGAGGGGCCCATTGCATCCCCGGCTGTGCCGCCTCCACCGGCACCCGAGCCAGCAGCGCCCGCGGAGCCTGGTGCAGCTATTCCGCCCGCCTCGGCTGCGCCCGGAGCGCAGGCTCCACCAGTTCCACCTCCTGCCAGCAGCCCAGTTGCAGATACAGCGGGCAGCGACGCATCTGGCAGTCAGGCTGCAAAGCGGCACAGAAAGTCAACGACGCATTTTGCTGAGCCAGGGGTGGTCAATACTCAATTGGCGCCTGCCGATCTGGTGGGAATGACGGCAGCTCAGATCAAATATGCGCAAGCAGCCATCAAAACGTTGATGAAGCGAACGGAAGCTTTTGCATTCAACGAGCCTGTCGATCCTGTCGCTGCAGGCATTCCAACATATTTGGACGTGGTGAAACGGCCGATGGACTTTCGAACAGTCGATCACAAGTTGAACTTTTCGTCGGCCGCGCTGCAGCGAAGGCCAAACGACAAGCTCATAGCGGGAGCCAAGGTCGGGCTAAACCCGTCCAAGGACGTGTATGCAAATGCGCAAGAATGGGTGGATGACGTGCGACGCATCTTTAGCAACTGTCGTCTGTTTAACGGCGCCGAGCACCCTATCTCTCAGTCTGGCGACACGCTCGAGAACCTTTTCAATGGGCAGTTGCCAAAATTGCCAGCCGCAGATCCGCCTCCACCTTCACCTTCGGTGGCCACCGCGTCGAGCAGCAAAGCCAGGCGACCCTCCAACGCTGCGCCAGCCGCGCGCAGATCATCTGTGGACGATGGAACGGGAAGGCCGAAGCGCGAAGTCCACGCACCCTCCCGCGAGCTGCCTTGGCAGGACGAGCCAAACAAGGGCGCGTCTACGGGCACTCGCCCACGCCGAACCACGGGAAGTGCGCGCGAAGAGGCTCACTACACCAAAGTCAACGCGGATGAGCTCAAGCACTGCACCAAGGTCATCACTGAGCTTCTGTCCCAGCCGACCATCCAAAACTACGCTTGGGTCTTCAACGACCTTCCAGCACGGGATCTCGATTTTGCTCCAGCGTACTACAAGATGATCAAGAAACCCATTTCTCTCTTCATGGTCTCAGAACGCGCAAAGGCCAAAGAGTACGAGTCGCGGGCCGAGTTCGAATCGGATATGAACCAGCTTTTCAAGAATTGCTACACATTCAATGCTCCTGGACACGATGTCTACGTCTTTGGGCAGAAGCTGCAAGATGTATACAACGAGAAGATGGCGCGCATGCCAAAGCACAGATCGCTCAGCCCCGAGGAGGAAGACGATGACGTCGACGCTGAAGCGGATGAGGACGAGGAGGAGTACGAAGAAGAGATGGGTGAGTCGTCCCGTTAGTGCAGACTTTGCGAGCCCACAACGTCCTGAGTCGGTCCTTTGCTTCAAATTCAGATGAAGACGCAAAGATCCGGGCCCAGATTGCCGCGTTGGAAGCCAAGTTGCATAAACCCAAAGGCAGCAAGAGCTCGAAGTCGGCTTCTGTTGGCGCTGGAACTTCCAAGGGAAAGAAGAGGGCCGCCTCTGACATTGCTGGAGGTGCCGTTCCTGCGGGTGCAGCGTCCAAGAAGAAAGCTCCGCCAAAGAAGGCCGCTGCAGCCCAGCCTGCAGCCGCTGTCGAAGCCTCGCCAGCAGCAGCCAAAAAAGCGAAAGCTGCACCAAAGAAGAAGGCTGCGCCGCCCAGCAAAAAGTCGAATGGGGTAGAGGAGGAAGTGCGCACGGTGACGTATGAGCAGAAAGAGGAGCTAGCTGCGAAAATTACGCAGCTGCCCGACGACAGGCTGGACGGGGCGCTGAAGATCATTGCGGAAGACAAGCCGCAGAGTTCGACGGACGACGAGGAGATCGAGCTGGACATCGATGATCTTTCGCCGCGCACGCTCTATAGGCTCTACAGGTACGTCGTTCGTCCCAAACATAAGAAGGCTACCAAATCTTCGGCGGTGGATGGACGCAAACGTGGTACGGGAGGTGTGAAGCGAAAGAATTTGGACGAAGATGAAGAAGCGGATAGGATCGCTCGTCTACAAGCCCAGCTGTCCCAATTTGATAATCCCGATGCAGGTAAGTGGGCAAGAGCAGACTCTCTGTGCCGATCATGTTCGCCTCGATGGTGATGCTCAACAATTTCCCCCCCCTCCCTCTTTCCTCTCCACAGCTGCGTCAGCCCCCACAAGCGGTGGACATGCAGGCGCCCACGATGATCACGTACAGTCCGAAAGCTCTGACGAAGGATCAGAGAGCGAGTCTGAGAGCGACTACTAGTGTGGCAAAAGGGAACGTGCGGGCTCGATACAGAAGACGATCTCATGTCTGCGCGTCTCTTTTGCAATGTGCCACCTCGATCGTTCTGCTCGTGATGGCGCTCTAGTGCTGCCAACGACTGGGTGGAACGTCTTAGGTGCAAACAAAGGTCTAAATTCACTCACTACTACGCCAGCTCCCGCTCTTTGTCCTGTCAATGCCCGCGGCTGTACTCTATCCCCCCCCCTTCTTTTTCACATGGTGCAACCCTGCCTCCCCTATTTCCCGCCATTTTTCTTCCTACCCGCCTGTCCTTTGTTCTTGTCACGTTCTGATGGCAAATAACGTCAAATTCTTGCTTGCTTTGAAGCATCGAGATCATTGAGCGACCTCGAGATGGAGGCGATGAGCCTGGACAAACGAAAACACATCGGACCGGCCGAGTCGTCGTCGTCCATGATGACTCGCAGGCTTCTCCTCCTCATTTCGCGAGCGACGTGGATCGGTCAATTAGTCAAGAGGAAAGCGTGAGGGTCGTGCCTCGCAAGGATCAATGGGCATCTTGCGCGACATGTTTGTGAGATGGTATTCGATCGTAAGGGTGCTCGAGCGTACATCTGCGATGGGACGCTGGACCATCTAGCAAAGAACGAGGGAGGGTGGCAAAGCGCTAGAGCAAGCCATGTCTCTTTTGACAAGATGCGCGCTCTTGTTTTCTCTTTCCCCATCTTGCATAGCGGGGGGGTTACATTGAGGCATCATTTACCATCGAGAAGAAAGATCGTCACTTGGGACCGCCTAGACTCGTAGGCTTGTACAGCAGCTCTGCTTTGCTCTGCTCCTCAGCTGGGTACCTCCCCTCTAGATGCGGCCGCCTTCACAGGTTCTGCGCATGGTGCGAGATGCGCGAAGAGGTGCCAGTACTCAGCTCGTGTCAGCAAAGACGAGGGTAGTAGCGCCGCTACAAAATTTGCCTACTCGCGCACACTCACCGAAATAAGCATGATTCATGGCTTCTTGAGCAGTCAACCTTTCGGCATGATCGTACTTCAAGAGACTGTCCAAAAAGTTGATGGCCTCGTTGGATACGTATCGCTGATTTTCGGATGTGATGAACCTTGACCAAGGTTTGCGTGTGTAGCTTTTCGACGCAGGGATGTGAGGGATGGATAAGCACAAGGCCGTGTCGTGCAGGAGGTACGAGCTAGCGCAAAGGCTGATACGCACCGGCCAAGAATTTCGTCGTATTGGGGATCCAGCTCGATATCGTACTTTTCGAGATAGGTATACAACTCGTCCGTACCGAGCACCTTGCAGATCTTGACCAGCTGATCATAATTATCATGCCCGTGGAAGAAAGGCTCCTTGCGGAAGATCTGCAAAAGGACGGAGATGGCCAGTCGAAGGCGAAGCGTGAGCAGAACGTCTTTGCTGAAGACTGCGCCCACACCGCGCGTGCGTACTCACCATGCTCGCAAACATGCAGCCCAGACTCCACATGTCTAGTGAGTAATCATACTCTTGGAAGTCTACTAGCAATTCTGGTCCCTTGAAGTACCTCGATGCGACACGAACATTGTACTCTGTGTACGGGTGGTAGAATTCCGCCAATCCCCAGTCGATGAGCCGCAACTGAAGACAGCGGCAGTGTGAAAGAAAGAAAGAGGTATCAGCAGCTGTCAGAGCACCATCCACGCTAAACCTGGCGGCTCCTTTGCTGCTACTTCGCTTGGCGCCCTCTGCAACTCACCTGGCGCTTCTCGTGGTCAATCATAACATTGTGCGGCTTTACGTCTCTATGCATGATGCCTCGCGAATGAGCAAAGTCGAGCGCCTGAGTGGAATCAACAACCAATCTATCAGTGCCAAATTTTGACGCTGCGGACCGCCTTCGACTCGCGCTGCCTGCACGCACCTTGAGCAACTCGTAGATGTAAAAGCGAACGTCAAAGTCTGTGAATTTGGGGTAGAGCGTCTTGAAATCGGTGTTGTTGACGTATTCCATGACCATCGAGGGAGTCTTCGACTGCGAATGTAAAGTGGCAGGCATTCGCTGGTCAGCGCGCGAGTGAACGCGAGCTTTGCAATGCCCCGGCATCGGCGGCTCTCTTGACCTTCATCGACGTTGGCAGCATCCGTCTCAACCTCGCCCATTTGTGCGCGACTCGACCGGAAGTACTCACCTGCGGGTCCCTAACAACGTCCAACAAGCCAACAACATTAGGACCACCGGCCAAATTTTGCAAGATTTTGATTTCTCTCTTGATCTTTTTCTTCTTTACAGGTTTCAACACCTTGATGATGCATTTTTCCGGTCCACCCGTGGCACCCAATCCGTGACCAGGAGAAGCACCAGCCCCTGACCCTCCGCCGACCGCGGTGCCTGCTACATTTACACCTTCAAACACTTCGCTGTATTTGCCTCGCCCGACTTTGCGAAGAATTTCGTAATTATCTTGTGTGCCCCTGCGATGTGTGATGAAACAAGGCGCATTGCGTCAGTAATGGCAATGGAACTCGGATATGAGCACGAAAGCGCATATTTCACGCACCATTGCACCACGAGGTTGTCTGAAACGAAAGGAGGCGGGAATGACGCGCAAAATCAGAAAAGTTCGGGCATTGGCAAGGCGAGGCTTGGCTGAGAGTTCCAAAGCATCATCGAAACTTGTTCTGGAGATTATGCATGCCACTTTTGGGGATTCGATGGGCAGGAACATCGTCGCGAGAAGGTGTGCGCTTCTGTTGATGGCTGTCTTACTCGTGCCACAAGTTCCACATGCTGCCCCAAGTGATGTGTGCGATGCTGTTCACATTCATGAGCGCTGTATGTCTGCCCCAATCTTCCGGCACGAGGATGTGCATCGTACCACATAGCATAAAAACGCGCTCACCCAAAGGTTGAGCCAGCCGAGCGAAGCGAAGCAAAGCAAAGCAACTCACCGTAATCCCACCACTGCCTGCCAAACTTTTCGTTGGCACCCGCATACACCCTGGCTACGCTCCGTCCGGGAACAGCCGTCATACTGCTCTGACGCCTATCTCGACAGGTTCGATTTGAAGCACCACGATGGACGACTGAAAGCGTGACGCGACCCAGCGGTCTGACCGATTGCGCTGTAGCTGAGAGTCAAGGTCACCGGCTGAACCTAGTGGGTTCCAAGATGAGCTTCAGCGACAGCTCAGTCGAATCCCGGAGCGGAGCGTCGTCGTGTCTTGAGGATGAAGCAGCGCTGCCTCTCACGCTGTGCGAAAGAAACGCTGGGGGCCCAAAAGAAAGTGGCGGGAGGGAGCTCGGAGAGGGCGCTCGGCTTGCGACTTCGGAAGAATTTTGAATGTCTCTACTTCGTGGTCGCGGGACTCGTGACCGTGCTTTGTGAATAAAACCGGCGCTCAATGTCAAGAGCTCGGGTCGAAAGAGGGCGCTGAGGAAGAAGGAACGGTGTCGAGTCGAGCTTACAAGAGGAACGAGGTGAGATCGATGACTTGAGCCTTGACTCGCAGCTCCTCCCAAAAGAGGGAGATTCCACTCACATTCAGATTTCACCATTGGAACTCACGACTGCTGTGTGACTCTTCGACTATAGAGCCTACTTACTCACCACTCACCACTGTGACTTTGACTCGACCGCCGCCTGCTGAGCATCAATCGATCGCTTTTCAGCGAGCGCAGACGCAGAACACGCGCGCACGCACGCACAAGCATGCACAGATCCTGCCATGCGCTCGGACGTACGCGCGGCGCGCGAAAGAAAGCTTTGAACCGCGCGCACTGCTGCTGATGCGCTGGGCCGGGATCCCTTTTGCCGCGGTAGCTTTTGCTGCGATGCAGCGCGGCGAAGGTATTGGTTTAATTGCATCATCAGTAATTAAATCGCTTGATTTATGCGTCACACTTTCACTCTGCGCGTTATTTCGATTAATCTAACTATTTGTAGCTCGTGTAAGCATTTTTTTTCAATTTCGTATCAGCTTGCTCATGGTTTTGTACCTGCCTTGATCAGAAAGAGCATATCGTTCTTGATCACTGTAAGCCCAAGTTATCGTCCGATCATTAAAAATTCCTTGAAACCAAACGAAGAGTCAAGAGTGCACACGACCGAAAGTCAAGAGTCTTTTGGGTACCCAGACCCAACAAAGCCGATCGAGCCGTCAACTCGAGTCCTTCATTGCAAACTCGGAGTCGCTCTTGGGCCGTGATTCGCCATCTACAGCGCATACCACATCCAGGCAGCCCAGTCTTGCTGATCAAGGTGGCTCGATAACTGCAGCAGGAACGCATCGAACAGTTGATGCGCTCTCCCTTGCCTCACTCAACCTTCAGTGCGCTCGTCGTGAGCGTGAGCACAACTTGCTTTGCTCGGACCACCCTGCTTGAGATCACAGCCACCTCTAGCACTCCATAGCTGCCCACAACAAATCATGGCCGTCGCACAAGCAACTACTTCTGACCCTACATCACAGTCCGCCAACGGTAATGCGCTGTCGAATGGGGCTCACAAGGGCAGTGGAAAGGGCAAGACCCCTTTGACAAAGAATGCGAAGAGGAGAGCAAAGAGAAAGCAAGATGGGCATGATGTTTCGGAGAGCGAGAGCGATAGGGAGGCTGTGAGTGTAGCGTTTGCGCAGCGTATATCCTCGATCGTGTTGGCGCCGGACGATGCTGATCGCGATCCGCTGCGCCTCCTCGTCTCGCAGTCGGTCGCGCCCGCACCCTCTGCCAGCAATGGCAAGACGAACACGCTGGCTGGAAGCTCGACGGATGGCGAAGCTTCAGGCTCTCGCCCAACTCCCGCCATGTTCGACCTATCAAGCTTAGCTGAGGCGCCTGCTCCTGACGACCCAGCCTTCGCAGAGTTTCAGTCCGTCTTTGCGGCATTCAAAGGGGACGAAGGCGCAGAGGGTCAAGCTGGCGGAGTGGATGGGTCAGGTAATACCAAGGGAGAAGTCATCTACAGCGACGATGATCAGCTCTCCGACTCTGAAGGGGAAGAAGGGGCCGATGGGGCAGCAATAGAAGCGGCAGTACTTTCGAAGAGGAAACAAAGGAAATTGCAAAGGCTGAGCGTGGCCGAATTGAAGCAGTTGACCTTCAAGCCTGAATTGGTGGACCAGGCGGATGTGACTGCAAAAGATCCTCTGCTGTTGCTCCATTTGAAGGGCACGCGCAATGCCGTACCCGTCCCTCCTCATTGGAACCAAAAGCGGGCGTACCTGCAAAACAAGAGGGGCATCGAGAAGCCACCCTACCTGCTGCCGAGCTACATCGCAGCGACGGGGATAGCAGAGATGAAGGATGCGCTCAAGGAGAAAGAAGGGGATCAGAGCTTGAAAGCCAAAACGAGGGAAAGGGTACAACCGAAGATGGGCAAAGTGGACATCGATTATCAAAAGCTGCACGATGCCTTTTTCAAATTTCAACATCGACCTGACAGTCTGACTGGGTATGGCGAGACATACTACGAGGGCAAAGAGTACGAGACGAAGTTTACGCAGCGCAAACCTGGTGCGGAACTTTCCAACGAGCTGAAGGAAGCTCTTAGCATTCCTCCTCTTGCACCTCCACCTTGGCTCATCGCCATGCAAAGATTTGGTCCTCCTCCTTCGTATCCTCACATCAAAATTCCCGGTTTGAATGCCCCAATCCCTCAGGGCGCTCAGTGGGGCTTCCATCCAGGAGGGTGGGGCAGGCCTCCGCTTGATGAGTGGGGCATACCGATCTACGGTGATGTGTTGGGCACGGGCGAAGAGCAGACGAAGGAAGCTCAGCAAGCTTTCGAAGATGAAGTCAGGAGAGATCGGTGGGGCGAGCTGGAGCCTGAAGAAGAGGAGGAAGAGGATGAAGAGGACGAGGAGGACGAGGAGGATGAGCAAGAAATGGACCAAGATGCTCAGATACGTGAAGGATTGGAAACTCCTCTGCCAGAAGGGATGGAGACGCCTGGAGGTTTCCAGAGCGTGACCAGCACTGTGCCCGGCGGCTTGGAAACGCCAGACTTCATCGAACTCAGAAAAGGAGCAAGAGGAGCTTCGACCCAGTACGGATCAGAAACGCCGGAACAGCGAAACCTCTACCAGGTGGTTCCCGAACATCAGAATGTTCCAGGAGGCGCTGCGAAGGGCTTCATGCCCAGCGATAGAGGCTACGACTTTGCTAGTCTCGCTACTGCCGGTGATGGAGGTAACGTTCTGGGCAGGGAGGATCATAGAAGCAACAAGGTGAGCAGCACTCACGATCATGTGAGCGGATTGCATCATCTTTGCGTGGTCGCTCACCCACACTGTGGTGGTCACTTGCCTCTGTCCGTCGATGCAGCGCAAGGCGGACGACGTCCAACTGGCTCTGTCTCCGGAAGAGATGCAAGGACTCAGCAAGGAAGAGCTTCAAGCTCGTTACGACGCCGCGAGGGCAAAGAAGGGAGAGAAATTCAGGTTTTGAGCAGTAGGATGTCTCGGGCTTGAGGCATGCCGTCAATGTGAGCTGCTGTCACCTGACTAGTGGCCCAAGACTGGCCACGGACGATCTTCTCGCTCGCAATTCGATCGCATTTCGGATTGGTACGTTGGCCTTCGAGAATCACTGGTCTGCGACTCGGGGTCTGACGCCCACGAACAACCTGGCCCGAACCGCGTGCGGTGTCTTGACGCGACGGTGCCAAAGCCTGAGACTCGATGGTCGAGCGATGGTACAATCAGACGCACTGGCGCGATATGCAGCATATCGGTTGGTCGGTGAAAGGAAGGCGAAGCATAGAAAGATGGAGCAGGTGATTTCATTGGTGCGTCGCGACATTTTGAGGCCGCTCTTTATCGTCGGATCGCATCTTTGCTCCATTGAAAAGCTGCCTTCTTAGCTTCGCCGTCTTGATCGCCGGCATCATCTAGTGGAGGGCCTCTACTGGCAAAGCTGGCGCTCAGTTGCTGAAGCACCTCCTTTGGGTCCGTGGACTTGCCTTCTTCCGCAGCAGGCAAGAACATTCGAGCGTTAAATTCGGAGATCTCCGCAGCCTCTTGGTTTCGGGGAAGAACTTTTTCGTGAAATTCGTGCAGAGCGGTCTGTAGGACAGACGAGGCGTTCGCCTGGCCTCCCTGGCTGCTGGAGCGTGCTCGATACGCTCAACAACGCGTCGCAGAGGTCTGCACTGTCTGCCATAGCTTTGTTCACGCCTTCGCCTGCAAAGGGTGAAATTGCCAAGCGCGCATCTTTAATGACCACAATGCCCGTCTTGGAGTTGTCCTCGTTGAAAGTGATTCCACCAGCGACGTCCAGAGGTGTGATCATGAATCGCCGAATAACGGATTTGTGGTTGACATCTCCCTGCAGCAAGATGGAGCGAAGTCTGGTGGCATCCCTTTTGCCCTCCGGCAACAGCGAAGCAACCTTGCACAGCGATGTCTGCACATCGTCCTCCTCTTGCGGAAGGTGTGGATTGTTTGCGTCGATCCAGTCATAAGGTTGTCTGACCATTGTGTGTATTCTGCACAGCCCCGCATCACCTCTGGGACTTCTTGACCAGCCGCTCGAAGGTTGGCCAAATAATCGCGCGTCTCGGCAGAGGGATTGTTTCTTTGAATGACCAGCACCTCGGTCCCACCGACGGAAAAGCATAGACCTGCGCCCACCAACGAGTCGGCGAATCCTTCTGTATCATTTTGGAGAAGTCGCCAGCGTGGTCCGTCTTCGTCCTGCACGATGCGAGGAATGAGCAGGCTTTCGGCCCATGTGATGCCGTTGTACACCGGCGCAATAGACCAGTCTCTTTCAGACCCCTTTGCCCAGAACCGGGATGGAGGTCCAGTGTACCGCCCGCCCATCAACGAGCATCGAAGGATGCCTCGAGCTCGTAGACGCGCAAATGTGAGGCTGGTACACCTTTGGCCAGCAGAAGATTAGCCAACGTCAAGCCCGCGGGTCCACCTCCCGAGATGGCGACGTGGAATGGAAAGGGGTCAGAACGAGACACGGGGCAGAGTATGCAAAGGGGACAGGACTCGTGAGAAATTGGGGGAATCTGGAGCAATTTGACAAGGCGACGTTCGCTACGGCTCCACACGATCTGCGACAGATGTGTGGATGGGTATTTGAGCGCCGGCCAAGAGCCGGATTATCCGTTGATCGCCCTCTGCGACATCGTGGGTGTCACCACGGAGCACTGTACTGTGAGGATGAGTCTAGGCTAGCGCGTAGCAGACAACGCACTGCGCTATCCTCTGCAACCCGGCGGTTTGATGCGCGAGATTTCGAAGGTTGACAGCGGCAGTGTCATTGCTGGGCGCACACATGCCATGCTGCCTGCGCAGGGAGCTGTCAATTGTGCTTGCACGATGATCCCTCTGACTTTTGATGGTCTGCTGGGCACGAACGGCAAACAGTCGAGGGGGCTGGGCTTGTATTTATTCGACTCACGAATGAAGACCGCCCCCGCGTACCCATGCACGCTTCCACTCGCTCGGCAGGAAAGGCAAGAACGGGACAAAGAGCTCAGTCGCCTCTATTCGTCACATCCAATGTCACTGGCTGGGCGTCATACGTCGTACTGCTGGCAGCTTCGCCCCATAGACATCCAAAGCGGGTGCACGCCCGAGGATCATCCTGATTGAGCCGAGCCACGATATGAAGAGCTCATGATCACGGAAGAGGTCCGAGCTTCGGATCGTGAATTGAATGCAAGAAAGCCGCTTCGTAGAAGAGCAAGACTACTCACTCACTCATGACTGCATGGGCTGGTACAGGACAGCGCAGCCACCTGGTTGGAATCATTTCACAAATCACGAATGCACGGTCATCTTGAATCACGAATTCAATGATTCAAATTTGATCCCGTGCCCACGACTGCTGCTGATGCGCGGCGCGGTAGCAGAGAGTCATCAGAGTCACGTAAGGGGCGGTGCTGGCAGAGGAAGGTTTGCATGGCCGAGAGATCTCACGTGACTTGGTGGCGCACGGGCTGAACCGGCAAATCCGCGATGCACATCAGATGGGATCCGAGGTGGCGTTCAGAAGTCGTGCATATGCAAATCGGCAAGTCAGCACTTGGACAGAGCCGATATGAATTTCACAGCCCAGGGTGTTGAAACTGTGGCAGTCACATGGGAGAGACATTCAAAATTCACAGCGTTTGGGGGCAGTTGACTTTAGTCGCCGCAAAGCTCAAAGGGGGATCAAACCCCACTCAAATCGCGCCTCATATGCTGCAGGTCGTACGCCCGGTGCAGCAGGGTACTCGATAGCCGCGGTACGCCTGACTGCGCATTTCACGTGTGATTGATGCTGATAATACCGGCACTTTGTCGGACCGCGGCAGGCCTGGATCCAAGTCCACTTAATCGACCATCTGATTGATACACATGCATCAGCATCAACTTACTTGCGCTTTCCAACAATCATATTCACATCATCTTCAGCGTGGCCAAGGGCTCCACTTAAACTCATCGGCTCGAATACTATTGCACCTCTCCTGTGATTCAAAATCGCAATCCTCCTCATCAATTCTTAAGGCGCCGCCTCGCAACACATCTCAACAAATGGTCAGACGCGTTCGCAAGGAACAGTCATACTCACGACTGCAGCAGGCAACATGAACATCATGGAAGCATTACTGCATCCCATCGTCTCCATCTTTGCGCCTCTACCAGCTCTGCAACAGCACTTGACGCCGACCGGTAGGGTTCCCGGAGCAGCGCTTCGAGTCCCACTAGGAATAGCTCGCAGCATAGCCAACTTTTTCGCTCTTCTCCTGGGCACCCACATTCTCCTGACCATTCATCTGTACAGGATCATACCAAAAGCTACTTACGGGTCCGCAAACGCTCAAGGCGCGCAGTTGGAAGGCAATGAAGATCGCGATGGGTTCACGTATCCGACGCATCGGAGGCTTACTGCCGCGAGACAGAGACTTGAAGGGCCTACTGCGACCTTGAGGAGAGCGGTTCGAGAAAGGGGACTGCAGATGGTACAAGCGATGCAAAGTCATGGCGGGTTAGCTGCGTGAGTAGAGTGCAGAGCTCGTGCCCGCATGTCCGTGTTCGTTGGCTGATAATCTGACCATCTCTGTTGCCGCGGCCTTCAGCGCGCTCGTCACTTATCTGGAGCTCGCTCCCGAGACGCCGCAGGCCGTCTCGCCGATATTTGCTCGGCTGCCAAGCGAGATCATCACGCTGATCTTGATGTACGCGGCATCTCCTCAAGCCTCGGCTTCGTTGCCATCCACCATCGCCCAAGTCTCTTCGATTCATGCCTCGCTTCTAACCCCTCGTCTCTATCAGCACGTGCATCTCCTCACCCCTCGTTCCGTGCACCTTCTCCGACGAACGCTAGCGCTACACCGTCCAGATCTAGGTCGACAGATCCGCAGCATCCACGTCAAAGCGCCCCATCCAGGCGCGCTTGAACAGATCCTTTTGGCGATTCCCAACCTGCGCGCACTCTCTCTCTCCGCTTCAGCCCACGACGCCTTCTGCCTGTCTTCGGGTTCAAGAATATTCGATTGCGCCACCCCTTCGCTCTTGCATCTCGATTGCGTGCCTTCGCCTTTACCCGTCTTCAGGAAGGTGAAGCACGCCGTCTTGTCTGTTCGACACTTTGATGTGATGACAGCAAGGCAAGTTCGCACCGCCTTGCCTTCGCTTCGGACCATCGAGATCTGGTACGACCTAGGCACCAATGACTTGGGTCCTCATCCGTGGAGTATGGGAGGAAGACCGCGCGCGGGTCTTTCCACTGTTGCAGAGGCTTTGCGTGTCCTTCGCTCCGAAGGCAAAAGGCTGGAAGGTGTGACGGTGTGGGCCAACGTTCGCATCAAAGGAGCCCTCAAGCGTCGACTAGGGTCTGTAAAGGACGAGGAGCGCGGAAATTACTACAGCATTCTGATGGAGCCCGCGTTGGAGAGGCAGTGGATCTCTGTTGACGAAGATGGATCGGAGAGGCCTTCCTTGGTTGTTGCTAGGCCCTCCATCGTGCGGACCGCCTCAGCGGCCGCAGCAGATGACCTGCTAGTGGACAGGGAAGATGAGCCTGCACCGCTGAGAATCTTGAGGGCTGATCGCCTCAGAGCTGTTGCAGGAGAGTGGAGCGAGAGCCAGCTTGCCAATGCGTGGCAGCTTTGAAGTTCTTCTTCCAATCTTGTGTTCTTTTCTTGTACTCATAAGCGGCTGCGCCTCTCTAGTCGTGTACCACACTGTCTTCGCTGTAATGTATCTTTGATACCCCATACCCGCGGAATTGCTCGCGATGTGACGCCTTGACTCAGTACCTGCTCCTCGTTCCTGTGAGCTCTCCCGTGTAGAAACAGATGCCCTGCATGTCGAGCCAATCTCGCAAGACATCCTTATTCTTGAGCCTTATGTGTGCCTTTAGAGCCACACTAGCGACCTCGTCGAAGGAGATTGGTTCGAGGAGCAGGATGCGACGATAAAGCTGGGCGTCTGCGCGCACTGCTTGCACCAATTGCGCAGACAGACTGGCGGACACGTCCACTGGAGCATTCTCGGGTTCACCCTCGTCCGAGTCTTCTCCTTCCTCGTCATTCTGACCACCTCTTGTTGTCTGGCCCATCGCCCGGGCTTCGACCTGTCTTCTGAACCTCGAGCCGGATGCTCGTCGATTGAGACCCAGAGCGAGAGGCGCTTCGGAATCTTCTGCGGAAGATGCAGACGCTTCGGTGTCGCTTGACGAATCGATCACGTCGATCTGTTGGCTTGAAGCGGCTGCTTCATTGGTCAGCTGTACTGTCAAATCTCCAGCTTCTGCCTCTTCTCCATTGGCCACGCCCAGACTCCACTGGGATGTGGTGGCGGTCGTATCTCCGGCTGAAGAAGAGGGTAGCGGGAGTGCTTGATGGGCCTGCCTTTCTGTCAGCGGAGACGAGACGGACGCGTTTTTGGAAGGAGCGGAATGGTTGAGCACGCGCCAGCAGGCTATCAGGTGCTCCACCAGCACATCCTTGTCTCGACCAGCTTTGAAGCCGTACTTTTTGCACTCTGTCTGTGAGGTGTAAAGACGCGCTCGGGTCAGTCAAGCGAAGCCCAAACGCACGAGACGATGCAGACCGACTGACCTGTAGAGCTTCTAGCGACCACGAGACGTACTTGGGCATCTCTCCACTGGCATCAGTGTTGGTCCCATTGGTCGCAGGTCGAATGGGAGAGTCCTCGATTTCGATCGTTTCGATCACGCGTTCCGCACCTCCGGCGGCGCATTTGTCAGGATCTAAAATAGCATCCCTGACCGTGGAGCCGGCGTCGTCTTTGGTATCACGACGCGCACGTTTTGAAAGGGGCTGATTGGTCATGCTTGGTTGTTTTCTGACGATGTTGCTGTTCGAGCTTCTGCCTGTGCTTGCTCCGCCGAGCGCATCCAACTCGTCCAGCAGCCCCATTACCGCTGCAGTGGAAAGATCCACCGTCAAGAGCCAGTTCACACCCTGATGAGAGCGACCACGAGGCGAAGTGTGCTGATGAGAATGAGGGCGCGGTCGATGCTGCTGAGCTCCGGGGAGGCAAGACGGAGGCTCAAAGGGCTGCTTGCTTGATCTCCCCACGCGATAAAGGTGGGTGGGTGTATGCTTACGCGATCCGATCCCCGTCGGCACACGGAAGCAGGACTAGCGGAGTGTTGCGTGCTTGCGTCGTGCAGCCTTCCGAATTGCGCTCCCCTTGACACCTCGAATGCTTCTGACAAAGGCTGTCGGATAGACACAACAGTCTTGTCAAAAGTCGATGACCCTTGAATCAGACTCAGAGTCGCGGGCAGCCCTTGCCTCTCTTCATCCGCGCTTGCCATCGCCTCCGAGGTGGTTGTGGTCAGAGTTGGACGCATGCATTGCCTGTGCGTGCCACAGCCGCGTGCATGCACGAGAATCACGAATGTGCGCGATGGAGCTTTGGACATAGGAAGTCGATCTTCGCGACGCGGGCTTGGCGTACGGGTAGCTTCTCAGGCGCATGCATTCATTCGCAAGAAGATGCGTCTCATCTTCACCACATCGCGTGCCACTCATCACTCACGACTCGAAGCTGCGTTCGCCAACCAGCCAGCCAGCCTCCTTTCTCCACCGAGCAGCGCCGACAGATGCCTCTCACAAGCCTGATATACGAGCCCACATGCACACGGACAAGCAAGATGGTGATAAATGAGATTTGACTGCGCCTGCTTCTGCATTTAGGTGATCCCAATGCCGGTAACCTCGAGGGTGAACGAATCGCACATACAAATGGTGACGACCGCGAACATCGTATAAGCAGGACGTACCATTAGCGAGCGCCTCACGTCGCCCACTCGACGAGGCATCAACAACCAACTCCGTTCACGTTGCCAAGTCAGGCCTTGCCTCCACCATGCCTCAAGCAGCCTACTACTCCATGGCCGCTCGCGCGGCGGCAACTATCCGGGCAAACCGGCCTCGTCTCTTCGCAGCGCAAAATACCGGCCGCATCTCTCCCTCACACGTGTGTTGCAGGATGCGATCCACAGAGGCTAGCAAAGATGGTCATCGAGAAGATGCCCTGATGCAGCAAGGTGGTGCCTTGGGAGCGTGGGAGCAGAGTGCGAGACAGAGGGAAGAAGAGGCCAAGAAGCAGCAAGAGCAGCATCAGCAAGTCTTGCTCAAGGTGGTGGACCAAGAGTCAGGTGAATCTCAAAGGACGCAAAGTGTAGCGCGCTTGCACTGACGCTGTTCTTGTATGTCCTCGCTTGCAGCACCGCGCAACCCTCTTGGCGTTCAGCTGCTCTCCAGAAAGTTGCATCGACAAATTTTCCCTCCCAATTCGGATCCCGCACCGCCCGTGCATGCCGATGCCCTCTCTGTCAGCCAATCGCACCTCTCGACGCACGGGCTAGAAGCATCTCAAGCTTCAGTCCTTCCTTCTCTTGCTTTCGATCTGCCTCCCCTGCAAGGCGAAGACCTCAGCGAGCATTTTTGGAACATTGGGCGACAGGCTGCACAGCCATGGCTGGGCATGGCACATGAGTTGGCTGCTGCTACGCTCCTCGCAGCGCCAGAGGGCGTGCTCGATCCGCGCAAGGAGGCGCTGCAGAATTCTGACGACCATGACGACGATGATGGGCTCACACCTCAAGAGTGGCTGGCCATCGAGGACGACAAAATCAGAAATGACTTGCGCTTGAATCCTCCTCGATGGGTCAGACGACCCGGGTGGACTCGATACCCTGTGCTCAAGTCTGCAGATGGAAAGAGAAGTGTGCTAGGACCTGGCGAGGCGGTGGAATACCCATGTCCAGAGGATGGTGCTTTGGTATTCGATATCGAAAACATGGTCAAATCCGGACCGTGGTCTGTCATGGCTACGGCAGCCGGGCCGAATGCTTGGTACTCTTGGCTCAGTCCCTGGCTTCTCGGCGAGGGCGAGGACCACACACGCAAAGATCAACTTATCCCCTTTGGACCCAATTCCGAAGAGGAGCACGTCAATCGACCTGCACGGCTGATCGTCGGTCACAATGTCAGCTATGACCGAGCGAGAATCAGAGACGAATACACTTTAAGGAGGGGCAATATGCGATTCTTGGACACCATGGCTTTGCACGTCGCGACAAGAGGGATCAGCAGTCCGCAACGACCCGCCTGGCTGCGTCACGCCAAGAATCGACAAGAAGCGCTGGCCAAGCAGAAGCATCAAAAGTCCCAGTACGAACAGGCTTCGCGAGAGGGCATAGCCGAGTTGCTCGGCGTTGACATGACTCCTGAAGAATTGCAGGCCATCGAGGTTCCTGATGACATTGGCAGCTCGGGCCGTTTTGAAGGTGGCACAGCAAGCAAAGGCGAGGATACACTCGCCCGCGAGGCTGCTTCCAACGCAGCTTCCAGCTTGTGGCTCGATGCGACTTCCAACAATTCTCTTGCTGACGTGGCCGAACTTCACTGCGGCATACACGTGTCCAAAGTGGCTCGCAATGCTTTTGTGGAAGCAAAAAGCAGAGAGGAGATTCTTGACCGACTGGACGAGCTGTTGAGCTACTGTGCCAAGGACGTCTCAGTAACACATGCCGTCTTTTGCAAAGTGTGGCCCACTTTCCTTTCGCACTGTCCTCATCCTGCTACAGCGGCGGGAGTATTGGGCCTTGGAAGCACGCTACTCCCAATTGACGATGAATGGGTGGAGTACCAGGAAAAGTGTCAAGCAAAGTATGAGGAGTCCCATTCTCAGATCGCGGCATCTCTCAAGGAGCTAGCAGAAAGCCTCCGCAACGAGTACACGCAGGGGGTGACGTGGGATCAGGCAATGTTGGCGACGAAAGCCAAAGCAGAAGCTGCAAATTGGCCCGTCGACGCCGATTTTAAGGCAGGCCGAGCTCTTTTGGAAGCCGAAAAGCAAAGAAGCTGGATGCGGTGGGAAACTGATCCATGGGCTTCGCAGCTGGACTGGACCCCCAAAAAGCCCAAAAAAATCAAGCCGGGCGCCGTCTCGATGGCTGGCACAGCGGCATCAGGATCGGAAGAGTCGATCGCCCCGGGTCACAGGCGCGTACCAAAATGGTACAAGACCTCCGTGCTCTCTACCGCCAAGGGCATCGGACGCACCTCAGGAGTCGCGCCACTCATTGCCCAGTTGAGAATTCAGGAGGGGTATCTTCTGCAAGACGGAGATGGAGATTGGGTGATGCGCGATTCCGAAGGTGATCACGAGCTGGGATCGGCCCCGCTTAGAGCGCCTTTCATCAAGGCGAGAGCGTGGGAGATGCGAAGCGACGCAGGCCCTGCGGGCGATGAGCTTCTAGAAGCTTTGCAGGCTAGCAAGGTGGTCGATAAGGACGTTCGAGAAATCTTTCGGCGCATTGCAGACGAGCTTGTAGAAAAGTGGCTGGATAGCGACGCTTCCAAAGGTCAAGGATGCGCGCCTGAAGAATCGCATCCTGCCCTTCTTGATCTGGACTGGACGTCAGTCGACGTGCCCACTGAGGAAGCCAAAAGAGAGGCCGAGAAGGCTGGTGCAGCACCCGGATCCTGGTGGCCGAAATGGTACTGGGATCTGTACCAGTCTTCTACCGGTGAGCTCGACGTCACGATCAAGTCGGCGACAGCTCCCTTGCTACTTCGACTCAGCTGGCAAGGCTGTCCACTCTTAAGAAGTCGTGAACACGGCTGGATTTTTCGACACGATGCTGACAGCCATCCCAGCTTCAAGACTCTGCGCGAGCCCGTTTACTTCTTCCACAATGATCTCGACGTGAATTTGCGCTACGACGCCAATATGAAGAAGGGCAGAAGCTACTACAAGCTGCCTCATCCATCTGGGGACGACTCCAATGTTGGATCGCCATTCACCAAACCGTTCTTGCCTCTGTTTGAGAACGGCACGATGAGAAGCGAGTTGACAGACGAGGCTGGCAGAGACACGGCCAAGGCGGGACTGGCTATGCAAGCTCAGTGCAGCTACTGGATTGGTGTGAGGGATCGCGTCTCGAAGCAAATGGTCGTTTGGGATGAAGAAGGAGGCACTCGCATGGGTTTCAAAAAGGGCGCAAGCGGTGCTAGAGGCGGTGTTCCTTCGGGCACCATGGCCATGAGCGAGTCGGAGATGCGAGCCTATTCGAGGGACTGCCAGCGTCGGAAAGGGATCATTCTTCCCAGCGTGGTGTCCATGGGTACGGTCACCAGGCGAGCTATAGAGCGGACATGGCTGACGGCATCTAATGCCAAGCCAAACCGCGTGGGCTCTGAGCTCAAAGCGATGGTCAAAGCTCCTCCGGGCTGGTCCATCGTAGGGGCTGATGTCGACAGCGAAGAGCTCTGGATATGCAGCGTCATGGGAGATGCTCAATTTGGCATTCACGGAGCAACTGCTATTGGTTGGATGACGCTCGAAGGCACCAAAGCGTTGGGCACGGACTTGCACTCCAAGACCGCTTCCATTCTCGGCACCAGTAGGAACCAAGCCAAAGTCTTCAATTACTCTCGTATATATGGCGCAGGCATCAAGCACGCTACCCAACTCATGATGAAGGCAGATCCAGCAATGACTAAAGCTGCAGCAGAAAGTCTTGCAAGGGATCTGTACATCAAGACAAAGGGCACCAATACGAACACAGAGACTTTGTTCGGTAGGCGGTTTTGGTACGGCGGCAGCGAAAGCTTCGTGTTCAACAAGCTCGAGGAAGTGGCTTTGAGCGAAAATCCTCGCACGCCCGCTCTGGACTGCGGAATCACTCTTGCGCTTTCCAAGCAGTACCTCAATCAGGGCAAGACTCCGACGGGAAAAGCGCAAGAAGAGTTCATGCCGAGCAGAATCAATTGGGTTGTGCAAAGCAGCGGTGTCGACTACCTTCACCTGCTGCTCGTCTCCATGGAATACTTGTGTCAGATCTACGGCATCAAAGCTCGCTTCATGCTCAGCGTTCATGACGAGGTGCGGTACCTATGTACGGACGAAGACAGGCATCGCTGCGCAATGGCGTTGCAGATTGCCAATCTTTGGACGCGCGCCATGTTCGCCCACAAGCTCCAGATGGACGATCTGCCACAAGGAGTCGCGTTCTTTGCTGCTGTAGACGTCGACAAGATTTTGCGAAAAGAGGCCGATGATGCTTGCGTCACGCCAAGTCAACCCGACGCGATTCCACCTGGCTACGCTCTCGATGTGGAGCAGACATTGGCGAGGACGAACGGCGGCTCACTTCATGCTGACGGCAGGTCCAACTTGCATCAGCCGCCGGTGCGCGAGCGCCCATGCGAGGATCCGTCACGCCCGAGCGGATTCTACGGCTCTTCGGGCAGTTCGGGTTCTTCGAACGCGCCGATAGAACCTGTATACAGGCGCTCGGATCAGACACACCGCTCTGATGATGAGCGGTGCAAGCTATACTTACAGGCTCAAGCAGCAGAGGACCTTGCAGAAATTCGCCTGTTGGAGCGTCGTGCCAAAGAGGCTGAACGTGGGGATCGCCAAGATGCAGCCTCCAAAATTCGCGCAACACGTCGATCCAACTCTGCTCCGCTCCCTTCTACGACAGCGACTGCCAGACCGAGCATAAGTGCAAGTGCAGGCGGTGCAAGCAAGTCTCCCATCGCTAGCTTTCACACTTCTGCTCGCAGTAGCGCACTTGTCACAACGGAAACCCCTGCTGCGCAATCGTACTTGCCAAAATCGCTTCATGCGATTGTCAAAGCTTTTCCGCGACGAGCAGCGCGCCTTCGCAAGCCATTCTATCTAGTCTCGGAGCATCGCGCTGCTGTGCGCTGGGCACTCTACCGTCCGCTCTTGCAAGCTGCTCCGCCAGACTTGCCTCTGCTGACCAAATGGATCCGACACGCCTTCAATAGAAGCAAGAATATCACCAGCCCAGCCGAGACGCTGGCTCAGATCGAGCTCGCCGAATCGATGCTTCGGATGTGTGACAAGGCGAAAGAGGGCGAGCAAGAAGCTCGGATAGAATTGGAAGCTTTTTATGAATCGCTGCGCAATCAACAAGACCTGGACAAGTCGGGCCAAGCGTTGAAGTCACACCTGCGAGAACAGACTCCGCGGCGCGTGCCTCGCCATTCTGGGGCTCTTTTGCCTCCTACATTTGCCAATCCCCCTCTCCCACGCTACAAGCCGGTACAGCCCATGGGTATCACCATGATGATTCGCAGGCGCAGAGCGGTTCGTTTCAAGCGGATCATGGCCAGCGCGGACCTGGACGTGCTTTGGGACTCTGTCAAGTTCGAATGCGAGTTGATGAAGCGTCTTGGAGGAAGATACGCAGAAGCTACGGGCTGGGATAGTGCGGAAAGCTGGAGTGAGTCAATGTGCGGCTTTCTTGATTCCTCTTTCGTGCTTTGGGAGGCTGACCGATTTGAGATATCGCGCACTACTAGGAACTCAATTTGACGAGCGCATGGATACCTGGCAAGCGGCCTACAACAGGGAAAAGGCTCGGGCTCAATTGGTCTTTCCGCGCCAAATATTGATCCTGGCTAAAAGGGCTCGTCTTGCAAAGCAAAGGGCACGTCTGAAGCGCAAGCACGCACTCACGAAGCTGCGTGACTTGGCAGAGAGTGGAGAATCTCCGCGGGCGTCGTCGTCGTCGGCTCCGCAAACAGTCAATGATGCCGTATCCGCAACGCTGTAGCGAACGGCACGTGTCGATGTATGCATACAATGATACCCATGTGCTGCTGCTGCTTCATGTTTCGCAATCAATGCCGACATCGACATCGAGGACCAGCGCGCCGGCGCGAGGAAATGCAGAGATCGAGCAGCACCGGGATTCACGATTCTTTGCTGACGAGTAATACGATCGTGCGAAGATCAGCGCGACGCGTCCTTCGACGCGTCCAGCACATCGATGCCGCTGCGCAAAGTGTTGGTTTGCATGCCGCGCGCATCGCCCTGAGCTAAAGTTGTGACTTGTGGTTGCTGAGCCGAAGGGTTCGTATGTGGAGGCTTACCATAGAATTTGATACCAACTCTGTATCAAGAGCCTTTTTGCAGGGTCAGTGCCTTCGTTGTCGAGTTCGTCCGTTGGGAGTGCTTTGCTAGGAACGGCAAGTATGAGCCTGAATCTGCAAGTAACTCTTAGCCACCGTTTACCACGCACCACAGACCGTCTCGTTCACATAATCATCAAGTTGAACATATCTGCCGAAGGATCATCAAAACGCGCACTTCGTAATGGTGAGCACGCGAAGCAAAGGGAATGGCGAGAAGCCGGCGACGGATGGGAAGGGAAACGTGAAGCTGGACAGCGTGATGCAGAGCAAAGGCGGTCGTAGATCTTCCGAGGAGCAGCAGGATTCAGGCAAGTCTGAGCAGAGCGCGGGAGCAAAACGACGGCAGGAGGATGAAGAGCAAGAGGCTAAGCAGGAAAAGGCGCAAAAGAAACAACGTGGAGCGTCTGCCGCTTCTGATGAACATGCGACTGGAGACTCGCAAAAGGCGCAGGAGGTTCCGCAGCCTGCTCAGGATGCTAAGCTGTCGCCGGGCAAGGAAGATACCGGCGCAGGACAGGACGACGCGCCTTGGGAGGTGCTGGAAAAGGGACAGTGAGCGATGGGCGTAAGAGCCACACCACGGCATGACGCGCTTTGTGCTCATGCGCTTGCAATCGCCGTCCCACACAGCGTCTTTTTCTTCTACAGACCCAAAGTCAAGAGTGCGCATGAGGTGGATCAATCGGGTAAAGCTGCAGAGTGTTTGGATGATGTTCAAAATGCGCACATGTGAGCGTCGGCTTTGCGACATGGCGCCAGGCGGGGCACTTGAATCGAAGGATGTTGACTTTGCTATTCTCCCGCTTCTGCTCGAACTCGTCACATCCAGGCTGCTACTGCCCCACGCCAGTCGATCCGAGACTGCTGGAGCAGATGCTACCAAAGATTCTACCGGATCCGGCGTTCAGGGCGGGACAAATGGTCAACAAAATGCACCTGCAGGTACGACGGGGGACAAGGCCAAGCAAGATGGTGTCGGCTTCAGAGTAGTGCGGTTGGGAAAGAAGAGACTTCCAGCGCCCGAAGTGGCCATCGCGAATGGACAGCAGCCCGGTGGCATTGGCGGCGACGCTAGCGAGACGTGAGTGCATGGGAAGCTTTTTCGAGGAGAGCGAATCTCGTCGCTTTCTCAATCTATACTGAGCGGTCGAGCCCCTCCATCTGCGCGCCACAGCGTGTGGTCGGTCGTTGCGGATGTTGGGCCCGATCCAGCTGTCCTATCTGGTTCGATGGGCGAGCAGCGGTACAATACCAGGACGCAAGGCGAGAGGGTGGTAGGCCCGAGCAGACCAGCAGGACGTGGGTGGTATGCTCTCTCGCTTCACAAGTCTGAACCGCCCTCATCGCGCGAAGTCAGATTATCATTCTCTATTTCTCATCCGTCTGAGGACGAATTTGGTGACGTTCAATCTCAGCTCGGTCTGACGCCTAGCGGAAGCTTCAGCCTTTCCATGAGGAACCCCACGTTGCCTTCTACGGGCGCTGGTGCTCCACCCGCAGGCTTGGACGAATCTGCTCGCGTGCAAATGAGCGAAAAGGAGATTCAGGACACGTTCGGAGGCGATGCGGAGGGCAAAGGAACAAGATACGCTAGACCTGAACAGATCGAGTTGTTGGACAGGGAAGGTGTAGAGTTGCTTCTGATTCGCGAGGCTGCTCAGACCTCCAAGGGAGGCGCAAAGACGGGCACTGGCGAAGAGCAGGCCAAGGGTGAGTTTGGCAGTCTCCAGCATTACGCGCAGGCTGGATAGTGAAGCGTGCGAGTCCATTGTGCTCTTTGCTGAATCCTGCTCCTTCTTTCCACGAAGCAGCTTTGGAAGAGCTTGCAGGTGAGTGGAGTGTGACGGAAAGGCCTTTGCGGCTCGTCAGGATTAAGACCGTTAACTCCCTCGTTCCACCGTGCTCGTAAATGGTGCAATCAGCTGCCGACGCCGATCGTCTCAGCACGCATGATGTGCTGGCACAGCTCAAAATGACTGCGAAGAGTAACCCGCCAAACGCCTTGGAGGGGCAATGGGTCTAGGGTTGAGAGGAGGGACGTGGAAGATTGTGTGCGTGGAAGCATATCCATGCTCCTTCTTCAGCTTGGGATTGCTGATGACGTGCTGTGCTTTCAGAGCGCGATCTAGGCAAGCCACCTCTCACTTCTCCGCCTTGATCTTTGAAGCTTTTCCTCTGCACTTCAAAGAGCGCTCATCCAGCTCTACCAAATTCGCTTTTCCGTCCAAGATCGCATGTCCTAGCTCTATGCATTCTCGCAACTGTTCTTGCGTGAGCTGATGAATGGCCGGTTTCTTTTGGTCTGGGATCTTTTCCTTCCAGGGAGCTGTTCCTTGACCCACGACAGAGTCTAGTATGATGCGAAGGAAGCAGTGATTCAGATGTACTGGCCATATTTCCTGAGAAGAGGATTTGGAACGAGCAGCGCTTGGAAGCGTGCTGTTCATCAATTCGCTGTACTCCGCTTTCAGTGCGTCCATCTCCGTTTTCCCTTTGCATGGTGTGGCTTCGCAAGCGATTGCCGAGTTCTTCCTTATTTCCCGCGCCTTGGCTAAGCGTTGATGAAGATGGACGAAGACGAGATCGCTTCACTCTCGGGGAGCCGACGAAGAGTAGCAAAGGCGTGCGCGCGACTAAGACTTTGAACATCGTTAAACATCGCAAAGACCTTCGAAGGCGGCTCTGAGCCAACGAAGATCGAAAATTACGTACGCCTGCATGCTGCAATGGGGGGATCACGTGACAGAACCGCATGCGCCTACTTTGTCCGCCCTTCGACCGAGTCCCTTCGAGTCTGATGAGTGCTTGAATTGCTATACTCACGACTCACGACTCACGACTCACGACTCATGAACACGCATGCTGCACTTTGGGAACTCGAGACTCACATCTCGTAGCAAGGAGAAAGAGTTGTCGTGCTACGCCACTGGACCTTGATTGAATCCCGCACGCCTGTCTCGACGGCCCAAGAGGGCTGAGATCCAGCCTAGGGGCGGAGGGCATATATGGTGAACAGATCCGCAAGAGCAACCATCATCCGCGCCCAGCAAACGGATGCACGGTCAACGTGTCGCAGTCACGTCTCAAATTTAAGATTGAAGGGCAAGTCACCAACTGTTGTGTGCGTATGATAGACATGAGTGCCCGTACCTTGAGCTTTACATAAGCTTTCAAGCTTTATCGGCCTTTGGTCTCGGCGAACCGTTGGACCTAGCGCAGCAAATGAGGACTACTTCAGCAGGACGATGCTTTGGATCTGACTCCAGGTTCCACGGCGAGATGAGGCTAGAGAGGGTCGGAGCTAGGTATCAGGCACTCGATGAGTCTAGGAGGCAGGGTCGATGGGACGTGGCCGGTGAGCTCTATATTCGCGCAAACTCAGCCAGTGTGAGTCCCCCATGACAGGTACATGGTGAGTAGTAGGACGCTGCGCGCGACGACATGCCGAAATACCGAATCTGAATGGTCGCCCGACGGACATGCCATGCCAGCACCGTTCAGCGAGTCTCGAGCCAGAGAGAGTCAAGTCACGAGTGTCGAGTACGTGAATTCGTGATTGCTGATGCTTCCTGTGCGTACGTGCGCTCAGCGTGCCGCATGGCTGCATGTCATCGTCTCTGATTGGACAAGCGTCAGCATGGGTTCGCGCGGGCGAATCGACACTCCTGTGTGACTATACTTGTGTGACTGCAGAAATGCCCTGAAGAATGCATGCACCCCGCAAAACTCCCACCATGCATAGAGCTGCCCCCCCCCGGAACAGCTTTAGCGTGGACGTCGACCAGCCACGCTGCGACCTCGCAGCACGGTCTTTGTTGCTGCTGCGGGGTACAGTGCGATATTCACCCAAGCAGAGCTTTCGTTGCAGGACCCAAGCGGTCAGATTTGTGAAGCACAATTAAAGTCACAAGTCACTCGACGCTGGCGAATTGCGCGCCATGGCGGTGGACCACATTCAAGGTGAAGCATGCGCAATGAGTGTGCGCCATGCGGGGGTCTCGCACGCAGTCTGAGCGTTCGACGAGTGAGCAGCAGATGCATCAGCTGCTGTGCTGAGCTCAAATGGACGCGCGCCTTACCCCGCGGGGAAGGGCAAGCGCGCGAGCTCTAAATGAACAACACTGATACGCCGCCGCCCCCGTCCTGCTGCCGTGCGCCGATGATTGTGCCGCTGCTGATGGTGAGAATAAGCTACGCGCAGCAGCAGCATCATCATATGCTGATGGAGGCAGAGGAGCCGCGCGCGCATGAGACCGCGGCGGATGGTTCGAGCCGCGATTGCGCTGCTGGCTGATGCATGTCGTGCAAGCACGCTCGTCTGTGGCCAAGCCTCCCCAATGCATCAGCAGCATCAGCCGATGTTGCTTAATTTGTGCGTCGCATATATACATGCTGCTGCTGTCGTCAGGTATCCATGCATGCGGTGAGGGCTGCTGTTGAGCTTGTCTGCAGTAGACGAGCCAACGAGCCAACGAGCGATGCAACGAGCCAGTCAGCCAGTCAGCCAGCCAGCCAGCAAGGAGGCATTTCAACACTTGATCGTACGTGATTCACAGTTTGGGACGCGCGTCCATGCTGCCGTGAAGTGAAGTGAAGTGAAGTGAAGTGAAGTGAGTTTGATGTTGCCGTGGCGCAGAAACAAGCACACACAGGGCCGACGCCATGGCTGAGATGAAGCCGGCGTTCGGCCTGAAGGGCAAGCGGGATCAGTTGCAGAAGCGCCGCACACGTCTGACTAGCATGCTCTGGATCGAGCGATATGGTGGACCCCTTGCCCACGAACGGCAGCAGACAGGCAGACAGGCAGGCAGGCAGGCAGGCAGGCAGGCAGCCAGCAAGGCAAGCAGGCAGGCAGCCAGCAAGGCAAGCAGCCCTAAGCAGAGCAGCTGCATGGCAGACAGGTAAGGGTCGAAGCAGGCGAGCAGAAGCTTCAAAGGCTGCCCTTTCACGCTCTCATTTCTCTTCCTTCTTGCACACATCATCCCCATCATCACCTTGGCTATATACTTGTCCCGCTTGACGTATTCATTGCCCACGCATCACCTCTCCTCATCTACACTACTTGATCCCAGCTCGTACTCAGACTTTCCAGACCCTCTTCATACCACCCCCATCATGTCTCGCGTCATTGTTGTCGGTGGCGGTCTATCCGGCCTGAGTGGTGAGTCCTACATCCGGCGACCACTTCGAGCCCCGTCCCCGAACTCATCTCGCCGATGCTGATGTGCCTTCTCCATTTTCAGCCGCACACACTGCGCTTGAGCGTGGTGCCAGCGTTCTCGTTCTTGACAAGGTGAGCGGGGAAAATTGCTTCTTCAGCTAGGGCGGCCTTGCTGTGTCCAAGCCCTCGCTTTCGACTCGGTCGAGCACGTCGCGAGATGCGGCAGCTACTGCTTGCGCCACGCTGCGCACCAATGAGCCTGCATTCACGCCTCGCCTCTTGCTTCCTCCTCAGAACCCCTTCTTTGGCGGCAATTCAACCAAGGCCACTTCAGGTATCAATGGTGCAGGGACCAACACTCAATCAGAGCTAAGCATTCCAGACAGCGCCAAGATTTTCTTCGAGGTGAGTTTGCAGGCTGCGACTGCGCTTACATTCGAGACACTGCTGACCCTTACATGATGCCCTGCTGTTGTTTCCAAATTCCAGGACACCAAAAAGTCTGCTCGTGACCTGGCGCGACCTGATCTGATCAAAGTCCTTACTGGCCGGTCCGGTGAGGCCGTCAACTGGCTGCAAGACCGCTTCGGTCTGGATCTGTCCAAGGTCTCCAGATTGGGTGGTCACTCGCAGCCTCGTACCCACCGTGGTGGCGCTCAATTCCCCGGCATGACGATTACCTATGCCCAGATGGAGAAGCTGGAGGATCTTGCCGAATCCGACCCTGAGCGCGTGCAGATCATCAAGAAGGCGCGCGTTACCAGCCTGATCTACGAGAATGGCGAGGTCAAGGGTGTGGAGTATGAGACTGCTGGACAGAAGCACCAGGAGCGCGGTGCCGTCGTTCTCGCCACTGGTGGTTACGCAGCAGACTTTGACGATGTCAACTCTCTGCTCAAGAAGCACCGCCCTGACCTTGTTCACCTTCCTACCACCAACGGAGACCACTGCACCGGTGATGGTCAAAAGATGGTCGCCTCTATCGGTGGTCGCCTGATCGATCTCGAAAAGGTGCAAGTTCACCCCACTGGTCTCGTTGACCCACGTGACCCAGACGCCAAGGTCAAGTTCCTTGCTGCCGAGGCTCTCCGTGGCTGCGGTGGTCTGCTCCTCGACAACGAGGGACAGCGATTTGCTGACGAGCTTGGTCACCGTGACTACGTCACTGGCCGCATGTGGGAGAACAACAAGTTCCCAGTACGCCTAGTCCTGAACGGAGCCGCGTCCAAGGAGATCGAGTGGCACTGCAAGCACTACGAGGGTCGTGGCTTGATGCGCCGCTTCGAGGGCGGTGATGCGCTCGCCAAGGAGATCGGCATTCCTGCTGACAAGCTCAAGGCTACCTTTGAGGACTACAACGCCATTGCCACCGGTAAAAAGAAGTGCCCATTCAACAAGAAATTCTTCCACAACGCAGACATGCGCATGAACGACACTTTCTACGTTGCCCTCATGACTCCTGTGCTCCACTACACCATGGGAGGTCTGGAGATCGACCCCACTTCTCGCGTCATTGACAGCCAAGGCAAGCCCATCCCCGGTCTCTTCGCTTCGGGAGAGATTGCTGGTGGTGTTCACGGAGCCAACCGTCTGGGAGGCTCTTCCCTCTTGGGTTGCGTCGTCTTTGGTCGTGTCGCTGGTGACTCTGCCACCGCTTTCTTGCTGAACCAGTACACCTCCGGCAAGGCTGCTTCCCGTGTCGGCCAGGTTGCCCAGCACCTGGAGACCACTGTTCGGGTCAACCCGGAGAATTACAACGTCAACTTGACCTTCTCTTGGGCTGGCCAACAGCAAGCTGGTGCGGGCGCATCCGGCGCTCTTCAACAGTCGAGCGCCCCGGTTCAACAAGCTGCGCAAGCCCAGACTGAGGGCAACGCCAGCGCGGGCCCTGCAGCTCAAAAGGCCCCCCCTCAAAAGGCGGAGGAGAACAAGGGATCCAAGACGTACACTATGGACGAGGTCGCCAAGCACTCCAAGGAGAGCGATGTGTGGGTCGTCGTGGGCGATCAGGTCCTGGACGTGACCAACTTTCTGCCGGACCACCCTGGAGGACCCAAGGCGATCTTGCTCTACGCTGGAAAAGATGCGACAGAAGAATTCGACATGATGCACGACCGCGCCGTCATTAAGCGTTACGCTGCTGACGCCGTCATCGGATCCATCGCCAAGTGATTTTGTTTTGGTGCTGCATCTCTTCGAATGATCCAGTCCTTGGGGAGGCAACAGAACCCTCAATCAAAGCTCTTCTCTTCTTGTTCATGTACGCAATCAAGGCATCGTCTCCGTCAGTCAGGTCGCCCAGCTCGCTTCCCCTTTGGTCCCCTTGCGTTGGTCCCTTCACTCTACGGATTCAACGTGGCACTCATGAGTGGTGCAAATGTTGATGAATTTTACGAGCGTGTCTGACCTGATGTGATGTGGGTGGACGCTTGATATTGGGTGAATGAGGGCTTTTTGCATGTCTGGAGCAGGCTGAACGATTCGATGATCTGCTAGAGAGCTGGCTCGCGTGCTACTCGCTCCACGGCATTTGGAAGAAAGGAGGAGGAGCAGCAAGTTGGGTGGCGCTCGCTGCTTGCCTGCCTTGACCCTCGCGTGCGCGCCTCTGCGCTACATCCAGCAACGCTCGCGATGCATGTAGCCCGGCCAGCAGCATGGGTCTATACGCCTCACCTACCCGATTCGCGCCGCGCAGGCAGCAGCCGCATGCGCTTGTGCGGAGATGGCGATCGAGCGAGCAAAATCGAGCAGATGAAGCAGGCGTGCGTGTGCGTGTGCGTGCCTCTGCTGCTCTTCTCTGTGCTCGGACTTGACCCAAACGTGCTTCGTGATGCACTCATCAGTCACACAGTCGTGAGTGCTTGATGATTGTGACTTGGATTTTGATTCTTTCTTTCCTCTTGGATGCGTCTCACCACCACCGCTAGCACCACCACCACCACCACGTCTGGGCAAAGTGCATTTGGTCGCGTGGCTCGATTTTGCTTGCGCTTATCGGTCAGAGCATAGAGAGCCAGCGACGAACGAGCGTGATGGAAACAGCCTCTGGGATCGCGCTGGCATCAACAACATCTTCCACCTTCTGCCCCACTACGGACTCTGCACGGCCATTGCCAACAGAATGTCGGGCGAAAGACCTTTGGGAGGGTCTTCTGCCGTGTCGGGTCTATCTGATGCTCTGGCACAAGGAGCAGCCTACCTCTCTCCCTTTGCCCAATCAGCCCAAGCTGGGGCTTCCACATCCGCAGCGGGTCTGAATGAAGCGACAAGGCACCTGATAGATGCCGCACCGCACCTCTTCAAACCTCGCATGTTATCAGCTGCCATTCATTCCTCTAGTCTAGGTGTGGCCGGCACTTCGGGCGATAGGGCGAGGATCGTGGGCTGGGGCGGACTGCCTTTGGCACTCAGTAGACCCATCAGTCTTTCACAACCGGCCCGAAGCCTGGCCAGATTCGGAGCAGCTGTGGCTTCGGGCGGAGGTCTTTCGGCAGCGGAACTGAGAGCGCGAGAAGATTGCGCAGCCATACTCAGGGAAGCGGAGGCGGAGGCTGAGCTGGGCGTTAGAGCTCAGGGATTGAGCATCGAAGATGGCTCTAATGTAGCAACAGCTGCAGCGACGACGACGGCGACGAATGGCGAAGAGCCTGTCAGTCTGCTGCGAGGATACGAAGCCACTCGACCTTCTTCCTTGGCAGGCAGAGCTAGGAGGAGGGAAGCAAGGGGAAAAGCAGTCGATGCTCCCAGATTGGGTCTGCGAGCGATGGGCGAAAATGCTAGAGGACTCTTGTCTGCTTCGGAAGCGCACGAAGATGGCGAAAATGGCGCGACGCATGGCGCCGAGGAGGCAGCCTCTTCGTTCAAGAGCAGAGCTAAAGGTAGAGCCAGCATTAGAGGATCGAGAGATGCGGTCATCAAGCTGGACGAATCTCAGCTTGCTGATCAGAAGGAGGAGATCGAAAGGGAGAAGGAGGATGTAGGAGTTAGAAGGGTCAGTGAGCTGCTGCGGATTGAATCACCCTCGAGGGGGCGCGCAGGCGTTTAGCTCGGTAAAACTTATGCTCGATACTCTCTCGTCACCTCGAATGTCTCCATGCAGGCCCTAATCCGAAAAGAAATCTCGGCAGTGGAAACCAAAATGGCTGCGCTTGTTGCTGTCAGGGACAGACTGGAGCACAGCCTGCTGCAGCTTCGAGAGGAGGAGCTGGAGCTGCAAGACGAGGGTGAGTGGAGGGGCAAGGATACGGGAAAGCGGCAAGCAGACCAGGCTCTGAGCATCGCATGACTTTTGGCTGACCTTGTCATGCTCAAATCCGTACTGCTGCCATCCATCAGCGCAAGGCGTGTCGGAGTTGCTCAGCTTGCAAGCGCACAGGAGGAATATGCCCGGTGTTGCCGGAGCGTCCGTTGCTTCGCTCTCGACGAATCAATCTGGACAGTCTGAGCACGCCACATCGGCTTCGAGCAGCCGAAGAAGGAAGGGTGAGTGAGACGCCAGAGGCCGCTCGAGGAGCGCGGCACATGCTGAGATCGACTACGCCGCTTGTGCTTGACCAGGCCCCTTGTTCTTGCCCTCCGAGCACGACGAGCTGCCTTCGGGTGTTGCCTTCATGGTGAGTGGAGCACAGCCAAGTCGCATTGATAGCAAGCAGGTCGACCAATTGAGCATGTACGTGCCTGGTTATTATTTCGCAGACACTTGCGGGACACACTGCGCCTTTGACCGCTCTGGACTTTTCCGAACCTTACGGCGCGCTGGTCAGTGCCGCTTCTGACGACGGTGCGCCCATCGTCTGGGACCTATCTTCGGGCGGCGAGGTGGGACGTTTGAGGGGTCATGAGGGCAACACGCGATGCCTGCAAGTGGAGGAAGAGCTCTGCATAACGGGAGGTTCGGATTGCAGCATACGGATCTGGGATCTTCGAAAAGTGGAGAATTGGGAGACGAGACTGTCGATGAATCAACAGGCTCGGGATGGTGAGGGTGCAGCTGCCATCGTTAGGAATGGAGATGAGGCAGAAGGAAACAACAAGGACGAGGAGTGGGATCCTTGCCTCAGCAAGTTGGATGGTCATACACGCGCAGTCACTAGCCTCTACTTTGACGAAGGCTGCCTGGTGAGTTGCTACGACCCAACATGACGCCAAGTGGCGCGAGTACTCATGTCGCTTTGGCATCTCTCAGATCACGGGGGCGTCAGACAAGACGCTACGCCAATGGGATCTCAACACTGGGCAGTGCGTTCTCACCATGGACATTCTCTGGGCCATTTCCAACCCTGGTGGGCCATCTACACCAGGAGGCAGTGGTGCCGCATCTCGACGATCCATGGCTTTCGACAACTCCAGCGCGGGTGGAATCGGTGGACCATCGGTCGATTTCTCTGGCGCTTTTTCCTACCCCTCTCCACCCGCATCCGACGGCTCGTGGGAGATGTACAGCGATTTTGTTGGAGGCGTACAATTTTGGGGATATGCCCTGGCTAGCGCTTCTGGAGATGGAGCGGTGAGGATGTGGGATATGCGAACGGGTCAAGCGCACAGGACCTTGTTGGGTCACACTGCGCCCGTGACATGCCTACAATTCGACGAGACGCACATCGTCTCTGGCAGTCTGGACCGCTCCATTCGCATTTGGGACCTGAGAACGGGCGCCATTTCGGATACGATTCGCTACGACTTCCCAGTGACTGCGTTGCAGTTTGACAGTCGCAAAATTTTGGCAGCGGCAGGAGAGAGTGGCGTCAAGGTTTATAATAGGACAACCATGCAGCACTCTACGCTCGCGCTCAATGGACATACCGCACCAGCGGAGAGACTGAGGTATATGGATCGGTACGCCGTTACGGGAGGAAGAGATGGTCTGGTCAAGACGTGGTCCTTGTAGAGGTGCGCATCTGCGCGTCGTCGTCGAATGAGCGCTTGCTTGCTTCCTCCACCACATCAACATGTGCGGTCACATCACCTCTTGCCACTTTTTGTTCGCAATGCAAATCACCACATCCTTCCCCTTTGTTCCCCCTCCTTGCCACTTGTCTAGGCAGACGTCTCAATTCCCGTTTGATCGAGTGAGCGAATCCCCTCTTCGCCACTGTCCGAAGTGAGGGAGGGGAGGACCCAAAGCAGAAGGTGCGGCCAAGGTCCGTCTGCATCGTGCGAGGCTGGGCCTTATTCCCTCACTCGACCCTTGCCCTCCCGCATCGTACCGCTTTCAGGCCATGCTCATGCGAAATGGGGCGGGAAAATAGTCAGCTTAGCCATCGGTCCAGACTCTCACGTACACGAAGAAGGGGAGGGGCGATCATATTCTATATGACGGGAACCAATAAAAAGTGGTCGATGGCGATGTATTTCCAATGTGGGCGTATGGACAAGTGAGAGAGCAATGTGGTCAAAGAAAAGTGGGGGTGGAAAAAAAAAAGTGAGGAGCGGCGGGTGTTGTGGGGGGATCAGATGGACATGTCATCCTGACTCAATCCTCTCCTCTTCCACATGTTTGGCGTTCCCAAGTCCTCGGTGCATTCGTGAGGCTCTACCAAACCATTCGTGCCCGCTCTCTGAAAGATGGCGCAATTTCTGCCCAAAGATACCTTGATGTTGAAGTCTGGTGGATTGTACCTCTCCAATTCCAACTCTGGCCCCAGCTGCAGTGTCGGATCTTGATCTCTAGCAGCGTGCAGGGAGGAGGAGGAGGAAGAATGCTCAATCATCTTGCAAATGTTGCGAGAGGCTACTTCGGCTTGATACCAGGCCGTATGACCAGCATTGAGTGCGCCAAACGCATCCGCAGCATCTCCAATGACAAAGATGTGTTGCAGTCCCTCGACAGCTTGAGGTTCATCCCCCATCTGCTGATCTCGCTGCCGATGACCAATCTGCATGTACCTATTCACATTGGCCATGCTCGTCTTTTCCGAAAGCACCGCGGGCAGACCCATGCGATTGGCCAGATCCGCAAGGAAAGAAGTGTTGGGTCTTTGACCGGTGCAAAAGAGGACCAGATCAGCAGCGGCCTCTCTTCCATCCAGCGTCTTGATCACCCGTGTCCCATCCTCTTTCACCGTCAAGCTTTCCAAGTCAGCTCTGGCGCCCAACAAGACTTCGACGCCCATCTCTTCCAAACGTCTGCACGCCTCTTCGTGCATCCAGCTGTTGAAACGAGGCAATAGCTGCTTGGAGGAGGAGAGCAGAGTGACGCGCTTCGGTGTCGAGCTGCGAGGTTGGGTAGGTGTGCCGTACAGGCATGCAATGTCGGAGGCGAACTGAACACCGAGAGCTCCGCCGCCAATGACCAGCACGCTATCCGTAGACTTGATCCTTTCCTGCGCATCCCTCAACCACGCCACACCTTCCCGCTTGCTTCCTCTGCACGGCGCCCGCGGGGATTCTCCAGAGTGGTCGCCCAGGACGGCGGAAGGCTTGGAAGGAGCGCAACCTGTCGGTGAAGCGCCTCGGGAATCGGGCGGCGAAGGTGGTCGGTAGGGCGATGCGCTGCCGTTGATCGACGGCGAAGCGACGTCTTCCTTGTCCTCCAATTTGAGACCTTCGTCCAATTGCGTCACCACATCCGCCACACTGGCATTTCCTTGAGGTGTCGTCTCGTCTGCCTCGGGAGGAGAGGCGGTAGGCGTGGGAGGCAAAGAGGCCTGAGCTTTGCGCGTCTTGATGGGCAAAGAGAGCGGTTTGCCGTCCGCTGGAGGTTGTTCCCTGCAACATCTTCCTGGTTGCATGAGCTGCGTACCGCTCTGAGATGAAGGCATGGGTCCAGGACCTGACCATACGTTGATGCAGGGTGGCAAGTGAGAACCGAGAGCGTAGACCAGATAATCGAATCGCAAATCCATCATCTCGGCATTGGCGTTGGGTGCTCGACAGCATGTAGCTCCACCGTTCAAAGGCAGATACTTGGCTACGCCTCGACCGTAGCGTGGACGTGTAGACTTGGCGGACGGCTCGCTTGGGGAGAGCGAAATGAGGCAACCATGGAGCAAGACATGCGCGCCTCCTTCGCGCTTCTTGCCACCGGGTGCAAAGATGTTGGTGTAAGGGATGAAGACCTTGAATGCGCGAGGTGCGAGGTGCGAGGATATCACGCGTCAGTTCGAACGACCCCGACCGAGAACCGCTGCGATGTGCTCGCTTACCTTCTCCTCGTGACCCTTGACCACAGCGACGCGGGGAAAGGCGTACAAGTGGTTGAAGTGCGTATTGCGATCCAACACCACCACTCTCCAATCCTCAGGCAGCGCATCCAAGAGGACTTGCGCCGCTCGGTGACCAGCATAAGAAGCGCCGAGCACCAACACAGTCTTGGTCGGCCTATATGGCTGTTCGATGTGCTTCGCTGTTGATGCTTGGCTAGCTGATGATCCGCTCGCGGGGGAGTGCTGTGGCGTCATGCTTGCTAGTCGTTGCGGTGTGTGGGTTGTGTGATGTGAAGACGCGTGCGAGCTGTCAAGAACAAGGGTTCTGGTGACTCGATTGCTGAGAGCAGCAGCCAAGGGCGCGCAGAAAACGAGGCCAGAGCGATGCCAGTGGCGGAGGCTTGTCGCTTCGATGGATGAGAGGCTTGCTTGGGTTGGGAGGGTGCTGAAGCTAGAGAGACGACCGTGTTGCCTGTGAATGCGAGTTGAATGCGTACTGTAGGTGTGGTGGGTGTGTTCATGAACGGCTTGACTTTCCACATTACGCGTCCCCGAGTTCATTCCAAGATTGGCGCAGGTCCGAGCTCGAGCGAGCGAGCTTCCCAATCGTCCGATTTCTGCGAGTCTGAATCACGAATCGAATGTGACGACTGCATCATGCACTGCCACCGCCGTGACTCAAGACTCACGACTGTGTGAATGCCGCTCGTGGTGTGCATGTAAGCTGCGCAGATCAAGATCAAATTCCGGAAGCTTAAATTCGGTGACCCAGGCAAATTGACCAGCAAAGCAAAGCAAAGCAAAGCAAAGCAAAGCAAAGCAAAGCAAAGCAAAGCAAAGCAAAGCAAAGGTCACGCGCAGATCTTCAACTTTACGCTTCTTGGAAATTTCAAAAATTTGAAACTGATTTGATTCTGATTGCATCAGCGCGCGATCTTGTGCTGTGGAGATCAGCAGCAGCAGCAGCAGGAGCAGCATCCACGCGTGAAACTTTGATGCTCCGCGCGAGCTGCATCTGCGCCCATGCACTCACGCGCGTACTCTCACCTTCCAGCTCAATCGTGACTCTGACTGCGCTGGTGTGGCGACTAGCTCTGACTGCATGGTGCCGCGATCGATGTTCCGGAGATCGACGCGCAGATAAATGTGCCGCGCGCGCTTTGCCTGGCTCGTTCCAAAGCTTCACACAGCGCGAGGATTAATTTTCAGCGTTTTGACGGCTCTAATAATGATCTATCTATTCAAATTCACTCCGCGATCCTTCGGCACCCCACAAAAGTCTTGCGCTGCGCGATCTGACAAAGCTCGCGCGCGGGCTGACTCGAATCACTCACCAGTATAAACCATCAGCTCGCCTCGCACTTTGCAGGAAAGGGGCCGGCTCTTGGTGACATCTGGCGATGCCATGGCCAATCACGAATGCACCCTTCACGACGCACCGAACCGTCTAGCCAAATGACGATCCCGAACAGGCGTGCTTGCCAAGCCATGCATAGACGAGGACAAAGATTCGAAGTACCGAGCAAGATCAATTGAAGTCCTGACGCGAATTTGAAATTCCTTTCGACGATGGTGGGTAGGGCGGCGAGCGGAGGGTGCGCATGCTGCTGCCTGATCGGATCTAATTGTGCGGAAGGAAGCGCCGGCGCGACAACAAAAATCAGGCAGGCACGCGATCAGAGAGATCGCAATCTGATCTGATTAGCGGCTACGCGGCACGGTGCATTCACGAGTGTGAGTATAGAAGTACGCCGAGGTACGCACGCACACACCAAAAAGATGTCCGGGCGCGCGAGCTTGGACGAGCACTCTTGATGACTCAAAACTTGCTTGATGCATGCATGCATGCTTGCTGCGTACACACCACATGCGCCACGAGAGTCCGAGAAGATTTGAAGGGCTGACGATCACAAGAGGATCACGTGATCTGTCACGTGATCTTTCCGGCAACCCCCACAGCGGGCACAACAGCCAGCCGCCCCATCATGCACGCGCCAAACTTGAGACTCACCACTCCACCTCGACGCGAACACGACAAGACACGAGACAGTCATCTGCCCTCGCACACACAAAGACAAAAATCTCATCAAGCACGATCCGTGCATTTTGATTTCTGGAAAGCATTTCTACAAGCCAAGCCTCGAGGAGGTGCAGCTAAGCTGTCGGTAGTACTACGTTCTTGAGGCACCACGCAGGCACGCTTGCCTAGCTCATCCTTTACCCTCGTCTCAAACGTCAATCTCGACCTCCGTCTTTGGTGAATCAAGACGAGATGGATGTGAGTCGCGCCTGTGCAGACACGTTTGTCTATGGCTAATGTTCCTTCGCGCATTCCTTGATGATGCTTCTCAAAGCCGGCAGATCTTGCGCCCCAGTCTCCTCCAAGGGAGAGGGACAGTGAGTGTACAGACCGTTCTGTGTCGAGCGCCTGCGTGCATGAATACGAGCTCATCGGACTGTCGCCCTGGTATCGCACCCGTCACTTGATCGAATCAGGCCCCGGTGTTGCGCCCAGTATGTTTGGAGCGACGGAAGGAGCCGAAGAGCCTGTTCGGCTGGATGAGACGGCGGGCGTCGAAGAAGCTGCTCCGTCTGCAGAAGACAGATTGCAAGCTGCTGGCATTGTCGGATCGGCCAAAGCTGCCGGCACTGGAGAAGGTGGAAATGTGGTGGATGATAGTGAGGCGAGAGAGGATGGAGAGTATGCTAGGGAGCTGGAAGGTGGGGGTGAGGAGTACGAGTCGCACAGGGAGGGCGATTCTGTGCCAGGAGGAGTCTTGTCCAAGTGAGGAGCCCCGGTCTAGAAGGAGGCGACTGGTGTAGCAGCAGCTCACAGCACCTGTATCCTGCCGCGACTCTGCGTGTGCGCTATCAGAAGACGTCAACGATCTGAGAGCGAAGAGGAAGATGAAGCGGAAGCGGAGGATAGCAACGCTGTGGATGCAAACGATCTGGGCTACTCTGCCGAAGACGCAAAGGCGCGCAGAAGGGCCGAGTTGGATGCCAGAATTGCAGCGGCTGTCAAGGCCGGCAAGAAACGCCCTCGTAGAAAGAAGGGCGACGAAATCGTGAGCATGCTGCAGGCGTAGACCTATCTGGAGGTTGAGGCATGTCGACCACTGATAGCGCTGACAATGTCCGGCGTACACCCGCACGCTACAGGATCTTGACAAGGAGAATGATGAGGAAATCCAGGAGCTTTTAAAGAGCATGGAGCGCGCAGCAGATGACGATTTTGACGCAAACAAGGAGAGAAGACTTGCCACGGCCAAACTGCGCATGTTGCCTTCGGTGGTCGAAGTGATGCAAAAGTGAGTGTGCGTGTCCTTAGTGCGGGTACATTGAGGCCCTATTGCTCACGACGGCGTCGCAACGCTGATGGCCACTGTATTCAGGCAGAGCTTACAGCAATCGATGATGGACAACAACTTTCTGTCGGGCGTTCGACGCTGGCTAGAACCATTGGGAGACAGGAGCCTACCCTCGTTGACCATCCAAAACGCCCTGTTTCCTTTGCTCGAAAAGTTGGAGATCGATACGATGACGCTGAAGCAGAGCGGACTAGGCAAGATCGTGCTCTTCTACACCAAGTGTGGACGCGTCAGCTTGGACATTAAGCGAATCGCAAACAAGTTGATAGGTGAGGTCTAGGATCTGCTGCGCTCACTCGGTCCTCCAGCGACTGCTGACCCGTCGCACTTGTGAGTGCTTCTTTGATCAACAGAAAGTTGGACCAGACCCATACTCAAGAGGGACGCTTCCGAGCGCGCTCAGAAGGCCGCCATGGCAGAGCGCGCAAAGAAGATGCGCGAAGCTGAAAAGGAACGCAGGAGAGAGTTGGGAGAGATGGTGGATGATGATGAAGAGGTGGAGGAGCTGGCTGCTGCTGCTGCCGCTGCTGGTGGAGGTGGCGAACACGGCAAGGACGCCGCGCAGATCAAGTGAGTAGAGACAAATGGGGTTGGATCATCATCGGCTTTTGCTTTGGCCAGTCATCGAGACCGAAGCAAGGTGACTTTGCTGTTGCGCCGTCACGCCGCTCGCCACACATTTCGGCTTTTGTCTCGTGCGACCAATGGCATGATCGCTTTTGCTGACCTCCCCCCTCCTTTTGCACCATCTTCTGCTCCGTGCGCGCTCCGCTTCAGACTCAACCGATTCAAGAGGCGCTTGAGAGAGGGCAAAAAGTAAGAGGGAGAAGGCAGTCTGTGCTCGGCCCTCTCCACCTACTTTGGGTGCCCATGGTCTTTCATCAGTGTCACACTCTTTCAACGCAGAGTACGGCTTGAGGCTACACATCAGGCAGTGCCATTCATGAGCTTCCCGGCTACTTGTAGATGACTTTAGAATCCCGCACCGCACCGCACCGCCTCAGACCGTTCGACTCAACCCAGCTTTCCGGCCACGGTCGCTGCTTCGACGAACGCAATCCTCATCATACGACGACCAAGTGTTTCCTGAGCGACTTTGGTGGATGACGGAGGTGCGCGCGAGGTTCAGAGCGAGCTTTTGAGTCGTGTCCTGTGAGACCGCGATGGTGTTGTTCAACGGCTATATAGCTCCGGCAACACTCGAGACTTGCAATCAAGATTGCGACTCGTGACTGGCTCGGGCGATGGGCGCGGTCACGGTAGACACTTGTGACTTACAATCTCGAGTCTTGAGTCTTGAGTCTTGAGTCTTGAATTGGAGTCACGAGTCAGGCCCATATCTGCCGAGGCAGCTGAATACCGAATGCTGAATGCATCGTGAAACAAATGCATCACATACCGTACCGTAACGCACCGTGCATGCTAAAGGTCATTCAGACAGTGATCAATTCTATGCAGCCCGCCGTGCGGCGCGGCCAGCAGCAGCAGAGGATTGCGCACGGTCGCCGGCGGGACGCGACCCAACCTGCACATCCATGGCAGCATACGACGCGTTTCTTCTGCACCGAACAGCTAGGCAGGCCTATATAGGCACTGATTCGTGAAATTCTTGAATTCTGACCATCATCTCGATCAGCGCACGCGCAAGCTTGATTCGTCCTATACTCGTGACTCTGTCCATCTAATCACGCAGCTGGCATCGATTACGCCCACTCTAGTTGAGGGAGAGGCGTTCACTGCAGACGTGGCCAGCATCACTCATCAACCTTGGAGTCAGCACATGACAGCATACACCTGCTCTTTCCAGCATCATCACCCAGCATGGATGACCCTACAGCGTCGACGCCATTGATGGTCTCCGTCGCTCCCTCCTCCTCCTCCTTCTTTGCAGGAGAACACTTTTCCTGCGTCATCACCTTTACAAACACCAGAGTGCCATTACCTTCTACTCAACCACTACCTTCCACCTCGACATTCGGCAGCGGCAACGGCAGCCACTCGAGCTTGTCAGATGCAGCATCGATCGCGGCTGCTCAGAGGCGCGTCTTCTCCTCTACGCCTGCACTGGGAAGATCCTCGCACACCAAGAGCCAGAGCGTGGATGTGAGGACTTTTGCCAGGCAGTTGCAATTGGAAGGCGCGGATGAGGGAGCAAGGGATGAAGGCTACTACAAGGCTAAAAGGCTGGCAGCCGAGTCTGTCGATAGCTTCGAATCGCATCAGAATGCCAGCAGCGTGCTGGACAATTCCAGAATTCCATCCAGGAGAAGGCTCATCGGTCGAGATAAGCATGCTGCTGGTGCTCATGGGCATGCCGCAAACACCTTCTCAGCTCAACCTTCGACTCCAACATCCGCCCCTGCGAGCTCTTCTACAGCAGCTGTTGACCACAAAGGTCACAAGCACGCCGCATCCATGTATGCCACGCCCGACCACTCCTCACGGAACAAGAATCAGGCGGGATTGGGTCTGGGACTGCCTGGTCCTTCTCATCGCGCACCTTTCGCATCTCCAGATCCATCAGGCGCAACATCCGCTCGACCCACACTCAATCTCATCCACCCCTCGGGCAGCTCAGTCGGGTCTCCCACACCTGCGCGCATGGCAAGTGGTGCATTCAGGCAGCCTAGTGGACCCGTCCCGCGCACGCACCCTCACGGCAGAAAACAGAGCATAGCAGCTGTGCAAGCAGAAGATCTTTCTGCTGCTTTCGCTCTGGGCGCGCCTGGGATGCCTGCCAGCAGTGCTCCCTCTAGCGCTGCTTCTCCAATCACGGAGAAAGAGCCTGCATCTCCATCCTTTTCCAACGAACCTTCGACGCCTAGAGCGATTGGTCATGCTTTCTATCAAGCTGGGCAAGGAGCAAACGATACGATGGAGTCTGTGCTCAGGGATGATATCTCTGCGTGGTCCAGGCCGGGTATCGGGCGGGGCGGAAGCGGACAAAGCAGCGGCAACAGCAGCGGTCTGGACGTTAGCACGCCCACCTCCTCCTCGTCAGCAAGCACGCCGTACGGAGCTCCCAAATCTTCGCCGCTCTTTCCATCTGGTCGTTCGTATGCGCCGGGCACCATCAGCCTGCTGTGGAGCTTTGCGCAGTTTGGAGGAGAATTCAAGGTGGACGAATCTTTGATCAAGCCGGGAGAGTTTGAGCAGGTAAAAAAGAGGTTGGCGATGGATCGCACCATTGGTGGAGGGCATCTGGCTTCTTCGTTCGGGGGCGCACACGGCACAGGCGGGGGCGGTGGGAGCGGCGCTCAGTTCGATGGCGGAGATGAGGATGCGCAGAAAGCTGGGTGGGGCACTTACCTCTCTTCGGCGCTCTTCTCTAGACCTGCGAGGCGGGCGCATGGGAGGAGCGTTAGCTCCATTGGCGATAGACAGGCGAGGACGCTGCAGAACAGGGCTGTGCCGCTGTTTTCCAGCCCCCCGTCCATTGTTGCGGTAGATCTAGAGCTGAAGCCGGGCGAGAGCCGGAGTTGTGAGTGTCGAGCTCTCGTGCGCCTTGAGCATTGGCGCCTGCCTTTGCTGACCCTGCACGTGCTGCTTTGTCCCACGTGCCTTTTAGATTCATTCAGGATACCCTTGCCAGCTGATCTTCCGCCTAGCTACACCGGTCGAGCTATCTCCTTCACGTATACGCTGACGCTGGGAACGAATCGAGTGGATCATGCTGCCCCTCGATCGGCTGGATCGAATGGACGTTTTGCACAATCGCAAGGCTCGAAGCAGCAACAGAGGTCCCGTCTGATCAGGATACCGCTGCGCATCTACAACCACGTCAGCGTCAGTGGAGCTACGCACTTCTTCGACTTGACTAATCCCGTAGTGTATAGGAAAGATGAGTCGGTGGTCAGAGAGGAGCTGGATGACATGTTGGTGACGCCTACGTTGAGGAGTCCACCGGTAGCCAACGGTCCGAGGCAGGATCTGGCAGCGGAGCGCTCCAGAGCCAAGTCGCAAGGCCGAGAGCAAGGTGAGAGCGAAGCTGCGCAGGCGCTGCAGACGATGAACGACGAGCATACATGACGCTCAGCTCATACCTGTTCTCGCCTTACATTCGCCTGCTTTCAGCGTTTGGAAAGTCTGAGTTCGAAGAGTATGCAAGGGATCTGCTGCTTTCGACTCGCGCGAATGAGGCCGCTCTGGATGACGAGGATGCACCTACTGATGTAGAGGCTGCAGCGTCGGCGGCAGCGTCGGCAGCCCGTGACCTCTTGTTCGCGCCCGATCCCACTGCATCGCCTCCAACATCCAGAAAGTCGCTGTCGAGGTCTTCGTCTATGAACTTGCCTAGACCTACTTCTCCGCTGGGCAGAAGGGCTAGCGTGGCTGCCTCGGCTGCTGGCGAAGAGGATGATGGACCAAAGACGAGCATGGAAGCTGTCGAGCACCTGTCGCGCAACTCGCAGAAAGGTGAGCCATTGCGCAGGAAGCAGTACTTTGCGAGTCGGGAGAAGGACGCGAGAGGGCGGCATGGGGGCGCTGACTGGCTCATATTCGTCTACGCTTTCATGTATCTGTACAGTGTCCTACGACATTTCGAAAGACGGACAAATTGTGGCCGTCTTGACTCTGATCAAGTCCAAGTATCGCCTGGGAGACACGGTGTCTGGAGTAGTGACGATGAACCGGTCGGGCAGCGTGGCTCGAGTGGTCCGAATAGCAGCGACGCTGGAATCGCACGAAGCCATTCAATCGGATCTGTCCACCTTGCCGCAGAATAGGGTGGCAAAAATGACCAAAGTTGTGCACTCGGAATGCCACCAGTCCACGTTGGACTCTGGTCAAGCCAGCTTCGCTCTGCCCATCCCTAGCGGTGCTACGCCCGACTTTGTGACGAGTGCGGGTGAGTGCTGGGGCAACTTGCGGAATGCCAAGCATGCGCCAGGATGCGCACAAAGGGCTGACGCTGCTGCTGCGCCCCCCACCCCCACCCCGTTCTTTGCGCGATGGCGCAGTCAAAATCAATTGGACTGTTCGACTTTCCTTTTTGACCTTGGCATGCGTCCGACCTAGCAAAGGAGGACCTAGAGGAGCGCCACCTTCCCACCTGATTCCCGTCGAGTCGGATGGGTACGAGCACTTTCACGCTTCGCTCGTAGCCGTGCCTCACCTCTCTGGTCCTCTGCATCCCTCGTTGATGCCGACGACGACATCCAAGGAGGAGGAGAGCGGCGGCGCTTCGATGCGAGCGCCTGAAGGAACAAAGTTGGAGGTGGTGGAGTGCGCAGTGCCGCTCAACGTCTTGCCGCACTCTACCAGATTTCAACCTGGCGCTGCTTCGGTCTTTGCTTAGGAAGATCAGCAAATCACGAATGCGAACCCCCCCCCTTTTTTTTTTTATTGATTGTGCGTGTATCTTGTTGCAAACGTGATGTGGGTTTACGTGATGCAGAACACTTTTTTGCAAATGGTCGTGCCAGGGAGCTATCGTGCGGCCCCTCCCCCCCTTCCCCTCCAAATCTTCCTTTTGCCGCCAGGAGTGAGGGGACCACGCGCGTGGCTTCGTTTGTCCCTTTCATTCGTGGGTGCGTTGCCGCTGGGCAGGGGTTCACTTATTCTTGCTTCGAGTGGTGCTGCTGCTGGTGCTGCTGGTGCTGCTCGGCAAGTTCGACTGCATCAAAGAACAAACTCCAAAGCCCGTGGACATCTACATGTTGCAAAACCCTGACATTTCTCCCCCCCTTGCCCCACGTTTCGTCGTGCTGCTGCTGCTGCTGGTGCTGCTGCTGGTGCTGCTGACGCCACTGATCATGAAAGTCGACGACGGTAGCTGCAAAAGCGGGACTGTGCGCGTTGCGCTCAATATCTACGCGATAGCGCGCTGGCTCGCCATTGTCGTCTGATGATGATGATTTTGGCCCGCTAAAGAGATGAGGAGAGATGATGTAGGCCAAAACGAGGAAATCGTGCACTGGAGGACCGCACTTGAAATCGAATTCCGTCTCGTAGCTGCATGGAGAGAGTGGGGCAGGCAAAAGGGCCCCAGCCCCGCCACCGGCCACGCGGATGTTCCATCATCCCGGGAGGAGGTTGTCGTGCGAAAATGTCAATTCGGCGGGTCGCGAATGGTGCGGTTGGAGGGAGGGAAAAGCGATGAGGCGTGGGGCGTGGGCGGAGCGTGGGAACTCACGTTTGAGCGAAAAAGGTCATGGCGCTCGAGAGGAGCGTGCGGATTGGAGATTTCTTTGCCGTCAGAGTTGCTTGTAGTTCTGGCGTAAAGATGGCTGGCAAACCCCCCCACGATCCACAGTCGAGGCGGGGGAATGCGAGGTGGGGCGCCAATCGTGAGTGAGACGCGGGGCAAGGTGCAGATAAAGGTGGGGAAAAAGTGTTAGAAGTGGAGCGCACGTTTGAGAGGTGGTGCTTTGGTGGTGGTGGTGGTGGTGGTCTTGATCAGGCCGAGCAGCATGCAACGCACCTTGGTGAGTCACGTTGAGACCGGCCATGGTGACGGGGATATCGTAATCGAAGACTATGCTGGCTGCCTCGGGATCCACGAGGATGTTGAACTCTGCCCATCAAAGCGAAGCTGAACGGAGTGAACAGCAAGCAAACAGAAATCGCGATCGAGACCTCGGAGAATGGGCAGGCTTCTTCGCTTTAGGATGACGCAGAGCAGAGCAGAGCAGAGCAGAGCAGAGCAGAGCAGAGCAGAGCAGAGCAGAGCAGAGCACAAGCATCCATCCTTATCCTGATCATTTGCCCCACCCCCTCCGCGCAGGCGATGATGGGGACTCACCTGCCAAAGGTCCTCTATTCCCTGGACATCCAGCAGCTCCGCCCATGAGAACGATTTCCTGCACACCAGCTCGGATCAGGTGCTTGGGAGCGCACTTGAGCAGCATGGCGATATTTGTCAGAGGACCCGTGGCTGCGATGGTGATGGGAGCAAGACCTTTGGAAGTGCGCTCTTGCAGCAAGGCGATCAGGTGCGAGATGAAGGTGTGAAGTCCGTTGGCGTTGCGGGAATGGGAGTGCTGCAGGTATTGCTGAACGCGCGGGTCGGATAGCGCAGGGCTGTGTCGAGTGGGCGGGGGCGGAAGAAAGATGCGCAAGTCAGAGCATGCAGCAATGAAAGGGCGTCCTGGACTTGTGACGGCAATCGCACGAGCAGCAGCAGCAGCAGCAGCGCTGTGATGTGATCTGATCTGATCGTCGTATCCACTTCGACGTCCTCTGACCTGCTTGTCAAGGTGCGGTGCGGTGCGCTGCACTGCGCTGTGGTGCGGTGGGGCTGCTTCCCGCCTCGGCCATCCATGCAATCTGCCACTCTGCACTGCACACGATGACGACGGACCGACTCGACTCACAGACCCATCACGCCTCCCAATCCATCCTCTCCATGAATCGCAGCGTCTGCTCTGACGCTCTGCACCAAAGGTTCATCCGCCCCTCTGATGAGCGCAATGTCCCTCTCCCTCTCCCTCCCCCCGCGCCTCTCCACATCATCCGCACCGTAGGCCACCAGCAACTTTGCAGCGTTTTGCCAAGTGGCTAGTCCGCACGCGTTTCCCGCAACTGTAGAGAGGCCCAAGAGGTGCACATCTGGCGAGGTGTGCGTGCTGCTCGATCGACCGAACAGCGCTAGCAAGAGCGCTACGGCATCGTCGTGGCCCGGATCAGCATCTAGCTGGGCCCCGAGTTAGAGTGTGTGAAAGTGTGAAAGGGGGGGGGTTGGGTGTGAGCAAAGGGTGGGGGGAGTAGCGAGTGAAAAGGGGGGAGCCAGATGGAGGGAAAGGCTTGCAAGATTGCAAAACTCACCCAGATGCTCTTGACCATGCTCGGCACAAAAGGGTCACGGCAGCAAAAGCGATGTGCTGCCAGCCTGCTTCCAGACTTGGAGTGGCGAGCGGGCGAGCGGGCAATCGAGCTATGAAGAGTGGACCGTAGCGGATCGGATCGGATCGGATGGGATGGGAGGGGAGGATTGGGCGATGTTGATGAGCAGCAATAATAATACCTTTTCTGATCGACTTTGATCCGTGATGGTGGCTGGTGCGTCTCACCCTGCTGCTCACGCGGGCCCGCACACTCACGCAGCGACTCCGTGACTCGGTCACCCGCCGTTGACTTTGGATCAGCAGCAGCAGCAGCAGCACCAGCACGGATGGCATGGCATGCACGCCTAGCTAGTTGCCTCGGCACAACCTCCCTTCCACTCCCCGCCGGACCTGCATGCATGCATGGTTGCATGGTTGCACCGAAGGGGGTTAGGATCTGCTCTGCCTCTGTGCGCGCATGCATCGTCAAGATTCATCTCGATCGATCGAGCACGGCAATCAACGTTCAGCCACAGACGCGTGATGTGTATACAGCCACGCACGCAAGGGTACGCACGACTCTCAATTTATAGGCTCCCATGCACACCTGACCTTGCCGCAAATCGGTGGGCTCATCCGCATGCTGCTATATCGAGAAGACAAGGCATCATCAGTCGCGAGGCAGGCAGGCAGGCAGGCAGGCGTGCGTCTTCTGATCCAAGCAACAGATTACGAGCATGGCTGACTCCTCTCGCTCACTCTGCAGACGAGCACGATGGCGAGCTGATCCAGGCAGAAGCTCACTCAACAGATATGAGAGACTTGCGCTCCATTCCATTTGTGGGCTCTCAGCTCAGCTCAGCTCAGCTCAGCTCAGCTCAGGGAGGAAGCATCACGAATGAATGGCGCTGCATTTAAGGGACATGAGAGGCGCCGCCGCTGCCGCCGCCGTTGCGTGACTAAGTGTTTTTTTCATCTCAACTTGCGCGCCGGCGAAGCGTAGCGTCCTATACAGCTGCTGCAGCTGATGCTGCACAGCGGAGATCATCGCATCATCACATCTCGCACGGACAAACATCATGCATGCATGCCTGTGGCACAAATTCCTTTTTTAGGGGCACGCGCGCGGCCATGTCCTGCACCGATCACGCGGATGCACACAGCAGCCCACACTCATGACTCTCTCTGCTGACAGCTGCTGCTGCATGCATGCATATTGCAGAGGGGTCACCCGCACCGCACCGCACCGCACCGCACCGCACCGCACGGAGGAACCTCGTTGCCTCCCTCTCCTTCGGCCTTCTGCTGCTGCCTTTCGCGTGCTTGCGGGGCGCGGCGCTCTGCTGCGGTGGAGCTAGCGCTGACGCTAGCGATGGCAGGGCAACGTGCCTCTCGCTTCGCCAGCAGCAGCAGCAGCAGCAGCAGCGTCCCAACACTCACAACTTGTCCGCAACTCCAAGTCTCTTGATCACTTCACCCATCCACCACCACCATCAACACACCCCCCTTCCCCTGACGCCCATTTCACGACCCCCTTTACGATCTAACGAGCGCACGACAAAGCACGACATTTCCCCTCCCCCCGCCTTGCCATCATGACAGACACAATCGGCACCCAAGAGAAGCCTGCAGCACTGACCGCTTTCCTTTCCCCCACTTCGCGTTTCCTCAGTCGCAAAAAGGATGATGCCGATGCATCCACTTCGAGCGCGAGCGCAGCGGCACAAGTCTCTGCAAAGGCCGCAGCAGCAGCAGCTGCGGAGCTCACGCCGGTCGAGATAGCTACCAAGATCGCATCTCTGCTGCGACCCGGTCCTCCATTCTACACCACCGTTTCCAGCGCCGACCTGCTGGACTGGCTTGGAGATGCGAGCATCATGAATTGCGCCGCTGCCAATGCCCATGCCAAGGTGATTGTCGATGCTCAACAAGCTCAAAATGCTGCCGCTCAACAAGGTGCGCCCAAACCGTGGACTGGAGTCGGCACTGTTTGGAGCGCTCTCAACTCTCTGCCCGCTGGTGCGCGCAGTCAGGTCATCCCTGGCGACAACATCAATACTGTCGATGCTCTCAGCAGTGGCAAGAAGGGTGATGATGACGACGACGACGACGATGGATTGTGGTCAGGTTTGACTTTGAGCGTCGACATCAGCGGCAAAGACGTGCAGCTGGAACGTTCGGCCGTTTTGCCCAGTCACTTGCTCGCTCAGCACCACTACTGGGAAGGCAATCCGCAAGCGCTGTACAGCGATATCCGAGTAGGTCACAAGGACGCGTCTTACCGCTGGGACGATTTTGCAGCGTACAATTCCGCCTCGAAGCAGGGGCTGGGCAGGGCACTGGCGCTGTACACTCCCAGCTCCATCTACGCTTGGGATCCATCTCAGCAATTGTGGACATGGCCGAGCTGGGTGCCTTTCTTGGGCGAAAAGAAGGACAAGCAAGCTGATCCTGGTGGCGACGAAAAGCCCGCTCCCGCTCCCGCTCCCTCGCCTTCGAAAGGAAGCAAACGCGTTTGGGTCCCTTCTGCTACGCGCTTCTCCTGTCATGCTAGTTGGTGGGGCTTCCAACTCTACCTTCCCCCTCCGGTCATGACGACGCTAGCAGGCGACGCGGACAAGGCGGAGAAGATTGCCAATACGCTGCACACGATGTTGTCGGCCATTCTGGACAAGGCCTCTTCGCTGCCCCTACCGCTCGAACTGAAGGCCGTGCTGACCATCTTGAAAGCCTTGGCGCCCGTCACGGGATACATTGCCACATTTATCGCTTGGAGTTGGTCGACGATAGAATCGACGGATGAGGGCAAGGGCGTCATTTTGAGCGCTACTTGGGTCTTGCCCGTCGCTCTTCTTCCTAGAGCTTGGGACGCTCCTATCGCCCCGCCAGATCAGAATGGCGATGGCGAGCCCGACGGCCCACCTGCGTCCGCGCCCGCCCCTGCGCCTGCGCCTGCACCAGCACCAGCACCAGCAGATCCGGCGCCTGTCCCCGCTCCTGCTCCTGCTCCTGCTCCGACGCAGCCAGAAGCACCACCAGCCGAATCAGCACCAGCGCCTGCACCCGCTCCTCAGCCTACCGGGCCCACGCCTCAAGAACCCGAAAGCTCGGCCCCCGAGACGCCCGCACCTGCTCCTGCTGCTCCTGCTGCTGCTGCTGCACCCAGCACGCATTCGCCCTGAAGTTGCCGCGTCGTCGTCGAGTGCAGAGCAAATGCGATCGAGAAAGTAGATTACTGCGGTCAGGATGTGTGGGCAAAGGTGTTGAGGGAACTACTCTTGACTTGATTGCAGCTTTCGATCGAGCAATGGCTCAAGTCAAGGGACAATCAGGAATCCCTTGGGGGGGCGGGCAGAAATATCGTTGCGCAAATTCCTTCGCCGCACCCCTGTGAAGTCGTGTATTCGCATCGGCATGTATATCTGCATTGCGCCCCCCCCCCAACTTTTTGACTGATTGTCTTATTTTCCCGAGTCTTGGTGCG